TCCGCCTCTTCGCCCTCAGTGCTCTTTTCTCGCCTCCTTTTCGTATAGTTCGCGTTTCTTTTATAACCAATAGCTCGAAGGGCTGCGGTCTTCTCTCGGCGGCTGCTGCTACTCCTGCTGCCGTCGTCGCGCCTCGAGCCTCTCCGGGCGCCAGCCTTCCAGCCTTCGAGGTCCGCAGAGGCGGAAATGTGAAACCAAACAGAGGGACGGACGAGGTGCGGGCGGTCAGTACTTGTTGATATGCAGGAGCATCTGTCGGCGCATGTGACCGATCGACCGATGAGACTCGAAAACAGATGCGGAAAAAACGAAGGAGTAGGAGGGCCAATGAACAGCTGATTGAAATGTCGGATCGGGTCGAGTCGATCGGACGGCTTGATCGGAAAACAAACTTTTGCGAAGAGTTAGAACTGAACACAAAAGAAGACGGGGTCTATGAACTCAGAAATGCATGACATCTCCAGGACGGATAGAGAGCCTGGCTGACAAGAATTCAGATCAGCTGCGTTCAGCCACTACTGTTGCTGTATTTTTTGCTCTTTCACTGCTGTTTTCGTTGGTTCCGATGTGCTCTTGTCGCTCATTTTTCACTATGGTCATATGTTGTTTTTGCGTGCGTGTGTTTGCCGCTCGGCCGTCGTCTGGATCGGTTCCTTTCGTCTGCTGCCATCGCCGCCCGCCCGCTTGTTGTTGTTGTTTTTTGTGTTGTGTTTTTCTGCATTCGACTAGTATATAAAACGAAGCGAACACATACACACACACGGCTGAGGAACGAAAAGGGGTCGAACTGACTCAAACGGCGGAAAACGATGACTGAGAAACGAAGCGAAACGAAGAAACGCGACGCTTTTATGGTGTTCGTGCATGTGGCTCGAAGACATGTAATAGCCCCCGTTGACGTTGATTCGAGCAGAAGTCCAGAAGCCGAAAAAGAGAATCACACAAAAAGAAGCAGTGACCGAGCAATCAGAAATTCACGAAAAGAGCGGCTCATGGACGCTTCCGTCTCATTGTTTTGCTTTTTCTCTTCGTTTGTGCAGCCCATCCGAACCTGCGAGCTCGGAGGACACGCCGTCATCATAACCCATTCCTCCAGACGCCGCGGATCCGCTGTGATCTCAGGCTGCCGATCGACTTCTCGCCCGTTATTTTGTGCATGTGTTTTCGATCAGTTACACATAATACTCACATCGCCGAGCAGCTGTTTCGGCTGCGTCTCGTCACTTCCCGCCACTATTCCCGGACGGGTCCTCGTTTGACCGCATTTTTTGTCCACACTTCCACGCACATTCCCCGCCCGACAAAAGTTTTCAGAAGTGCTTTGGAGAACACATGCAAACGGAAAGAGCGTGGAGACCGAGAGAATGTCTTGAGAGACCTTCGGATTAGCGATCGAGGGATTAGGTGGTGGAGGGAACTGGGAAGTGAATCACGAGATGGGCACGGTTCAGAAGGGGTGCTGACTTTCAGATGGAATGAGAGAATAAGGAATGAGCAAATAGGGGAGCAAGCGGGGATGAAAGGAATTAATGGGGGGAAGGCAATCTGATGAGTGTTTGTGATCGGAAACGTGAACAGTGGAAGACGAAAAGGAAAGAAAAAAGTGAGCGTTGCAGAGAGGACAACAGCCTGAACAGCAAATATCACTATCACGAATTTCAATTAGTAAGCTTATTGTTATTCAAATTATTTTGTCATTAGACTTCGTGCGTACAACTGGGGGAAAGAGAGTGATCATCGAAACAGTTAAAGAAGTATTAGTAAGAATTCTGAAATGTTGTTCTACCGCAATCCAGGTTGCGGCCTTATCCAATCGGAATTGAGGTAGAGGGCCAGACTTCTTGCAATAGTTGGAAGGATTACGGTAGATGTGGCCCCTACCCTTAGAATATGATGGAAAAGAACATGTTGGAAAGCATCAGGAATGCAAAAAAGTTCCCCGCCAAAAGGTGTCAACCTGGAAGCGAAAGGTGGAAAAGTGGGGGGAGGACCCGGCGGTGTCCGGCGTGGCCCCTCCCGAGGCCCGTCAACACGCGCTGAAGACTCGAAACTGCTGTCATGTTATGTGCGGTGTGCATTTTCGTTTATTCTCTCATTTTTTCCGTCGCCCACTCTCTCCGTCTCGACACGAAAAGCGGCTGCCACTCGGCCGCTCGGACCGCCTAAGTCTCTCGGTCGGCCCTCTTCCAGTTTCGGCCATTGGCCTCTCAACTCGACCACTTTTTAAGGCACGGCGACATTGGGCGCAGATTTGGAGGGAGAGACGATGAAGACGGAGGAGGGGAAGGAAAAGAAGGGCCCTGATGGGGTCGACCAGCTGGGTGGACACTCGAGCAAAAAAGAGAAAAAGATGAAGAAAAAGCAGAGAAAGACGAAGCAGTGCGTCAGCTGATTGTGCAGTGGGCACCAACTGGGAGGATGAAGAAAAGAAGAAGGAAATAAAGAAAAATGAGGAGGGAAGGAAGTGAACTAGAACGTTCGAATGACAACAGTTTCAGATTCCAACTCTCATCTAGATTTATATCCGATTGGCGACTAAAGACACCTTGCCACATACCCCCATTCTTCCGCAGAACCTCAAAACCATGTCCCCCGACGCCCTTGTTTCCTCTGCTCTTTCACGTGCCTAATCAAGATTAATCAGAGACCACGCGCGGGCCGCTTCTCGACGGCATCTACAACTATACGAAAAGGAAGCGGGCGCCGACGCGTGTGCACCCACCAATGATTAGGCTAGAACATCGGCTGATTGGCAAAAAAGAGTAAGTGTACTCTTGCGGAGCAGCCAACGTCTTTTTTTGAATTAATCACAGCCTGTGAGAACGGAAGAGATTTCGAGTGATTCACTGTGGGAATAAGATGAAATCACTAGATGAGATTTTGCAGAAATTGTTTATGAATCGAAGAGAAGAATGAGGAACAAGGAACAAATAGTTTAGAGATTCTGTTGTAGCAGTACTGTAACAGAAGGGCACCCAGAAAACTGAGATAGAGCTGTTTCGAGTCAAGTTCCGGACACCGAATCTTTTGAAAAGTATACAGTACACGAACACGACCTTTCTATCCATGTATTCTAAAATGTGCTGGCAACGAGAAAGATAAACCAAGAATTTTTCAATATCATTGATTTAAGTTGAGGAATGGCCGAGTGGGCGTGACTTCACTATCACTATATAAACCGAGTACAACGTTAATTATGTCTATCTCGTAACTCTTTTCGCTTTAGTGTCTCTCTCTTCCTCTCTCCGACATTATTGCTATGCAAGAAGTGCAGAACACGACATTCGACTTTGGAAAAAAGAAGCCTGAGTCTATGAGTACACAGTACCAACAGGTATCGAATGCTCAGAAGTCAAGGAGCTGGCTCACTCAACGTGCTCTCTGATCGTCGTTTTTGCCGGTCCACGTGGAATACTTCAGGTTCAGAGTCCAGTCTTCCCGCCAGTCGTGGCTGCAATGTCTCATGGAAACATGAATCGGTGCGCGAACACAAAAGGCGTGATGAATGCCTTGGCCGTGGCGGTGTGTCAACATGGCGACAAACCATTTACAGTGCTGCTTCCGTGCCATAAAATGGCTTCATCCGCACTCCCCGGCTCACTCATTCTGCCAAAAAGCGTGCCCCAACCTGAAGAAGCAGAAAATGATCTTCCAATCCCCTCGCTACTTGCTGCCGTACTCTCCAATTGTCTCGACCAGTGTCCATTTATTTGTGTACTTCTTGTATCCCAACACATCGTCGCCCGGCACAACTCGCAAAATGTGTTGTATTTCGTGTTTGTTGCATACGGGCGGCCGCCCTGCTCTGATCCGCTGAGCATACGATCTCCTTTCGTTTCACACCTCGGCCCGGAAAACACGCATTGGCTAACCGCTTCCTGTATATCAATTACCGGTCGATGATCATCATCCTGCAGAGTTTCGAGATCCAAAGATCGAGGAATCATTTAGTTTCTGGTGCTTCTTTCCCGAGATCTCTGCGTTCCATTTCTTTTTTAGTTTGATCAACTCCCGTCCCCGTTCCCATCTGATCATCGGCCTCAAAACACTTGATAGTGCATAGAGTCATTCCTCTTCGATCGGCTCTCCTTCATTCACTCATTTCCCATCATCAAACGGTTTTTTGTCGGCCGGCGTGAGGGGCACTCACTCATTTGATACGGTGTGCTCGGCGCGGCTCGCGGCCCGCGGCAAGACCAGTTGACGCCTATATCACCGGAAACAAACCGATTGGCACACTCTTTGCGCTCAAGCCGTGTTTGCGTTTCGGCCAATTATTGCCACCTTCGTATTATGATCCGAATGGCTGTCTTTTAGACGATTAATTTGCAATTTTTGACGTAGAAGAGTTGCCGCCTGCTCCCGCAGCTCCCGTAAGAGCCGGATCACGTTGGTCCTCCTCGCTCATCACGGGCTTCCCACTTCCCATTCTCATTTAAACATAGTAATTCTGTTCTTTCCATCTATGCCCTGATTCGTGTGACTATTTGCCCTTTCGTCAGTGCTCCTTTCAAAAGAGCATCTGGTCAAGCAACCTGAGTGCCTGGCTCCAGGCTCATAAATATGCAAACGCAGCTCCATTCAACCGTAATCCATCCTGCCAATCCATAATCCGCCCATTCCTCGCCCTCTCACAGTTCCAGTTCCAGTCTCCAGTTCATTTTTTCTTTCCGCACCTTGCTTTCCAGTACTGTACAAACAATAATTGGTGGTCGTCCCGGTAAACACGTGGTGTGGTCCACGTCGCATTCCGGCTCGTCTTTCATGTTGTTTCCAGTCGTCCGGTCTGCCAGTCCGACTCAGTTACAACTGGGCGACGATGACTAATAATGCGGCGAGACGCAGACGCGCATCTCCGATCATACAAAAGCGCCGGAGCGGGGGGCGGGGGAGGAGCACGCGCACTGCTCCCGCGTGTTTTCACGCATTTACCAATGAGCTCTTTCTGTGTCATTCATTCTCCTAAGTCTAAGCGACTCTCCTCACTTTCTTTGCAGAAGATGATACAGTTCCTGCTGGTTGGCATCACAGTTGTCGGCTCTCAGCACATGACTCTATGCGACTACTACGAAAAACTTGGTGAGTTTTGAGTTGCACAAACAACTGTAAGTATCAATGCATTCTTGCAGGGGTAGCAAAATCAGAGTGTGGGCACATTATAAAACCGCAACACGATCTTGGATTCTACAATCCGAATACATTCGAAGCCCCGAACACTTTCCGGTGAGTACCTGTAGTTTGGGTTTCAATGCTTACATTCATATTGCAGATTCAGTAGCTATAACACGAACAACAACAACAATATCAACCCGCAATTCAACGTATTTCGTTCCTTTTCCAATAGTAAGTGTCTGCCGTACCTCCTAGGCCAATTTCTAATAAATGTTTATCATTCAGACCTCGTCGGAACTCTTCCACTCTGCCGCAATTACTTCCATTCGTGCATGAGCTCCACTGCTTGCGAGTCTGGAGTCATTTGCACAAACGGAATCGAGCAGGGCTCGTGCTGCACGAATCCGCACCGTTCCAACTGTCCCTCGGCCACGTCCATGAACATCAACTGCCGCAAAACGAGAAGTGTCAATTGGTAAGCCATTGGAAAAAAGGAAGCAGGGGGCACCCGGAGTTAAACCGGGGACCTCTCGATCTGCAGCCGAATGTTCTGCCACTAACACAGGTGAAATGCGGAGGAAGCATATGGGTCTAATGTGCTTGAAACGCGGATCGCGCGTGGAAACTATGAGAATGGCACATGCTTCCTTTATGGACCCATAAAGGATCCCCCGCGAGCGGCCGGCAGGGCGCCCGAAAATGGAAAACGCGCGCGCGCCCGCAAACCCGAATTCGTGACCCTCCCCGTACAATGCCCATTTCTGAAGCATATGCTCTCTCAGCATTTCACCTGTAGAGCTATACCCCCACACGAAAAAAAATTGCCGCTTAATGATAAGATTTGAGAGATGGAAAATATGTTGGGGAGAAAAGAAAAATGATAAGAGAATGTTGCCGCAGGTGTAACAGTGATGTGGACTGCCGCGGAGCGTCGACGACGGCGTCCATGTGCTGTCCGACCGGCTGCAACTACAACATGTGCGTGCACGTCGGCGCACAAGTCTACCATCCGAGAAGAAGCATAGGTACTTTTATTCTTCACTTCTGCTCTCAATTTATCTGCTTCAGTGTTCAACTCCCTGTCTCCAGTGGGCACCGACTCGGATCAGTGCCCGGATCCTTTCCAGCTCGACGTCAAATGTGTGACCACGAAGGGCGCCAACTGGTGTTATACTGACACCGATTGCCGCAGTGGATTGTACACGAGGAAGTGAGCGATGAGGTGGTAACACCTTTTCTCTAAAGAAGTTAATATTCAGATGCTGCGCGACGAATTGCGGATACAACACGTGTGTGATGAAGTTCAATGACAAGTGGATCATCGCTTGATCTCAAGTGCACTTTTCCTTCTTCTAATTGTCTGTAAATACATTCAACGTCGTCTTTTGGGGTCTTCCTGCAGAACCAGTTACTACATTTCTACTCAGATTCCTCTGTTCCGAGTGTATTGTTCAAGAAATTAATTTATAGAATACAAATAAAATATTCATTCTAAATAACTGGATTTTGTCTCTTCTTTCGACTTTTTGATCACTTTCAACGGAACAAGTCGCTTGTAGAAGATGAGAATCAGGAGGGCGGCGAGAAGAAGGCAAGCCGTCTGGAGAACTACCACGTATCGGTACCCGCTGTACTTGAATATGGCACTGAAATGGGATCGGTTCGTTTTTAGGAGACGAGAGAAGCCTACGTGGATGAAATGGAAGCGATAACCGGGGCAAGACTGCCTCCGAACGAGAAGAATCCCTGCATTGTTCCCTGCTTTCGTGGACCCAGAATCTCAGAGAAAAGAGCTGGAGAAGGCGTCTCGACGAAGGGGAAAGCTACTCCGAAGAGGACGATAAAACAGAACAGGTAGATGGGTAGGGGGACTCGGGTTGTCTCGCTACACCATAGATATTCGGCATAACATCCTCCTGCATGAGTGGTCTCGACGCCTTCCGGCAAGAAGTTCAGTGGTCCCGAGTAGAACGCCCAGGGGTACATGAACAGTTGGTAGAGAAGGAAGAACGTGAGACCGAACAGCATCTGCTTCCGCTTGTCTCTAAAATGAATCATGGCTACATCAGTTGCTGAAAACAAACATTTTCCCGATGCGAGTGGCGCCTTGAGCAATGTTGAATGCGACCGAAATAAAACTGCTCAGCGCCAACGCAATTCCGTTGTAGAAGATTGAATCGCTGTCTTTCCAGTCGTACAAAACAGTTGTCAATGGGGATGACATTCTGAAATACCGCTGGTTTCCGAAAAAATTGTGCGATGGACTCACACTTCTATGTTTGTGCCAGTCATATTGACAATCATGAACAGATAAATGCAGATGATGGCAGCTGGAACGTCGAACATCGGAACCACCACGTCCTCGTTCTCTTTTTCTTCTTTGCTCACAATGCCGACGTAGCTTTCGTTGAAGAAGAAGTAAACAATGAGACAGGCAAGCAGACAAATGAGCGCCATGAGGAAGGCGACGGTGGTGTACATGTTAAGGACAAAGCCTCCGATTCTGAAACCATCTTCACCGAGTGGAGTGAACATTGCCTGCAATCGTTTCAAGCTAACTCAGTAGCATTATTTGAGACAAACTTACAGAAATGACAGGTCCGAATGAGAATCCAAGAACGAAGCCTCCAGTTCCGAACGAAATCGCTCTCATTCTGTCCTCGGGAGTAGATGCCATGGCTGCGTACACCCGGAGGGCGGCAATGTTCCCGACGCCGAGCCCAGTGAGCATCCGAGCCACGAGCATCAGCCATTTAACATTCGAGCCCATTCCCAACAGTCCGTACCAAGCTTGGCCAACACTGGCAATCACGAATCCAGTTATAACCGGCCACTTCACGGACATTGTCTTTTGATTCCAGTACCCGTAGATTGGATTTGACTGTTAACGGAAACAAAAGATTTAGGTAGGGACGATAACTTGGCTTACTATTGTGCATCCGATGCTGCAAGCGGCCACAACCCAGCCGAGAAAGTCAAAATCTGCAGTCTTGTCGAGCTGAAATCAATTTATTTTATCGATTGCTTTGAAATGATTTACTGACTCCGCTCAAGTATGGCCACATGGACATGTAGTACACAGATATCTGAACGCCGACGACGAACTGCAGAAATATGCAAATCCACATCGACCGCCAATCCGTCTCTTTATCACTCGAACTGTTTTCTGACTTTGAAATCGTCGCGATCGATTTCTCTTCACTTAAACCGAACGATCCAGTCATTCTGAAAACGAAGTGATATTGATAAAGGTGTACAAAAACAAAGAACGCGTCCTGAAACAGTCGCCTCCCGGGTTTTTATAGGCGGCAGGAATCTGAATAATCTGCTCTCACTCTTCAGTATTTTGTGTCGTTTTTTGACCGCTGTTTCCGCGGAATCGCTACAAAATGCGCTTTTATAAAATCGACTGTCTGTCCTCATTTCAGATCGAAAACTGCAATTCGTCAATTTTCATTTTGTTTTGTTCATTTCGTCTGAAGAAACGTGACCTCTTTCAAGACGAGACGCCTTAATTTCGAGCACTCTGGACTTTTTTTTCTACGCGCACGGAGTTCCCCGATGGAAAGTTTGCACTCTATGCGCCTTTAAACTGGTGTCGATTTACGGGCGCGGAATTGTTTTTTTGGATTTTACGTTGATTTTCGCCTTTTCTTCAAAAATTAAGCTACAAGGCCTAGTTTTTCCTAAATTCTAGTCTCTCAATGTTGTTCTTCACTGCAAATCCGATGTTTTGAGCGCCAAACGAGCGTAATTCGTGCAGATTCGAGCGATTTCTATTCATTTTAAGGTTTACACTGAAAAAAAGGAAATTGACGAATCGCTGCGGTTCTCGAGTTTTATTCTTAATTCCTTTCTCTCAATTTGATAAAGAATTTTATTGCGAACATTTTGAGCGCCGAATCGTCAAAAAATTCTCAGAAATGACCGAGTTCTATAAGTTTGAAGTGAAAAGGTAGAAAAAGCTTGCCGAATTGACGCTGCGCTGTGCTGATGTTTCAGAAAATTCGGACGATTTTTGTCATCACGTGGAGTTCTAACAATAAAAGGACGTCGTTAAAAGCACATCGATCATCAAAAAATATTACAGAGCCCACAAAAATCGAATGTTTTTGCATGATATTCTCTGTTTTAGAACATTACTCTTCGTCTTTTTATCGCATGTACTCCTCGCATGTTCGTCTTTTGCATTCTACTTCATTTTGAGCCGATTGTTTCAGAACACGGGCGAATAACAGTTTCAGCGAACGGTCAGGCTATATCTGGACAAATAGTCATTAGGTTAGTGGGAGGACAAAATTAGTTGTGAATTGGCTGAACGAGGATAAAATGAAAGGTGCATGGAGGAAAAGAACATGAAGCAAATAACACAGAATGATTTATGCTAAATTGTGGAAGAACTAGAAAAAAGTGTTACAGATATGCCTCCGAAGAAGCGTAAAGCGATCAACGAAGAGATTCTGAGAAATGCACGAGAATCCAAGGAAAATGTATTCGTTGAGCGTGTAGAACAGGAATTGGAGAGTCTTAACGTCACAGTTCTTCGCGAGGCAAAGCGCAATCTCGAAACAGAGCTATCAGAGGCCAAAAGATTACACGAGGAATCCGAAAAGGATAAAATTATTCTCCGCCGGGAGTTGCAGACGGCCCACTCTGAACTTTTCAAACTGAGGGAGCAGTTGAGCACAGCTCTTTCGAACTTTGCCGTTTTCCGGAAGGAAACGGAAGAAAAAGCGAGAGCAACGATCAACAACACTCGGAAAATTGCGGAAAAACGGCTCAGCAGCGAGAAGAAAGTTCTGAAGGATGAAATTTTGGCTTTGAAAATGGCGTCTCCAAAAGGGACTGGAAGATTGAAGCCGTTCAACATGATTTGTGACAAGTCAAAAAAAGATCGATGTGTGCGTGTGGTGAAAGCGATTCAGGGCATTGTCGGTGAGCAGTACATGGACGACTTCCTTCCTGAATTCGTCCGATACATCGCGCGAAACTCGTCATTTGCCATCAACTTTTCTCTTTCGCCCTGGGATTCCTTTTTCGCCACTGTACAGTGGAAGCTCACCACCAAATTCCTTCGGGAATTCAAAGCGTTTCTTCGAGATCGCCTCGGCATCGACGTTTTTTCGTCCGTTCACACGATCAATGAGTTCAGAAAGCAGCACTCTGCCGAAGAGGATTACGACATCTTGATTCATCAGACACAGAAAACAATCGGCAATCGCGTTTTCCGGAACACGTCGGCCGTCGCTCGGGCAAAAGATGTGAAGTGTCTTTTGAGACGTCGAGTTGAAGCTCTTTCGGAAAGTGGTCGGCTCCAATTTGACGAGGGAACGGGAGATGCAATTGTTATCGCGATTGGCGGTGACAAGGGATCCAATCAAACGAAAGTTGGGCTCATTTTTGAAAATGTTGACAAACCGAACGATCCGTACGGAATTCTTCTCCTCGGACTGTACGAAGGATCCGATGACCATGCGACACTGAAAGAGAACCTGCTGCCCGTTTTCGATCAATTGAATGTGTTAGAGTCCCTGGAATACATGGAGAATGGCTCGCTCGTTGTCCGTGACGTGAAAAGGATGCTTGTGGGAGATTGCAAATTCATTAGTGCTGTTCTAAACCACAAAGGACAATCTTCTCGGTATCCGTGTTTCAGCTGCAATGCCATGTGGAGCAGTCATGGCCAAAACGCGGCTTCCATGGAATCATTTCCGTTCGAAGCAAGCGGAAATCCGCGATGTATGCAGCAGTACCTGGACGAAGGAGAGCCTATCCTACATTTCGATATCGATAATATTGTTCCGCCGGTCGTTCATTCCTTTCTCGGACTTGGACAGAACTATGTCGTCGATTGGGCCGTGGCGAAGGCGAACAAGGAGGATTGTGGGTCGGATACGCTGGACACGACCTTGAAGGGGCAGTACAAGATTCTGAAAGAAAGGAAACTGGAAAGAGATACTTACGAAACACGAGTTGAAGAGCTCGAGAAATCCGATTCTCTCCTTTCCGACGCACTCAATGTTCTTCAGAAATTGTGCTCAGCTTCCCGATCCAGAAAAGATCGATCAGACGCCTGTGGATGTTCGATTTGCATTGTCGCAAGTGCAAAAAAAAGGACATTCCGTGATCAAGCGGTCTTCAAATGCGCATCTTGTGAGCGACACATTCACCACCTTTGTGCTCTTCTTATTTTCGCAGATGACAAGCACAAAATTAGCATCGGCAAGGGAAGATGTCTCGATTGCCGACAGGGATCCATTGTCTCAGCGGACGATATGCTGCCGATGTTCCAGCGAGCGCATACCACACTCACTGCGATGCTGACGAACGACCGTGACCTACTTGCCGCCGCTTCTGATGATGTTGAAAATCTGGAAAGTCTCCTGAAAGGATCATCCGGACCTACGCGACAACGGCTTGAACAAGTCATGCGTGATATCGGTTGTGATTCAAGGATTTGGTTCCAAGATCTGACTGGAAACCAAATCAGAACACTCCTCCGATCTGAGAACATCGACGCCATTCTCTCCGTTTTCCGCCCTGACAAGGAAACGGTGATCATGCGTCGAGTGATGGAATGCTTGTCGTTCCTCATGACAAATGCGAATAATGCTGTGAAGACGGATCTCGAGATCGACAAAATCGAACAAGTCGTCGGCCATCTGACTACAAACCTGCGATTGATTCACGCCAAATCGACGGTGACTCCCAAAGTTCACATCGTGTGCGCGCACCTCGTTCCGTATTTGCGTCTTCATCGTTCGTGGGGACGGCTGTCCGAGCAAGGATTCGAGCACATGCACGCAGTGATGAATGCCGTCAATAGGCATTACGCTTCGGTTCGCGACACGAAGCTGAGAACTATTCTCGTTTTGCAGCAGTGGACCAATTACAACGTCATTTATGACGCTGGTAAATCGTGGCATCCGAAAGAATAATTCCCGGTTTCGTGAATGAATTTGCCTTGCTCGTTTTCTTTTCCATTTTTCTGCCATCTCGTACGATCTCGTTAGTCTCGATATCTGAAAATGTTTGCTCGGAGAAGAATGATACTGCTCTTCTAATATCTAACCGCTCTCTCTTGCTCCACCAGAATACTCAGTTTCGAGTGATTCCGCTTGTTCTCATGGTTTCTTGCACTTCTTGAAGTATTTGGGCGCAATATTCCCTGAAAACCACAAAAAATAGTTCTATTATGCTAATTATTCGGTAAATTCTAACAGCAACACGATAAAATAATGACATATCCAGTTTTCATACGGAAAAACAGAGGAAAACTCTCAAAACTAGCGCGGAAGTGATCAAATGCAGTATCCTTGGCGCGCAATTCGCGCACCAGAAATGCGCACAACGAAATATATCCGCCAGCTTGCGTGTTTCCCGTGTGGAACTCCGTGCTACGCGTGAACACGTTGTTTCTTCCCACATATTTCAGATCATTTCTTTCATTTTGAGTAGTGTCTGGAGTCTGGCACTAATTTAAAAACATGATACTGTGTCGTGGGATTGTGTGTGATGTGAACTTTGTGATACATTTGATAGAAATATTTATTATCAAACCAATTAGAAAACATCTAGTTAGATTATTTTTCATCCGCAGACTTCTTTACCACTTTCAATGGAACCAGGTGCTTGTAGAATAGCACAATCAGAGCGGCGCCGACCAAAAGAATGATTGCCTGGAGGACAATGACATATCGGTAGCCGGTGTACTTGAACATTGCCCTGAAATAAAGAAAAATCAGATACTTCGAGGAATTCGTATTTCGAACGTAGATGTGATGGATGCAATGACTGGAGCAATGCTACCGCCCAACGAGAAGAAACCCTGCATTGTTCCCTGCTTTCTCGGGCCAAGAATTTCAGAATACAGGGCTGCGGAAGGGCTCTGAACGAAGGGAAAAGCGATTCCGAAGAGGACGATAAAACAGAAAAGGTAGACGGAAAGAGGGACTCGGGTTGTCTCGTTACACCATAGATATTCGGCGTAACATCCTCCGGCATGACTGGTCTCGACGCCTTCCGGCAAGAAGTTCAGTGGTCCCGAGTAGAACGCCCAGGGGTACATGAACAGTTGGTAGAGAAGGAATACGAAGATTCCGATGAGCATCTGATTCCGTTTGTCACTAAACAGTCAGCAGTGATAAAAATTGAAATGACATTCAGTTCACTCACATTTTGCCGATTCTAGTGGCTCCCAAGGCGACATTAAATGCTACCGAAATGACGCAGCTTATTGCGAGAGTAATTCCGTTGTACAAAATAGAATCGCTGTCCTTCCAGTCGTACAAAACAGTTGTCAAAGGAGTGGACATTCTGAAAACAAGAGAAAGAGAGAGAGAGATAGATGATAGTTTTTTGTGTATTTTGTAACGAACACTTCGATATTTGTAGCGATGATATTGACAATCATGAACAGATAAATGCAGATGATGGCGCCGGGAATATCGAACATCGGCACCACCAAGTCCTCATTCGCCTTCTCTTCTTTCGTTACAATACCAACGTAACTCTCTTCGAAGAGAAAATAAATGACTGTGCAAGCGAATAGACAGAGCAATGCCATCAAAAACGCAACAACTGTGTACATGTTGAACACAATCACTCCCAGTTTGAGGCCATCTGTGCCCAGAGGAGTGAATGCTGCCTGAAATCAATCGGAACTCTGCAGAATCCGAGACGAACTAACTGATATGACCGGTCCGAAAGAAATACCCAAAACGAAGCCTCCAGTTCCGAACGAAATCGCTCTCATTCTGTCCTCGGGAGTGGATGCCATGGCTGCGTACACCCGGAGGGCGGCAATGTTCCCGACGCCGAGCCCAGTGAGCATCCGAGCCACGAGCATCACCCATTTAACATTCGAGCCCATTCCCAATAGTCCGTACCATGCCTGACCGACCCCTGCGATCAAGAATCCAGTGATTACAGGCCACTTCACGGACATTGTCTTTTGATTCCAGTACCCGTAGATTGGATTTGACTGAAAGCAGAAACTGTGGAAGACAGAAAGATGGGGCCTACAATTGTGCACCCGATACTGCATGAAGCCACCACCCATCCTAAGAAGTCCACGTCGGCGGTTTTGTCAAGCTGAAGTGAGACAATCTTGAGAACTGAATGATTCCTTCAACCTACTCCACTCAAGTATGGCCACATAGACATGTAATACACGGAAATTTGAATGCCGACGATGAACTGAAGGAAGATGCAGATCCACATTGACTTCCAATCCGTCTTCTTCTCATTCAATATTCTTCCAGCGGACATTCTGTAAATCTTTCTTATCCAATATATATTCCCATAGGATGCCTTCTCACTCTGTCTCAAGCTTCTTATCCGCGGACGTTGACCCAAATGATCCTGTCATTTTGACAATTCCTGAAAGTTATGATGCAATAAAAAGCAAAAATGAAATGGCGCACAGAGAACGAGTTCAAATGATGGGAATCATACTGAAATGACTTCTGAAGCGGTCGTCCGTGCATATTTATGGAAAGGGCGACGCCATCTGAATAATCTGCTCTTGTCGCGTCGCGCTTATAATAGTAATAGTAACGCTTTTTTGACCTGTCTCGTCGTTGAAAACTTGCCAATAAAATATTTTTTATCATTTAAATCGGCACAAAAAGAATTGAAATCGGGTCATTTTTCAAAGCTAGTTTGAGATCTGTTAGCTGATAAAACTATGTAAAACTGAGAAAGAAACAGGAGGAACAACTAGAGAACTAACTAGAAGAAGTACATGAAAAGATAATACAGGGGGAATTTATGAATTCAGTTGACAAGAATGTGAAGACTATTGTCGCTTCCAGCAGAAATGATCGGAGAGATCGGAGCGGAGCTCTTCTCCTCGTACATGATCCCGAGGTGCTCTTCGTACCGCTGCATCCGGTCTCCGTACAACGTCGATTTCATCTCCGGAGCCGGTTTCAAACTGAACAGTCGCATTCTGTCGTCGCCTTTCGAAATAGGTTCCCAAATCGGAAGTTGGGATCCCGGGCCGTTTGGAGTACTGTAATCGGAAGGAATTCGTTTTGAGGGAACACAAGTGGATGACTAACCCAAACTTGACAAAGTTCGTCCAGTACTCGGCAGTCATTTCGCTGACCACTTTGTCCATTTTGTTCATTCCGAGCGGTGCAGACATGTAATTGCAGTCGAAAAGGTAGGAAAGTTCTGAAGTGTGTGTGCCGCCGGTGAACGGAACCACGTGCTGCAGCCACCCCCACATCTGCTTGCTCTGGTGGTCGAACGAGTAGCCGTAACAGTCGACGCCTCGCTGCTGAGCGTCTCGCATAAATCGGTAGTTGCCGTAGTTTGCGAAGACGTCGGAGATCAACTGAAACTTGTTCCGTTACTTTGCCTCCAAGCGGGATGCCTCTTACGTCCACGTAAAACCTCTTCCTCGCCTTTCCATTGGCTCTCAAGACTGGAGAATCTCCGTAGACTTTCTCGGTCATCGCCTCGATCTTCGCCCGGGCTAAGCCGCTTTTCTTCGCCAAAACATCGATGGCATCGTTTATTTCCTTCTCACTGCCTCGTAGCAAACCGATTGCGCCTGGAATTGGAGACTTCAATTACGTCTCGCCAGGAATTTATCGTTGAACTTACAAAAAAGGAGGGCCTCGTACTCGCCGCCACCGACCAGCGACGGTACGTGTTCCTGGGTCTCGCGAAGGATCTTCAGGCTGTGCGGGAGGATGTGCCCGTCGACGACCGGAGCCAACGGCAGCTTACACTCTTTGAAGATGGTCTTCGAGAAGAACATTGTCACTCCAAGTCTGAAAAGAAGAGAACAGGTTGAACTTGATCACTTCCGGAAACGGTTCTCACTTTGAAGTGGGCAGCCCTTTGAAAAAGTTGAAGAGGTCGGTACTCTCTTCCCGTTTCGACGCGTACTCGGCCTTCGGTTTCCAGCCGAGACGTTGTCCCCACTTCTTGCAGTACTCTCTGATGTCTTGCTTCGAAGTGGCCGCCCAATGACAGTACGAGTTGCCGCCCATCACGATCTTCTGCTTAAAGAGTCCTTTGGCAAGAGGCGAGAAAGAGAGAAGGTCGGCGGCGGCGGCTCCGGCAGACTGGCCGGAGAGGGTGATGGCGTCGGGGTCTCCGCCGAACGAGGAAATGTTGGAATGGGTCCATCGGAGCGCCTCGAGCATGTCGTACAATCCAAAGTTTCCGGGACACACATCGTCCCCAGTCGAGAGAAATCCGAGGAAGCCGAGACGATAATGGCAAGTGACCACGATGATTTCTCGCGAGACGAGAAGTCTGCAGATGTTCTTGGGAGTGTATCTCTCAGCCGAATCCATCATATATCCCCCTCCGTGAATGTAGAATAACACTGGGTACTTCTGAAATGATTTCACTCTAAACCTCTTCCTCTCCGCCTCTCTCTTCCCACCTTGTCCTCTTTGATTTGAGGCGCAAACACGTTGAGATAAAGGCAATCTTCGCTCTGATTCGCCCTTGGCAACGCCTTGTCCCACGGCATTTCTTTGTGAATCGAGCGGTTCGGGTACTTTGTGCACTTGCGGATACCGTCCCACGCGAGTGGAGGTTGTGGTTTCTGCAAAACGTTCGTTTCTGATCAAGCTCATCGTCCCCCAAAAACCCCAAAAACTGTGACCGCACTCATCAGTTGAAGGTCACTTTCAATGACCACTAGAGGAGAGGAACTGTCTAGAAGATTTCGAAGAATTCGGCAAATTTCCTATCAATAAGCGGCCGACGCCAAACTGGTTCGTACCTGGAAGCGAAGACGTCCAACCGGCGGCTCTGCAAACGGAATTCCGAGGAAAACGTCGCACGGTTTACCGTCCGGGTTACTGACTCGGTAGCCTTCGAGAAGACCCTGCTGGACTCGGACTATCTATAAATGGCAGCATTATTATAATTATAGTTCGCGACAAGAACGCAACTCACCTTATTATCTTCCCTTCCAGTTTTGAAAGTGGAGAAGCACGATCCCATATTGGAAGGATTGCTCGAAGTTCGAACACGAGCTGAAAATAGGATCGAATCAGAAACTGAGTAGCATTTCAAGCCGAATCTCTAATGCTCCCCCACTTACCCGAACGCTTTTTCATAAGTAGCTGCGGCATTTTGAATTTGATTTTGGAATTCTTTTTTCGCTGCTTCAGATGCAGTTTCTCGGTTCTCGGAACCGGTCCAAAATGATAGTAAGACAGCGGTGGATGCTCGCCGATCCGCGGGCCCTTTAAATAGCACCACGCCGGCAAAAAATTCGGTGTCGTGAAATACATGGGCGGAGATTCTTGACGGAGAGAAGGGGCTGAGAGAAAGAGGGAGAAGAGACGCAGAGCGACGACGTCTCCGGTGATTTCTGTAATGACGGACGGCAAATAACAAGAGACGGAGAAAAAATGACGGAGGAATGACTTGCGGGTCAGATGGACGAAGAGTCAGCGCCGGTGAAAATAGAGGAAGACAAACTAGACGCGCACTTTTTTGTAGTACGGTCACAAATACAGACTAACTTCGTCGATCTAGATGTGATTTGGTGATCAGGATACAAAGTTGGGAAGAGAAAAGAAGGTAATATCAGAGTGAAGGACTCAATAAGCTTCTTGTCTTGAAAAAATCCACAAGCAGTTCGGCTACGCCTCCCATGTTTCAAACTTTTGAGAACTTTGCTCTTTCCAGATCAATGACATTTCAATAGATGTTCAGATCGTCATCAGTGTTTATTTTCAGCAAAAGTGCATATTGTGATGATGTAAGTATTGTTTTCAGCGTTCTATACCATCACATGCCCGCCTCTACTGCTGCACACATTTCGACGGACTGTTGTTGCAGTCATTCCCTTTTGTTGCTTGTTTTTCTCGAATGTCTGGGGACCACTTTGTGGGCTACATTTCCTTCGATCCCTTCCCGATCATAGCCTAGGCTAGACTGGTAAACAGGTTCTCAAATATACACTACAGTTGGCAATTGTAGTTTGTGCTCAGGATGACGGTCCCAGCGACCAAAATGGAGAGGGTGGAAGAAGATGATATCTGAGATGCCGTCACTTTTTTTCGCACTTTCCTCTTTTTGCAAACGATGACGTGGCATGCTTCCGAAACACATAATCGTCAGGGGAACACATTCATACTTATGGGAATTCCCCCGCATTGACCAACCGGCCAACACTGTACGATCTTGGAATTTGTGTGGTAACCGTCCGTACTTTCGACAGAGAACGGATGTTTTTAATTGTCAGGTAAGAGGCGAGAAGATGGTGGAAAACCAGATGATACCGGCACAGACAAGGTGTTTTGATAGCACTGCCAACGGATGGACAAATATATTTAGCAAAGAAGGACGAAAACATATTTGGAAGAATATGTGCGACCTTTGACTGAAAAGGCTTAAATCCAGCAAGAATGAGGTTATTGTTGTGAAAAGTGGCTTAAAGAGAAAGAAGTGTACGATGACTGAGGACGAAAACGACTGATATTGCGGCAGATCGGGCGGGCGTCGACACGAGAGAAGCAGAAGACATTAGCGGCTTCTGTTGGCAAAATGCAAAAAAAAAGCAAACTGGAAAGGAGAGAGAGGAAAGACGGCGAGAGAAGGAGACTGTGTAGGTGGAGGAGATTGGGCTCCTGCTGTTCCACTTGCGTTCCCACTCCTTCCATCAACTGACATCGTTTGTCGGGTTTCGGTTCAACGCGTCTGTAACCATAACTGACTTCGTCGACATTCTCGCACTTTCTACTCGATGTCACGTCATCTCCTCGCATTCCTTCAAAACGACAGATGATCAGACGACTACTGGTAGAATGTAGGCTACGATTCCAATTTCGATTTCGACTTTGAATCCATCCAAAAATTTGCAAAGAAGTAAGATGATGATAAAGAAGAAGAGGAAGAAGAAGAAGAAGAAACAGACGATGACGGGGGAATGGACGGCAGAACAGCGGAAGAGAGGTGGCGGCAGGCGCGGAACCAGTCCGCCCGGCCGGCTAATCATAACTTCTTCGCTTTACTTTCTCCCCCTTCAACGACGTGTTTTCGCCCATTTGTCATCCGCAAAAAAGCATCGACCGACCAGCGAAATTAATTATCAGAGAAAAATGGCGAAAAACAGAACAGCGGGTCGTCGATTAGTGGGTGTTCCTCTTTGGTCTCTAGGACGACAATAGAACGCAACATTTCTTTTTACATGGATTACCTCCTACTGATTCGGATATCAAAAGATTTTGAGATTACCCATCCCTTGTCTCCTTCCTCCTTCGAAACCAAACCGGTTCGGATCGAGGAAGGCAGATTTATTTGCCAAAAATATTTGACCCTGGCAGAAACGGAACGAAACGAGTTTGTTTGAAACTAGAGGAAATTCTCAACAAAATCACGAAATCAAATGACAGTTCGAGGTCATCGCCAACTGGTCGGTCCCGCTCATGATAACTAAAAGCCTCTTCTCTACTCTCGTCGAAAACGACGAGAATTGAATTGAAAGAAGGAAGAAGAAGCAGAAGAAGAAAGCGTCATTTGATATGGAACGGGGTCAATGAGATTCAGTCGGTTCTCGGCCCTCCTTCCGGACTTCCAATGGTAACAAGAAAGAATAGACCCACCTGATTGATATTAGTTTGAAGAGTTTAGTATAGAAAAAATGTGAGTTTTCGTTTGAGTAACTCTTCGCAGCCGTAGCCTGACAACCGAGTTCGCTCTCTTTCTCACTCTCGCGCTCTTTTTCCTCTCACGGGTCGATAGAATGGCTGTTTACGTGCACCAATGCGCAGGTGCTTGTGCTCCTTTTCACACTCCTTTCCATACATGTTCATGGAAATGCTCTCTTTGTGATCGAATACAAAAAAGCTTTGATGGCAATGGGTATAGCCGCATAGAAACTGGAAACAAGAACACGGTTGCGTAAAGTCTGGTTTATTCAAAAAATCGTTTCAACATCCGTCTTTTTTAATACTATCGTAAATTGTATAAATGATGGGTTTGTATACTTCGTCGGTGGCTCTCAGTCCAATTGCAAAGTCAAAATGAGTAAAGTGATCCAGTGCGATGACATCTTTGAGCCCTGATCCGTAATTCTTGACAATGACATCTCTCGCATCCTGTTCATCAGCTATCTTGTCATCTTTCCTGAAAAACAATGTGTACATCATCCAAGTGCTAATAAATTTACCCCATGTAAAGATAAGTGTCGGCCACAATGTTGGAATAATTGAACAACGGAGCGTTCGGTTGACCGTAGGCCTCCAGATTCCTTTTCGATCCCAAATCCAATCTTCCCAACTGATGATACTTGAACACTTGAACCCAACTGAGCAGGTTTAATGTGGAAGTCACTGAGGGAAAGTGATCGAGATAAATGGAAATTCTCGAGCTGTTGAACTGCCCCAACAACTCCCATCCGCCTCCAATATCCAAGATCAGCGTACAGATGGGCTCAATTGTCTTCGAAGAGCACAGCTCGCCCACTAGGCTCACCAGTTGGGAGGGAACTGTGATTGGTAAAATTCCAATTCTCCCGTCGAGAACTACTTGAATTAGCTCTTGGATTTGCTTGTTCTCCAGCAGATCGAATGGGAAGAACGGTTTGAAGAAGCCTCCAGATGGACCGAGAGCGAAGAATCCTCGCACTTTCTTCTGCCACTGAGGATCGGCCTCAGCTAGTCGGAGGAACATGACCGTGGTCCCTTGACTGTGTCCGACGTAGAAAAGGGATTCTTGCTTTGTCTCCTCCAGAATGTACTCTATTTGCTGGCGAAGATCATAATGAGCGTGTTCGTACAGCCTGAGATATTATCGTTAAATTTCAAGTTGTTCAGTTGATTCTTACGAAAAATTCCAGAATCGTTTGTCACTCGGTTTAAGAACTGTGTGGTTTCTTCCGTACCGTGTGCCACGGATATTCGCCAGCCACACATCGAATCCGGCATCCGCAAACACAAAAGCTGCACTTTGAGAGGGAAGATTCAGAACGAACTGATCCGCAGAACTGAACAGTCCGTGCATGAACATTACCACGGGACGGACTTGGCAGCCATCGATTGTCCGAGCTGAAAGGGGTTTTATTTCAAAGATACAGGAAACAGGAAAAGCGAACAAACCATCTCTCCCGACTGGAATTCGCTGCATCTCAATCGTGTATCCATCGTCCGTCGTGACTTGGTGTTTCTCCACTGGGTACTCGTAGTAGGAAATCCATTCGCTCTGAACTTATTCTTAAATGAGGGGCACAACTTTTTGCACTCACTGCGTTCAAGCGTTCCTCTAGACTGTGAAGATCCACATTTGATATCAGAAACAGGAAAACAGATAAAAGTTGCTGCACAGTCCTCATTATGTGTATCATTCACTCTAATTATCGTCTTCTCTTTTATAATAGTCTTTAAGTGTAGTTGAGCACGTGGCGACAACAAAAAGGACAAGATTAACAACTGATAATGTGAGCTGTCTGACTGTTAAGACTACATTTTACTTAATGAACAATAGACATGTGTTCTTCGATTTACACTCCCGCGTGCTCATTGATCAGAAAGTTCCCAAAACAGAACAGAAAACTTGGAGAAACCGAAGAACAGACTGTACAATCCGCTGGTTTGTTACGTTGAAACAGAAGGTATGCTTGGAATGCATCCCCTGCAGCCGGAACGGAGCCGGACATCTGCACTTGTGTTTTGATTCATCATGTTCTGTTACAGGTCAACTTTACGGAGTTGATTATCGAGAGAGCGAGCGGCACGAGCCATGTGGGCCGGATGTCAAGTACTGCCAGAGGATTAATGTTTGAGTGAGTTTCAGTAACTCTTCGCAGTCGTCGGTGGACAACCGATTCCGCTCTTTTTCCTCTCACGGGTCGCTAGAATTATATGTTCTTTCTTTAACGAACTATTTAACGAAATATGGAGAACTATTGAAAGACGCAGTTAACTTACCGAGTCTCGAAACGTTCGCTTACACATCCAACGATCAATTGGCGCTTGGGAGACCAACGTATTTTGAGTACCAGGAAAGATCGACTGCCTCCTCAATCGTTGGAAAGCGGAGGAATCGAGGGCCTCGTAACATAGTGAGTTTCTTATTCCAAATTTCACAAACGGCAGGAAACATTCGGCGAACGCAGTTTCGAACATCTGGAAGACCTTGCTGACAACGGACAAAGTAGAAGTCACACATCGCTTTTTCAAAAGAGGCTCGGCAAATCTTCTATAGGCGAAAGGTGTGTCATCCGAGAAAATAAAGCAAGAAGTCGTTAGAGATGAGATACCGGACTGCGCAGATATCTGACGGATGTACCAACGGCTCAAGAAGTGTCAAGAGTAGAAACAGTGATGGCGGGGATAGACGAAGCTGAGTCCGATAAGGACGAATGATAGTTATTCGATTTGTGTGTTCTGCAAATATAGAATCGGTTCAATAAGTCGGTTACATCCTATCCCTGTTTGTTCGTTGGTAACTTTCGCAATATCACATGTGATACTGTGGATTTAGACTTTAGGCTAAGTTTTCTCGAGTTTCAGAGGTCGGCAGCAAAATTAAAGAACATGTCTTCAATGTTCTCGTTGAGATCTTTCGAACCTAGTGAGCACAGAAACTGAAAACAAAAACACGGTTGCGTAGAGTCTGATTTATTCAGGAAATCGTTTCAACAGCCATCTTTTCTGATACTGTTGTAAATTCTATAAATGATGGGTTTGTATACTTCGTCGGTGGCTCTCAGTCCAATTGCAAAGTCTAAATGAGTGAAGTGATCCAGATCGATGACGGCTTTGAGTCCAGGTCCGTAATTCTTGACTATAGTATCTCTTGCATCCTGTCCATTTGTTATCATATCATCTTTTCTAAAACAAAACAATTTGCGAAATATCCAAGTGCTAATAAATTTACCCCATGTAAAGATAAGTGTCGGCCACAATATTGGAATAATTGAACAACGGAGCATTCGGTTGACCGTATGCCTCCAGATTCCTTTTCGAGCCTAAATCCAATCTTCCCAACTGATGATACTTGAACACTTGAATCCAACTGAGAATGTTCAATGTGGAAGTCATGGTAGGAAAGTGATCGAAATAAATGGAAATTCTCGAGTCGTTCAATTGTCCCAATGACTCCCGACCGTCCCCAAAATCTAACAACACATGACAGATATGCTCAATTGTCTCAGAAGAGCACCAGTCGGCGAATGCGTTCACCAGTTTGGATGGAACTGTGATTGGTGAAATACCCATTCGCCCGTCGAAAACCAATTGAGTTAGCTCTTGAATTTGCTTGTTCTCCAGCAGATCCAACGGGAAGAACGGTTTGATGAAGCCTCCCGCTGGACCAAGTGCGAAGTACGCACGGATCTTCTTTTGCCACTGGTGATCGGCCTCAGCAAGCTGGAGGAACATGAGCGCGGTCCCTTGACTGTGTCCGACGTAGAAAAGGGATTCATGCTTTGTTACGTCTAGAACGTACTCTATTTGCTGGCGAAGATCATAATGAGCGTGTTCGTACAGCCTGAGATATTATCGTTAAATTTCAAGTTGTTCAGTTGATTCTTACGAAAAATTCCAAAACTGTTTGTCACTCGGTGTAAAGACTGTGTGGCCTCTTCCGTACCGTGTTCCACGGATATTTGCAAGCCACACATCGAATCCGGCATCCGCAAACACAAAAGCGGCACTTTGAGAGGGAAGATTCAGAACGAACTGATCCGCAGAACTGAACAGTCCGTGCATGAACATTACCACGGGACGGACTTGGCAGCCATCGATTGTCCGACTATCTCTCCCGACTGGAATTCGCTGCATCTCAATCGTGTATCCATCGTCCGTCGTGACTTGGTGTTTCTCCACTGGGTACTCGTAGTAGAAAATCCATTCGCTCTGAACTTATTCTTAATTGAGGGACACACCTTTTTGCACTCACTGCGCTCAAGTGACTGCGCTCAGCACTGCCAAGTTGAACATCTGATATTAGAAACAGAAGAACAAATAAAAGTTGTTGCACAGTATTCATTATTTGTACCATTCATTGTATTATTCGTATTCTCTTATATAGCAATCTCTCAATGTACTTAGTTGAGCACGTGGCGAAAACAAGAAGGACAAGACTGATAATTTATAGTGTGAGCAGTCTGTATAGTAAGACTACATTTTAGTTGATAGCAGTGATGGGCAATTGGTCGACACATGCTTTTCGAGGGCCTGTCTGCGCTTTGGCTTTTAACCCATTTACAATATTTTGATAGGATCTACTGTTCTGTTCTGGCTTCTTGAACTTGGATTACAGTATTGTAGGTCCAAGTTTCAGATCGGTCGGATGATCTGGTCCGGACACAGAGTGAATTCGCAAAAACCAGGGAGTTCAGATCCTAAACCAGTTTATCTCGGGACCAAATAATCCAATCGGGCTGATACAAGTCCAAGAAAGCCTCGAAAAGCCCGGGTGCCCAGCCCTGCTTCGGGTTTCGCTCATTGATCAGAAAGTTGCGTTTTCCAAAAACTGCCACGCTTATCGTTTGCCTGCCTGCCTGCTTCCCGCAAATGATCGGAGCCACGCGTTTATCATAAAATCAATTTACAACCATCTCACTCTGCCCTTCACACTCTTCTTCCCTTCTCTCGGATGTCTCCTCTTCGTCCTCTTTTCCTCTTTTCTCTCTTTTCTTTATGCCTTTCGAATTTCGTCCAAAACAGAACACAACACTTGGAGAAACCGAAGAACAGACTGTACAATCCGCTGGTTTGTTACGTTGAAACAGAAGGTATGTTCGAAATGCATCCCTGCAGCCGGAACGGAGCCGGATATCTGCACTTGTGTTTTGATTCATCATGTTCTGTTTCAGGTCAACTCTACGGAGTTGATTATCATGAGAGCGAGCGGCACGAGCCATGTGGGCCGGATGTCAAGTACTGCCAGAAGGTCACCGCTCACTTCAGTAAGCGCTTTTCCATTTCTGTGCGCCGAACTGCAGACGTTTTCTTTTCAGTTGCCGCTGGTGGAGAAGTGACAAAGATCCGAATGAAGGGATGCGACACCGTCGCCCTTCTTCCGCACTTTGCCGGTTTAGAGTGCAAGGGAAACGGATGCGCGGAACGGTCGGAAGGCGACGAGATTTACAACGTGTGCTGCTGCAACTCGGAGGAGTGCAATCCTGCCGTCAGAAGAAGTAGCTCCTTCCTCGTGACCGCTTCCTTTCTTATCACACTCTTCATTTCCTCCTAACTTCTGTTCCTATGATGATTTTATGACTGCCACGCCAACATTTCCTCTGACTTTTGATTACGTTGTGATACGGGACTACACAATAAAGTTTATTTTATGGTAGGCAGGTGATCGGTCAAACTGTTTATTCAAGCTCAACCATTTCAATAATCGCTTCTTGTTCATTGTTTCAAAGACACGATTATAGCCAAAACACCGAGAAAGACTAGAAAGACAGCTCTGAAAATAGTCTGTCAGTTGGGAAACTTGAAATAGTAAACTAACAAGGCGATGAAGATGTACCAGTCGAAACAGCAGTCCGTTCCACAGAATCTTTGCCACTTCCAGCACCCAAACATCAATGATTTTACGGGAGAGTCATCACGGAATCTGGAACAAGTTGATTTGTGGACGCTTTAATTTATCAAAAAACATTCTCGGGTACAGATGCATGATGCTGTTCTCTGAACTGTTTTTTAATGTTTCACTTACCTGATCAGGCACAGCATGATGCATGAAAGGAATCAGCTGCTCCCTTTTTTGAGTGTTTGCTAAGAATGCTCTACAGGTGATTTCCAGTAAATTACTTCCTGCTAAAAATGCAACTTTCCAAACAAAAAGAAAAGAAACATTCATTTCTTCAGATCGCAAAAGCTTATCAAGATGGAGGACAATTGAGACAGATACAGGTCTCCCCGACGCAAACCGTTCCGGCACAATGCTGAAAAAACGCAAGTGTCTACAATAGTAGAACATATTTCTTACTCTGCTCTTGCAAGGACAACTACTTTCACAGTCGAAAGCTCCCAACGGCTCCGTTCGGTTCGATCCTTCCGGCTCAGACACCAGGTGCAAGAACTGCTTCTGCTTCGCAACAGCTGGACACAAACAGAGGCACACTCCGTCGGAGCACGATCTCGCCGAGCAATTCTGAAAACGTTACTTTTAAAATTGAAATTGACATTTGCTGAAAGTATACCGTGTCGTTGCATTTGTTAATGCACTCGAAAGAGCACTGCAGAGAGACGGCGACAAGGCAGACGACGAGTGAAAAGAGCTTGAAGAACATGGCCAATCAGTGTCGTTCTTCTGAATTCTCACTTTTTATAGGAGCCTTTTGATAAGAAACATCCTGTTTTTCGGATGTTCTGCTCATCGTTTGATTGTCTTTCGCGTCACTATTTTGATTGAAAGGAATCAAAAACAAAATTTCATAGATACGCTGTTGTAATATCAAAAATCAAACTTATTATGATAAGTAACAACCGAAAGTACATGTATTTTCCATTCATTATGTTCGCACTTACCCTGTTCCCATGTCTGATGAGTCACGAAGTGAAATGAGAGTCACGATTCCCAGGCTTTCAAGCCAATGCTCATAGTCAGAAAACCAACATCATCTGTGTAATCTCTTGTGTAACTTCATTCTTTTTTTTTCTTTTCTAATCTCACTATTTTCCACTCGCAGTTTCTCCCTCATCTCAATACACTCCGACCAAAAATCTAGCCACCTTACCTTCCAATTATTATTTTCAGTTCAACCCAATTAAAAAAATACTCCGAATAGCAGCCGCCCCTCGGCGGAAGTCGCCCACAATAAACGTGCTCATTCGCACCCTCCTCCGCTCCAGAAATAATGTCTCGAGAGGGCGCGAAAAGCTCAGACGACATGCTCGACGAGCCGACGTACGCCGTCTTCTACGCCGTCCTCGTCGCCATCAGCGACCTCTTCTCCGTCTTTTTCATCTTTACAGTGCTCACCAAATCGACCGCCGATATGAAATTGTATAAAGTTGTAATGCTCAAGTTAGCTGTGAGTTGTACTTTTCGAAATAATGGTTCAATGGTCCAGTTGTTTTTTAGATTTGTGAATTTCTATTCAACATTTCTGTTTCAATGCTTGTTATTCCTGACCTTTTGTGTCCTCTTCCGGCGGTGGCGGTCAGGAGTCCTATCGGAGGACTCAGTGAAACCCACGCATTCATCACCGTAATCCACTCAATTCAATCCAAACGACAACTCACTTCCCCTTCTCCAGATATCTGTCACCGTCGCGACCGCAATCACTGTTTTCACCTCCATCAACGATTGCTGCTTCATCAGAGTGTGCATATTTTATCAGTGGAACTCTTTTCTGCAGAAAGTGTACACTTTGCGCGGAGCACTCTTCTCAGTGCTCGGCAATGGCGTCGCAGTGCTCCTGATCGTAGTGGCTCTCTGGCTCGCAGTCAATACTAACAAGGTATATATTTTTGGATCGTCAGAACTGAAATAAGCGGGCAGCTGAAATTGAGATCAAGAGTTATCACTTGTAGGAGTTCCTGGCTTTGGTGGCCGCGCAAAACATGACGCCCGCCCTCGGAGCATACGCTTTCCAGCCGGACACTGTCTACTTCTACGTGGATATCTGGAGACCGCAAGTGCTCCCCTTGATGACCGCTGTGATTCTGGGATTGGCGGGAATCCATACTATGAACCTGCTGGCTTCCAGATTTGTTTGGAGGGAAATTGCTACTCGAAAGAAGAACATGTCCGTCAAGAGTTACCAGAATCACAGACAGCTCACGTTGCTTGTACTTTTCCAGGTGAGGAGACCTGGTTATTTTTCTTGTACCGATGCTTCTTCAGAATCTGGCGCCTGTTGCCGCCCTCTCAATTCCCCTGATCATTGTCACATTCTCATTTCTGATGCGATACGAGTCGGATACATTCGCAGAACTCGTCAAGCACTTTGTCACTTTCACTGTTGCCATTTACCCTGCTCTTAGCGTTGCTTTAAGGTAAATTCCCTGAGGCTTTATCTAGTTGCACGTAATTTCATTTCAGTTTTTTCTTCATCACGCCGTATAAAAAGTTTCTAATCTCTGTGTTCTGCACTTTTCCGCTCCGTCGACCTTCTCACAAGATCTCTGATGTTCGGATAAGCAGCAGGAAGGAATCAGTGGGAAATGAGTCATTCGATAGTGTCGGGTATATCTGACTACAAGACTTTTGAAACCGAGGCCGTGAAGAGTTATATTAATAAAAATGATATGAATGATTGCTTTATCTATTAAATGAAATTGAACGTGTTTTCTTTATTTCCCCTCTCTTCCTTCCAATTCACCACTACTTCTTGCTGTGCTCCTTTTCCACAAGATCCAGAAATGCATCATAGTTCAAGAACACATCCTTATTCCCCGCCTCGTCCGGATTCTGAATCATTCGGGGCGTGAGAGCGCTTAAGATCACATTCTCACCAGCAACTTAGACTTTTGGTCCGTGATCTCTTTTTTGATCACCATGCAAGCGTAGCACTTTCCAAAGTTATCCTCAATGCAATCCCCGCAGAAACTGGACTGGCACTTCGGGTCCGAGCAGTAGAACAGTCTGTTCGAATGCGCCTTCTCCTGACATACCAAACATTTGGCCGTCTTGAAAATGCGCTCAAAGACATGCCGTTGCAGGAACGATCCTCCAGCCGAGAACTGTCCCTTGTTCAAAGTCTCAATCCGCTTCCGTTCCACCATGAATCTGATCCGAGCTCTCGCTGCTTTCCTATGCTTTTCCCTGTCAGTCAGACACTTGTTATAGAACTGAATGAGCCGAACTCTCGATCGTCGCGGGAACATGTACGGCAGGAAATAATTGAGAACTATGCGTCGGATGGCAAACGAGAAAACGACCTGAAGTTGCGAGTGGACGGTGAGAGCCCGAACGGGATGAAAACCTGGAAAAGAAAGGAGAGAATCAGAGGGAGAGCCAGCCAGTAGATCAGAATGTTCGTGTTCGGAGCCAGTGGTTTCATGAGACAGTGCTCATTGGACAGGGTCTGAAGTGCTTTCTGTTTCTCTCCGCTCTCCGTATCCCACCAACCTGATCAATCTCCAAAGTCTCATTCGTCGACGTCATCGTCTTGAGAAAATCCGCGATCACGCCGTCCCCGGATATGTTGAGTCCAGCGGGCGCACTTGCTTTCTGCTTAATCTGCTGACGAGCAGAGTCCACCACCTGAAAAGCACTGGATGAAAAAAGGAAGGCAAAGGCTCAAGAAGACCGAATCGAGAAAAGCGAACAGATAATAGTCGAGGATAATGATAACGGCGACGGTGACCGCCAGAATAAACCACTTGAAGAACGGGCGGACGGCTTTGGAGCGCTCGGCTTTTGTGGGATAACTGAGTGAGAATAAGAGCACGTATTGATGAGAAAGAGTTACCTGAAGACCTCCATAATATTCCATTCCCTACTTTCTTGCTTCGAAAAATGGGACAAATGAGTTTGACCTTGAGATTTCCGGAAGTTGTCAATCATCCAAAACTCACTGAAAACGTTCGATTTCAAAACAAAAAACTAGGAAAAGGTGAAACTTGGTGACGAAAGAATTGGCGAACGTCACATCTTCTTGATATTTTCGAATCATTCCGACCGAATCTCGGAAGATTGTGTAGACAAAATAGACGAAGAAGGCTTGAAAAATCTGTTTTGATACTCCCACAATACTCTGAAAGGTAGAGGGAATGTGTTGGAGGTAAAAGTAGAGGGAAACCTTAAAGTATATTCCAGCTTTTCTGATCTTTATCTTGAGATCGGAAAGTCTGTACTCGATGGCAACTCGCGGGGTCTCGACACGAACCGAATGCAGCTCGATCTTGCTGTCCTCTTCCAACTGCTCCGTTAGATTCATCACATCCATTAGGTCCTTCTCGACCGACGGATCCACGTGGCTATCGTCCAACTGATTACGGCAGATACTCAGAGATTGTACCCTTCGTTCGACCGCCTCAATTACTATTGTCTAGCAGGCAGGCGATCTGATCGGACTCACGTTGCAAATGCCTTCCACATTCAATTTAGGACAAATGAATGAGTCGATCGGCCAGACGATGGCATCTTTGCACGACGTCTGAAAGAAAGAAAGAATCTGAATGTGAAGCCGATCAGAACGATACCACCAACTCAGAAGCCAAGTTTCTGCACTTATCAATGCCCTTGTTGAACATCTCCTCGCAGTTCTTCGACAGTTTATCAGCAATCTTCTGAACCAACGGCGTCTTGAACTTTTTCCAAATTGGCGGCGCTCCGATCGTCACGTTCTCAATCATCTCTTCCGCGGGCAGAAGCTCTCCGGCGATCTCATCCTCTTCCGTCAGCTGTCTATTCATCGCCTTCTCCCACATTTTCAGAATCTTCTGTTTCCTCTTCTCAATGTCTTCCAGCTGCCCTCTCTCGATCTCCGCCTTCTTCTCCGTCTTCATTTTTTCGCTTTTCAACAGCTCCAGAAACGGAGTCATCAACGCTCTCGTTTCTCTTGAAACCGCCTTCATCGCTCGGATTCCTTTCGCTGAAAGTGGATTTGTGGACGAGATGAGCAGTCCACGCAGTACCCATAAGTTTTTCGATAAGCTCTTCCAAGGGACCGCTCAAGAGTGCCACTCTATTCGCAACAATTTTAGCTTGAAGGTCAATGTGACAAACGACAATTTCAGAAGTGGTTTCGTAGTTGGCGAGCATGTTGGAGACGGGCCCTTCTTGAAGGTTGCTCATCACGAGCATCGTAAACGGATCTAAAATTACTTTTCAGCTGATTAGTGTGTGCTCTCTCTCTCTCACATTGTCCCTGTTTTCCGAACGCACCAACGAGGACACAGAAAAGAGCACAGCGGAATGTCTGGAAAGAAGCGGAAAGTGAATGTTTCACTTGTTAGGTTACCGGACTGATTGTGAACGCATACGTGGAAAACGCAATGATTGTCCACTTGACCAGCAGCCCGTACGTATAATCAAAGTCCCCGAAATTCAGATTTTTCCATCCAGCATGATAGAGCGACGAAGAAATGAGTAGGCCGAGGATAGAGTTCACAAAAAGACGAAGGCGGTAGTAGTCGGTCACCTCACTGCAATTCCCCTCTCATCCCCGCCTTCTCTGCCTGTACCCCTCACCTGCGAACCAAATAGTCGGTGACAAATCCAGTGCCCTGTCGTGTTCGGATCTCTTCTCGTTTCCGATCATGGAAGAACCCCATCTCGGCAATATTCACTCCGTCCCACGTTATTGTTGGTTGACAGCGAAGGAGGAGGGCATCACGTTCAAACACGCGCGGCACCGTTTCCATGGATCCTTTGCCTCGGACAAAGGATGGGCTAATTGTGCATTCGTCCCGTCTCCATTCGATCCCAACCCCAATCCTTTTCTCAGTTTCGTTTCGTTTTCTGCGATGACTGCGGACAAAGTGTGCGGATGTAATGTTGTCACTTCTGCCGGAGTCGTCACCAGTCTCCAGGTACTCATGCTCTTCCTGCTCCTCTTCAAGCCAGTCCGTTTTCTTTTTCAGTTGATAGTTCTCGTTCTTACCCTCTCAAGTACCGGTCTCATTCTGGATCGTTACCGCATTTGGCAGACGACATACCCTCAGACTCAGTACAATGCGACTGCTCAGGCAGCTGCTGTAAGCGAGCTGTTCATTTCTGAAGTGAACAGTATACATTCCAGAATGGTACGCTCAAATTCAATGCGACAATCTGGAGCGAGGCGTGGGTCGAATTGGGAATGGCTTGGTACGTGGGCTTCGGATCGTACTGGCTCTTTTCCATTCTCATCCTCGTGCTCTCCTTCAAATACTATCGACCCGTGTTCGTCATCCCCAACTTCACCGCTCTCGTCGTCGGAATTTTCATGAATCTTCTGGGGTTTGCCGTCCTGCTCGCCCGCATTCTCGACGTTTCGAAGGATTACCGGACCGATGAGTACGAAGAGGCGATTATCATTTATGTGATGGGTCTGTGCCTGTTTGCATGTCTCTGCTGTCTCTTTTTCATCTGCTTCATCTGCAAATATCATAATTTTCTTCGCAACCGATACGGACATCAAGTACCAAAGGTAGGATGAATCCTTGGATCTCTTGGGGAACTTTTTCGATGTTTCAGTTTGTTCAACCTCGAGCACGGACTGGATATCATGACGAAGCATACTGATAAATTTATTTCACACTCGATAAAGACTGTTTCATCGAAGCTTATCAAACATATACACTTTTAATCCAGAAACACAACACATAGTGCTTTATAAACCGAAACACAAGTTTGAGTGACAATTTACAGACACGACGACCCGTCCCAATGCGCTTTAAATCTTCTTCGTCGTCACTAGTTTGTACTGATCGGCCGCCGTGTTTTCCTTGCTTTGCATGTGGCTCAGGGACTCGTAGATGATCTTGCCGTCGCTCAACGGAACTAGAGAAGTTGAACGGCCCCAGACGATGTCACCGTTTCCGATGAGGTCGTCAGCTGAAAACAAATTAGCATAAGAATCAGAATACGAAAGGATTTAAAAGAAACCTTTGCTCCAGAGACTGAACACATACGACGCCTCTTTCTTCTTCGAATTATTAATTTCCATTAGAATATGAGAATAGGTGGATAGGCCGTTGCAGGGAACGGCGGACAGTCCACAGTACGTGGAAGTGTACGCACCACAAGCGTCTCCAGGCCAGAAGCCGTTCTTCTTGTTGCACGTGGCAGAGAAGAGGCCGAGAGTGCCAGCACAACTGCACAGACCGTAGTTGGCTCCTGCGATCGCCACGAAAACATCGATCTTGGCGCTGATGGACTCTCCGAGGTTGCACTCTCCGTCCGAGGCGTTCACCGCGCCGCCGTGAATCAGTTTTCGGCCGAGAGTCACTCCCATACTGTGGCTGACCACCGACACTTTCGCCGCTCCCGTATAGGCGAGAACTGCCTCGAAGAACTTGCGAAGGCGTGTCAGATCCTTGCAATTGTGGGTGCGAGTGCCCGCCTTCGCCGCACTGTTATCCTGCCAGGAAGTGGCGTAGAGCTCGGCGGTCGTGTAGCCCTGCTTCACAAAGTACGCGACCGAGTTGTCCCATCCAGTCGCAAAAACCGACGTTTCAAGAGCGCTGTCCGAGTTGCCGTGCAAGAAGATCACTGGAGTTTTGGAGGCCTTCGTGGTCGTGTTCGAGAATCCTCCGAAGCTTCCTTTGGTACCATAGTCGCTCCGAACAAAGTCATATACTGTGTAGTTCTCGCTAAAACCTTTTGTATTCTCATCATTACAAAGAAAACACTGAAAACCTTGTGAGCCAGTTTTGGAAATCCTGAGTAAGTGGTCCAGTGAAGGTCGCAGACGCCGCAGTGCAGACGAGAAAAGAAATAACTGAAAAGAGCATGACAAATGGTGTGGAGCACACATTGGCTTTTCTTTTATATATGCTCGGAGCACATGGTCATGTGTTATGAACTGTGTCTTGGACACTGATAACCCACGAAATGTGGAGGCGCGAAGCTGCTCTTTGCATTCGAGCGGGTGGCATCGGAAGGCGGAAATCGTCATAGATAATCGGTGGAGTGTGGGTGGGAATGATGTCAACGGACCAGAGATGTTGGGAATTCCGTGTTCCGTGTTCCGTGTTCCGTGTTCCGCGTTTTTTTGCAATATTTTTTCCGTGTTCCGTGTTCCGTAAAAATTTTCCGTGTTCCGTGTTCCGTGTTCCGTAGAAATAAGTTTTTTTCCGTTTTCCGTGTTCCGTGTTCCGTATTTCCGTGTTCCGTGTTCCGTGTTCCGTAAAAAAATTTTCCGTTTTCCGTGTTCCGTGTTCCGTAGAGTAAAATTTTTATTCCCAACATCTCTGCAACGGACACGGCAGAGGTAGGAAGACGTGGGTTGATGTTGCGAAGTTTTCGACCATCAATTTCAAAGATCTGTAAAACACGTGACAGCTCTTTTTTTCCTGCTCACTTTGAAAATTTTAAGCGAAAATAAACAACTTTATCATCAGTTAAAATAGGACAAGGCAAATATGGATTTTTGGCAATTGTGGCCCTAAAGAGGGCCGTTGGGTTCGGTTGGTTGTCGTAGGGAACGAAGAGATAATAGAAATTATCCTCCGAAACCGTAAAGGGTTCTTCCTTGGCGCTTCAAAGCGTAGACGACGTCCATGGCGGTGACGGTCTTTCTCTTGGCGTGCTCGCAGTAGGTGACGGCGTCACGGATGACGTTCTCAAGGAACACCTTCAGGACTCCACGGGTTTCCTCGTAGATGAGTCCGGAGATGCGCTTGACTCCTCCTCTTCTGGCGAGACGGCGGATGGCTGGCTTCGTGATTCCTTGGATGTTGTCACGAAGGACCTTGCGATGGCGCTTGGCTCCTCCTTTTCCGAGGCCTTTTCCTCCCTTTCCACGTCCGGACCAGTGTTGAGCGGAATTCCGTCTGCCGTCTTCCGTCTTCCGTCTTCCGTGGTTTTTTTTGTTCCGTCTTCCGTCTGCCATCTTCCGTGAGAAAAGTTTTCTTCCGTCTTCCGTCTGCCGTCTTCCGTAAAAGAATGTTTCTTCCGTCTGCCGTCTGCCGTCTTCCGGGATTTTTTTTTCTTACCGTAAAAGAGTAATAGCTTTTCAAAAGCCATTTACTAGTCCCGAAGAACGCGAATTTCCACGGGCAGTACCCAGATCCAAAAGTTTTGTTACATTAGTTATTTTTTTCAAAAAAAAACCGGAAAAAAGGCTCTGAATTGACGATTTTTTGTTCCGTATTCCGTCTGCCGTCTTCCGGGAAAAAAGTTTTCTTCCGTCTTCCGTGAGAAAAATTTTCTTCCGTCTTCCGTTTTCCGTGTTCCGTAAGAAAAATTTTCTTCCGTCTGCCGTCTGCCGTCTTCCGTATTTCAAAATTCCATTTCCGCTCAACTCTGGTCCGGACATTGTTGCAGCGATTAATGAAGACTCACAAGTGAGAGAGAATGACGTCGTTGCGGCCGCTTGCATGCGATATTCTCCGGTGCAAGGGGCGGGGTCAGATTGAACCCCTCTGCGGGGACACCTCTTTCTTCTGCCTGTTGCGCGCGCACACTTTTAGCTCCGCCGCCTCACCGCACGCATGTGTCCCCGCAGGGTGGTAGCGACGAGTATAAAAGGAGGGCGTGGCCTTCAATCCGTCACAGTCCAACCTACGTCGGATTTCAATCGATATGGCTCGAACCAAGCAAACCGCGCGCAAGTCGACAGGAGGAAAGGCCCCAAGAAAGCAGCTGGCCACGAAGGCCGCTCGCAAGTCGGCCCCAGCCGCCGGAGGAGTCAAGAAGCCTCATCGCTACCGTCCAGGAACCGTTGCTCTCCGTGAGATCAGACGTTACCAGAAGTCCACCGAGCTCCTCATCCGCAAGCTGCCATTCCAGCGACTTGTCCGTGAGATCGCCCAGGACTTCAAGACGGATCTCCGCTTCCAGTCGTCCGCCGTCATGGCCCTCCAGGAGTCTGCTGAGGCTTACCTCGTCGGGCTTTTCGAGGACACCAACTTGTGCGCCATTCACGCCAAGCGAGTCACGATCATGCCAAAGGACATCCAGCTGGCCAGACGCATCAGAGGAGAGCGCGCTTAAATTTCTAGTCTTCTAGAAGTTTGAGTACGTTTCAATTCACCCCTAACCGAACCCAACGGCCCTCTTTAGGGCCACACTTCTAAAAATCCATCATTCCATTCCCGTTTCAAAAATAAATGTCGTTTCCTTTGAATTTGTTAATTCTTCTAAATTTGGAACATGTCACAGTCTGCCTCTAAACTTTGATCTTTGAATTCCATATTCTGGTACGATAATTTATTTAAAAACAAACTCTAGTTGAAGCGTGAATTCTTTCAAAACAACAATGATATTTAGCAGGGACTGTGGGAGACTTCATCCGTTCCGTAGATTTTGTTTTGCGGGAAATGCATCATCTGCTCGGTGAACTGATGACGGTACGCCTGATGCGTCTCGAAGTTGTTGTTGGTTATTAACGATAACAAACTGAAAATGATTGTTTTGCACCTCAATCTGTCAACACTTTCCGTACCGTGGCACATCGTTATTGGCGTCCGGGTAAATTGTAATCAGACTTGAGAACGTGCGGAGCGCCGGGATTCCCTTCAGAATGGTGCCGACGAGAGCGGTGGCCGCTTCGAGCGACTCGGCGTAGAGTGGCGCCAGAATGAGCTCGTTTCCGGTGGCCATTTTGATGGCTCCGAATCCGACGATCTTTCCGGACTCGTTGAGCACAAGACGGGCGACGGTTCCGACGAGAGAGAGGTTCATTCTCATGTACTTTCTGCGGTCGAGATCGCAAATGGTCTCGTCATACTCGTGCAGTTTCTCCCAGTCATTTTCTTCGATTTTCTGAAGGGTTGGAACATGGAAACAATATGAGAAATGGTTGATTACTTTGCAGGTGAACCCGTTTGGAATTGCTGGAATGACAAGATCGGCGGCATCCATGTCGGCAAAGTTGTGCCAGAATTGGTTCATAACGGAAAAGTTAAAGCGTGTAGCGTAAAGGGGCGACATTTCGACGGCTGAAATGAAAAGAACGATCTAGAATGTTCTGGAGCACGAGGTACGAACCTCCGAAAAGAGTACAATTCTTCTTTCCCACATGTTTCATGACCTGTACGAACAGTTTGTTGCTGATTCCCTTCCCCCTCCATTCCGGCACGCAGTAGTAATTGCCGATCGAGTAGAGCTCCTTGCCCTGCGAGTCGAGCTGAAGAGCCAGCGAGACCGCGCTCACCACCTCGTCGTGTTCCTCGTCGATCGCCAAATACAGCCAGAACTTCTCGAACGAGGCGAGCCACAGTTTGTACTCGGCGCGACGGTAGTTCCATCGTTCCGTCTCGGTGATCCATTCCTGCAGTTGGTCAAAGTACTTCTGCGGCGGGTTCACCACCACTTTGATGCCTTTCCGCATGTTTAGGTCTGCAGTCACAACCATCCTCTCGCGTTTCGTTCGTTCGGGTATTGGGATTCTGAAATGAGAGAGGATTAGAATGGCTTGGTACGGTTGCGAGTATTCAGTTGGATTCCAGTCGGGAACTACCATTGGATGGAAGCGAGCATCGGCACAAATGGTCCTGGCATAGACCATTTGGGGGAGCATCTTCTTTAACGACCTATGGAAAAGTGGCGGGATTAGAACACAAAAGGGAGAGGGAAAAGACGAGTCGGATGGTCCGTCCGCCTGCCGCGTCATCCCCGATTTGCCATGATCGACGGCCACGTGGCAACCGGAGGACTTTTCGAGTCTCGACCGAATAGGACAAGGTAGGTCAGAAGTAGGTGCTGGAAATGATAAGGCGTCCGGCGACACGGCTTTATATGCAGGCCGCAGTCCTACCGAAAGTCACGAGACCGGTCCAAATCTGATGATAATGACCGAGGAGAGGGGAGTGTTTGTGTCCCGGCGACTTTCAAGGTTATCGGCGAATCGTCGAAATTATGCTTGCTTGATTCGGGTTGGACTGGCGAAAAGAGCTAGGGAGCAAGAGAGACGCAGACACCGATCGTTCTCAACCGCTATGGACTTTATTTTATTTTCCCCCGCGGAAAAGAGACTATTAACATACTGATAATCGAAATGTTGCCAAATTGGCACAACCACCAATCAGCCGGTCATTTGGCCTCTCGAACATTCCAGAAAGAACTGTTTTTTGAAGTGAACAGGACGGCGTCCAGGAACTGAAATCTGCTGATCCAAGAAGATTCTAGGAGGGGCTTATTGACCATGGGATAAGGGTTCAGAACTTCCAGAAGCTATACAGGACCCAGATGTTTAAACCGAGTAAACAGTTCCTTTCTTTCTCAGATCCTCTAGTTACCAGACCGGTTTGGAATGTTCTCGCTTGCTGCGATTTCTCTGATCTCGCTCATTGAACATTTGACCATCTGGCCGCCCAAAATGACGTCATTCGGTTATTTTGCGGGTTTATTGACCGACCCGCTCGGTTATCACATGTCAATCATCGACTGATAACGCTTTTCTGCATTTGCAGCTCCATATACTTTTTCGCTGACTTTCACTTTTCGAAAATGATGGCGGAGCAAAGAAAAGAGGAGCGGAAGTTAACTGAACGAAAATAGAAGACAGGGACCAAGAAGAAGAGAGTAATAAATAGTGAGTGGAGGAGGGGAACGGACAATGCTGCAGAAAGAAGGGTCCGGTTTCTGGGCAGGGTGTTCCTTTCTGTTTGTTTGGATTCAACTGAACACTCAAAAATGGGAACAGGCTTTTCAAAACAGCGAACAAAAGGTCCAAGCAGTAAGTAAGCATCACTTTTTTCCTTTTTCGCTTTTGTCCGTTCCCTGATCAGGTACATAGAACACCTCAATGTAGCACTCTTCTAGACACGGCGTAGCAACAAAACAAGTGATCAGCATATAAATAGCAGTTCACACCAAAACGTTTCGAGCCGCAGTAACAGAAATACGCAAGTATGGCTGGTAAAGACGGAAAAACCAACCGAAATCGTAGCAAAAGAAAAGTGATCAGTCTGGAATACCGCTTCGTCGCCGAAAAACAAGTTTTCAGTGCAAGTTAAGATCACGTGGGACGGACCACCTAACATGTCTGGCATATCCGATCTTCAGTCTGGCCTTGTCGTAAAAGATTGTCTGGCTCATAAAATCAAAAAGTACAGGAACACTGAGAGTGCGTTCGGTTCGGATTGACAATACTCGTATCCAGAATAAGAGAAAATGAAGGAGCAGGAATTTCTAGGTCGTCTTTCGTCGTGAACAGACCGCCGGACAGTCAAAGTTGTAGTCTAGCCAATTCAGATGTAAACGCTCTTCCCTGCAAGGTAGTTGATACCCGTTGACGATGTATTTCTGCTGATTGAGTATCCATTGGTCACAATTTTGCCTGCTCGTCATATGGATTTGGGTATTCGGACACTGTAGCGACAACGGAAGACGAAAATCATAATTAGGGCCTGATTTGGGACTCATAGTTATTTTCGTCGCCTGTTCTCACTCAAAACTTGCACGTTTTCTCTATCGTCGGTTTTTTGTCGCCGTAGTGGTACTGTTTAGAAACTAGACCAAAACTCAAGAATGACTGGTTTTGGGATGAAATGATCAACTAGTAAATTGTTAAACACAACAATTACAACAACTTTTCAGTTGACCACTATTTGAAATAATAGTTGGATCTCGAGATTTAAGTGTCCAACGATAGGAGGTTTCAGAGTGGGCCGACAGGAAGTGCTTATAGTTAGATGCCCCATATCACGCCCTAATGGTGATTTCTTTTTGACGTACTACACTTTTATGTATCTTTAAACGCTCAATCTTATGGCATAAGTAGCTTGAACACCAACTTAAAGGTTACAGGTTTGGTGGTTGGTTCGTCCACAAAGTTGTGAGCTTTCATTTCTGAAATCGCAAGATGAGTCTCCAAAATTGTCCAAGAAGGCATTCAACATTATTATTGATCCCAAATGATTGTTTCACATGACTTCGAACAACCCAATATTCAGAAAGCTCCCTTCGTCGAGTGATCGGATAATCGTTCGGCCGTACATACGCAGATAATATGTGCTGTTGCATACGTGATACATCACAATTCGCTCTGTAAGCTCAAGCGGAGTTTCGACTTTCTTCGGATTGCCGATAAGCGCACTGCTACCGATAAATCAAACGTTTCGGCTGATAAAGATTGGCCGACTCGTAAATAGGTGGGTGCACACTTTCTTTCCGTCCATTCCCCGATCGATCAATTGTCGGTCTCTTTGTTATTTTGATTCAATCATTTTCTTTGCAATTGTTGTCTGAAACTGTTCTTCTTCTCCTTCTTCTTGTCCTTCTTTCCCGGCTGACGGTTCTTCTCCCTTTCTCGTAAATCTTGCCTCCCTCATTGAGTGTATAAACGCGCGCGTATCATGTCGTATCTCATCGCTCTTCAGTCGGATAATAATGATTTCTGTGAGTTTTTTGTTCAATTTTTAGTCTCAAGTGATTAGGTTTTCTGTCTATAGGAATATGAACAAGGTCCACGATTTTCTTGATGTTGATTGTTAGTTTCTGGAACCAAATCTGGAAAGTTGTGATAAGAGAGAAGAATTTGAGTGGCGCTGATGATGCAAAAATGGGCGTAATTGGTTAGAGCTCCAGGATTTCGGCTCTGTTGAAATGACCTGATCATAACCGAAATTTTCAGGATTATCAGTTGTAATTATCAGTTTGCCCGTTTCAGGATTGAATAGTGTCTCATTAGCCTCATTATCGTAAAAACTGTATTCGAAGGGCACCCCAATACTATTTAATCGAAGCGATATATCTCAGCTCTCAGTAGATATGTCCAAAAGTTGTCAACGAATAAATTGTTTATTTAAACATTGTGTACAGTTTATCAGTTTATCACTTTTTGCTATATGTACTGGCAACTTAGATACATCGTCTGTGAATGGACAGTATTGGGGTGTCCTCCTATTGCATTGTTAACGGTAATTCCCTATCAAAAGTGGTTCAGTTTTTAAACCCGTAAACAATGTCCTATTCCCCCCTCGAAAAGCACTTCTCGATCGTTCACATTTTGTTCGCTCCGTCGTCGGCGTCTCTCCGCAAACATCAAAGTTCGTTGTGTGATCAGAACGAGAGTCTCCGCCCCCAAACAACACGATTCCAGATAAAATGGGCAAGCTGCGAGTGATCGAGAAGCGGTTCGAGTTCGGTCTCCGCGTCTTCTACAACCTCTTTCGTCTGTTTCCGCTCATCTACTCGAGCGTGTGGCTGACGCTCGCCCTCACCGCACTCACAATTGCCGCTTCGGTCGGAAGTCAGTCCTCCTCCTCTCTCCTATACTCAAAGAACGGGATTCGCTGCCAAAACTCCACAAACGGATTTACACTGAATTGCACACAGATGTAATACGTTGTTGGTGTTTTGACAGCTCTCGCCGTTGCTTTTTTCTTACTCGAATTCGAATTCAGATGAGATTGTCAACTATAAAACCGGATACATTCCCGGAAAGTTTTACGTGGCTTTGTTGGAGAAGGACGAGCCCCGCTTCTGGCACCTCTTCTGGGTCGCTTCACTCTGTTACATCGGACTGTGCTTGGTAAAGGGAATTCAGAAGAAGACGTAGAACAAGAAGAGATGAAGAACTACAATTTCCAGTTGATAGCGCTCATGAACTTCTTCTCGTGGTGCCTGTACATTCAGCAGCGGAAGAATCTGGTCGCCTGCTTGCACAGCATTTATTACAAAAACAACTTTTATTATCAGATTAACGGAGTGGACGATCACGGAATTGACAATCCGTGCGTGCATCGTCTTCTGCAACGCGTTTAATTGAATATTTGCAGGGATCAGAGAATCACTCAGGACGCGGATAAACTGACGAAGCTGCTCGCGACGAGCATCATCCCCACCGTCCTGCTCTCCCCGTTCATCATCTCCTATTATGGGGTCCGCACGTGGCAAACGTGAGAAAGTAGAGAAAAGTGGGTGTGGGAACGAATGTATTTCAGGTCCGGCGGATGGGGATTCGGAATGATCTTCGGATACTTCCTCGTCGGAGTCATCATCAACAGAATTCTGATCGGACCGCTCACGCCATGGGCGGCCAGAGTTGAGAAAGCGGAGGGAGACTTCAGGTGGACCCCCAACTCACCGCGATTCATTTTTTCACGATCGAATTCAGATTCAAGCACGTGTCGGTGCGTGTGAACGCGGAAGAATCGACCTTCTACAAGTCTGCTCAGTTTGAGCACCTCTTCTCCGACCTCTCCTTCGACGCGCTCTTCAGAAGACTGTTCGTGTTCATGAGCTGGAGGTTCCCATCCCAGTGTACTGTTCTGCTCAGAAACGTCTGCTCCCTAATGTTCGCCGTTTTCAGTTTTCCAATCATTCTTCGATTACTACGGAGGTTGCATGTCTTACATTCTCCAACTGTTTCCGATTTTCGTCTTCCACATGTATGACAACCTAACGTCTGCTGAACTTTCCGGACAGATTAGTAATGTCAGTGGCCATCCTTGATTCTCGTATTATTCTTGCTAAAATGTCTCTTCAGAACGCATTCATCTTCATTTATCTGATAAATTGCTTCACGAGACTAACCGATTTGGCGATGAACATGGCAGAACTCGGAGGTTATATTATGAGGTTCAGCAGTTATAAATTATAATCCTTCCCCTGTTAATTCAAAACTTTTGTAGGGTGAGTGAGTTCGTAGATACTGGTAAACTGTATGAGAGTGGAATTGAAAACGATGCGTTCCGAAGCAATTCGGTCACGCGCGACAAGTCCTCCGGAGAAGATAATCTGATCGAGGCGGAGCACGTTTCGTTCGGGCCGCCGACCAACTCGAACAATCGCATTATCGAGAGTGAGCTGTCCGCCCAAGAGGATCATCCCAAATCCGTTTTTCCATTGCAGATTTGACATTCAATTTGCCACGTAGCAAAACGTTGTTGATCACCGGCGAGAGTGGAATCGGGAAGACGTCGCTGATGAGAGTGATTGCGGACATGTGGCCGCATCAGGGCATTCTGAAAAAGCACTTTGACAAGTCGGACGCGTACTTCCTGCCGCAAAGACCGTATTTCCCAGTTGGACGGCTTTCTCTAAAGCAACAACTCGTGTTTCCGGCGGCAGAGAACGGAGAGAAGACCGGGATTGACGGTGAGCATGAGTGAAGTGGAACCGAAGATCGGCGAGTTGTTTAGAAGACATAATCCGTCTGCTCCACGAGCTGAAACTTGGACATCTTCTCTCTATTGTCGGAAGTCTCTATGACAATGTGGACTTTGAATGGTCACCTAACTTCTTCCAAAGATCTCTCCAAACGTTCTCCTTCTTTCCAGGCAAGACACGCTGTCCCCGGGAGAGCAGCAGCGTCTTTGCTTCGCGCGAATGCTGCTCGCCCAGCCGACCGTCGCATTCCTGGACGAATCCACGTGTAACGTTGACGAGGGCATCGAGAATGCGATGTACGAAATGCTGAGAAAGGTCGGTTTGTTTGACGGGCGAAAAAGGCCTCCAATTTTCAATAATGGCACCCTCCGGAAATTGGTTTCTTCTTGATTTTGAAGGCAATCTGGCGAAATGGGTTTTTTTAGAGGGGCCCTTGAAAAGCGGAAAATAGAAACGGATAAGGATAATAGAAAGAATGGATGGAGAGTGAGAGAGGGGGATGAGCAATCAAAAGTTCGAAAATGTTGCCGATTTTCAGCGCTCGATCACCTACATCACCGTCGGTCACCGCAAATCTCTGCGCAGTCACCACGACTTCGAACTGCGCATTCCGTCCTCCTCCTCGTTCCTTTCCATGAAATTCACCACCAAAAGTTTTAGACACTTTTTTTCACATTTGCCCCACTCTTGTTTTCATCTGTTATCCCGTCGTTTTGTTGCCTCCTCCTCTTTTTTTCGAAAGCAAATAAAGAAAGGAAAGAAGAAGAAGAAGAAGAAGAAATGACGCCAAAGTCGTCGGTCGGCTAAATATGGGCTGGGGCTCTCCGCGGAGCCACCAACCAACGGCGCCCGTTTGAAATATGCGTGAGCTCGCGGGGCGCGCGCGCGCACATTTCTCATATTTCAACGATATACAAGAGCAGCAGCAGCATTTCTTTTCGCCTCGATTCCAGTCATGCTCATCATGCATACTTTTGCTAATCGAATATTCTAACGATATGAATATTGAATGCAAAAAAGCGAGTGTCCGCCTTCTCCTCCTCTTTTTTCCTCATTTCCATTCGTTCCCAGAAGAGATGTACTTACTTTCGCCCCCGGTGTTATCTAGTTTTCCGACTATCCAACCTCACACTTCTCAATTTCCTGCCGCACAATTAGTCGGCTAAAGTTGTGCGCCAATCGAGCGGAAATTGGACGGGAGACGGCTTCTTCTGCTGCCTTTTTTCGCTTCTCAACACTCGAGGCGTGGGCAGGTAACCGGAGCATTGTTTATGAATGACTCCGCGAGTACTTGGAGCCCAAAAACTTTCGCTTCGGGTTTCCTTCCACCACCCTTTAGTCCCTCTCGCTCTCCACCACCACAATATGTTCCCGTGTTTGAATGACATGGCTTGGTCGCCAGTCACCCACTCGTTTCCTCTTCTTTTCTTCCAATTGTACGGCTTCGGACGGCTGTAATTTCGAGAAGAAGAGTGCAGCTGAAATTGGATTCGTCATTTTCATTTCAGTTGAGTTTAGTTTAGTTTGAGCCGTGCAAGATTTCTGCCCAAAAACTCTCTCTCTCTCTCTCAAATACTTTCATTTCATTCACTTTATTTTCCTTTCACATTGCCAGCTCAATTTCATTCATCTTTCCGCCGCTCTAGAGTCCTCCAGAAATTCTTTGCTCTGCGGGCGCACACGAGCGACTGCTGCTGCTTAATACATTTATTATGCATGTCCATTTATTCATGCATTTATTTCAGCACGCGTTTAATGGGCTGAAAGTTGGCTGAAAGCGGTCCTCTTTCCGGCCTGATGAGTCTCTTCGAGTTGTCGCTAATCCGATCCGCGCCCGCAAGATTAAGGAGCGATCATGCGGACGATTAAATGTCTGAACTTTCTATTTCCCTGCTCATTCTGTCTGATCAAGAACATCATGGTAGCCGCATCCTGTTATTCAAAAACTGGCAGTTGAACCCGAAACATTCATCTTGCTTTCCCCTTCGTTTTTCTCTGCTCTCTCCCCGCTTCCAGCACTCTTTTTCCCGCTTTGTTTTGTTTTGTCCCTCGTCGCCGCGCCATTCAAATTGCCTATTCTGTCCGTTATCTATGTATGCATGTGTGGGAAAAGAAAGGTTTTTTTTTGGTGTGTGCGCCTTCTCTTTTTGTGATGCGTGAAAAACAATTTGTTATTTTCCGGGGATTTCGGGCCCCCAAAAACTAGTAATAACATTATTTCGGTCGAACGTGTTCATGTTCTCCCGCGCGCGCGCTCTTTGAACTCTGTGCACATGACGCCAGTTCGTTTTCAACCCAAAAATTGAATTTACCCGTTGACAGACAAAAAAAAATGAATTTGAGCGCAGGGTTTTCCTCGCCTTTTCTCGTTTTTTCCTGGTTTCGTCCACCCGTAGCGAGTGGCTTTCTTCTCTTTTTTACTGACGGCCGCAGCAGAGCGACGACGACGTCTTGAAGAAATTGGCGAGGAAGACGAAGAAAAGGAAGAGAAGACGTCGACGACGACGACGTGCCTCCACACTCGTTTTTGCCCATATAATCCTTGTGCGGCTACTGCTTTTGCCGCTCTCCGTGAGCACCCCACTGCTCTTTTCTCTTCCCAGTTTTTCGCGCGCAAGAGGCATAGTGAGGGAGAGACGGAGCTCTCCTTCTTTCTCCTCCGTTTCTTTTCTCCTCGACGGCCATGGCACTGCTCTCCTCCGCCGCGCGCGAATTTCCATCGATCTTTTTGCGGGGCACCGCGAGCACCCTTCGCTCCTTCGCCTCCTTCGGCTCTTGGCCCGAAAAGACGACAGCACCAAACTAGTACTTTTTATTCGCGCGGCGCCGGTGTGCCGTGTCTGCAAAACAGCCCGTTCTGCCCTTTAATCCGCGTTCTGCGATCATAATTGGATGAGCAGCCTCCGGGGGAATACGTGCGCAAGGGAAGCCATCGTAAAAACACACTCGTTCTCTGAAAACAAAACCGTCTTCCGGGAAGCTTCCGAGAAGTTGGTCCCATGTCCGAGGCCAGTTTCTCTCTAGGCGCGCTTGCGATCGAAAATCATTCCGTGTTTACTTCTGTCTTCCCCCCTCCAAAGTTTTGTGCACAGTCCAATCAAGTGATTTTTCGTTTCGCCGCCATTTGTTGAAAACATGTCGAGACAAATACATTTCCATTCCACGAGTTGTCGGAAATATGTTCGTTCCCACCATCCCCCTTTCTGATAAATCTGAGTCAGAAGCAGCAGTTATTTCGCAACCCCTCTCAATTCAAGCGAAACGTTTTTTCTCGTGTTCCCATAGCAATTTAGCGCACCGTGATGGATCGAGCCGTCATCCTTCAGAAGAGACTGGCTCGGCACCCATTTCTTTGACAAATTTATAGTTTCTATATAGGGCCGGAGATCGTCGTCGTCGTCGTAAAACGAAGACGTTTGCTCCTAGAAACATGTCGTGTGTTTCCGAGCAACATTCATAGATTTCATTTAGTCAGAAAAGAAGAATGACATCTTCCAACCGCCTCACTTCTTTTGATGACGAACCCGCATGAAGCAAAAACTAATAACTGAGACGCGGATCGAGTGTGCGTGCTTCTGAGCCGCTTATCCTCGAGTTTCCTTTCAAAAAATGAGCGCTCTAATTGACCGTATTCATTATAAAATTCCGAGTTTTTGGAGCCTCTTCAAATTGCCTTGGGCATTAATTTCCACCCGTTTTGTAGTCCACACGCTTTATTCCCAGAAATGCACTCACTTCCTGGTTCGCTTTCTCTTCTGTCTTCTGCAGTTCTGAAACTGAGCCAAACGCTCAGTCATTGCGGAAACCGATGAGAACACATTTTCTGGGCCGACGCATGGCACAGGCACTCCTATTATTAGTTTCGCCCACTTCTGCGAAGCAATAAAAAGTGGCTTCGTTATTTGTCTGGAATGCCCGCGCGCTGAAGGGGGGGGGGGATGTCTTCAATGCGAGTTGCCATCAGTCATATTGTGGTGGGACGGATGCCCTCTGACGCACAATGAAAACCAGTTTTCTGTCAGGCAGTTGTCTTCTTTTTACGAAAAAGTTATTCTCTTCAATCGATGCGAACACTTTGGGCGTGCTCGTCAGTTATGATGCCGCGTCTGCACTTTTGTCTCGCGGTGTTCGCACCGATTTCACAACAACGCACACTCATCGCTTCGTCATCTGACCTCTTTCCGTCTTTTTCCAGTTATTTTTCCCTTTCCATCTCGTGCCGGCTTGCACAATCATAAACCTATTATAAATGCGGAGAAGGATAGATTTCACGTTAGTTTCGAGCAGTTTGAAGGCACTTTTTTTGTGCGTCTCCGGTCCACTCGCGACAACAACTGTTCATGCATAAATGCGTTCATATATCTACGTTTTCTTATTCGTGTCCTTCGTATCCGTGTCATATCGAATCCCCGTTTTGAAATAGTCGTCACTTAAGGGCCTCGCCTGCCTGGACGAATAAGAACAAACGACGAAATGGACGCTCAAGGAGACGCCGGTGCGCAAGGCGGAAGCCAGGGAGGACCGAGACAGTCGAACAAACGTCTCCAGCAAACTCAGGCTCAGGTCGATGAAGTCGTCGGAATCATGAAAGTAATGAAAAAGTCAGACCGCATTCATAATTAACGAAAGTGTTGCAGGTGAACGTGGAGAAGGTGTTGGAGCGTGACCAGAAGCTGTCGCAGCTGGACGACCGAGCGGATGCTCTCCAGGAAGGAGCCTCGCAGTTTGAGAAGTCGGCGGCCACTCTGAAGCGCAAGTACTGGTGGAAGAACATCAAAATGATGATCATCATGTGCGCAATCGTCATCATTCTTATCATCATCATCGTCCTGTGGGCCGGCGGAAAATAAATGCATCTGCGTTTCTCCCAATGCTCCGATTCCCATCGTTTCCATCTGTAATTTCCTTCCACCGAAACCACACTTCTCTTCTTTCTTACTTCACTCCTTCTCCCTTCCAAACATAGAAGCTGAGTATTCTATTTCCGTATTTTATTTTTCTCTCATTGTACCATAGTTGGATTCTATTTTTCCCAAATCTGTCCATTCTCCAATATTCTCTCGGCCGTGCTGAAATCTATTTTGAACCTAATTTATTGAGACGATAAGCCGCTCGGATTCAACATCACCCATTCCATCTCGATTCAAAATCCGTTCGCTTATCCGCCTCGAGCTCGTGTGTTTTTCTAGATAATCTTCTGACTAACATGCTTTCTCCCGGATACTTCACATTAGTTGCGAATAAAATGGTGTTGAAAGTTGTTGTGAATCGAAGTAAAACCGAATGTAGATGTTCAGATCTAAATTACTTTGAATTTCTGAACAACAAATATAAGTACAGTTTGCTGTCAGAATGACGAGGTCAGCCGACCAACCGATCTTTGTCGATCAATCGGAACTTTTCAAATCGGTTGCCACGTCGATTGAGCAAAAGCACATCAGAAGACACAATGAGAAGCCGGGTGAGACGGGCCCATTGACTTCCGGAGGAACAGCGGGGTTTCAGGAGTTTCCCGCCGCGATGAGAACCGTCCGTCGGCAACGTTCACCGCCATCTCCAATATAATCATTCCGCTCGCCTCCGAATTGTTCCTCTTCCGGAAAATGCTCGACGAGCAGGCCCAGGATTACATATTTGCGACGCCTTCTTACTCGAAAATGAGTTCGGAAGAGCGCGAAGAATTCGACGCTGACGTCAAAGAGGTGCGTTACATTCATTGCTTAGCTATTTATTAGAAGAATCGTTCAAAGCAATTTCCAGAGATTGGCTCAATTCGAAACGTTCATCAATCAACTCGGCCATCGGGTGAACAGTAGTGACGGATTGCGAAATGCGACGGAGAGAAGTCATCTGACGAGAGTGCACGACGGACTGCGCACCTATTTGAAAGAAGCCGTCGACTTTGTATCCGTTTTGAAGTAGGGGAACTAATACAACCAAAAGGGAAAAAAGTTGCATTTCAGGAAAGAGCATCTGAAAAGACTGCAGGCCAAGAGCCGCTCGCTTGCCGATCAAGTGAAAGCGGCGGAGAAGGACGGACACGTGTTCATGTACCACTACGGACTGGACGGACTGCTCACGCAATCCGAGCTTCAGTTCAGTGGTATCAGATTTATTCATTTTCCTAAAAATGTAATATATTTCAGCTAAACTGGGCAAAAAGTTGGATGAGCTGAGAGCAAAACATAGTTGCGTTCAGTTTACACTCAAAAGATCGGAATCCGAGGAAAGAGACTACGATCTGATGGAAGATGCGAAAAATCCGTCGAAAGAGGAAAACAAGGAAGAGGGATGGGATGCATTTGACGATCTGGAGTTGGAGGAAGTGCCGGAAGTGCGAAAGCCGGTGCTCGAGAGTCGTGCGTCGCCGATTCTGTTCAACGAGACCGTCCGGAACAGAAGACGTGTCACTGGATTCGATCCAGTTCAAGATGAGATCAGAGACAGTTACGAGCGATGGAAAGAAGAGCAAGGGGCTCAGTTCACGGAGCGCTTCCAGCAGCAGACGGCGATCATGAAGGAGGAGTTCGTGAAATCCGACAGGGACGATGAAATCGAGAAGCTCGAGCAGCAGATCTGCGAGATTCAGTCACTATCTACGGTCTTCTCTGAAAAGTTAGTAATCCTGATGAGAAACTATAGAAAACAATGCTTTTTTCAGATCATGGACCAGGAAAGGGACATCGACCTCATCAACGACCTGGCTATCCACACGACGGAGAACTTGGTGGACGGGAACGAGTGGATTCGGAAGGCCATCACGAATGCCGCCTTCTGCCGGGTCATCCTTCTCTTCTGTATCATCGTTCTCAGCTTCACGCTCCTCTTCCTCGACTGGTACAATCCATAACGCAATTTATCTACATGTATCAACAAAAAGAAGTCATTATAATAATTTTCCGGACCGGCCCTGAGGTCGTTTGTAGTCTTTTAGCATAATAAAATATTTCAAGGGGTTACAGTGGTTTGGCGCCAAACATGGTGCGTCGGCAACTGCCGGGTGCTGTTCGAAACACTCCGGCGATTATCTTTTCGATGCTTCCGTTCTCGGCCAACCACTGTTTTATAACGTTTCGGTATTCTGAAAAACAGAATTCATCCGCAAAAAGACGGAAAGTACGAAACGAACGGTCGATGCTAGCCGCGGCTCCATGGTTAAAGTTTTTCTCGATAAATTCAATGCCCTCTTTGCTCATTTTCTCGGGGTGCGATTCATAAAAATCACGGATTTCTTTGAGGTCAACAATCCGTCACTGTTCGCGTCGCGGGCCTAAACGATTCTTTTCGGAAATTTCTTATGACGTGAAAAAGTCATGCAACATGAACCCCAACGAACCTTGAACTCAACGGTGATAATGTCGTCGAGTCGCTGATCGGCGGTCTCCTTATTCCACGCATTCCTCTTCTGAGCGGCAACTATTCCGATGAAGAAAAAGAGAAGGAAAAAGAAAAAACAAGAAGTTCTCATGACTTCTCGAATCGATTGAAATGTAGTGATGGGCAGGCGGGGAGAGTGTCCCGCCCGTAAGTACGGCGCCTTCACTTTACACTCGACCTTCCCCTAATATACAAAAATGAAATGAAATGTTTTTATTGGGGCGGTGAGGATCTAAGACGGGAACAAGATATGGAAAGAAAGACACAAAACCCGTAGATTGTGGTCAATATGGAGGCGCTGGCGAGTCATCATCACAAAATGAGATCAAAGCGTGGCGGGCAGGCGGGCGGAAGACCAATGAATCACAAGAAGATCTCGTTGTCGTTTTCGTTGTCGTTGCTCTCCGAAACGAGTACAATTGAGGGTTTCGAGTTGCCGAGTTTTGAGACTATCTGCAAATGAGCCCGATTGCCACGTGGCACTGATTCTCAATTCTCCGATATTTACCATGCTCGGAACTCCTTTGATGATATTGCTAAACTGGCCGCTGCCTTCGCAGCTTTTCGTGCTACTCTTCGGAGATTTGTCGCAGTTGACAAAGTCGCGGATGAACTCGATTTTGCTGGAAAAAACAATATTCAAGCTTATGAAACGATCCGAGTTCTCACTTGAGAGCAGCTCGGATCTCGTGGTGACGATAATTGTAGAAGAAGACGGAGAGCACTCCGTAACAATGGTATCCGATGGTCACAATCGGACCCCATTTCATGAAGTGCACTTCGCCGATGATCATGTCGTAGAGGTACAAAAGACCGGGAAGCACGTTGAAAATGACCACCATCAGAATGACCATTACGGTGAGAGAGTTGACCTGCGCAGATTATAAATAAGAAGAGAAGAAGATGGAAGGGTGCTGCCCCGAATCGGAACTTCCCGAATCAGAACTGTTACGAATCAGAACCAATTAGCACTGAAAATAGTTCTGATTCGGGAAGTTCCGATTCGGGTCAGCACCGATGGAAGAGTACCTGCTGGAAGTTCTCCCGACACCTCTTCTTCACATTTATCACTCGAGTTCCACGAAGTACAAACAGTTTGCAAATAAACAGAAAGTAGGCGAGTGACAGGAGAATGCCGAAGAATATTGTGGAGAGAAGAAAGTAGAGATGGAAAGCGGGACCGGAAGCCGAAGTCGTCACACAGTGGATCCGTATCTGGAATTGCCAATTTGAAGATAAAATTACATTTATAAGTTAGAGACAGTATATCAGCTGCCTGTAGTGATATCAAAAAGTGAGCAACTGATGCAATGCACAGAATATGTCAATGATCAATGCATTAGTTGTCAACTTGTCGGTATTTCTGCCGGTAGCTGTGATATCTTGTTTTTAATTACCGACATTGAAAGTCGTCCTAGGTGTTTTCCGACCCTGCACTAAATAAAAACACGGAAAGTTCTTCTAGAATTCAAATGAAAAACAACCCAGAAAACTAGTCCCTAGAGCGCGTTCACTTTTAAATTCCCTGATAGTACATTTTCCGCTCGTCTCGGGGAACTTCAGTACTGACATTGGAATATCTGTTTTGTTTTTACTAATTGTTCTCAGAAATTGAGTTTCCCAAAAACAGGCGATTCTTATGTGTGTGCATTGAATCCCTCCGAACGTTGCGTTCATCATTAATAGGAGACCACTGAGCACCACATTTCAGAGCGGCCAACAATTGCTCACTCTGGGCTTTGTGCCAGAAATACGCCTCGCTCCGCACTCATTCCATTTATAAATCGGCCCCTATTCTCGGATGTTTTCACCTGTTTACGCGCTCTCAAACTCCTGCACATTCTTTCTCCGTGACGTTGTCATTGCGAAGAGCTCACCGTGAAAATGTCGTCCTCCAATATCAGAAATAGCATGTCGGCGACGCCCCAGCCGACCGAGAAGGCGCACACTTTGAACGCGACCTGATAAAAAATGAAATGATTGAAAGAGTTCCAAATGCGTACCATTCTGTGATTCAGGAAAAAGTACTCTCCGGGCCTGAAGAGCGCGTAGATCCGCTCGCCGGCAATCGAGAGAGTTATGATGTGGCGGACCTTGTCGAGCCCGATTTCGAAGCTGGAGCCCAGCAGAATCGACCATCGCGGACAGTTCAGATTGTTCGGAAGAACAGGTTCATATACGTTGGGATCGTGAAGAAACCTGCCAAAAGAGCAGAGGATTAGGCCGGGGAGAACAGAAGCACTTGTTATTGTTGTGTTGATCGCGTGCGGGGGCGGGCGGGCAAAAACATCCTAGTTTCCGGAGAACGGATTACCCGGCTCAGGCTACAAGCTAAATCTGCTAAAAGTTCCTTGTGGTCGTGGTCAGTTCGATGTACACACAAACACATCATCTGATCGCTTGGCCTACACACGTGACGCCTTCTATTGTCTTCTAGAAAGAACCGGTTTCCAGATACGAGTACCTGTGAAGAAGTTGGTGACGGCGAATGCGTAGAAAAGATGAAGGTGATGTTTAGTGAGGAGTTGCGGGGAACGTCGGAACGCACTCCAGATGACCGCGTTCAGCAGACAGTTGACGGCGCCCATGCCCAGTGCTGCCACGTGCGTCGGCGTGACTCCCTGAACGATCGAGCAGTAAGTGTCGGGGAAAAGAAGGAAGGAGTACCCGATGTCCGAACTCTATTGTCGTTCGATTCCAAGAAGTGTCGAGCACCATTGAGGGGGGCTGAATAGTCGGTCAGTTAAATAAAAGAAACAAAAAATTGCAACGTTATGCGTGACAGAGCGAACTTTCGAGAAAACGACTATAACAAATTCAAGAGCAATCGAATAATGAGGAGAAGAGTGACTGCAAACTGACAAGAAGAACGGAAGACGTAAGCAAAAAAGGGCAACGTCTAACATCGGACGGTAGGGTTCCTATAGGTTGAAGCAACACAGAAAAGGACAAGAGGTGAAAGGAAAAACGAATAAATTATGGTTGCTAGGAAAAATGTGCAAAAAGAGGAAAGAAGGAGGAACATGTTGTTTTGCAGAGAGAAATACGGAAGAAGAAAAGAAACACGGAAGATTCTAGTGGAAGATAGGGGAAGAAGGACAGAGAGAGAAGAGACAGAGTATCCCTACGGAATTGAAGGAAGTACGTGTCATAAGTAGGTTTAGTAGCTTATCCCAGGTTACGCACACGTCAAGTTCGTGGAACAAAATGTAGCGAGTTTGTGACTGATCTAGAAGAGAGCTTCTTGAAGGCCATACTATGCCTGGCCGTACCGAAGAAGCTTCTTAGATTGGTTTTGGAGTATCTTGGGTCCAAGTTTCAGACCGATCGGATTTCAGATCTGAAGGACTTTTCGGTTCCAAATTACTAGATCTACAGATCGGGTAATGTGATCGGGCTGAAAAACCAAGACTGCCAATCGTGCAAAGTTTTCGCTAGCCGTGGTACTCTTCGGGTAGACGGAAGTTATCACGAAGAAAAGTAGAGCCCAGACGGACAAGGTCTAACAGACGAAAATATAAAAAGTTGTGAAAAAGTGCACGTAAGTCCCATTTAAATGGTTCGTCTCTCGAGAAGCTTGTGACCTCCGCAAGGCGTTAAGATATTCTCTAAAGTGGTAAACAGCCTGCTACAACGTCTTCTTTTCTCGGAGCAAAAGAGTATCAAATGTGCAAAAGGGATACCTTTTTTTTGAAAGATCGAGAAGACGCAGGGACACGTGCAAAAGGCTGATTTCAGAAGAAGGAGAAGGAGATGGAATAATTAGAGTTCGAGCTATTTGAAGCCGTCACTTCTCACGTTTTGTCTCTTTTTCAGAGTGCTCCTCTTTGTTGACTCGCCTCTTGCGGAGGCCACCACTCGAACTTTTTGTTGCTCTCTCTCTCAAATCGAACAAAACATTCATTTCAATCTAAAAGAGGATCGTCAAGAAGAAGAAGAAGAAGAAAAAGAAGAAGTAGAAGAATGATGAACAGCAAAACAAAGGAAGAGCGAAACTTCCAGGCTTCCCGGGGAAGGATCAGCTGAACTGAGCGAGAGTTGGAGCTGGAAGAGGAGCCACGGATTATCGGACTGCTACTATGCTCCCTGGCCCAGCTAATCTGGTTCACTCCGAAATTGAAGTAATGAGCGAGGGAGAGAGCCAGGGAGAGAGAGAGAGAGAGAGAGAGAGAGAGAGAGAGAGAGAGAGAGAGAGAGAGAGAGAGAGAGAATAAAAGTAATCGCTCCAGTCTGCACTATTCATGGAGCAGACGTCTGCCGGGGATTCGTGTGCAATGCCGCTGCATAATTATTCACATAAAAGTTCATAAGAACATCATCAGCATCGTTTTCTTAAAGAAATGATTGAAGAAAGAGTGATAAATGAGTTCGCGGAAACGAGGTTCAATTGAAACGTGCCCATTATGCAGGAAAAGCTGCTGTGATACGTGTGATGTGTGCGCTCTTCAAAGAGCAACGAGCACAACATGTTCTTGGTTCCAGAAGGCTCCGTGAACGAGAATTATTCTGAATAAAGCCGGAAAGGCAGTTTGAACCCCCCTTTGAAATTGGGTGTCGCGGGAGAAAAGGAAAACAAAGAGGGAGAGAGAGACAAAATGGGAGCAGATGAAGTCGTTGAGAAGTGAGAGAGAGATTAATCCGGAGCAAGTCGACGTTTTGGAAAAATGGAACGAACTCATTCGAGACAGTTTGCACAGAGCGAACCTTCTCAGACGGAGTTTGCTCTCGAAAGCGTCTGAGACAGATTCTCCAATTCTGCGCGGAGGCGGAGTCCAATTAGTAAACATAATAACAAGAAATCTGAGAATTGAACGGACGAGTCAGCCCAATGTGCAATGATATTCACAAGTGTCGGAGCAGAAGACGTTAAGGACTGGAACAACCATCGTGAGAACTGTAGCAGAAGAGTATTGTCATTCAAGATCACCACTGCCTGTGAAGATGTAAAAATGTGGTCAACTAGATGAAGTGACACAATTTCTAAATGAGCAATTTGTTGGTTTATAAAATTTTGATTTCTCTAACGGTAGTGGAGGTCTAACGGTTACAGTTTTTACTCTCTTTTCCATTCGATTTTCTACAATTTATGCTCTAAGGGAACGCGCTATTACTTTTTCTGATCCATTAATAATTACAAGAGATATAATGTCCGCAAAAGTTCGACCAAACTCTTACGATTCGCAAACAAATAACAGTTGCGCTCAGGTTTCCCAAAGGGAGATTCTCGGAGATTACGATCGACTAGGAGCCTACCATAACTTGAAAAAAGCAAGAAGCGTGATCAACAAGGAAATTGCTTGAGAATCAAAAAAGGCAGGGAAGACAGGATGTTTTGAGGGCAACACCCGAGAGGGACTTGGAGTTTATTAGAAATTGAAAGAGTTCAAGAAGAGATATGAAAAAGGAGAAAAGGATTCCTCCAAAGTTCGGCCCAATCAAACGAGGACCCACAAATTGGGTTAGGATTTGGAAAACTTCCTGTTACCTCTCTCTGGTGCAATCAGACTCGGGGTGGGTAAAATGAGAAGAGGCGCGTTATGGGGGATAAACTCTTAATGGGCCGGGCTCTCGGATGAGCAGGCAGACGGAGCAAAATGGCTCACTTGGAGACAATTCGCATTCAGGGTCACTTAATTCATACCCTTTTTCATATTTTATTTTCTGTTATTGAGACTGAAGAAGGTAACGAACTAGGAACAACAAAACAGAGCGCGGAAGAAGAGTTTGCACTGAAAGGTGACCGATTGGGAGTGGAAAAGAGGCATTACCATAAGCAGATGAAAACGGGAAGAGAAGAAGGGAAAATGAGGGTGTGAGCAGCAAGGAATGGGTGGATAACAGAAAACAAAAGAGCAGAAAATGGGATACGGTACCAGACAGACTGAATTAGCACTTTGAGCCGTGATGGGCCGGAATGAGCAAACAAGGCAAACGGCTCTTTCGGGCATGGACTTTTGGGGCTCACTAGTCACTTACAGTATTCCGATCGGAGTCTTGGATTGAAGTATACTAAAAACTAAGATAGATAATCTTGCAAATTAAATGTCCTATCGCAATTTTTCGTGTTTTGACGCAATTGTACCAATTTGACCCGGAACGAAAAAGTAGCAAATCTAACAAGAAAAAAATAGAAAATTTTCGGTCTTCGATCGTCTAAACACGACCTTTTGTGGGCCGACACGGTTATACGAACGGAGCCATTCGCGCAGAATGTGTTGTTTTTTGGGGTGGGACAAGAAAGTGTGTAAACGATGTGAAATATGCATGAATGGATGATGAATCGGCATTGAGATGTGTGGTCTTTGAAAGGATAATATAATCGCGAAGGGCTTCATCATATCTTCGTTGGACCGCTTTTGGGAGAACGTCTATCGATGGCTCACTTCGTTTTGCAGACAACCACGAACAAATATATTTATTGAAACCGGAAGAGAAGTGTCTGTCTCATGAATCTCGGGAAAAAATGACAGCTGACGGCATTTTCAGCTTGAGGTCAAAAGATAGAGGGCGTTTTCTTCGACTTTTCATAAAAATGGAGGACAAAGATTATCAGATTGGGAATAGATTTGGGGTACGAAAGTTTACTACGATTTAAGAGTCTCAAAATGCACGCACTGACATGATTCATGCTCATTCGGCAGGCCACCTGCTCTACCAAAGAAAACAATTAATGCGAAAACCGAAGCAACGAGCAATTGTGCAGTAAACAGTCAACTTGCAAGGCGATTGCACCTGGATCGGAGCAGTTTGCAGTTGGAAATCACCCTCTTTCCCTCTTTTTATACGAACGCACGCACACATGTGGAAGATGATCGATCGGGGCGCCGGATCCGCTCGTGCTCTGATTGATTCTGCGCCGAGAATAGATCTCTTTGTGGTGAGGCCAGAGATCTTTGAGTTAGGCGGAGCACAGACGGTGTTTGTTTGTACAACAAAATCCTTATTAAGCAGTGCTTATGTAGTAAGCAGGCACCGCTTCAAGCAAAAGAGGAATATGAAAAAGTGAAAAGTGGAACAAAGATCGGAAGCTTCTCTTGCAGACGTAGATTGAGCCATTTGGAAGAAATGCCATGAAAAAGAGTGAGCTTCTGTCCAATTAAAATGATGAATAAACCGGACATGGAAATCCTGAGTTTGCAGCATCTCTAAATAATGAGATGCTATCAGGTTTTTATAGATTGTGTCGGAAGGTGATCTTCGGCAGTTATTTGATATTCAAAACCGGCCCCGACAAATTGGTTCTATTCACAAAACTTGAAAACTTGAAAACGAAGAAGAATCAGAGCATCAGTGTGATCATTGATGATATTCGCAAATTTGTGTGAATCAGAGATCCTCGGAATGGAAGGGTTAATGCGGAATACGGAACAAACAATAATATAAAGACATTTTTCTTCCGGATTCCGCGGAGCATATTCAGTGAAGCATTTCACCGACAAAATCAGAAGCCGTGCTGCTCAAAATTCCAGGTTTACACCTTTTTCCAGCCGACCGTGATGTTGCTGATGTTTTGACTTTGCACGTATCTGCTCGAAAGAATCGTATTTGAAACCTTCTTCTGGCACAAAAATTTATTCCAAAAATGTACATGTTCAGACTATTCTCTTCACTTCTAAACGTTGAACAAATGAATCGATGATAGAAAAGAGACGCCTAAGTTGTTCCGAATGAGATGGATATGTGAGATCTAACTGGAAGGGACCCGATGAAGAACCGATGCGAATGGGACTATGTCGTCTGGATTTCTAGCAGCGGAACCGAGCAGTAGTAGTCACTGATGTTGAGGGAATCTGGTCGATGAAGTGTCGGTCCCTGGAAACAAATCAGACTTCGGTTCAATCCACAGATTCTGTTCTTACCGTATCCTGAACCGCCAGTCGATTCAAATCGACCATGGAAGTGGGCGGAGTCTGCTCTTGGACGGTGTTCCCGTTGGGAATCAGCTGAATTGACTCGTCGATGCTGTCGGGGGACAAGTATTTCGGCTGCGGAACACTTGTCATTCCGAGTTCGAACTGAGATCTGGCAAGATCCTTTCGAAGGTTGTCCACAACACAAGCAGTCATTTCGGAGGAGTACGGTAGCTCCCGCGTCAGCATTATCTCGTGCACTGAAATAACTTTTATCATAATCTGTCTGAAACGATCACTTACATGTGATTCTGTCCTGAATATCTTGCTGTGTATTCGTCACTTTGACCGTCGACGCGTCCGGGAACACACTGCTCGCGGAGATATCCGTCACGGCGGTTTGAGGAGTCTCCACGGACACGGGCGTGGACTGCGCGTGGGCGTATTTGGCTCGGACGGTCGGATGGATTGGGAACGGCATTCCGACGGCGTAGGAGTCGGAGAGAATATCCATCAGAGTTTCGACGACATGAGCGAACGAGGGGCGATCGGAGGACGAAGTTCGCCAGCATTCCCTCATGAGTTGGTAGACGCGCGTGGGGATTCCGTACGGGTATTCGAGTCGTCCGCCCTCCGTCAGCATCAGCATCACTTCTTCGTTCCGTCTGTTCGGATAAGGAACGACGCCCAGGGAGAAGATCTCCCAGCAAAGGATTCCGTAGCTCCAGATGTCGGATTTTGTTGTGAAGACGCCGTCGATGAACGACTCGGGAGGGGTCCATTTTATGGGGAGCATGGCTCTGCCGTGCACTCGATAGTACTCGGAACCGTATTTGTTGATAGCCTTCGCCATTCCGAAGTCGGCAATCTTTGCAACTCGCTGAGCACCTCTCTCAGTCAGCAGAATGTTCCTCGCGGCAATGTCCCTGTGCACATATCCGTATTCCTCCAGACATCTGCATCCGGCTGCCACGTCATAACTGATTCGCAGAAGATCGGCCATTGTCAGATGGAACGGGTTGAGAGAGACTTGCTGTAAGCAGAAGAAAAGGTTATTCAAGACAGTAGAAGATCTTTGTACATTAGGCCGAGCGTCCTTGACAAACGAAAGCAAATCGCCGCCTTCCATGTACTCGATGAAATCATATACGGGGGAGAGTCGAAGTCCACTCCGATCAGTTGAACGATACTTTCGTGCTTGAAAGTCCTGAATCATTCATTTCGATTGTTTCGATTCTCTCCGAGCTCACCCCATGCAAAGTGCCTCGTTTATGAAATCGACCTGCGCGGAAGCGGTCGATCCGAACGCCTTCGATATTGTTTTGATTGCCAATCTGTGCTCATTGTAGTTGCCGGAAAACACCTCTCCAAAGTTTCCTTTTCCGATAATATTGCCGATTTCGACCACATTTCTGTCGAGTGTCGGCAACTTGCTGACCGCTTCTTTTCTTGTTTGATTACCGAAATACACGTCGTCGTATGTCATTTCTCGGAATGTCTGGAAAGAGAGCAGGTGTATTGTATGTGGAATTCACTTACCGATGCAACGTATTTGAGCTCTAAGAGTTGATGCTTCATCTTGTTGGTTCGGTTACGGTAGTGGGTCACCGCTGAATTCATGTTTTAGATGACAAGAAGACAAATAGAATAGGACTAACCGATAACTGAGCCAATAACCAGGAAAATGATGAAGAGGAGGAGAACATAATTGTGCCATGTCCAACCTTCATAACCTTCTGAACACAGAAATAGTTGGAAATGTCTCGAAAACGAAGTCACTGACCGCAGAAATCATTGGAGAGATCCTCGATAAACTTTCCACTGCCACACATGCAAAACGGCTCGGAAGTGAAGTTACGATAAAGACACGTGGCACCAGCAGGACAACCGAGAGAGCAAGCACACGATCCGGAGGTGTTCGTGAAGTCGGATCCATCAGGACATCCGCAGAACTCCTCGGCGAACGAGTCTCCTTTGAAACGGCACACAGACGGAGGAGTGCAAAGTGTCCGGCAGAAGCCTGAGTGAAGGGAACGTTATCAAACTTTTCTTACGACGAAACTCACTGATCTTGATGAAGCCATCTTCGACGTGCATCGCCTGATAGTACCCGACATCTTTCGAGAAGTTCTCGGTTACGTTGCTCGTCCCACTCCGTTCCCTGCCCTTCCCGAACGGGTTGCCCCCTTTGTACCCTGCTCCACTTCCGCCGAGCATTCCACACGAGTTGCCGCCGCCTCCGAAGCCTCCGAAGACTGTCGTCTGGTTCTCATTCGGTTTCGGACAGAGATCCACGTTCTTATCGATTATGAACTCGGTGTGAGAGACTGCTCGACAGATTGTTGTGCACTGATCGTCAATGTCTACAGGTAGCTGCGATGCCCCGTACCCTGCCTTCGTATCTTCAGAATTCCACGATGCTCCCGCTCCTCCGCCAACGATCACATTCCAAACGTTGGATTCGATTTGGATTAGAGTTGCTCCGCCTCCCCCGGCGCCTCCATCTCGGCTCTTTTGCTTCACTGCACTCGTTTTTGCGCACGATGCAGGCTTGAGCTCCTCATTAAGCTCCGCAACGCACGGGCTCTCCCCCATATGCCCAATTAGCATGCGCAATGCAATGTTCTCGAGCAGATGCACTTGAAGAGTCAGACACTCTCCTTTCTGTCCTTCCTTTCGATCCGTTGAGCCTCCGCCCGCTCCGCACGCCTCGATCCGATAGAATCCAGTGACGGGAACCGTCCATTCCTGAGTCCCGTCTTCTTTCATAAAGTGTCCCGTCTGTCCGTCCAATGCTCGGAATGAATTACAGTCATGAGGTCTCTCGAAACCGGAAGCTCCGCAGGTTGAGATCAGAAGATCCGGTATCTCCCACGTGGACTGGTTAGAGTCTGAAAGAATTCGAAAATGGAAAATCAACGGACGTCTCACTATTACTTTTCTCAAAACAGGACGGACTGAATGAAAGATCGTCGAGGGCGAAGAAGTCGTCCCGGTCGAACTGATGATCCACGAAGATTCCCAGTCGGAAGGCGTCGTTCTGTCGCGGCACCGGCACCAAAGTTCGCTGCCATTCACAGACCGCCGCCTGCACATATGTTTCCTCAAATGCTCTCGACTCGTACAGATGCGTTCTTCCACTGTCCAACGGATTGTTCATTTTCGATATGATTGAAAGGGACCAAGTGGTCGAGTAGGTTCTTGCGCACACGTAGAACCGCAACTGAATGTTTTGAGATTTATAAAAGCCGTCAACGATATTACCTTGCAACTGCCAAAAAATTTGCTGTCAGGATTGTATGCTTCCGGGTTGGTCCTCGGAAATCGGGGTGATGCCATGACCGCAGTTCTTCTCGACAGTTTTCTCGCTTCGACCGATTCGTAGAGGAGGAGGGGACCAGATCCTCTGCGAGCTTCTCGCGTCACGCTGAGTTTGGAGGAGGGGAACTTGATTCGCAGAAGACTGATCGGAGTCTCTTCTAATTTATTGAGCGGAGCCACTGTTGTCGGTTCAAACTGATTCTCTTGGTAGTCTGAGATTCTCACTGTCTGGTACCATCCATCGCACACTTTACTAAAGTCACACATACTTCCCCGGACCATACTGTCTGAAAGTTTGTAGGTTATAAATGAAGTAACCACTATTGCACCCACCACAGTGAGCCTCATCGGATCCATCTTCGCAGTCCTCTTTGATGTCACATTCAGAGTCTGCCAAACATCTCGTGTTGGTCGGGGTGGAACAAATTAACTGATCGCCTCGAAGACAGCGTTCCACAGGATTTCGGATGTCTGAAAAAGGAAAAAAGACCTTTCCGATCTGCGCTCTCCGACGCTCACTCACCGACACAACTATCGAATTGGATTTTCGCGAGACTGCACACAAAAAAGGATCGGTTCATTTTCCTGATCTCCTCTTTCTCTTTGTTCTTCCATTTCTTCGGAATGGCGCCCGTTTCGCAGTCGATGGACAGATGGAACGGCTGAGAAAACGAGCCGATCTCCAGGACGATCGTCTGCCATCTGATGCTCGAACTTAAGATAGGATAATTTTACCTGTACGATTATTGTACTCACGAAATCTTTTCGGTATCCGTCGCGAACTCGTAAAGAATTTTCGCTTCACCGCTTTTTTCCAAATGAGCTCTGACTACGAGTTTGGAAAGGGGCGACTGCGGAGCGAAGTGGTGCATGAAGCGGAGAGTACACTGACAAGCATCGGATGTGTCGAACTACCAAAACGGGAAAACTCACGTTGATGCCGCTCTGTCGGAATGGAACACTCTTCAGTGAGATGGTCTTTTTGTGGAATAACTGGTCAGCTGTTCCGGCTTGGATGAAGTTTTCTGAAGAATGGGAACTTTACTGAAAGCTGTACATGGTTACTTACTGAATGTATTATGCGATTTCGGAGGGATAACGTTAAACCCCAAGTCGTCGTGGTCACTTTTATCGTACCAAAACGGACAGGAAATGTTAAAATTGCATTGCTCATCTGAAAAGTATAAAGTCATTCAAAATTGGGCATCATCAGCCCCACATACTTTTGATTTCTTCGTCACAAGTGCATCCTGGATAAAGTACGGTCCGTGTCGAGTTCAGTCCGGCCTCCTCGCCGCAAATTTCCAGGTCACAGTGACATCCTTCTCGGACGTAACCGTAACTTTTCCACCTGCTTCTTCCTTCCTCCTCTTTTTTCCTATTGTACTCGCAGAAATCATTGTCTATGTGCTCACAGGTGTACTCTTGGACGTCTGAAAACGTCGCCGGTTCATTAGATGGGAAAGTAAAAGGGCATACCACTGGGGAAAGTGCAATTCGGGGATATTATAGACAAGTGAGCCTCCGCTTCTTTCCTCTGAAAGGTCGTTTTTCTTTTTGCTTCATGGTTTCATTCTACTTACCGATTGTGCAGTTGTGTAGAACGCGGACGAGTTTCCGAATTCCCGAATGACCAGTCTGTCGTTGTAGTACCTGTCCAAATCGAACGACGTCGCCGGCAGAATGCTCGTGATAGTGCGGAAGAGGACGAACGCCTTCCACAGTCCATCTTTCCGCATTCTTCGCTTCTCAGTTGGCGGATCGAAGAAGCATCTGGAAGAGACGATGGTTTGAGAGGAGAGGGGAAGAGGGAAAAGAAGCGAAGGGATGTGTGACGGGATTAACACGGGATCGGATTAGATACAGAAGGATCGAGGGGAGCAGTTCCGGGCGGTGCACACCAACCCAACGTAATTCGGTGTTTTTGTCTGGGGGTGACATTTGCATGGCGGGCAGCAAAACAAGAAGAAGAAGGTGCGGAGAGAGAAACAAGGCACGAAAGTTGCGAAGATTCGGTCGGAGCACACACACACAACTCAAACGAGCTCCTCTTCTCCTGCTCCCATCTCTAATTAATTCGTCGAGAGCGCCTCTTCCTTTTTCTTTTTTTCTTCTTTTTCGTCGACACCCGCCGATTTTTGAACTCATCTCCTTCCAATTTTGCACATTCGCCGTCCGGCTGCAACTCTCTCTCCCTCTCTCTCTCTGTGTTTCTCTTTATTTCTGTTTGACTCCACCCCAAAAGGCTATCTTATATGCAGCGGAAAGCGGATTAAAATAGATGCAAGTTAGAGCACATGCACACGGGCACACACACACACACACACGGGCTCATTTCGTTTCAGAGCAAGGCGCGCACTATTGGCTCCTGCTAACGAGAGAGAGAGAGAGAGAGAGAGAGAGAGAGAGAGAGAGAGACATATCAGCAGAAGAAGACGTCGGGCGGAAAGAGAAAGGAGAGAAAAGAGCATTCTGAGAAGAAGATCCGAGAGCAGACTTCGAATGAGCCCTAAGATATGACGTGGGGGTGGAAAACGGGAAAACAAAGTGGGAAATGTTTTGATGAAATTAGATTGGAAAGGTCGGAGCTTTGTGACTTTTGAGAGCCTCATGACCAAATGTAAATCTCTTAGATTTTTAGAAGAATCACGAGAGATATCATTGGTAAAAAGGTCTCCGGATTATGAAGAAATAAAGGAACAAGAGAACATCCATGTTTTGTGGAGTAAAAAACGATAAACTCGTCAATACGTTCTTGATAGAATTTCAACAAATTTGATCTGCCTTTTACCCACCGCTGAGAGTATCTGCCAAATTAGCAGAAAACAAAGAAAGAAAGAAGAGAAAGAGAAAGCGGGGAGCCTTTCTAATCAGCTACGTGAGCGACGAATACATCCTGATCAATTCGCGAGAAACGAGCGCGTCTGGAATGTGAAATGAGATACAATTCCATCCTATTCGAGACGGAAATGAGGGAGAAGACGAAGAAGGAGAAGTTTAATCAAAAGTGCTCTGTCGAATGGCTGATTGGCTTCATCGCTTGTGTGCCGCCGCCACGTACAACTCCAGAAGAGGCAAAAACTTGGAGATATAGGCTGAAAATGCGAGAAAGAACGGCGAGAGGAGAGGGCGGCGGGCGGTGGTAAACAAGTAGGCAAAAGGGGGCAGGAGGACGACGAAGGAGGGGGTTGGCTGAAAATGAAGAAGACGTGGAGGGGCCGGCGGAGAGCCGACAAAGTGCAATCGCAATAACAATGGATATTTGAATACTTAAGGAGGACGCTGAACGACCGACTGTGGGAGGGGAAGACTCGACGAAAAGGATACATGATTGAGTGGGTAAAGGTGTAAAGGGGGATTATCGGGAATTTTGTTTATTGTCGATTTCCAATTCCAATACCAAGCTCTTGAGCGTGTGTTTTTGCACAAATCCCCTCCGTAACACTAATCCGCAGTCAACAAGAAATCAGAATGGTTAGAGCTTGCTTCCCGAAAAATGGATCTTTGTCGTTCTTTTTCCCGGTTTGTCGTCACTAGTTGTCGGGAGCAGTCAAGCAGTCTAATCATCTGATTATCATGTGATTCCGGTCCCTTTCAGATTTTTTTTTCAGTGTTCATGAAATATTCATTGTCTTGTGACGTCTATTGAGATAGAATTTGAGTCCAAGAAGTAGGCCGGAGTGGAGAAAAATGATTCGATTAGAAATCGGCGTGCCGCGCGTGTTTTCCGAGAATCTTTGATTCGATAAAGAAGACGTGGTTGGCCCGAAATCGCGTCCGCTCCTTCTCTGCAGCCTGAAAACACCTGGAGATGCTGGGCGGCAGTTTCTGGAACATATTTTCCGCTGGATAACACATCTGTACACATGCAAAAGTGATCGTCGTGGACGCGGATTAGCAGATGAGAAATGGCCGGTGGAAAATGGAAAATCCTTCCGAGAAGTGATAGGGATTTGGAACCGAAACTCAAGAGCAACTCGAAGACAGGGCTCAGGTGATGAAGATTAGTGTTAGGTCACGTTGGTGCTCGATCTTCTTGGAACTTTCTTCAGGGACAATTTGAGATCTTTTCCTATTGGAACCAGGCTTCTTAGTCTTGAAATGAAGTACTTTCGTCCAAGTTTCGGACCCACACACAGGATTTATTATGAAGTCGTGAAGATGAGAGGCTAATATTGCGAAGTTTAAGCCTCAAAAAGCCTTTAAGAATCCTTTGTCGATTGCCCGGTCCTTTATTTTGTCTCCAACTCTTAATTGTTTTGATAGCTCGTTCAATCGATGGGGACTTATCAGTGAGCAGGTGACCCCAACCACTCGGACCACTCTTCTTTCCCAACTGGACTCTTCCCCTTCAATCATTCTTTCTTTCTCTCGACCACATGCTCATCTCCTTTCTCCTATTACTCTTCGCCGGTCCTCTAGCTGCCGTCCAAAATGGGACGAAGCAGGTCCCAGTGGTTATCTGGCATGGAATGGGTAACCTTATAACTTCTCTGCTGCTTTCTTCCACTTTTCCTTTCTCACAGGTGACTGCTGTTGCAACCCTCTCTCGATGGGATCTGTCAAGAAATTGATTGAAGAGACGGTCCCGAACGTTTATGTGCACAGTTTGCAGTTGGGATCATCCATTGCGAAGGACATCGAGCACGGATTCTTCGCGAATGTCAATGAACTCGTCTACATGGCGTGTATCAAGATCAGAAATGATCCGGAGCTCAAGAACGGCTTCAATGCGATCGGTTTCTCGCAAGGAGCTCAATTTCTGTCAGTTTCCGCTCCAGTTATTGTCCATTTCTAACCGTGCTCATTTCCAGAAGAGCTGTCGCCCAAAGATGCCCAAATCCGCCAATGAAGAACTTGATTTCCGTGGGCGGTCAGCAGCAGGGCGTTTCGGAGCGCCCTACTGCATCGGAGACAACATCATGTGCAACAGCATGAGAAAACTGCTCGACTTGGGTGCGTACACTCCGTTCGTACAGAAAAGGTCGGAAGGAACTGATCATTGTTATCAGACAATATCGGTTTTGTTTGCAGAGTCGTTCAGGCGCAGTACTGGCATGACCCGAACAATCCGGAAGAGTACAAGAGACGGTCCATCTTCCTCGCTGACATTAACAATGAGATTGTGAGAGCCGACTGCTGACTCATACAGAATAATCAAAAGATGTTCAGGAAAACAATCCGTCGTACAAGAGGAACTTGCTGAATCTCAAAAACTTGGTACTCGTCAAATTTAACGACGATCACATGGTCGTTCCGAAGGAATCATCGGTAAGAAAAAGGAAACGTCGGAGGGGAAAAGAAGATGTTTCAGTGGTTCGGATTCTACAAAAACAGGGATATTGAAACGATTTTGGCCATGAATGAAACCGAGTTGTACAAAGAGGACCGGATCGGATTGAGAAAGCTGAACGAGAGCGGGCGACTCCATTTCATCGCAGTGGACGGAGATCATTTGCAGATTCCGAGAGAGACGCTCGTGAATGATATAATCAAAAAATACTTTATGTAGTTAGATTATTGAACACTTTTGATAAACTCGTATACATTCTCAATACACGTACTCGATGATTGCAGTCTTCTTCTTCTTTAGAACATCTCAAAGAAGTATGGCTCGGAAATGTCCGCGTGATAAATGTCGAATAGCCAGATAAGCTCCTTGATTTTCGACTTCTCCCGCGATATTCTCTGCAATGACACGGTGGAACCGAAGACGGCAATAAAGGTTTTGAAAGTGCTTACCCTCATGGCTTTCACCAGTTTCATAAGGACCAGAAGACGATGGGAGTAAATCTTTATGTCAGTGTGGTTCGTGTAGTAGACGTGCATTTGGTCCGCAATTTCTGCCCTCAGTTGCTCCAAAGCTTCTCCTGTTTCGGAGGTTACATCGCTTCCATCAAGTCCAACCAAATGAATCATACAGAAAACCACCTCTTCAGTGGTCGGTTTCAAGTCCAATAGTGGTCGGGCCACTTCATCTACAAACCGTTGAAAGTAGGGCTCGAACAGTCTGAAGAAATGCATAGTTGTATGTAATACTGAAGTATCAGTCACTTACTTATTGAAGTACTGATTGCTGAGATCGGTGATTGTTGCCAAGTCCACGTGAGTTCTATCCGGAATCATGGCGGAGTCATCATTCAGAAGTACGTACTGAAAATGATCTTTGTGGCCAAGTCGAATGTCAGAAGATGCTTACACCGCCACGAATGACTCCTTCTTCGAACACTTTCGCCGACATTTCAAGCCTTTCGAATGTTCTGATCGCATTCCAAGATGATCGGAATAGCTGCATCTTCTGGTCCATCGGAAGAGCCATCAGAGTTCGCGAGTTGGCAAACCAGTTGGCGTACTTGTAGATGCGGTCGTTCAGCCATTCCACAGTTGTCGTCACGTCCACTTTGTTCAGAAACTTAAGCAGAAAAGAACGGTTTGTTGATGGAAAAGAAAGCAGTTCTTACTAGAATTTGGCTCCGATCCTTTTGCTCACAACGAAAATGTTTGAGTGCAAGAGTTAAAGTCTCCAATTCACTCGAGTCGCACTCTATCTTCACCTGCAATCATTCAGTTTCGAAAAGAAGCTGAAAATGGGTACGTACCGAGAAAAGGGTCTCAATCTTTTTGACAAGTTCACTGAAGTCGATCACCATATTCGGCTCGTTCTGTTGTTTTGGTGAGAATGTAAACAGAAAGTTCGGGTCGACGCCGGGAGAATCACTCGAGTTCTGACGGCCGGAGCTGCTCGGGCTGCACTCCGACTGAGCCGGACTTCCATTCGGAGTGCAGCACTCATCCTGAACAAGAGTTCTAATGGAATTAATAGGCTGGATGTGCACTTACACTTCCGCTGTCTTCCATCAGTCCTCGAAACGAATACGTCGGATCATAGTCTAGTTGCACTTCTGAAAAGCAAGTCAATTCTGCTTCGAATCCCATTGAATCTCTTACTCTCTTCCGTCATCCCGATCGCTTTGCACTTTGCTAAACGACACTGTCGACAGACATACCTAAACCGTCAATCAAATGAAAATCACTTTCGATATCATCTCCTCACCTCCCACGCCCGTCAATGTTGCATTTGGAGTCTCCCTGCTTGCACTTGTACTGCAGTTTGAGCACCGTCGCTCTCCGGAAGAATGCCGCGCACGCTCGACACGTTAATGCTCCAAAGTGCATTCCGTTCGAAGCCTTCCGGCACACTAAACATGCCTTGTCCGGTACCATCTGGAATCACATTTTCGTTTCTGTTGTTTGTGTCGGACAGATACAATCGGAGAAAGAGAAAACGCATCTTTGAATTATGATTTGGTGATTCGATGATGTTAATGAATAGTTTTGGAAGATCAAAGAACTTGTTAGTTCGTTCTAACTGTTCGCACTAGATACGCAAATCACAAAACCTAAGGAAAATATGATTTGTGTTCAGATAAAGAGGTCGCCCTGATGATGTGAATCGGCGGCAGACAGCGCCGTGTTCTCCGCACGAATTCTACAGATTTTTTCGCTTTTCTGCAGAAGATCAATCTAACAAGCGAAACATTAAAGCGGATGATCAAAAGTCGGCAGAAAAGAAGAAGTCCACTTCTGTCTGACGAGAGGAAATTGATGCAAAAGCAAAAGTGCAGAAAGATTCGTATGTTGGAAAGTCAGAAAAGCTCAAAAAAGACATGGGTGACTGGCACCGAAGTGACAATCTCGACAATCTTTTGAAATGGAAACAACTGTGATCGCGGAAAATTCGGATCAAGTTCGCTGAGCTACCTTTTTATATGAAGGACGGTAAGAGGCGATCTTCCCCTAATTCGAAACATGTCTGTCCCTTCCGTCTGTTATCATGACTTGTTTCGTCGTCTCCGTCTCTTCGCTGATTGTCACTCTCTGAGTGTCAATTGCTACTCGGCTTCTCACGCGTCCCTGTTCGCCGAATTGTGGGACTTCCGTCGCCTTGTCAAGAGGCTAATGTCATCTGATTATTCTGTCTCTTTTTCCGACTCTCAACCCGCCGACTTTGCACGAACTGCCACTTTTCGCCAAACTCTGCAAGATGACAGGCTCCGCCCGTTTGCTAATTCGATTGGGTCCGATCTTTCGCGATTGTTGGTTGACTCATAAAAAACTGTGGAGACCCAGATGAAACGACGAAAACTACCGAGATAAACGTTCTTTCCCTTCATATCATTTTGATTTCTTCAAATCTAAATCTTCCATTCTCTAGCTGATTTCTTAATCGTACGTAGTTAAAAAGCATGTATGAGTTGAGAGAATGACTATGCATAGGTGACGAAAACCGACCGAAATGGTCAAAAGTTTTGGAGACATTGTATTTGGCAATCAGTTCCGCTTCCGTCATGATTCAGTAAGTACTATGTAGTTAGTAAGACATCGTAAAAGTTGTAGTTGGAGATTTGATTGATCAGGTTACTCTAGAACTCACAAAGCCACGAGGAAGTAAACGTTTCCGCGACCTCAGTGGTCCAAAATCCAGGGCCCGAAAAGCAGGTAGCTGTAAAAAACAAATGACCAAGAAATCATCCGAATTTTCGCGAGTTACTTCTAGTGATGGACCCCAGAACTGCTCGACGATTGGTTAATAGTCACCTATGTGACCCCTCTTCAACATTTCAACAGGAGTTTTTCGGAGAACATATTTATTGTCAGAGCAAAAGACACCTGGCTACAAAACCTCTGCACCCTTCTTACGAGACCTCTGGGTCTCGTGGCGGGCGTCTCCGAAACTACACCGATAGCACATGAATTACAATAAAGATTCTGAAAACAGAGCCCCCCTGCTCCAGGTCTCATAGGCCGGTACTCCTCCGGGCCTACGCGATCCGTCGACGACAGAGCGATATTCTCGCTCCGTCTCGGGTTCGGTGAGTCCTCGCGCCCCCTCGCGCCCACAGGTTCTCGCTCTAAGTTCAGACTGTGATGGTAAATAAATAAAAGAAGAGTTAATCAACAGATGGCGTCAACATGGATGATGGCGTCGAACAGGAGAATTGAGTCTTCGGCCGCTGCCCCGGCCTCCGACATTGTTCGTCGCGCACCTTCCACCTTGCCGTCAGACGATGACTACTGAGTCGTAGGAGGAGTGCTCGATCTACCTGCAAGAATTTATTAAAGGCGCATCCGCAATGCGTCCATGGGTCTCGCCACGCTCGACAGTACGGTCGAAGCCGCTGCCTGTGTCTCTACTGCGGCATGAGTCCCTCTCGGCTTCTCTCTGCGTCTCTGCACGCCAGATGATCTCTCTCCTCCGGTGATGATGAACACCGTAACTATTAGTAAAACATAATGAAGTGACAGACGGTAGTCTGGCGTTGGTAATTCGGAGCCTTCGGCTACGTTACCAACACAATGAGTCGTGAGGAATGTCATTTCTAGACTGAACTTCGCGACATTCCCCCGGCGAAAAAGTGGCACAGCCGGCCATTTTTCTGTAGTCAATGGGTTTTTTGACTTTTCTCGGTAGGCTGTGTCTTGTAGTCCGAGCCCCCTCGCTCTGAGATGATCTTTCTCTGACTACCGTACTCCCGTCCTCTTTCCCTTTGGGATCTGTCGCCCTGGACTGTTCTCGCGTTTCCTCTTCGTTCAGGTCGACTTCGAGTGGTATCAGATGCTTCACTGATCTTTCTATGGTCGTGTTATTCGACCATAGCACCACTGCCCGGACTTCCCCATCCGGTTCCTTCTTTAATTTCAGGATCCGTCCCAACGGCCACTTGTGACGTGGGTAGAATTCCTTTTCCACTAATACTACTTGCCCCACCTTTGGGATTGTAGCTGTGGAATTTGTCGCCTTGCCTTGCGATTCTCTCAGGTTGACCAAGTATAATTGACTCCACTCCACCCACAACTTTTTCAATACTCCGTTGAGTCCGGCCAAATACTCTCTCGTCACCTTCTCCGTGGTCGCTCCCTGCGACTCCTGGGTCTGCAGAGGAATACTTATTTGGACCTGCGGAAGCAACAAATCGATTGGTCTCAAGGCGATTGGATCTCTCTCATCAGCCGAAGTCGAAGTTATTGGCCGATTGTTGAGAGTTCCTTCAATTTGAATCATCACTGACTCAAGTTCCACGTAGGTTAACTTGAATCTGTTCACTGTCTTATAAAAACTGTTTCTTTACGAGGCCTACCACCCTCTCGTACACACCTCCTTTCCATGGTGACAGGGGTGTTATGTTTCTGATTTCGATTTCTCTCGTCGCGAGGAACACCGTCATCTCATGACTTCCGTGGATTCGATCCCGGATGTCCTTGTTGATCATTTCGTTCCCCAGTTTGAATGACGGGGCGTTGTCGCATACGATGGATTTGGGTACTCCCCTTCTAGCGAAATATCGCGACATCGCCATCAAATACGAAATCGTCGAGTTGTCGAGGACCAGCTCAAGGTGAACTGCCCTTGTGAGCAAACACGTAATCAGCATCACCCATGCTTTTTCCTCCTTGTTTCTTAGCGTTCTGTAGGTGATTGGACCGAAATAATCCAATCCCACATGAGCAAACGGAGCGACCGGTGTGGTTCTGCACGACGGCAGGGTTTTGGAATAGGGGTACCTGAACGGTCTCCCCACCTGTCTTCTGCACCTGGAACACCTTCGAATCACCTGTTTTACAAGTGTTCCCACTTGTGGTATCCAATATTTTTGTCTGATGGCTGCGATGAGATAGGTCTGCGGGATGTGCATATTCATCCTGTGAACCTCTCGAGCTATCAGTGTTGCCAGTTCGTGGTCCCGTAGGATCAAGATCGGGTTCTTCGCATCGGCTGACAATCTGGAGTTGTCCAGTTGTCGATGATACCGATACACTCCTTCTTCCCCCGGCTCCAAATTCATATTTGTCGGTAGACTGAGATTCAGTCTCGACTTTCCGTCTTCATAATGCCTCGCAATCACGAACGTGCGCGCGATGCATCTTTGTCTGACGTGATTGTCTTTCGCTTTGGCCAACTGTCTCATGACCAGACTCTCCCACTCTTTGTTCGGTAATTTTCTTACGAACCACCTCATCACTAGCCCCATCACCGTGGTTAGCTTTGCCAGAGAACTTACTCTATTGTACGGGATGAAGGGTCTTTCCTTCCCGTCCTGATCGGTCGTGTCTACTGCCAACGCCGCGGTCGCGTTTAACTTCTTTTTCGCTGCCTTACTCAGGACCACCTCTTTCAAAATCAGCTCCCTGAACTCCTGCGGATAACTGATCTTCCCCTCAAGTCGTATCGGCCACTCGGATTCTGGATTCTTGAGAAACTCAGGTCCGTCGAACCATAAGCTGTTATTGAACAGTTTCTCCATGACCACTCCTCTGGACGCCAGATCCGCCGGGTTATACTCTGTTGGGCAATGATGGAATGATGGATCGAAACCCTTCCCCTTCAACCACAGAGTGTTTTGATGGATTTTTTCAACTCTGTTATGAGCGAACTTTGTCAACTTCTCTTTCTTCAATACCCAATATAGGGCAATCATGGAGTCCGAAAAGAACTTCACTCCCTTCAATTTCTCCATTTTCAACTCCTTGTACGCCGTGAGCGACGCGTGGGATGCTATCTCCATTCCCATCAACTCCAATCGCGGGATCGACAAGCTCACGTTCTTTGGTTTCACCTTAGATTTTGACATCACCAGTTTTGTGACTGGCTCTCTGTCTTTGTACCTGAAGTGTGCGTACACTGCCGTTGCGAAATGCCTCTCGGAGGCGTCGCTGAACACTAGCAGTTGGACGCTCTCGTAATCATAATGTACCACCAACTGTCGCGGTAGTGTATATGACGTTTGAGTGAACGATTCCTTTATCACCTCCCACTCTTTCGATAGCTGCTTTGGAATCCTCTGTTTCCATTTCACCTCTTTCTCCCACAACTTTTTGTATAACCTCCTTGACCGGCACGATTATAGGCGAGAGTAACCCCTGGGGGTCGTAATTGGACGCTAAAAACGATGCCATCTGCCTTTTGGTCGGGTGGCCAGTTGGTGGTTTAGGAATTTTTATTGTGATTGTATCATTCACACTATCCCACACGTGACCCAATAACTTGTTCACTTCTGATTGGGCCCGGTCCACCACTGGTACCTTTTCCATAGTCCCCTTGCTATTGGTCATGTATTCTCTCAGGTTCATAGACATGTTGTTAAACGCCTTTTTTGATCCTGAGTACAGCTCCGGGAGTTCGCTTTCCTCATTGGTTGTCAATACGACATTATCCACATACAGGTTACTTTTGATTCGCTCATTTATTTCATGCGGGTTCATCTCCAAATACAGCAGAATCGTCGCCGCCAAAATAAACGGTGAGCTTGAAGCTCTGAAGGGTAGCTTTGTGAACCGGTAGACCACGAGATTTTCGTGGTTCGTGGACCCCTCTGGATCTTTCACCCACAGGAACTTCACCACGTTCCGGAACTCCGGTCGAAGAGGGACTTGATGGAATGCCTTGGCTATGTCCGCTATCAACAAGTATTTCGAACATCTGGCTCTCATCAATATTCCGAGTATTGGGAGTAGAAGTGAGGGTCCTGCGTGCAAGCAGTCGTTTAATGATAATCTCCCTCTCATTCTACTCGATGCGTCTAGCACAATTCTCAGTTTGGTTGTGCACGACTCCTCTTTCATCACATGCCGGTGCGGCATGTAATAATGGAGGCCCTCGGCGTGTAACTCTGACTCCGGGACCACCTCTATTATCCCCTCCGCGAGCTGAGTTTTTATCACTGAATCATACTCCCACAATGTTCTTTTGTCCTTTTGAAGAACCGTCAGAAGTGATGACAGTCTTAGGATGCACACCGGAAAGTTGTCGGTTAAGTCCGCTTCTCTCCCGTTGAACGGTAGAGCGACTTGTATTTTGCCGTCAACCATGGTTGCGCTTTCTCTGAACTTCTCCAGAAGTGTCTCGTCACTCTCTCCCCTTTTCTGCCAGTTCTTGTGGTTGGATTCCCACGTGCTCCAGCTGAAACAGTCGTGAGATCCCCTCAAATATCTGGGCTTCGGAGACTTGACGATACTCCACAACTTCCAACGTGTTAACTACCACTGAATTATAATACTCGTTGGTTTCTACTTCCAATCCTCTTTCGGAAGATAGCCGAAACTCATTACTTGGTGTCGGATGAGTTATTATTCCGAGCTTGGTTTCTTCGACTATTCTACCGCTTGGCAACACATGCCTCTTCGCCTCGGGCGCCAGTTTCGCGATGAAACTTGCTCCCAGAATGAGATCAATTCGATCTCCGTTTTCTGTTCTCATCCCCATTATACTGTACGGGTTAATCCTTTTTCCTTTTCAGGTGTTTGATATCTTTTTGAGCTAAAAAAACTGGTGCTCTAAAGATGATCGGGATCTCCGGGTGTGTTGAGATTTCGGTTGTCCAGACCAAATCCTTTTTCACCCTTGAATTGAAGACGGACTCTGTTGGACTTTACAGTTCCCGCACCGTTAATTCCTATCACCTTCATTTCCTCCGACCGCAAGATCGGAAGTCGCAGTCTCTCCGCTGCTCGTTCAGATACCAATGACCTCGTCGCCCCCGAATCAATGAGTGCTAACAATCTCTCCCCTTTGGGTGTGTTAATCTTTATCTGTGGAAGGCGGTATAACGCGTCCTCCTGACTACACATTATTATTTCTTCGAGTTTACTCTCCCTTTGTTCTTCCGACTCTCCTTCTCGAGTCTCTTCTCCTGATCCCCCGTTTTTAGTTTGAACAGTATTGGCGTTGTCTGTTCTTATGGTTGCTGTGGGCAAGGTAGCTTGTGGCACGTGAATCGTGTTGTACGATTCCGTGCCTGCCCTGAGCCGCTTATTGGCGGGAGGAGGAGGAGCTTTCACGAAAAAAACTGGGTCTTGTTCTTTTCTGGTTGCTCCAATTTTTCTCCTCAGTGGACACAAGAACATGCTGTGCATCTCCTGGCACAAATAGCACTTCTTGGGGTATTTGCATTTTTTGGTGGGGTGGTATTTCGAGATGCAATGTCTACACAGCTTCTTTTCCTCCACCACCTTTTCTCTCTCGTCCATGCTCATGGAGCAGAAGGCGGTGTAGTGATCTGATCCGCAGAATCTGCACACCGTCTCCCCCTTCGGCTTTGGGTTGCTCTCATCTTTCCCCTTTTTCCACCCGCTCTTCCGATTGTCCGCCGAACTCTCAGGTCTTTCTCTGTTTCCGTACCCTTTTCGGCCGCTCTCTGACTTTCTGTTGTCTCCCACCGCGCAGATTTCTGCCAACTCCATTTTTCGTTTGTGGTCTTCTCGGGCTTGTTCCACGTAGCCTTTCTCCACGATCTTGTCACGGATGGCACTGATCACTTGGAGGAATGTCATTCTTGACGATCTCATCCTTTTCACTACGTGGCTCATGATATCCACTGGCAACTTCTTTATCAACTCATCGATCATGAGCGGGTGATCCATCGGAACCCCGTTCTGATTGAGTTGGTTGGCTATTGCCACGTGCCTGGATATGTCTGTGTCCATTCTCATATAATCGTTCGGGTCTATCGGTAAGTCCTTGAACTTTCTCATGAGCTTCGGTACACGATCTTTCGCGTACGTGGCTTCCAAGAGCTCTCTGGTCTTCCGATAGTCCTCCTCCGTGAAAGTTGTGGTGGTCACCAACTTCCGTGCTTCTCCTGTCAGACATTTTTTTAGAATGCAGTACTTCGTCGCCGCCGTGTAGAACCCGTTGTGGTGTACCTGTTCGTCGAATTGGTTTATGAATTCGGGGTACAAATCGGGGTCTTCTCCTGAGAACTTGTCGATTGACTCGATCATGTCTCTTATGGAGATGTTCTGCGCGCCACCGGATGGTTCAATCGGTGATCTGCTGTTTCCCCCCCACGGGCTCGGCTCTGCGGCTCTCTCTCTGCCTCTCAGTCTGTCCTGAAGGATCTCCTGGACATCCGACAATTGCTCTTGAAGGATCTCGTTCTCCCGCATGAGCATCTCATTCAACTTTTGTTGGCTCATCTGCCGGGTCGGTTCCGGAGTCTCTGGAGCCAATCTCGCCGCCTGCAATCTTCTCCTGGCTTCCTCCGAGACCTGATCACCCTGATCCCCGATCCTGCCACGACCGGTTTGGGCGTTCAACTCCTCTGTCTCTCCGTTACTTTCGCCGACTCTACGCCTTTTGAGCCTGTCCGATCGTGAGCTGATTCTCATTACTGCTCTCCGTCTCCGATTGGCCTCTTTCTTCTCCTTCTGGCGTCTCCTCGCCTTCCGGAATTGGAGTGGCCGCGATCGCCCGCTCCGCCTTCTCGATCACCGCCGCCACCTTTTCCTGCAACTCTGCGAATCTCAGCTTTCCGCAGTGCTCTTCGATCAACTTTATGCTGTTCGCCTTATCCGCTTTCAATACGGCGGACGCTTCAACCTTGAGTTCGATCGTTTCCTTGAAACCGGAAACGTCGACAAGTTGCGTTATCAGCTTCTTGTTTAGGTTTTTGAGCATAATAATGCGCCGTGGTTCTGGCTCCTCGGCCAAAATCAACTCAGCTTTCTTCACCGTCTCCTTGACCAAGTTGGCCATTTTTGTGAAGTATGTTTTTGCCGTCGCCAGGGATTGACGCTGTCCTTGTCCCTCCTGACGTTCTTCGGCCATTTCCTCTCTGTGATCCTCCATTGTTGAACTATTCGTGCGGTGTACACGTTACTTTCCAAGCTCGATACCTGAAAAGGTTACTTCTAGCCTCTTGTACCCCCTTTTGCACAATAATCTGACGATCCCGTTGATCAGGCGGGAGCTGATTACTCAATGAATTCAACTTTGGCTGACCGTTTCTTTGACACCTGGAGCGCTCTAATTCTCCTGGTGTATCTTATCTTGACGGATTGGTACCAACTACATTCTCAGGGCTTACGCCGATTGCCTGGAACTTGGAATTTTTTGCTAGCGATGCCGATCACCTCTTTCGTGCGGCCTTTGCACTTTTTATATCCCGCTTGTGTGCCTTTGCGTGCCTTCGCTCATTCTTTTTCGAGCTTTGCCAACACCGTTTAGGTTGGTTTTCAGTGCCTTACACTCTTTCGTGCGGCCTTTGCACTTTTATATCCCGCTTTGTGCTGTCGCGTGCCTTCGCCCTTCACTCCGAGCGTTGCCAACACCGTTTAGGTTGGTTTCCCGTGTATCCTTCTGCTGGATACCTTTTTCTACCGACTTTTTCACCTACTACTCCTCCCTTTTCCTCTCTTTTTCCCTTGGTGGGAAGCTTCAGTGACTCTCCGATAGGTTGCTTTGGCTGCAGTGCTTCTTCTGCTGCCGTTCTTCCTTTTTCGTCTATTTCTCCGCTCTCTCGCCTCCTCTCCTGCGCTCGCTCTCCGCGCTCGAGTTGCCTGAGACGATGGAGCCTTTTCGGGGTTTGAGATGTCTCTAACTCGAGTAATTTCTGATTCCAGGTCACTTTCAGACAAGTTGGTCGCTTCTCTGTCTCACATATTTCAGGATCTCCGGTTTTTCTCTCGCGTTTCCGCGGATTACCTTCGATTCCCCCACCTCGTAATCTTACTTCAGTGGTAGGTTTTGACTGCTTCTCAACTTTGTCACCCTGTATTTTCCGTACTCTCACTCTCCCCGATTTTCATTCTTTTTCTTTTTTCTTTTTTCGGAGCGGTTCATTACTTTTTCCTGTAATGACCGTTTCCCTTCTACTCTCTTTCTCCGCCTTTCGTGTGGTTCAGCTTTCTCTTTCTCTCATTTTCTTCTGAGAATATCACCTTCTCCCCTTTTTTTATCTCGTTCTGGCGTGTATTGCTACGATTCTCCATGCAATCATATTTATTAGTAAAACACACTACCAACAAACAAAAGGTTAGAATTTCTCTTCTGTTGCGACTACAGGCATCGCCTGCCTCGCCTCACTCGCGGTCACTCCTCGTTGCCGGCTCGCGCTTCTTTCACTGGCTCCTCCGGCCCAGCCTGCTCCTCCGGCCCAGCCTGCTCCTCCGGCCCAGCCTGCTCCTCCGTTTCCATGTCCGCGTCTCCCATTTTCAACAGGTGAACCGGGTTGATTAGCTGTAAGGTTACAGTTCTTTTTTTTTTTTTTTTTCTCAGGCCGTCCCCCTCTTTTCACTCCTCTCACCTGGATTTTTCCGGCCGCTCTCTGTTTTCCCGGGTACGGATCCGTCGCCAGCGCATCTGGTTTCGGCGACTCCATCTCACCTCGGGCACCTTGGGTGACAGCCGTGGTCTGTAATCGTACAGTTCTCATTTCCGTTTCTCCCCTCATTTTTTCTTCTCACTCACTGGGAATTTCTGCCTGCACAACGCGTTGTGATGTACGGCCTTGCAGTACTGGCACCGTCTCCTTGCCTTCTCGCATTTCGCGTGGGCCGCTGCTCGGGTGCACCTGTCGCACAGCTCCTTTCTCCGAAGCTGTTGCTGGCGTGTCTCCCAATCTGGGTAGATCTCGCATTTCTCGCTGATATGCCCTCCGTTGCAGAAGCAGCATCGCGGGCCTGGGGTCTTTATGTCCCAGACCGCTGTTCTCTTCCTCGTAGGTTCTCCCGGATGCAAGAGCGAGCTCCCGAGCGTAGTCTTCGTTTGGAAGACTCTGGCTACCACCAGGCTGTGGGTGCTCTCGAGTTGTGCAATCGCTGCCCGAACTCTTGACTCCAGGTGCTTCGCCGCGTCCGCCTGGAAGTCGGTCGCTTTGGTTGATTCCTTGCACGCCTGCTCCATCTCCTCCATCTTTCTCCCCATCGAGTTTGTCAAACCGACGATCGCCTTCGTGAGCGCGTTGATCGCGACGACCACCTGTTCGTTTTTCACCTCAGATTTTAACGTCGCTGCCAACTGCTGCTGCTTTTTTTGAAGCTCTCGCAGTTCGTTCGAGCTCGTCGTCGTTGTCAGAGCTATGGCTTCTAGCTTCTCACGGATTTCCGTGATCTCGGCTTGCCCCCACTCTCCGCCACTTCTTCTGTCTTCGTTGTCGCTCTCTTCCGGAGACTGGTGTGCTCCTCTTGAAGATTCGCTTCCGCTCCGCTCTCCCCGAGTGTTCCGTCCCCGCTCTGAGCGAGCGCTTATTGCTCCTCTTGATGCCTGTCTGGCCATGGCTGCCTGCAAATCACGTACTTTAGTTCAGGTTCTCGGGATGTCTATGAAAAACGACTTGCGAGGATTCTGAAGCAATACAGTTTATCGTGATATTCTCTGGGTGCTCTCCCGCGCCTACCCCTCTCGGCGCGTCCGTCTCTTACATCTGCCACGTCTCTCGTCGCACCCCTCGAGAATGTACAGAGACGTCCCCCCGTCGCGTTTTCGGAGTGTCTTTTTCACTTTTCTCCGCGCTTTTCCATCAAGGTTCTTAATCTCTCAATTTTTCACCAATTTTGTGCCCCCTCGCAACTTCTCTCGCACCTATCTGTGGCAAAATTGGTTACTTCTGCAGTTTTTTGACCAAGTCTAACTGCATATCGGTCTGATGCACCATTTCGCGAGTTACTTCTAGTGATGGACCCCAGAACTGCTCGACGATTGGTTAATAGTCACCTATGTGACCCCTCTTCAACATTTCAACAGGAGTTTTTCGGAGAACATATTTATTGTCAGAGCAAAAGACACCTGGCTACAAAAACCTCTGCACCCTTCTTACGAGACCTCTGGGTCTCGTGGCGGGCGTCTCCGAAACTACACCGATAGCACATGAATTACAATAAAGATTCTGAAAACAGAGCCCCCCCTGCTCCAGGTCTCATAGGCCGGTACTCCTCCGGGCCTACGCGATCCGTCGACGACAGAGCGATATTCTCGCTCCGTCTCGGGTTCGGTGAGTCCTCGCGCCCCCTCGCGCCCACAGGTTCTCGCTCTAAGTTCAGACTGTGATGGTAAATAAATAAAAAGAAGAGTTAATCAACAGATGGCGTCAACATGGATGATGGCGTCGAACAGGAGAATTGAGTCTTCGGCCGCTGCCCCGGCCTCCGACATTGTTCGTCGCGCACCTTCCACCTTGCCGTCAGACGATGACTACTGAGTCGTAGGAGGAGTGCTCGATCTACCTGCAAGAATTTATTAAAGGCGCATCCGCAATGCGTCCATGGGTCTCGCCACGCTCGACAGTACGGTCGAAGCCGCTGCCTGTGTCTCTACTGCGGCATGAGTCCCTCTCGGCTTCTCTCTGCGTCTCTGCACGCCAGATGATCTCTCTCCTCCGGTGATGATGAACACCGTAACTATTAGTAAAACATAATGAAGTGACAGACGGTAGTCTGGCGTTGGTAATTCGGAGCCTTCGGCTACGTTACCAACACAATGGGTCGTGAGGAATGTCATTTCTAGACTGAACTTCGCGACACGAATAATCAAAGCACGTAAATTAATCATATCAGACACGTTTTTGCATAACGTCGCGCCTTTTAATTCGAATGACCCTGATCACCTCTCCGTCCTAAAGTGGAACAGCTCGGTGCTCATCACAAATAATATGATCTTCCGATTCCATGTATTTTTGCAAAGTGCGCGCCGCCCCAGTGTTCGAATGAGTTGTGATGTTTATCCAACACTGGCACGCGGCAAAAGAACCAAACAACACAGTTTTGCCGAGTGCAAAGAGCGCCTTCCCCGGGTCACCGACAAACTACACGGAAATCGTGGCTCGACAATTTGTGACTGTCGAGTACTATGTGTTGGCCGCCGAACACTCACTTGGCAGCTATTATTAGAACTGTGTACGTAAAAGCCGAGTACATCGAGATCATTCGAACACTTTCTCTCTTTCTGAACTGAGGTATGTAGTCTCTGTCCGCAGCTGCTCAGAGAGCGTGCAAAGAGAACAGAACATCGGGCACAAAACGTTTGTTCAATGATGTCTCATTTGGATACTCATTATGCATCCATCAAACTTCAATTCTATGTTCCGAACTTGTCTCTTGATTCAAAAAAAACGGCTCACAGAGTGAAACCAAAACCGAAATTACGTAGTCTAATTTGAGCAAAGACTTCTTAGGATCTATTCAATATCATAGAACCCTCATGATTAGTTTCGGAATGAAGTATCTTCTGTAAAAGTTCCAGTTCGATTGAATGATTTGAAATGTAATAGCAATAGGGTTAAGAGACTAGAAGGACTCTGGGCTATGAGAAACTGGAAATTATTAGCAAAAATGTAGGTGTACGGCAGCTAACAAGCAAGAAGTACACGACAAAAATGAGCCGAGTCCCCCCTCCACAACTTTTGCATGTTTGTTCACTTCGCCGGCGGTCACTTCGCGCACAATATGTGATCTGTATCTTCCAGGAAATCGGCAACCAAAGTCACAGTGTAGCCATTTCTAGTCTTCGTTACCAGAAGATTTCCGACCTTCGGAAGCTCTTGATCTCTTGGGCAAGCAGTTGAAAGCAGAACAGTCTGCTACTATTTTTAGTGTGCGACACATTGTCCTCATCGTTATCACTTCTGATTTCGGTTCAATCTGGAAGATTGATTCTCCGTCGCAAAAAAGACAGAAAGCGTTTGATAAGGAACGAAAGAATGATCAAAATAGTTTTCGATCTCATTAGGAAGCGGTTTTCGGACACGAAATCCGCGAAAAATCGTATTTTGTAGCCTTACATAGGGTAGACAAATCTTAATCGAACGAAACGATTAAATCACAGATCGTGTTTTCCTTAGACGCCTCTTTAGATTCGGAATGACGTGTTTGATCGTTGCATAATCATTTATTAAATAGTTCTATATACACGTACAAGTTCGGGAAAGTGTCGAGAGTGTCAGCTGCTTAGACCTTTGGGACTCCTCCGACGACGGCGTGCTCGATTCCGCACTCGTTGGTTCCACGGATGATGCGGAAGTATCCGTTCTCTCCCCAGTTGACATTCCACGAGTTGGCGACGAGCCAGTACGGAGTTCCGTTGTCGGTTCCCCATCCGAGGATTCTGATCGCATGTCCTCCGAGCTCTTCTCCGGAAGTGTGCACGTAGACTCCGGTCGTGTACTGGTAGAAGTCCTCGTAGACGGTGAACGCGGCCTCAACCGGTCCGTTGGCGATGATCTCGGCCTGGATCTGGGCGACCTTCTTTCCGACGGCGTAGGCGGTGCTTCCGAAGTGCTTGTCGCTCTTGTAGGCGACCGAGTAGTTTGAGTTGGTGCACGCGTGGGCACACTTCGGGGTGTTGTATCCGTCTTCTGGGCAGTCTGGCCAGGTCACGTTTCCGACGGTCTCGGAGCACGGGGCGAGCGAGTACGGCTTGCATCCGAACTGGGCTTCGTAGGATCCTCCGGTGCAGAATCCTTGCTTGACGAGCCATCTCCACGCCTCGATTGGGTATCCTCCGTCGCATCCGTATCCGCAGGAAGAGCAGCACGAGAGGACGTCTTCGGCGGAGAGCAGGGTGTTGACGGTTCCGTTGGAGGCGATGCAGAAGCGGTCGGAGGCGGCTTCGGCGGCGGCGAAGGCCCAGCAGGATCCACAGTCGGACTGGTCACGGATGTTATTGATCGAGACGCAGTTGGGCCATTGCTGACGGGCGTCGAAGGTGACTGGGATGGTGGCGGCGTCGACTTCTGGCGCGGCGAGAAGGTCTTCCTCGGAGTGCGGGGCGACGAATTGGGTCTTCATGAGACGTCTCTTCACCTGCTCAATCGAGATGTGCTTCGGGATCTCGGCCTTCCAGAGGGACTGCTTTGAGTTGACATAGTCGGCGAGGGCCTGTCCGGACAAGGTGCGTGGCACAATTGGGAGGACGAGTCCAGCGGTGAGAGCTACCAAAGTGGCCAAAATGACGTACTTCTGAAGAGGAACCCGTTTGGAACTGAACTGGTGGTGCCTCGGAAGATGCACAACTTACCATGATCGGAAGGCGAAGAGCAAATGCTGATCGCATCTTCCTTCGGCTCCCCCTTTATACTCGATTCTTTATCAGTGGGGGAAGTGCGCTCAAACTCGTTATCAGCTGAATCCGGAATCGAAATCGAAAGAAAGACGTGCGGTGCCTGGTAGGAAGAGCGCCTAATTAGGAGAGAGTCATGTGACGCACGGCGCCTCGCGACTGAGCACAATGATCTCGTGCAACATCGATAAGAGTTGGGCAAAGTACGTCGCGTCGGATGGTTCGATGGGCACCATTATCGGTGAGAAGACGAGACGGGAGAAGAGGACGGAGCGGATTAGAGGCGACGAGTTGTTGCTGATCAGATTGGGCGATTGATCGGAGAGTTTGCGACGGAGCTGGAAATGATCTGATGTGCTGGATTGCTGTAGTCGCGGACACATTGCAAACGGCCAGGGCCATCCCGGACTGGAGGATATTTTTAACGGTCTGGACCCTGTCCGGCAACGTTCTCGCTCAGAAAATTGTCCGTTCGTGTATTTTTTAACGTCAGTGCTACATCACCTTTTAAGATGACAATTATTAGAGCCGTTTCGCAAAAAAAACATACTTCTTTAAAATTTGTTGAATTACAGGATTTTCGCAAGCATAGTTTTCGGTGACATCGTTGTAATAGATATTTTACATAAATTCCTTTCAAACTTCCCAACATTTTCAGATTTTTCTGCCGGATTCAGCGTTAAAATCCATCATTTTCAACGTGAGATTCTTGAGAGTTGGGCTCCTCTTTTCTTATCTTTTCTGCTTACTCGACACGGTTTTCGCTCACTGTTATCTTCCTATTCGGTAATAAATGCGTTGTTTACATCTATTGAATTTTCCTGAAATTTCCATGACGGTATCCTACTGATTTGATTTTTTGGTTCCAATGGCATTTAAACGCGACCGTTGATAGCAGAAAGGAGATTATTATATACCGATTAAATAACAACCAGTTTCATAAACAAAAAAGAAGAGGAACACAGATGATAAAAAAATGCAATACCCAATTAATATAGTACAGGAAAAAAAGTGAAAATAAATAAATAAATACTATGAAATTGGAACAATACAAGTCAAAGCACTATTGCTTTCCGAGAATCTTTTCAATTTGTCGTTTCGTGTCTTCCGGTCCGTTCACAGTGTGTCCGATAGTTCGCGAGTCTGCAAAGATCTCATGATCGTTTCCTCCCGGAGCAGTTTTGTCTCCGAAGAAGTGAATCACATCGTAGTCCTTCTCGATGTACTGCAGGCAGAACGTCTTGTCCCATCCAGTTGGGAAAACATCCACACTGATTTGTCCTCCGATCGCAAACTCGAGTCCGTATTTGGAAAAGTTCTCTTTGAGCGCATCGACGAACTTCGCGCGGACTCCGTTCTCTCGATCGAACACCACAAACTGATCTCTCTCCGCTTGCGAGCAGCTCCTTCCGATCGGCGACAGATTGATCATTCCGTTTCGGAATTCGACAAAGTTACCTCTCTTCACCGGCAGTCTGATGTCTGACATGTAGCGGAGGGCGAAATTGATAAGCTCCTGGAGCTTCTCGTCTCCGATCGCCTTCTGAATTGATTGCGACGGGAATGGATCGGTTCCTTTGAATCCGACGAGTCCGTTTTCACTGAAAATGTAGTCGAACAGGGAGAGAACTGTAAAAAAGATTAGAATAAACATATTATTTTTTACAACTCACGATGGTCTTTGTCATCGGCTAGTTGCTCCGTGATTTTGTTGAAATCCGATCCTCCGACGACTGCGAGCGGCATGGTCTTGCGGGTTTCAACTAGAAATTCGAGCATTTCCGGTGTTATCTTCTGTAAAAAACTGATTTATTTGATTTAAAACTAATGCTTTGCGTACCTGGCGAGCGGCGGTCAGAGTTCCGTCCACATCGAAAACGAGAATTGTGTTTGTAGACATCTCGTGAGTTGCCTGATATAATTGAAATGTTACAACGGGGTTTCAGGAACGATAAAAAGCCAAAAACGAAGAACATTTCAAATGGCAACAGGGAAAAATGGAGGAAAAGAGAGGTCTCTTGCTGAGTTCACAACGCCACGTCTCTTTATGACAGAGACACGTTTCATAGCTTTCGCAGCTGCCACCTCCCCTATTCAAATAGAGACAACAACAAAAATCGATAAAAGTAGGACGACAATGATGAATTCAGACAATGATAGAGCAAAGGAGCTTTTCAAAGTGCAGACTGCGAAAAAAAAAGTGCAATGCATTGCGCAATGTTTTATCGTTGGGCTACGGTACGAAAGTGTGCATTGAACGGCGCGGTGTTTGCGGACTATCGGGGTCGCGTGAGCGCTCAATACTGGGAATCATTTTGCATTTCAATTAACTTCAACGCCAGTCTATTAAATTTTCGGTTAGAATCTTAAATTTTTTATTTAAAATAAAAATCCCTCACAGTTTTCTCATTCAAAAAACGTATAATGTCGTTTGAATTTCGTTTACTCATCAGTATTTCAGATGTCGATATGTTATCACTGTGGAAGAGTAACAGACGAAAACGACCTGCAAGAACTGCCAAAAGACGAGGAACTGCTCGAGAAGTTTATAGAACATCACAAACTTGAGCCAGTTGTTCAGAAAAACGACGAGAGCGTCTATGTTTGTAAAGGGCATCTCGAGGAAGAGATGAAGGTGATTCCGAAGGAAAATTGAGCAATTTCATTGAAGTTTATTCTTTCAGTCTCGATCTCCAGAGCCAATTGACGAGTTTTCCGATGAGGTGGATCCTGAAGCTGTTTTCCAGATGGACGTGAAGCAGGAAGTGGAAGAGGAGCCTTCAGGATTCTTCACAGAAGCCAAAGAAGAGCCTCCGGTCGAAGAAATCAGCTACGACAGTTTTCCATATGAAATGGAATCGACCTCAAACAGCTACAGCACATTCGAGGAAACTGGCAGCACTCACGAACAGCCGGACAGCTACGAAGAGTGCCAACCGACGACTTCCTCCGCGCACGTCGTCAAGGATGAATCCTACAACGACATGCCAGTTTATCTGCCAGAGCTCACCGACGGTCAGATCATGTCGGTTTGTGTCAAAACGAGCGGGACCACGAGCGGTAAATCGTCGTTCGAATGCGGACTGTGTCCGGAGAAGTTCTTCAGTTCGGACACCCGTCCGATTCGACTGCATCTCCACTTGAAACACTGCGTTTCTATGAATGCACTGAAGAATAATAAGCACACGTTAGTTTTTCTTTAGTGAAATCAATCAATATCGGTTCCTTCCAGCCACCTACTTCCGAAAGTGTTCGGGCCTTTATCGGCGAGCACAAGAGCGGAAGCGGACAAAGCGCTGTGTCGCTTCATCCTGAGAAACGGAATGCCTCTGAAGTCTGTGCTGGACCGCAATCTGGAGATGCTCGCTTTTAACATGAATTCAGAATACACGCTCCCCTCTGTCGACACACTTTTTCAGTACGTGGAAGAGTTTTCAGAACAGGCAGCAGTAAGTAAAAAAAAGTGGAATTCCAAATTAAATTATGATTTTTAGTTGCACATTACACCGATCGACACACATTATGGCCCAGTGGCAGTGACGTTCGACACAACAATGTTTAATAACGTGAAATATCTCGCATTTACGGTGACGTTTTACAAAAATCGGAGCGAGACGCAGAGAAGAATATTTTTGAGAGAAATCGAATCCGGACGGTATATATATTTTTCATATTTTAGAGTATTCTACAATATTTACAAAATTTCCAGACAACTAGTCCCCCACATCATGTCAACAATCCGGCAAACCATCGGCGATACGGATTCCAGCCTTCAGATTTCGACAGTTGTGACCGGAAATACGGAACACGAAGAGACTTTGGAAGACTTGGGTTGCTTCAGACAAGTGTACGTCTGCTGAACTCACCGCAATCTCAATTTTTCTCGTTTTCAGGATGGTTTGCTTCTCGCAAAACATTGACAAGTTTGCGAAAGCGTTGACAACTCATCCGATTTTCGCAAAACCTCTGAACATTCTCCGAAATTTCATTCGCAAATTCCCTCAGCAACGTCAACTTTGGCTGCAGTTCAAATCGTGAGTTTGTCGATCTGATTGCGTCTTTGTTGCGGTGTTTTCTTGCGGCCTGCTGTTTTCGAACCATTTCCACCCAAAAGAGCCGCAACTAGGCGGACGTGGTTCGCAAGCATCATGCCGCAAGAAAAATACCGCAACAACGCTGGACGTTCTCCAGATTTGTCGTTAAACGAAGAACCTACGGAGAGTTCCCGTCAATTGACGAAGGGCACTGGTGCCACACTCTGGATTTTATCACGAAATGCCTGCACATGGTAATCGGCTAGAATCATTCGAATACTTGTTTTGAATTACTGCGTTTTTTCAGCACCGCCTGTTCAGCGAGTTCTCCTCGATGCACAGACTTCTCCAGTATATAGACGTAGAGGACAACGTGAACATGGTCTACTTGCACAGTCTTCTGAATCTCTGCAAAAGCGCTCTCAAAAGTGTGAGTTTCAAGAGAATGAGGGCATTTCACACACTTCTCCCAATGTCTACACGTGAGAAAATAAAAAACTGCGTATTTTTACAGATGGTCGAAACAAACGCAACAATTGCGGATGTGATTCCAAACATTATCGACATCAGCGGTTCCATTGCCATGTTCGTCTATCACCATTTTTCCTTAATTTCACATCTCTTTCAGTACTACGAGTCGTGCCGATATCATCGACGAAGTGAACAAACTCTTCAACACGCATCTCCGTCCGTTCGTCTACCAATCGGACATTCATCGTTTCGCCTACTTCTTGCACCCCAATCACCAGAAATCCTCACTTTTGTCCGAGAAAGAGTTGCGAGCCATAAGAATGAGTCTTGCGCGCCAGCTGTGTGAGTTATTTTTTGTGTGGAAAGTAATGTAGGTGTATTTTCATTGTAGCTCTGCGTGCAACATCGGACGGCGATATGACGGCGATGCCAGCGTTTCGGGATACTGACTTCGACGTGAGCCTTACCTTTATTCTCAGGAAAAACCCATCTTTGAGATTACAGAAGGAAGTGGCCGACTATTGGGGCGTTGTCAGCAGGAGAGCGATGGACGGGTTGGGAGCGATGGAGTGGTGGTACAGAAATGCGCGATACTTTCCGCGGCTCTACACGTACATGAAGGAGCTCAACCAGATTCCCGCCTTCGTCATCAACGCCTCCTACTATTTGGGGTTCATTTTCTTTTTTGCCACCCCCGCAAACCACTCTTCATTTCAGTGAGTACGGACAGCTGACTAACGGAATGAATGAGCTGGAACCGGCGCAGAGAAGACTTATTCTTCAAGCATCCAGCGAATTAGTGCAGTTCCAGTGAGTTTGAACCCTAGTTTGTGGAAAACAAGAATTTACTTTCAGCTCGAAGGGTGAAGTGGCGGTCAAACAGATATGTGTGAAGAGGAAGCGAGATCCGACGTGTCCGGAGGACTCTTGGTATATTCCTGTCGACACGCGCACCTTCCGAGATCTGGATACGAGAGCTAACCTTCCAAGGACAAACGTGCTCTCTCCAATTGTTGCTCGAGGGCCGGCGGTCAGACCAGCATATTTCAAGAACCCACCGAGAGATCTGCAAACAGTTGCACAGGCGATTGAGACGATGGGGACGTTCCAGCCCCCGCAGACGTCTTCGAAGAGCACTGAGATCCCGAAGCGGATGGTCAGACAACGAGAGCCGACGCTGATGGAAAGGGCGGTCAAGCGGGAGGGCGATCAGTTCCAGTTCCCGACCGCAGTGAAGAAGTACTACACAGTGAGGAATGCCCTTGCGAACGGACAAATTGCTCCGGTAAACGCATTTCCAAAGATCATTAACACGGGATCATTACCACGAGTCCGTTATCCGTAAGTTGTTCTTTACCTGTTCCTCCGCTCTATTGTGCTTCAGAGTCGTCCGAAACTCATTCCGGAATGTTGTCGCAAGGATGAACGGCGGCGCCGTCGTGAAAACGGAAACGCCGGCGACAAGAAGGTGTATTTCGTGCGACAGAGAACCGGCCAGACACATCAGCCAGCACCCCAGTAATAACAATAATCCAATCTGTTGGGTTCAGGCCCACAATTATATATTTTTTGACCTACCGTATCTTTTGATCTACAACTACCCGCACCCCGCGAAATATTATATTTTTCTTTTATCCACATGTTCCCCTAGCGATATTCCACCCAGAGGTTATTCTTATTCTCTCTCCTGAATAAACCCCTTCTACGAACTCTCTCGACTCCCACAACTACAACACAATCCGTTCAGTGCATTCTCGTCAGACTTGCTTGTTATGTGTTCCTTCTACCTGTCTATCTGCCTGTTCCTCTACCTCATCCCATCCCCTCACACCTTCGCAGCTAAAACTTTTCCTGTCTTCTATTTTTTCGGTATTTGCCGTCCTAACCTTGACATTTCGATTTGTTGACACGGTAATAAAAATGTATACCTGTTTGTTGGTTTATTCATGGATTGACAGAGAATATCTGAATGTTCAATCCTTATTTCGTTTCCCTCCCACTTTTCGCATTTTCTCTGCTCGTCTCCGTCTCGAATGACTCATTTCGTCGATTGCGAAACGGCCGCAGTTTTGCTGTATAAAAGAGTGAATTGGGGTTCATTTCCTCAGTTGTTATCTTTTTCCCCTCGACTGTTTCGTCGCTTATTTTATGCAAACACATATGATTCATTCAGGTTTCGAAACTATTCGTTTTGCAGAAATGAGCACCGAAAAAAATGTGCACGAGCTTGAGGCTCGTGAGCAAGACATTTCGAAAGTGAAGGTGTACACGGACAGAGCTGAAATATGCCGCACCGTGAAAGTTACTCTGAAGCCGGGAGTGAACGAAGTCGTTCTGAATGTGAGAAAAACGGAGATGACGTGCGTATTTCGATTGATTTCAGAATTTGTGCAGCAGTCTTGTGCACGAATCGCTTCGTGTGGAAGGAAGAGGAAAGGCCACGATTCATGACGTGGCCGTCAAGAGTCAGGCTGCTCTCAAGGAAGAGACCGATTCTCCCAAGGTAACTACTACTCCATTTCAACCCTTTCATCTAGTGTTATCTCGAAATTCAGGATAGACAATACCCTTTTCCACAGAACTAACGGTCATAAACCAGTATGATAAATGAGTTTCTCTTGGAATTTTGAAAGAAACTCAGATTTTTTATAAATGAAACTATTTAGAAACTATTAGTGGTGACCCTCAAAAGTAACGTTATGTTCCATTGGGGTCATTCCGGATGAGACTGTTTTCTTAGACATACTTACCTTGTGCCTTTAAGATCGCTGCAATCAGAACCCACTTGAAAGAAGAGCAGGCTCGTCTTCGATCAATTGCCGACAAAAGGCAGGTCATCCAGAAGAGCATCGACAATTTGGACAAAGTGTTCGAGCAAGTGGGAAGTGGGCTGGTAAACCCGCCGAAGGAAGGCGGAGGAGCCGCGCTCAACGACGGAACAATCGAGAGTCTGAGCCGATTCTTTGAGTTTTACGGCACCAACGCTGAAGCGTACAGAGATAGTGAGAATGTTCCAGTAATTTAAACAGAATTTGTGTGATTTCAGAGCTGAGAGAAATGGAAGAGGTGCATAGAGAGCAACAACAGAAGGTTCTGAAGGCAGAGCTGGAGCTCAAGCTGCTGGAAAATCAGAGAAGAAGTGCCTTCGCACAGTAAGCTTCATTTAAAATATATCATAGCATGCATTATACTGAGGAAATCGTTCTTGCAGAGCCGCAATCATTACACTGGATACCAAAGAGGAAACAGAAGCCGAGCTGGACGTCATCTATCAAGTGCGCAACGCCGGATGGTCTCCTTCCTACGATATCCGGGTGGACACTGACAAACCGTCGATGAACATCGCCTACTTCGGAAAGATCAGACAGCACACAAACGAGGACTGGAGCAACGCCCCGCTCGTGCTCTCCACTGCTCAACCTTGTCTTGGCGGTCGCATTCCGGAGCTAGGAACCCTTGACGCCGTCTTCTATTCTCAGCAACCACCGCCACAAGTGTTTCACACGAGAGGTCTGTTCGGAGGAATGGCACCACAAGCAAGAGAAATGCCGCAAGGTGGCCAGCTCTTCGGTGCCGTTGCTGCCACCGGCTTTGTCAATGCTGCCCCCGTACCTGCGCCGATGGAAGTCGCCGTCGCTTCGGAAGTCAATCAGAACACTCTGAGCACCGAGTTCAAGATTGTCAGAGAGGCGTCGATCCCACATGGAACCAATGATCACAAAGTGACCATCGGCATCGTGACTCTCTCGTCGAAGCTCGTTCACGAGACTGTTCCCTCCAAGAATGCGGCCGCTTTTCTCACTGCTTCGGCCATTAACACTTCGGAACTCGCATTCCTGGCCGGAGACTCGTCTGTTTATCTGAACAATGCGTTCGTTGCAAAGGTAAGTATCTACATCACTTTCTCACTTTTCTTAAAGACAATCAATTTCAGAGTCACTTGAAGAACGTGTCTCCAGGCGAGAAGTTCACCTGCTCGTTGGGAGTGGATACTGCGATTCGTGTGGAGTACAAGGCGGCGAAGAAGTACCACGAGGAAGGAGGATACATAACGAAGCACTCTGCGGACGTCACCGAGCAGACCATATCGGTAAAGAACACGAGAAGCGAGCAGCCGGTCCTTCTGACCATCAAGCATCACGTGCCACGTAGCACTGACGAGAAGATCCGCGTGAAGCTTATTCATCCAGCCGCCGCGCCGTACGATCCAGAGAAGGCGGCGAACGAACCGGAAAACGCGGAGCCCGCCGAGGGGGCTAAGCTCAATTCGAGCAACAATCTCGAGTGGACTGTCAAGTTGGCTCCGGGCAACTCACAGGACCTCGTGCTCAAGTACGTGGTCGAGCACCCGAAGGAGGAACGAGTTCAGTTCCAGGAGAAGTTCTAGAAGATGGATTCATTGTACAAATAAACGTTTGATGATAGTTGCTGTCATAATTTTTCCCTTTTCACCTGTTTCACGCCGGTTCTTATCTATCTATTTCTGTTTCTTTCCATCACTGATTCATCTAATCCACTGTTCAGATGACGACAATTCACAAGTTCGAAGTGCGCGAGCAGGCGATCAGCAGCATCACAATTCTGAGTGATCGAGCTGAAGTGAATAGACTTGTCAAGGTTACCCTGGAAGAAGGAATCAATGAAGTGCAACTGAAAGTGAGTTGAGATCATCTAACCTTCTTTAATCCCAACCATTTAGAACTTCTCCAATTCTCTTCAACATGACTCGGTTCGTGTGGAAGGACGTGGAAAGGCGACGATTTGTGATGTGGCGGAGAAGGATGTGCCAGCGCTTCACTCGGAAACTGACTCCCCAAAGGTGGAAAAGCTGAGAAAGGAGTTGGACGAACATGATGCCATCCGAAAGAAGCAGGAAGATCAGATAGATGTGCTGAAAAAGAGAATCGAAGGGCTGGATCGTACGGTCACGGAAATCGGAAAAGGAGTCATGAACCCTCCGAAAGAAGCGGGAGCTGTTGTGATAGACGAGAATCTTCTGGAAGGCATTCAGAAACTGTTCGCGTTCCATGAATCCGAAGCTGGGTCACTAAGAGAACAATTGAGAGAGAAAGAAAAGGAACTGGAGAAGACGATTGAGGTGACCAACAAAATTCGCTCCGAGCTAGACAAAATCACTGCCAACCAGAACAGACACTCTCAGTGAGCACTTTTCTGTTTGGATAGCCTTCAATTATAATCTTTCCAGCAACGTTATCATCACTCTCGAGGCCGCGGAAGAGGGAGAAGTCGAGTTGGATGTGACGTACCAAGTGTTCCGTGCGGGCTGGGCACCCTCTTATGACATCCGAGTGGATACGGAGAAGCCGACGATGACGATCACCTACTACGGGAAGATCTACAATCGGAGCGGCGAGGACTGGAATGAGTTCTCCGCTGTTCTCTCCACCGCTCAACCCGCGCTCGGAGGACACATTCCGGAGCTCGGAACTCTCGATGCGGCCTTCTTCAGACCCACAGAGAGACGCAGTCAACCGAAGAAAATGATGATGATGAGAAGGGGAGATGTACGAGGTGAAGGAGTTAATCGGAGTTTGGAGCTGGAAGATGGACAGTCTTTGGAAGAACGGATGGCAGTTCCAACAATGGAAGTCAGCCAGAACGCACTGAGCACCGAGTTCAAGATCACGAGAAAGACGAGCATTCCGGATGGAACTGACGATCACAAAGTGACAATCGGAGAGGCTGTTTTCACGCCGACGATCGTGCACGAGAGTGTTCCGTCGAAAAACGCGGCCGCTTTCCTAACTGCTTCTGCCGTAAACTCCTCCTCATTCCCGTTCATCCATGGACAGACTTCTGTATTCCTCGACAATGCATTCGTTGCAAAGGTATCTAATCAGAATATATTTTCTCAACTCCTCACTATTCTCCTTTTTCCAGAGTAGCCTCAAGGACGTGTCGCCTGGAGAAAGATTCACCTGCTCGCTGGGTGTTGACACTGGCATCCGTGTGGAGTATAAGGCGGCGAAGAAGTTCCACGAGGAAGGAGGATATATCACGAAGCACTCGGCAGCCATCACAGAACAACACATTTCCGTGAAGAACACGAGAAGCGAGCGGCCAATTCTGCTGACTGTCAAGCATCACGTGCCACGTAGCACCGACGAGAAGATCCGCGTGAAGCTGATTCATCCGGTTGCTGCTCCGTACGATTCGGCGGCGACGGCAGAGAACGAGACAGCCGAACCGAAGGAAGGCGTCCGTTTGAACAAGGAGAACAACTTGGAATGGACGATGAGATTGGCGCCGAACACTACGAAAGACCTGGTTGTCAAATGGGTGGTCGAGCATCCGAAGGGACAGAAAATCGACTTGAAGGAACAGTTTTAACATAACACTTGTGATATGCTTCATTGTCGATTAAATGTACATTTTTACCCGTTTTTCGCTTCCATCAGATCGAATATTTTACCCATTTGCTTGATCTTGTTAAACGCCACCTTCTCCTCGTACTCCCGAAGGCCTGCATCCACGGACTTTCGATCACTCATCAACTGCTTATTATACAACCATGTTGTGTTTCTCAAATCCAGAAAATTAAGAACACTGGCAGTCAGCCAACTCACCCCGGGGTACACTTTTCCAGAACAATGGGACCCGCAAAGGGACTGTACCACGTATCCCAGTTCATCGCGGTCGCCTTGATGTTCCCAGCCGGCGGCACCTTCAGATGGTCCGTTTTCCATCCGTGCAGCATGAAATCCCTCTCGGGACTCCAGACCCCACTGGTCAGCCAGTCGTCTCGAGCCCATCCGGTTCCCTGAAGACAGTGTTCCGTTTTTCCTGGTCAGCTGTAAGTGCTCTCACTTTTTTCATGATTCGAACTTTACCGAAATCAGTTGATGCCCCGAACATTGTTCTGATACACGCCGTATAAGTGCCCAAGTCGTCGAAGTTCTTCGAGTGACCGTACGCTTTACGGCACATGTCAATCTCGATCAAGTTGTTGGGGAACAGCTTCTCAGCCAGGAATATCTGAAACTCATAACTTTTCTCGAAAGGAACTAAATCGGAAAAGCCCGACACAGAGGTTTCGGATAATTTACTGAGAAATCGCCTGTTTTCAAAGTTAAAAAAATTTTAGTACTGGACCCTGAACTAAACATGATGCTCACGTGTATTGCTCCGTTGTCGGTTCCATGAACGCTGTTTGGAAGTTTGAACTCGTAGTTGCCAAAGTCTGAAAGTAAAGGTCTTTTTTAGCCAGCACTAGGTGCGTACCTCGAATGAGTTCGATGGCGTACGGCGTGTTTCTTACCAAATACGATCCCGCCATCACTTCGAAATTGAAATGACGATCGTAGAAAGTGACGTCGATGTCATCATCTAGATACTCTTCTATCCTTCTGGAAATAAAATACACATTAATTTGGCTAAATGCGATGAGGGTCACTTTTTTGGGTTCACCACTCCAATATCACCGTCTATAAACAGGATCGCACTGTATTTGGGTAGAAGTTTGGCAGTCACACAGTGTCGACGAAAGAATTTCTGAAAGGAAAAGAGAGTCGGAAGGTTGGTCAGAATAAGAATAAACTCACATCATTGTTCTTGTCACAGCCGTATTCGGAATCTTTTGCAAGTATGAAATGGTATCCCTGAGCCCTCGCATAGCACTCGACGCTCTCTGAAAGCAGTCAAACTATTAGTAACCTGACAAAGGTGTTGAGATGTACTCAGTGCCACGGCATAATAATTTGGATTGGTATCTTTGGTAATCACCACGAGAATCGCAATTCCCTTCGACCAGTCTACAGGATATTCTCTGCTTGGTACTTCCGCCAACACCTTCTGTGACGATTCGAAGCTCTTCAACTGAGGCTTTTCAGCATCGAAATATCCTCCACATGGTGCATCGGCAAGCATATAATAAAGGAAAAGAAGCGAGAAAAGGACGGCGAACACTTTGAGAGCGCACGAATTGGAACCGTTTAACGATGAGTAGTACATGGTTATTCTGAAGTGATAAGAAAGAGACAAATGATCAATCGATATGAGAGTTACGGGGCAAATAGTGAGGTGAGGGTGTGGCTGGCTGGAAACGACTTTTCAGCAAACACGAAACTATGTAAATCATTTGAGACGCGTGAGAAAAAAGATTCGTGCACGCCACGCAGCGAATTCCCATTGCCCTGGATACTATTGTGCGAGAGCGAGAAAGCAAAGATCTCGATCAAAGATGACTCAAATGGGAACTGTGACACATTTTCGGGGCCGTTCACTCTTTTGTTTCGCTAAACTTTAATTAAGTTTTACATGTCCGGTTTGGACACTTTTTCATTATGTATGTACAACACATTTGTGTTCAAATTTTTATTCAAGAACAATAAACAAAATCCCCGTTGGTTTTTTCAATAGAACATTTCAGATCGAATGTAAATGAGAAGAATGCACACAAGTACAACGAACTTTTTCGTTTTCCACTTGAAACAATGATAGCTTTTACCCGAATCGCTATAATACTTGAAGAAATAGTTATGCACTTTTGAAATGTCATCGCAGAAGCATGGCGGTCATTCTGGAGTACGAGTTGACCTGCTGCACGGCCACTTCCTTTTCGAATTTTCGAAGGCTTTCCAGAATCTCTTCCTTCTTTCCGAACAACCGTGGATCGTACTGCCACGTGGTGTTCTGTGGATTGCACTTGAGCAAATGGATCGGACCTCGCAGGGGATTGTACCAGTGACTCCGGCCCATTTGGTTTGGTCTAGAGAATATGGGGATTTTTCGGTACAAAAAAGAGAACTTACTTCAAAGGAACTGCTGGCGTCTCTCTCAACTGTCCGGTTTTCCATCCGTGGAACATGAAATCCAGGTCTGGGTGCCACAACATACTGGTCAGCCAGCCATCTCTCGCCCACCCTGTCCCCTAAAACTTTTCCGTACTAGATTTGGGAACCCCTATCGAACTACTCACTTTTCTCATAATTCGTACTTTCCCAAAATTAGTGCCAGCTCCAAAAATGGCTCGGATGCATGCTTCGTAGGTGAACAGATCGTCGAAGCTTTCCGATTTGTTGTACACCTTTCGACATATGTCAATTTCGATGGACGCATGTGGAAACAGCTTTTCGGCCAGGAATATCTGAGGAATTAAAAAATAGTAGTTGTGGCACAAAACAATGACGTACATGTAGTGCTCCATTGTCGGTTCCATGAAAGCTTTTCGGAAGTTTGAACTCGTAATCAGCCAAATCATTGAGCAAGTCGACTGAATACTGTGTGTTCCTGGCGATGTACGAGCCGGCCATCACTTCCCAATTATAGAAACGATCATAAAAAGTCACATCGACGCCGTCCGTCATGAATTCTTCAATCTTCCGTTTGGGATTCACAATGCCAATGTCTGCATCCAAGAATAGAATGGCATCGAAGAGTGGGAGGATTTTGGCGGCCGCGCAATGTCTTCGGAAGAATTTCTGAAACTTTGAACTTCAAGGATACGATTCGGATGAGTACGGACGTCTTTGTGCGCACAATTAAAGTCCGAATCGACTGCCAGGATGAACTCGTAGCTGTGGATTTGACAGTAGCATCTGATGGTCTCTGAAAGTTCCAGAAGATGCGTTGCAAAAGTGCTTTTTGAGTGCTCACGAATTGCAATGTCGTAGTTCTCCGGGTTCGTATCATTTGTCACTACCATCACAATTGCAATTCGACTTTTCGTTTTCATCGGGCTTTCTTGGTTTTCATTGTTGAAAAGTTTGAATGGAATGAGGTCCGAGAGCTGTAAGTAATGTACAGTTTTGTTTTGATGCAATCCTCTAGGAACTTACACTTCCATTCAACACAAACTTGCCGCGTAAACTTAAAGAACTCGGTGATTCAGACAGTTCAATCTGAAAAGTGTTTCTTATCTTTTTCTCAATCGATACCACAATCTCACCACGTCAAAGTTGGAAACGACAAGGAAATAGAGGAGGCAGACGAGGGCGAGCACGAGAAACGCCGAGAAAATCTGAGAGTTCTTCCGCTCAGGACCAGGTACGAGCGAGTATTTCCTGAGCAAATCAAAGGTTTTCTCAAAAAGAAGGAAAAGTGAACTCACAATCTCCAGGAGGACATATTCTGTCAATGTCGCCTTTTCCGTGCTGTGTTTGCTCATTCAGTGCCCGAGAGAGTGAGTCAGACACACAGTGCTATCTCCTTATTTTGACGGCCAGCTGAATCAATGAATTGTATCGGAATCCGCTAATTTTTGTTCACGATGTTTGTTATTCATCTCTGGGATGCTGGCGGACGCGACGGATGTTAAATTACGTTTCTTTTGTTACAAATTGTTATGCGAACACTTTCTCATCTGAACATTTCTGAGGCCTGAACGATTGGCCCAATTGCAATCTCTTCCAATCGGAACCAAACTTTGAGGTTTTCTAGATTGAAGTGTCTTGGGTTCAAATTTCAGACCGAGAGGATCATCTGGTTCTGAGATATATTAAGTAGAGACCTACTAGTTCTGATTTTTTGCAAAAAATTTGGCATTTTCGGCTTTTTGACAAGTTTAGTCTTGAGTTCAAAGTTCAGGCCTCAAAAAACCTTTGAATAGCCTGAGTCGCCGGCCTTCAATTTAAACTAGATAGAAAAATCGTGAAAACAACAAGGCTATCCTGAGAAACAATTGTCTCTTCTTCCGAGCGTAACTCTTGACAACTCCTCTTCTTTTTCACTTTGCACTTTATTCACACACAAAAAAAGAGAGAAAGGCAGAGAGAATGGAAAAAAAAGAAAAAAGAGTGAGAGAGAGAGAGAGATGTACTCGATTCCACCCGTAAACACACACAAAAATGAATAATTCAAAGGCGGTCAAGTGAGTCAAACGTATGCCTTCATCCTGTAAAAGTACTGAAACTGCTGCCTCGTGATCCTGTTCCGGTACGTCGTCAGACTCTCCATCATCTCCTCCGGCTCGCCTTGAAGCCGTTCGTCATAGCTCCACGACATGTTCTTCGGATGACATCTGTTCAAATGAATGGCTCCGATCAACGGGTTGTACCACTCGTACATCGAAGACTTGATCGGTTTGACGCGTCGGTTCGGGATCGTCTGAATCTGACTGCTTTTCCACGCGTGGAACATAAAGTCGCCGATCTCCTTGCTCCAGACACTGCTCGTTATCCAGCTGTCCCTCGCCCATCCCGTTCCTTTCTTCAGAATTTTGACCCGATCGAACTCGGTGCGTGCTCCGAAAACACTTCGAAGGCAGGCTTCGTAAGTGAAGACGTCGTCAAAGTCTTTGGAAGTATTGTACGGTTTCCGGCACAGGTCGATGGTGTACATCTCGTCGGAAAAGTACTTTTCAGCTATGAAGAACTGAATGGGAATTGATGGTAAAGTTGACATTTTGAAGCTTACATGAAGTGCCCCGTTGTCAGTGCCATGAAAACTGTTTGGCAACGTGGATTCGTAGTTGGCAAAGTCTGAAAATGAGCTGTCACTTAACTAATTTGAATCTCAAACTGACCATTCAAAAAGTCAATTGCGTAGGGGTGTTCTTCACCAAATACGAACCGGCCATAATCTCCCAATTATAGAAGCGGTCATAGAAGATGACGTCAAAGTTCTGGTACATAAACTCTTCGATACGTCGCTTCGGATAGACGACGCCGATATCCGCGTCGAGGAAGAGAACAGCGTCAAAGTTCGGAAGAATTTTGGCAACGATGCAGTGACGACGGAAGAATTGCTGGAAGGGAAAAGGTAGAGAAGACGGATGGAAAGCACGGAACAAACGTCTTTTTGGTGGCAATCAAAGTCCCTTTCAACCGCCAGAATATAGTGATATCCGTGGATTTTCGCGTAGCATTTCACAGTGCCTGAAGTGGTGTTCGGATGAGGAGAGAAGTGGAGAAGGCACTCACTGATGGCAATGTCGTAGAATCGTGTTTGCTCAACCGACCGGAGCACACTCACGATGGCAATTCGTGGCTTTTCCGCGTAGTTGTACTTGATTGTATCCCCGATTATCTCGTATCCAACAGTCTGTCCGTCCTAAAACTACACTTTCTATGTTTTTCTCAAAGTCCAGTCACCTCTGGATCGTCCCGTACATACTGTCTCCTCAGTGCTCTCAACTCATCCTCTCTTTGCTTCGTTTTCAACTGAACGCCTTCTCTTTGTTTCCATTAAATTCTTTCCCGAACCTTCAATAGCTTACCTGATAATCAATGACGAATATAAAACAGAATAAGGAGATCATCACAAGTATCTTGAGCAGATTTTGTATTTTGCACAAGTTTACACACATTCTGAAGTACGGGTAAAACGATCGAAGATGTTTCATGTCAACGATCTTTGGAAAAGGATAGTAACGGATGAAAGAACGGCAAGACCGGAGGGACGTATCCAGTTTTTGTGGTATTAAGACGAGAAGTGAGGAGTTTATGAGAGAGTCGATTACGCAATTCTGAATATCTCGAGAGGAAGATCAGAAGAATCCCGAGAGGGAGTGGTCACGATCCCAAGGATCCGGAGGGCTTGGAGAATAGATAAAAGTTCAAAACCGTTGAAGTCGATGCGGAATCTCTTGTTTGAGCAGCCCATGTTTTGTTTCATTCGAAAGGGAAATGGTGGAAAGAATTGCCACGAATACCCGTCCGATTCGCGCTTGTTCCCCCGTCATATCGTCTGAATTAATCTGCCAGCGAACAAGAATGGAGCGTCTCCTGTATCGTATCTTTCAGTCGTATCTCATGTTAAAACCAGGAAGCTTCACACTCATTTATTTCAATCTTCGATCATTCAATAAATATTACCGGTAAAATGTTCTATTTCAAAGTTTTCTGAGCACAAGTGTTCGTTTGAAGTGGTCGAACTTGTGCAGTTGGTTGATTTGTCTCGCTGTTATCTTCGTCGGCCAATCGCTTTCCTCCGAAAACGTTCCGATCCACTCGAATCCTGAATCTTTGCCTATTAATCTTCAGGTCATCATTTTCACAAAGGTTGGACTTTTGACCAACAAAAGTTTACAGGGTTCTTGGACTTTGATTGAAGTATCTTTGGGTTCAAGTTTCAGAAAGATCGGAACGTCTGGTCCGGGTCGGTTTGAGGCCGAATGCAAAAATTGCGACTTTTTCGACCCTTGATTCATATATCCATAGATCAGATAATCAGGATCCAAGATACTTCAATTTGAGTTCATGAATCCTGCAAAGTTTGGGTCCGATCGGATTATTGCAAGTCGGTCAAAAGTCTGTCCAGCCTTGAACAATCACTATTTAAAACTGCAACTTTCAAGATAGATGCTCAATAGGGTCCGACCGGATATTCGCAAGCGCGTCCCTAACTCGCCTGCAATAAGCATCGGAAGCCGTGCGTGTCCGTAGATTCTCTTCTGATTGAAAATGACGGCGTCCCGTCCGATGGAGAGTCCCAGAAAGAAGAGGCCTCCGCTCTTCAGCGAACAATCCAGCAGAGTCATCACTTGCAAGTCCCCGTTCGCATTGAGCACTTCCCCGAATCGGCCCAATCCGAAGCTCTCAATGGTTCCGTAGGAGGCGACGAAATCGAAAGATCGGCTGAATCTGCAACTGATCAATCATCGCGAAGGGATCATACACCAACAAACCGTCTATGGTTCTCAGCGAAGTCGGCGAGAGACATGGAAGTGATGTCTTCTGTTTCATGAGCCGGCTGACCGACCGAAAGGATCCGCGAGGCACCTGAAATAACAATAAATCCGTGTGCGAATCAAAGAAACAACACCGTTCTGGATGGCCTGAACTTCGGTGATTGGATGATCGCCGGCGAGGACGATGCCTCGTTTCCCTCGGATATTGTAGCTTTTCATGGCGAAGTGCATGGAAACTGAATGAAATTAGGAGATTCGACTGAGGAATTGATGAGACGAACTGGCGGAAAAGTCATCGTCGAGTCGGAGCACATCTCTCGCGTGCCACGTCACGATATCGTCAATGTTTTCCCAGCTTTTATAGGTGAGATTCAGTTTGAAACGGTCGTCCGAGTACTTCTGGAACTCCATAAAATGCTATGCAGACAGACAATGTTGACCTACATAAGACACCCCGCTGTACTTGTTCAGAAGGAAATCCTTCGTATCTTCATCCGGAATGTAGGCCCTCGGCCGACGGTTCGTACGCTCTTTTTCTTGAATCAAATAGTCTTCAAATTCCTGAAATTGAGAATGTTATCGGGAAAAATTGTAAGTGTGTACGTATGTGCAATTGACGGGGAACGTGAAGTCCAAAGTGACAAATGGATACGTGGGGATGGTCAAATTGTATCCGAACTTTTTGAATAACTGAAAAGTGGTTCGTGTTTTATAAACATTTTCCTTTCAACCTCCTCTCGGAATTCGATGAAACTGATGATGCCCACGTGCGTTTGGACCACTTGTCGGAGGTAAATTTGCGGATCTTTTCGGATCTCTCGAATGTCTCCTTGCCTGCTCCAAAACGAGCTTTTGGCCAGAATCAATTGATCGTAAATGAACCTAACAGCAACATTTTCAACAGTTTGGATGTTCAGTTCGACTTACACTTTGTTTATATAAAGAACAATAATAGCGGTGCAAAAGAGAAGTAACAGGTATCGACGGGGCATTGTGCAAAAGAAAGAACAAGGAGAGCGATGAGATTTTAGTGTCGGTTTATTGTTCCGAACAGAAAAAGGCATGCAAAGAGAGGCGACTGACAAAACGGAAAAGGTACTAGAACCCGAAAGTATTAAAAAGAACAAAAACTATGATCACATTAAAGCTTCTGAAGGACCATAGTGTGCTGGAAGTGATCGAAGCCTTGCGGACTGTTGAGAAGTGTTGAATTGAGGTCAATCGGCTGGTACTGATCTCCTGAGAACGTGCCGATCCATTCGAATCCGAAGAAGATCATGGCGAGACGGACAGAGCCGTAAATGCGGTGAGCGTTGAACTGGAGACTGTCCGTGCCCAGAGGGAATCCGAGGAACAGAAGGCCTCCCGGCTTCAGCAGACACTTAATCTTGAGCATTTCTCTCAAATCTCCTATTGGATCGATCGGATCTCCGAAGCGGCCGAGCCCAGAATGTTCGATCGAGGAGAAGGAAGCGGCGAAATCGAATGTGCCTTCGTACTTTTTCCAGTTTTCCACAAATTCAGCAGGAAGAATGGCTGACATCCGATTCTGATACTCTTTTTGGATCTCTATCGGACTGTACTCCACGGTCAACGTCTCCGCGGCGCCTGAAAACAAACTGGAACTATTTAGACGTGGAGGACAGATTGACTTACCGAAGAAGAGGGCAATCACCTCAACCCACGGCGTCAAACTTCCGATGAACACTCCGCGCTTTCCATCCAATCGGTGTTTCCGCATCGCATTGTACACAGATCCTAAATGCTCCACATTCCGTTCAATTTCACCCGGTCCCTCTCGGCTCACCTCCTTCCTTTCCATAGCCGAGAAAGCTCTTCGGATCCTTCATCATCTCGCCGACCCTGTTCCATTTTCTCGGTGTTTGAACTGCCGTGAACTTTTCGTTGAAATACCACTAAACCGTTTCTGTTTTTGTGGGGAAAAAGAAAAGAGGGTTACCGGTTTGACCGCACTGTAGTTGTACATGAGGAACTGGTCCAGCAGCTCGTCGGGAATCTCCTTGGGAGGCTCATCCGGCTGCGGTTCTTGAGATATTCTCAGCCAGTCCGCGAATATCTGAAGGGTAATCTCTGATTCTCCGTCTTTTTCCCCTAAGATCTCACAGTATCACACGTCGGCTCCTCAATCATTCGGACGGTTGGCACCGGCAGTGTCGGTTTTACGATCTCGTATCCAAACTTTCGATAGACCTGCACAAACAAACGCTTTTCATTTTTGCCCCCTTTCGATTTTCGAACCTGCTCGTTAAGCGTCGCCATTGACACATATCCACGTGGCGTTTTGACGACGTGGTCCTTGAGATTCGACTCCATTCGGTCGACTTCCCGGCCCGGTTCCAGACGGTAACGGTGATTTGTTAATCTGAAAGTTTCGGGTCCTTTCAATTCAATTATTCAGGATTAAAACTCACAAAATGAACATCAAACCCAAGAGAATAAGAGGGAAAAGTCGATAAAACGAACGATTGACCATGTTTTCTGTTGTGTCCGTAGGGACGTCTGTTGGACCAGACTTCTAGTTGGAGGGTTTATTCAGAACTGACGAGTATCACCAAAGTGAACTCTCGATTATGACACTCGGTAACCACGTCAAAAGGTCACGTTATTACACAAAATTTTCAGAAGAATATGTATGTATATCAATGAAAAAAATAATGGGAAAAGGATCACACGATTAATTGTGTATGACAGAAAGAACAAATACTCGGCCGAGGGAATGCCGCACAGAGCCTTTATTGGTTTGCTAACGAGAGAGAGAGAGCAGAGGTGCTCAGTTCATTCTTATTGATGCTGAAAAAGCAGATTCAAAAGCAGATGCATTCAATCATTCTGCAGAAAAGGCATGGACATGATATGATAATTTGATGTCGGTTTACTGCCCCGAACGATGTTCGTATGCAGAAAAGGCGGTAAAAAATTCATGCAAACACAGTGAAAACTGATGAAAAAGATGAAAAGGACATTCGTCAAAGCTTTCGAAGGACCAAAGTTTGCTGCTTCATTTGGAAGACTCCTTTCTCGTGGAGACGCGCCGAATTCAGGTCGTACGGCGCCTCGTTCGTCCCGGAAAACGTGCCGATCCATTCGAATCCGTAGATGAGCATGGCGAGACGGACGGAGCCGTAAATGCGGTGAGCATTGAACTGGATAGCATCTGTGCCCAGTGGAACTCCGAGGAACAGAAGACCTCCCGGCTTGAGAAGGCACTTGATCTTGAGCATTTCTCTCAAATCTCCAATCGGATCGATCGGATCTCCGTACCGTCCCAATCCAGAATGTTCGATGGAAGAAAACGAAGCGGCGAAATCAAAGGTCCCCGCGTACTTTTGCCAGTTTTTCACAAAGTCGACGGGGAGGATTGAAGACATTCGATCTCTAAACTCCTTCTGGATCTCCAGTTTATTGTACTCCACGGTCAGAACTTTTGAGGCACCTGCAAACGTTCACTTTTACGGAATCAAAACGAGAAAAGGCGTCAAACCGTTCCTGAGCGCAGTCAGTTCGACCCACGGCTGCATACTTCCGATCACCACTCCATTCTGCCCGTCCAACCGATGGGCGTTCATCGCATTGTACACGGACACGCCGTCTGCTCCGTATGCCAATCCTGCCAACTTCTCTTTCGGCTTCCTAATCAATTCGGACAACGTGTCCCAGTTCTTCGGTTTTTCCCCTTTTTTCGAATTCTTGTCATTCAAGTACCACTGCAAGTTGAAGTTTTTTTTGAAGATGAAACTGTGAATGAACGTACTTTGTCAAGAGCGGTGTAATTATTGAGAAGGAACTCATTCTCTCGTCCTGTCGGAATTTCTTCTGGAGGAATTTCAGGCTGCGGTTCTTCTGATATTCTAAGCCACTCGAAGAATACCATTTCGCAAGTCGGTTCGTCAATCATTCGGAGAGTTGGAACGGGAAATGTGGGACGAACGATCTCGTATCCGAACTTTTTATAAACCTAAACTACCCTTCTATTTCAGACATGTTTTCTTTCCGTACTTTCTCATTTAACTGGGCCATCGACACATGCCCACGGAAGGTTTTCACTTTATAATCGTTCAGATTGAACTCCAACTCCTCCGATGGCATCTGCACCGAACATTTGTACCGTAATCGTCTACTCAGTCCTGTAGGAATGGTATCCGCATCAAAAACTATTCTGGAATCAGATTTAGATCGTATGCATTCCTCAATTTTCACTTACAAAACAATCAAAAGAAAGAATAACGTGACGAGGAGGAGAACGGGGAAAGTTCGAAAGAGCGACATTCTGTTTGGATGAACAAACACTTTGTGTGCTGGAGCAATAAATCAGATGACTGTTTGAACAGAGAGATGTATACAGAAATGGGGCGTGCCCAAAATAATAGCTTCGCACGTCAGGAAATTTTCGGCAAGGGTGGGGCACGCGAGCGGCAAGTGAACCGCAAGTTGCTACGATTTGGCGGAGCAGAATGCGGATGGAATTATTTTTGGGAAGGACGTTCCTTTTTGGTCGGACCGCTCTGAGACGCATCCAAAGACATATCATTTTGAGGGAAACGTCCTAAAATCACTTTCGGAGTCGCTACTAAATTTGAAAAATCATATTAAAGGTAAAGGGTATTACTGTTTAGAAACTAGATGATAACTAAAAATTGAACAAATGGCCGGAGGCAAGAAGATTAATTTGAAAGCATAAAATTTGCAACACTTTTTACGTTGACCGTTTTTTCAAATAATCATTGGTTCTTGAAATATAGATGTCCAAGTATTATTGAAGCTGGGCATTAGGCCTCCTTCCAGGCAACTTTTGCACCTATCTGAATCCAATTACCCTTTTTCTTTCGCTAAACATCCTCTCCGTTACTCACCTTTCACCCGTTTCAATACGCCGGCAGTTCTTGTGTTAATCCGGCCGGTTCCCCCGCCCCGACACCTGTCGAGCTGATACCATTCATTCCGATTCACTCTCCAGTATGTCCATCATCCACTCGCTCTTCTTCTTCTTCTTCTTCTTCTTCTTTTTCAGTCCTGCTCACTCTATCAAATGCTTCGGTGGCAGTGCGGAATTTAGGATGGAGAAAGGTACGTCTAAAGAATTTAAGAGTACGTTTGAATGTTCAGATGATTACGTGGATTACATCTGTCCGTCCTTGACTTCTTGTTACGTTCATCTGATAGTTGAGAATGCGAATCAGACGGATGAGAAGATGACGATGGTGAAAGGATGTGTGGAGAAGGCGATGGAGGAGTCTTTCGAGAATGTTGTGAGTCATGTTTCGGGCGACGTGGCATATAATTCAGCTTTTCAGATGCCCTGCTCAACTATTCATTTCTCCAACATCACGAGCGATGATGCCATTCCAGCCGAGATCAAATGCACGTGTTCTAGAGTGAGTTTTTGAAATGAAACCTATCCATCCATTCTATGTATTTCAAGGACTTTTGCAACGGAAACTTCGAGGATGATCCCAATGCGTCCACGGTGCTCCACAACAGTTTTTTCAGTTTTATTCTACTTTTTATTTCAATTCTCATTCGATAAAAGTGTGTCATCCTCCTGATCATCGTCACATAAACACCGAATCGTCGCTCTGCGCGTCCACTGGACCGAATGCGTTGTTGTCGAAACCGAAACCGTACAAATATTGCGACGAACCTGAATGAATCTCTTCTCACCCGAATTCACAGATTCCTCCGTTACCTGACGGTTGTCTATAGTCGATCATATCAAAATCGAGATCCGGTTCGAACGCGGTGCTCTTTCTCGTTGGCTCATTGCTATGCCACGTGGACTTTTTGCTCATTTCGATGGCTCCCTCACCAACCTCTCCATTAGTGGCTCCAATGGCGTTTATCTGAAACAAACAATAAAATAATTTTACAGTATACCCCCATGGAAAGAGATGGAGACGAAAAGGATAATGAAGCGGGAAGGGACAGACAACGGGAGTGACCGATTGTTTGCGGCTGTTAAAACTACTGGGGGAACGGCAGAGAGTGTGGGAAACGAAGACACGCAGACACTCACGTTGATCATCATTCCCATTCTCGCGAAAGCTCCCAATTGTGCCATTCCGAGGCCGAGTCCACGGTTGATGCTGATTTTCTGGGCCATCTGAAAGTTTTGGATTTGAAATAGACTGACTATATAATGATTCCCATTCGAATCGAGTATCTCAACTGCCTGTGGAGGTATCAAAAAGTGGCCAACTAGTAAAATGTACAAAATGTTTCAATGAACAATTTACTAATTGGCATCATTTTGATATCTCTATCGGCAGCGGAGATATATTGTTTGGAAAAAATGCCCTTCCAACTGTAGTGGGTTACTCAGGTACATCAGGTAGATCTACATCATCACTGTATATTCATTAACTCTATTGTAGACAAAGCAAAGAACGAAACTTCAAAAACACAAAAACATGCTTGCATAGCTGCCTTCTTGAGTGGATATAAAACGAACATTCGCATGGAACACAATATCAAAATGTCGTCGAAATTCCTCCTCCTCTTCGCCCTTCTCTTGACCATGAGCCGGGCCCAAACGGTCGCTTCTGAACGTGCTCCCAAAGTCCTTTGTGACTTGTGTCATAACGGACTTTCGGTGGTCCAAAGCCAACTGGTAGTGCTTGAATCGCTCACAAAGAACAACTTGGGAGCCGTGGTCAATGTAAACTTCACTCATCGATTTGGAATATTCACTCTTCCACTTTCAGACGGCGTGCTCGGCTGCTCCCACCAACATTCCCATCGTTAAGGCTCTTTGCACTGTGCTCAAGGACGATCTTGTGGAGGCTCTTCTCACACTGGTTCAGGGAATCAAGGAGCAAACAGAGCCAAAACTTCTCTGCGGATATCTCGGAGTTTGCGAGCGCATTCGCTCCGTTTGACTGTCTTCTGACTCAAAAGGCACCCGTGTCCATAATCTGACTCTACTCTAGTGTTTTATGTTGTGTGACCGTATAACAATCTGTATAAAACAAAGTGTGCTCATCAGTCAATTTACTCATTTCGAAAGAATGAACACCCTCCGCTTGAGCGTTCTTTTCTCGTTTTGCCTGATTTTCGGCGTGGCGGGAAGCAATGCGACGTCAGAATCCGTCGAAGTGCTCTGCACGCTTTGCGAACAGGACTGGCTCTGATCGATTCGCAACTGAGTGTGCTCGAAAAGTTGACCGAAAAAGACCTCGGAAATCTTGTAGACGTGAGCTTTTCTTCCCCACAACTTCTTCTTCTACTTCTTCTTCCTTTCCAGAATCTGTGCTCATTTGCCCCACGCTCCCTGCCAATCGTCGATTCGCTCTGCGTCGTGCTCCGTGATGACCTCGTCGCCGCGCTCACCAAACTCGTCCAAGGGCTCCGTGCCCAATTGAATCCCAAACAAATTTGCACTATCATTCCGTCTTGCACAATTTGAACAACACAATAAAAGAGTGACTACGCATTACAGCAAACATCAAAAACGTTGTTATAAAAGAGGAGTTGGGCATTAGTTGGAGCGGCTGAAAAATGAACACTTCCTCGTTCTTTGTTCTTCTTGCTCTTCTCACAGTTTGCTCGGCGGAGCCCGTCTCCAACTGCGGACTCTTCTGCAATCTGTGCCAGCAGGGACTTTCGCTGATCCAAAGGAACCTTGTGGCGATCGAGTCAGTCACTCACGATGAGTTGATTGGAGTTATCAATGTATGAATTAAAGAGTACCGAATCCTAATCCCAAATTCTTTCAGCACGTCTGCAACCTCGCCCCGAATGTCGACATAGTCCGTCTGGTTTGTGACGTGGCAAAAGATGACGTCATAGATGGAATCAACAAGTTATTGGCTTTTCTGAAGAAGAGCACGGATCCGTCGACGACGTGCCATCAATTGTATTTGTGTTAATGAATAAACTTTCTCTGGTGCATCGGCCATTCATGGAAAGAACTCTCTCATGAATGGAGAATCGAAATGTGAACTTTGTATTGGAAACGTTTTTTGAAAATCTATGATAGCGAGAATGGACACAACAAAAAGTGCACCTGACTCATTTTCCGCTATAAAACTACTATGAACGCATTGAAATATGAGAGTTTGAAAATGAAACTCATCATCATCATTTTGGCGATTTCCCTCCTTGGATTGGCCACTTCGCAGCCATCTCATCTCACTTTTCTCTGTCAGAAATGCCAGCAGATCTCGGCTCTGGTCTCCGGAAATCTGGTGCATCTTCAGAAGATTGTGAGGACTGTTCTCACGATTATTTCCGAGGTAACCGTACTTTGGTTACTTTCCATGACAGTTAACGTATTAGGAAGTGTGCAAAAATGCGGCTGAATTCGATCTGGGCGACAATATCTGCGCGCTTCTCGAAAATAAACTCGTCGATAGAGTGATCGGCATCCTGGAGGCACTTCAAAAGCGACTGAGTCCCGGCATAGTGTGTCATAGAATTTGTTCAGCTTGAATTGAATAAACCGTTGGCTATAATCTCTCAAAACAAAGCGATTAGAAATTGTAGCGGAAACGGAAAGAGGTTATTGTTGTGCAGCTCAACAATTTTGAGTGCATCTGAACTGTTTTGATGAGTCGTCTCACTCGATGATACCGCCCGCAAACAGTGCGAAAACAACTCGGTAAGCTGACGGCCATAAAAACAGCCGGAAAAGGAGAATGGCTCAGTCTGATTCCGGCTCCCGCCATGCTCCGATCTCTGCTTCTTCTCGCCTTCATCAGCTCCGTTTCCATGTACTCCTTGGCAAAAGTGAGGCTCTTTTTGGGAATAAACACGTATATTTTCCTTCAGGCCGATGAGCCAAACGTGCTTTGCAATGGCTGTCAGTTCGCAGTGAATCTTGTGGAAACCCAGCTTAAGAAGATTGAGACAGGGGCGAAAAAGGACCTAACCATTTTTGCAGATGTGAGTGGGAACCTCCCTTTTCGTAACTTTTTTTGCGCTGCCGGCGCGTAGCGACGAGCTGTCAACATTGATGAAACAAGAAAAAAATGGATCTTTTGAGCAATTTTTCACACAGATGTGTTCTATAGATTGGAGTACACTTATGTGAAAACTACGCATTTGGCACGACAATATCTGATTTCGTATTTTCAGAAAGCCTGTGCCAAAGCCCCCAAACTGGAAGTGTTCGACACGGTTTGCTCGAAAATCAAAGACGATCTGATCGACATCGCCGTGCAGCTGATCGAATCGCTCGAACGACAAGTCAGCGGGAACGTCACGTGCAAGGCACTCAAATTCTGTACCTAGAACTTCAATAAATACTTACACTGAGCATTTTATCCGCGATTATTCTAGCTCTCCCGACTTGTCGCCCCATGTAGTGAATGTGATGGATTATGTTGGCGGCCACGACGTCAACTGCAATCCGAAATCAGAATAGAGTTCAGGCAGCCTAAAAACTGCAAACTCACTTGCGACTGTGACCAATGCAACTCCGAAAACAATGAAGGCGATGACAATGTAGACGGGAATTGCCGGGCTGATATCTCCATACCCGATTGTGAATATCGTGATTGTACTGAAATAAATGCCATCGATCATCGGATAGCCGACTGCTTTCGAAATGGCAATTCCGCCGAGAATGGAATAAGCGACGAGAAGAAAAACGAGGACCACCATGAAGGCTGTGATATTCTGGAACGTTCGAATGCGATCTTCAACAGTGATCTTTGTGAACCTCGTTGAAAAACTTTACGAAAACATCGGCGAAGAACTTTCCGACGTCGGACATCATGACGAGTGCGAGAGGGATTCCGAATCCAGCGTAAACACAGAGGACCAGGCGGCCGGTCGAAGTGAGCGGAGCGATGTATCCGTACCCTGCAGAAGAATCAACAAGGGGCAATGGGTCAGAAGACGTACCGACAGGAATGATGGTGGTTGCAGTGAAGAGGAGCGAGGAGTCGGTCGTCCAGAGGGGCGTGTAGTTCGAGTTATAGTAGAAGAGACAGTCGAACATGTTGGCGGCCACTGGATTCGTGAACAGTTTCAGCATGTGTTTCGAGTAGTCGTCGATGAGACGCGACACGGATTCGTTGACTCGGGTGTTCGGCACGTCTTCCTTTCTCACTCTTCCCGCTTCTCTCAGAAAGTTCTCCTTCAAAGTGCCGAACTTCTTCGACACTTTTCTATGTATTCTGTCCTACAATTCGGCAGAAATTTCAATTTCAGCGCGAACATTCTCACCTCTTCCGGACTTTCATAGTGCATGAAGAAGAGTGCGCCCGCGTAGACGTACAATATACAAACGAGGATGAGTCCGACATGAAGTCCACCTTGGCGTGTCAACTGCAACGCAGATCTCATCGGGAGAAGTGCTTCGTCTGAATGGAGCACTCACGTGGCGGAGTCTCCAGAAGACGCTTCTCTTTTTAACGACCACCACCGACTGTCCTGACATTATGGCGGCTAATCCGCCGGCCTTACGAGCCATTTCGACAAGCTTGAAAAGGAGAAACGAAGGAAAAAGAAGAGCGAAGGAAGAAGACTTTTTGTGGTTTATCTGCCCAGCCAGCAGTGCTTTTTGGTGTGCTCCTCTCACGAATGCATGGAGAGTTTCAGACCGTCTTCGGGAGGGGCCACCGCCCAGACACACGTTTCGTCGATGATCCCTCGTTGTTTTTTTATAGTGTTCACATACATATCTAAGTATATGTCAGCAGACTATTCGAACGTTTATGATGATGTGGTTCAATCTGCGAAAGCTGCCCCAAAAACATATCAAAACGGCGTCTCGGCGCTCCATGAGAGAGAGAGAGAGAAAGAGAGAGAGAGAGAGAGATGCATGCATGCATGCATGTTTACACAATTTCGACGTTTTCAAATTCATGATCAGGTGGCCGAGTGGTTAAGGCGATGGACTGCTAATCCATTGGGGTTTCCCCGCGTGAGTTCGAATCTCATCCTGATCGAATCTCTTTTGAGCTTCTTTTGAAAAACTTTATTCACATTCTAACACTCAATATTATCATTACGCGTGATAATGCCAACTACCCGATTGTAGATCTTCTCGGCTGCGTTCGTTCCCCAAATGAAGTGAAGATGATTATAATTTGGTATTCTGTAGCTGGCCTGTAAATGTGATGGATATGACTTGTTGAATTCGATTCTAGTTGCCACCTGAACAATTTGCGGATCCAATTGCGCGAACAGCGTCTCTTTCAGGTCTTGTTTCGTCGAAATCCAATCGTCTTCACTCCAGAAAAGATAGATCGGAACGTCTCTGATACTCGTCAGATTGTACTGCGGCGGCAGTTTTTGTCCGTACTTCTTCACATTCCTCTCCTCGCCCATATCGAACGCGGGCATTCCCCCATACGAGAACATTTGATCGAAGTGAGCCAAGAGATTACTGGAAGAGCCGGCGGGGGTGTGTGCCAGATAGATGGGCACTCGTGTCTGATTCCAGTGCTCCGTCGTAGTGCCCACGAACAGAATTATGATGTCCGAGCACAGCTCCTCGAGGGTCTCAAACAGCCCGCACGTGTACTTCACAATCTTCCGGAAAGCCACGTACTGCCGAAGAGCTCATCCGCTCCGTACTTGGTCACATACTCTTGGAAGTCGCTTCCGAAAAGCCGCCCCAGGAATGAGAACACACCGCGGATGTGCTGGACGGTGGCGACTGGAGCCAGTGCAAAGTACCTTTTAATCTGAGCAAGTACTTAATTGAGAAAAGGGTTGAAAAAAGAATTGAAAAAGAAAGGCTTACGTAACGAGAGAATGACGGATCCGAGGAGAGTTTTGAGAACATTGTGAGTGTTCCGAGCGAGTGTCCCACATAGTAAACCGACGGTTGTCCGCTCACTTCCAGAGTTTTCTTTATCATTGCGGGAAGATCGAACTCGGCGATTTGGTCCCAGCTTAACACCCACTGATTCATGAAGTGGTCACCAACTTCCCTCACCTCCAATCCCAGAATTCCTGATCGTCATTCGGATTCAACGAGACGTGTTTTCGGCTGTAGGTGTTGCCGCGGAAATTGCCCATCCACACGTCGAAACCGGCATCAGCGAACACGAATCCGGCACTCTGATGCGGCAAATTGGCGACCCAGTCGAAACTAGAGCAGAGGAATCCGTGCTGAAGGAAAACGACGGGCCGCGAAGAGTTGTCCGCACGGGCGACACCCTTTCCGTGCGGGATTCGGTGCAGGTCGAGCAGGAAGCCGTCGGAAGTGGTGGCCGTGTGCACTTCCACCGGATAGCCCCACGACTTGATCACTTCCACCTGCAAAAGGGTCAGTTTTAGTAACGGTGATAAAGTCTAAAAGTACAGTATCCAGGTAGAACTCGAGGTCCACGCTTCTGCTGTACTGGGAGAGGAGCAGCAGGAGCAGGAGAGGCAGCGCCACAACACTCATCATGTCATAAATTTTTGTCATTATTGTTTTCTGTTTTCAATATTCCGTGCCCGTCAATGAATGCTCACTTCTGCCCCTCATATCAGTGTTCGATTTGTTTTGTCGGCCGCGCCTGTACTCGGCCTCATCGCAATGAAAACAGCTGCAGCACGGAGAGAGAGAGAGAGAGAGAGAAGCGCGGGGCGCCCGTTTCCTCATTATGAACCTGTCGATTCGACGGGTTTTTCCTCTTCGGATTCCGACGTTTTGTAGGTCGAATTGTCGCGCAGCAGCAACAGCAGCCGCACAAAAGATTTGTGTGTGTGTGTGTGAAGTGCAAATCGTTTGAGGGTTTTGCGAGGAAAATATGTGTGGACACCCCTGGAAGACAGTACGCGGATTGGGGAGAAGCCAGACACGGAGGGGGGATGAACGGATGACTTGGAGGAAAATGGGAGACACTCAGTCGGGCGGTCCCCGCTTGTCTGAAGCATCATTACATCAGCTATTGCAACTATTTCGATGATAGATAGCAAGAACGACGTATTATCGGAATGGAAGTGTGTGTTTTAGTGTGAAGAAAACGAGGCTTTTGGAGCAGGTTTTGGAGCAGAACACAATGTTTCAAGAGGATATGTCGGAATTGTATCATCTATTTTTCAAATTTTTACTCGAAAAATCACAATTTTTCATTCAAATTATTATAATAGCCCCGCCAAATCCTGGAAATGTAGCTGTACCGCAATTCCACGTGAAAACCCGGTCGCCACCGCAATCTTTTCCAATTTATCACTTGAAATTTTAACACTGGAATCCTCCCCGGTCCACAACAAGCCTGGGACCAAGTTTCAAGAAAGTTCTGCAATTTCAGCCAACCGTAGCCGTAGTCAAACACACACTCCCGTTACGTCACCTCCATTCTCGAACGTTTCCATTGTTTCAAAGTTCACCGCCGCCGCAAACGTTTCTCTCGCCTCTTCATGCTCTTTTTCTCATTTTCCGGGCGTCTCCCAAAATAGTAGACCATACAAACTGGGCGGTCAGCCGGGCCGCGGCGGGCGTGCGTGTCCGAAATGCAAATAATAAGAAAATTGCGGTGATGGAGGTGGTGGAACGGGGACACGTACTGTTCCGCGGCTGCTCCGCGCGCCGCGCCCTTTCGATGCTTATCTCCTTCTTCCCTCCTGTTTCTGCTGCTGCTGACCCAGTCGTTGCCACGTATCCGCACGGCGCGAAAGACGATTCACATCTTTCTCAGCCAACAGCAGCAGCGGTTCGATTTGGTGGTGTGAAATTGAAATGAAACAAACTCTTCTTCGTTCGTCTTCCCAACCCCCTTCTCCGCCACTCAAATCCGTCCGGTTTCGCCTTTCGTGCCGCCGCCGCCGGGCGACAGACTTGTTCGGTGTTCTAGATTATACGCCTCGATAAAAGTACAGTTTGCATACTTTTCCTGCTTTGACTCGCGGCCCTACCCATTTTCATTTTGCGAACGAATTAATGAAAATTTCTGGAGCCGAACCGACCAGAAGGCATTGCGTGTGCATTTGTGTGAGTCGTGTGCTCCAAACGAATAATAATAATAATCCGGCGACGGCACACCGACCGATTTAAATATTTTATTCCGTTTTCTCTGAGCTCATCCACTCCCTTGTGACGTAGCCTCCACAGCTCCACAGCTTCACTTCTCCTTATTAAAATGCACATTTTTGCTGCCCTGGACACATTTTATCGACCCGCTTCTCGGAGCGAACTTATCGCCGAACTGATAAAAGTTTGACCACGTCCTCGTTTTCTTCAATTTCTTTGCTTCCTTTCCGTGACTTCCCGTGACACACAACCTTCATCTTCATCCAGTGCCTTTTGCGTCTAATTTTCTATGAAAAAATGCTTCTGATGGATTGCTTTCCATTCCATCTCTGTTTTTTTTTGCAGCGAACATGTCAGAAGAGGCAACGACAGACGAGGTGCTACGGCGGCCATCTCTCGTCTCCACGAGAGCCGCCCATCTTTCTCCGAAACTCCAGAGAAGAGGATCCTTGTCGGCGCGCAAATTCGGTAAGATATTGACACGAACTGGGTCGCAACGTGTGCGAGCGTCACCAGAAGATGATGATATAGGGGCAGAGGGAAACGGAGACGGTGTTCGATCATCGTCATAAGCTTATCGTGTCTGACCTCTCGTAACCTCCTGCGCAATGCATTCCCGCGCATATCCCAAACGGAAACCTTTTTGAATCAAACTAGACTTTTGACTAACAAGTGTGGGTCACGTGTGTGCTCGCGATTTCATTACAAATAGGTACTGATTTTGCTGAGGTGAGCTCTTGTAGTTCTAGACTCTTCAGAATGTACCCTGTCTGACCAAGTATCAAGCATCAAAAGCAGATTTACCCCAACCATGAATTAGCCACCATCGGTTCGTTCGTTTCGTTAAAGTGTCGATCAGCACACTGGTCGCCGGAGGTCGAGTCGAGTGGCCCGTAGCAGACGCAGCCGCCTGGCACCGCCGGTGTTGTTGCCGTCGGAAAGCCCGACCTCTGTCCGTCGGAGCGTTTCTTCCGCGTGTGGCCGGGCCCTCCTCCCCCACGTGTTGTCTGCGCACCTCAAATGCCAGTCGAATAACAATAATAGATCATTCGGAATGGGCAACTGCCCGCCAGTTTGTCAGCAACGACCATCTTCTTTCCATTCATTTGTTGGCTCACCTGCACAATTTTCCTTTCTCTTCTTCCCTTTTTCGCCTCCAAGTAATACGAGACATGTAAAACATCAAAAAACGAGGAGAAGAGTCTCTCCTCCACTCCTCTCCCGATAACATTCGCCCCCAAACCACTTCCGCCTTTACCACTTTCTGCAAAATGGAGCTTGGCCGTATGCTTCTCACTAGATTTCCAGCTGTGTGCAAATGTGCATTACTTTAATCGCCCCGAAAGTGCAGTCCTTACAAAGAGAAAGAAGGAGACAGAGCACATTTAACGACGACAAAGAAGAAAAGACGATCAAACACACGAATGTTGTGTGTGCGCACTCTCTCCGAAGGTCATTTCAATATGAATATGCATTCAGAGGTTCTTCCCCTCCAATTCCATTACCTGCGATGACCCAGGAAATGTCTCAAAAAAGAAAGCAAGAAGGAAGGAAGGAAAAAGCATTTGCTCGGCGAGCAAACAGTGAAAAAGAGAGCCAAAGGCCGGCACGGGATGTCTCTTTTCGCAGTTAGCTTGCGCCCCATTCGTAGGCTTGTCGGGCCCCCGCCAATCGAATCGCTTCCATTCGATACAGAGACCAATCCAGTTTCAATTCGTGCTGCTTCTTGCCCTCATTTTCCTCCTGCTTGCATGCTGCCGCCCGTCCCTCTCCGCATCTCTGCCCCTCTCCATCTCTCTTCCTGTCGTACAGTCGACGATGACGGCCATTCAAAAACTGGCCGAAGGCATTTTTGGACGTCCTGTGAATGAATGAACACTTCTAGCCACGGACACTGCTTCTGTACACATCAGAAGCCCAATGTTGCCGCTGCTTTTGTACGTCTATTTACGCACTCGGGCTATTCTCGGACACTTCTTCCTTCCTTCCTCTTTTTCTCATCGAAACCTTCTCCGAATAGCCATCGATTCATGATCAGATCTTTTCGTACTTCCGGCATTTTGTTCTCTCCATCTCTCACTCTCTCCCTCTCTCTCTCTCTCTCTCTCTCTCTTCCAGTCCTGCCCCTTCTCTCCACTTCCTCGAATAAACTTTTACGACTTCTGGCTGTTGACACAACCAGCTTCTGCCACGTCATGCTCCTTTTTGCCATCTACCCTCGCATTCCTTCTTCTTCTCCTTCTTTCTCTTATCGCATTAGCAAACCATGGGTCATCACGATATCACCCTTTCTTCACGTTTCCACGTTTTCTATAAATGAGAAAAGATGAAGAAGAAGAATAAGATGAGGAAGCTTCTCGTGTTCATCCCGTAATTTCATTGCTTCTTCTTCATCTTTCTTCTTCTTCTTCTTCTCCTCCGTCGTCCTCTTCTTCAACTTCTTTGGTTATTCATTGCGCGATATCGAATTGGGACATGACGGGAGAGGAAAAGAAGGAAGCGCAGACGCATCCAAATAATGACCCAAATATATAGAGAGAGGCTGGACAGAGAGGACAGAAGCGACACGGTATCCTCTCTCTCTCTCTCTCTTCTTGTCTCTTCACAAAGTTTTGGAACCTCTCCTCCTCCTCACATTCTCGCGCCTCCCGCCCGTCCGTCTCAGATCGTCCGCGCGTTTTCCCGAGACGAGGCCATCCCGCGATACAGGTACCTGGTTGCGTCGGGCAGACAGATCGAGAGAAAGGGGGAGAGAGAGTGGAATCGGAAGAGAGTGAGACCGCCCGGGTTGGTACCAAGTCGTTGTACTTCTGTGTCCGTTCACGCACAAAACAAACGTCGCCATCGCCGCGGTCGCTGGCACGACTATATGGCGGGCGGCGGCTTCCGAAGAGAGTGCACTCGTGGGGCGGGCCCTTCTTCCCCCCGCCACCAGTTTTTCAGTGACTCCTCTCCAACCGGCTTGCATCATCATCATCATTCAAGTCGCACTCCCAAACAAATGTTGCTTTGTTGATTGATCTGAATGAATGTAGGTCAGAAGCGATCGGTCCGTCGACGCGCGTGAGAAAGACAGAATGGCCGGACCCACTGGTCACTCGGGATTACACTCGGCTGCTCACCTGATGCCCTCTCTCAATCGATTCCGAATTCCTCTCCCATACATTCCTCAAAAGGTCGTTCTATCCCTTTTTCGCCCCCTTTCTAGTCCTGGAAACATCAATCTTCATTTGTGTGAAGTTGTGTTCAATTCGATTTCTTCGTTTGTTGTCCCTTCTTTCCTCCAACCAGTCGGATCCGAGAATTCAGTTCCCATCGTTTCGTTTTCCAGAGTGTTCTCGATGACACACATCGCACCGTTTGCATAGTTTGGTTTACGATTACGATTTTCGTCCTGAATCAATCGTTTCGAAGCGCGTGTTGCATCACAGCTGTCTCTGCCTGCTCTCGTCTTGCAATAAGCCAAAAGAAACCCATTTGACGAACGGGGAAAGACCACTTTTGAAGTGGCCAAGCCGCTTTTCTTTCGTATCCTTTAGCCTGCTGCTCCGTCGTTGACTTCAATATTCATAACTCTAAGCGAAATGAAAAGAAACTTCCCATTTTTTTTTTTAGACACTCTTACTTCCCTATGGATAATTCCTCCTCCCCGCGAACATTTCTCTTCTGATGAGTTCGCTCGAAAGTCTTCCCAGACCAATGCGATTTGACGTAGTCCTGAAAGCACACCCCGTGCCTCTTCCTCTCCTCGCCCTTTATTCTTCCCCTTCATTTGCCAATTCACAATTCGCATCTTTTTCCGTATTCTCCTTTCTGCTTTCTTGTTTTGTTCCTCCCATATGTTTTAACGAACATAAGCGGAGCACAAAAACACGACGACGTTCGCGTTATTCGGGAGAATTCACACAAACAGAAAAAAAAATCGATTATTTGAAGACGTCAGTCACAGACACAAACGCACACACGAGCGTATTTGAATTCGTATTCGCATTCCGATCGAATGTATTCATACACTAATCTGCTAGACAGATAGTGGAATCGTGTGACGGGTTTGCAGTCCGTGAAGTGCACTCTCGCCCGCGTTTTCAAATTTTCTCCTCTTTTGCTCACTTTTCATTCCCTCCGTGCGCGCTCTTTCTCCTCTCTTCCAGCCTTATACAGGTTTTCGCTCTTTTTTTCGCTCCGTTCCTTTCCTCCAATTCGTCCTCATCCATCAGTATCATCGTCGTGGAAGACGTCGTTCCCAAACCGGCATCGTCGATTCATTCACCATTTCTGCCCCGTTTGCCGTCTCTCCCTCTTCTCGCCCACTCCGTTTCGGCCCTCTCCGCCGTTTCACATTCTCTTTTGCTCCTCCGCTGACACACAAATTTCTCAGGAGACTACGCGAACTCGTTTGTCTCTCGCCGCTCCTCCTCCTCCGCTTCTTCTCCTCTTTTTCTCCGTATGACTCCCATCTATTCTGCTTCATCTCTATGACCCCAATTATAACGGATTTCCGACATTTTCGTTTATGTAGTTCGCACTTTTAACCCATCCGTTCAATCTAATTTCTTCTATTTCATTCAGCTTTCACTGTGGGAATACGTTCTTAATTCTCTTCCCAACAACTCTTTTCATTTTCAGCGATTCGCAAGCCAACGACTCCGACGAACCAGCGTGTTACGCGTCGTTCGACCAGAATCGCCTCCTCGATCTGCGCGGCTTCCGAAGGACCGACGCCATCGCCGTCGTCTGCCGACCACGAGATGTCGTCGTCCTCGTCGCCGTCCGCCTTCCTATCTGCTCAGATGGACGAAGGTCCGTCTTCCATCCAACGCTCCCCGAGCTACTCGGAACACTCGCCCGGCTCGCCGAGCTATTCGCTCGATTCGTCCGATGCCAGCCAGCAAATTTACCCGCACAATCACAATCCGCCGGGCGCCACGGATTCGGAGAGCGCCACACTCGGCTTGTTCACCACGCAAACCTCTTATCCGTAAGTTTTACTTTTATATAAATAGCATCACAAGCCTTCATTGACGTGTCAATCCTACGAAGAGCCGCTTTACAGATACTCGCTGCGTAAACGAAGGCCGTGCATGTCCAAAGACGAAGATTTGTGCTTTCCGATCACCGCCGCCACAGCTGACGAAGTAAGTATCTGTTTGATCAACGATCGAAAGCCAACCGTGTTTGCAGACACCTCAGCCAACACTGAAAAAGTTCAAGCTGGAGAGCCTCTCGCCAGGAGAAGCACGCGAAGAGTGAGCGGAGTTTTAACAGAATAACAACTCTTAATCACTTATTACTTTTCAGTTTCTCCATTGAAGATGAGTCTATCCAGTTGGAAGAAGCGAAAATGGAACCGGACAACATGGAAGATCAGCGGGATCACATCAACAGACTACCGGATGAGCTGCTCCTCAAGATCTTCTCTTTCCTTCCCGACAAAGCTCTTCTCGCGTGCACATCTGTTTCGTATCGCTTCAATCAAGTATCAAACAGCCACGAAGTATGGAAGGAACTGTACACGAGTCTCTACGACTACCGTATCCCGCTGTTCCATCCGACGCACGCAAAGTTCGAGTTTCGGGAACAGAGTCGCTGGAGGGACGCGAATCCGTGGAAGGAGTCGCACAGACAGCTGCATAATGGAGTGCACGTCATGAAAGAACCGAGAAACAACTTCCGCTCGCTCAATTACCACTGTTTCGATCAGATCGAGAAGGCGCTCACCTTCTTGGATGAGGATAACGAGCGGGAGAAGCTTGTGTTCGTGCACACCGGACTCTACGAGCCTACCGACACCATCCAGATCAGCTCGAATGTGCAGATCATAGGAGCAAGCGACTCGCGAGACATTACTTCTTCGGTCATCGTCGAAGGAACTCGCAACACGACGCTGACTTTCGTAGAAGGCACCGGCGTCGCCTACTTTGGATTCATCACCGTCCGGTTTCGGGCCGATCCGAACATGCGCCCACCGCCGATCTCAGTTCAAGCTCAACAGCAGATTCATTACTATGCGATTCTGGTGACTGACGATCACGTTCAGCCATTCATTGAGAGGTGCGACATCAGTTCGAAGGTCGGCAACGGAGCAGCTGTTTGTGTTAAAAAGATGGCCAACCCGAAAGTGAGTCGTTTTATGATTGTCTGGCAAACTTTATAGTTTTTAGTTCAAATATTGCACAGTTTTGGACTGTGAAAACGTGGGAATCTACATCACTGACCACGCGACAGGACACTACGAGCACTGCGAGATCGCACGTAACACTTTGGCAGGAATCTGGGTGAAAAACTACGCGAATCCGTACTTCCGGAAGTGCACCATCCACTCGGGGAAGGACGTCGGCGTGTTCACTTTCGAGTGAGTGACCTGTCTCCCGGATAATGTGACACAAATTTGACGCGCAATCGTTTCAGGCACGGTCAAGGTTACTTTGAGAAGTGCAACATCCACTCGAATCGGATATCGGGTATCGAAGTTAAGAATTCGGCAAATCCAGTGGTGATCCGATGCGAAGTGCACCACGGATACACGGGCGGAATCTATGTGCACGAGCGAGGACGTGGCCAGTTCCTCGAAAACCGAATCTATGCGAACGCGTACGCCGGCATCTGGATCACCTCGCATTCGGACCCGACCATCCGGAAGAATGAGATCTTCACCGGCCAACAGGGCGGAGTCTACATCTTTGGCGAAGGCCGAGGACTCATCGAACAGAACAACATCTACGGAAACGCTCTGGCCGGAATTCAGATCCGCTCGGCGTCCGATCCGATTGTACGGCTGAACAAGATTCATGACGGATTGCACGGAGGAATTTATGTGCATGAGAAGGGAAGAGGGTTGATTGAGGAGAACGAGGTGTACGGGAACACGCTGGCCGGCATCTGGGTCACTACCGGATCTTCCCCCATCCTCAGAAAGAACAGAATCCATTCTGGCAAACAGGTAAGTGTCTGAAAATTTTGGAAAGATTCTGAACTCGTTGTTTTTCCAGGTCGGAGTGTATTTTTACGATCAAGGACATGGACTTCTCGAAGAGAACGACATCTTCAATCATTTGTATTCGGGTGTTCAAATTCGCACTGGATCCAACCCCAAAATCACGAGAAACAAGATTTGGGGCGGACAGAACGGAGGAGTCTTGGTGTACAACGGAGGAAAAGGAGTTTTAGAAGGTACCGCCCGTTTTCAAAGGTACAGAAGTAATTTGATCATTTGTAGACAATGAAATCTTCGACAACGCAATGGCAGGAGTCTGGATCAAGACGGACAGTGAACCGACGCTCCGAAGAAACAAGATCTACGACGGGCGCGACGGCGGAGTCTGCATCTTCAACAGAGGACGCGGTCTTCTGGAGGACAATGACATCTTCCGTAACGCGCAGGCCGGCGTGCTCATCTCCACCGAATCGAACCCGACGCTCCGTCGCAACCGCGTCTACGATGGCAAGTCCGCTGGCGTTGAGATCACGAACGGTGCGACGGCTACATTGGAGGAGAACCAGTTGTTCCGGAACAAATATGGAGGTGCGTACGCCGAAGAGACCGCTTATCGAATTAGGAATTAGGAATTAGAAATCGGCAATCGATGAGATCGATGATGTCACTGTGATTCGCCGATCTGTCTTGTTTTCTTGATCTCAAACCGATCTTCTTTCAGGCCTGTGCGTGGCAACCGGAGTCAATCCGATCCAGCGGAACAATCGCATCTACGACAACCATGACACGATCGCGCGCGCCATCAAATCCGGTCAATGTCTCTTCAAAGTGAGCAGCAACAACAGTTTCCCAATGCACAATTTTTTTAGGTTAGATTTGTGTCTTAGTCTCACCGCGCACCGCTAAACTCGCACATTTCAGATGCACGACGTGCAACACGACTGAACGCAATGCGATCTGCTACAATTGCATCAAGACTTGCCACCGAGGGCATTCCGTAGAACTTGTTCGATTTGATAGGTACTTTCTTTCGTGTTGCAGCTCTGTTAAATGCTCGATTCTCTCCAGATTCTTCTGCGATTGCGGCGCCGGCACACTCGAACGGCACTGTCATCTGCAGAGCGTGCCCCGTGATAACGACACCGTCTATGACTCAGCGACCCCGATCTCAACCGAGACAGGCACCGATAGCTAACTCTTGTTTCGTACCACATCACACTACCCATTTCGAAGTCTTTCGCCCCCTTTGTCGCCGATCTCTCTATTATTTTCAGCATCGCTTACCATCTTCTAATGCTTAAAAGTGCAAACGTTCTGTGATATAGTTGATCCGATCCCATTCTCTCCTCTCTCTCTCTCTCTCTCTCTCTCTTTCCGTGGCCAATTTCCTTTTTTCTGCCTTTAATATAGTAATATTTCTTTTATATATAAAGCACAAAAGGTCTGCCAGCAACAACACGATTTATGCAGGACGCATCTCCATTGAATAGTCTGCATGGAACTGTATGGATCCTATAACTGAAGCTTCTGCCACAAAAAGCTTATCCAGAAGCAGTTCAGATTATTCCTGAGAGTTCAAAAAGAAAAATCGCCCGGATGAGATCCCATTAAAAAGACGGGGTAACCCGACCGAACTTCGGAAAAGGACCATGACCGGTATAAGTCCCAAGAGCCCATTCTATCTAACAGTAAATATTGATGATGCGTCCAACAGTTCCTGCTCCTCCCATTCAACTAATAAACTTTTGGACTCCTCTAGCACTTGTGCGATGTTTGCTCAATTACAATCTGGACAAAAATACGAAAATCGGTGTATTTCGAGGCACCACCCTAAAATACTCAAACACATAGAGACGGTCGCGTCTTGAACTCGATCGGCAAACAATGACAACAAGTTGCCACTGGTACAAAGTGTGCACAGAAAGATGTATAAAAGGTGAGAAAAGGGCAAAAGCCCATCCGAACGATGAAGACGACTCTCCTCCTCTTTGTGTTTCCTTTTGTTTCGACTCTGTCTTCTTCGAGCGATGAAAGCCCGGCAGTTGGTTCGTCCAGAGGCAAACGGCAGGTTTACTACTTGTGCGGCAACTTTCCCAATCAGTACCTCAGTCTGACGCGTGAGTGCTTCAGAGCTTGAGCCCGCCCGACATAAAAGTTTTCAGCGTGTAACAACGGCTGCAGCACGTGCGGATGTCAGGCAACTTGCAGCACTTCCAGCTACTGCCAGCAGATTCGCAGCAATTGGAGGTGCATCAACGGATGCTGCAGGGTCCCTTCCTACGAGCCGACTCTCCCTCCGACTACAACCAGTGCACCCACGAACCCGAACCCTGTGTGTGGTGGTCGTGAAACTTCCGGAGGATACTGCAGATCCGGAAACCTGTGTGGAAGCGGATACCTGTGCACGGACAACAACGTCTGCTGCAGATGCACTTACGGAACTTCCATTGGTAAATGGTTCTTCGTGTCCTCCATCCTAAACTCCAACTATTCAGGACCATGCGTGAACGGCCAGTGTCCGGACAAGACGTACTGCTCTCCGACGAACAATTGTTGTCCGTATTTGGTTCAATGAAAGATTTATTCATCCGCGAAAGCGAAAAGCAGGTGGAATAAAGCGTCACAACTTCAGGAGAAGAAGAGGGAAAGGGGGAGAAGTGTATTCGAGTGGGGGTGTGAAAGTCTCTAAGGCACTATGCTAATGTGGACGACACGGAGCAACGTGGCGTCATTGTATGAAACATGGTGAAAAACTCGTTAGTCCTCACTCAGCCGAAAAGCAGCGGGGGACAGGTCGGGACGGGGAACGGAATATGCGACGATAAATCGAAATATACACGCAATTGGAATGTGTCAGGCGAGGAAAGCGGCAAGTCGTTGAGCTCGGTGGTGCTCAGAGCTCGGAGAAGTGGGAGACCACCTGCTGTAGTCCTAGCTCAATCTTCGACATCTCGCGGATCTCGAACTTCTTCACTTTTCCGGTCACCGTCAGCGGGAACTCGTGCTCCTTCTTGAAAAGAATGTAACGAGGAATCTTGAAGTGGGCGATCTGGAAAAGGGATTGAGAAATGAATTGTTTTGTGCTTTTGCTCGGCTCGTACCTTTCCCTTGCACCACGCCTTAATGTCCTCCTCGCTCGTCTTCCCTTCGGCGCTCTCGTGCAGTCTGACCCACGCACAAACCACTTCTCCGAATCTCTCATCCGGAACTCCGACAATCTGAAACACGTCACTCAGCAAACGCTCTCTTCTCTCCTAGAAACTCACGTGAACATCCTCAATCGACTGATGCTTGAACAAGAACTGCTCCACTTCGGTCGGATAAATGTTCTCTCCACCACGGACGATCATGTCCTTCGAGCGGCCGACGATCGAAATGGTTCCGTTGTCGTGCATGACGGCGATGTCTCCAGTGTGGTACCATCTGTCCTGGGTGATCTCCTTCTTCGTTTGCTCCTCGCTGTTCCAGTAGCATCTCATCACAGAGTAGCCACGAACGATCACTTCGCCCTTCACTCCACGTGGCACAATGCAGTTTCTCTTGTCAATGATCGCAGCTTCCAAGTGGTCCATGATGTGTCCGACGGACTTGATTCTCTGCTCCGGCGGGTCGTCGCGAGTGGACATGAACGAGACCGGCGAGGTTTCGGTGGTTCCGTAACACACCTGCATGTCTGTCATGTGCATTTCCTGCACCAAACGACGGCAAAGAGTTATCGGGCACGGAGCACCGGCGATGAATCCCGAACGGATCGAGTCGTAGTTGTAGTTGGCGTACTCCGGATGGTTGATCATATCAATGAACATGGTCGGAGTTCCGTAAAGCGCCGTGCACTTCTCCTCGTGGATCGCTTTCAGAGCAGCGAGAGCATCAAACGAAGGGGCCGGGAAGACGCACGTCTGGAGGTGAGTGAGGGCAGCGAGCACGCCCATCACACATCCGAAGCAGTGGTAGAGCGGGTTCGGAATGCAGATGATCGTTTTCTTCTCGCTGTATCCTGCGCGGAGCCCCACGAAGAAGGCGTTGTTGAGCACATTGTGATGGGTGAGAGTGGCCCCCTTAGGCTGACCGGTGGTTCCACTAGTGTACTGGATGTTCAGCGAGTCATCTGGCTGAGTTTCCCTCTCAATCTTGGACAGCTGAAGCCTGTCGTCTTCTGTTCCCATCTTCAAGACATCGGTGTATCTCCAGGCTCCTCTGAATATAAACTTTTGGGGATGAGACGGCGGTTTGAGTCGAAGACTCACGGGTAGAGTTTGTCTTCCTCGTCGAACATGATCAAATGTTGGAAGCAGGCGAAGTTTCTCGAGTTTATATCGCTCTTTCCAGGCTCTCTCAAAGTGACTTCCGGAAGAATGTCCTGCAAACATTTGTATGAAAACAACGGATTACGGTACTGGCCGGTACCTTGATACTCTGATAATAGTTAGACTTCTTGAACCCTGGAGGAGTGATAAGTGCTCGTATTCCTACTTTTTCGATAGCGTAGCGAAGTTCTTCTGACTGATACGAAGGATTGATGTTTACCTAAAAAGTGTTCATTGATTAATTGTCTTGAAAGGCTACAAAAACTGACTAGAACCATTCCAGCAAGCGCGGTGGCGAACTGAGTGGTCGTCCACTCGTAAGTGTTGGGTCCCCAGATTCCGATGCGGTCCCCCTTCGTCAATCCCAAGTGAAGGAGTCCGCAAGCGAGGTTCTCAGCCTGTAAAAACTTTTATTCTTTCCGAACGCCAATAGATTTTCGACTGACATCGGTGGCGACTTGCGAGTAAGTCTTCCGAATGTTTTCCCGTTTGAAGATTAGAAACTCCTTGTCGGGCACCTGGTCGACGGCCGAGCGGAGCCGTTCTCCGACCGTCTCGAAGAGCAGCGGGACCGTCGAGCAGCCATGCACGTACGACTTCCGACTGGGCGCCACCATTACGTCGTTGGCGTTCAGGGCGGCTTCTTCCAAAGAGATCGGCTCTTCTGAAAGCACGAAAGAGTTGAGTGGGTGGGTGCGTGGCTCCGCAGGGAAATGATAAATGAATTGGGCGCCCACCCCGCTCACACCTACAGTATACCTTGCGAGTAGGAGAAGGGACGGCGGACGGAGAATAAGGGAAACGACTCGAGGAGAGTGCGTTTGGAGCGAACGAAAGGAGGGAAAGAGTCAACGAGATGACCGAGAAAGTGCATAATCTGTCGTCGTGTGTGGTGGTGGTGCCAAGTGAGCCCTCAATTGCGAAGAGCAGCTCTTCTTCTCCTTCTTCTTCTTCTTCTTCCCCTTCATCTCCTTTCCCTTCTTCGAGCCGGCTTGTTTTCCCTCGCTCCACTTTTTCGGACGACGATAACTCGATTTCGCCGTGTTTGCGTGTTTGGAGTGGCGTGGAAACAAGCAAAGAAAGAAGACAAGAACTTTGGAGACTAATTTGGGTGACGTCATCACGGAAAGGTGATCAGAAGGCTCCGGTGGGCGAACTGGGCACTGGGAACTGGGAACCAGTTCCATTCAAAAGACAGTCCGAGACAGTCCCGATTGATAAACAACTAACCAGCTGCAGAATTCGAAATGGAATGGCATTAGCCCGGACTCACGGTTAACTAGGCGACTAGAATGTACTGTAGAGTGGGCGACGATGATAAAGTATGATTATTGAGGGGCGCGACGGGAAAAAGAAATCGAGAGAAAGGCGGCGAGAAGACGGCGGCGAGAATCGGCGCACGATCCGTCGCTCTCTCGCCCTCCTTCCGTTTTCTTTTTTGCACTTACTGCTGATGATTTTTTGAAGCATGAAGGAATGTTTGGTGTCAAAACATGAGTCACAAACCAATTCCCTCCCTTGCTCAATGCAAGACTCACCGTACAACATCCTCTTGTGGTCCGCTTCCAAGCTGGCAGCGTCGAACTGAAATTAGGCGATTGAGGAGGAAGGAAGTGAAACGCAAAGAAAATGGACGAGCTCATCTGTCAAAAGAGCAAAGCCGATGCACGGAATTGCGGGACGAGGCGAGGTTCAGAGAGCACGGCGCGAAAAGTCAGAACAACACGGGGGAACACCCGGTGCAGAAAAACGACGGTGGGATTGGTGCGCGATCCTTCGTCGCCTGTAGTAGCAGCGTGTGTTTGTCTCCGTCTCCGCGCATCGCTATCAGCGACGACGTCTCGCTCTCTTTCATCGTCTCCCAATCTCGGCGCGTTCGAAACGGGTTTCCACTCTTCGGATGCGCGCCGAATTTGAATCTCGTCGAGGCATCAGACGCGGTGCGTATCGGATCGTGGAATGTGGGACCACGCGGAGACCGGCACTCCGTTTCCCTCCGGCCGCTGGCTCCACAGTCCCTTCCCGCCTGTCTTCTCTTTAAACTGTCTGTGGTTTGCTGATGAAATGTGGTGGGCGGATAGGGAGAAACAAACGACATCCGGCTCTGAATTTCAGCAATGCGCTCGGCCGCTCTCTCGAATGGGACGACGCAATTCGATTGAGGAGGCGAACGAGAGGAAGAAGAAACAGAAGATGTTTTGGCGACAAAGGATGGACTTTGCGGGAAGCAAATTGATGTTGAAACAGACATGGAACGGGTGGGATGAGTGGTGGAGAGGCGGCCGAAAATGACGAAGAAGCTCTCGCTGCAACGTGGCAGGAGGGGGCGGGGCGTGGAGAATAGAAGAAGGCGACAAAGAGGTTTCACGCCAAATCCGAAGTGTGATACAATTCGATTATTCCGGCATTTGCGGTGAGAGCAATCCCCACTTCCGGCGTCGTCGGCGAGAAGAGGACCATAAAAGTTTAATGGACGGAATGAGGCCGGCCGCAGAAGGAGGCGGCGTGGCGAGAGGATGATGATGACGAAGAAGAAGAAGAAGAAGAAGAAGACTTTCATGAACTGCGATGAGGTGGATGGATGGATGGGGCGCCCCGATCTCGAACGGAGATATTCATCGGCGCATTCATTGCCGCTCGCAATCCGACGCTTCGATCGCCTTCCCTTCCTGGACTTTAAAGTTAAACACAAAGGGATGGAGGCGTGCAGTCGGGTGTCAGGTTACGGATCCCCCGGATTCGTTACTCTTCGACTAACCTGCGTGAGCATGCGAAGGTCCATAGCGGTCAATGACATCCTGAGTCGAGAGTAGTCGAAGAGACGGCGGAGGTGGTGGTGGTGTGATCGTAGCTTCGAATGAACAAAGTATGGGCCGAATACCCGTCGCCGCTCGCTTATCTACTGCTCTTTTCCGCTTATCGTTTATTATTTCCGCATTAGATAACTCCCACTTCCCGAAATTTTCGTCGACACACTCACAAAGAGCCCAGGAGATGGGCGGGACGACGATGATGGCCACATGAAAAGAACGTGGATGTACAGAAGTGAACAAGAAAACAACGGGGTGACAACAAACTAGTACGAGGAGAAGCCCAATCGGATAAGAACGGGCAGGGCGGTGGACAGCTTTGGTTGTAGCCTTTCGTTGTGCGGAGCCACGTAGCTCCGCGTGATTCGTTTGGTCTCTAATGGTAATGGGAAAACGTCAATCGAGACGATTTCGAAAGAAATTCATATATTCAGCGGCTACAATTGAAGAGAAAAGGAACATAAAATGAAGAAAAAGAATCAGATGAGAAACTGTCCAGGAGTTCAGGTTCAGGAAGTTCAGGAAACGAAAACATGATCGATCACATGACGGCATTTTCTTTCGGAGAGCTCGTAACATCTGATAATAGGTTTTGGTTGCCCATACTGTAATCACAAGAGACCTTCCAGAGTGTCAAAAGCAAAAGAAAACCTGCCAAAGTCTCTTTTGAAAGACAAGTCAGGAATCTCTCGGAAGATGCTCACTCAGCCCGCCCCCGGCAGACGCAGACAGACACTCGGCGAGGATCCCGATGGGAGAAAGTCGTGTCGGCTGCTGATTGTGTTTTGTATTCGGTTGTCCTTCCGACGTCTCCGTCTCCTGTACGGCCCATTCGGTGACTACCTACATAAGATCACTAACATCTTACATCACTCTCTCTCTCTCTCTCTTTTTGCTGCCTCGACGAAAACCACAAATCATCGTTTTTTCCGAGTGATAGCTGAGTCAGGAAGTGTCTCGAAACGGAATGCGGCAGTGCTCTCAAGGAGAGATAAGGAATCGAGGAGGCATGAGGTGATTCCGAGGGGAAACGGACTACTGATATGGACAGAGAGAAGACTGTGGAGCAGATGGGGAAGATCGGAGGAAGCGCACATTCGAGAGGGCGAAACGGCCGGTTAAATATAGCCGACGATTGGGGCCAATTGGGACCGAAATGCACTTGGACACGAAAAACAAAGGACAGCAACGAAGGGAAAAGAAAATGAAAGAAAAGGTGTCGGCGACCAATTAGGGAACGAAAAGGCAACATAGATTGCAGAAGACAAAAACGACGTGGACGCGGATTCATTTTCTATTTACGAACGTTTTTCGGAAGTTGTTTGTAGGCTTTTCTTCTTTGCAACGGCAATGGACCACGTGGCATTATGTAGCCGAACTCGGCGTTTGGATGCAACTTTTTGTACTGCTCACGCGATTGTTCGAGAATTTTCTGAAAGTTGCTGGGCGTCTTTTGAATCCTTTGATCGTTCTCACATGTTTCATAACCTTCGCTTCGTCATGAACGTTCTTGTTTGGAAAAGTGGCGAGTGAGAGCTCGATGGCCGAATAGAGAGCATTTGCGACGGAACGATTGCGAGCCGGGAAGCCGAGATCAAGATCCGGGTACTGAATCTTCCGATTTTCCTGCCTCACTGCTCAATTGACTCACACTCTTCACAACTGCCGACGTCACCGATTCTATCGATAATAAAGTTATCGCGAAAAGTACACATTTATTAGAACGCATGGCGATTGTTTGCTGGGCAAAAAAATAAAATAACGATTAGGCGGTATTGTTGTTATCGAGAAAAAGGGCATTCGATGCCATGTCGTCACGTGATCAGAACGGTCTTCCGAACGGCGGCGGCGGCGGTGGTGGGGGCCCGTATCGGCCGAATCTTCCTCCGCCGTATCCTCCGTATCCACGATATCCGCCGCCTCCGTACCTGCCGTATGGGCCGTAACCTCCTGGTCCTTCGTGGTGGTGGTGGTGGTGGTGGTGTCCGAATTCTCCCGGGCCTCCTGGTCCTCCGAAGCCTCCCTGACCTCCTGGACCTCCGAAGCCTACTGGTCCTTCTGGACCTCCGAATCCACCCGGACCACCTCCTCCAAGACCTCCTCCAAGACCTCCCGGACCACCTGCGACTGTTCCGTACGAACCGACGGTATTCAAACCGTTACTAGACACTGCCGACCATGCTGAAAAGGTGGAATTTTCAAAGGAACATAGCGATTGGAACTCACTTGTGACGGCGTAAGCGTAGCCTAGAAAGAACACGATAAGCGAGGCGATGAAGATGTAGTTGGACATCCGAAAAATGAAGCTTTTAGAACGATCGATTGGAGTGAGGAGAATGTAAGAACAGAGCGGACGAATGTGAGCGGCTCACCTACCACGAAGACAATGCAACTGACTGGGTGTTCGCGGGTGCGGTCCGCCCGTCGCATTTATGACGGGGTCATATCGATCGTATCTTCTGGGTGGACAATGGGTGGACAACGGGTGACACCGACCAAAGATCGGCCCCTGTTGGAATTAATTTTTTGATCTGTGCAGGGACAATGATACAAGCATCTTAAAGGATTCGTGTTCATCAGGAGCCCCCGATCCGAATGGTCAGTGATGTACAACCTTTAGTCGCCGTCCACACGTCACTCGTTCTAGATGATTCCGATGGGTGTATCATTCTCTGAACCTCCCGAAGTGAGGTCTATTTCTCCGTCCGTTCCATATAAAAGTCCTCTCGTCCTGCCATTTCTGATTGTCTGCTCTCTGTGGCCTCGTGTCCCGCCGCCGCGAGTTTACGTGCCAAACAACTACTTCTTTTCTCTCGTCCTCTTTCCCTCTGACCCAGTCGGTTTACATCAACACACTCGTGGTCCCTTTGGCCATTAGGCAGCCCTCTCCTGCTTATCATCGAATGTTTCATTGTGTTTTCGCACAGTTTTCAACTCGCGTTTCAACTTGGAACGAGCAAAAGAGAGAGGCATTGTGTGAGTGTGAGAGACGCAGACGCGAAAACTTTAAAGGCGCATGTCCCATTTCAGACTTCTTTCCTCCTGTTTTACCCGCCTTTCCCTCTGTTTCTTTGCCTTATCTCCTCGTGACTCGTAGACTCGAGGCCAATCGCTTTTCGCGCAACCTCTCGCTCAAACTGCCATCGATTCGAAACGTTCGTTGGCCGTACGTCAGTTTTGTTGACAAGTTGAGAGTGTTGGGCAGCAAAAACCGAGAGACGGGCGGCGCCGAGGAGAGACGCACACAAACGGCCTTCCCCTCGCACCGCATCTTTCTCTCTCCGCATTTATTCTGTTTTTTTTCGTCTGTTGGTGTCTTCTCTTCTGCCGAAGTGTGCAACCGACCCAAACAGCCCATCTCTAACCTTTATCATTCACATTTGTTTTCGGTCATCGATAAGGCAACACTTAATGCCGTCTTCTTGTTGACTCGCAGCGCGTTTCTTCCCATTTTCCCATTTTTGAATCGATTCGCTTGAGCCGAGAAAAACGTGCGCATTGGCACATCTCCTCCTCGTGCTGAGCTTCTAAATCTTTTTTACCAGCCGCTTTTCTCGCTCTCTTCTTCATGACAGATATTCCAGAATGACCGCCCCACTTCGCGTTTTGGTCACCGGAGCCGCCGGACAGATCGGATACTCGATCGTGATCCGCATCGCCGACGGAACCGTCTTCGGAAAGGACCAGCCGGTGCAGCTCGTGCTTCTCGACATCCCGCAATGCTCGAACATTCTCGAGGGAGTCGTCTTCGAGCTCCAGGACTGCGCTCTCCCGACCCTTCACGGAGTGGAGGCTGTCACCGACGAGAAGTCCGCTTTCACCGGAATCGACTACGCCTTCTTGGTCGGAGCTATGCCAAGACGCGAAGGAATGGAGCGCAAGGATCTTCTCGCCGCCAACGTCAAAATCTTCAAGTCGCAAGGAAAGGCCCTGGCCGAGTACGCCAAACCAACCACCAAGGTAACAATCATAGTTTGAACTGTGATCTCTTTAGATGTCTATCAAGGCGGTCGGATTAGATTGACCGTTGAACACTTTCAGGTCATTGTCGTCGGAAACCCAGCCAACACCAACGCCTTCATCGCTGCCAAGTATGCCGCCGGAAAGATCCCGGCCAAGAACTTTTCCGCCATGACCCGCTTGGACCATAACCGCGCTCTCGCTCAGCTTGCTCTCAAGACCGGAACCACTATCGGAGACGTCAAGAACGTGATTATCTGGGGAAACCACTCGGGCACCCAATTCCCGGATGTGACTCACGCCACCGTCACGAAGAGTAAGTATATGGACACGTAGATGGAGGGGTCAATGTCCTGTTTTCAGACGGAGCCGAATCCGCTGCTTACGCTGCTGTCGCTGACGACGCCTTCCTCCAAGGCCCGTTTATCTCGATCGTGCAGAAGCGCGGAGGAGTCATCATCGAGAAGAGAAAGCTCTCTTCGGCCATGTCTGCTGCCAAGGCCGCCTGTGATCACATCCATGACTGGCACTTTGGAACCAAGGCTGTAAGCTATAGAAAGTTTGTTCTTAGAGTCTATTTCTTCTTTGCAGGGACAATTTGTCTCCATGGCCGTCCCATCTGACGGATCTTACGGAATCCCACAAGGACTCATCTTCTCGTTCCCAGTCACCATTGACGCCGCCACCCGCGAGTGGAAGATCGTGCAGGGACTCAACTTTGACGATTTCGCCAAGGGAAAGATCGCCGCCACCACAAAGGAACTCGAGGAGGAGAGAGACGATGCCCTCAAGGCTTGCGACGACGCCAACATCTAAATCGCGTCCAGAAGTTATCCGCTCTCTCTCTCTCTCTCAATGTCCGTTCAATTTCACATTATTCTAAATGTAAAAAAGTAGGCCGCCTTGTCGTATTGTATGTGTGTATTTAGCATCCGATTTGGAACAATAAAGATATTGCATTCGTAGCCACTTTTTTCCTATTTGGGTATCTATCACTCGTTCCTGCCTGATCTCGCATATCTTGGATGCAATCACCACGACCGACCACTTGCGGACGGATGAAAAAGAGAAGCGGAATCTGCATACGAAGCAGGTTTGGGCGAGAAGAAGCCGCGAAATGGGGGAGGGACACTGTTGACCATTCGATTCATTCCAGTCACCGCTTGTTTCCTTCCTTGTTCGATCGTCTCGTTTGTTTCTCGCCGGCCGATGCAAGTTGCAGATTTACCGATGATCTCCGAAGGGCCGGTTCACGTCCAAAACAAATGTTTTTCTTTTTCCATTGCAAAGCAAACGTTCACGTGGCCTTTTTTATGTGAATTACGCTATGACGTGGCAATTTTACCAAAAGTCATACATAGATTCAAGTGGAAATATAATAGAAGGGAATAGAGGACATTCCGAGCGAATGACCACTTTCCTCGTCATCGCCCGGATACTTCCTTGTCCCTCTTCACACTTTTCCATAGAAAAAGCTGGAAAAGCGCCGATCATTGATGTGAGCGTCTGATCGTCAGCGTCAGACTTGCATCGTATTAAGAGAGAAATCCGCCACTGTTTGACCCCAATCACGTCGGCTTTTTTCGCTATCAGACCGAATCATTAATAAGGAGAGACCTAGTTATCCCGAATCGCTCACAGCTCGATCGATAGTCGCAGACATCCACAGAGATAAGTTGTTTTTAGTGTGTGCGGGGCAACCAGAAGAAGAAGAAGACCGTACCGACCGGGAGGATATCCTTGACCCGGCGCAAGTCTCCCTCCCCCCAACATGCTCTGTCCTCCTTCCGTCTCCTGCCTGTACTCGCCTTTTCACGACGAATGTCGCAATTAAATATCCCGTCTTTCCTCCCAAAAACGGCCTAGCTCACATTCTCTCTTTCCATCGACAATCCTAGGCCATGTTCGGAAAAAAAAAGTAAATAGCTGAGTTTGTTTGCCTCAAAACATTGGCAAACACGCGATTCTGCTTCTATCTCTCCACTCCACAAGTACAAATCCGTTCTCGTCTTTCGCTTTTTTTTGCGGTTCAGTTTTGCAACTAACATCTTCTTGTCGGGAGACGCTAGTAATACGTGGCTTAAGAAACCGGTAGTCCGAACTGCAAAACGAACTGCTGCGGCGATAATGTGTGCGTGTCTGCCGACCGTACGCCCCGAGATATCCCTTCTCTCCGTCGCTCCCCGCCGCAGTGCGTGTTGCGTGTCTCTTCACACTTTTCATCCGCCTTTCCTTCACTTTCCATTCCACAATTAACCTCCTCCAGAATGCTGCTCCGATTGCTCGCAGTGCTCGGCGTCGTCGTCGCCATCGCTTCTGCCGGACCGACCCGATCCTCGAAGCTTGTGTTCCTGAACGAGGAGAACTGGACAGACATCATGAAGGGCGAATGGATGATCGAATTGTGAGTTGTTTAACCCCATTTCTTATTTCCCGTTTGCAAGCGTATAAAAATTTGTACAAAAGCTTATCAGGCTGAAAATGTCTGCACAAAAGAGCAAAGTATGCGACTTACGTGAATGTGCTCTATGATCATGATCCGATTTGCAGCCACGCTCCATGGTGCCCAGCCTGTAAAGACCTCCAGAAGGCGTGGAACGCGTTCGCCGACTGGTCCGATGATCTCGGAATCAAGGTCGGAGAAGTGGACGTGACCGTCAACCCGGGACTCTCCGGAAGATTCCTTGTCACCGCCCTCCCAACCATCTATCAGTAAGTCTTTCCCGGTCATCATCTTCTATTCATGATGATGTTTTCAGCGTGAAGGATGGTGTCTTCCGTCAATACGTTGGCGCTCGCGACAAAAACGACTTCATCTCGTTCGTCGAGGACAAGAAGTACCGCGTGATCGACCCAGTTCCAGACTACAAACACCCGAACTCCAAGCAGTCAGTTCTGGCCTCAATTAACAAAGATAAATGTCCTGTTCAGAATGGCTGTCGTCGCCGTCTTCTTCAAACTGTCGATGGCTGTCCGTGACCTGCACAACCATCTCGTCGAGGATAAGGGTATCCCATCGTGGGCCAGCTACGGACTTTTCGCTGGCGTCACTCTTGCTCTCGGATGCGTCCTCGGATTCGTAAGCATCCAAAATGTTCGTTTTCATCGAGTTTTCTCCATTTTCAGTTCATCGTCATCATCATCGATCAAGTGTTCCCAACTGGACCGAGAAAGGCTCAACAAGCCAAGAAGAACGAGAAGAAGGACGCCAAGAAGGACTCGGGAACGGATTCACCGACCAAGAAGAATGGCAACAACAACAATGCGAAGGAGTCGAAGAAGACCAAGTAGATCGTTCCATTTCCTCCGCTCTCATTCCGTGCCTCTTGTTGAAGACATTCTTTTTTTTATCATATCTTAGCCAGCGTCTGCCTTTTCCCTTTTCGATGACTTCCTAATTGTTGATTCTAAATACTCCCTCCCCAAGATAAGTCACTTCTTCCTATGGGTTCCCTCCTCCTTCTCTTTTCTGTTTCCCGCTTCTCATTTCATTTCATTTCGGACTCTGCAATACGTAATTACGTCGTCGCGGCGCCGTCCGTCCCCAGCAGGCCGAGGAGCCAGTCGGTGCCGGCTGCGTTCGTCGCTCCGTCACGCCTTCTCGTCTCCCCACAACGCATTGATCCGTTTGTCCCAAAACACTCGCCTTCTTCTTATTTTTCTCGTCCTCCTTCTCCTTCCAGCTCTTGTTTGTTTGAAGCAAGCCTACAGATCCCTGATTTTTAGCTGTTAATAAATTGCAGTCAGGTTTTGTATGAATTCTGCTGAAAACGGAGAGCCCGTCATAATGGTGTTTGTCGATTGGCACATTTGAGCCAGCAGTAAACATGAGAATTCATCTCCTGCCAACCCACCAAAACTAAAATGAGAATTTCTATTGTCCAAGAAGCTAAAAATAGTCAGGAGTAACGAATACATTTTTGAATACACTTGCCTTTTTTGATTTTCGATCATTAAAACAAAATTTCTCTCCAGAACCTTCGTCTCTGAATGGCCGCCTCGTGGACGCCGCTCGAATCGAATCCGAGTGTCATCAATCCGGTTCGTCGCCGCCGCCCGTCGTCGCACTCTCATCCAATTTATTCCCTCGTTTTTTAGATGATCGAGAAGATGGGAGTGAGTGGCGTCAAGACGGTCGACGTGCTGTTCTTCGAAGACGAATCGCTCGCCAAGCCGCAATACGCCGTTCTTCTCTGCTTTCCAGAGTACAAAAAGGTGTGAAGAGGGCGATGGAAATCAGGGAATTGCAAGAATGAAATGGTATTCAGGTCGATGAGATTATGAAGCCGATCTACGAGCAGGCGACCGCCGCCGACGATTCCGTTTTCTTTATGAAACAAGTAAAAAAAGATCAGCTTAAGGAAAATTCTGTTCATTTTTAGAAAATCTCGAACGCCTGCGGAACTTTCGCGTTGTTCCACTCTTTGGCCAACTTGGAAGATCGAATTAATCTCGGTAACCACTGATTCATCACTACACTCTGCTCGAAAAACTAGAAACGGAAAAAGAAATTCTGAATTCAAAAGCCGGCTGTCGTTCTGAATTTTGCTGCAAGCGCGCTCTGTTGATAATCATCAAAAGTTTGAAATTTATGAATTGCCTTCATTTTCCCCTATTTTTCACTGCTTTCAATGCGAAAATGCGTTGAATTCAATTGAAGTAAATCTCATTATGCTGAAAGTTATGCTTGCAGGCGATGGATCGTTCGCGAAATGGCTCGCAGAAGCGAAAAAAGCCGGAGTTGAAGACCGATCAGATCTTCTAGCCAACAGTTAGTCTGATAAGTCGGCATTCCTGTTGAAAAGGTGTTTTAGATGCGGAACTGGCTGGAATTCACGCAACTGCGGCGACCGGCGGACAAACCGCTCCAGCTGAAGACGTCGAGCATCACTTCATCTGCTACGTTGGCACGAATGGAGTTCTTTATGAGATTGGTTTGTTTTCACTGTTTAGGAGACTGTAAATAAAACGCTTGCCTTTCCAGACTCGCGTCGTCCGTTCGCTCGTGCTGTCGGCCCAACTTCCGAAGAAACATTGGTGAAGGATGCGGGAATCGCGTGCCAGCATCTCATCGAGAAGCTCGACAACGTCAGTTTCTCGGCCATTGCTCTGGTCCCCAACTGATCACGCTTCAGACAAAGGAACTCACGTCCTTTTGTTTTAAAAATTTGATAACGTTCTCGCTTTATTTACGCCTGTGATTTCGTAATTTATTGCTTGCTCGTATTTCGATAAACTCTTCCCGCACACAGTTTGACTTCCATTTACTTTTTCCGTGTGATGTTCGATGTTTACCTATTTACTGAATTCAGACATTATAATCAAACATGAAAGATAATTCAGATGAAAAGTGACGGTAGATGGCAAGCTCTCGAATCGAATCCGGAAACTATCAACCCGGTAACAGCCAAGAAATTTTCTCAGAAACAGCATACATTCTTCTTCAGTTTCTGACTAAGATTGGCGTTCGTGGAGTTGAATGCGTCGACGTCTACTCGTTCGACGAAGAAATGCTTCAATTCGTGCCGCAGCCACAGCTTGCCCTCATTCTGTGCTTCCCGAGCTCGGAGGCTCGCGATTTCCTCTCGAAACAATACGAGGAGGTTGAGAAGAATGGAACGAAGCCGGAGGGAGTGTTCTTCATGAACCAGTCGGATTCGATCGGAAATGCGTGTGGAACGTTCGCTCTGTTTCACTCGCTGGCCAATCTGGAAGGCCGTGTGGACCTGGGCAAGGGAAAGTTTTTCAAATGGTTCGAGAAGGCCAAGTTGGTGAAGGAAGAGGAGCGGTCGGACCTGCTCTCTGATGGTACGCACACTTCTGACGTAACTCCAATAAAATTTTGATTTTTTTGATGTCGATCTGGCGGAGGCTCACGACGAGACTGCCGAGGAAGGAGAGACGGAGAACTCGGACCAGGTCGACTACCACTTCATCACTTACGTCAACAAGAACGGACAGCTCTACGAAATCGGTAAACGAAAAATAGTCGCAAGTTGGATGATCATCGTTCAACTTCAGACTCGTGCGCCCCGTTCCCGCGTCCACTCGGAGCCACCACGGACTCCTCGCTCGTCAAGGACGCGTCGGTCGCCATCAAGAAGTTGATGAACAACGTGCAGAACTTGAACTTCTCGGCTATGGCGCTCATCGGCAAGTAGTCGTCGTAAGTGCTCCCGTTCATGTACCATCTGATTGAACTCTCCATTCCTTTCGCACAGTTTCCATCTTCTTCTTCGTTTTCCCCAATTTGTCATGTTTTTATTTATATTTAGCGATTGAACATAAAACGATTCAAGTTGACCTCCCTACTGTCGCCCATTAAACTGTGCTGTACATATTACACTGATAGAGCGAGGACACGCATGAGAACATGTTATTAGGCAAATTAAAGTGATACGTTTCGGTCATTCCAACCCTTCTCTCCTCTTTGTTCTTGTTCTGTTTTTCCCTTCTTCCCGACCTTTCCGCTCTTGTTTTCCATAGGGAATCGTCTGTCCTCAACCCTGATATCCCGTGTTATCTCAGTCCAAGTTTCAACTTTTTGGCGCCGTCTGGCCGATAAAATCGGAAATTTGATACCGATTCAGGCGGGAGAGGCCACCATGAGAAGGAGGATAAAAGAGGAGCGAGCGGAAGGGTAAAGTAGAAGAAGGAGAAGTGCCGCTCCTTGGAGTCGGTGTCACAGGTTCCATTTACTCATTGATCTTTTCCTCTTTTCCTCCTCGTCTGTCCACGTGACACACTCATCCCAGGCGGCCGGCGACGCCTCCTTTTTCAGCCTGCCCGCCCTCCCCCCACATATCAAACCGTCGAAGTGATACTACTACTGCCGCCTGATTGATATTGTTTTTATTCTGGCCAGGACACGGCCAGTGAGGTCATTCCTCCCCCGTTTTCACTTTCTGCCGCTTTCCGACTCTTTTTGCGATGCTCTTGAGAGACTCAAGTTCCAGATTCCAGAATGCGTAGAAACTCTCTTACGAGCATGCTCGGCGAGTTTGTCGGCTTCCACAGATCGCCCGGAATGCGGCTCTCCTCGCTTTCTAACCAAGAACTCAATCAGGCGGTGAAGGACGAGAAGAAGACGTTCTTGGTGAGGGAAAGTTGCGATGCAGCAATCAGAACGAAGCATTATTTCAGGAACAAGAAGCGGAACGGCCGGAGAAGAGAAAGCCACGTCAGAGGTATCTTTCTGAGGGCGACATCCGAGTCGTCTCCGCCCATCCAGTTTCAGTCAGCGAACTGAAAAAGGGAATCAATGGAGACCGTACCGTGGTAAGAACGAAGTTTCAGATTTCAATGACACTATCACTGATTTGATTTCAGATGAGAGTATCGTCGAATCCGGAAGGATCAGAGCAAACAGCCGTCAACGTGGTGATGCGATCGAAGAATCCGAAGCGAAAGGACAGACCGACGAGTTTGATCGAGCGTATTCGCAGGAAGATCAGCTATACGAGAACCGGCGCCATCATCGAATCGGACGAGGAGAAGGACCACGACAACGGAGTGACGCCGTTCCCGAGGCGCAGAGACTCGACGCGCTCCGAGCGACTCTTCATCCCGATCACTCCGGTCGAGACAGTCCCGATCCGCATCGTCCAGGTGTCCAACTGAGTGCTCCCCAGTGCCGCCCGGTGCGCCCGTCCTCAGGAATTCGTCCGATCTCTTTCCTCTTCCTTTTTTTTGTTTTCACTCACTTCATTTGTCCTATTTCTTGTCCACGATAATAAAAGATTGTACACGAATCGAACGAGATTTGCGAGGATAGACGTACTTATCGATCAGCTATTTCGTTTTATTACTTTGGGATTCAGAAGACGTCCGTTTTCCATCGGTCAGTCCGGACAAGTTCTCTGTTCTTGATTCTTTAGTCTTTCTGTCTGAACCATAAATTTCCATTTTTGTTTACAGGGAACCGCGCCGAAATGCGAGTAGCCGTAATTACAGGTGGGGCCAAAGTTTTCAGATTTGGACATAAAACATCCTGTTTCAAAAGGAAGAGCAGCCAAACAAGTCTATTCGTCACTCTAAAATCTCTGAGAGATTTCAGTAAGTGACTCGTGCTCCGCGGGCACACGAGTCGACGAAAGCGGTCCGAAGCTCGTCGAGCTCGTCGACTCGTCGCCGAGGTAATCGCTTCCTCTCTCCGAAGTGTCCGTTCCAGTTTTCGATCCGAATGATGATTCATTGATCCTTCCCATCACGAGGGTGTTATTTTGTCGGCGACATTTCTGAAATGGCGGCGGCGGCAGAAAGTGAGATGCCACACGAATCTCTCATTTTTTGCGTCGCCCGCCTGCCGCCTGATTGATTGATGTCTCCGGTTATCATTTAATTTCGGCGCGACAGAATGTGGCGGGTCCGCACCGATAAATCAACGAGAGAGTTGCAGGGTCAACGCAACGGTCAACGAGGGCAGTCCGGCGCTCGTGCCCGACGAGATCGCCGCCATCCGGGCGGCTCTGCTCGAGCACTCCAAGACCGCAGGTGCTTCCGTTTCAGTCCAATCACATCCAATCCGTTTTCAGACGTCATCATTACTACCGGAGGAACCGGATTCTCTAAACGAGACGTCACTCCAGAGGTACGCAACGAGCCATCTCGTCATCGGAATTCCGATTGATTCTATTTGAGGCGACACTGCAAGTCATCGAACGTCGTTGTTCGGCACTCGAGATCGCCCTGCACACTCGGTCCCTTCAGGCCACGCCGATGGCCGCTCTTTCGCGGGCTATTGTCGGAATCCGCGGGAGCACACTGATCGTTAACATGCCAGGAAGTGTGAAGGCTGTCAAAGTGGGTTTATCCGAATCTGATGAGAAGTTTAGGTGTTCCTTCAGGAATGCTGGGAAACTATCGAGCCGATTCTAAACCACGCGATTGATTTGCTGAAGGACACTGACGATGGGTCTCAACACGCCAGAATGAAGTGATCACCTCGTTTTATTGTTTTTTTTGGTTATTGCAAAATTAATACAAAAAACCTAATTCAATTCTTTTACAAATTTGAAAACAGAAGTGGCCAGTGGTTTGGGGGCCTCAAAAGCGGCAAAGTGTCCCATGTCGATCTCGGTGTAGTGGGTGATATTGTACAACTGACGGGAGACCTCAATCGGAGTACGGTCGTAGAGCTCATTAAGTGCGCTCGCGTGGGCGGTCGGCGTGGCGACGTATCTTTTTCCGAGTGCGTCAACTCTTCGGTCCAAGAAGTACTCTCTGTAGAATCTCTGCGAAGAAACGATGTTTCCGTTCGTCCAGTAGATCATGATCATCGTGAGCAGCTCGTCGTTCGTGAACTTCTTGTTGAGACCTCCATCCGGAAGGGCACGGTATTCCGGGTTGGTCCACGTGGAGAACTTCTCGATTATGTAGGCGGCGAGGCCGATCGGGGAGTCATTGAGGGAAGTGCCTAAAAATAGAATAGATCGGTCACGGGGATTCAGATGGAATGACTGACCGGCAGTGTCTGGCTTGGTCGCCTGCAAATGCATGTAGCCGGTCTCGGCGAGGAGAATTGCGAACTTGGAAAATGGATTGTGCGCTTTTCGGATGGCTTCCGACGAAAGAGTCTGAAAATGTAGTTGAACTGACAATCAGAACTGTGAAACAGATGTGTACCGATGGAATGAGCCATCCGAGAACGTCGTAGAAGGTTCCGAGGACACTGTTTCCCGGCCGAGCTGGCAGCATGTTCAGGTGGAGGGCCAAGACGCTAAATGACTATTATGAAAAGGGAAAGTTCATGGGAATGCCTTACTTTTGTGGATAGACTCTGGTGAGGATGGAGGTAACGATGGCTCCCCAGTCTCCTCCTTGAAGATAGAACTTCTGGAATCCGAGACGGATCATCAATTTGCGGAAGACTCGAGCACACGCGAGCTGCGAGAATCCAGTCTTCTTAGGCTGCTCGGACCATCCGTAGCCAGGAATCGACGGTGCGACCACTTCGAACGCAAACTCTGAATCGATTCCGTGCTTCTTCGGGTCGGTGAGAATCGGAATGATCTTGTAGAATTCGAACACATTTCCCGGCCATCCGTGGGCCAGCAGCAGTGGCTTCACGATCTTGTAGGACTTTGGAGGGTGAACGTGCAAGAAGTGCACCTGGAGTCCCTCGATCTCAGTTGTGAACTGCGGGAACTGGTTGAGGAGCGCTTCTTGTTTCCTCCAATCGTACTTGTTGAGCCAATAGTCGCGGAGTTTCAGAAGCTGTTTCGCGTTGAATCCGTAGTAGAAATTGTCGGAATCTTCGAGCACCGAGTGGGAGACTCTCGCATTCTGCAGTCTGTGTTTGAGGTCCTGAAATGAGATCATGATGGGAAAGGAGACGTCTGGAGTGAACTGACATCGATCACACTCTGCTCCACGGCCACCTTGAACGGCTTGATTTCCGTGCTGTCCGGCCTCGTCTTCCCGCTACCGTAGTAATTGTTCTCTTCCACAACAATCTAAACGGAAAAATGTAAAAATTAATTTCTGTTTATATTTTGGGATTTTCACGTTTCCTCCCTGAAATTAAGGCAAATGCCCTCTTTTATTACGTATTGTGGGGTAACGCGCATATAACGTGAAAAATACATTTTTTTTTCATGTAGCACGCAGTGATATCGAAAAATCATTTTTTTAAATGTGATTATCATTAGTAATTTTTTTCCGTTGGATTTTTCGATGAATTTCTCTATAAGTTTCCGATAAACTTATCGATAAGTTTTTGATTCATAAAACGTTTTTGACGAATTTCTCACTGTACGACAAACATGTTTTTTTCACATTAGCAAAAAATTTTCAATAAATTTGTCGTAGTACTACGCGTAGTCTTAACGATAAGGCACACTAACTAGCAGTACGTCAATAAATGATTTGTTTTCAAAAACAAAGATCATTGTATTAGCACCTCAAGATTCTGACAATGTCGCTCTACCGCAAACTGATGTGAGATCCTGGCCGCGGCCGCGAACTTTTCCAATTTACCACTGAATTCACGCTGAGAGCGATAAAGCGCAATTGGCAGACTTCTGCGGCTAGCGCGGATGCAATGCAGAGTTTTGCACAAACCTCAGTCGCAGGAGTAAGATTCCAGACGGCGGCGATGAGAATCCCGACTGCAACGGGCACGAGAATCAGTTTGAGGATACCCATGTTCTGAAAAGAAGCGGTATTCGGGTCAGCAATTTAGACGATTACTGGGCACTCTGTTTGTGCGCGCCTCTTTTATACTGGGAGTGTGCGATAAGACAACGCAAAACATGTAGCCAACGATCGTACTCGAAATTTCGGATCACAATAACTACACTTCGCACACAGGAACGGAATGACTCCAAGTGACTAGAGAGAAGAGAACGGAGATTTAGAGAAAAACAGAAATAGGATGACAATTCATTTGGAAGTCTCAAATTTGAGGTCTTTTCAGAGAAAAAACGGGGGAAAAGCTAGCATTTTTTTCACAGCAAAGCAATGGTTTTATTTACTTGTTTTCAATAGGAAAAATTGACGAAAAAGAGGAAATAAACACGTTGAGAGGTCGGAGAACGCGAAATTTCTCGTCTGGCTGACGAAAGAAAACGGAGTAAACAACTGGCATGCCATGGCAGAAATGAACACAAACCACATTTTGTTACTTCTCGCAAGTATGAGGTTTGGTGCTTTACCAATTCGATCAGTTTCCCCCAAAAACGAATGCACCGTTTTGTTATTTTTATTCACAGGAAAGAAGAAAAGAAGAAGAAAACATTTGGTTATTTGGCAATAAAACAATCTGTAAAGTATGCACAAAAAGTATACAAAAAAGGAATTCACTGGAAAATGAGATGAGTGTCGGGCGGGATTGAATGCAGATGCTTGTATTCCTCGAACAAATCGTGGAGAGCGCCGCAGTACTCGGCGTGCAGCTTATCGATTTGCTCGTGCGTCGGCTCATCCGTTTGAGTGACTCTGATCGGCTTGCCAATGACTGTGGTCACTGGCTTCCGGAACGGAAGAAGTCCGATCATGTACTGATTGAAAATGGATCGCCCACGCAGGAGAGGCGGGCACAGACCGAATATCGTCTTAATCTTCTCCTGGACAGCCCTCAGCCTGGATCCCTTTGGATTATCGTACTGTTCGTAAAGATCGTTTTCTCCAAAGTTGTACATCGGAACGAGGTCTGCTCTGAAATAAAAGAAAAAAAAGCCATGAAAGTGAATCGTAGTTCAGTACAAACCCATATTTCAGAGCATATTTGCAGAATCCACGTCGATGCTTCAGCGTCAGAGTGTGCTTATTCGGGTGTGCATCCAGAGCCTCGGTGGCTCCGCCCACAACGATAGCACACGCGCGGCCTTTCCCCGCTTTCGTGAGCGTGTATTCGAGGGATTCCTTCGACACTTCGATGCCTCCGAGCATGATTCCGAACTCGCGTCTCAGCGGGAAATAGAACTGTCCATTGAGAGTCATTATATGAGACTTGATCCCAGGAAATTTGTCCTCGAATCCGGTCGCATTCGTGCTCATGGCTATGAAACCGCCGATCGAGAACATTCCGTGCGGATGCGATCTGGTAATTGAAAGTTAGTTAAGACACAGCTTTTGCAATGATGTCGGTTACCCGATGATGTAGTTGCGATCCGGCGGCAACTCGGCAGTTTTGATAAGCCGCAGAGGGAAGTAATCGGCAAAGTACTTCCAGAAGACGTGCCTCCGAGCCCAATTCTAAAAATAATCATTATTCTAAGTGTTTTCCAAAGGAAGACCTTCTCACCCATCTCCGTGATGCCTTCTTGGGTGTCTCGTAGTCATAGTAGAACCAGACAGCGTAGAGAGGAACAAGAAACCACCAGCGTGTGTTGAACAGAATGTGAAAAGGAACCTGAACCACATCGATTCTCGTGTTCCGATTGGATTTGATTTACTCACCCAAAGGTCCATGATCGGCAAGATTACCCACATGAAAATGAAGCCCATAACGGCGAGAGTCTCGAATTGATGTTTCCATGGAACACTGATCGGCGAGAACAGCGTCGAGATGACTTTTTGGTCGGGAAGTTTCGTCTTTCCGGATATCGAGTTCAGCCGTAGCCTCATTTCTGAAAAAGAATATGTATATTGAAGAGAAGGCTTATTAAAAAGCAGCTGAAAGAATGGAAAACTCTCGAGAGCCTTTCACTGGTTTCACCGCGAATACTACGGTATTAAAGGCGCAGCGCAACTGTTCAATTTAATATGTCGGTCAAAATCAGTTATTATGACTTCTGAAGGCTAATTTTGGCTCCAAAACATAAAATCAGAAAATAACAACAACTCGTCAAATTCTACAAACATGGCATAGTTGTTGAGTGAACTTTTTCTTCCAAAAAAAAAGAAAGAAATCTGCATTGGTAGGAGTAGGTGGTTAAGTGTTTTGTCGTGACTCACGAGTACTCTTGGAACCTCTCTCATCGTCCTTTCCATGTGATGCCGATGAAGACGAAAAAGCGAAAGGAACGCTGGTCAGGGGAAGGAGGACTTGTTGATTTCAGAATTTCAGCTCTTGCTCAATGATCTCCTGATGCTCACTTCCGGATTGCGACTCCTGGACTTTGTAGGTTTCAAACCCCAGTTGAACTGCAGATCATGATCCCCCGAGTCGTCATAATTTCTCTCACTTCACTGGGATAATCCAGCTGCAGCGGCTACAATGTATTCTGTTCCTCCTCGAATTGCCTCCTCGCCTCGTAAACCGAGTTCGAAAGTGATATAGCAGCAGCGCGGGCGGCAGAAAGAAGAAAAGATCGCGCAGGAGTAGGGGAAGACCCGCGAATAGTAGGTCAGCAAACCAAACTTTCTCTCTTCCTTCTCCTTTCCCGTCGCTTTTCGACTTTTCACTATCATCCGTCTTTCGTTGACGCTTCTCCTCCTTCTTCTCCGTTATCAGTTTCCGCGTGCTCTCGTGTCGCCGTGCATGCACTTTGCCAGTGGTCAGTTTCCAGTGTCTGGCCACTCTCGGTGTTTGCGTACGTACCCACCTCAGTGACCGCAGGGACCGCAGGGCAGGGCAGATACTAATCGCTCACGGATGTCCTTATTGATCACTTGTGACGTGGCAGAGTACGTACGCATTTCCTTCCTTTGTAAAGGAAATACAAAAACAGAAACATTCGTTCATTTCTTACTGATCCCACAGCCCAGAGCTCACTCATTCCCTCTTCCTCGGAACGTGTTTTTTTGTTCTTGTGCTCTCCGCTCAGTGCTCAGTGCTCACTTTGTTCTTCATCTTTGCCCTCTGTCGCTTCCAATTCGAAACCTTTCTCTCGCCAATTTCAACTTCTCTTCCCCCTTCGTTTTATCAGAATCAAGTGCAAGACGTGGCCGTCCGCCTCTCCTCGGCGGTCAAACTGATAACCCACTCGTCAGTTAGTTTTTGCCGTGTTTTCGTCGTCGTCCCACTCCATCAAAGAATTCCTTCATTTTTCAGATGTCGTCCCGTAAGGACCGTTCGCCGTATCCGCTGCCGACCAAGTACCCGTCGAACCTTGAATGGGCGTCCTACAAGACCTATGTGAGTTCATCACAGTGCAAGCTCCGAATTAGTTCAATCACGCCTGTCCAAAACACGTTCTGGAGTGGGGGCCAGCCAGTTGACCTCAAAAAGAGTGATGAGGGCGAAAAACACTTGTCAGCCAGGAACGGGGAAGCTCTCAAGAGAACGGAAGAACAAACAAACAAGCACTAACCACGATGAACATCAAAATTTTGCATTTTTAGAAGGCATCGCAAGAGCCCCTAAAGCACTGAAAGATTTCAGAACTGGGTCGAGAACCGTCTATGGCCGGTCCGTCCTCTTCCATTCGTCGCCACGACCGTCGCCCTGGCTGCCACGTTGCACTACAAGTACCCGGAGAATTTCGTGCTCGAACTGCTCCCCAAGGGCACTTCTGAAGCCGCCGAGATTGCCAAAGTGGCGTTGGTCTCCTTCGCCGGAACCTATGCATCCGTGTTCACACTTCGAAAACTCCTCAAGTACTTCTACTTTTCTTACAAGGGATTCCTGTTCGAGAACCCGAAAAAGCCGTCGATCCGCACGCAGATTTGGGGTGTAAGTCCTCGTCATTTTCGGGTCATTTTACAGAAGTTTCTCATTTTCAGGTGGTCCGTCACTTGCTCTCGTTCGCCCCTCCGATCCTTGAGTCCTGTGATCGTCTTCTTCCGAACCTTCCGGTCCCGAACCTTAAGGATTCCATAGACGAGCATCTGAACTCTATGAGACATATTCTGACGGAAAATGAGTACGAGACAATGGCCAAGCAGGCAGAGTCTTTTCTGGAGAACGAGGGCAAGACCCTGCAACGATACACTCGCATCTACTCGCTTTTCACCGACAACTACGTATCCTCGTTTTGGCAGAAGTACGCGTATCTTCATGGAAGGTATTCGACAACTTCAGATTGTCTCCCATCAATTCCTTCTCCAGATATCCTCTCCTGATAAACAGCAGTGTCGCCCATTGCGACCTTCTGCGTGACAAGAGCGCCACGCGTGCTCACCGTGCCGCCCGCGTCACCTGGATAGAAATCATCTCGCATCTCGCCGTCGACCGCCAACAGTACAAACCGGTCAGTTTGATTTTTGATCACACTTCTACTTTGCCCCGTACTCTCTTATCATTTCGACAAACGCGTTTCGCCTCCGTCCAAAAATGTGACAGCGGTTGCTTGCAATGAAGTGTATTTTGACGAATGTGGTCAAAGTATTATACGATAAGGAAAACAAAACACAAAAATGCGAATGTTTTTCAGTTGGGAGACGGATTGGTTTGCACTCGACACTATCGGAATATGTACGCAGTGACGAGAGTGCCCGGACAGAAGGTCGACCAGCTGAAACTGCACGGCATTCAGAAGCACATTGTAGTGGTGCTGAGGGGAAAGTTCTACAAACTGCACGCCTGTGACGATAACAGAAACATTTATGATATTGAAAGTTGACAAAGTACAGTTGGAATGGGGATAGGGCTTTTTGTTCATGAGACTGTTTCAGAATCTACCACGAGTTGATTTCCCGTGACGAAAAGGAGGAAGGAGTGATCGGAAAGGTGGCCGCGCTCACTCATGACACGAGAGATTCGTGGAGCAAGAACCGACAGAGGTACTTCCTCGGAAACGAAAAGAACGCCAAGATTCTAAAGGAAATCGAGAGTGCCGTTTTCTTTTTGTCTCTTGATGAAAACGAGGATTACGGTTACGAAGCGGAACGGCCGGAGGTTCTCAACAACTTCCTGGCCAACATGCTTTCAGGGGACGGAACCAACCGATGGGTGGACAAGTCGCTCAACTACATCTGCTCGAAGAATGCTCGGTGCGGAGGAACGACCGAACACTCGATTGCCGACGGAGCAGAGTTCGATCACATCATGGAGAACTTTGTGTTTGTGGATTTGGAAGTTTTGAAGTACAAGCCGATCGAGGAGCAGGAGAAGATGGCTTTAATTGCCGAGAATGAGAAGAGTGCTCTGAAACTTGCAGAGCCGCTGATCTTCGACGTTCCGGAACCAGAAGTACAATAAAAACATTTCATTAATTCTCTAACTCTTCTTTTCCAGATGCTCTCCGAGATCACCCGTTGCCACGAACTCCACCAAACCGCCAAGAACGACCTAGATCTGTTCGCGCTGGCGTTCCGTGACTTTGGAAAGGGACGCATCAAGAAGTGCGGAGTGTCCCCGGACGCCTTCATTCAGATGGCCATTCAACTCGCCAACTACCGGGACCAGGGCAAGTTTGTGCTCACTTACGAGCCGGCCTCTGTCCGTTTCTTTGCCAATTCGAGAACCGAAACTCTGCGAACGGTGAACGACGATTCATGCGCGTTTGTGTACGCGATGCTCAATGAAAACGAGAGTGTAAGCGGTTGACGAGAATTAAAAATGTAGAGTTTGATGCACTTCAGAAGGACGCCAAGATCAAACTGCTCAAGAAGGCGTGCGAGACTCACGTGCTGCGCAACAAGAAGTGCATGGTCGGACAGGGAATCGATCGTCATCTCTTCGTGCTGTACGTCCTCTCTCAAGGATTCGGAATCTCCAGTCCGTTCCTCGACAACTACATTTCTCAGAAATGGAGACTCTCTACTTCTCACGTGAGTTCTAAAACACTTTCCGAGATATTGGAAATTCGAATGGTTTTCAGATTCCAAATGTGACAAACCAATGTGACGAGGACACCGATCCGGATAACACGTGGCTCGGAGCCTGCTTTGGAGCGGTGGCCGCCGACGGATACGGAATCTGCTACCGCTTCGGAGGAAACCACAGCATCTTGCCAACATTACGAGCTATCGCTCCGCCGGAAACACGGACTCTCCCCGCTTTGCCAAGCTGCTCTCCGAATCGTTCCACGAGCTTTCCAACTTGTTTGCCTAAACATTGTTGCCCTACGGTTACTGTACTTTGCACCAGAAATGTAACTAATTCAACTTATCCGTATGTATATCACTAACACGTTGTCCTATTTGTCTATCTGTCGCCATTTTTTAAATGTATGCAATAAATGCGTTGATCGTGAACATTCAAGACATCTCTTTGAATTCATCTTTCTGTCAAGAAATTTAAAAAAAGTAAGTTCTGCCAAAGCGCCAGCACTGTTGCCCAGTCGGACTGGTTCAGGCCTCAAAAGACTTGGTTCACCTTTCTAGTCTTCTCTTATTTGTTGCTTTCCTCGGCCCTTGCGTTATGAGACACTTTTGCCGTGGAAAGTTCGTTCAGCTGAGTCATACTATCAGTCCGCGATGATCTTTGTTAGCAGACTTGCATGCAATGAGTCATGCAAGCGAAAGCCAAACAATTGTGAAGGTTTCCGATGTCATTTTCGGAAAATCGTGCTCTCTTTCCGTTTTTGATGATAAAATCATGCGATTGTAAACAGAATGGAAGTAAGAAAATGCATTTTCGGAATGAAATGGAATAATGTGTGTGTGTGTGTGTGTGTGCATCAGATAAATTATTCAGATCACTGGCAAAAATAACCGGAAGTTTTAGGTATTCAAGTTGAAGAGGGCCAACTCTGAGTTCAGCCGAGATTGTCATACCGAGCAATTCAGAGGACTATTGTAATTTGAGGGCGTTACATCTCTAGAACTTTCATGAGTTACTGTATTCTATTGTAGTGTATGCAAACCGTGAAACCTCTATTAAGATGGGCACCCGAACACTGTCAACTCAAGACGATGTATTTCAGCTGCAGATGGATGAAATAGACACAATATGTTTCCTAGCAAATTAAAAGTTGACAAATTCTTTATAACTCTTTAGGCAGTTCAGATATCCCGTTTCGAATGCGCGGTAGTGCAGTGCCCTTCTGCTACATTATTTTTACGGTACATTTTAAAATGATGTGATGATTTTGTGCTCAGCTTAGGTAATACCAATTGGATGACGGTTTTGCCATCCCGTCTTTGAATTAAGAACGCAGTCAGAAAGTTTCACACGAAAGACGCTTCGATGAATCAGCCACATACAGGAGGATCCAACCTGAAATGATTCTCGTCTGAAACTTTAAGCCAGAGTACGGACGTTGTCCTTATTTACTCCTCTTCCACATGTGGAAATGTCTATTTCCTCCCACCGATTCTTAGTCTTTTGGCAAATAAAACTGCGCTGATGTCACTCGTTTCGATAAGGTTTCAAATAAAAGTCGTGTCCAACTCGCTCATTTTGCCAGTCATCTCGTCATGCATTCCTACCACAACCCCGTGAGTTCCTCTCTCTCTCTCTCTTCCCTTTCTTCCCTTTCTTCAACTTGTTCTCTCTTTTCAGGGAGTCCCGACCGCTCTCTCGATCTTCGAGCCCCTTCAGGATGGTTCGACCGTATCCGTGCACGGACACGTCCGTCATGGCCACCACAAGAACTTCGCCGTCGAGCTGCTCAGCGGACCGAACATTGTGCTCCACGTGAACTTCCGCTTCCACCACGAGCACATTGTCGCCATGAACTCGCAGTTCAACGGCGCCTGGGGACCGGAGCTCCGGCACAAGAACCCGCTCCACCACTCGGAGCACTTCCATCTGACGATCCGAGTGCACGCCACGCACTACCACGTCAGTCCCTTTTGATACTTCTCCCCCTCATCTGAATGTTTCAGATCGCCGTCAACGGCCACCACCTCGCCGATTACCCGCACCGTTTCCCGTACAACGCCGTTCAGGCAATTGGGCTCAAGGGAGACGTGCACGTGGACAAGGTCCACTTCGAGGGCTTCCACTTCCAGCGCCGTTGGGACGGACACATCGACCACGGACATTCCGGATACCACGCTTACGGAACCGAGACCTACGTGGCTCCCGTCTTCTCGCAGCCAAACTACAATCCGTACAGATAAATGCGTTAAGTTCCCATGCGCCAGCTGATACCTTCTAGACTGTTTTTTGAAATTACAATCCAACTTTTTTTTTAGCTCATTCAATGAATCATTATCACTGGCATTCAACCTTTTATTAAGTATTATTTAAAACATATTTGGGTGTCGGGAAATCATAACTGACATAGAGATATAACAGGCATAACAATATAGGAACACAAGTTCGCGCTCTTGTGCATCGTCACTTTTTAGTTATTACTTCTTTTTATAAAAAGATATCATTATTTCGTATATACAGCAAAGTCACCGATTTTGGGTAGAGAGACGGGAATCTTCTCAATTCAATATATGAGTGGAGAACGGAGAAAAATAATGAATGGCAAAATACCTGAACACGGAGATTTTTTTGGGGGGAAGTGTTTGAAGATTTTCGGATATTCGAAAGAAACTGTAGGGTACGTGATTGGGTGGGATAGTTTCTATCCTACGTTTCTACGGGGAACAGAGAAGGGGAATCGACAATCTACTGGTTTAATTTGGTGCCTACCCGGGTCAGAGATTACATCAAAAAGACGAAAAAGTCGATAGAATACTGCTGATAATTAGACTGGCGGTGGTCCGTTCACGTAGGTGAGATGGGGACCGAACGGCTTTCCGAACACGTGATAGTAGAAGATGGCGGCGAGTGCGGAGAGCAGCGAAAGGGCGAATGTGAACTTGATGAGACGGGACGAGGAAATAGCTTCGGAGACGGTCAGAGTGCTCTCTTCCATTTCTGATCCCATATCCATCGTCTGCGTCGTCATACTTTTAGCCTTTGATGGGCGTGGCTCTGGCGGATGAACTTGCATCGCTGGAGGCGTTGGCACACGGACCATATCATTGAATCTGAAATGTTTCTGATGCTTTCCTCTTTCTCACATCGGGCGTCTTACCTGTCCTTCAACCTTGCCAGCGCATTACTGTAGATGGACAACTCGGCCTTGAAGTCAGGAATACTCTTCGCGTTCGATTCGTTTTGCAAGCCAGACAATGATGCCGTCAGATAATTGCACATCGTCTCGAGGCTGTTCATCCTCTCCTGACACAACTCCATCTCGTCGGCGATGATTTTGTTGTCCGACTGTCCCTCTTTCAGATGCGATTCGATACGAACCATGGCGCTGCGGATGTCATTCTGTCTGTTGTTCCACGCCTCCCACTCTCCTTTCACTTGAGACAACGAGCGAGCCATCTTTCCGATTCGATCGACGGCGTCGTCGTACCCCTCCGAAACGGTGTCGAACTCGCACGATAGATCGTCGGCAACTTCACGGAAAGTTGGGGAAGCAACCAGATCTCTGGAAGTGAAACAATATTATAAATTTGTATAAGCGAGATGCAATGAATTTGCACATCGTCTGGGACAATACAGAAAGGAGGAGCCTGAAGCTAACAATTGAATTCCCCGTGGCTGACTCACCGCAATTCTTGCCGCTCACAGCTCAGTCTTCGTTCGATGGCCGTCACCGCGTCCAACGCCTTTGTCACGTCTTCTTTCGAACGAATATCAACGACGTCTCCTAGAGAAGCCATCGAAGAGACTTCCTGGAGAGTGCAAGCGAACTTCTTCACTTGATGCATAATTCTGACGAACGGACTGCGAATCGAGTCGTATAACTGTGCCCACTCGGCGCGCAAATCTTGGAGGGTGCTTGTCTCGAGGAAGGACGGCTGATATCCCGCCTGCTTCCGGAGTGCCTCGTCGACCTGGCGGAGATTGGAACGCGCGATCAGTTCAAAGTTCGAGAGCTGCGGTGTGTCCGTGTGGCTCTCCTCCAACGCTTCTGAACCACTCTCAAGTGAGACTTGCTCTCTTCTATGAGCCGAATCGCACTCGATCCTCCGAAGTGCTCAGCGAAGTCGTCGTCGATGTTCAGCAGTTGGCTTGAGATTTCAGCCATGATCGGAGTGTGACGATCGGCAACCGAGTCGTCCTTTTGAGGCGGCTGAAAATGGGAGAGTAAAGGAGAGTGAACTGAGATACTGAATGAATACCGTGCTCGTGAAAGAGGAATGTTTTCTAATACATGGAAGGGCGACACCCAGCAGTTTGACAGTTTTGGGTTTCATTCGGGGAAGCATATGCGGCAATAATGTTTACGAGGTGAACGCAATGCACTACGCTTATTATTATGCATGTGTTCCTGAATGGGGGAGGTGCTGCGCGCGCGTGCAGGGAGCGGTAACGTCTGTTTCACCACCTGGCTGCCTGGATGGTCGGATATTGGCCCAATGCGACCTCCTCACCTTCAATTAGAGCAGAAGCAACGCCGGATGAGTACGGGTCAGTGCACGCAACGCCACGAAAACAGATTATTGCACAAGGAGAGTCTCTCGAGGCTTTCGCGGATTAGACGAACGAGCAGAGAAAGAAAGCAGTAAAAGGAGAGAAAGTGGTAGGGGAAAACGTTCGGTCACTCTATCATTTCTCGCGCGTTTGTCTTTTTTCTTCGTCGCAGCGATGATCCAGTTCTCAGTGCGCATTGGAACCGCCGCCGCCTCCGTTCTCAGACTCTCGGGGACGAATTTCAAAAAATGCATAAAACTATTCGCCTGTTTGTCTGTTTTAGCGCAAATGCACAAAACATACTCATCTTTTAAGCACACAAAAGGAAAGAAATTGTCAATAGAAACATTTCAAAGTGTGTTGCCAAAAGTCGCCCTTTCTTCAGCGTAGTGGTTGCCAAAGGAGATGAGAGAAAACGACAAAAAGGATGCTAGTTGTCGACTAATATCAAAATCACAGAAGACCGAATTGACGAGAATCGTGTCGCGCCGAGTGTCAATCAGCGTTATCACAAACGTGTGAATGTGGGAACATTCGCAGATTAAAAACGTTTCCATTCTCTTTTTCCCTTTTCCCAACATCGTTTTGCACTCACATTGTACTCGTCCCATTCGTATGCTTGCGCCGCGTCGCTGTGCTCTGGAGCCGTGTCGCTGTCCATGTTGTTTCTGATCTGAGCGTCGAGTTTACGAAGAAGACGAGTGACTGGAGTGGAAGGCGGCGAGACGCGGATCATTGGAGTCAGAAGTCCTTCCGGCTTGCTGCTCGTGACACCGAGCTGCTCGCCGTCGCTCATGCTGCGTGGCATTCTGCGCACTCGCAACTTCCTTCTCGCCAACGAACGGCTCTTGCAGGGGGGCAACATTTCGGAGCGAGTCGAGCAGAACGATCCGTCCATCTCGAGACTGTCGTAAAGGAAACTGGCGTTTTTGAGTCCACGTCCGGACCTTTGACGTTTCAAAGGGGACGAATGATCGAACGAAGCCGAGTTGAACGAGCTGAAACTTGGTGGAATCGAAACCTGTTCCCTTTGCCACGGGTACTTACACACTCATCATTTCGGTGTCCTCCTCCAGCTGTGACGGGCTTTCTCCTTCAGACGAGTCTTCCGATGAAGCATCGCACGAGCTCTGTAATAAATCATTGATCGGTAATTTTATCTGTGACTGGGATGCTCCTCGATCGGTTTTACGATCAGCCACCGCCGATTTATGACTATTTTCGCGCAAAGCGTTCATCCGCACCTGCTGCTCCGGAATAACAGTCAGCATGTCGTGAATACGAGAAGTGAGTCTGTTCTTCGGTGGCCGCGCGATCCCGCACACCTCGCCCCGCTATCAATCACTCCGCCACCGGTCCGTCCATCCGTCATTCCGTCACACACAGTAAAACAAATTGCAAATGAGATAACCTTGGCAATGATGTCCATTTGTTCGCGGCTCGGTCGAGATGCCCGACGCAGTGGCTTCTTCTGTCCGTGAATCTCGCGCCATTTCGTGTTGAACGATTCTGTCATCGACATGTCCATTGGCAGATCTTCACAGTCCATCAGAGCCATCACTTCATCTGGAGAGCGAGAATGAGGAAAAAAGTGGATGAATCTACAACTTACCGTATTCGGGCAGATTCTGTGTGGCCAGGAACGTCGAATCGTGGTTGACATACATGGAATCGGACAGATTCGGATCCTCATCGACGTCGTGGTTAATCGCCTTCGTTACTTCCAAATCGGACATGTCTTCCAGTTGAACAGTGCGATAGAATGCCTTCACCGGAGAGCATTCGATACGTTTCCGACGCATATCACTGGTCTCTGGCAGCCTGAAAAAACAAACAATTTGATTCTGCAGCCGAGTGAAAAAGAGTATCAAGTGTCTTTCGAATAAACACCAGAAACGGGAATGATAGCTGGAAAAGTGCACGAAAAGGGGGCAGAGGTCCCTGAGGCGAGATGAGTCCAACACGCGTAACCCGAAACTAATAAATCTCAAAGTTGTCGGGAAGCAACGGACAAGAAAGAAACGAAGCGAGGGGCGTTTGTTTGGCGGCACACCAAGATATGAAGAGTACGCGCGGAGGGTAGGGTATCACGTATCATCACTCGCAGAGCCACTCATCACTTTCAAGGCTGCGTCGTCCCGTGTTGCTTGTCCACTGATTTATGCCCCGCGCAAGTCATTTATCTAGAAAGGTGTTAGCAAACCACTCCAATTAGGTCATGTATCTGCGTAGATACAATACGCTTCTGCCTCGGAAAGCAAGCGGGGAGGGCAAGGTGGGGGGACTCACTTGTGAAACTTGCTGAGCATCTTCTTTGAATCAGTTGGCTATCTCGCCAAATACTAACTCGACTAACAAACTACTGACCGCAACGGATCCGCTCCGCCCCCTTTTCATCATAAAAACGCGCACATGTTGCGAGAAAGCGCTAAACGGTCCTAGCCGCCAGAACAGATGCCGTCTTTTCGGCGCGCCTTTGCGCGCATTTCGTCAATGTCGGCATGTGCTCTGAATGTTCCATACTTTCGAGGTCACTTACAAGTGATCGGCGCACGTGTTCAACGCCTCGTGAATCGAATTTTCTCCGCTCGAATAGCCAACATCCTGTTGTACACTGTCCCACTTCTTGCTCGACTGCTCGACGCCCATTTGGTCTTCGGAAGAGGAGGTGCACGAATCGACAGTGATTCTGGAACAGATCGAGAATTTTTGGATAGGAAGAATAAAGAGAAAGAAGAAGGGAGGAAGAAAGCAGGAAAGCGAATGCAAAGCGGGCAGATAATTTATGAGACCGGAGGGCTACCCGAAAGAAACACATTCATTTTGTGCGCGGAACGAACGGGATAATCCTAGCCACCTGACACAAAGCCATTAAATGGTTTCTGAATAGCTGTATAAGGAACGATGGAAGAAGCTTCTCTAATAGCCCTCACACGTGAACAGTTCCTCACCTGCCATCCATGATGCTCTCGTACTCGCTTTCAGCAAACGGAAGCACGTTGTCCTCGTCGGTCACTATCGTCTCCGTGTGACTGTGCCGTTCGTCGTCGACGTCCGAATCTTCGGTGTCCGACGCTGTCAGATCCCCCGTTCGTGTGCGAGCGCGCTTGATCGGTGGTCCGACGAGATCCGTATCACTCTCCGAATCGTCTGATGCTTGCTGAAACGATTCAAAAATATAAGGGGAAATGGGTGAAAGGGGAGATTGAGTGGCGTGAGAAGATGCGCGGATGGAGGCGCATGCATAGGTAATTGTACCTATGCACTTCCGAACAAACACACGAATATAGACGAAGCCCATATGCGCAAATGTGTGTCACGATACTATTTGCGTGTCATAGATTCATGCAACTGTGCAAACTATACCGACCCGGCTAATGTACTTTTGAAGTGCGAGATTTCACTTGGCGATGTGTAGGGATATTCAAAAATCAGGCGAAGTACAAGTCAGAAAGTTGAGGAGAAAGACTCTAAGGAATGGGAAAAACTAGAAACCGCAGTCAACCTATCGAAGACACCTTGTACTCGATACCCTCTTTTCTTGTAGTAAGCCGAAACGTATGCAAAAAAGACAGTTAATGCTAGGCGCAAACAGCAAAGAAAAGAGAGAATGACGAAAAAGAGAGAAAACGGTTGAAACAAAAACAAATAGACAACAAAACTTGTTGGGGGATCAGTAGAAATTAACCAAAAGGTACAAGTTGGGCCAAGTGTCGACAAAGAAATAGAATGATCGTTTGAAGACAGGGAGGCGAGAGCAGAGGCCTTGTTTGATCGGTGGGTGAATCAGCGCCAAACACGGACATATGTCTCTGAGGGACAGTCCCTCCAATGCCCAACTATTCACCTTTTGTAAAGGTGGCGTCGATTTGTGTTCAGTTCGATTGTTCAGCGGAGCACACATCACTCGACTGATAGAAAAAGTTAAGCGGGAAAGAGCGGAACAATGGAGATCGGGAGGTAGAGAATGCCAGAATAATTCCTACAAGAGCCCAGGCTAGGCTATAGTTCTAGGCTATAGTTGCAAGTTGTAGTGTGGGAACATTTATGGAAGCGAGCGAGTTCATCGAACTAATGAATGAAGTTCGTTCGCTTTGAAACCAAAAACCCAAAACGGGGAGAACATGTGAAGTAAGTGACGGGCGGCGAATCCGCATGCAAACACGAATACGAGCGGCCGCCACCACAACCTTCGCCGCCGCTCTTACACTCGGTTACACAACTCGGACCATCAAGCCTAATTACACGGACACGAAATGATAAAATGATTCGGCGGCTCTTGTTCCGCAAGATTTATCGCCATTTGATTGGCCACCCGTGGCCGCCCGTCTCTCTCCCGCCCCCAGGGTCTAATAAACTATTCTGTGTGCCATAGAAACCATTACGACCTGACACAATTAACAATTCCATAATAGTTTCGCGGATAGTAATAATTATTATGATTGCAAAAGGAAACCTTCAGAAGGAGAATGCGCGAGTGGTGAACTGCGGCGGCGGCAGCTCTAATATCTGCCAGGAACTGCCAGAAAGATGCGAATGTCGTGCGTTTCGATAAACAAACGGAGAGCGGTATCGTTGCGGTCGCTTGAGTTCATTTGGGCGCGATTAATTCATACCCAATTGAGGAGGTAACCCCGTAATTAGGCACAAGAGCTCTGCCTACAGGTGCATTCTGGAAAATGCTTCTCCAGGAGGGAGAGGTCGAAGAAAACGAGGAAAGGACGGGAGAGGCAGCACCTGTGTGGCACGGGATTACGACGAGAACTGGGTTGGGTGTGGAGGACGATGAGGCGCGGCTCGGAGGTATATAATAATGAGTGACAAAAAGTGCGAATAATAACGAGATGAATGGCAGCGAGGGCTCCCGGGACGGATGAGTCCTAAACGCAGCTGTTGGCACCGAATTCAAATGTCGAATAAGATAGCGGAATGAAAATGAGCGGAAAAGCGAGAGTGAGGTGCTCTTCCGCCCTCCTTACAACACCGAGCGTATCAATTTCTCAGGCTGATGACACGTGGCAAAACTGATGTGAAGTGGCAGCCGATGTAGATAGAAATTGGCGGGAATGGACTACTCTACAACTACGAGTCATACAAAAAAATCAGTCAATTTGCATAATTCGATGAGTGAAACGGGCAAAACCGTCGGCGGGTGTACGGACACAATCGGAAAAGTGCCTAGCCGTTTTCGTTTTGGAAAACGGAATAAAGTGTATCATTTTCTAAACCCATTCAAAAAACAGCACACACTATTGTGAATTTCATGGATCGGCGGACGAAGGACACAAAGGAAGGAAACGGTGGTAACTGACAGTACGATTCGAGGAAATGGGCTGCTGGGAACGCATCGAAAGTGATCGAGCTGTCAAACAGCTTCCGTGCAACTCATCAAAATGTGTACAAACAATAACAAACGGGGCGAAGGAGGAACACAAAAAGAAGCTGGATGAGAACAACAGAACGAGACTGGAGGAGTCAATTTGCTACACCTGACGGAGAAATCATAATGGAACCCATTTGGGAGAACGAGAAAAACGAGAGGCCGTAGGGTGACGCCCAGCATCAGAAAGGGTCGACGAACCGCCCAACCCATTTGATTCCGAGTTAGATGGAGAATAATGAAGAGAAACTAGTGGAAAACTTGAAAAGAAGGAAGTGTCTCTCACCTTATGGTTGATGAGCTCTTCGATGCGGCAAACGAGCGAGAGACTGTTCAGGTAGATGGTGTGCCACTTCTTCCGAATCGCATCTACGCACGTCTTCCGCCTCTCCTCTTCTGTTGAATCGACGTCGTTGTCTTCTCTGTAAACGAACAAACTAATCAAATTAAAAAAGATCCTATCGGACTCTTTTCACACTTTCATTAGAATACTCACTTTAGTTGTTTGTTGAGCCGGTTGACTAGAAGTTGACCTTCGTGCTGTATTTCGAGTTGAAGAGCCTGAAATGAAAAAAAAAGTTAGTTTCGCAAGTTGTAGCACTAATTGGATTAAAAACAGGGAGGTCGTGCACGATCGATCGTCGAATTCCCGGGGCGACAGGACAGGCTTGTAATTGGCCACCCCCCACAGACACACACATTTCGCGCAGATTTCAAGGTAAAAGTTGTCGAAGCGAACATCAAATGGTTTGAAATATGGAGGTGAAAATTGGGGATGAAATGGGCAGAAAACGAGGTCGTCTTGAGGTTGAGTATTCACGGTAATTCGAGAGGAAAATGAACGACGGAAAGGAAAGAAGACTATAGTCGGAAATACAGAAGACTGAGAAACCAGTGGGAGAATGTTTATTTTGGAAAACATGCCACTAAGCTAAACTATAGATGCTAAATCGACACAGAAAGAAGCGTTCTGTGCCGCTAGCGTCGTAACTGATAAGGAATCAAGGTATGTGAGAATGAGCGGAGAAGTGCAATTGAAGTGGAGAACGGCAGCAGAGAGTCGGCAGAGAAATGGAGACAGTTGGCGCTAAACAAAGTGATTCGAATTTGAGAGTGTCGGTCGGTATAGATGCAAGGAGAACGACGAAAATGAGAAAAGAAGACGACGCCGATGAACCGGATATTCGGAAGACAGCTAATTGTAAAAGAAAACGGCCAAGAAGGCGTCGATGGAGCAGTAAAACGAGAAAACGATAGAACCGAAGGGGGTGATCAGCCAGTGGTGGCGACGGCGGCGAGAAGGAAAGCGAAAAGAACACTCGAGTGCTATCCGAACACTTTTTCGAGTGCTCATAATTTGCAGTTCAAGCTACCGGTTTTGACGGCGTAGAGTCACAGTACTACAAGACAGATTGCGGATAATCCGAAGAGATAGAGGGGAAACGGACAAAAGTGTTTGGTCACCGGAGACTGGGGTAATAAAAAAATGATGATCGGAGAACGGAACGGCCCACCGTGGGGGAAACCGATAGATGAACGCGTGCAAGAGGTCCGTCTGAATACGAAGCAACAAAAGAAACGAGGTGACGGGCGACACTAAAAAGTGCGAAACGGCGAAGAACTGCGGTCAGTGGTGAGTGGAAGAAAAGACGACATTTCGAATACAAATAGAACCGTGGACGCGGAAAAATTATGATTGGGAAGCAATTCAGGAAGCACTATGGATGTCGGTAGAATTCAGAGTAGAATTTCAACTAGGATCTTTCTAAAACTACCATGCCAGCACACCATGTTAAAGTTGGGTCTTTTTGAATTGGAAGCTTTTGAACTAGGCGAAAACAACAAGACAATTTGGAAGAATAAGAAGTGGGGGCGGTCGATTATATAATTCCAAAAATAAACAGTGCGCATCGTCTGTGTTCTTGTCTCTATCGTGTAATACGGAAGAAGAAGAAGAAGGAGAAGGAGGAGGCGAAGAAATAATACGATCCCCGCTGCTGCCGTTGTCAGATGAATTACACAATCCGGCAGAGGCCGCCAACAAGTCGGCAGGAGAGGAAAGGAAACAATGAGGAAACAAGACGGCCGAAATAAAGATCGTTTTCACCTTGCGACAATCGGATGAAAAGAGCAATGCTCGCGCGGAGCGAAATTGAGTCGCAAAGAGGAAGAGAGAGCAAGGGGCGCAGTCGGTTTTTATACGATTTCGGAGCCAAGCAAGAGAAAGTAAGGGGGTTTAAAAGTTTGACATAAACTTCTTGCAAGCTAGGAAAGCCGTAAATCGTTCTCTGTCTAGAAATGCGTGTAAGTCAACCGAATCGAGAATAAGTGGAGAAATGAGTTCTGGGGGTGCACCGTACAACTGAGCTGCCACCCTCACTCACGCACACTTTCTGTATACAAATACGGCGACGGAGAGCACGGGATTCGCGGGCACGCAGATTCGTTGAGATTATTTGATTGATATATAAACATTATTATTGTATATCGAGATATCTACAAGATACGCGCGCTGCGGTAAGAGAGAACGAGAACAACTACAACTACTAGGACAGCCAGAAAGAACGAGGAAATGTGATATGCACGGTAGTCGAGATTTGAGTGCGGGAAGGGAACCGGACGACGAAGCGGTGCGCGGAAAATGAAAGAGCGACCAAGGAAAAAGTGTTAATTGTTAGGTGGTAGGGTTTGACGGAAGAAAGAATGAGAATGAGATGGAGGTCGAGAGTAACCAAGACAAAAGTGCGTGGAATGGCTGAGCGACACGCGATGGACGGACGGCACCGCTCTTCTTCCGCACCTGCGACCGCCGCCGCGTCCTTCTTCCACTGAATATTCGAGGAGCCAAAGAGGAGCAAGCCGAAAAGAGAAGAGGTTCTCATGGATGTCAAAGTGGACCGCCCGTCTAGTGTCGGCAATCCGTCATCCCGAAATGGACGCGAGAGGGGGGAAAGAAAGAGCAACTGGTCACTCGGATGTAGAATTGATGGGCGGCGGAAAAAGAATTGACAATGAGAAGAATTCTCGTAAAATTATTCAACAACTACTATGGACAGCATGGGGAGGAGGAGGCTAACACGGGAAGCGACAGGAGAACAAAAAGTAGGCGACTTCCGGAGGGGACGTTGAAATAGAGAAGCTATTGTACACTTTTTTCAACTTTCTATTTTGAGAACATCCAGCACTAATTTGGAACTTAATAAAAACGATGGAATTGAGAGTCAGTACAACCGACTAGAATTATATGTTCTTCTCATTTGCGCTGGATTCAATGAAATCTCTAATATAGGGGAACCAACTGATTTTTAAACTATATAATAACTGTCTTGTACCGTACTACGTAATGTTGAATTTCTTTGGAATAGAGTTTTTGATTTTTCCAAGTCGCAGTTCGATATGTCCCTCGATTATAGGATGCACGATAGTTCCTCTCACAATTTCAAGACTTCGATAGATAACTGACCTGTTGATCGCTGAGCAACTTGGCCAAATTTGGCTCCACTCGAATCCGTTTCTCGTTGATTTCGAGTCTTCGTTCCACCTCATGCAGCCATGATCGCATTTCGCCCGTTGACGATGACGTGGAACTTCGCGCCGAACCTGAAAAACGACCGGAAGTGTGCGGACTAGAGAAGAGTGACGGCAAAAAAAAACGGGCGGTCGGCATATTCGGAACGCGCAAAAAGTGGCCCTCCGGACACCTGACTTAACAAAGGTGCGCCCGCTTGCAAAAAGGGACTTACTGGAGGTGTCCGACTCGGCGCCACTCATCAGTTTCGCATTGTTCTGCACGCGAAGTTGTTCCATGGCACAGCATATCGTGTTAAGCCGAAGCAGGACCTAAACCAACAATATTAGTAAAAGTGTGAATGTGCAAGTGAGTCTTACCGAATTCTCGGCCTCAGGCCGTTCGGCCAGGATCTTTTTGGCCGACTTTTCAAGTGATGATGTCATTTCGTCGAGAAATTCGCATGATATTGTCTGAAATTCAAAGAATGGTAAATGGGAAGAAGGACAGGGAGAGTTGCAAAGTAGGATTAAGGATTAAAAAGAAATCGAATCGGTCGGTTGAAGGTGCGAATTCATTCAAATCTGGTCATCCAAGTATAGAGAATCGGTCGGAAGCGGGCGGAAGGCGGTAGAAAAAGACAGAAGAAAGCTTAAGAAGCGGTCGGAAAGAGCGGAGTGGGAGAACTTCAAACGACCTCCCAATTGCTCGAGAGGTCCTCTTCACACATACTCCTTTTGTGCTCTTAATTAATCCGCGAGAGGGAAGGAACATAACGGAACGGGGGCTCATCTTAGTTCCCACCACCAATAATGCATAATACCTAATGAGCTTTCACTCCTCATTTTATCGTCTCTGTCCATCTTCAGATGAACGGAGAAAGAAGAGGAAGGAAAGGACCGCGAAGGATGCCGAATATAATCTCGACGATTGATGACCAATGAAGACGTTCTCGCATCGGGAGGCAGCCCGTAACGATGATCATGACAGTGATGGCTATCAGTGCACTACCCGGGCTCCCCACTCTGATTGACAAGCGGATCTAGATCAACCCAAATCACTAATTCGATTAGTGTGAAAAAACTGAGAAACTGAATCGTTGGAGTGAGTGATCGACAAATATAATTTAAAAAAAAACGGAATTACGCACTTATCTGATCTTTTGGGAAAATGTTCATCATTTGGGTCTCAAGAAGAAAATAAAGAAAAGGAAGAAGAAGAAACTGACGATCTTGACTCCACGAAATTAGATGCATTTCTGGTCCCGAATGGTAGCCAATATGGCGTAATACTACCCAAACAGACATGGAATGCGAGAAATGCATCGGGTCAGCTGTTCCCGGATCACAAATATAAATTTATTGATTCCGAAAAGGTAAAAGTTGAACTTAGGTAAAGTTTGCAGAACAAACCGACCATTACATTCTCGCCTATAATCACATTATATGCATTGGCATTCAAAAGAAAACGAGACGATAGCCGGAAAAGAGGACGGCCTGTCGGATTTGCAAGTTTTGTTTATTTACGCAAACGAAGAAGAGAGAGGTAAAGCCCATCGCCGGGGCGGACAACAAATGATGGTGTGCTCTCATCAAAACTACGAGGAAAGAAACAGTGTGACTGGGGGGCCCGAATGTGCCCTCGCGCAAGTGCACATGTGTTGTCAGAGACGGGCTATTAACCCACACGACGGACCGGTGCAATGTCCGCGCAGCAAGGGGTAGTGGTGGTGGTCGAGCAGCTCCAGATGTGCCGAATCTCATCATACCACACTAAAAACTCGTCCATCCGTCTGCTAAACTGGACAAATGAATGGGAAGGGCGACCACGCAGAAACGGATGGGTTCGTTCTGCGAAAGGAAAAGAATGGCACCGGACACAAGTTCATAGAGAAGATGCGCCTGTTTGCAGACTGATAACAGCCGACATAATAAGCCAATAAGCGATGAATGCGTGGCTGGCAGGAACAGTACCGCCGGGCTTGGGGGAAATGAGTCATTTTAACGAAACAATGTCTCCTTCTCTTGTGTCCGTTCGTTGATACGATGCATATTGTCAGCTCTGTCACACGGACTGCGTATCGTCGCTGCTAATGAATACCTAATGTGACATGTTTCTTTCCGATTTCTCAAAAGAATTGGAATTGCAACGCCTGGAGGGTCGAAAAGCAGCGGTTTCGGCGACGGAGAAAGAGAGAAGAAAGAGATAGAACCACGTCGGAAAGTGGTGCCAACAATTTGGCATATCGATAAAGAGCTCATTATTTTTATTACACCCTCCGAATCTCATTAATTTAGATTAGGGAGGATGTGCTCGAGTGGACTACTGACAGACGTCCGAGAAGATTGGTTTGTCGTCCAGATAATGGCGACGACGGAATGCAGCAACCGAGTGAAATAGAGGAACGTCGGAAGAGGAGCAACAACGTGGCGTGTGGAGGCACTAAAATCGGAGACGTCTCGCCTCCTCGCCAAAACATCAACAGAAAGTGTCATAAAAAGAACGAGTAGGCCAGCCAGATGAGCAAACTTTCAGAATTTTCAGAGAAGACACAAAAAACAGAGTGTTTGTTGTCGGAAGCGCAAGAACACTTTCAGTCTGTTGCACACGCTCGAACCTTACCGAAGAGAAGTGCTGTGTGTCGAGTGGGCAAGAGTATCGGGTGCGTGAAGTATACTACCTCCTCCCGTCTCCCTCGCCGCTTGTGCTCCTGTCGCTGAGCATGCTCGACGGTATAACTAACAATCCGCAAACACGACACAGACCGTCTTCTACTACTGTCGCTTCTTCACGCGCGTATCGTTTCTGTTGTTGTGCAATAAATGCGAGCGCAAGCCTTCTCCGCCTAAGCCTCACGATGATTTTGATCCCAACCCAAGACAAAGTGAACGAATCGAGACGGAATGTGAAGAAGAAACGAATAAGTAGCCTTGCCCGCTCCTAAACCGGGAAACAAATGGTCTCAATCTGTCTGCCCGGGATTATGTTACACTCCGAGGAGGTCGTTCGAATAAGGAGACGGCTTGCCAATGTGGCATCCTCGTCTTAACAAACACTGGTCAATCACGCAACTGGAAGGGTCCACTGGGAACCGACCGCCGACAGCTTCCCATGAAAACGACTCTTTGGTCCCTCAAACCTAACTCGAACTCTCGGGCACACAAACCCCAAAGTGTTCGTAACAATTACTGATACAAAGCAAAACGGCGACGCGCTTCCCATCCGTCTCTAATTTCATTCCGAACGGCTCGCGCACACAATCGGTTCACTTTCCTGACATTCGATATTATTTGGGAAACTAATTGAATGGTGCAAAATTTATCAGCCGAACCAATCTCGCAAAATGAGTAAAAATGAGGGCATTGGGTGGCGGAGGAGCTACGAAGTTGCACAATCCGACTACATTTGATTTATGGGAGACCTTCAACCCTTCCAAACTCAACACTCTCGTACCACGACAATGGCCACAACACCGAGGAGACATCACACGAGATGAAGAGACGGAGAAGGATGCAATGGTCATCCAATATCTCACAAAAAAGATATCACAAACAGGTCAGCGAAGCTCCACCGAAGTGTTAATATTACTGCTTTCAAAAGAAAATGTTATGCAATGTGAGGGCGTCAGATTCTGATTATGTTCTGCGGAAAGAATGGAGTTTTTTTGAGCCAATGTCCGAGCTGGGCTTGTCAATGTTAGCCGTCACTAATCAGTCGTAATATTTTCGTAGCACACTCATTCAGACGCTTCTTCTCTTTTTGATAATGGATGACCCCGATACAATCTCTCTCTCGTCAATCGGTGACAACTGCTGCTTGAGCAGTATCTGGCGGTGCTGTCGCCAGAGCTCGCGGAGCAAATGGAGAATTAATCAAAGTGGCAATAGTGGTGGGAAAACGAAAACAGAGGGGAAGGCGGTCTAAACGAGTACCTAATTGATTGACCACCGACCATGGCAACCGAGCCTTTGAAAGTTGTGTCTCGGGGAAAAATCAATTGAAGTATGACTTACCTTTGAGGTGAGATTGTGCAACGAGTCGAGGATGAGATTGTAGAGGGAGGAGCAGTTCTCGAGGAATCTGTCCACTTCCTCGCCCGACGATTCGATGACCTGCAAGACAATGAGATGGAAAAGGCCGAAAGGGTGGTACACAGGCGCCCGCGCACACAGCTGCAACTTTTTAGGCGCACAAAGATAATCCCAGAAAAAAACGAATTGGAGGAAGAGGAGAAGTGACCCCGAACCCGAAGGGACGCCGTTTTAACGATCACCCGCTTCCAGTGCGACTGTAAAAACGGCAAAAGTATTTTGGCATTCAATTCGGCGGACTCAATTTACGATTTCTCGACCTTCCGGAAAGACCATAAAATGAAAACTAAACCTGACAGAGACGATAATCGATTCAGGAAGTCAGCACTCAATTAGGAATCATCAAAAGGCGGGGCGCCATGTTCGGTATGATGTGCGTGGAGAGTACGGCGGTTCCAAGAGCAGTGTTCTCGCACTCGAACGAGTTGCTCTTCACTGCCGAGATGCGCACCTCGGGAAACACTTAGCGCGAAAGGGCAGTCAGTCACCTATTCACTTACTCACAGCTTTTGCCAAATAAAGTTGTACGGTGAGAATGGACCGTATTGTGCGGGAGGAACAATCCAATGTCTTTTTAGGTTGGGGGGGGACAAAAAGAAGGCGAGAAAGGGTAATAGACCCCGAGCAAACAAGACGGGACCCCGCACGTATCCAGGAAACGTTTGCACTCCATAAATCTGCCAATAAGGATGTCCGATCTGGTGAGCCCCCTGTTCCCTGTTCACTTTCCATTACTTCTCATACTTTGCATCCCTGCCAGTTTCTTACACTTTCACCCCTCCAATTTCGAAACCACAGTTTCCAATTTGCTGCGGCGATCAAAACAGGCGATAAGGCGGCGGAATTTGAATGCGACACTCGCCCGCTGGCGCCACCAGTTATAAATCTTTGAAGCAGCAGTGCGACGACGGCAAGGTCAGCAGTTGAGGAGGCAAAAACAACGGAGCGGAGAGGAGGAGGGAGAAAAGTTGGACGGCTGCCAAGATGCGAAGCACGCGTTCGCCGGTCGCCGATATCGTGGAATCTCGCGCGAAATCGGCCAATCTCTCTCACTCTTTTGACAGCTTTTTGCAAACAATTTATTTCATGGGCGCCTTCTTGCGACCTGTAGAAAAATGAAAATGCTCGAGTGCTCCGCGCGAAAAGGCAGGCAGGCCAGGCACATGCGCATTCATTGCAGATGATAAATCTCACCTTGAGCAGGTCATTTCTGACGGAAAAGTCGCTGGGCAACTCGACCTCCGAGTATGAGTCCGTTACGTCCATTCGTAACCTATTTTCGGGTTACTGTGGCACACAGTTTCTACGAGAAGTTTGTATCCAGACGTGGGATACTGTAGCAGCGGGTGGGATCAATTACGCATCGCTCGCCGGATGAGGGCGATGTTCTGCGCAATGCGATCACACGGATGAGAAACGGATCTGCAAAAATTGGGATGCGAACGGAGACGGAGGAGAGCATGAAGATATGGAAAAGAGACGAGATTAGTAGAGTGGCGAACGTGAAAATAGCGACAAATTTTCAGATTTTGAAATAAATAAATCAGATCGGGGCAAAAGAGAGAACGAGGGAATTAAATCATTTCAGGCCACCCACTAGCGCAAAAATGTTCGTAAAAGATAAACATTGTTGGGGAGGGGGGAGAAAGGAGGGTGTCGCGCCCGAAATCCCGCCTCAATAAACAATAATAATGAGGTGGGAGGATGGGTGCGGACCAGAGCGGCAGAGCGGAAAATGAAAAGAGCCGGGAGGAGCGGGCATGATGGATCACCGTGTCATTCACAGTTTTCTTTTCGACACCTGATAAAATAATGAGCTGATAATGATGATGAGCATGAGGCGAAAAAATTGACAAGGAAAGAAAGAGCCGGTCGAATAAATGACCAGGGAGAGGAAGAAGCATGGGTGACACTTCAGATTTTATGGGGTTTGTTGCAATGAAGCAAGGGAAAGAGATAAATGGGAATGGAACAAAGTGAATGGAGTTGAGAGAACGGACGGAAATGCTCATTGGAAGCTGCAAGACGTAAAGGTTTAGCAACATTGAGCACCATGACACTACTATCGGCGCGTCGATAGTAATAAAAAAAGACGACAACCGTGTGTTTGATAATGTACACCGACGCCAAAATGTGCTCTCGACTCTCTTCTGACTCATTCAATCGAAAACCCCCTAGAGGTCATCGTATGAATTCAGTTGCAGACAGATGAAAGAGTACCAGTTGTGGACGGAAAAGAAAACGGAAAAAAGAGAGGAAGGCGCTGATGGAAGATGGAAGACCGCCTCAATTGCGAAGAAGACTGGACGAGGGCGGCGGTCAGCAGCAAAGGTGATAATTTTGGAGGCGAGAGACGCAGAGAACGCAAAGTCAAACAGTTTGTTGACGGCGACGTGGGAATCTTTCGCACTATTCGATTATCGAGATGTTTTCAGTGGAAGGTGATAGTAGACAGTGGGAGAGAGAATGGAGAGAAGCAGAGGAAGTGCAACAGTGCTGGCATCATGCCAAATTTTAAATGTACGCAACGCAACATGTGAGGGAGGTAGACAGATGGTTCGAGTGAAATGATCGTACGAACAAGATGAATTACAATCCAATCCAAGACAGTATTGTCGCTTATGAATTACGAAACACAGTGAAACCTAATGCCATCGTTGTACTGACAATACAATATAAAGCAGTAAAAGAAAAAATCAGGCGACGCTTCATTTCCAACGGATAAAGCCAGTCGACAGTGTGTTGGGCGTAGTATAGACGAACGCTTCCGACACTTTCTCCTCCGGCTTCTATGCTTTTCTTTTTTTAATCGAACGACGGATTGCATTTCCGACGTTGATACGAAATTACCATCATAATCGCAGGGATGGGGTGGATTCGCGAAGGTGGATTGCGGTCAGAACTCGATTAGAAGAAGGAAAGTGGATTTATAGCTCCTTTCTTACTGTTCTTGTCCCAGTTGGACAGTCAAAATATCTGGGCGGTCGCGGAAATGGCGCAGGAGGAGACCACTGATGTCTGCAATCACAATCGCCGAGATCGTAAAATGGACCCGTTTATGACCGATTTCGGTGACTTTTTATGAGGTGGTGCTGAGTTGCTGATTTTTTAGGCTAGCAGTACAACTAGGATTCAGTTTTTCGGGTAAAGCTTATGGGAATGTTCCGTCCTAACGCAAAAGGCAGACCGTACGATCGATATGGAAGAAAATCTATCAGAAAAGCTATCAGACGACTAATTTGCTTCTGATTCACTCGTTTTTTTGGACGCAAATCGATAATTGAAGGGAATAAGAGAAGAAGCATAAGAAAAAAGAACAAGTTGTGGGGGAGGACAAAGTGGGCGGAGACTCCGTTCAAAGTTTGTCGGCCCCCGGGGGACAAAGCCATTAGAACGTAAACTGCTGCTGTAATTAGCAGATTGTTCAATTAGACTCCCAGAGGCCGAAGAAACAAAAAACATACATTACTCCGGTTGGAAGAGGCGACCGGCAAGTGCATTGAAGCGCTGTTTGTCTGCAAAATCATGCAATTAGTTTCAGAAATGTTAGTAGAAGGGAGAACAGTAAAAACGGAAAGAAAGGGAGATTCCGGTGGCGCAACGGTCGAATGTTCGGCCATGATAGACTCACGCACATGCGCGAAGTGCGCAATCTTCGTGTTAAACCTTACGCAAACGGTAGCAGCTCGCGGAGCCTTCGGAAGTACACAAAAGATGCGTGTGCTTTTCTAACGACTTTTGTGCATGAGAATCTGGCGGTCGGCGATAGTGGTAAGCAGCGAATGAACTAGTTAGGAAATTTTTTGAGACAAAACGAAAACGTGCCTGGACGTCTAGAAGGTGGATTTCAATGGATTTCACAAGCAAAAAAAATCGACGGGTGACTAACCGCAACACCGTTCGTTTTTTTTTATAGATAAACAAACAGAAAAGTGCAAAGCACGCCACGCAAAGTGGCAATCGCGGCGATTGTATAGAGACGGATCACACGCGTCGGCTTCCATCAAATTGTGCATGAGATCCCCCCTCGCAGTGTAAGAAAAATCAGAACGTGGTGGAAGCCACGGACATGGCGGCTATGCAAAAACGAGACGCATTGTGGCACACGAGAAGACGCGCCGACAAATTGCGTGCCAGTCGAGATTGATTAGAACCAAATGGAGCACATTGGCGGCGGAGGAGAGGGATTTTGAAGGAGGGCATTGTGCAAAATGAAATTGAGGACAACAGGTATTGGGACATCAGGACACCTGTCTAGAAGGTGGCTTCAGAGAGAGAGAATTGGAAGTGAGAGGAAAAGACAATGTCGGATGCATCTGTCCCATGTCAACTCGTCGGCAGATCAGCGCAAATTTGAAATTTGAACCGCAATGAAGACACAAGAAAAGCGAAGGAGGTGGTTAGTACAAAAGAGAATGCGATGCGTTTCCCAATCGACTACCTTGCTGCTAATTCGCTGATGCGCGCATCAATTAGCTTGACACGGACCGCCAAAGGGAACTGATAGCGGTCTATCAATCATCATGGGGGAAAAAAGAAAAACTATTTTGGGAGTGGCCGTGAAATGTGTGAAATAGGTGGTGTATCTAATTGTGCGTGCGCAGTTTTGGAACGAAAACGAAAAAGTTTTGAGGGGAGCGGCGGAGCGCGGGCGAGGAGATAGTGTGCGGAGGCGAGAGACACAGACGGACAGAGAGTGAGCGCCATGGGTGATTTGAATTTGGCGCCATGCGGAGAGACTATTACTTCACCAAAAACACGTTCTGTTTTGTAAATATCTAGTCGTCGAAGGCTTTAAAATTGTGAACCCCTCACGCTTCATGGAATACACACCTTTTTTCAGAATGAGCAGTTATTTTGCAACGCGCTCTATTCTCTCAAAAGTTTGATAGAGCGAATAAGCCGCAATGAGTAAGTTTTTGAACTTGAAAAGTAGGACGAGTCAAAAAAGATTCTCATCAAGAAAGGTCGATGTAATTGGAAAAACGTATTCACTGTGTGGAATGGAGTCGAGTGTGTCTGCCCGTCACTCACTGATAAATAAATGACCGGACGAAGGTGGACTGGGAAGAAGAAGAATAAGAAAAGAAGAGTAGCCGAGGGAACGGCTGTCACCTCGCATACTCTTCACTCGGCGTGCTATCGCCGACCTCATTCTCCGCCTGCGATTCTCACATTTTACTGACCATCGTTCAGGATGGATGCACGAACAAAAAAGTGAACGGTGTGAATGGGGAAGAAGAACAAGAAGAACATACTAAAAGAAATAAAAACGAAAGTGAGCTGTAGCTCATAGTAAAACACCGGCACTACACCCGAATGGCCGACAGCCGAAAGGTGTAAGTGGTCAGCCACCGGCGGCCCGAAGGGCATTCAAATGCAAATTACGGCACTGTTGCAACCGCCGGGGCTAAATTTTAGGGCCGAATTTACGAACGAAATGGCGTAAAACGAAAGATGCGACTAGCTGATTCGAAGGTGATAGGGAAATTGGAGAAAACAAGAGGAGGGGGGCATGAGCATGCCGAAGAAAATATGAAAATGAGACAATGTTGCGCAAATATTTGAATCGGATCAGTTCCGCACCGAGCCTTATTATTGTTATTTTATTAAAAGAGCGACGCGCCGGAAAAGAGTAGGATGGCAGCAAAATGGGAGAAACTGGGCGGCCCGTGTAAAAATTAAATTACTAGAAGAATACGGTATCGTTTAAAGGCGCTCCCCAAACAGAAATTTCGTTCAAAAGTACCGCAGCTGGCACTCGTCCAAGTGGACTCACCTGATGGACACCTGACTTTGTCACTCTGTTCATTGTGCACAACAACAAGTCTAAGCGGACACTCGGAGACATCCCTTTCATCTTTTCCGATGGCACATGAAGTTCCACAGAAATGAAAATGAGAAACGTCAGTGAACGCGTGAATCTAACGAAATAATTAGCCACTAGTTGGGAGTTAGCAAGTACGCGTTCGTGGAAGTATCGCAGAATTCGGATTCCAATCCCCGGGTCTCAGGATGCAGTAGGTGACTGTAGAGACATTCCAAATCGGGTGAAAACAAACCCACCACTACCTCTCCAGTTGGCGCTTTTTTCTGAAATCGGTAAAAAATTTTTTTCTGAAAACGGTAAAAAAAAAACGTTGATTTTCCAACTTTGGGTCCGCGAGCTCACACGTAGCAGCAATGAGCACACTTCCTAATAATATTTATTGTAATGAAGGGTACATGGAAATGCACACAAAAAATGTCAGACCGATCGAAAACACCTTCGGCAGGTCTCCCAACCATTGTTCACGAATTACAGACACTGATGTAAATGGCCAGTCATAACCGGTCATGGCTTCAGCCGGGCTCATAGAAAACGCGCTCCATTGCAAACTGCCATGGCCGGCAAGTTTCGGCATGCAGTTGTGCCTACACAAAAAGATTCCTTTGAACGAACAAATCTAGAAAAATAGAGTTTTTTGCAGAAAAGGATGACAATTCATCGTGAACTGAACTGGAGAAAGGTCATTAGGGTAGGGAAAAAGAGCCATTTCCGATTAGAATCAGTTTCGACAAATGTGACTAGAGAGGAAGGTGAGCAAAACAGTTGTTTGAACGGCTCTTTCGACGTCTTTTTAGAGGGATTGTCGATTTGCTGTGCACGATCAAGCAGGAGGAGGAGTAGATGGATCCAGGGCTAAGCAAATGGCCGGCCATGGCCGGCCATGGCTGGCCAATGAAAAGCCCTGGCCGGGCTAGTTGCAAGCGCGCTCCACTGCAAAAAAGCCTTGGCCGGCCCTGGCCGGCCAAGGCCGGCCAATGGTACGGTAAGCAATTCGGTTCACTGGGCGGTGTTTGCACACAAAGCATTTTAAATAAAGAAAAAAACGTGTTTTCGAAAGGGTTTTCTTTTTTTTCTAAGTTTTTTCACTTCATGATCAAATATTTTCACAGAAAAATGCTCTATTCGATGAATTCGATTCATAACGTTGTTCCCATACATTTTTTTTCTTTCGTTTCGTTCTCATGCATCTCGTTCTCGTTAATTCTGTCGTCTTCTTTTTATTTTTTTCTCTTCACTTCTGCTAATTTTTCGAAATTTGTCAGCTTTCATTTCATCGAAATTTAATTCACTTACTTTCTTTTTCACCTTTTTTTTCTACTTTCAAGCATGTCTTCTTCTCATTTTAAAAATAATTTCTTCGATTTTTTTCTTTATTTAAGATGCTTTGTGTGCAAACACCGCTCTGTGAACCGAATTGCTTACCGTACCATTGGCCGGCCTTGGCCGGCCAGGGCCGGCCAGGGCTTTTTTGCAGTGGAGCGCGCTTGCAACTAGCCCGGCCAAAGCCTTGGCCGACCGCTGGCCAGCCAAGGCCGGCCAATGTTTTGCCCAGCCCTGGATGGATCGGTCAGAGGAAACGGCAGCAGGCGAAATGATTGAGGAGTGGTCGGTGAGAAGCGTGATCTCCTGTTAGCACGGTGACTCGCACAATAAGCTCCAAATGCCAGAAATTCCCGGGTCTCAGTATGCACTAGAAAAGAACGGAGACAATCCAAACCGGGTCGCTGTGAAGACGAACCCACTCGCTACCTCTTTAGTTGGTCGGCTCCGAGATGCGTGAGAGTTTTATCGGACCGGGCGGCTATCGATGGACTGCGGGTGGGTTACGGCGGGAAGGCGGGAGCAGGCAGTCAAGATGCCAAAAGAAAGAGAAGCAATTGTGGACTGCTCATTCTACAATATCTCTCCTAACTCCTCTCTGTCATTCGGGACTATGCCAGTTTTCAATGTTACTGCAGGAGGAAGGTTCACTTTGCCCGCCGGCATGTGGTTTCTTTGCGATTTGACAAAAAGGTAGTGAAACGATCAGTACCTTGAAAGTAATTTGTTTCAGAACACTTGTACTTGGAATGCCAATTGAAGCATTTCTAGAGAGATCCCACTCTGCTGCCCGTTTTCGGCTACTCTTCAGGCGAACAACATGCAAACATCACGAAAAAAGGTGAGAATGCGGAAAAGATAGATGATCGGTTCACGATGCTGTTTGCTCTTCTTCGGTCCTGGATTACAATGCTTCCTTCAGATTTTTTTTTCATTTTTCTCTGCCGTCTTCCGTGGATTTTTTTTCCGTCTGCCGTCTGCCGTCTTCCGGAATTTTTTCTTCTTACCGTAAAAGAGGAATAGCTTTTTAGAAGCCATTTACTAGCCCCGAATAAAAGCGCTAAATTCACCCCGTAGCATTATGGCAATGCACGGAACCCCAGCATTCCAATGCGCAAGCAAGTTGTCAATGGGGCGCGCTTGCATCCACCGTCGGCTCGGAGTTTCTTTTTTCAATTGAAACCCAGAGTTCTTTCGTTTTTCTCTTAATAAACACTCAAATTTTGTTCTTTGCGAATGAGAATTTTTTATTGGATGGCTGGGGTTCCGTGCAATGCCGCTCCAGCTACCCAAGAAAGAAGCATCCCAAAAAGATGTTCAAATGCGAACTTCCAAGTCCGCTTTTTTTGTGATATGACCCACAACCTCTATCTCAAAAATGAAAAATCGTAGAAAAAAGCCGTCAATTGAAGATCAACATAACATTTACTTCAGCTTTTCAGTTGACAGCTTCTTTCTACGATTTTTCATTTTTTAGATGGAGGTTGTTGATGAAAACTGGGTCGTATCACAAAAACAAGCAGACTTGGAAAAGAGCTGTCCACAGGCGACACTTCCGTTTGAACGCGCGCTTTTCACGGGTGTCTAAACAAACATAAACATGAAGATGTTTATTAGAAAAAATGCAAGTCTCAATGGAAGCACTGTCGTGGTGGTGGTGACCGAGTTTGCGTGAAGAAATGAGATGGCAAGGGATAGGAACAAAAGTGGGGGTAAAAGATTAAAATATCATAAGAATACAAAACCAAAAGAAAAAGTGGAGGAAAACAAGCGGATATCACAAGAATACCGATTAATTCAACCGATTAATTCAAGTGTCTAAAGTCTGTGGTTCCTGCCCGACGACGCCGTACTGACGAGCGCTGTTGAATCTGTCGATGGCGAGAAACTCGAGCCCTCCATAGAACTTGTGAACGGCCGCGTAGAAGATGCAGGCGAGAACTGCCCACCAGAACATTATCGGGCTCTGAAATCGGGAATTGCTTTTGGAAACTGGCACAGTTAAGGTACCTCAAAGAACATGAACATCCAAAAAACAGTGGTGAAGCACCAGAATCCGATGAGCCACTTCTGCGCCATTTCAGTGTTGTTGTCGAGTTCGTATTCGACGCCGTCCGGAGTGTCGTCAAACTGTCTCACGTTACGCGGCATTTCGTAGAATCTTCTGAGCTTCTCTTCTTTTCTTCTCCAGAGTTCTACCAGCCACGCTCCTAGCGCTTCGTCGCTCTGCGGAATCGATTCGATGGGATACTTGACGACCTGGAAAAGTTATTTATCAATGTCATTGTCCTTCTCGAATATTCGGTACCTGATAGTAGATCTCCTTGGGACAGACTCCGTGAGCGGCAATATCAATTTCAGACTGAACGATGGCGTCGCCGAAGCCTACGGTCACGTCGTGAATGTACTTGATATTGTTGGCTCTCCGCATAGTCTGTACAATGTGCACGAATCCAGTGACTCTCGGATGGAGGACGTATTGATAGTGAACGAGCCCCTTCTTCTCGGCATGCACGCGACTTCTTTCCGTGGCCTTTGGGCACTTGTCCGTTCCTTCCGGGAACAGCAACAACTGATATTTGTACTCGGTTGCTGCGAAATAGTTGAGAATATTGTCCAATTTCGTTTTATCGCTGTCGAAGGAACGGTCGAGGAAGATGTAGGAAGCGGCTTGCATAGCCCATCCGGCGCCTGGCACGTATTTCAGCATTCCTTTGAGAGAGATCTTTTCGGTTGTGCACAGCCACGGATCCATTTTGTAGAGTGCGTTCCAGAAGAAGAGCCAATCGAGTCTGGTTCGATGATTCATGATGATCAATGAGGGTTCTTCATGATTGATGAAGTCGCCCTTGATTCGGATGTTGGCTCCGAAGATGTAGTGGCACAAAGCTCCCGGCATGACGACCCAGATCCCCACGAGTCGATCGAGCATTTTCCGCCACAGACGGGGGCGAACGAAGAGAAGGACGACGACCGGAGTGACTATGTACAAGACTCCTGAAGTTTTCTATTCGGCGGAAAAAGCCTGGAAGCCATGGAACAAACCGAAAAAGGCCGAGAGCAACATGGCCGCAGCGAAGAGCCATCCCTTAGCACGAGTTCCGAGCGGCTGACCAGCTCCAAGAACAGGCGGCTCATTCAGAGAGCTCATTCCTGCAAAAACAAGTATAATTTGGTTATTCAGCACGTGTTTTTTTTGTTGGTTTTGGCAAGTTAAAATCTGAGGGACTGGAGAGTGACTAAACTAGGCCTGGCACGAAAAATTCAGCGTACTTCGAGAAAAAATTCAGCGGAACGCAACGCAAACGGTTCACATTCGTAGAAATCTACGTAGAACAACCAAATCGAGTAATGCCGCACTTCCCGGATGGTCTTCGCGGTTCCAGAGAGTTTCGGGACCGCCGTTCGGTAAATTAGCTGCACCTTTAAAAATTGCGCCTATAGCACGGCAAAACAATATTTCAAAGCCAATAGTGTAAGTAAAGTGGTTGGATGAGAACACCCTTAGAACAACGAGAAGGAAAAAATGTAATATAAATTAGCTTCATCTAAAACAGAAACAATGGTTTGCAATAGGAAGGAAACAATGACTAGAAGGGAGAACTTGAAAGAGAGATGTCATCAAACGCCCGTTTACAACACGCCGATCACCGACTAATCGCTCCTTTCGTGCAGTTGCCTGCGCGCTTCGAACCATTTGAGAAACACGAACTCTGCTCCGTTGTGGAAGCGGAGTGCTGCCACGTAGAAGGCAATCGCGACGGCGACATAGATCTGAAGGAAAATGAATTGAAAAAGAGAAGCGGAACGGATCAAGTAGACAGATAACCAGTCTTTCCCCGCGTGTCTCCCGAATGCTTACCTTGACCCAAAGTAGCGAGTATATGGCACCGATCCAAAGAAACGAGGCTATTGACCAGAATGCGAACGCGACCGAATAGCCGACACCGCTAGTCGTTTCCTGCAATACAGAAGTGTGCATTTGCATCCAATGTGGTCCTTACCGGCCATTCAAAGCGGTTACCGCTGGCTTCTAAACGCTCTTCTTCTTCATAAAACTTTTTCAATTTCTTTTCCTTCTCAGCCCAGAGCTCTGTGAGCCATTTCTCGCTTCCCTCTCTTTCCGGAATCTCCTCTAGTTTATACTTTTTGACGTCCAAGTGAACTTTCTAAAAGATACATTCAAATTGGGGAAAAAAGGGGTAACTCACATCTGGAAAGTCTCCGAACAATAGTTTTTGTTCAGTGTCTACTATAGTCCCGCTGTACGCAATTGTGAGATCGTAAACGTTTTTGATATAATTCTCTGTAAAGCGTCCCCCGTTTGAGGTCGCCCGTTTCGAATCTCTCCGCCCACCTTTTTTCATCAGATCTAGCAGGTATTTGAAGCCGGTGGTCCTCGGATGCAGCACGTATTCGTACTTTGGCAATCCATTCTTCTCAGCGAATGCGTGGCTCAATCGAGTCGCGCGCTCTCCTTTATCGGTTCCTTCCGCGAACAAAAGAATCTGATACTTGTTGTCGCAGGCTGCGAAGTATTGCACGATGCGCTCCAGAATCGGCTTGTCTTTGTCGAAATTTCGATCGAGGAAGATGTAGGATCCACTGCTCATGGCCCATCCCGCGCCCGGAATACTTTTTAGAGGGGCCTATTGAGAATGAGATCTGATTTTGAGGCTTCAGGGGGTGAGCACTTACTTTTAAAGAGATTTTCTCAGTTGTCAGCAACCATGGATCCATTTTATAGAGAGCATTCCATGAAAAGAGCCAATCGAGTCGGGTGCGATGGTTCATAAGCAGAATCGCCGGCTCATTTCTATCAATTAGATCTCCGGTGACCCGGAACTTCACGCCAAACACCCATTCAATCAGCGACTGGAAACTTTCAACAAAAAAAAACATTGTAGCGACCGTGTTAATCACAACTTACACATGGAAATGTCAGCCAGAATCCGACGAGTCGATCGGCAGCCAATCTCCAATATTTTGGAGCGAGAAAGGCGAGCGGGATGAGCGGAAAGAGCAGGAAGACGGTCCCGAGGAGCGAGGAAAAAAAGACGAGAACGATGAACGCGACGCCTTTTAGCACTTTCATATCGTCATTCTGAAAAAGGACACAACGTTGCTGATGCGAGAGAGAAGATAGACGCAGCACGAGAGAAAACGTGACGAATATGGCAATTCAATGTTTGCCAATGCGTTTTTTTTGCAGTTGCCAACAAAATAATCGGTTAAAAATCGTACGAATAGAAGCGAAACAGTCAAAACAAACGGAGGAAGCGTCGAGAGCCCACGAAAAGCAGTAGAAAGTCAATAAACGGCTGCTGTAGATTTAGATTTTCCCGGCGTGTTCCACAACGAGACTTCGCTCTTTCGCGTGCTGCGTCTCGCCAGTTTCTATACTGTCTCGCGCGCGGGCAACGAGGACGGAGGTACTGGGCAAAAGGATCGGCAAAGAGGAAAAGAAGAGGAAAAGAGTTAAAAGGTGTACAATATCGATAGTGGTGGAGAAAGAGAGCTTTATTTTCTAAGCCACTTTATACAGAAACAATAAGGTTAGTATTTAAGACTGGATAAAGTTTATGATGATCACTTTTTGTGTTGGATTGCTCTGAAAGTTCACTAATATTCGTTTAATAAAACTTTCAATCTTTATCATCTTTCTTATTAATAAAAGTCTTGGGATATATTCCTTATTTGATCTTCGCACACAGGCAAACTCTCACTGTATTAGAATTCCGAAAACGTTCAACAAATGTGCTCGCATCGGAAGAAAAAACGCAAAACAGCAGCGTAATGGTATCGCGCTGTCCCTGAGTAGGTCAAATCAAGTGAATGGTCTCGCAACGATATCTACGCACCTTTTAAGTGAGAGCGCGCGAGTTTTATATCTTGGCCTTTGGGAAGACAGGCTGGGCAGGAAGAAAAAAAAGAGGATTGTTCACGCCAAAAGTGAGTATAGAGACCGTTAATGACAGTCGGCTGTGCGGTTATCGCGCGAACATTATGACCGGGTCAGGGACCGTTCAAGAATGTCACACCTGTCACAGAGAACAAAGGGTGTTGAACGGAGTGTCGGTGGAAACAAACGTAAGCAGCCTTTTTCATTTTCAAAGCCGTTAGGACAAACCCCCAAGACTTTTATAAATAGGAATTACTATCGCTCTCTTCTTCTTATCACCTACTTGGTCCCCAATAACATGAACCCTAATCCATCGTCCGTGAATTTTCCCCGGCCCGGCAATGGCGTCAGACGTCGTGGTCTCAACGGTGGCTCTGGTGGCGTGGAGACTTCCAAGAAACTCGTGGCCCTCCGCACAGTGTCCAAACTCTCGCCTTCTTCCTGTTCAAACCAAGAGAGCATCGAAGAAGTGACCATGCTTCCTCTTCTGTTCATCGAAACCAGGTCACTCGCCCGAGAGAGTCTCCGTTTGGTCACATCGATCTCGGTGCCCATCGATTCGCCATCCAGATGCTTCACGGATGGTACTTGTGCTTTTATAAAGTCCACGTACACCCTTCGCTCCGTCACCGAATTGTTGCGACAATCCAGGGTCTCCAAACATTTACACTCGCAGAGAGGTTTCAATGAAGCACACGAGGCCAATCTGGAAATGGAGTGAAACATTCGAGTTTTGAAGGTTTCAGTGTCACAGACTTGTTGTTCGAAACATCTAGAAAGATCAGATTTGAGCATGAAAGCGGGGAGAGCGTGGTTAGTCGGTTGTTCTGTAAGTTGAGTGAAGTCAACGTGCGAAGTGGCCGGCGGACGATGGTCTTAATGGAGTTGTTGCTGAGATCCACGGACTCCAGGTTGGGAAGATCGAACAGAGCACAATCGAAACGAGACAACGCATTCGAGGACAGATTGATGAGCTTCAACTTGAGAAGGAGAGGAAGTCCGAGGCGGAGGATGCTCGTGTTGCTGATGGAGTTGTAGGAGATGTCGAGGTTCTCGAGGCATTGGAATGGCTGCAGACCCTGTCCGTCGGATGCCGCGATGTTCTTGAGGCAGTTGTTGTTTAATATCAAATGAGTGATATTTAGGGAGCTGATCTCGCGGACGCTGGACAGTTTGTTTTTGGACAGATCGATGAGGCGAAGGTGGGAAAGTCTGATGGCCAAAGTTATAAAGACACGAACTTAAACTTACTCCTCAATTTGCGCCTTCTCCAGAATGATCTGTTCAACTTTCTGATCGCAAATCATCAGCTCTCTTTTCTTTCTCCACTCCGGACAACTGAAAAGAAACCAGTTCTCCTAATCAAACTTCACCAAATCCGTTTACATTCTCTCGACGAGTTCCAAACTCAATCCGCGGGTGTTCTGTTTCATAGTGTTCACGTGTCGTTCTTCCAGAGGAATCTGAAATGATTCTTACCGTTCCCCAAGCTTAGTTCTCATTCCCGTTACCATCTGTCTGTCGAGTGAAATCAAGAACTGTGCGGCCTGCATCACTCGGAATCTGTAGCCTTCCGTCGAGCTAATCGCGTTACCAGACACATCCAAATGGGTCAGTTTGGGAATTGTCTGCAAACATTTCATACTTCTTGTTTGTGTAAGTACTTGCCTTCAGTAAATCCAGTTCATTTCTATCCTTCAGCAAGTTATCATTGATAAATAGGCTTTCCAATTGCACACATGACTCGATGCCTTTTAGTGATTTTATCTGATTTCGATACACACGAAAGTGTCTAGTGTTCTGAAATAGAACGACAGTAGGAATAATATCTGCTTTCCGAGTACCCCCATAAACTGGCAAAATGATAAGTTATGCAAGCGATTGTGGCTGAGATCTACGTGGAGAAGCGAGCTGGGAATCTGCTCGATCTTCGAGAGATGGTTGAAAGAGGCGTCGAGCAGCTTGAGACACGGAAGACGGTTCAGCTTCTGTGAGCTCAATGTAGTCATTGTACAATTAACTAGAACTCACTTTCAACGAAGACAACTTGTTCTTGCGAATGGAGAGAAACTGCAGACTGACTAACTCCTGAAGACCTGCCAGTTTGGTCAGCTTCTGTTCGGAGAGATCCAGAGCGGTCAACCGCATCTGAAATCATAGTTCATCTATTCTTTCAAATATCTGTCGTTGCTGCTTACAGCCAGATCGCCAATCTCTTTGATCGGTTTGAAGTCGAAGTAGGCCAACGCCACTTCCAAAGGGCTTCTGATGGTGAACCAATCGAACGGCAGGTTCTCATCACAAGCCCTCCCGATCAAGTTGCTCATGTTGGCGAGCACATCGGACACTTTCGAACTTTCGATTGCTGGCTACTGATCGCCTCGATGGATGCTTCCGTTGTCTCTTCACTTCTTCTCCGTCTCTCCTCCTTCACATCCAACCGGATGTTCATTTCGTTCAACTTCTTCAGTTGCTCGTTGTACGACTCCTCAAACTGATCCATGTGCCTCAATTGATCCGTCGTCAGCTGTCCCACCGGCTGTGTTTCCACCGCCAACACAGCCACGAGGCCGACATCTGACCAGCCGAGATTGTCGTTCGAGGAAGAGGTGACTCGGTCCTCATCGATGAATTTCGGGGCTCCACGAACAGTCGCCATCCTCGAGACAACCATCGGAATGAAGAATATTATCGTCTTCTCCTTGGCCTGCTTCTTTATCACTTCAAAGTCCCTTGTCAACTTGACCGCGTGCTTCGTGTAGTCCTTCCGTTTGAATCTATCCAAGAGTAGGAATATGCTGCGAAGATCGAACAGTTTTTCCGTATAATCTTTCTCAAGAATGAACAGTTTGTCCACTTCGCTTTTCGAGACGTTTCCAACAAGCGAACACGACTTTATGATGATCTGAAACTGATTGTACGGAAGCGTTTTTGAAAAGCTTTTCCGTCCACCTTGTAAGAATTCTTCATGGAGCAAGTGTAATTGAGTGCCTGAGTGATGAACGCGACCTCTTCTGGAGTGCCGTCTCTCAATTGGAATGTCTGGCAGGATTCCATGTCACAGGCGATCCGATATCTGGCAAGAGCCCTCACATAATCACACAGCGTCGTGTAGTTCTCTGGAAGTCTTACTCCCTGTTCCCCATTTCCATCCCCAAATACTTTTAATGTTCCTGACCGCCTTCGAATTGTTGCCGCATATCTCGTGAACTCTCTTCACAATCTCCTTCTTCGCGTCCTTCGTCTGCATCGAATCCCTGAAAACGGTGAGCGCCTCGGCCAGACACGCCAGTCGGTTCTCGATCTTCCCCGAATGTTTCTCCGCCATCCGCAGATCCTTGTAGTATTTCTCGTCGGCTTTCGCCATTTTCGCCAACTTTTCCGCAAAGATCGTGTCGACCATCGGACGGAAGGTCGGAACGAATGCCTCGGCGATCGGATCGTCGTCGACGGATTCGATGAATCGGAAGGAGTGCGCGATCCAGGAGAAGAAGAGATTTGGGGCAACGGCCAGTTGGGAAGTGATGGGATCGAGATGGAGGGATCGGAGAGACGAGAGAACGGTGAGTGGGAAGAGCGCCCGGTTGGAGGAGAGGCGGTTGGCGGAGACGTCCAGGTGCTGCACGTTCTCCGGCCACGTGGCAGTCAGTAACACTAGAAGTTTCCATCGGTTACTAATGCATCACTTTTAGAAGGGAGCGGACTCACCGGCGTCTTTCATTTTGTTGTCAGCCAACGAGAGATTGGTCAGATCTTTTAGAGCATGTAGGAACTGAAATAATTGTTAGAGCAAAGATTTCTAGGTACTTTCCGGCTCTGTCTGGAAGGACAACGTGCAGTGTTGGCAAGAAACAATTTGACGGAATTCGGAAACCGGAATTGGGAATGACTTCCGTAGAAATGCAAATTCAATTGCGATTTTCTCGAGTTCTAGAAATAATGTTCCAAAATGAAAACGAGTTTTGGAATCCTCATAATATTTAGAAACATTTCCGAGGGACTACGGCATTTTTCCCTATCTTACCGAGAGATTCTTCAGTTTATTACTGGCCAAGTTGAGGTGTTGAAGAGAAGTTAGCGCGCACAAACAGCCGGCGTCTTCTATGGAATTCTCGTAGAGAAAAGTTTCTTGAGCCGGACGCAATGGTCGATTCCAGCCAGATCCTTGACGGATCCCTCGCAGACCCACAGTTCTTCGAGCGTCGGCGCCACTTCGCCCAGCGGTTTCAGACAGGTGATTTGCTGGCCGAAAAGACGGAGCACCGAGAGATGGGAGAAGTATTTGAGGCCGACGAGCACGGGAAGACCGCCGAAATACATTTCCAGCACTTTCTGAGCTTCCCCTTCCGTCTGAATTAACTCATTACCAAAGAATCTGAAAGTTTCCTCACTTTGAGCGTCGACAGTTCGATTCCATTGGCCGAGCAGAGTGTCTCCAGATACTTTATATATTTGGCTTTAAGATTTGACAAAGAATTGGCGACTTGCGAGGCGGTCGCCAGAAGATTCGGCATTGCGAGTGAGCACAGAGACACCTCCGTTCCGAGCCGATGCACTCATTTCCGGATCGGGCTCACCCACCGGAAGAGAAGGGAAGTTTTCGAGTTCCCTAGGGGAGAAGTGAGCAAGGTTTGTTGGAAAAACTGACTATTCATAAAACGTTGCATAATTAGCCAGATTACGAGGAAATAAGTAAAATCGGTGGAAAAGGTTTCTAACACAGAAATTAAGAGAAAGTCGGGAAGTTGATGGCTTAAAAGAGAAGACGGTTGGCTGGGTCGTACTCGAGTTTGTCGAGGTTCGGAGTGCACGCGAAGTTAATCATCGGAGGTGGTCCGCACAGAAGGACGGCAGAGTCGGCACTGGGAGCGAACAGATTGGCCTTGATCATCTCGTCGTTGATGAACCCGGACGAGTACTTCCACACTGCGGGCGGTCTGTCGACGGTGTACCAAGCACGGAAGCGATCCGGATGCTGCTCGGCGAGCTCATCCAACTCCTTTCTGCACAGAATGTCCTCCTCGGTCTGATTGGCGAACAGCAGACGGATCTTGGTGCTGTCGGTCGGGTCGCGGAGAATGGCGGCGATGACCTGGAGCATCGGCGTGATTCCAGTTCCTCCGGCGATCATCGAGATCTGCTTGAAAACGCGCTCCTTTGGCTCCGCCTTCTTGTCGGCGCGGATGCTGAAAAGTCCGTGTCCCTTGTAGATGATGTTTCCTTGCGGGCCACGGAAGCTGATCTTAATTACAGAAGAATTAAATCAGCGGATCGATTAGTATGCTCTTACGGTCTCTCCGATCTTGAGTGATTCCAAGTGCTGGCTCATCTTTCCGCCCTCCGGGAACTTCTCATTCGTGTTTCTGAAGTACACTTTGACCATCAAATCGACGAATCCCTTATCCTCATCGCTCGAGACTGGAGTGTACGGACGCACAACCACTCTTCCCTCGATCTGAATTTATTGCAATTAAATCCAAGATTCGGCTAGAATCTCTCTCACAATTGCATTGAGATACACGTGCTGTCCAATCGGAAGTCCCAAAATGTGATCCTTGGACGGCAGGCCGAATCGGAACTTTCTCGTGTCGTGGCTGATCTCGAACTTCTCGATGAGTGGCAACAAATACTTGTTCCCGTCATCCACAAGAGTACGTTTTTCGGTCTGAAAACTTGAGAATTATGGAATTAGGGAGGATTGTTGCGAAACATTACCTTTTTGCAGAAAGAGAACGGACACGTCTTCGTTGCTTTCAAGTAGATGTAGATGGCGATGCTCGAGACGACGACGACACCGCCCGTCACGAGGAGAGCGTTATTCTCAACCATTATAACCTAGAAATGAGAAGAAAATCGATGGGCCGAGGACAAAAAGTAAGCAAACGCGCCGCCCGTCTTTCGCACTCTTTCCCGATTCGCACGTTCTTATCAGACATCGTATGATAAATTCTGCGACTTTGTCGATCAACTTTGCGCTAGAGACAGAAGTTGGAGAAAAAACCAATTCAGGCAAGGCGACCGACTAGTTATAAGATATCAGTTTATCGTAATCAACAAGCAAATCGGTAAAAATATCCGATAACACCAATCATATAACTTATGGAAACCACATTTTAACCATATAAAGAACGAATGATTTGCGAGTAGAAACATCCACCAAAGGAAGCGAAAGGGTTGAAGACATCGAGTGTATGGTTGCCCGTACCCTCTACCTGAAATTACAATTATTGAGAAACTAGTTTTCGGTCGCGTAGTGAGAGTGACTAAATTGTATTCTCGTAGCGTCGCTACAGGTTTTTGAACAGCTTACCTTAGCCCGGTCGCACATGGTGTCAATGGCATGCCTGTTCCAGAAGCGGAACGTTTCTTTTCCAGTGTGCCAGCAGGTCAGAGAGACCTTGCCAGCTGAGCGAGCATCAACAGACCAAGAACGACAGTAGGGAGGGACAGCGGGCGCTATTTCGGTAGATAAATGAGGGGGAGATACGATATGGGATGGGGTACATGATGGTGAAATAATAGAGACAAATGATGGATTATTTATGAAGAGATTGGATAATACAAGCGTAAATGATAAGAGAAATGAGAAAAGCGCCCGATGGCTCTCTACTGCCGCCCGTGATCAATAGTCATCAAGGTCAAGGTTGTCAAACTCGTCATCCAGATCGTGGTGCATCAGATCGACACGATAACGGAGAAGACCACCAATTCCTCCAAATCCTCGCACAAACTGAGCTCCCTCCTGAGATTTGTCCGTTACGATTTCCAGCGCAGCTCCGAAGTTCTAAAATAACATTGTTCCTCAACATTTCCTGACCCTAAATATTTACCTTGTAATTGTTGGCGAACCACTCGAGCAGAGGCATAGTCTCGATAATTTCCATATCCTGTCCGGTTTCGTTGTCAGTGAAATGAGACTTGTCTCTCTCCTCGTCAGGCCGCAGGTTCAACAAAATATCCTCTCCATTCGAGTTCTTCATCTTATAGCGAACAATATCTAGGTTCTCCCAGCAAATGAGAGTCTCAATTGCACCCATCTCAAGAGCCGCCAAAGTGTCTTTCACTCCGAAAACGTACTTTCCGGTGTCTTGACTGATCTCATCGAAATATCCTCCAATCAACTTTTTCTCTTGGATGAACTTCACGCTGGCGAGAGTATCAGCGGCTAGTTCGATAGCCTGGTTGAATCCGTTCTCTCCTCCGTATGCAATATCGACCGTCTTGATCATCTTGGCCTGAAGTCGCTGATCAAACATGTCGGATTGTCCCAATTCGGTTTTGAAGTCAGCACTACCAGCGAGAATCAATCCGGCGACAGTGACTTTGTCGTTCTTGATGAACATCTCGACAGCGTTTTCCGCGACTTTGCGAACGTAATTGTGACGCTTTTCGTTACGGAGTCGAGCAAAACGAACGGCAGACTGTCCTCCTCTTCCGTGCTTCTTCGGCAGATCCACAGTGAACTTGTGAAGAACTTCACGAGTATTTCCTTGAAGTGTTCCGAACAAACAACCGTTTCCGTCCATAATGATGAATCCGAATTTGTTGTCATCGGCAAGCAGTCCTGGAATTGTGCAATAGAAGGCTTAGATGGAATAGTTTGTACAAACCTTGCAAAGCTTCCGTGTGAAACTTGTTATCGCAGAGGTACAAAGAAGTGTTGATTGCCTTAAATGGCTCGAAATCAATGTTAACTTTCTTTTCCTTTCCTTCGTCCGTCATTATCGTTCCACAATAAACTACAAGTCCGTTTGGTGGAACTTTGTTGTATAGCTTCAGACGTCCTTGTACAGAAGTAATAGCTCCCAGGACAGAAAGTCTGTTTACACGAGACTTGATATTCGACGCGGTTCCATATTCTTCTGCCAACATTCTCTGGATTCGTGCGACTTGATCTTTTGGTGGGATAATCAAAGAAATCATGGAAGTTCCATTTCTGAAAAATTGGCCTAATTTGAAATTTACAAAGTTTATTTCTTACCCTCTCGCGAGTTCCAAACTCTTGATAAGTCTCTTGATCTTCCACATCTCGACATTTCTATCGGCGGCATCATCGCCTCCAGTGGCTCCACCAGCTGCAGGAGCGCTCATGGTTTATTTTTCGAGTTCGGGAAGGTACCGATCACCTGGAAGCGAATCGAATGAGAAATCTCCGAGAAGCAACAGGGAGAATGAGGAAGAAAGAGAGAGAGAGCGGGTGACCGGTCAGTATAGAAACCGAATTGTGAAGGAACAAGAGAGAAGACGTGCTTGCCCAATGACGGCACCGTTGCCACAAAAGGGAAATACAAAGATGATGCGGGTCAGTGGAAGGAACAGCTTCGTTTCGAAAGATTGCACAAGTTTTTTGAAATGAGTGGGAAACATGCATAACGTGACGAATCCACGTGAAACTAGCAGCACTAGAACAACGAGACCTAGCCGAACGTCATCCGAATGCTAAAAATCGCGAATTATTAAAACTGGCTGGAAAAACAGGAAAAAATAGGAGGCGCCGAATTCAAATGGCGCCAGGCTACAAGATTACGGTTGGCGCGCAGGTCTCGACGCGAACGAGCGCCCGGTGGTCCATGTCTGCATCGCGGACGAGAAAATGCACGGCCGCGAACGAATCGCAGCGCGTTGCGGACGTGAAGATATTCGGAGCACTACGCATCGCCTCCCCATTCGTTGCTCATTCACTTCTTACTTTTCAGAAATGGAAGACTCCGCTCCGAAAAAAAACGCCGACAAAAAAGCGCGAGTCTTCGATTTGCAATCGATGATGGCTCAGGCATTGAGTAACGCGCCGAAGGCCCCAGATGCTGAGCCTTCTCCACAATTCAACACGCCGTCGAAAACCACTTCCGAATCTGGACTTTCGTCTTCTGCCGCTTCTGATGATGACGATGGTATGTAAAAATGTAACCGACAGTTTTAAAATGAGAAATTTTGAAAATTTCGAAAATTTAATTTTCAGATTTCATGCCTGTACTTCCACCTGGTTTCGGGAAACCGGACGACGAGGCCGGACCGTCAACTTTTCAAGCGATCGATAACGACAACGATGACAGCGACTTTGACGAAACTGAAGCGGTTTCCATCATCAAGCTGATTCCGGCGGCTTGCGAGGCGACGATTATTCACGGAACACAAGCGATCTCTGCTCTTCGAGTGGAACCTCCCGGAGTTCGTTTTGCAAGTGGAGGCCTCGATTATTACGTGAAACTTTACGATTTCCAAAAGATGGACATGTCCCTGCGATACGATAAAGAACTCTTGCCAGCAGAAAGCCACGTCATCAATTCGCTCGCGTTCTCTCCGAACGGCGAGACGCTCGTCGTTGCCAGTGGAGAGGCCATCATCCGCTTGCTGGATCGAGCTGGCAAGCAGTGGTCGGAAACTGTCCGCGGAGATCAATACATTGTCGACCTGAACATCACGAAAGGACACACGGCCACTGTCAACTGCGTCGAGTTCAATCCACTGAACAAAAGCGAGTTTATCTCCTGCTCGGACGACGGTAGCCTCCGAATCTGGAGTCTTGATGATCACAAAGTGATTACAAAGTGCATCAACAAGCACAGAAAGGTCATCAAGACGAAGGGAGCCCACGGAAAGCGAGTCAGTCCCCAAGTGTGCACTTATTCTCCCGATGGAAAGTGGATCGCCGCCGGATGCGACGATGGATCGATTCAAGCATGGAAGTATGGTTCACAATACGTAAGTACTTTGTAAACTTAATCTTTTCTAAATTTTTATTCTAGGTAAATGTGAACTACCTCGTCAGAAAAGCACACAATGGATCGATCACTTCAATCGCCTTCTCGCCCGACTCAAAACGTCTGCTATCTCGCGGATTCGATGACACTCTTAAAATGTGGAGCCTTGACAATCCGAAACAGCCCATGCTCGTCAAAACAGGACTCGAAAATGCGTTCAAAAAGTGAGTAGTTTCAGTCGTCAATTCTCACATTTAACTAAAAATATTTCAGCACGGATTGTGGATTCTCCCCTCGCGCCGAGCTTGTCTTCACCGGCACCTCCTCCCCGAACAAAAACGTGCCGGGCTCTCTGCAGTTCTTCGACCCGATGACTTTTGACCTCGTCTACAAAATCGATTATCCGGGCGCGTCCTGCCATCGCATCCAGTGGCATCCTCGTCTTAATCAGATAATCGTCGGCCTTTCGAACGGCACAGTTCACGTCTACTACGACCAGACGATCTCGCAGCGAGGAGTCATGACTTGCGTGACGAGACCGCTCAAGAGAAACAGAGCGTCCGAAGTGGTCCGCGAAGATATGGTCCTTTCTCGTAAGATCACTTTTCCACTTAATCTTTTCATTGTTTCCATTTTCAGCGCTCACTCTCGAAATGTTCCAACCACGCGGAGAAGAAGGAGAGGAGAAGGAAGTTACCGGATGGCGAATCAAGAAATTCCTCCGAATGCAGGACAACAAGCTGCGTCCAGAGTTCCGCAAGCCGGCGGACATGCCGATAAACGGAAAGAGTGCGAACGGAAGAGTGGCGGCCAGCGGTGGAAGTCTTCACTCGTACCTGGCGAAGCAGATCGGAACCGCCCGCAACGCCGAATTCCTCAAGGACACGGACGTCCGTGCGAGCATTCTGAAGCACGCGAAGGACGCAGAGGAGAATCCGCTGTACATCGACAAGGCGTACCGCAAGACACAACCGAACAAGATCTTCCAAGCGACGACTGTGGAGCCAGAAGACGAGGACGACGAGGAGCTGCAACCCGTGTTCAAGATGCCGCGAACCAAGTGATTCGATTGTTTTTCTCTTTTTCATACATCTGAATTTCTAATAAAAATATTATTGTGATGATGATGTCACGTGTTCGCCACGAAATACACAAACCACACATTTCTCGCTGTTGTTCAAATATCTATTCGTTTCGGCAGGGGTAGAGTCTAGCGTGCTCCCGTCTTTTTCTCTATTTCTCTCTCCCGACTACACACGTTCTTCTCATTCGGCTCCCCGTTGGCTACAAATTGTTGTGTCCTTCCTGTGCCCTCGTTAATTCTTACTAACGCCCCGCCCATTCGAGGTACATAACACGGGCGGCACATTGTTTTGTTATCAGGTGAACATGTGCGTCTCCGCAATAAATCCGTCAGTTTGCAGAATCGGCCAATTTTAAACTGAATTTAGTCATCTTAAATTTTTAGCGGCATTTATTAAATTTTTATATTTTTTTGCTGGATTTATTGGTTTTTTAAAAATGCACAATTTCTGCGAAGCTTGCTGAATTTTTAAAGTTCTTAATCTTCTGAATTTGAAAGAGAACGAAATTCAACAACGGGACCGTGGGCTGGACCAGAAAACAGTCGGCGACCCGTTCCACCCCGCTCTTCTAATCGAATTGTCTTGTTTTCAAAACAACGTTGCAACAAACAGAAGGAGAGTGTCCTTGAACGTCTCCGTTTTCTTCCTCACGCTCATTTCCGTTCCCAAATCGATCCGGCCTCTTATCATCCACTTACACATTCCACGTGTCAATAAAAATGGCGAAACTTTCACTTTCTCACCGAATTTCCAAGTTTTGCGGTCGACGGCGAAGCGATTATGAATGTTACCTTGGTCATCGGCTGGTTACTTGTTTGCGCGACGGCATCGGCCATATCGTCATGTGGTCACTTTCCCCCCTTCTCCGCGAATTTCTGCCCCGCTTTTTGTCCTTCTTTGTGACGCCATCCGCTTCCCGGACAGATACTTTTTCTTGCGCCCCTTTGATAAGTGATATAAAAGCGGGTCATTTCCCGACCATTTCGTACTTTACTCTGCCTTTGGCCCCCCAAAACTGAAAACACCTTCAGATGGCGTTCACGGATCTCGTCGAAACCCAACGCAAATACTTCCGCAGCGGCGAGACGAAGCCGTTGCAGTTCCGCAAGCAACAGCTGCTCCGCCTCAAAAAGTTCATCGAAGAGAATCGAGAGGCGCTCGCAGAATGTGTCTGGAAGGATTTGAGAAGAGTAAGAGGCTCATTTTAAAACTAAAAATTTCAAGAAATGAATGATTTCAGCGTCATGAGTCCACAGAAATTATGGAAATCGGAATGGCCATCCTGGAAATCGACTATTTCCTGGCGAATCTCGATGATTGGGCAAAGCCGATTCATGTGGAGAAGACGTTCGCGACGGCGTTGGACAAGCCAGTCATTGAGAAAGACCCGAAAGGAGTCGTTCTGATAGTGTCCCCCTGGAACTACCCCGTATCCATGATCCTCCTCCCCATGATCCCAGCTCTCGCCGCCGGAAACACTGTCGTTATCAAGCCGTCCGAACTGTCGGAGAACACGGCCGCCACGTTCGAGAAACTTCTGCCCAAGTATTTCGATCCGAAGTACGTGGCAGTGGTGAACGGAGGCATTCCGGAAACGACCGATCTTCTCAAAGAGCGCTTTGATCACATTCTGTACACCGGATGCCCGCCAGTCGCCAAAATTATCATGACGGCAGCTGCGAAGCATTTGACCCCGGTCACTCTTGAATTGGGCGGAAAATGGTATCCGTTCTTATCTTCTTCCCCTAATGAATTGATTTGATTTCAGCCCTGTCGTGGTGGAAGACGATGCCGACATCGACATCACAGCCAAGCGAATCGTGTGGGGAAAGTGGCTGAACTGCGGACAGACATGCCTCGCACCGGACTACATTCTAGTCAACAGCACGGTCAAGCCGAAGGTCGGTCGGCCACTTCATTTCCATTTCTAATCGATTAACGATGATGACGACGATGACGGCACTTGTTTGTCATACCGTCTGATAAACCAAGGGCCGTCGAGTATGATAAGACTACACACTACGCTGTTTTCAGCTCGTCGCCGCAATTCGCAAGTACATTGGAGAATTCTACGGGGAAGATGTGAAGGGCAGCAAGGACTATGCGAGAATCATCAACCAGAGACACTTTGAGTCCGTTTCAGATTAACAGAAATCAGTCCCAGAAGAACTATGTCCGCCTTTTCAGTCGCATCTCGAAGTTGCTGGATGAGACGAAGGGGGCCACGCTGATCGGCGGAGAACGGGATCGTGCCGATCTTTTTATCCCTCCGACTGTGCTCGACATCGAGAAGACCGATCCGTTCATGCACGATGAGATCTTCGGCCCCGTCCTCCCGATCATCACCGTCAAATCGCTCTCCGAATCGCTCGAGTTCATTTCCGACGGGGAGAAGCCGTTGGCCGCGTACATCTTCACGAGAAACGAAGCAAAAGTCAAGAGATTGGTCAGCGAGACGAGCAGTGGCGGAGTGACTGTGAACGACGTGCTGATGCACGTCTCAGTCGACACTCTTCCGTTCGGAGGAGTCGGCGTCTCCGGAATGGGACGCTACCGCGGAAAGTTCGGATTTGACACGTTCACCCACGAGAAGTCCGTCCTTCACAGAGGCTTCTTCGGAGAATCTCTTCAGGCGTAAGAACACATTTTATCCAGATCACTTTTTTGAAAGACGGGTTTCCAGTGCTCGTTACCCTCCTCTCAGCCAGCAGAAACTCGACCAGTTGCGCCGTCTGACTGGAAAGCGCATCTCGCTCAATCTGGTCAACGTGGCAACTTTGCCAGTTGTCATTGCTTCTTTCGTGTTCGGAATGCTCTTCCAGGTAAACAGAAAGTAAAATCGAGCACAGCTTGCATAACTAAATTATAACCCAGCACAAGCTTCCAGTAGACAGCACAGAACATGCCCCATTATTTCAGAAGTGTACTACTAAAAGGCAGCAGGATGATTAGTGCAAAAATACGTGAATCCTCAGCCAATCACTTGTTGCTTGTGCTTTTTCAACCCTAAAAGCCCACCTAATAAACCTTTAACACTGACCATTACACTGCTTTCGTTCAGAATTCGCTTATTTTGGCTGCTGTATGCTAATCTGCTAGCACATAAACCCTGCTTGGATGATTTCTAACAGTTTCAATCAGGTAATAAACACGATTTTTCAGTTTATTTTCCGCTTCTCGGCGTAGAAGCGAGACCGTGCTCTGACGGTGGAGGTGGCACGACGGGGTACTGTAGTACGCGGTGTTTGCAGACTAGTTGTGCGGTCAATGTTCACCATCACGTATTTTTGCACTATTTTCCCTTCGTTCTTGTTCTCCTCCTAACATTTTAACTTTTTGTCAGTTTCCCTAGTTATTCTACTTTCCGATCCTCTATTAACTCGTTAGACTCTAGTCGGTCAACATTTACAGCATGAATTCCTTGTTATAGGAAAGTTACTTTATTTACAAGCTACTTAGAACAGATCTTTGTCTGAATAACATCAATTCAGGTCATTTTGCTTAACTTTTTCAGAAATACGCTCGCAATCTTCATTAGACCGACAAAAATGAGTCTTAGTTCGTTTTAATCATTGAAAATCGTTCCTCTGTCCCACTATTGATTTTTCTTCTCCAGCATCGACATGTTACATCGTGCATCTGTAAATAAAGTTTTCAATCCAAACTGTTTCTTATTTATTCTCCGGTTCCTCGTTCCTTTCCCAATATTTCCGATGAATCGACAGCATTCAATTACACTCGCTATTATAAAGTTGTAGGTATGTTCCGCGCAGTTCAATCGGTCCGTTCGTTCTCGTCGACCGCGGCTTGCCGCCAGGACCTGATCCAGCAGACGTTTGTTTCCAAGATCCGCGAGTTCGCCAAGAACGCCGGTAACCTGGCCAACTCTGACCCAGCTGTCAAGAAGGCTCTCCAGGACGAGCTCAACAGATTGGCCACCAAGTTCCAACTCGCCAGCGCCGACGTTGTTTCCAAGCTCCCGACCAACTTCGAAAATGCCAAGGTATCCAATCCATGAGATTTTGAACATTCAAAAGGAAAAATATTTATCCCTCAGGTTGATTCCGCCGTCCAATCCGCCCTCGAAGGACAGACCCTGGCCCAGCTTTTGGAGGGAGTCAAGAAGGAGCACACCGAGTACGTTGCCTCCCGCGACGCCAAGAAGGCCGAGCAAGCCGCCCGTAACGCCGCCCTCAAGCAGTAAACGTATTCCTCCGATTTTTGGTGTATTGTTCCTTTTTTGTAATAGATCTTCTATAGATTTTGAACCGAATGAACGTTTTTCTGTTCCATAAATATCCCTGCCGTCTTCTTTTTCTCGATGTTTGTGTCACACAAAAACCTACTTTTCGAATTGATAACCAGTCGAGTTATCAATCTTACCAGTCACGAGAATCGTAATACTGGCCAACGGTCGGCGGGGGAAATTCAAACGCTCTACGCTCGGAACAGCCCGCGAACTAAATGAGGAGGTGCCGCGAAAACAGCCTCCGGCTGCCTGGTGTGCACTTAGGTCTCACTTGCGTACGTCACTAGACAATTGCGCATTCAAAGAAGAATTACCTTTGTTCATTCGTTTAATCTTCCCATTTTGCAGGTTGTTGTTGTTTCGCGATTGGAATGCATTCCAGATTCTAGTCAATTTCATTCTAATTAATAAAAGGTTTGATTAGTTTCATTTTTGTTTTCATTTCACACCTTTTCTCGTTTAGATGGTGGAAGCCTCCAAAGCGAAGGCGACGGCGGGTTCTACGCGTAAATCCAAGTCGCCGCAGAAGCCGTTTTCTCAATTATCACCACGAGAACTCAAAAAGCGAAAGGTTTGTTTTGATCAACAAGACCGCGCGGCGGAAGAGAGGGCGGGTAGTCTGGAGGTCAGGTTGCCGAATGACATCACTCGTGACCCCGTTGCTCGAGGGAGATAAGCGCAGCAGAAAGAGACTATTTTCCCCCGCATTCATTCCGCAGACGATATTATGCATTGCACGGTCACTCTCCAGAGAACAATTTCTCTGTGGTACTTACCATTCAGCTCGGTAAGCATTCAGCTTATGTTCGTTGGATTTAAATGTCAATTTAAATTTTTTTTCTTCAGGGAGTGACATTCGGAGATGACACGAACGAGAGAATCGCTGCGGCCACTTCTGACTTCATTTACGCGGAGAACAAGCAGTGGGAGTTCGTCGCGAGCTGCTTCGACTTGCAGGACCGCCGCGAAAGCCGGGAAGGCGATAACGACGAGTTGCTCGGACTGTGCAACTTCTTCGAAACGGAGGAGGGACAGCCTCAACTAACCGGTATCAAAACTGATTTTTTTGGTCGTAAACCCGATTAGCAAGATACAGACGATTCCGACGAACCACTGCCGTTCGAAGTGTTCGCCGAACAGGGAATGCGCATCTCGTACAAACCGCCGGCAGCAGCTCCGTGAGTTTATAGTTTGAGATGGTTCTGATGAGTGTTTTCATTTTCAGAGGCACCTCCGTAAGTTCGCTTCATCTATCGATGCTTCATTTGGACAGCCGACCGATGATCGCCAACACTTCACGGTTCGTGAATTTAACTGATAGTTCCTTCAATTTTCGGTCAATTTCAGACGCGAGGAAGAGGGGACGTCGTCCAATCTTCTGCCGGACAAGGACGAGATAGAGAAAGCTTTCCAGGGAGTTTTGCCATGCTCAAACTCGCAGAAAACGAACACCAGAAGATCGTCGATGTCCGAAAAGAAGAAGCAGCCGCAGGAAAGTAAGCCTGATCCGAAGGAAGAGTTCTGGGACGAAGACTTCTGGAATAACGACTTCTGAACTCCGCCCCCGCCGACGCGATTAATTTTGAAGAGCTTCATAAACACCAGACAAAATACCAAACATTTATGCGTACCCATTATTCCATTATTTTATTCTATCTAAAGTATTGTATTCCTTTTACTCGACAACAATCACTCTTGTTTCATCCATATTCCTGTCTCATCTATGCAATTTCTATATTATTTTCCTGTTTTGATTCAGGCTTACACACTCCTTAATTCACGTTCCGTTTCGATCGTTTCTCAGCACCAATAAACTATTATTTAGGAAATACGCTTAATAACCCAAACGCGATAGAAGTTATTGAAACTTTGATTATCTGGGCCAAAGGCGATGAATTGTTTTAAAAAAATAATCGATTCAGATGGGGAAGCGGAAAAGAGAAAACGCCGTCGCTTCTCAGCTCTCCAGAATCGCCGACAACGAATGGACCCCCAATGCGGAAGAGCTCTCCGAACTCGTCGCTCTTCTTTCCGACGCAAAAGACGATGTTCGTGCCCGAACATCTGTGAAGTATGCGAAAATTGACGTTTTCAGGAGGAAATCCAGCAGAAAATAAAGAATGTCGATTTTAAAGTGCTCACGAACCTCCTAACGATGTACCGTGCGACGTGCTGTGACATCGACACGAACATCTTCTCCGTGCTCCAATTTCTCGAGAAGTACGGCACGGATCTCGCCGATTTGCAGCCGTTGGTGTTCGGAGAAGAGGCCAGGAAGAACTACGAGAATCTGAGGAAGATGGGACTCGATTTGCACGTCAGAATCACTCCGGACGACGTAAGTAAACGGGCGGTGGGGAGGACATTAATTGAGTCCATGCATACTGGACTATTTGAGATTTATTGATTGGTTTCAGGCAATCAAGACGTTCTTCGACGCAGCGACCCTCTGGAACACTGCCAAATATCACGTTCGTCCCGTGAGTTTATAGATTTCAAGAGGAACCCATAAAATTCCGTTTTTTCTAGGTGACAGAAGACAACTCGGAGAAGATCTACGATGTTCGTTTCGTGCTCCGATTCTTCCATTCCATTCTCTACCCGGCCTCTTCGTTATCATCCAAATTGTTCGTCGAACACAACTGCCTCGCCCTCCTTTTCTCGTGCACTTCCTCCTCGGATGCGGCGGTTCGGACCCTGGCATTCGCGTGCCTCCAGAAGTTTGTCAGTCATTTGCAAGAGCTGAACACGGAGGTTTTCATCGAGAAATCGCTCATTCTCTACCTCATTCGACTCTTCAAACATAGCTTTGATTCTACGGTGCCGCGCATCTCGAGCAGTCAGTTTCTCAATGCGATTTTCTTTATTTTTTAAATGATATTATTCCAGTCATCACCCATTTCTTCGCCCGAGTTTCCAAACTCATGCTCAATCCCTCGCACGACGTCTTCCCTCAGATCATGGCATTTCTCTGCATGAAACCCATCTTTGACATTCAGAATGTACGAAAAGAAGAGAAGAAGTATAAATAATCACAGTTCTTTTCAGGTTCCCGAATTCTATAAGCTGCTCTTCTCCTCTTCGCCCGAACACCACAACGAAGAAAGAACATGGATTCTGACGCTGATTTCCGAGGCGATGCTCGAGCCGATCGATTACCAAGTGCTGCAGAACAGAGCCGGAATCAAACTGCTCCTCAGCTCATTCTCAAGCGTTTGGCTCGACCGAAAATGCCGTTCTCTGATCCTTCGAACTCTCCAGAATGCGATTCAGATGCCGTCGGTGGCTCACGATCTTTTCACGCGGGAAGGACTGCACATCTGGATTGCATCGATTATTCACGTGAGTACTCTCAGCTTATTTTTCACCTTGAAGTTCTCTCTGCAGAGTGGTCGATTCAATCGATGGGAGAAAAACTATCTGGCACAAATATTCGGAAGTCTTCTGGAGAACGAGAGGAAGTATCAGCGGAGCGAGAAAGGAAAGGAACAGGCGTGCAAGACTGCCACTGCCGCCGCCCGAATCTGCAGCAAAAAGATTCTGACGGTGCTGGAGAGGATCTCGAAGGACACGCAGTTTACTGGAGAACAGGAGAAAGCCTTGGCCACGATTGGAAGGATCGAAAATGCGATCGGAAAGAAATGGAAGAGGAAGAAAAAGTTCGATGGAGACAAAGTGTGAACAAAACGGACACTTTGCACAATGGCCATTTGTTGATTTTGATTTATTGTTGTTGTTTTCAATTTCCAAGTATCAGTTTTCCAATATGAACAAAAAAGAATAAGTTATAGTATTTTAAAAAGAACTCCCTCCCATCATCCTCGAATGCCCGTCTTCGTCAGCCGAATCTTCGGTTTATGCTTCAAACAAGGCGAATTGCCGTCGTCGAGCCGGAACGTCTCCGGACTCTCGTACATGCTGTACACACACCGCAGACGGTTCCGATCGTTCTGCTTCGTGAACTCGTGCGGGTAGATCTTCGGATCGTAGTAGGGAAGAGGGCCTCCGTAGGGGGCGGGCGCGCAGTCGCACGATTGAGACTTCCACATGTTTCCCCAATCGGGATGCCACGAGTACATGTGCTGCACCGCGTCGAAGCCGTCCAACATTCCTAAACTTTTAGAGGTGAGTATTCGATACAAATTTTCTGAATTCGAAAGCGAACCTTTGCAGCTTAGAGTTCTCTCCGAGCCGACGGGCACTTTGAAGTACTTGCAGAACCATTTGAACGCCTTGATCCTCCGCGACTCGCCGGGACCGCCCGGATCGTCCGCATCCTCGCCCGCGCACTCATTATTAATGATCAGACTCGTCGGCCCGAAGATGGCCCCCTGATAGCCGGCTCTCCGGTTCTTCGACGACGGTTTCCAGTCGCCCACCACAATCTGATGCATCGAAGGCTTCGGCGGCTGCGGAGTCATGTAGAACCAGAGCGAAGCCATCATTGCGAGCGGTGGATCCATCTTGGTCATCACGAGATTCGGATTCTCGATCAGATCCACTTTGATCCCTTTTGTGAGCAGAAACTGCTGGAAGAGACCGTAATTGTAGTTCCAGGAGAGTTGCAGAGCCCCGCGTCCGAAGTAACATCCCTTGTGGAAGGTCTGATTGAAGTGCGTCTCGGTGTCGGAGTTGCACGGGTACCAGAAGTCGAGAATCGGGTCGCTCTTGCAGTACCTTCCCTCTTCGGTGCATCTTTTTCCATCTACTGGCGAGAAACCTAAAGGAAAGAACATTTCAAAACAGTCGGAAAGGACCGGACGAACCTGGGAAGTTGGGGATCAGAAACGACGAGTTGGGTCCTCTTTCGAACCAATTGTAGAAACCGCCCCGATAGAAACACTCGTGCGCCTGCTCCAACGTGAGATCCGTGCTACTGTACTTTGGGAATATTGTCCAGTTCTTTTTTGTTTTCTCAACTCACTTGTACATGCTCACGTCGTTCTCGCCCGTCTCCTGAAGGGCGTGCGCGAAGAACGCGGCGACGTCCCTTTTGTGATGCTCGTCCGCTTTGAACTGCTTGTTCGGATGGGCGGCTCCGAACTCGGGAAAGTAGCGGGCGGCGAGGACGAACGACTCGAACGAGTAGGGCAGACACGGATGCGGACCCACTCCGATGTTCGACTTGGGAAAGAGGTCGGCGAACATTTCTCTGGTGAACCATTTCTCGAGGGACGACTTCGGCAGTCCGTTTGGATCCGATGGCTGCGCACAGTCTTCTTCCGGCTCTTTTCCGTAGACTGCGTGAGGTGGACAGAAGTCGAGAGTCTCTCCTGAATAGGAATGCCGGGGATTCAATCTCTCTCATGGTTCCATAGATCTTTTTGATAGAATTTCAACCATGTTTTTCATTTTTGCTTAACGCTTCAGAAACTCGAGAAAATCGCATTTGAAAACCTAAAGTAGTGAAATGAGCCTGCCCCAGAATTAGTGCCAATTGATTGAATTTGAATGCTTCTACTCAGTTGAAACCGTTCTCATAGTGATCGCATAAGTTGGAAACATCAGAAATCCCTTTCATTAAATGGGCCTACCAAAAACAGCGAGAGGTGTGAAGAGTAGTAGGAAAAGCAGTGTCATCGGGGGTCGAAACGGACGAAAGTACACACAGAGTCGGCCGGTGGGGACCGGATCGGACAGGCGGAGAGCGGAATGCGCGCGGAATCGAATCGACGAAATCGAGCCGCTCTCGGGCCGACCAGTTCTGTTTGCTCACCCATTTTCGGACTGCTTTTCCCCTCGTTCGCCTTCAAATTGGCATAAATTCATTTGCCGAGAGTGTCTGTGTCTCGTTTCCCCCTCCGGGACAGTTTGATGTATTCTGCAACACACATTTGGAAAACCAATGGCAATCGGCACAAATTATCAGTTGGCTGTGCTCTCTATCACTTGCAAACACAACACAGTGGCCATAAAAAGTTTGAGGTGCGACGGAAAGAAGCCGAAGCCGTCGACGCCTCGGCTCGTACATCTCTACCACTAGCGAAGTAACTGTAGTCTGTAGGGACGGACAGGCCGGGAGGGCTTGCGCTTGCGTCGCTCTTTTATGGGCCAGATGAAAAGAAAACGATAGCGGCACGTGGAAAATGATGGTACTAAAAAGCTGGCTGTGAGGTGACGAAACGGTGATTTGTTGATCGAGAAATGTGTACTTTGGAAGGTAAAACTTCAGGACTAATAGAAATAATGTGTAGCTGGAAGGACTAACGCTTCACAGAAATAAAGAAAGGCTACAGGCAGCAGTGCTCGAAATCAGAAAACCACTTTCATACCGACTCCGTGTTTTCCGGAAAGTAAGCGTCAACTAATGGCAGCATACCATCAGGCAGTCCAGAAAATGAAACCAACTCCTCGTAATGGTCTAGGCAGAAGGAACTGCTTGAAATGGAACAGTGACTTTGAGATCATCCTCGAGCGAAAATATACAGTGCTCCTTGCCCTTTCGCTCCGATGCGTCACATTTTAGTCTATCTATTTCCAGTCCAAAATGCTCTTTTCTCGCTCGTCACTGATCAGATCAGAACCAGTTGTATTCCAATTTGAAACAGGCATTGTTCTCCTCCCTCTAATCGCATTATACTCGTCTTCTTCTTTTTTCAACGACTCGATTTCTTGCTCTCGTCGTGTTCCGGCATCGCTCTGATAACGCTTGGAAGCGAAGGAATTCGAGAGAGAGAGAGAGAGAGCAAAATGGGCTGCCACGCCGCGAATCTACACGTAATTGAGGACTACTGGTGCACTGATTACGGCGACGGCGACGAGCCCGATGCCGATGGCGCTTTCCATTACCGACGACTGATAAATCAGGCAGCCCATTATATAATAGGGCGCTCTTTGCCCGGTCGGCACCTTGACTTGATCACCAGAACAGTCTAGTTGCCGGAGACGCAGGAGCACAGCGCCGAATCAAATCGGGCGGGGCACTAATCAGGTCGTAAATTGCGTTTGCTCCTGCCTGAAATAGAGGTGCACTTGGCCGTGTGATGCGTCGAGCAAACACAAAGGGCTCCGGAAGATCGGAAGTGAGAAGATCCTCTCTAGAAGACAAAACTGTGTCCGAGGAGCTCCGCCGAGCACTCCCGGAATTCCGATAATGACAATTCGGTGTGATACATTGTATCCTTCTGCTCGCTTCTCCACTATTAATTATCAAATTTACACGTGCAAAAAGTTATCGGCAGCGAGACACGTAGTTTTATAGGTTCGTGGAAAACTGGAGCGTTGAAACATGGCAATTGCATGTGAAGGAATGGAAACACAAACTACGCAATCGGAAATAGGAGGGGAGCACGGAAGGAGAAGTCACAGAAGATGTTGAAGGTTACAGAAGTTTACCGACAAACGGCGAAGTTAGTTCGAGGAGAGGATCGGAAAGCAGAGATCGGGAGAACTTTTGTACTGAAGAATTGTCGACTAGAGAAACTGAGTGTTCGATTTATAAATTACACTCCACACTCTCAGATTGATACGATGTCTTCTAACTTTGGTATCCACGCCGAACGTTGGGTTCTGCATACTGAAAAACGTTTTGAGAATCTCGTTATCCTGGTAAGCGAGTTCAGGTCACACATCATTGTCAATCGAAGTTTTGTGTATATAATCATGAGTTAATCAGGAGACAAACTTGAGTGCGACAAGTTCTCGTATATTTTCACAAACGAAAGTTCAAACTCTGCTCTCCAAGTTCCAGAAAAGCCACGCAGTTTTCTATCGACGACGCTGACTGATGATCTGATCACTGATATTTGTGCCCCTGTCTATCAGCATCAAGAACATCAGGAGCAACGAACAATACCTCATTACCGCTCAGACCGCATAGGGTATAGATCAATGATACCGACTGGAGAAAAGTGCAGAAGGGAGGTGGATAACTGGATTTCATTGAGACTGATCCTTTGATTTTGCTCAATCATAGCCCACGTGTTGATAACAGTGCTTAGCAAAACTCTTTCTAGTCTAGCTTGCCTGGCTGCAATTCCCTTCGCATGAATCACCAAATCATCAAATAATCCAATCATTCCGATCGTTAAACAGCTGATTTCACGTGTGCTCTGCCACACATAAAGATACAATATCTATACGAAAAAACGGGCACACTTTTAACGCGGTTACGAAATGACGAATTGAGGAGTAATAGCTGATTTAGATATAATTTCATTTCCAGATGACTAATCGATTGCGTTCGTTCGCTCCTCCCTGCATTCCATTCCGTGTCTATTCTCTTCCAGATTCTCTCTCCTTTGTTTGCAGCACAAATCACTAACTTTCTGCGGCAGTCGTGGCTTGCCATCTTCGTCGTCGTCGCAAGAAGCCCCGCCCACTTCGTGCTATCACCAGAGGGCAACTACCGTATAACGGACCGATTGGCGACCAAGAACCAATTTCGCCTGTTCATTATAAGAGCCTCATTCTTTCTGATTTACATCTCGCCAGTCGGGGCGGTTGCTCCGTCGCGAGCTCCGCCAATCTCTTCCCTTTCCCCCCCACAACTAACTTTGTTCTATTTCAGATGCGCTTGGGCATTTTCCTGCTGGCTCTTGCCGGCTGTTGTAGTTACGCTAGTGCAACACAAAACTGTCTAGTCGGAAATCTAGTTGTTTCGGAAAATGTTATCACATCGAAGTCGGTCCAAGTGGTAAGCGATCCTAATATTCGTTCCCTGATGGTGCCCTACGTGTCACATTACAGAAAGAATGTGAAGGATTGTGCAGAAAGCAGACGGTCACCAGCCCGAGCGGAGGACTCGTCCTTCTGACGTGCGAGGAGAACAAGATGATGACGTTCATCAACCAGGGACAGGCATGCTCCAGCAGCGAGCTCGAGTCATCGTGCTTCTGTAAGGGAGACGAGTGCAACAAGGTCGACCTGAAGGAGAACGTTCCAGAGCCAAACGTCTTCGCCGTTCCAAAGTTAGTCTGTGTTATCGGGCAGTTATCAAACAGTGATACGGGCAGTTAGGAGAAGTTATTGTTGCGGAACAAGTGATAAGGGAGAGGGGGAACGAGTGTTTGCACTGGGGGCAAGTATTGGATTTTTAGAAGAAAGTTGGCAATTTCATCGAAACCTTGGAAAATGTCTGAAAGTCTCGTAAACCTGACGTTTTCTCTGTGAGACCGACAATTTCTAAAGCACAGTTAGCTCTTGCCTTGGAATTTCTATAGATCATTTGTCTGCAAATTAACTCCACATCATCACACTTGCGCTTTTTCGGCAACAGTACGCTCCGTTTCATCTCCGCCGCTTGCAACTATACTTTGTCCCAGTCCATGATTCCGTGATCACTGTTAACGCGTTTCAATTTGCCAAACTTCAAACTGATAACGATAATGGAATAATTGGCTCGCTTCTCGCTTTGCGTTTGACGCGCTCCTTATCTGTCCGTGCCTCGCCATCCACAAACGGGGCAATAAAACGTGGTTAAGAAGTAGCTCGGCGTTGAAACACGCAGCAAACGTGGCGCGTTTCGAAGCGATAAGAAGTGCGATAGTGCGTTTCGAAAGATTGCGCCAAACGGGGCAAATGGAAGAAGTCTGGCAACTGAAAGGGACTGACTAAGTGAATGGGTTTTCAGCAACATCCTCTGCTACGTCGGATTCTCCGCCAACAACACCACGCCAGGAAACACCAATTTCGGAAGCGGAGATACCGTCGTCTGCTCGCCAGGGAACGCGTGCATCAATGTGACCGGAGTCTATCAAGGATACGAGGCTACCGTCTACGCGTGCATGCCCCAGTCCCTCTGCGACTACGTCATCAACGACCCGACTTTCCAGTCCGGAGTTCGCTGCACCAACCTCCAGGGAACCAACGTCCTGGGATGCTGTTGCTATGACGCCGATTGCCGCAAACTCGCCCCAAACCCGCCGACCCCATCGCCATGGAACAAGAACAATCAGACATGCTACCAGGGAATCGCCATCAACGGAGTGACCATCACCGGAGGAAGCTTCTCGCAGTGCTCTGGAGAGTGCGGATCCGCTCGCATCCGTACCGTCTACAACGGAAACAATGTCTGGGCCGAGGTGTTCGTCTGCGACCCAGTTGACGTCTTCACTAGCTTGAACCTCGACAACGAGTGCAGAAACCTCGACACCACTGACATCAACGGAGTCCCGACCGCTCTCATCACCGGATGTGCCTGCAACAGCGGAGACAAGTGCATCGACCCGACCGTCGTGCCGCCAGTCTACCCAGTCAAGCAGTTGAGATGCGCCGTCGGTCTGTACAACGGATCAACGTGGCTCGGAGCCGAGATGAACTGCCAGGGCCGTTGCGGCCGTGTCAAGTTCAACGCCAACGGACAGCAGGTCAGCTACTTTACCTGCATGCCATACGACGTCTGCGCGGGATTCGGACTCGCCTCCACCGAGGGACAGACCTACAACCCGCCACAGGATGAGGAGCTCGAGGTCTACTGCTGCTCCGCCTTCAACAACTGCAACGTCAACGACCCTTACATCCTCGGACGCGTCAACAACACCGCCGTCTCGACTGTCAAGTACCCGGTGCTCTGCTACGGAGGAATCTGGGTAAACGGAGTCTCGATCACCAACTCCGCCTACGGACTTTGCCAGGGAGAGTGCGCCTCTGCCAGCTTCACCACCACCTTTGCCAATCAAACCCACAATGCCACCATTTACACTTGCGACCCAGTGACCATGTGCCAACAGGCCGGAATCTCCAACTCGTGCGGAACCGTGCTCGGAGGAGTCAACGCCTGCTGCTGCGACAATGATCTGTGCATCGACCCGAACAGAGGAGCCCCACGCCCGCAACTCCGTTGCTACGCCGGAATCTCAATCCCACAGGACGGCTACAACACCGGAGGAGACCAGTTCTGCGACGGATGGTGTGGATCCCTCAGCTCCGTCGTCAACGGAAAGAACGCCACCGTCTACTACTGCGCTCCAGTCACAATGTGCCGTTTCTTCGGCCTCGGATTCGGAGGATCCTACGGAAACTGCGCCCAGATCCCAGGAGCCGACCCAGCTGTCACCGGATGCTGCTGTTCCGACTACGACAACTGCCTCGCCCCGGACAACGTCAACGTCACCGCCATCCCAGCGCGTCGTGACCCAAGAATCGTCTGCTACGAAGGAATTCACCTGAACGGAGCCAACATCAGCATTCCATACTACCGCATGTGCGACGGAGAATGCGTTTCTGTGTCGCTCACCGGAACCGTCAACAGCTCCTCCCACTACGCCACCGTCTACACCTGCGACCCGAGCAGCTCTTGCGCCGCCATGGGACTCCGAAACAACTGCTCCACTATCGACAACGCCGTCACCGCTTGCTGCTGCGATTCGAACGAATGCATCGACCCGACCTACAACCGTGTGCCAGGAAAGACGCTTCTGTGCTACGTTGGAGTGAACACCAATTACGGAAATACCAGCGTTGGAGCTGAGGTTGTCTGCGACGGTTACTGTGCTTCGGTCTCTGCCGTAGTCGGATCCGCTTCGGGCTCTGCCGTCGTCACCGCCTTCCACTGTGCCCCGAGATCGTTGTGTCGCTCCCTCGGACTCGATAACTCGAACACCACCCTCTACTTGGACCGCTTCGTCAACGCTGCATGCTGCGACGTCTTCGATAACTGCAACGTCATCCAGTCGGGAGTGAACATCACTAATTTCCCACCAGTTGCCCCGAACGAGACCCCACGTGCCTGCTACTCTGGAATCTTCGTCGGAGGAAGCCAGATCTCTGACGGAGGATGGATCGCCTGCAAGGGAGACTGCGTTGCCGTCAACCTGAACACCACCTACAATGGAAACGTCACCACTGCTTCCCTCTACACCTGCGACCCTTCGTACGTGTGCAAGGCTCTCAACTCGACCAACAGATGCACCCAGCTCGACGAAGGACTCGAGTCCTGCTGCTGCGACAGCGACGCTTGCCTCGATCCAACTGTCACTCCACCACGCAAGCCATACGGAGACGGAAACCTCTGCTACGTCGGAGCTTACTCTTACGATCTTTCCGGAAAAACCATCTTCAACGCCGGAGGAGAAGAGTACTGCCAAGGAAACTGCGCCGCCGTCACCTCGCAGCTCGGAGGAGCCAATCTGACCGTCTACGCTTGTGTCCCAGCCTACATCTGCAACAACTTGTATGTCTACGACTCCTGCCAGTCGATCTGGTACGACAGAACCATCACCGGATGCTGCTGTACCAACGGACCGAACTGCAACTTGAACATGGTTCAGCCAGAGCCACCAAGACCAGAGCACCCGCCAAGAGGAAGACCACGTCGCGAATACCCGATCACTTGCCCAGCTGGACTCATTGTCGACGGATACTACCAGACTCCGGTCGAGTTCACCGTCTGTAACGGAGAGTGCGCCTCGATCAACGTCAACGCCACAATCAACGGAACCACGCACACCGCCTCCTTCTACACTTGCGATCCATCGTCCGTCTGCTACCAGCTCGGAGTGCACAATAACTGCGCTTCTCCGGAACCAGGAGTCACCGCTTGCTGCTGTGACACCGACGCCTGCCTCGACCCGAGCAGAAATAAGACCGTCCCAACCCCACCGCTTAAGTGCTACGTCGGACTCTACTCGTTCGCCAACCCGGCCCTCCAGACCGGAGCCGAGCAGCTTTGCGACGGAAAGTGCGCTTCCATCAACGCCCGTGTTTCCAACGACAACGTAACTCTCTTCGCCTGTGTGCCACATGTGCTCTGCCGATCCCTCGAGATCTACGACGAGTGCGCCCGCATGGATCCTTACTACCCAGAGTTCACCGCTTGCTGCTGCGACAACGTCGACAACTGCAACGTGCAGATCTCGCACCTCAACGGAATTGTCAACACTTCGGTCCCACTCACTCCACTCAACGACGCCCCGATCTCGTGCTACTCTGGACTCTTCATCAACGGATCCGCCTACAGCGCTGCCGGGTGGCAGACTTGCCAGGGAGAATGCGTCTCCGTCTCGATCACCTCTCAGTTCAATGGACAGGCTGGAACCGCCGCCCTCTACACTTGCGATCCGTCTCGAGTCTGCCGCAACCTGAACATGCAGAACAAGTGCACCACTCTCGAAAGCGGAGTCACCGGATGCTGCTGCTCCACCAACGCCTGCATCGACCCGACCGTCAACCCGCCACGCACACCAGGATCCCCACTCTACTGCTACGCTGGAGTCTCCTCGAACTTTACCGTGAACGGACAGCCACTCTCCGTCGGAGCCCAGATTCAGTGCACCGGACAGTGCTCTTCCCTTTCCGGAATTGTCAACGGATACCAGGTCGACACCTACCACTGCGTGCCCAACTCGATCTGTAACTCTCTTGAGCTCTACGACAACTGCAAGAGAATCCACGAGGACCGTCAAGTGAGCGCCTGCTGCTGCAACAACGTGAACAACTGCAACATCGCCAACACGACCATCGTCCGCCAGTGCCGTCCACCACCACCGACTACGCCATCGCTTGCTACTCTGGAATCTACGTCAACGGAACCGCCATCACCCCGGTCACCCTCGGAGCTTGCCAAGGACAGTGCTCTTCGATCACTCTCAACACCACCTACAACGGAGCCGCCACTCTTGCCACCCTCTACGGATGTGACCCGACCTCCGTGTGCCAGGCCCTCGGAATGAACAACTGGTGCAGCTCCCCTGAACCAGGACTCACCGGATGCTGCTGTAACACTGATCTCTGCCTTGACCCGCCAAAGAACAAGACCGTCCCATCTGGATTCCGCAAGTGTTTCGCTGGAATTTATGCTCTCGGACAAGCCACCGGATCCGAGATTGCCTGCCCAGGAAAGTGCGCTTCCATCGGAGCCGTCGTCAACAATGATCCAGTCAACATCTTCGGATGCGTGCCAGACCAGTTCTGCCGTCAACTCGAGCTCTACGACGAGTGCAACACCATCCAATTCGACCGCGCTGTCACTGGATGCTGCTGCGACAACTACAACAACTGCAACGTCGACCTCGCCGGACTCACCGGAAAGATCAACACCTCGATGCCGGTTACCAACCTCCGCGACTACCCGATCACCTGTTTCTCTGGTCTCTTCGTCAACAACATGCCGCTGTCGATCGCCGGATGGCAAGCTTGCCAGGGAGAGTGCGCTTCCGCCACCATCACCACCACCTACAACGGATCTGCCACCAACGCCACCATCTACACTTGCGATCCAGTCAGCACTTGCTACCAACTCGGAATGAACAACAACTGCACGACCGTAGAGCCAGGACTCTCCGGATGCTGCTGCTCCACCGACGCTTGCCTCGACCCGACCGTCAACCCACCACGTACCCCAGCCAATCCACTCAAGTGCTACGTCGGACTCCAGTCCACCTACAACTCGTTGAGCGTCGGAGCCGAGAGCTATTGCGACGGACAGTGCGCTTCTTTGAGCGGAATCGTCGCGGGATACAACGTGACCACCTACCACTGCGTGACTGACATCATCTGCAAGACCCTCGAGATCAAGGACTCGTGCCGCCGCCTCTACGACGACAGAGAAATCCACGCTTGCTGCTGCAACAACGCCGACAACTGCAACCTGAAGGACCCGAGCATCGTGCCAGGACCACCAGAGCTTCCGGACTTCCCGACCGCCTGCTACTCTGGACTCGTCGTCAACGGAAACCCATACACGCCGCTCACTCTCGGAGGATGCTACGGAGACTGCGCTTCGATCACCATCACCACTTCCCTCTACAACAACACCAACCACACCGCCACCCTGTTCACGTGCGATCCGACCACTGTCTGCAACCAGCTCAACCTGACCAACGCCTGCCACACCCTCGAGCCGGGAGTCTCTGGATGCTGCTGCGACAGCGATGGATGCATCAACCCGTGGACGAACACCTGGCCAGGACCACTCAACTGCTACGTCGGAGTGTACACTTCTGACGGAACGGTGAATGCCGGAGCGACTGTGCCATGCGACGGATACTGCGGATCTCTCGAGACCACCGTTGGAAGCACCCTCTACAAGTCTTATCACTGCGTGCCAAAGACCATTTGCAAGTCGCTCGGACTCAACAACGAGAGAAAGTCGATTTCCACTGACAAGGACATCACTGGATACTGCTGTACCACCGGATCCAACTGCCACGTCACCGAGTCTGCCGTCAACACCACCAACACTGTTCCACCGGTAAGAATCTAGCATAATGTTCTGCTCTCTTAATCGTGCATTTTTCAGCCAACTGGAAGCCCGAACCCGATCGCCTGCCGTTCCTCCATCTACCTCAACGGCTCTCCAGTCACCGCCGATACGTTCACCGCTTGCTATGGACAGTGCGCCACTGTCACGTACGCCGCCCAATACAACGGAACTGGACAGTCCCTGACCCTCTACACCTGTGACCCTACTGCCGTTTGCGATTCTTTGAGTGAGTCCGATCCCCCGTCCGATCCTTCCTAATCCGCCTCTCGTTCCAGACCTTTCCGACTCGTGCGCCTCCCTCGACGGAGGACTCTCCGGATGCTGCTGTAACACCGACAACTGTGTCGGACCGAACGTGTCGCCGACGCCACCAGGTGGAGCCGGATCCTCGATCACCGTCTCGTTCCTCGCTCTCTTCGCTGCTGTATATATCGCGTTGACTAGACAGTAATAGGCCCAGCTAGAGATTATTCACGAACTCTTTCATGTACGCGCTTTTTGAGCGCACCCTTCCTCTCCCCACCCATTTCTCACTTTCTTTTTGGTGTTATTATTCTTTTGAATTCTAAATTTGTTGAGTCATTTTCATATCATAAACGCATTTCTCGACATGAGTCTTTGACAATTTGGACTAAACTTTCCTGTGTTTTCCAGCAAGTTCTCATTGTTTTCTCCGTTCCGTTGACTTTGATCTCATCAGCAAAAACTAAAAACGCGCGCAGTGGAGCGGAAAACTGAAGCAGAAGGCAGCTAGCTTCCTCTACTTTTATCAAATCACACCTTCATGTCTCTCATCTCCCGTTCTTCCCTTTCCATCTCAACGTCAGCCGTCATTTTCTGGACCCTCATCACCATTTTATTCTATAAAATAACCATCCTGAAATCGAGACGGAAAGAGCGTTACATCTTCTGGAATCTTCAGCCGTTCTTTTGCATTTTCGTCTGCTTTTGGGTTCTGATCCCGGTCCATTTTCTCACTTTTTTCTTGTTTTGGCTCTCCGACTCGCGGCTCTCTGAGATTCACTTGATTTTTGACTTGGTGCATCTGCATGCCACCCAACTAATGTGCTTAGTGAGCTCCGCCCTTGCTCGAGTCATTTCTGGAAGTGTCTTTCTGCTCTCGTTTGATGAGAATGTGCAACAACTGACTGGGTACGGAGACTCCAGGAGAAAACAGATTCTGCAAGTACTACTGGTCATTGGGTACTGTTTTTTGAATCATGAAATCAATCCTTACAGTGAGACAAGTTCAAGTTTCCATAATTACAAATTGAATTTCAGATGAGCTAATAAGTGTTTATATTCATATTCATACTTCTTTCCGGATAAATGTGAGCGTTATGGAAGCGGTCGTCTTCTTTTTCACTTCAGTTTCCCTCCTTTTCAATGTGATTCTCATCTTCACGAATGCCTCGAAAATTGAATTGAACGAATTCGAGCGGATTGAAAGAGGCATTCGAATTGCGAATCTCTGGACCCATCATCTGATCTTCCTCGCCTTCTTTCTTTTTGACGCTCTTTTCGACTCTGTTTCTTTGGCCAAATGGATTCCTTACTCTTATTTTGCCCCTCTCATTACTATTATCATTGTCCGGCTTCCGTTTTCGTTCAGAAGACGACGAGTTTCATTTGGAGATATTCAGGTTCAAGCGTTTTCTGTTTACAGTTGAGTTGAGTTAAAAATAAAGTTTTTTTTATTTTTTGTTGATCTTAATGAATGAGTCTCTGGCTTCTTTACAAAACAGAACGGAGAGATGTCAGCCGCGGAACCCAGTTGTCCGTAGGGCTCGCAGGAGGTTTCCGCTTATCTGGCCAGAGCTTCTCCAGTGCACGCCCGTTTTCTTATTCCGAATGGATTCAGCCTTTGAGCCAGTATCCAGTATCAGAAAAAAAAGCCAGTATCAGAAACCTTGTCGGGTCGAACTTCTTCGGATGTTTAAAGATCTCTTCGTTGGCATGAAATACGCTTAATTGAGTAGCAACAAATCCACTGGAAATCCACCGATCTTCGTCAATTCGTGATTCACTTTCCAGAAGTTAACGTTCTCAGTGACCCTCCGGAGTTCATCTCTTGTTCTTACCATCACTTTCAGAAGTTCAGAAGTTGCGAAAACCCGGAGACCAGAGTCGTCATAGTGGTTTCTTGTCCGGTTAGCCAAAATTCCACTAGAACGTCTTTCATGGAATACGGAACTGTCAGATTTTGGTTGGATTCGATGGGTCCGTCCCGAGATGTTCGAAGCACTCGCTATCTGATCTCAATGAATTTTGTTTCTAGCTTCTCCAAAAATTCTCAATAAACCTAATATTGCCTTTACCACAGCCAGGCAGTGCACTCAGCAAAGCTCATTCGCTCATTCGTGCAACAAGTGTTCAAATACAAATGAGCTATTACCAAAGAAACGCACAAAAACATACACATATTTAATGAGATGAAGAAATGCTTTGAGTAAAAAAACAAGCCACTGAACTGTTTTCCTAAAATTCAACGAAATGCGATCCAGCAGAATGAGTTCACCGGAAGTTGAGACTCAGATTTCGTGCTTATTTGTGTGCCACCACAAACTATTCGGAACACAACACTGGCTGTAGTATGTCCCCTCTAATCAGTTCTGATCCTACCCGCATTCTGCGTTGAGTTTGTGTTGTTGGGTTTAGATATATATTTCCAAAAATGTTTATATTTCAATTCGATCTGACTCACAATAGATCATGGTCATTGTGTTCTCTCGTGGGAACATCGTCGTTGAATGTGATCGCAAACACATTTCCCCATCCCAAAAAAAGAGAAGAGTTCTCAGGTCACCCAACTTCTTTTCATGCTAAACCAATTATTTGCGGTGTTTGACAGCTACGTAACGCAGAAAAGCACAAAAGATTTCTGCCCGCCGGTCCTTCGACCCTTCAAGCCAACACGCAACACCGCCAAAAGTCACGCAAAGAGCGGTCATTTCATTAAAGCGCTGCACAAGTGGTGCCCAATTCCAATGAGTGTGAGCGGAGCCTCCAGCCCAATTTCCTCCGGACGGCTCGGCAAACAAACCGAGCCCCCTCACAAGGCCCTTTTTGTAATCCATCCTTCCGTTTGTGCCCCATTCTTCCGACGTCCTCGTGACTCTTTATCATCATCATTTCGACGTGATCCGTTTAGTCGCTCATGACTTTTCTTGCAAACCTGCCAGTTCTGACTTCTGCAGAAATGAAGCAATATCTGATGGAGGCCATCCTGGGACCAATGATGGCTCTCGGGGTGTTTGGCAATCTGAACGTCATTGTGGCAGTCGCCCGGAAGAAGGTTTTGAGGACTAAAGGAGGTAAGGAAATCGGCGGATTTAGGGAGTCCAAATTGGCGCTGAATGTGATTTTTAGCAATGCTCGTCTTCGTCCTCGCGATTTCCCATTTGATATGTAATCTTTCCGAGATAAAAGTTCTCGTAATGAGGTTCAGGTAAGTTGGCCTAATTCGGGCAACATCTAGCCAGTTCCCTCGTTCTTTTTTCTAGATTTCAAACTATGAAAGGAAGACAGTGCTTCGAGAGCAACATCCCGTACTCTTTGGCCATAATGTTCCAATCCGCACTTTTCCTCTCAATGTCCCTGGATTTATGCTTCTGCATTCTGTTACCTATAAAGTGAGCCTTCGAATTCATCCTGACCTCTTATATTATCCTTTCGCAGACATATGATATGGCCAAAGACCAGGTACATTCTGATAATGTGCATTATGCCGACGTGCTTCTCCTCCATAGTATTCTGCCTGAATTTCATATTCGTCATGGACGAAGACGCTCCGTACTGTGCATTTATGCTGAGTGAGTCGATGCTCTGAGTTGTCCGGTGCATGTCTCGTCTTTTGTGGTTTTCTGTTGTAGTTCGGACAGCGAATAAACAAGAGGATTCAGCTATGGACGACGGCGTTTTCGAGCTCATTTCCTCCTCGGTCGTCGCGTGCAACATCATCACGCTGCTCATCAGCTTTGTTTCCGTTTTGATCGCTGTTAAGAAGTGTAAGCCTTTAAAAACTTGACTTTGTTAGCAAAAAGGGGAAACTTTTAGCTCAAGACATGAGAAATCACCGTCATTCTCAGAACTCGAGAAGAAGTAGCACTGTGGAAGAGCGACGGAAAGTCAGTGGTTTTGTTTAAAATGGTTTAGAATATTCTATAATTTCCAGGTTTTCCGTTCGACCTTCTACATGATGGCCATCTACATCTTCTCGTGGATGACCTCCTCGCTCTGCTTCCGCATTCTTCTCGCCGTGTTCGACGACGAAAAGGACTTCATCGAGTACATGCCCTACCTGACCATCATCACAATGCCCAACTTCTGCCAAGCCTTCTTCGTCACCTACTTCCGCTCGCCCCGATTCCGGAAAGCCTACCGTGAGCACTTTCACTGGCTCACTTGCGGATGTCTCTACCCGGACATTTTCGAGCATCCGGAGCTGCGGGGCGGCGAGTCCGGCAGTCGACACGATAGTGCCACAAACGCGCAAATGACGTCAGAAGTGGAGCAGAAATCAAAGGAGAAGAAGACTGTCAGAATTCTCGAGAATAATGTCGTTTGAGGAGAAACAAATCGGTGCCAATGATCTCAACTTTCCATTTTGATAAGATAAACTGGCCTCAGTTCCTGAATCGTTGTACTCAAAAATGTTGTAGCCTACTCTACTCGCATGTAGCCAGATCACTTATTTTTATCAGTACGGAACTCGAATTGGGTACAAAAAGAGCCATTTGCTCCGGTGAGCTCAAGCCCGAAAATGACTCTCCGTCTCCCATTAGTTCTTCTTCTCGTCGCCTCCTTGGCAGTCACTGTCTTTGCCCTTCCGATTTCGCCGAACCCTCTCGTGCTCAAAAAGGCCCACGGAGCATTCTGCCATCTTTGCGAAGATCTGATCAAGGTTGAATGAACATCAGACATATACATATTAACTGGATTCGTTTGTGTTTCAGGACGGAAAAGAACTGGGAGATGTTGCCCTGGATGCGTGGTTGGACGAGGAGATCGGAACTCGCTGCAAAGACTTCGGACTGTTGGCATCCGAGTGTCTGAAAGAGCTGAAAGTGGCCGAGCACGACATCTGGGAGGCCATCGACCAGGAAATTCCGGAGAATAAGACTTGCACGGATGTTAAATTATGCTGAATGATTGCTGGCAAATAAATTTGGAAGTTCCACTGTTATTCCGAACGTGTCTTTCCTAATCTTCTCTTTCCCAATCAACCTTCCATTAAACGCCTTCATTTCTAATTGTCATCGAAAACGAATCAGCTTAATTTTCGAAACATTCGAGATGCTGTTTCAAGCGATCAGCACCTTCTTGTTTATAGGTATTCCAAAATCTCAAGATTTTAATTTTCATTCATTTTCAGCACAATGCTCTGCGTTAGTCGAGTACAAGATGGTGAACAAGACTCCGGATGAGATGTTCCTCCGAACGACGCTCATCGAAATTCTGAATGAGCCGAGAAAAGCCATCGTTTTCGCGACTAATGCTTCTTCCTTGCATTGGCTGGTAAGAAGAATCGAGGGGCACTGAAGACGAACCGAAAAGTTTCCAGAAATGGGACGAATCCCTCGCGTGGATGGCTCACAAAACTCTGGATTCTTGTGAGAACTACGAGCGATCCGATGAGGACTTTATTCAAATCCGACTGAAACTCAGCGAGAAAACCACCACAACAGCACAGCAAACCAGTGTGGAAACAATAAGTAAGTCCCGATAACAGAAACGTGCTGGAAAGTGCCAACATCTTCAGTTCACGACATCTGGCAGCCACTCGACGATTTCGCCGAGTACAAAAACGGCAGGCATTCCACGTTCGGACACATAAGAAGACTCGATTTCATTCCGCTCTTCAACTTCTTTCAAAAAGATTGGACCCGTGTCGGCTGTGCATTCCAGATATGCAAGGATCCGTTAACGGGAGACGAGAAGAATCTGGTGTGCTACCTGGGACCAAAGTGAGGACTCAAATGCAATTGGTACCGTTGTGTTCATTTTCAGAGTTCAACTGGACGAACACGTGTTTGAAATGAAGGGATCCAGATCGGAAATGTGCAAAGATTGTCATTGTCGTTCGATGCTGTGCCTGGAGGATGAATTCGATGTGGCGAGTTTGTCGGATGAAGATTTCAAAGCAAAGATACTCACGGAGTTCAACGGAGCACGCAGTCAGTTCGCACTCAAAGCCAACGCAGGGCTCATGCACAAACTGGTCGGCTCCAGTCGATGGAAATCCACTGTTCCTTGTTATTTCAGACTTGGGACGACGATCTTGCTCAGTCGGCGGCTGTATCCGGCCAGCAGTGTCCTGGCAACTACTCGCACACCCTGAATATCCGTGAATTATTCGCCGATGCGTTCCTAGATAATGCTGCCGGACTGGGAGCAATCGGCGAGATGTACGGCACGTCGACCGGCGAATTTCAGCACTCGGAAACGTACGATTCGAATGGAATGTACACGATTCTCTGGGCGAACATGGAAAAGGTCGGATGTGCTTTGACACCGCCGTGCCAATTCAAAGTGTTTTGTCATTTCGGAGATGTGTAAGTGATTGGATTGTATGGGAATGGGAGAAACGGAGAGAGTTTTCAGTGGTGCTATCGACGGAAAGTTGTACGAAAAGGGAGCTCCGTGCTCGAAGTGCGAAAAGGATTGCGAGGACGGACTGTGCAAAGAGACCGTCGTGACGACCACTACGGGCGTCACGAGCGATACGACGACTTCTTCGCAGCCATGAATACATTGTGAAGAGGAAAACGCTGATAAAGAGTTCATTTTGATTTTGTACAAATAAGGAACTTCCGTGACCTTCCCTTAATCTCACAACACATTACGACAATCATACAAACCTTTCCCCAACATTCCAGCTTCTGTTCAAGCGAAAAACGTCTATCTTCTAGATGTCCAAGACTTCAAAGAGCTTCCCCGGTAAGCGTCCTCTAATCCCGCAACGTCACATTCCCTCGCAGACTATTATCAATTCGGTCGTGTAGAATTCGTGCTCGTTGTGAACGATGTGGCGAATCTGGATGCGAACGGGCGGGAGAGTGACGTCTTCAGCACCGGAGACGTTGACTGGTACTTGAACGTGGGCTTGAACAAACTGAAGAACGGAAAAGCGCTCTCGGCTTTCATCTACTGCAAACCGCTGGATGTGGCGAGTGCGTGGAAGGTCGACGGCGAATTCCGCATCGTGCTCGAGGATCAGGAGGACGAGAAGCAGTCGATTGCCCGGCAGATGTGTTTCTCTTTCCAGTCGGACCAGTGCGAGAATCGCGGATGGAACAACTTCTTAATGTGCTCGGAGGCGCTCGATGAGGAGAGAGGATTCGTGAAAGACGGCGCGCTCTCATTCCGTGTCATGATCGGAGTGAGCTCGATCGACGGATTCGACTCGCCCAAATACTTCAACTTTACCGTCGACGACCCACAATTCTCGGACACCATCCTCGCCGTCGACGAATTTAAGTTCCACGTCAACAAGATGGTGAACCGTTAGTCACATTCATTCCGACATTCTCTCATTCAGATCATTTCTGTTCACTCCCCGGTACTCGCAAAACTGATGTCGCCTGTGGAGAACGGAACCGAAATCTATATAGAAAACGTGGATCGCCAAGAGTTCGAAGTTTTCCTCCAGCTTCTCTACGCTGTTCCAGTCCGCATTCAGAGTTTGTTTTGTGCCGTTTCAAATGAAGATATCGTCTGATTTTAGAATCGAACGTGGCCGGCCTCCTCGAAATGGCCATCAAATTTGAGACGTACGGCCTGAAGCTGTTGTGCGAGGAGTTCCTGAAATACGCGGAGCAACTCGGAGAGATGACCGCTTTGGAAGTCGTCCAACTGGCCGGGGAACACAGATTGAATAGTGTTGTGGTGAGCAAGAACGGACAAAAATCGTGCGGGAATCGTTTTATTTACAGAAGTACGTGCTAAACTTTGCGAAAAGCGCGGAAGAGTTGAAGGAAAAGTTCGAGAATTTCGAGGGACTATCTGCCGAAACCATCCGCGAGATCGCCATGAAGACGCTCAGTTTTGCTTGATATGTTTGAATAAATCAGAAGTTTCTGCACAGTCCCGGAAGATGTGACGGATTTGACGATTCCGAACGGAGTCAGATGGTTGCCGCTGGTGAAGTAAGAGAATCCGAGAAAGTTGAAGTAGCGGAAATTCTTCGACTGCTCGTCGATCGACGCGTCGATGAACTCTGTCGTGAAATCTATCGGAGCACACTTTTCTCCGCATTCTTCCAGAAGTTTATCGAAGCGTTGCTTCGCCATTTCGTAGCCATCCAGGTCTATGAGCAGCTTCTGAAAATCAGAGATTATACAAAAAGGTCTCTGTTTATTCTAGGAAGTGGGAGAAGAACGAACAGCTTCTTCTGCACATTGTTCGCGTAAATCGCGTAGCGGACTACGGACGGACTGGATTCAATCGATTACAGTCTGATACGCGGGCGAAACGCAAGTTCGGAACATCGAAATGTTTGCCAACTCCTTCATTCTTTGAACAAAACATATTCAGTGTCAGATGTATTTGAATCGAATACAGATGGAAAGCTTCCTGATATATTTATTTTACAAAAACGACGTTCAAAAAAATGTAAGACCTGTGTAAAATAGAAAAAAGAGATTAAAATATAAGCCGATATGTCTTCAAAGTGTTCGATAGTCCAATCACTGATCCTCTCCGTTCGAAACAATAACAGCGACCGGACGGCGCTTCCTTCCGAGCGTCGGCTTGTTCCACAGACTTTGCGGTCTCTTGACTCCCTTTGTGCGGAAGTACAGATTGCACGGACTGAAAACGATCGATATGAAAAGAGGAATGGGATCGGAACGAAACTCACTTGCACTCCGCCTCTCCCTTATCGCTTCTCCTCCACAGTGTGGTGTCCCGGGTGCCGCAGTTGACGCACGAAGTGTTCGTATGCATCAGCGACACTTTTTTGATCGGTCTCTTCGATTGAGCTTTCGGATCTCTAACCTGCTCTTCTTGACCGACTTCATCATAGTTCATCGGTTGGTTTTGCATTTGATTATCTGCAAGTTATTCGGGTTATTAGACTTTCAATGCACTTTCGTAAACTTACAATTGTTAACCCCAAAATCGTAGACGGTAGGATCGTAATGGACCATGTTCTGAGTCACGAACGGTTTGTACTCCTGCTGCTGCTCAACTACCGATTCCATTGGCATTTGGCCGTTCTGCATCAAGACCGGATAACCGGTAAATTGGCGATTCGAGTGTGGGAAGTAGTGCTGCGTGCCGCCCGTCACGAAAGTGTTCTCTGAGCTCGAAGAAGAATTATCCGGCTGCATCGAGAGATTCTGATACATCGAAGGAGTCTCGGATTTAGCGTAAGCCTGAGCATCGAGGCTTTGATCGTACACCAGCGTTCCGGTCGAAGGCGAGTATTCATAATAGTAAGCGGGATTGCCGGAAGAAGAAGAAGAAGAGGAAGACGATTGAGAGTACATTTCTCGAATGAAATGAGATGAATGATGATGAATGGTTTGGTTTGGTCCCTTCCCCGTGTTCGCAGATCTTTGCGGAGGAGGCGTGGCTTATGAAGAGTATACTTTTTACGGTAACTCGTGTTCTTTCTCCCATGCCGCCTCTTGAATGCGGCCGCTCTTTGAGAAAATTATACCATTCAAGGTATACCGAATCGGCTGAAATAAGAAGCGGCCGCTCTTTGACCGAAATCGCCGAAAGCAAATTTCAAATGCGATTTGGAAGGTTTCTGACGCGGGAATCGAGACTTTATGCGAGTTTTCAGGTTTTTCGGGCCAAAGATGTCGCTCCATCTCTGTTTTTCAGTTTCATGTACAATAACGGGACAATCTACTAATAAATTCTGAAAATCGGCGAGATGAGAGCCATCAGCAGCCTTTCGATACTCTAACTGGTGCAGGTAACATGTCATCATCATCCCATTCTTTTTTATCTTTATCTGATCGCAAATTTGAGAAGAAAAAAAACGGGCACGAGCAGGCTGCCGAGTGCCTCGTGGAGGCCGCAGCCGACACTTTGATGTCCGATGAGCTCGGCAGAACTGCGTCCGCTTTTGCGGCCAGTCGTCACCATCACGATATCGTCAAGTATCTTGAGGGCGCATCTCAGCAAAATTCAAGAAAAGGTTCCACTCGTCTGCAAACGGTCCGTGGCGATGGTCCCTCGAAACCAGCTCGTCAGAACATGAAGACTGTGAAACGGGCGGCTTCAAAAAGAGCTGCTGCAACGGCGAAAGAAGTTCCATCGTCCGGCCAGTTCAGCGAATCCCGGCTCCGGATTTAATTTGGAAATTGTGAGTTCATTTCACTTCTACCTCAACCGGAACGTACTTGTTTCAGACGAAAAGCATGCCGAATTGGTACTCGGTGTCGTCGCCGAGCAGTAGAACTTCAACTTGTTTCATTTTCTTCCAATTATTCTCTTCCGGTGTTCTTCTCACATCATTCATTTCACATTTGCTCCCTGCAGAGTTTTCTTTTCTTAATTCAAGCTATTCTTTATTCTAGACTAGTGTCGTTGTTTACATGTTGACAATAATAACTGATTCCTAGGCCTTACAATTAATGCCGGCCGCGTCCATAGTTTTAAAAAAGTCAGCAAAATCCGCGAGATTTCCGGATTTGTTTTAAACTTTGGACGCGGCATAATAGTAAGCTAGATACAATCGATACTTTCAATACTCATTCAAAGAATTTAATTTTTTAAATTTCATCAAGTTTCATTTTAGGCTAATATATGGGAATAAATCAAGAATAGTTCCAGAATGATTGTGCACCAGTGCGCGAAAGCATATGAAACCGAGTTCCCCGCCTCCTTCCCGATCTCTTCCTTCGGCGGATTGCCAACGCACAAACCATTGTTGCATTTTGAGCACAAAGAGCACAACGGACCAACTTTGAACAGCTCTGACAGTGCAACAGAAGCGTTTTCGTACTTACTGAAGTTCAAATTGATTGGTTCAACTTTTTAGTATTTTCACATCACTTTTCTTTCTCGAAAGTGCACAGAATCGCTTTATGATTGCAACCTCTCCGAGCACAGCCGATCTTTGTGTGATTCCACCAGAACGGCACCGACTCGTCCAGAGCTAGGATTCGGTTTCTCTGCGTGTCGCCTATCCGTCGCAAGAAACTCTCCGCAATATCCATCCCCTGAACTTCGGGCAGCAATGGTATCAACTCGGGATAAAAGAAGCGTTCCGAATAAAGATCACTTCGAAAACTCTGCGGCCTGTTGTGGCTGCACTCTTCCGCGTACTTCGCCGCTTCTTTGGCCAGCGCCTCGTCCCAAACCATTTCGTACATATTCCCATACTGTCCTCTTTTGGCGAACCCTCTGCGAAGCGCATTTTGAAACTTGACAAAATCCTTTCGAAAGTGTATATCTGAGAATGGAAGAACTGGTTCCGGATGTATCTTTCTCTTTACATCCCAAGGAGCATCTTTCTTGAACAAGTCTGTCGAATCGTTTTTTCTGAAATCATCACCGTCACGGCGCCGTTCGTATCTCACTCACTCGGGACCGAAATAGCAGAGCATGTTGAAGAGTTTGTAGTTGGGCGGTCCGTACGTGCACACCTTCAACGCGCATCCGACCCGTGTTCTTTCCGTCTGGTACATTGGATAGTACGGAAATTGTTCCGATATCTGCCCAATTTCCGGTCCGTGCTTTCGAAGATATCGCGTGAACAGATGTATTTCGTCATTCGCGTAGATTATATCAACTAAAAATTGTTTTGTTTTTCACCATCATTCTTGCCCAGGTTCTAAAAGGCTTGTTTATTGATACTAAAACACTATTTTTGTTCAATGTTCGTCCTATAGACTATAGCGATGCGCTAATTTCCGGTATGCTAAGGCATTAGCTATTCTCAACTGTCAACAGAAATGTGTTTATTACATTTGTTACCAACTTCGCTGAAAGTTTACAATAATGTCTTCTCTCCATTATGTCCACCTGGTTGGCGATGTCGGAAAGATCGGTCTTTGTCTTACAGTCCTCACGAATTCTCTTCTCGTCTATCTCACTTTTTGCCACATTAAAGGCATCACTCCCGTCTATAGGTTTATGATATTTGTGCTCGCCGAGTTCGGAATCACTTTTTCCTGTATGGAAGTTATCGTTCATCCATTTTTGCATTCCTACAACGTCAGTTGGATATTCTTCACTGTTGATCCAGTGTTCGGAAGTTCCAAGTCTTTGAAGACCGCCATGCTTCTCGGTTACGCACTGGTCTACGAGATCATCATTTGTCTATTGGCAGTTCAGTTTGTTTATCGTTATGTGGTAATGTTTGCGCCCGAGAGAGTCAAGCTATTTCACGGATGGAACACTCTGTGGTGGTTTCTCTACATATCGGTTTGTGTGGCAATTTGGATAGCACTACTCGTCACATGCTTGCCTGATGAGTTTTCGACAGAGTACACAAGGCAGGAACTTTTGGATAACTATAATTGTGACGTCGATGAAATGACCGGCTTTTTCATTGTGGCGTTTGTTAGTATCGAATTGAATATGAAGTGGAAAAACAGGTTGCATTTTCAGGAGCCTGTCAACAACATTCCGACTATCCGCCTGAACGCTTTGCTCTGCATGACAGGCTTATCATTTACTCTTCTGGCTCAATACGCCGTGATGGTCTACTGTGGAGTAAAGATTCAGAAGCAAATGAAGGAGATCTCAAAATTCACGTCAAAGAAGAATCATCGATTGCATAGGCAATTATTCAAGACGTTAGTCCTACAAATCACGTCTCCTTCGATATTTTATCACATTCCCGCTATTGTCATGTGTATGACGTCGTATTTAGACACTGAAGTGAGCGTGCCGTCCGGTGTGATGATAGCGTTCTTCAGCATTTATCCAGCCATTGACAGTGCCATTCTTATGTGCGTTGTCACTGAATATCGGATAGCTATGAGAAGTGAGCGCGTTGAAAGCCTGCAGCAATTGGTGGAAACTTTCAGAGTGCATAGAAGAAGGATTTAAATTCCTATTGAATGTTATCCATACTCCTGCAGAATTTGATGAAAACACGAGAGACGAAAACACGAAAGACACTTTAGCACATTGACATTTAAGTTTTTGCACTGTTATACGTATTTTCCACTTTCTCAGTATGCAGCGAGTACAGTTACTTACTCTCAAGAGAGGTACTAACACGCAGTCTCTTGGAACATTCCATACCATTCTTTTCTGATTACGTCTCACAAAATGCTCCGTTTTTTCGAGCTCTCCGACGCCTTCACCAAATTCGGCTTCTGTGGCACTTTCATCACAAACATCTTCTTTCTCCATCTGACAGTATTTCACGTCCGTCAAATAGCCGGCACCTACAAACAGATGGTCGTGACATTCGGACTATTCGGTATTCTGTTCTCTGCAATGGAGTTAATTTCTCGGCCGTTCGTGCACAACTACAACAAGGCGTTCATGTTCTTCAGTCTCAATTCGTGGGCTTCTCGACGGTTCGTCCAGTGTGCCATTGTCGCCTACGCAGGATTCTACGGCGTCATTCTGTCTCTGATTGCCGTTCAATTTGTTTTCCGATATTTGAACTTGATTAGCTCGAAATGGAGACACATGTTTGATGGAATCGGATGCATAGGGTGGATAGCTTATCCATGTTTAGTCGGGACAGCTTTCGGGGTACCGCTTATTTTAGCACATCCTGATGAGTTCACTGATGATTATATGAGGTAAGAGTTCGCATTTACGAAGAAATCATTTTATTTCTCAGGGAAGAAATACTCAAGATCTACGGTTTTTCAATGGGAGATGTGGCCCGATTCATAGTAATTCCCTACGTTAGTATTCTCTTCTAAACCCCACATCTCGTTTGTTTTCAGAACGCTGACGGTTCCCTCCGCTGGCACAATCTCTTTTTTCTGATCAACGGCATTCTAATCCTAGGCCTACAGTACGTTATCATAATATATTGCGTTCTCAAAATGAGAAACGAGATGAACAAAGAGCTGAGGAAGTTCTCGGTCTCTCTTCTGAGACTCCAGAGACAAGTGTTCCGTGCGCTGATTGTCCAGGCACTCGTGCCCACAGTTCTGTTTGTTTTGCCAGCGGTTCCAGTACTCTTGGGACCGTTGCTCGACATCGAGATGAGTCTTCAGACAGGCGTGATCATTGTCTCACTGAATATGTATCCCTCGTTCGATAGCATCGCGTTTATGGTGATTGTGTCAGAATATCGGAAAGTTATCAGAGGTACAATGTGACCATTTTGATGGTTTTACTGAACTGACTTGTAGGGATTCGGAAGACTATATTCTCATCGACGACGACAGAGTCATCGATATGAGTACAACCTGAGTACGCGAGCAAAACTTGTTGATTGTTTATGACCCATTTCATCTACGGCGTTTTCGCAATTTTGTTATCAATGCAGATTCATTCTAATCGTTCACCTCTCGGCTAGTTTTAAGAAGTGTCATTCCCACTGAACCTAACGTTTCAAACAAAACTGAAGTATTGCAATGGAATTGATTAGGGTATGTTACTTTTTCTTATTAATAAAAGTCTTGAGGGGTGTGTCCCTTTTTTTTGGTATATTTATTTATCCGTTTGTCCCCACTTTCGTTTCTCTTGTTCTGCACCACTCACAATGGTATGAATCGTCAATCTCTGCCAGTTTGAAGCGGACCGTTCCAAACGTTTTGTCCTTACTCTCGGTTTCACAGGTTTCCATGTCCCGTCTGGCCAGAGGAACAAGCGATTCATCCCAGGTCTTAACAATTAGTTAGTAATCGGACTTGTCTCGCAAAAAAGTGCATTCAAGATGGGACTCACAAGACGATTCATTTCTTGAACACTCAAACTCTTCGCAACATAGAGTCTCATTTTATTCATTAGGTGAACCACTTTCCCGATGTTAAACCCATTTGCGTCTTGAATTAATGTCTGATTCTCAGCTGAATTTACTGAAAGAACAACTTCTAACAATTCTGTAGAACTTATTGCGATCTCTTACTGATTGTGATAGTGATCAGTAGAACGTTGAATAATTTCATTGACGAAAACAAACCAAACTCGTTTTTGTTTTTGAAATAATTGTACTAGCCGTCGAAAGTCATCATGCAAGTTGGACACGCAAAACAAAACAAACATAACTTTATTAATTGGGAATTGACTAGTAATCGTAATCAGTGGTGACGAGAGTGCACATCAGAAGGAACGCGAGTCCGACGCAGACGACGATGCAGATGCCCATCGCCCACACTTTCCACGTCTCCTGCTCCCACACCCACGAGCCTCCGGGAGTCGTCGACGTCTTCTGAGGAAGCGGTTCGACGTCCTCCGTGTACACGTGAGTCGGCTTCTCGGGAACACAGCACAGTCCGTCGATGCACACTCCGGGACAGTCCCCGCATAGTTTGTCGTTCACACTGGGAGGCGCCACGTTTTGATCCTCACTGAAATGCAAAGGTATTATAGTCATTCTCCAACTAAACTCACATTAAAGGTTCAAAGTGACAGATGTACGAGTAGAGGTGGCACGCGGAAGGATCCGTCGGCGCGCACCCGATGGCTTTGGTCCCGGGTGAGAGCAATCTGGAGGCGCCTTCTCCGAACGGACCGAAGTCATTTTGAGGACGCGAGAGCAAGTAGAGCGGTGAAATGGGCTCGAGAGCTCTCGGCTGGGCGAATGAGTTCCCGTCCGAATGACAGGAGTTCGCGTCGGCGAGCGCAGCCTTCTCCAGGTCGAACGACCATTTCTGAAAACTTCCTGTTCCGGGCGATAGATTCTATCCGAACACTCACGAGTTGATACATTGCGGGCGAGTTCAACGCCTTCGCCAACACCGATCTTCTTTCGTTCCACTCAAAAATCACTCTCGTCCGGAACTCCGCGGCCTCGTCCGTCCACAGTCGCCAGTAGTCGAACGGCTGCTCGACACATAGCTTCGGGAACTTCTCGTCGGACACGCACTCTTCGGAAACCACGTGTTTCTCGTGTTGATTGAGGTTGTGGCGGCAGAGAATGTCATATTCTCCAGAGCAGTCCAAGTGGGCGCATCCGATTCTCGTGCCAATGTCCAGCTCGATTCTGATCGATTCGTTGATCTTCGTGGCCAAGGTCGGCAGCGAATTCAACGGCGTCGACGGGTAAACGTCGATTCTCTCGCCCAGGGCGATCAACTCTTCGAACTTTCCCGCAATTTCGAAGCGGCCGTGGTGCCTGGGACACTTTTGGATGCGATCGGCCGCCTGTGCTGCCAAGGATTCGTCCCACGTCTGAACACATTTCCCTCGTTGCTACAGTATCTGCTGTCAAACTCACAATCGCGTAGCTCACAGATCCGTCACTTAACATGCTCTTGACCTTGTTCAGGACATGGACGACCTTAAACAAGTCGGGGACCGATTGAAGAGGTTCCGTGCTCGTTTCCGTGGTCCTGGAGATGTTGGAAGAAGTGGTGTTAGAGGTCGGAAGAGCGGTGGAGGAGGTACCATTCGCAATTTGGTTTGCCTTTGCTGAATCCAATTCTGTTTAAGCGAAGAGCAATGAACAAACGAACCGAGAAGGAGACCAGTGGTGAGCAAAATCAGAAAATTCATGATTAAGCTATGACGGCGTGCACGAAGAGTTTGAGTAAAAAGGACCCTCCTGGTCTACTGGCCTGACCGTCCTGTCCTTGCATTCTGGAAATCGCGAGGACAGGTTCGAGGGCAAGGGGACCACGTTCCTTTTGCACACTTTACGTTCGCTTTGACTGTTCTTTGTAGTGTGCCACAAAAGATCGCACCGTACTTGGTGGTACTGTCCACGTGTCTCACCCTTCTTTTGTATACTATTTTGCAAACAATCGCACGTGAACAGGTGTGAATCATGCCATATTTTGTGTTCTCTCTCTCTTTCTCCGCCACATCTCTCGTTTCTACCCATGTACTTTGCGCCTTTGTCGTCTCCTTTTTTATCAGTCATTACTTGATTGATATCATCTTTTTCTTTCTCTTTCCTGCCCGCTTCTCGCGTTTTCTGACCCTTTTTCACTTGCAAAAAGAGGTGAATCCCGAAAAAATGTGGTGCGTGCTGCAAACGTGCTCCACCGTACTACTCCAGTTTTTACGGCGCTACAACGCAATAGAACTCGCACGGAATAGAACTGTTACGATTTAGAACTCGCAACGTTAAAATACAACTGCGAGTTCTAAATCGTAACAGTTCCATTCCGTGCAAGTTCTATTGCGCTGTAGCGCCGTTTTTACTCATTTTCCAATTGTTTCTTGCTCTGTCTGTATCCAACCCATATTTTCCGGTTTTTCAGATTCCAAAACATGGGCGGAACTCAAAATGGGAAGACAGAGCCAATTAAAACGTAAGTCTCACGACAATTTACTCAAAACCCCGATCGTTCGCAGACCGGGAAATGACGACACCGATCAGAGCGACAACTACCTGGATCCGTGCCCGAAGCCGGCGTTCTACGTCTTCTGGCTCGTCAAGCTCAACATCACAATGATGCTTTTGGGCGCCGTCGTCGCTACCTACCTCGATAAATGGGGAATTGTGCGGACGAAGCGGGCGAAAGGAGATCCCAGATTGGCGGTGCGTTCCGAAGCGTCGAGAATCGCGAATCTTTCTCAACCCAACTGTTATATTGGTGCTGTACTTTGTTTTTCGCACCCTTCCGGGTTTGATAAGCGACGCCGACAGTCGCCCCATTTTGATCAGACGACACGCGAAAATTGATGTTAGTTATCGAGGGAAATAAGAAAATGCCGATAAAAAAGAGTGAATCAGCTCGTGTGGATAAACAAAAAAGCACTGAAATTGAAGAATTTCAGTAAGAACTTAATATTGCAGAATTTTCCGCCACTCGGAAACAGCTTCGACGCCACGTACACCGATCACATCTACCGTCAGTCGACGGACGTCGTCAATCGACCGATCAGCGGAGTTCCGGGAGCAATTGTTCGACTCAAAGATCGATACACCGACGATCACGGATGGACTCAGAAGTAAGTACACTGGAGTGAAGTAGCACGCATCAAACTCTTTAAAAAAAAATAAATAGTTACACCAGAAAAATATCCAAGAAAAAACGTTCAGATACACTGGCAGCGAGACGGAAGTGATCAACCTCGGGTCTTACAACTATCTCGGCTTCTCGCACAGATCGGGAGTCTGCGCAGAAGCCGCCGCCGCACACATTGACGCCTACGGTTTGAATTGCGGAGGATCCCGGCAAGAGCACGGCACGCATCAGGTGCACAAGTCCGTTGATTCGACCATCGCCGAGTACCTGAATGTCGAGGACGCCGTCGTTTTCCCGATGGGCTTTGCCACCAACTCCATGAATATTCCGGCTCTTGTGGACCAGGGATCGCTCATTCTCTCAGACCGACTGAATCACGCTTCTTTAGTCACTGGATGTCGTGTTTCTGGAGGGCATATTGTGGTCTTCCGACATAATGGCAAGCCTTATCATACGCTCGAGCACACGGAAAAACAGTGTACTTTTCAGACGCGGTAGACTGCGAACGGAAACTGCGAGATGCTCTGTGCGGAGTGAGCCCGAAAACCGGAAGGAAGTACAACAAAGTGCTCATTATCATCGAGGGCATTTACAGTATGGAGGGCACCATCGTCGATCTTCCCGCCTTCATTGCCATCAAAAAGAAGTACAACTGTTATCTGTTTCTGGATGAAGCACACAGCATCGGAGCCGTCGGACCGACCGGAAGAGGAGTCGCCGAGTACTGGGGCTGCAACTCGAGAGACATCGATGTGATGATGGGCACACTGACAAAGTCGTTCGCATCGGCCGGAGGGTACATGGCCGGAACGAAACGGGTCATCGATCACATCAGACGGTATTCGGCGGGAACTTGCTACGGAGGGACCATGTCCCCTCCGCTGGTCGCTCAGGTCGAAAAGGCCGTCTCGGTTCGTGCTTATTTTGAAACAAAAAACACTTTTAACTGCCGCTCTTTTCAGATCATGTGCGGCCGCGATGGTACAGATATCGGCCGTCAGAAGGCCATTCAACTTCTCAAAAATACACGATACTTCCGGAAGGAACTGCGTAAAAAAGGATTTCTGATCTACGGAAACAACGACAGTCCAGTAGTGCCGCTGATGACGTTCTACATCACTAAAGTCGTGTATGATATTGACACACTTGCGGAAACTTTATAAAATTCGTGACTTACAGTGAATTTTCGCGGCGAATGCTGAAACACAACATCGGCATCGTGGCAGTCGGATATCCAGCGACGCCGCTTTTGGAGGCGAGGGTGCGAGTCTGTTTGAGCGCCGATCACACTCGGGAACACCTCGATTATGTGAGTGAATCGGTCCGATCTACCCAAGAACATCTCGTCCGTTTCAGATTCTTTCGGCCCTCGAAACAGTCGGCCACGAGACAAACACTATTTACGGGACAAAGAGCGACGAGTAATCCCTAGTTCCCCTCTCTTTCCTTGTTGTCAATCTCTTGTTACTTACTTGATTATTCCCCCAATTTCCTCTTGCCTTTCAAAATCCTATTCAAATACCGAATTACGTTTTCACACACACTTTCTAGGATTTGCACTTTGCACATTCCTCTACCTTCCATCCAATTTCATATGCAATTTTGCTCAGTCTTCTAGGCAACGAACGTCATGACATGTACATCACTGATCCTGCCATTTTAACTCGACATTTTGACCAAAAGAAACGTTAATCGATCATTTATCACTCAAATATATAGCCGGAAATACAAATCGATCATAGAATAGAGTAGAAGAAGTTAGGGAAGCAGACCACCGGTCGTCAAAATTTGAATATTGTCCTCTTGTTGTCGGATGATAGCATTTTGAGGGAAGGTAACTGTCAATTTTCTGAGGACGTTTACGCACTCTTCGATTTCGTCTGAAAATTGAGAATTACATACAGCTGAAAACGGAATTCAGCTCACTGTTGACTGTGAAGCGAATCTGCCTAACTCCCTTTTGAGCGCACACGTCGATGAACTCAAAAACGCGTTCGCATGAGAAGCCGCTGTTCGCAGGATGGGGAATCTTGAAAACGGCGCGCCCCGTGATGGTCACCGCGAAGGTCTCCTCGTCGAGAACGCAACAGATCGGATCGGCCGGCACCGCGAGTGTTCGGAAATAGCTGAGCCACTTGGGAAACGGCAGAACACCGTCGAACTGCTCGAATCTGTCTGCAAAAAAGAGACGATGAATTCTGATGGCAAGAAGGAAGCTGACATCTTTCGAGAATATTGAGAACGGGTTGGCTGCCGGGAAGTTGCAGATTGTATTGATTGATGAAGGCGACGGCGACGCACTTGAGAGCCGAGTCCGTCGTTTCCACGAGCGCCTCATTGATCTCCTGGAGAAATTGATTCCGCAGGTCGGCGTTCAAGTGCTCGATCGCCGAACTGAAGAACGCGTACACGAGATCTTTCGCCCGCGATGTCAGCATGATTTTCTGGAAAAAAAACGGAGATTTGAACGGGGAAATTTACAAAAATGGCCATAGAAATGGAGGAAGAAAGAGAACAGAGGGATTTGTTTACAAACATTGCGTTTGCGCGCGAAGCAGAAGTTAAATTTCAGAGATCTTCGCGCCTCTGCCGAGAATACGATATATTATTTGAAAATGACAGGTCTGAACTTTTAAGACGACCTTTTCTACCATCGCGCTATACCGTACAAAAAAAGGTCGTGGCGCAATACCAAAAAGCTTTTTTTCAATAATGTTTTATCAAATTGAAATTTCGGCAAAGTCGCTCTACCGCAACCCACGTGAAAACCCAATCGCGGCCGTAACATTTTCCAATTTAAGAAAAGAGTTCAGGTGGAGAGCGGTTGAGCGCGATTGCAAGACTTCTGCAGCTGCAATTAAAAGAAACGAAAAACAACATCCCCCGAATGAACCGAATTAAACGTAAATTTTCATTCCCACCGAAGCGTGAGGGTTAAAAAATATTTAAAATTTCACAGAATAATCATGCCAATTCCGATATTTTCATTTCATGATAAAGTAATCGTCGCAAGCAACCAAATAAATATGAAAAATGTGCATAAATGATTTTTGACGGGTGCAATTAGTAGTATCTGTGCTGGTTCATGATTCTCAAGTGGATGAACTTGGTCTCGTAGCTGGTAAACGGATGGACGTCTTCGTAGTGCGAGATCTTGTCGTTGATGTCCAGCTGCCGACGGAACTTTGTGTCTTTCTCGACGTCATCTGTAGAATAATCATGATTGGCTTTCAAGTTTCAATTCTTATTACCGTCAATGATGACTACGATTTCCCACGTGCGTTTGTCGGCGATGATTTTCAGAAATTTGGTAATTGTCTTCATGGAGTACCCTTCCTTCTTCGAGTGATTCAACTCGAGAAAGTCGCGGACGTCGAAATAACCATTGAGATTCGACATTTTCAGTGTCTGCTTGGTGATGATGATACGGATGACGCCCGACATGAAGCAGTATTTGAGGTAGAACAGCACCGACTTGGGGCTGTTTTTGTTCATGAACGGAATGAAATCATTGAACTGGCCTAAATAAATAGCATCTTTTGGTTTGTATTCTTAAGCTTACTCAGTCTGAGGAAGATGGTGAGATACGGATACTTCTTCGCCTCTTTCTGCGCGAGCTCCTGCTTCAGAAAGGTGTTGAGTGCCAACTTCTGCAGATTCATTCCCTCATCCTCGCTCGCCGAAACGATCGAGTTGACGGTGTAATCTAGGAAGTAATGGGAGAGCAAGTACTTGACGATACCCTGGTATTGCTCTTCCATCTGAAAAAGCGATATTGGTAATATAATGCAAATTTACAAAACATAAAGGTAACAATTATGCGAATAACAAGACTCTTAAAAGTTCACACATTCACACTGACATTTAGGAATTAGGAAAACACTTTTATACCGACAATGTTAAATCACGAGACAATAGGAAAATGCTTGATGTACTTGACTTCTGTACGGTTGGGGTAAGTGACGTGCACGAAGTCGTACTCGTCAAGAAGCTCGATCCGAGGAGACGCTACACGCAGGAACTCGTCCATCGAGTGCACAATTCGAGGGTGCTCGATGGATTCTCCTGAATCAACATGATGATAATTAAATGATATCAGATTTGAGAACCTTTGAACCCGAAATAAATCTGACAGTATTGTTTCTCGAACGCTTTGTCGAAAAAGGAGCGGCCGACCGTCGTCGAATACTCGTTGTCCAAGTGATTGAGACGGAGAAACAGTCGAAGGTTGAAGGAGACGTCCGAGTGAAAGCGGTAGACTGTAACCTTCACAAGTGACCCCTCGAAGCCAGTCGAGGTTGTGTTCTCAAACAGGAATTTCATCACATTTGTGTTGTTGCGTAGGCGTCCTTCGGTGGTGAAATGTTCGAACGGTTCTGCAAAGCGGATACGTTATCTTCAAGGCCGAACATTTTCAGGAAACTCACTATCACTCAGATATCGGATCAGATCGTCGGAATAGCGGTTGATGATAGGTACAAGCGAGGCTCTTGCGGATCGGGCGAAAAGGGATTGACCCCAGAATGTACCTTTGACAAGCGAATACTCAATATCCCTAGATACCCCGTCTCCTAGAGCTAATTGAAAACATTTCACTATAAAAGAGTTCATTCGGAGGAAAACAGAGGAAAGCGGAAAATCAATGGGAAGGGGCTACGCATGAAGCGGGCGCGCGCGCTGAGAATCGGAGACCACAATATATGAGGAAATGTGTGCGTCATCATAAAAATATCTGACAAACGCGTGCATCGATTCGAAACATTGATAGATCACAAAACGAAATGATACGATTCCTATTTCCCTTAAGGCATCTGGAACTCTATAGTGAGCCTACAGTTCCAATGAGTATTGTCGGTGGTCGAATCGAATTGCGAAGCGTGCGCTTTCATCACCTCCGTCAAATTCATGTCTCGCTCCATGAACTCTAAAACAAATCGAATGCAAATGTCCCCTTCACCTTCTCTTTCGGCACCTGGCAGGCTCACAATGATCCTCCGCATTCTTCGCGTCGTGCATATCTTCAGAAACCTTCTGATCGCCTTCAATGCGTGACTTGCTGTGTGCGCGTAATCGATGCACATGAACGCTGTCGGATGCGGTCTGTCCGGGACCACCATCGTCAGGTTCCCATCGTTCACGAAAATGGTCACTTCGTCGGGAAGCAGGCAGTATTTGAAGAAGAAAAGCGCCGAACGCGCGTTGTTGAGCACAATTTCATGGGCGACCGACGCCAACCTTTCTGAAAGGCTCTACGACGTTACAGAAGACGTTCTCGGATACTCACTGTCCTTCAGATACCCGACGACAGCCGGCTTCCTCCCAACCAGAGCGTGGTCGAAGTAGACGGTGGCGGCACGCTTCAGAAGGCTGTCCTCCTCTCCGTTCACCGCCCAAAACACTCGTAGCATGTCGTTCGGGCCGATCTTTCCGTGGAAAACGGCTTCGAAGAATTCATAGTTCGAGGATTGCATCATGTTTCAGGGGAGGTCCTGCCACGACCGATTTTCCACGAACGGAAAGAAAAAGAAAGAGAGAGCGGAAGAGGGAGAAGTCGATGAAGAAGGGAACGAGAGAGAGAGGAGGCGTTGGGGGCGAGACGAAAAACACTGCCGCCCGGCCGCGGCTCGCCTTCCAAAAGATGAATGTGCAAACACTGCTTCTGCATAATGCGTACTTTAACGTCCCTTTCACAAAACGGACAATGGATGCATGGACACAGTTTGGAAGTGGAAAGACGAACTGTGTTTCATTCTACAGGCCCGATTTTGGGGTGTGGGGTCTTTTGAAATGTCAATGTTCAAAGTATCGGTTTATTATCCATCATAAAGTACAAATGTAACTAAATCTTAACAAACTCCATGTCGAGGACGTCGCATCCTTTTTGCATTCGAGAATGGAAGAAGTTCCTCGACCACTGACCACACTTTCCATGCGGACGGAGCAGGAGATTTCCGATGATCTGAAGGTTCCCCTCAGCTCAAAACTTTCTCACTCTACCTACCAAGTAGAGTTCAGCTTTTGCCAGTGCCCCTCCCAAACATGATCGCTTTCCGATTCCAAATTTGCTATTAGCATTTGTACTAAATCAAAAAAGCGGGTTGAGTCAAGAGTGACTCCATTGCGAAATTATCTGATGACTAACTCTTTGTGCTCCTCCTCTTGTGGCATCACCATTTCTCACGTACACAAGGGCACGCACAGTTTCTTATCATAAGTCGCCAGCAGGTTTTGTTTGTCCGCCTGTATAAAATGGAAAGTGACGAGAAAAGCGGGTGCAATCGTTGTGCTGGATGGAGTCTGCTCTCGGTGCACAAAGATGACGTTCAAATTGACCTTCTTCGTCTTCTTCCTCGTTGGATTCGTTCGCGCGAAGAAACTGTTTGATTTAGGCAAAATCGAAGTAAGTTGGCTCCCATAGATTCTTCGATATTTCATACTTAAAGAGTTTTGACCCAAGTATCTTCCACATCGACTACTCCCACGTTTCACCCGAATGCACAAAAGACTTCAAAACATGGATGAACTCGCTCGAGATCTTCGCAAAAACCACTTCAGAATGTCTTATTTACAAAAACTGTTCGGCGCCTGTTTTGAAAACTTTAGAGGAGAATCTGTACGCAGTTCAGCGTTAGTTTGAACTTGATCGCAGACTTTGAAACGGAAAAAAACTTCAGAATACGATGCTTTCGGGAAGATTCCTTCCCCAGGGCTTCTTGAAGCTTCAATGGTCTTCGATGGAAGTTATCAAGAGTGCGAAAGGATCAGCGGAGTCAAGTACGAAACCAACTATTGCTACGTGCTTCTGGTCCCAGGATTTAATGTGAGCTCTCATTCCAGCTTCATTCCACACCATATTTTGCTCATTTAGGCAAGTTGCTCGGGGGATTCCATTGGAAACGCAGGTACTGCGATCGCGTTCCGACGAGCTGTGTGCATGCCGAAATCATGTAAAAACATGGACACACCCAATCTGTACAACCAAATGAGAGTCTTCCCATTGACTGCTTGTGCCACTTTCTGCGCGCACAGAGAAGTTCCGAAGGACAGTGCTTTCTGGGGATTCACGTAAGCGTATTCTGCTGTTTTCAAAAGTCCAACTCCTTTTTTAGGGCTTTCATGACTGTCGTCGTGAGTGTTTCAATTCTCGCGACTTCTGTCGATTTTCTCAGAGAGTCGCTGTACTCTGTGACAAGTAAATCTGTGGAAAAGACAAGTGAGCTATCAAAAACCGTACTCCAACAACATTTCCAAAGTTCAGGATCAATTCACCGTCTCCTGTATGCATTCTCATTCTGGACAAACGCCGGCGCCATTCTCAACGTCAATCCGCAACCGTCCACGCACATAAAATGCCTCGACTGCATCCGCGGACTGTCAATGGCGTGGGTTCTTTCCGGTCACATGCTCAATTACTTTGCCTTCGCAGGTTTCCAAATCTATTTTATTTATTCACATATTTGCTTTCAGATACTCTTCTGCCGATCAAATCCTTCGCCGACTACTTTGCCGATTACTTTTTCATGAATGCAGTCTTCTCCGTTGACACCTTCTTCCTGGTCTCAGGGATCACAGTGGCCTACTCATTTTTCAGAGTAATCAAAATCAAAAAAAATCCTAAAGAAAAGTCATTTTTCAGCTGCAACCGACTGCGAAAACATTGAAAGCCCCTGCCACGTGGATACTCTTCTACGTGCATCGGTACATCCGATTAACCCCTCCGTACATGATCTTCATTGGATTCTATGCGGTTTACGCTCTTTACATTCAGGGTCCTCTAGCTGCGTCGCTGTTCAGTGAGTTATCAGTGAACTGCTAATGAAAGGAATATCATGCAGATTTCACAGTGTTACAAGTAGAAGCTTGTAAATCCTCATGGTGGAGAAACTTACTGTACATCAACAATTTTGACAACGGAGAGAACCCGGTAACTTGTTTTATAAAGTAAAGTCCCTAACCGCTACAATCTGAATACAGTGTTACGGTCCGAGTTGGTACCTCGCCGTCGACACCCAACTCTACCTGATTGCTCCGATTCTTCTGGTCGCCCTGGCGTGGAGGCCTCTCTCCGGAGTGCTTCTTTCGGCAGCCGGGTGTGTGGGAAGCATAATAACTGTTTACATACTGTATCAAAAGTTTGACATGCCTGCTGATTCATTCAATTCTGAGTAAGTGCATATTACCAAAAGTTCAGATTGAAATAATTATTTCTGCAGTCCGTCGGGCAAATTCAACTTCTACATCTACCAGAAGCCGTGGATCCGCTGTCCTCCCTATCTTCTGGGTATCCTTGGCGGTTACTTCTTGGCAAAGTTCCCTTCTCCGTTCAAGATCCCGCTGGTGACACGAATATGCGGAATGATAATGTCTATCGCTTTTGCATTCGCATGCCTTACTGCTAATATGGGATACGATCAAGGCGATCATTGGAGGTAAATCAGCCGAGTACGGACTATAATAGCAGTTGTGTGTTCAGTTCTTGGATCAAAGCCACCTACTACAACTTCTCTCGTTTCTTCTGGGGCATCTCGATCCTTTGGATAGTGCTAGCGTGTCAGCACGGCTGGGCCGGACCCATCGGAAACTTTATGAATCACCCGATCTGGCAGCCGCTGGGTCGTCTCTCCTACTCCGCCTATATTGTCCATTTGATGGTCGTCTACTACTTCTTGAACGTCGGCGCCAGACCTCTTCATTTTGTGTCCACGTGGCAAGTGGTGAGTTTCAAACACTTCGACCTCACTCTTCAAGATCATTTTCAGTATGTTAATTACATTCTGCCTGCGACTATCCTCACTTACGCGTTCGCATTCTTCTGGAGTTGTCTGTTCGAGTTGCCGATTGTGAAGTATTCGAAATCTGGGGAAAAGTTTATGAAGAAAGTTTTTGTTCAGATTGGAAAAGTTTCTACTGGAAATAATTCTGAAAAAGGAGGGAGAAAAAGCGGCGAGAACAGAAGAAGTGGAGGCGTGGAAATGAGTGATAATCTGAACACATCTGATTACAAATCTATGCAAATTGTCTCTCTCTCTCTTTTGTCACATGGCTTTACATTCCGAACACTTCCACATGTCCAAATCGATTCGACAAATGAAATCCAACGATTTACGTCTCATTTTCTGTCTTTTCCTATTATTTCTACTCACTCATGCAGAAACTAAAAGAAACAACTGGCAATTGTTTTCGAAATCCCTTCGCAAAACGGAGAATTTGAATGCGCAGTGCTTCAATGAAACGTCGATTTTCATCGACGCGATGCGCGAAGTGGCCAAGGTCTCCGAGGAGTGTTTGAGCTATAAAAACTGCACAATGAGCGAGATGATCGAAATGAAAGATCTCGTTTTTGCTTTGCAACGTAAGTATTCGCGAGTCTGTAATCCTAGCAGAACCTTTCACTCAGAGTTCGACGCATTCGGAAAGCCTCCAGCCGATCTTCTAGACTTGAACACCTTTTTCGAGGGATCTTACGAAGAATGCCAGGTGGTCAGTGGAAAGAAATACTCGACCAGTTACTGTTATCTGGTGATCCATTTCGGATGGAATGCCACGTGTCCAGTGCATCCAATAGACACTTTCCATAAGCTGGCAGTGCCCAGGCTTGCAGTCTGTATGCCCATGTCTTGCGCCGAAAACGATCTCGTGGAGGTGTTCAATCAGATGACACCGTTCCCGTTGACCGCTTGCGAAGCGCATTGCGCAGAGAAGAAGATCGAAAAGGGATGGGCGTTCTACGGGTTTTCGTGAGTTTCTGGGAAAAATAATGAGACTTCTGGAGGACTTTAGAGCTTTCAGTACCTTTCTGATGACTATGATTTTGCTTGCTTCGTCCGCAACACTTGTCGACTACTTTCGGGAGAGAGAAATCGGAATGTCTTCAGTGAACGAACGAGCTTACTGTATAAACATTTCCCCCCGCTTCGGATGTGAGCATAATAATCTTTTTCCAGTTCTCCGAATCTTCCTCTCGTTCTCGCTCTGGAGCAACTCCGAAATGATACTGTCCGTCAAAGAGCACAAGCCCGGCTACATCCGCTCTCTCGACTGTATCCGCGCGCTCTCCATCGTCTGGATCGTCTCCGCCCACTCGTACAACTTCCACTTTCCGAACAACATCCTCGGCGGCTCGATCGGCTACTTCGGATACCCGTCGGTCCCTCGGCATCTCATTCTCAACGCCTTCTTCTCCATCGACACCTTCTTCATTCTCTCGGGAGTCGTCGTCGCTTACCTGTTCTTCAGATCCAAACCGAAAAGACAACTATTCTGAAGTCTGCCACGTGGCTTGTTTTCTACACTCATCGGTATATCCGACTGACTCCCCCCGTCATGTTCTTTATTGGCTTCTTCACAGTTTACGCAAAATACGTACAAGGCCCTTTTGCAGCTTCTGAAATGGGTTAGTTTCCCGAAAAAATTGTTGAACTGACCTAATTCTATCAATCATTTCATCAGATGTGCTCTCAAAACAAGCGGAAATTTGTGAGAGTAACTGGTGGAGAAATCTATTGTACGTCAACAACTTTGCCGGCGAAGCGAACAGCGTCAGTGGTTCCTTTGAGCTATCTGATTACCCGAATCATTCTTACAGTGCTACAGTATCACCTGGTTCCTGGCGGTCGACACTCAATTGTACTTTCTCGCTCCTTTCCTCCTCACATCCCTCTTTTTCTCGTTGACCGGCGGAGTGATTCTCATTATCAGCGGCTCATTCGTCATCGTTATCGTTGTTTATTTCCTTTTCGGAGTTTATGATCTGCCCGCTGACTTTGTCGGGAACGGAAACCACGATGCTTTCCGTTCTGTGATCCACGAGGTTCCCTGGACGAGATGGTGTCCGTTCGGAATGGGAATCATGACAGGATACTTCCTTGCGAACTTCACAAAAACAAGACTGAAGCTCCACTGGATTGTGCCCGTTGGCGGATGGATTCTCTCTTCCGCACTTGTCGTTGCGTGTCTGTTCGGCAATTACAGACATGATTCAGGAGGCGAGTGGAGGTTTGCATCAACTGAAAATCTTGAAAGAATTGGCAATATCTTCAGTGTTTACCAGCGAGCAACTTACTTCAACTTCTCCCAAATCGGCTGGACTCTCTGCGTCTGCTGGCTCATCATCGCCACTCACTATGGCTGGGGAGGTCCGATCGGGAACTTCATGTGCCATCCGATCTGGCAGCCGTTCGGAAGACTCTCCTATTGTGCGTACATTGTGCACAGACTTGTCCTCTTCTGGTTCTATAATCTCGGCGGAGGAAGTCCGAAGGCGTATTCTGCGGTTCAGATGGTAAAGTTAGAATAAATGCCTTTAAAAACGATTGTTTTTCTATTTTCTATTTCTAGTTCCTCTACCACTCAATTCCCGCCACTGTTCTCTCCTATTTCGCGGCGTTCTTCTGGAGTGCACTGTTCGAAGTTCCGATTGTCAGGTGAGTTTGCCCCACCTATAAGATATCACACTTCCCCTTCAGAATAGAGAAAATCTTCATCGACCCGTTTCTGACTCACCGAAAAGAGCTGAACCCATCGGTTGAAACGGTGCGAGTGCGGAGAGGAGCCGTCATTTGAGCATGTGATCAAAGTCACAAACGGAAAGGAAAATAATAAACTCTTGTTGTTTGACACCGTTCTGAACTGACATCATTATTAGGTGATAAGGATAGACCGGTTGTCTGCGACCCGACTTTAGAAGGACTAAGATCGGAGCAAACATCCTTGCTAATATGGAAAAGGAATCATACGCATAGTACTTTGTACTTGTTATCAAATATTTTGAACGTTTGAAAAACTTTATTGTCAAAACAGTGCACTGTGATAAGAATTCAAAAGATTGGTGCCTACATTGAAGTTTCGATCGATTACTTTCCAAAATGGACAACTAAATTGAACACTAAATTATAGGCACAATAAAAGTGTACTTCAGCATCATCGGAAGAAACCAAGCTTAAGGAGAACAAGTCATAAAAACTGTGTCTGTACACAGAAACTTCGTAGCCCCGCCGAGTTCTTTGCTGATTGTACTTCGACTCCGCTATCTCCGCACGAGCTCTTCTTTCTCCATGCTCTTCTCCGTGTGATTTACTGCTGATTCTGCGTCCGAAACCACGGAATGATGGCCGTATTCTGCTGTCGCCCACGCATCCAACCAAGGAAACTACCCGGGTCTTATCAGCCGACTCGTCATTATTCAAAAACTGATGCTCAAAGAGTCATGTACTATAAAAGACGCGGCGAGCCGACGTGGTTTGTGCACAAGTTATGACCCGACTACTCTCTTTTCTATTTCTATTTGTGGGCACTTCGACAGTCTCTGCTGGCTGGAAAGACGTCTTCAGGCCGAAACCACTTCACGATGTGGCGGCAAAGTGTCTGAATGACACGAATACATGGCTCAACTCGCTTGAGCTGTTTGCCGTGGTTTCTGAGGAGTGTATTGCAACTAAAAACTGCAGTCTCAAAGAGTTGAAGACTTTGAAGGACAACCTCTGGTCCATCGAACGTGAGTTACGAGACTAGAACAGTTTTCATGAACAATTCCAGAGCTGGACTCGTTCGGAAGGTTGCCAGTTCCCGGGATGCTCGAACTCACCACTCTCTACGACGGTTCTTACCAAGAATGCCAACGTGTCAGCGAGCACCATGAGACCAACTACTGCTACGTCGTTTTGAAGCCGGGGAAGAACGCCTCCTGCTCTTCTTCTTCTTCGTCCGCTTCGACAGTCTCTGCTCTTCCCTTGAGACTGGCCGTCTGCCTTCCGAACTCTTGCAGTCACAAGGATATGATGAACATCTTCAACCAGATGTCTCCGTATCCGTTCACAGCCTGCAGTGTTTATTGCGCAAAGTTCGATGTCAAAAAAGATACGCCGTTCTGGGGATTCTCGTGAGTTGTGAATCTTTAAGAGTCAATGAAAAATCAAACTTCGCAGAATCTTCATGGTGGTGATTGTTTCGATTGCGCTCCTCGCCTCAACTGTCGATTATGTCAGAGAAACAGTGTATGGAATCAAGAGCAGCACGGAGAGGAACATCCTCTTCAAACTTCTACTCACATTTTCATTCTGGACAAACGCAGAGCTGATCCTTTCCGTCAAAGAGCAGAAGCCAGGATTCATCAAGTCGCTCGACTGCATTCGTTTCTTCTCCATGTTCTGGGTGGTCACCGGCCACTCCTTCATCTACCTCTTTCTCTCTGACACTCTCTCTCCGGTCATCAACTTCCCCAAACGCTTCTGGAATCATCTCCTCCTCAACGCCTTCGTGTCCGTCGATACGTTCTTCGTGCTCTCCGGAATCGTCGTCGCCTACTTGTTCTTTAAAATGAAGCCAAACACGCGGACGATTGTGAATCCGATCACCTGGATTCTCTTCTACGTGCACAGATACCTTCGCTTGACGCCTCCGATCATGATCTTCATCGGATTCTTCACAGTCTACGGCGCCTACGTCCAAGGAGCCTTTTCTGCGTCGCAAATGAGTGGGTCACACTCTTCACAACCATCTGCAATACAGAAAAGTTTCAGATCAGCTTGTGTTTGAAGCGAATAGTTGTAAAACTAGTTGGTGGGAGAACCTAATCTACATCAACAACTTTGGGGATAACCAGAACAGTTGCTACGCTCCCACGTGGTACCTGGCGGTGGACACGCAACTCTACCTCCTCGCGCCCGTCATCCTCATCGGTCTCTACTTTTCGTTCGCCGTCGGAACTGGACTGATCGTGGCCGCGTGCATCGGAAGCATCATCACCACCTACATTCTGTTCGACATCTACGACATCAGCGTGGACATGATCGGAAACGGAGACACTATGAACTGGTTCTCAATGATCTACTCGAAGCCGTGGATCAGATGTCCGCCGTACCTGGTCGGTATGCTCACTGGATACCTCCTCGCCACCTACGGAAACAGAAAGATCCGACTTAACTGGGCACTCTGCGTCGCCGGATGGATCATCGCCTTCGTGATCGCCGCGTTCTGTCTCTTCTCGACCTATGACTACGATAAGGGATCGCACTGGAGCACGTTCACCCGCGGAACCTTCTACAACTTCCACCGTCTCGGATGGGCGGTGTTCATTGTGTGGGTGGTGTCTGCGAATCACATGGGATGGGGAGGACCCATCAACAGCTTCATGTCGCACCCGATCTGGCAGCCGTTCGGAAGACTCTCCTACTGTGCCTACATAGTTCACTGGCTCATTCTTTTCTACTATCTCAACGTGGGCGGACATCCACTTCACTACTATTCTGCTTGGGAAACTGTGAGTCATCTCGAGATTTCACAGCAAAACTTAACTTTACTTACCCGTTTCAGTTCACATACATCTCGGTGCCAGCCACGTTCTTCTCCTTCATATTCGCATTCTTCTGGAGTTGTCTCTTCGAAGTGCCTACTTTGAAGTGAGTCCCTAGAAGCTAAAGATTTCTCACAATCCAGCTCATTTCAGACTCGAGAAGATGTTGATCGAAGCATTGATCGGAGGCGGAAGGGCTTCTGGAAAGCTGGAGGATTCGGCGGAGAAAGGAAAAGTGTCGCCGATTCTGGAGAAGAAAAGAGAGGAAGCGGGCTCTTGGAAAATGAACGACGATCAAGTGATTGAGGAAAACGGAAGTATTACAAAGGTCTAGACGTGCAAATGATTTGGCTATTTTCTTGAAGCGCTTGCCGGATTGATGATCTCAATAAATTATTTTTTTGCTGATTTTTAACTCTTTATGAATTCTATTCTCTTCTGTCTCCTCGGCAAACCTTTGCGCAAAAGTTACGAACAGATCTTATTTCTAGATGAAATTCACGTGTTAGATAGAGAACTCCCAATCGGCCCCTCCAAGTTTATCAGTATTTTGACTCAATACGTTCTACTCCAACTTTGAAACATACCCAAAAACTGTCAGTATTCTGTGCATGGCCGTATTCGCTCAATCACCATCATTGCGCGTGATCTTATTTTTAGGCCATCATCAGCAAGTACCAAGATCTGTCTTTCTTTTTGAAACGAGTCCTCAATTTCAGCAAAAGGCGGGTCCAGTCTGAACTGTACTTCCTGTTTCTCACCCACTACCGTTCCCTTAAACTTTGCCCCGATCGAAGTCCCTCGCGTTGCAAAAATGTTGCAAACAAACGCTATTTTTTAAAACTCCCTCCAAAATGCTGCCGAGGGCCGCGGGGTGATTACTAGGCCACGCCGCTGTGTACTCCTCGTGGACGATGTCATCGTCATTCGCAATTCGGCGCTTCACGTGATTTTCCGGCGTCAAAAAGCCCACAAATCTTTTCCGTCCACAAAAATTTTCGGTTTTGCAACGTTCAAATAGTCTTTACCACGTTTTCCATCAAGTTTATCCAAAATTTTCGGCACTTCAGGCTGGTCCTCGTAGATTTCTCCACTCCTGATGACAGAGGTTAGTGCAGAAAGGAGTCTATGGATTCAGGAAATTATAAGATCGATGAAAGAGTGAGTTTCAAATTTTTTGTCCGCGAAATACTCTGTTTTCGGTAGAGTTTCTAACAAATTTTGAAAAATATTGAAAATTTACAAATTTCCATCATTTTTGCGGCGAAATGTTTTTCTTTTAAAAGCAATCAATAAAACTATCTTTTTTTCAGTCGTCCGATTTGGTTCGATTTCGACAGGTGGGTCGAGGAACAACCGGCGTTTCGTCGTTCGCAATTCGACGTGTTCAAATCTGGGATGTTGCTCCATAGCGGATACACGACGATCGTTATGACCCACATAATAAACAGTCAGATCGGGAAAATGCTCACTAACGACCCCATTGTGAGTAAAAAATGAATAATTCTTCGAAAATTGCCGTCAACGCATTTGAAATCTGAAAAAAACTTAGTTTTTCAGCTTGAATACCACAATTTCCTAACGCACGCCCACAAGACGGATTTAGTAATAGGAGTGGACGACAATGCGCCGCAGATCAATATATACTCGGTTCTAACCGAAATCTACGCGGCAGTCCCCGAGTATTCCGGAGAACGGGGCGTTCTTTTGTCGCATCTCCACAAGCGGTTGACCATGTTGCTGCCGGAAGGAATGCCCTGGGACACGCTCACAATCGCTCCGATGCTCTTCCGTTCCGTATATTGGCAACTCTTGAAGACAATGAGGCTCGCCGGTAGTGACAAGAAACTGTCGGCCGAGAAGCGAAAAAGCGAGCACGCCTACTCATGCTTCATAACTTCTATTCTCGTGTGCATTTTTCACACCGGAGAGTTTGTTCTCGCGCCCAGATTGCCCGGTTATCACGACCATGACAAAGTGAACACGTTCATCACGATGCTGATTTCGTCGCCGATCTATCGCGTTCTCGCCATTTTCTTCATCAGCAGCTTCTGGTTACTGGTCAAACATCGAAGCGAAGGAGGCTTTATAACTGAAAACGAGCACAGGAAGTGTCCGACAAGACTGGAGGCGGAAGCTGATGAGGAGGTGAGCGAAATGTTACAAAACTCGTGAAATTTTCTATTTATTTCATAGTTGCCACGGGCCGGGCCGGGCCGGGCCGAAATTTTCAAAACTCCGGCCCGGCCCGGCCCGTCGGCCCGGCCCCCGATTTCGGGCCGGCCCGCATGGCCGGCCCGAAATCTGGCAAGTCTGATTTATTTCAGTTTCTCAACCGTCTTAACCTTACCTTCAACACCGGATTTGACTTTAAAATGCCCGAAAACGAACCGGATCGTCTGGCGAAAGAGTGGGAGGTGTTCGCGGTCGGTCTGCTTCGTCGCGGACTGCTCACTCCACCCGAGGGCTTTAAACTGATCAACAGAGGCGGACGGCCGCGCAAAGAAGTGAAACGACGCTCGGATGCTCTCACGATGGCCGACGATGCCGAACTGATGCCTCCGCCGGCGACCAAGCCGAAAGATTCTCCAAAAAAGCCTGAAAAATTTGTGGAGAGACAGCCCGAGAAACCGCACCCGTCGCCGAGGGTGAGAAAAGATGCTCGAAGAAGCGGAAAGAAAGACCTGCTCCTGCCGCCTCCGCCTGTCGTTCCGATCCGTCCTCCTTCACCGCCGAAACGTGTAATTCCGCAAGCGCAAGACGTCGGACTCTGCCCACCAATCTACGTGATGCAAAAGGATTTGATCGACAATTTGTGAAAGAATGTGAGCAGCGGACGACGGAAGACGCACAGGGATCGAGAACCGACGAAGTGACGAACGCTGTTGCGAACGCATACGGAGAGATCCACCGGATCTATCGGCTCGTGAAGAAGGACCAGGAAGAAACGAATGGGAAGAGGAAGCTGACCGATGATCAGAAGCTCGTCATGAATAACTTCGGAAGATTTGGAGCGGTAAAAAAGATGAAAACGAGCCGGAGGAAAAGCGAGAGGATCCGAAGCCGCAGGAGCCTGAGATAGACGTCGTGGTAAGTGTGTGTGGGTTATCACGATGCTTCATGCTTAGAATTTTGTGCGGCAGGACGTACTTGCACGTAGAAATACAAATTTTCTGTTTTCAGCCGAAACACAAAGCAAGTCCGACGAAAACGAGAAGATGGCGTCGGCGGTACTAACCCGAATCTTCATTCTGCTCAAAATGACTGAAACTGTCTGTATATAGCTAATAATCTCAATTATCGTCCAACCCCGTTTAGCGATTCTATTACTTTTATTATAAATTTAACAATGTCACTAATCAATATTTATTTAATCGTTCACGATCTATCTATAGAAATGGCGCTCCTATCCCCGTTCTTTCTTCATTCCGGCACTTTCTCCATCTCTGTCTTATCTACCTCTTATACCCAAAAAACCATTCGAATGCTTAAGTGTGCACGGTAGGACATTCCATGTACAATGATACTCATTTATTATTTGTTCCATTACTATCATCACGATAACCACCTAATAATAGTTTATCTTCATCAAATTTCGCCAAGTCAAACACTAATTAGTTTTAAAACTCGTCCTGAATGCGACCAGCATTTTACTCGGTTGTCTCCCGCGTAGCCTTTTAGGTTCATTTTTCGAATTTCATGTCGTTTGTATCATTATTATTATCAGACGTGCACGGTATATGCACATAAAGTAAGTCGCTCATGTCCACGAATTGCTACCCATCGTGTGTGATATTAAATATTCTCACAATGAAAGCTGGGCCATTAGAAGCTGCCAATCGCAATCTCAGCCTTGCGGTTTCACACAATCACCCAAGCTTCCTCATTACAGCAATACGACTTTATGGCAGTTCTTCTCACAATGAACTGTTTAGCATCTCCCTCCGCCCGCCCACTTGCGCTGTACACTGCCGTATAAAAGGGACGCGCGCTGTTCGGTTATCCATCGGTCTTTTCAACAATGTCGGCAAAGAGTCTAGTGTACGGCGCGAGCTTGTTGAGCGGTCTGGCCATCATCGGATGCGTGTTCACCGTCGGATACATCTTCAATGACATCAACGAGTTCTACGATAAGACGATGGAGACGATGGACGAGTTCAAGGTAGTGTTTCAGTTGGCATTCCATTCAATCTCTGCATCTTTCCAGCTGAACGAGCGTGGCGCGTGGCACGGAATGGTCGAGCGCACTCGTGCTCCATCTGAGATTCTGTTCGGACGTGCCAAGAGACAAGCAGGACAGTGCAACTGCGGAGCTCAGTCGACCGGATGCCCAGCCGGACCACCAGGACCACCAGGAGCTCCAGGAGCGCCAGGAGACGACGGACATCCAGGAGAGGCCGGAAAGGCCGGACCAAACGGAGTGGCGGTGGGACTTGCCGAAGAGAACGGAGGATGCATCAAGTGCCCGGCCGGCGAGCCAGGACCAGCAGGAGCTCCAGGAGCACCAGGACCAGCTGGGCCAGACGGACAGCCAGGACAAGACGGAGGAGCTGGACAGCCAGGACCAGCAGGACCAGCGGGACCAGCCGGAGATGCTGGAGCACCCGGAGCGCCAGGAGCGCCAGGACAGCCAGGACAGCCAGGAAAGGACGGACAGAGATCAACGGGAACTCCAGGAGCCGCCGGAGCGCCAGGACCACAGGGACCAGCTGGACAAGACGGACAGCCAGGAGCCGCGGGAGCACCAGGAGAGGCCGGACCAGCGGGAGCGCCAGGACAAGACGGACAGCCAGGAGAGGCCGGAGAGAACGGAGCCGCCGGACAGCCAGGACAGGATGGACAGCCGGGATCCGATGCCGCCTACTGCCCGTGCCCGGCCAGATCTGTCGCTGTTCAGCGCAGAGCTTCTGTCCGCAGAGCTTCCAAGGTCGTCGTCTAAATCAATCGACACGCTCTTCTTCTTTCTGTATTATATCAATAAAATGTATTCTTTCTCCAATCAGTTCCTTTTGAATTATGTGTGCCTAATTCAAGAAGAAGCGGAGTGGACAGGAAATGCGCTTCTTCTAATTACCGAGTGATGCCTTCAAGTCAGACCATTTTCTGTGTTTTGATCAATCATCACTTACAGTTGGGAATAATGATCAATTTACGACGCGTTCACCAGCACATCGGTTTTGTGGCCAGACCGCTCACTAGACTCTTTGCCGACATTGTTGTCCCGTTTATACGGCAGTGTTACACCTTCTGGACTTCCGCATCCTTGCCCTTACACTCACACCTACAGAAGAAACAGACAGAGAGAGAGAGAGAGAGAGAGAAAGAGAGAGAAAGAGAGAGAGGGCGATTTTCGATTTTATTACGCTTTTTTGAGAGAAGGAAGAAGGTTCTGTGAACGGGAGACAGAGAATATTTTACACAGAAGAGGAAATGATTTGCGAATGAGGTAACGATGCTTTGTTCGTTTAAAATGCATACTTTGCAGGAATTCCACTGCTGGACACGTTGTTCGTACTGTAGAACTGGCCGCTTTTGCCAGAAGACACTGCTGTTCGCTTGATTGGTAACATTCTGAAACTCACAAAGTTATTCGAATTTAGAAACTTCGAGCTCTGACCTCAAACAAAACATTCGATACGGTCGGATGTACACGAGATATGTGAATGGTGAGAGCGTTGGCATCGGGAGAACGGACGCGAAGATCAGATGCTCGAGGATCGGATGTGTCCAGATTCCGAACTGCGCGACGAAGTATGCCAGGATTGCAATCATAAAAATCGATGGGATCATGGCTTGGATGGTCAGACACTGAACACAAACAGACGTATCATCTGGAGCAAAAGAGTTCCAACCTTCAGAATCTGCTTGTGGTTCGCCCTCAAATCCTTGGACATCATTTCCGCTTTCTTCATCAAACTTTTCACAATTTTCGCTCGCAACACAATAATCGCAACGTAAATGGGAAAAATTGGAAGACACAGGTGGATGAGGAAAAAGATTCCGGGAAAGGTGTTGATGGTAGTGACGCCTTCGATGATTCCCGGCTCTTCGGATAAATTGTATTGGGGGAAGAACTCGTCGATCAACGGAAGGATCTGTTCTCTGTCGACAATCACGGTCCAGTAGGTTAACTAAAGTGCGAACTTGGCAACTACCGTACTCCTTCTCGTACTCACCGCCTGGAAAAGTGAGGGCATGTACGCGAGAAGAATGAGCAGAACCAAGATCTTTCGGGTCAACGCCGGACGGTTCAGAATGTAATATCGATAGGAAAATGATAGGAGAAGGGACCAGGCGGAGTGGGGGTAGCAGTGGAGGAGGAAGCTGAGCCTGTAGAAAAGTTCGAGTTAGTCTTGTATCCGGACACAGGCCTCTCATTTATTCGAGAATTAAGGCGCAATACGCGCGCGAGCAGTTGTTCTATTGCGTCAGTTGACCTCATGGTCGCCTGGCGGGACTGTGGTCGTTGTGCAACATCACTCTCTCTCTCTCCTCTTGACTCCGCACCGAATCGGCTGACTCAACGAAACTACAAGGTGTTCCAGAGAAAAGACGCCGTCTCAAACGCTCGAAGACCCAATTAGGATCAAATTGTTGTCTATTATCAGTGATAATTTTAGCCATATTGAAAGATCTTGTCAGGATGTATCGAAAAGTGGAAGAGATTTTACTAATCCGTTAAAAACATGTATTTTTACCATTGATTACGATGTAAAGTGCCCGATGTGCACGTCCTGTTAACGATCACAGTTCTACTGGACCTCGCAACAAGGACTCAATTCCCCCTCAATCGATGAGACCCATAAAATATGTGTATGTCATCGCCCATCGTCCACACCTGTGGACGGTCCGTCGTCGACTCACTCACTCATTCACTCACCCAATCTTGCACGAAAGTGCACCCGTGTACTGGCACATCCCGTGAAACACGTACACCAACGTTGTTTGCATCGGAGTTATTATGAATCTGAATTCACTTTTCTCTTCTTTCGCTCTCTTCCCCCTTTCCAACGCCTACCGAACTAGTAGGAATAGGTCTAAAAAGCATTCGGCGAAATCGGTGATCGCAAAGTTGATAATAAGTGTCGCATACGATTTCGTGGCGTTCGGCGTCTTTTTAAGAGCCACATAGGTCAGCAGTAGGTTAGCCAAACAGCCAATTGACGAAATAGAAATGTGCCAAATTTTGGAGATCTCGAGGAGCATTTGTGAATTTTTGAATTATTTCGAATTGAATTGAAGTGAATTATTTCGGTGGGAAAAACGAAGAAAGCGTGGCGAGAATGCGGTATAAGTAGTGTTCGTGTTCAATTGGGTCTGATTAGTTTTTCTCGTAGTTAAGGTTGTTTTCCTAAACAGACACAAGTTGTGCACTTCTCGGAAATTACTCTATTATCCGCGAACGTACTTCTTCACGTGAATTTCGGTTTCTGCCAAAATTTTCTGATTTTTAAATTTCAATTTTGCGTATCCCGTTGAAGTCGCCAACGTGGCTTTTTCCGTGTCTCGGCAAACCTTCTACGCCTCTGTGTCGTTTTTTTTAAGTCGATCCAGAAGCACTTTGACCACTTGTTCTGAAAACATTTTCAATTCGAAAGCCATTGAAGTTCTGGTAAACACCGCGTCTTCGCGTTATTTCGGAGTGTCGTTAATGGCGGAAGTTTTGAATCCGTTGACTTCAGATTCAGTTATTTGTCCCCGCTCAAAAATGATTGTCTCTCAATTTAGTTTTAAAAATTTTATAATTGTTGTATTTTCAGGTGCCGTTACCAAGTAACACCCACAGAAAGACGCCAAAATGAATTCTCCGGGTTTGTGAACATATACTCGTAGCAAAGTTTATATTTCTCCCATTCTCAGGTATTTACACCAACGAACAGGAGAACGATATCGTCCCCGACGCAAATGACGATGTGGCCCCAAAGTAAGCGTGATGAAAATTGAAACATTCAAATATTCAACGTTTTTTCAGCGACAGTATCGGGAGAAATCCCTTGAATGAAATTCCGCAGCACGCTACACCGAAACGTGCGGGAAAAGAAGTGATGGACACCGATTCGCCAACTCCTCGTGCTTCTTCCCGAAAACTGTACAGAGATTTGTTCCCACATCCTTCAAATTCGGCTCGAGCGACTCCGGCGGGCACTTCTTCGTCCGAAGGCTCATCTTTCTCGAATCCGGCGCTGAAACGGGTGTCCGCATCTCTGATTCCGCGAGCATCGCTAAGAGGGCTGGCAGATCGGACCTCTCCTCGTTCGGCTTCGGCGTATTTTGCGAGACGACCTCTCTACTCGACTGAGTCGGAAATTCCAGCAACTTCTGGCACGTCTAATTCGTCGATTGCCGGTTCTTCATTGGTCAGAGCTGTGGCGGCTCCAATTCAGACTCCAGCTCTGTCGGGATCGGACACAGATGACGAAGAGATTCCTGATCTGGTGGCCATCGACACGACACCAGTCGGCGCGGTTGCTCGGAATCCAATTCCAGCTTCCCCAATCCCAGTTGTAGCATTGGCCGCTCTGGCAAAAGAACAGCACAGAAGAGTTCTTGACATGGAATTCTACGACAACGAGTATCCGACCCGTAAGTTTGTGCTCACTTTAATGTCTCTGTAAAGAGGGCAAAATTGCAGACACGTTCACTCCGGTCGAACGGAAATACTTCAAATTGAACGATTCCGATTCGAGGGCTGAGGTAAAGACGGCCATTTTTGAGCCGGAGATCGAGAACAATTGCTCGATTTGCTTTCAATCGGCAGATTTGGAGGGAGTCGAAGAACTCTTCAGTTGCCAGGGATGTATAAACGGATGCCAGAAGCTGCCATGCAAAACTAAGTACCATCTGAGCTGCATTCTCGTAAGTGTTTGTTGCTGCAAATACCTGTATTTTTTCTATGGGAAAGACGAGACATTTGCATCAATGAACAGAATTTTTCACATGCAGAAAAAACATTTGCAGAAGTACAACTCAGGTCACTATAACTTTCAATACGCCGCCCGTCCCGAATGCCAGGACAAGCTCCTGTGTCCACTTCACTGTTGCGCGTACTGCGACAATAAGAGCATGAAGCAAACGGCTTACATGGGCGGAAAACTGACCGAGTGTGCCCTGTGCCTCCGCTCATTCCACACCAACACGTGCCTGCCAGCCGGAATGAAGTCGTTCGAAGTGACGTTCACAGTGAACGGGGCCAAACACAGGACCGAGATGATGATCTGTCCGAAGCACGTCACCGAGGCAAAGCCGATCAGGAAGCACATCGACAGGTGCTTCGACTGCGCTAAGACGAAAGATCTGATCAGGTGCAGAACGTGCATTCGCTCATTTCATCGCGAATGCGTCAGCAAGTACGTGCAGACTGTGGACAGACGGCCGGCTTGTGCTGATCAGTGTGTCTCGTGCATGTGCCAAGATCCGATGAAGGTCGGTACGCCGGTGCTCGTTCTGTGGACAGAAGCCAAGTGAGTGGATTGTAAAGAACGCAGCTCAAAACGTCCTCCTTATTTCAGCCGATCAAGCTTCCACTTGGCGCACATCCGTGATTGGTACATGTACCCGAACAAGGACAGGTGCAGCAACCGGAACTTCAATAGAATCGGATACTGCGTCGTGCAGTGGGTATACGAGAAACCAAAGGACCAGTTTTCGCTTGTCGCCGTCGGAAATGTGACTGATCTCGAAATGACGTACCTGCCGCTTGCTGGAGCGAATGTCTCGCTGTGGAAAAAGACGTTGAATAGCTACGACGCGTGGGAGAACATGCCTACAATTTACAAGAAAGTCAAAAAAGAAATATCGGTAAGCAGCTCTCATCAAAAGCCTCTGAAATGCTGTGGCAGTTTACACTTTTTGCGAAAGAATTTTGCACCCAGTGCCTCCCACGAACCTTGCCCTGTTAAGTATTCATATTTTCAGTCGTGCAAGTACACCCAGAGGCCGCTTAAGCAGGGCACATTCCACGAGACGGAGCCGTGCAAATGCGTCGGAGATGCACGGTGCACGACAGCGGAATGTCCGTACTTTTTGGAGAGTTTCGAATGCCCGGCGGCGTGCAACAAGAAAGGACCTTGTCAGAATCGGAAGATCTCCGCGAAGCACGTCAATCCGAAGATGGAACTTCGGAAAGCGGGCCTGAAAGGCTACGGCGTCTTCGCGACGGGCCACATCAAGGAGGGCGAGTTCCTCGTCGAATACGCCGGCGAAATCATCAACCGCGAGGAGAAAGATCGTCGTACAAAAGTTGCCGACACTGCCAAAGATCGGCAGGTAAGTCGTTGGTGTCCGGGAGTGCTTTTCGTAATATTATCGAGACATTTCACTGTAAATGCGCTCTGTCGTGTCATTCGGTAGTGATCTCGAGAAGATAAACATTTTTCGAGTGAAAGAACTCGAATTCGGAAATGAAATATTTCCTCAACAAATCGTGTTCGCTTCCTGAGCACGTCTCCGGTGACCGGAGTCCGGTCTTTATTTCGCTGTAGACCGCATCCTTATCACTGTCACTTTTCAGGCGAACCGCTACATGATGGAGAGCGGTGAGGGGATGACGATCGACGCGAGCGTGTACGGAAATATCGCACGCTATATCAATCATAGCTGCGATCCGAACTCCGGCTCATTCCAGACGAAGATCCACATAAAGACGCTACAAGGAAGCGAGAGCGTCTACGAAACTCGGATATTTGTGAAGACGATCCGAGCCATCGAGCCGGACGAGGAAATAACATTCGACTATATGATGGACAATACGGAGGGAACGAAGTGCAGGTGCGGAGCAGAATGCTGTTCTGGAGTTTTGAAAGGTACTGTGGAAGGAAATGTGGAAGAGATGGAAGAAGAAGAAGAAGAAGAAGAGGATGAAGACGACCCACAGCCGGGACCAAGCAAGAAGTCGAAGCGTTCAGACAAGAAGAATTTGAAAAGAAAATTCAAAACAGTACGTTTTTGCCACGATTATCTATTCCCTCAAACTAATATCGATATTTTCAGAGCTCCGCCGATACAGACACGAGCTCACCGCCCGCCAAACGAACCGCTCCTCCAAAAACACGTCGCTCGACCGCAGTGCTTCCGGAGGACGAAAGCGATTCGTCGAGTCAGACGGAGGAGGCGAGACCCGAATTGTCCCTGGTGTCCTCGCAAAAAGCGGACCAGTTCCAGCCGCCGCCACATCAACTTCAGAGCAGCCGTCGTTCCGTTTACTCGCGGATCAACGATGAGATAGAGACTCGATCGAAGACGAGAGCCGAACAGGCGCGAAAAGAAGAGGAAGCTCTGCGACTGGCTCTGCCGAAGAAGAGAGGACCGCCGAAGAAAGTGAAGAAGGAGCCGCAGCCTTCCACTTCAACTGCTCCTAATCTGGCGGATTCTTCGGCCGAAGAAGGCCCATCGGTTCCCTCGACCTCTAGAACGGCGACTCCGCGCGGAAGTGAACAACTGCAGTCGTCGACCGATAGGCCGACGCGTCGAAGTGGACGGCCCCACAAGCCGAACGTACTGTTTCCGTTAAGAACATGCCCAACCTCCCCTAGAAAAAGTTTCAGGATTGATGAGTGAAGTCACCGTCCGCGCGCAACTGATCTCCGTCTTCTCGCCACTCGCCCTCATCACTAACATCAATTTTTAATAGGAAACTGTATTTTATCCCCTAAGCTCTCCCCGTCCTTTGTCTCGGAATAATTTCCCCTTTTTCCGATTTCAATGTCATCCTCTTCCTGTCATTTTTGTTTAGTCATTTCATTGTATGGAAAGCTTTACCTCCACATCACCTCTCCTTATTAAATCTCAACTAATTGCTTCCGAAGTACTTTTTGCTTTTTCTTCTTCTCCAATTGTTCATTTCTTTGATTTTTCATTGAATAAAATGTGATTTGCCTAGAATACCAAGGTTGGACTTAGAGATTAACTTGGGCAACCAGATCAATTATAGAGAAAAACTTGAGAAGCTGCACTCAAGATGAACGGATTCAGGTCGCCTTGGGATGTTTGGATTCAAGCGACGGGTCTCGAAACGATCGTGACGAGACCCGACTCACTCAGGAAGCTAATGCGCTCTTCTGCCAAATCTAAGCTCAAATGATCAATAAACCGTGTCAAAACAGCTCAAAAAGTATTTCGTGTGTGCCTTTATTTCTCATCTGTCTGATCGGTTAATCTCGCCTATTGAGGTCTCGAATAATAATTGGGCCACCAAAAAAATACCGCTGCTTTGTGTTGCCCAGATTTTTCGCCAATAAATTGCCGAAAGTGGAATTGTGTGTTTTTTGGCTTCGGATAACTGAATTCAATACAAAAAGGGACTTTCCAAATGCAAACGCTGAAAATCCTACCGCAAATGATGGGGATTTCTCAACCAGTGCCGATTTTTGAGAAGTTTGATTCAGGTCAGAAACTTGAACGTTTTGGTCTAGCTTTTTAGGACCGATAGAATGCTGCAGAATTCATCAACTTTCAAAGTTGGTGATTCAATTTTCAATATAAACATCTTCGAAGTTTAGACGAATGTCACAGCTCATGGGGGACTTCCAATGAATGCTCTTTTCCAGCTCTTTAGATACTATATTTTCAGCGCTTCAAGATGACGACAGAAGTGCTCGTGGACCCATAAATTTAATGTATTTTTGTGCTCTGCTTGGGCTCAGCTCAGCCCACTTCCCGGCTACATGGAGATGTATTGTTTTTTTCGGAAAGCAGACGGATATCACATGCCCAAAGAGCCTAATCCATTTCTTAGGATAAGGAAACAAAACTAGGTGGGTATAAATAAGGCGCAAAAGATTACTTTTTCTTCGCAGTGTTCTATAGTCCGTCCAGCAGGGAGCAGTTGCAGTTCTCAGGAAACGAACTCTTAATATGCGCCGCAATTTTCGTGGTTATTGACCATGTGCACACTCTTATTTATTGCAGGCTTTCCTTTAGAATAATAACAATCCACATTCTAGATTCCCCTATCGGAATGCACGTATTCTTCAACATCTGGCACTGGTTCTGGGCTCTTTTCGGTTGCTCTCTCAACCTGCTACTCATCTACGCGGCCATTTTCAAGTCCCCCAGGGCGATCAGAACGTACGCCACCCTCATCATCAACTTTGCAATCACGGACCTTCTGGAGTGTCTTCTCGACTTGTTCATTCAAATCAGGTATTCGTTTCACACTCCAGCGTCTACTATGGACGCATTGGTTGTTCAGATTGATCCCCGCACCCGGCGACGTCTCCATAACCTACGTCCTGAACGGTCTCTGCAAGTACATCAGTCCGCTCGCCTGCAAACTCGGCACCAGCTTCTTCCTCCACTGCATTCCCCACGCCGTCTGGTCCCTGTTGCTCTCTTTCGGATATCGCTATTACATCCTGCACAACGCTGCACTCACACGTGGAACTATTGTCAAGATTCTGATTATTGTCTACATTCCGTCACTTTTTCAAGGGGTGAGTGAGTTCGAAGCATGCTTCGACAGAGTTTGTAATCAAAATAAGGAGTTCGGTGAATGTCTGAGCTTTCGAGAGATGAATAACAACACAGAGTGTGTGTTCTAATGTGGAGTGAGGCAGAGCGAAATTACCAAAATTACGCCGAAACTGTACTAAACTGCTTGAAAAATAGGGTAACTTTCATGAAAATTTGACATATTTCAATCAGGGTACGTTCTGGATACCCTTTGTTATCTCCTGGGCTTGACGGGACCTCATGACCACCTACTCATCATTAATATGCGTTTTTTCTCAGCTAACCTACTGGACAACCTTCGTGGATCGGGACGAGATCCTTCCGAAAGCCCGTGAATGGTTCCCCGACTACAATTGGGACGCAGAAACGGGAGTGATCACCGGCATCCTCGACGTCACCGATTGGGCGGCCGCATACGGAATCTGCCATCTCTGTCTGCCCATTTTCCCCGTCTACACCGCTATTTTCATATTCCGCCGCAAGATTATCGCACATTTGAAAGCGAGCACGAATATGATGGCGAAAGAGACGAAGGCGGCGCATGCTCAGCTCCTGAAGGCGCTCACTTTCCAGGCGTTCATCCCCGCCTTCGTCGGCGTCGCCGTCTGCTGTTATTTTGTTTGTGAGTGCCAGCGATTTTGGGATTAATCCGACAATAATTTGGTTTCCAGCTCAATCCGGAGCCGTCGTCTCTCCTGTTTTGGAGTACTCCGTCTTCTCGTCGGTCATTCTGATGCCCGCGCTTTCCCCTTTGACCTACCTCCTATTCGTTAGACCATATCGACAGTTCCTGAGAAACAAACAAGACGTTTCGGCGAAAACTGCAAAGTTCGAGTCGACCGGAGCGTCACCGTCAAGGTTCGAGACTCCAGGCACCATCGTACATTAAACCGAGACCTAACAACTCTTTATCTCTTCTTGAAAAATGATATGTACATTCTCATTAAAGCATTTTTGATCATTCTCTGACAGGCACCGTTGTCGGCAGAGCCGTCCGTCCGTCTTTTTGCCGTTCGGGAAGTGTCTCCGGGAGGGGTCGTCCTTTCGTTTCTGGCAATTGCAATTGGAAAGCGACGGCGTCGAAGAGGCACATTCCGGTGAGAATGGCGTACGGAAGACTTTTGTACGGACACTGCAAAACGACACGTTGACAGTTTAATCCTAACATTCCCGCACCAAAATGAAGAGCTGCGGGCCGAGAATGGTTCCGATTCGACTGGCGCTCGACTTGAAGGAAACGGCGGAATTGCGGACGACCGTCGGGTAAAACTCCATGAGAACCATGGATTTGGTTATGAACACTTGGGAGGCGGTGGCGGAGGCGAGCAGGGTGGCCACTCGGATGATCAGAGAGTACTCTTCTTCGTATTCTGCAAATATATAATGTAAAAGTTAAGGGAAACAACGGAGAGCTTACCGAAGTAATAGGTCACGAAGATGGAGAAAACGCACGCGGAGATGGTCAGTTTCGAAATCAAGTGTATATGTTTTCGACCCAAACTCTTGAACTTCAAGTCAGCCAGCCCGAAACCGATGTTGAGCACCCAACGGAGGGAGCCCATGAGCAGAGCATTAATGTACAGAGAGCCCGACAACTTCTCAATGTTGAACACGAATCCGTAGTTGGTGAAAGAGGTCGAGAACATTCCGATCCACATTATCATGGTCACTGTGGCCATATAACGGTTCCAGAACAAGTGCCGGAAGTCGTAGTTCTTTCGTTTTTCACTGCGCTCCGCCTGTTTTCTCTGCTCATTCTGCAGCATGTCTTCCACTTCGGTCCACGAGTGCTCCGAAGTGTTTCCATCAACTTCCATGATCTTTTTGAGCACTCGGCGAGCATCTTCGATCCTTCCCGCCTGGATCAGCCATCGCGGAGATTCTTGTACGAAACAAAACACAATTGCTCCGGGCATGGAGAGCGCAAAAATGGCGTACTGGTACGTCTTCCAGTCGTGACACAGATAGGCGACGAAACTGAGGAGCATGTAGTTGGGCGCCCAGCTGATCATCGTGGCAATCCAAAAGCGGTGGTGACGTGGCACGTGTTCCATCTTGTAAACTCCGTAAGTGCTCAACAAGCCGCCTTTGAAGACGGAAAGCGCGGTGCGGACAATGGTGAAATAGATGAGGTCGGAGACGAAAGTGTTGAGAATGCTCAGGACGGAGACCATGAAGAAACAGACGGACAGCACTTTCAGCCGTCCGTACCGATCGGCGACGGTCCCCGAGAGAACCGACCCGACGAGCACACCGACCATCTGCACGGAAATGCTTGTTTTCACCCACGCTCCCTCGCCACAGAGATGTTCGAACTGAAGGAATAATTAAGAAAAAGTAATTGAGCGGGTCTTACATCAACATTAATCGACAGGAAATCGTATTGATACGTGAGTGTGCAGTTGGGAGGATTATGGAAGTCATACGAGGATTTGCACATGTCTTTGATGTAGACATCCGGTCCTTACAGCTAACCAGTCTTGGAGCGGCGCCTGGAAGTGGTTGCATAGGTCTGTGTGTACTACTCAAAGTTCTAGAAAACTCACCTGCGTACATCATGTACAAAGTGTTGCCGGCCCCGGAGAGCAACATGAACTCGGAAAAGAGCAGGATGAGCCAGCAGTACTTGCCCAACTTCATAAAATTATCCAATGTCTTCTCCTCTCGCGGCGGCAAAAGTGCGACCTCAGTCTCTGGATTTTGGTTTTCACCCAGAGAAAGGGTGGCTGTGGAGGCCATTCTTCAAGAAAAGTTTATTGATGAGCGTAGAGAAAGAGTAATCGATGGATTCGATCTTGTGAGCCTCCTGGGACATCCTAGGTGGTGGCCTCAGTTTAGCGAAAATCGAACACTAGGGATACTCTTTTCTAGTCGTATTTTTTGAAGATTTGCCGCAGAGGGGTTTTTTACGTGGGATTGCGGTGGAGCGAATTCATTTTGAATTCATCGAAACTTTTCACATCAAAACGTTGTCCCTTCTCCATACCGACACCATTCTGATCCTTGTCTTATGACTGTCCCAAAAAAGGCGACGACGATCACAAAAAAGAACGGAAAATCAGACAAATGACACTGGCCGTTTGACTGTTTGATCTACGTACTATCAAGTGAGTGACAAAATGAAAACGGAACAATAATATCACATTTCTGAAAAGAGACTGAAGACAAAAGATGAACTTGTCTGGCAATGCACCTGATCTAGGCGCAAACGGTCACTAAATGAACTTTTTGGAAACACTCTCAGAGCAAACAATTGTATTTAGTTTTCGAACGAACAAGTTGGGAAAAAAGGGTGAAACGGGGGGGATGGAACGAGAAGAACAAAACCGACTATACTATTGAAGAGATTTGCATAATTCAGTGTCAATTTGTTGAATTCGATGTACATATAAGTGGTGTGTGGCGCTAACTCGGACACCAGTTCCAAATGACTTATCAATCCGCCATTGGTCCCGACCCGCTGTGGCTTCCGTACTGTGTTTAAAATTTGTTGTAAAGTGATGTTTTCATCTATGTATTTATTGTTGTTGACTTGATATTTTCACAGAAAACATACATCAGAAGTGACGGACGGACACTCATTCACATTCTCATCAAAGAGAATACAGATACCCGATAAGGAGAGAAGGAAGCGAGAAGAGAGAGAGAGAGAGAGAGGGAAAGAGAAAGAGATCGGATGGGAAACGTTACATCTAGAGGGATTATTGTCAAAGATATACAACAAAGTAGTCTCTTCTTCTAGAATCCACCTCGCTTCCGGGCGTCAGTGTCTTCTGTCAGAATGGGTATTCTGCCGAAGAAGTAGAGGATGTCGGATTCCGAGGTGAGATCCCGATCGTCGTCGAGATCCGCCGAGTTGAAGTCGATGAGCCGTTCGGGTAGGTCTCGGAAAGGCAGGAAGATGTTTGCTTTGGCAGAATTGGAAAAGTCGGCAATGTCTGGAAGATCAATGTCATGAGACCTGGCCCTCCCAGCCACTAGACCTACCTTGTTGATCAGTGGGGATCGGAGCCGCCGGAACAAGGTGCACAGCCACGATGAGCAGAGCAGCGAGAGTGATCGGGATGGAGGAGGTGAACGAGGCCATGATAATGAAGAGAAGGAAGTTTTTTGGGGGTGAGGTGAGACTGACTCGTCTTCTTTGAAAGTCTTCGGGGGCGGGTGAATTGTAGTCGGTCGGAGGGAGGCGCGCGCGACCGCCTCTTCTCCCCCTTATCATCGTGATTTTCAAAAACCTTTGCGATCTATTTTCGTTGCGACTAATGCGTGGGCGAATGTATGATTATGAGGGTCGGATAGGATAACGTTTAGAGGAGTTGGATCACACAGTGTCACACAGATAATGCCAACCAAAGTACGGTAGTGGTGTCGTAGCCTGCTTAATGGTTATGTGATGTTGCTATTCTTGGCCTTCTCCCTTCTCGCCCGGTGTCACATGCCTTGTCGGGAACACGCACACCTTGAAATAACTTCTCGTCGCCTACAGTACTCCTATTTGACATACATCAAACACCACCAGTTAGGGTGTCTCTTGCAAAAGGCGTCTTCTTGTTCTTTAAAGATGACATCCGTCGTGCGGTCATCATCAATCTTCGCGCTCTGCAAAAAGTTATATCGGTTGATTCTGATTACAATACGATCGAAAACTGAACGACACAATGAAGAAAATAAAGAGAGAGAAAGAGAGAGAGAGAGAGAAAGAGGGAGAGAGGGAGGCATATTGTTCTCGGCCTTTCGCCTTTTTTGTCTTTTTCCTTCAAATGTGATGTAATAGTGACCGTTCCCTCATTGGACCCACTCATGTTGATCGCATTGGACTCGGAAAGTCGCTGGAAGTCAGTACAAATTGCCAACAGCTGAATTATGTTCGAGTCACTATAAATCTGGTGGTTGATGGTTCGTGGGTGGAAAGCGATTGACAGAAAACGTTTGCGCAATTTGAACTCACAATATCAAATTGGACATGCTCTCGCCGTAAATCAAACCGTGTGTGATAGTAATCAAATGACGAAACATCTTATCGGCAACCGCTTTCCGGGTTCTCCCCGCTCACTTTCAGACTGACCATGCTTCTCCTCTCACTCCTCGCCCCTCTTGCCCTTTGTGCAACTATTCCTCCCCTTCATCCGTCTGTCGCCTACAGACCCAATGTCCCTGAACATGCTCGAAAACTCTCCGGAAGCAATCTCACCGCCTATGTCAATCAGAATCAGAAGTTGTGGAAGGCGGAGACGTCGAGAATGACCCGCACGGAGAGAATGGTTTGTATGTCTGTAGAAACGAGGTATATCTGAGTTCAGGCGCGTGTGAAAAACATCAAATTCGTGAAATCCAACGAGGAAAAGTCCCGAGAACAGCCACAAGTGCTGGTTGACATTCCAACTTCCTTCGACGCCCGCGACAAGTGGCCACAGTGCACGCAGATCGGAGCAGTCCGCGATCAATCCGATTGTGGTGAGCGCGATCGTTTCTGATGTTTTTGGGTTGAAAAACCGTGGAGGGACAGCGCGAGAGTGACGTGATTCCGAGAGGAATCAGAAAAAGATAGAGAAGGGAGAGCGCGTGTGTTTTGTTGCCGATCTATCAAAACATTTATCAGTCAATCATCAATTTCAAATCGGCAACTTATTTTTTTGGTTCTCTTACTTCCAGGCTCGGCCGCCCATCTCGTAGCCGTCGAAATCGCCACCGACCGCACGTGCATCTTCTCCAACGGCACCTTCAACTGGCCACTTTCCGCCGAAGATCCACTCTCCTGCTGCGTTGGCCTGCTTTCTATCTGTGGAGATGGATGGGGGTGGGATCATTCTGAAGAAACACTTTGAATCAACTTTGACTGTCTTTCAGATGCGACGGAAGTTGGCCGAAAGACATCCTGAAATGGTGGCAGACGCACGGATTGTGCTCCGGCGGCAACTACGAGGATCAGTTCGGATGCAAACCCTACTCGATCTATCCGTGCGACAAAAAGTACGCGAACGGCACCACGTCCGTCCCCTGTCCCGGATACCAAACGCCCACTTGCGAGGACCACTGCACCTCCAACGTCACGTGGCCGATCGCCTACAAACAAGACAAACACTTTGGAAAAGTGCACTACACGGTCGGCAAGAAAATGACGGACATTCAGTTGGAGATCATGACCAACGGGCCCGTCATCGCCTCCTTCATAATCTATGACGACTTCTGGGACTACAAGTCGGGGATCTACGTGCACACAGCTGGAGATCAGGAGGGAGGAATGGACACGAAAATCATCGGATGGGGAGTGGACAGCGGTGTTCCCTACTGGATCTGTGTTCATCAATGGGGCACCGACTTCGGGGAGAATGGTGGGGTTGTGAATCAGAAGATTGCTCGAAATCCTACGAGTTTGCAGGATTCGTTCGCTTCCTCCGCGGCGTCAACGAGGTCAACATTGAGCATCAAGTACTGGCAGCTCTTCCGAATTTCGACCAACACGATTGATTGTGCAAAATTGCTTTATTGTATGAATAAATGTCGTGACGTAGCTACAGGCAAGACATAAAACATTCCGAGCACGTGAAACCGTAACTTCCGATTGAACATCATCATAAATAACGGAGAACAGATGCAGAGAAACTCGTCGGTGACTATTTGCATGATAACGTAGGTAACCGTCCTACCTATGAATGAATTTGGGAAATAGGCAAAGAGTGTCTGAATTGATAAGTGTAACAATTATCATCTGAGCTCATCAAGTACCTGAACAAACGCGGAGAAGAAGTATCTTATTGTAGTTATCATCGTGATAAGTGTCAGAATCCTTTCGATGCTACCAGGAAGACAGACGAATGGACAAGGATAACAAGCAAAGTGGTTGCAGTTATTATAGTTTATTGAAAATTGAAAAAGGCGAATAAATGAAGAGAACAGTGATAAAAGAAGTCATTTGGAGTGGTCGTTCTGCTCGGCCGCCTCCTTCTGCTGAATCTCGACCAGTCTTCTTCTGTAGTACTCGCTGATCCTCTTCTGCTTCCGAAGTCTCCTCGCCATCTCGTTCTTCTTCTCCGTCACCTCCCTCTTCTCGGCCTTCAAAGTCTGCTTCTCGCAGTTCAGCTGCCGATTCTCCAGGGCCAGCAGGTTGTTGTGCAATCCGAGCGACTGGTTCTGCCGGCGGAGAGCCCGCCGCTCTCTTCTCTCTTCTTCGGCCTTCTTCTGACGGGCCTCGTACTTGTGCACCTTGTCGTCGAATTTGGCATCTGATGGGGTGCATGAGGTTCCGGGCAGACGGTGGGTCCAGATGTTCATGGCCGGCACTGCTTTCGTGGCCGGGCTCTTGGGGCTCTTGGAGCTCATCTTGGTGCTCTTGAACTTCTTGAGCAGGTTAGCGATGATTGGCATTGTTTGTCTGCAAAATGAAGAGAGTTATAGAAAGGAACTACCGGAATTGAGGAGAAAAAAGAGGTAAAACGGAAGTTTGGGAATTGGAAAGAGCAGAAAGTCTGGTCACCGTTCGGGACGAGCACAAAACACAAGAATGAGAATGATCTGAGCTCAAGATGTACTTGGAGAGACTCCGCCCCTTCCGGGTGGGCGGAGTCTCCACGTCTTCCGTTTCCCCTGGTTGTAAACAGAGATCATGGGAAAGGGGGATGGGGGTGGACGTGGGAGAATGGAACGGGAGGAGGTATTCTACAATGGGGAAGGGGTGATATGAGAACTGATAATTATGATATGAAAATAGAGCAGAAAAGTAGGACTTTAAAAAAGTATCTCGATATCAGATCAGTTATCTCTTGTTGTTGAAGATCGTCATCTCTCCGCAAATGCCACACAATCTTGTGTTCTTCTAGACCTACTGAAAGTGAGCGATTTGGTGCTAATCCGAATTCATCGCTCTTATCGTTGGCAGAAGCCAACTATTCCGAAATTAGGGACTAGAAGGGTAAATTAAGAGAAAAAGCTAACGTTTTGTAATTTTGTTACTTTGGTCCTTCCATCTCAAAGAGGAAGTTTCAAAATGCTGTCAGCATTGCAAAAATAGCGTTAGTTATGCAAAATGGATCAAAACTTTTCAAACAATATAGATTTTCTGGCATTTACGTATGAAGATGACATATTTTCGAACAAAGAGATTGATAATATTTGATGGTAGAAAAGATAGATCCATGAGATGATATTGGAAACGATGACAAAAATGAAAATGACTCCGAATGGTGACTTTCCCATCGCCTCTTCCAGCCGTCTTCGCCTGTTCCGTCCGTGGTTGCACCGTTCTCCCATGCCGCTCGTAAACCCCATTCTCCCACGGTCCCCCCTGTTTTCAGAAACGGAACCAACCGAATTAGCGTCGTAACTCTGTGAGAAACGCCTTGAAGAGGTCCGTGAACAACAATACCGTACGAAGAAATTGTGATAATTTTCAGTGTGACAGCAGAGATTGCATATTTTCAAATTGAGGAACCCACAATATTCAACTTGTTTTCATGTTTTCATACTTTAGGCATCAATTTTGTAGTTGGTTGGAATAAAAAGTGCAATTTCTTTATGCAGAGTCGATAATACAGTTTCCTGATCCCCAGGTGAACACGCTGACGGCTCCACACTTTGCCACGTGGTTGACAGAGCTGAAGGGGGCGGAGCCTCCAATAGAGCCGGAGCAAGAGCCCTGTTTGACGTCGCCTTCCCATCCAATGCTCGGAGACTCGTAGCCCTTCACTTCAAACCATCCGGACTCTGCTTTCGAGCAGTCCATCTTCAGCACGACAATCCAGTACCCAGGGCCGTATTTGTTGTAAGGTTGGTATTCGACGGCAGTTTTATCGTTGGTCGAGTAGGCCAAAGGGGTTCCGAACGCCGCCGCGCCATCGTGGGTTCCCTGTTTGATTTCGGCTCCCTCGAAATCGAGGTAGTTGTCTTGTTGGCTCCAAGACAGATATTCCGCGTAAACGAACGGAACAGTAGTGTTGTGATAGACTGGAATGGCGCAAGCGTCACTCGACTGTTGGTAGGGACCAGTGGAACATTCTGGAAAGGGCTTCTGTGTCACAGATGACTCTCAATGGGAATTTCGCTTACGTCCATTATGAGAGCTGCTGGTTCCTCCTCTGATGAACAGATTCTGGCCAGGCTGCGTGTCCTTCTTGAGAAGAATGACGGTAGTACTGTAGCCAGAAGGCGGGGCGGGAGGCACGTATGGTGTGAGTTTGGAGCTCAGCGAAATGGCGACGACCGAGTTGGACGGGACCGACAGGTACGCGGTTTCTGGAATGGAACTCTCTCTTTGAATATGAAGATATCAAAACTCACGATCATCTTTCACGGTGATCTTGGTTCCCACACATTTTCCATTGCTGATTCCGCCGGTGTAATGATCGCAATAGTCGCCAGCCGGTAGGGTGGTCGAGAAGATTCTGAGCCAAAAGTGTATTTCATAATTGATTGGGATTACGGTCCCACTTATTCCAAGCCCCTCCTTGTTGGTTCAACGCAAAGAATCCGGCACCGTCGCGAGCGAAGGCGATCCTCTGGTTGTCAGTGGCGATGGCGGCGGCGGCGGTTCCCTGCACGGAGCTCCGGAACTTGACCATCTCGCGTACTTCCGGCCATCTGTGCTCACAAACCCATCCGGAGCTGCTCGCGCACGTTTTGTCGCTGTTGAATTGAGGGCTTGTGGTCTGAACAGGAGGTATTGGAATCATCGATGATATTCGGATTCTCACCGCGTAGTCATTCGACGCTCCCTGATGCGGAGGGCTTTGATCGGAGTAGCTAAAGTCGAAACTGCTCATGACACGTGGATATCCGTAGGTCCAGGCGAGCATGAAACTCACCGCAAGTTTGTACTTGTATCCATCTTTGTAGGTGACCACATACGGGTTGGAATCCCTTTGGTTGTCGTGGTTGTCGATGAAGTTGAGCACATCGTGATCCTCGTTGTTACCGTAACCGTATCCAGGCCCGAGATTCGCCAGATTCTTCCAGTCCGATTGTTGCTTCGCCGCCTGAGAGACAGCGGCTCCGAAGTTGAAGTTGGTGTATCTTCCGTCGCCCAGGTAGTCGGCACACTTCACTGCCTCACCGCCTCTGTCGATCACCTCGTGCACTGCGAATGGTCGTTGGTTGGAGCCGAAAAGCTGGAATCAGAAGATGCACTAATAGAACGGGTGGGCATTTCTCCTCACGTCGGCTCTCAAGTCCTTGACGCCGTTGAGAATGTTGAGAATGTCCTCCGGCCACATGTGTTTCGAGGCGTCGTGACGGAATCCGGCCACTCCGTAGTCAATGAGTTTGTCCAAATAAGCGATAATCTTGGCGCGGACAGACGCGGAACCCTGATTCAGGTCCAGAAGACCCACCAAGCGACAGTCTTTGACCTGGAATTCGACATTGTGTACTTCGAAATTGCATTTCCTGTCTCACATGTTCCGCGCTGTTCTGGTAATCCGATCCTTGAATGTCACCATCACACTTTGCATTGTTAAAGTCTTCCAGAGAGTACGGCACTTCAGGGAAGGATTGCACGCCGTGAGTACCATCAAAAGTGGATCCGCCCGAAGAGGAAACCGCATTGCTCCCGCTCTTTTGTCCAACTCCAACCATATGATTCATGACGACGTCGACGATGATTCTGAAGTTGCCCTTTTTCTACCCGAAGAACGCACACATTCACTCACCTCACTCCGACTTTATTGCACCGATTCACCATGTCCTTGAACTCCTCCTCGCTGCCACTCCTCGATTCGAGTTTGTAACTGACCGGCTGATATCTCACCCACCACGGATAGTTGTTGTTCGGAAACGCTTTCAAGTGCTCCATTGGCGGAGACACTTGCACTGCCCCATACCCGTAATACTGAAGGAAATCCTCGCACTCTTTCGCAATATCCGTCCATTTCCACTCGAATAGATGCACCATTGTTTGGCGGTTTTGGTACGTTTGGGTCTTGTCATACCAATAGACGTTGTAGGCCAGTGAGCCGGTGATGAGGTGGAAGAGGAGCAGCGGTTTGAGCATTTTGAGCTGATTAATTGGAAATTGGAAATTGGGAAAAGGAAACGGAGAAGAAGAATCAAAGAACGGATAGTCGAGAGAAATGAAAAAAGATAGAGGGAGAATGACGGATATTTGTTTTTCTGATCTTTTTTCAAGCAAAACAAAACGATAAAACAAAGGAGAATCATCAGAGTATCAATTGCAAGTTGGCCACAAAGTCTCAAGTATTGATAACTTTTGTTCTGCACGTGTCCACCACATTTCCTTTCATAGCCGACGCCGTCGTTAAAGTATCATCTTCCGGAATGAACGACTGATAAGAGCATACATTCTAGCCGTCCTTCGCCCGATGCGAATCCTGATTTTCCGGTGCATTTCATTGACTTTATACTGAAAAGTTGCAAGCTCTTCGACTCAAACAAACAAATCACTGGAGCAGGAGCACGTGTTCGTCTTGCCCCGCCTTACTTTTCGATCTGTTTGAAACATGTCGCCGCATCGTGGTTTCGCAGTCGTCAAATCAGGAATGCAAACTGATAAGGAGGGAAGATGGGCATGAAAAAGGAGGAGAGTATTCAGTGACCCCGATCAATGGAACTCTCTTGCAAAAGGTATACTGATCGGAGTAAACTCTGCAAGTATACTGTATACAGTATGCCCTCTCTCTATCATTTCCACAAATGCTCACCATTCTTCTGGTAGTTCCCGGAAATCCCATTCCAATCCTGACAAGATGCAAATGTAATCCTCATCAAAAGTTGCAACATATTCAGCAAACAAAGGCTCATCATCAGATCTTGAAGAGGTGTGTTATTGTTGCGCAACCCGAACAGGCCACGCAACCCGTGCCCAACAGACTTCCGTTCTGTGATACACTCTGATTCGCCGTTCTCATTTAGTGGCTGAGTTGTTCACGGACCTCTTCAAGGCGTTTCTCACAGAGTTACGACGCTAATTCGGTTGGTTCCGTTTCTGAAAACAAGGGGGACCGTGGGAGAATGGGGTTTACGAGCGGCATGGGAGAACGGTGCAACCACGGACGGAACAGGCGAAGACGGCTGGAAGAGGCGATGGGAAAGTCACCATTCGGAGTCATTTTCATTTTTGTCATCGTTTCCAATATCATCTCATGGATCTATCTTTTCTGCCATCAAATATTATCCATCTCTTTGTTCGAAAATATGTCATCTTCATACGTAAATGCCAGAAAATCTATATTGTTTGAAAAGTTTTGATCCATTTTGCATAACTAACGCTATTTTTGCAATGCTGACAGCATTTTGAAACTTCCTCTTTGAGATGGAAGGACCAAAGTAACAAAATTACAAAACGTTAGCTTTTTCTCTTAATTTACCCTTCTAGTCCCTAATTTCGGAATAGTTGGCTTCTGCAATCACCAGGGGGCAACAGCGATGAATTCGGATTAGCACCAAATCGCTCACTTTCAGTAGGTCTAGAAGAACACAAGATTGTGTGGCATTTGCGGAGAGATGACGATCTTCAACAACAAGAGATAACTGATCAGATATCGAGATACTTTTTTAAAGTCCTACTTTTCTGCTCTGTTTTCATATCATAATTATCAGTTGTCATATCACCCCTTCCCCATTGTAGAATACCTCCTCCCGTTCCATTCTCCCACGTCCACCCCCATCCCCCTTTCCCATGATCTCTGTTTACAACCAGGGGAAACGGATGACGTGGAGACTCCGCCCACCCGGAAGGGGCGGAGTCTCTCCAAGTACATCTCGAGCTCAGATCATTCTCATTCTTGTGTTTTGTGCTCGTCCCGAACGGTGACCAGACTTTCTGCTCTTTCCAATTCCCAAACTTCCGTTTTACCTCTTTTTTCTCCTCAATTCTGGTAGTTCCTTTCCATAACTCTCTTCATTTTGCAGACAAACAATGCCAATCATCGCTAACCTACTCAAGAAGTTCAAGAGCACCAAGATGAGCTCCAAGAGCCCCAAGAGCCCGGCCACGAAAGCAGTGCCGGCCACGAACATCTGGACCCACCGTCTGCCCTGGGAACCTCGTGCACCCCATCAGATGCCAAATTCGACGACAAGGTGCACAAGTACGAGGCCCGTCAGAAGAAGGCCGAAGAAGAGAGAAGAGAGCGGCGGGCTCTCCGCCGGCAGAACCAGTCGCTCGGATTGCACAACAACCTGCTGGCCCTGGAGAATCGGCAGCTGAACTGCGAGAAGCAGACTTTGAAGGCCGAGAAGAGGGAGGTGACGGAGAAGAAGAACGAGATGGCGAGGAGACTTCGGAAGCAGAAGAGGATCAGCGAGTACTACAGAAGAAGACTGATCGAGATTCAGCAGAAGGAGGCGGCCGAGCAGAACGACCACTCCAAATGACTTCTTTTCTCACTGTTCTCTTCATTTATTCGCCTTTTTCAATTTTCAATAAACTATAATAACTGCAACCACTTTGCTGTTATCCTTGTCCATTCGTCTGTCTTCCAGTGCGTTGAAGTGTGGTGCTGTTCGAAACGGTGCTTGGTTGCTTGCAGAATATTTCTGAAATGGCATTGTCATTATCCCCTTTAACTGTCTGGTGAGACGAGTGATTATCGTCTGTACCTACTCACTGTTTTGGAATCCACGAAGCTACGAAAGAGAGTAATAAATGAAGTATCTGCGTGAACTCTTGAAAATGCTACTTATTAACGAGACGTTTAGTAAATGATAATTATTCCCATCGTAACCGATACAACGTTTCCGATACAATGAATAGTGAGTTTGAGCCTTGCGAAATTAATAAAACCGAAACAACTTACAGGTAAAAAAGTTGTCATAAAAGAGATATTTCTTCAGCCGGAACAGTTATCGAAATCTAATAGAGCAATAACTCTGGAAGTTGGGAAACTTTGCGGCCTCTACTGGTAGGAACATTCTTTCTTAACAAAATTCACACCGTCATCACTTTTAGGAGATTGAAACTTGCGACTAAGAGAGACAACGAGAGGAAGTGGGTAGTCGGAGTGCATCTCGAATTCGAAACGCGAAACTTAACCACTGCACAGGCGAATCTCAAAGTCCGACTTATGAATGGGAAACAGAAACAGGCCTTGGAGTTCGAGAAGGACTACGAGATCAGCAAGGACCACGGAAGTGTCGAGATCGCCCTCATTCCGTTCAAAACGGTTATGAAAAGAATGCGTAGATTTGTGCGGGCCGGCTCAATCAAGCTCGAGGTCGAAGTCGCACTGGAGAATGTTCAGCAGCTGGAGTTGAGCGGTCAGTCTGTTCCCGCACACTCTCTTGAGATAATGGAGTTTGTTTTGTCAGATGCAATAGGATTTGTCCGTTTCGTGGAAGAAGGAATCTTTCCCAAATACATAAGACTCGGATGGATCGACGGAGGAGACTGGTAAGAAGCCTGACTCGGAAAGTTGGTTCGAAACCCTCCGAGTATGTGTCTGCTATTCACTAACTCCCATAAACTCGGACAGTTTCCTAATAATTCCCTCTGAAAAACGTTAACGACAAAAGTCGATTTTCAGCTATTTATTGATCGAAGTGGATGAGAACGATAAGGTGACGATCAGATTGGACCTCGATTCGGATGACGTGGATTTCTCTCCCTGCATCACCTCGCTCGTCCGGCTAGTCCACAAATCAGCCGGCAAGTCGCACGTCGTCGTGAAAAGTCTGAAACTGGAGGACGGAAGCAGCAAAAGCTTCATCCAAATGCCTTTCGATGAGATCATGAACAAAGGATTTCTGAGCGACGAGCGAGTGATGACGATCGAAGTCCAAATACGTGTGGATCGAAGAATTCATAGCGACGGTGACACGTTTTTAAATTTTGCGACTCCGCTCGATTATGGATTCGAATTCAGAAGCAAATGGGGAAAAAGTCTATACGTGAACAAACAGGCACTTAAAACTTGCAAAAAAATGATCTGTACGCATATAATTTCAGCTGCTTATATTTCATTCTCCGGTTTTTTCTAAGATGATGTCAAGAGGTGTCTACAGTTTCAACTACGATTCTATGAAATTAGAGTATTTCATGGCCATTCTTCAGCACCTCCACGGACGTCGTGATTGGATCGACAGTTTGTTTTCTCCGCTTCTTCGTGATTTGTTCACGTAGTACTATTCAGATGGAAACATTTTCAAGGTACTCCCATTCGCTCATCGTTTCCAAATACGAAGCATTGTTCTACACTGTGAAACTATTCTTATGAATTCGATTAAGCTTTTCGGATGGGACATGTGCTTCCAATGTGCTGTCGAGTATGACATGCGATTCTTGATGGTACGGTTTGTCTATTGTGATGCTTAAATGAATCTCTTGGTTTCAGAAGACCCTCATGAACAAGGAGGAGCTTGAGAATCAGCACAAGATTGTTTCCACCGCTTCGAGAAGTTCCATCACTTCGGATTCGTCGACGGGCACATCAAACTCCTTCTAATTTCCCGTCTTTTTTTCCTAATAAATAAAGAATTGATAATCTTCACAAGCGTGATCACCCGGCTATCTGGCTTCCGAGCAGACCGATTCGTGCGATGATACTTCTGAATATAGGCTCTGTCCCGTCGCAAAACCTAAAAACAATGGGCGGCGAGTATTGGGAATTCTCAACGGCGTCAAGGACTTGAGAGCCGACGTGAGGAGAAATGCCCACCCGTTCTATTAGTGCATCTTCTGATTCCAGCTTTTCGGCTCCAACCAACGACCATTCGCAGTGCACGAGGTGATCGACAGAGGCGGTGAGGCAGTGAAGTGTGCCGACTACCTGGGCGACGGAAGATACACCAACTTCAACTTCGGAGCCGCTGTCTCTCAGGCGGCGAAGCAACAATCGGACTGGAAGAATCTGCTCCGAATCAGGGAGCATCGAATGAATCTCAATATCACCGATGACTTCACGTAAATCCTCGTTCCCAGAGTGCCAAATTTGTGTTTCATAATGTTTCATTGTAGGTTTTAAAATTCGTTGATTTGACAGTATTACATTAAAAGAAACAATTCTGAACTTGAGAAACAACATGTTTATTGATAAAATATCTTTCTAGACATCGTTATACTGTCTTTGTGATGGCCAGAAGCTGATGTTGTTTCGGTGACTGCGATGACTATCGGCGGCTTTTCTCGCCTCAGAAATGGGAAAAAAGTTTGCAGAATGGAGACGACTCCAGTGCGAATCGGTTTCGTGAAGCCGACCATTGCTATTGTGGAGACGGAGCCGTGGAAGGAGACGAGCATGAGGAGTACGTAGGCGACATCTCAAAGAACGATAATAACACGATCGAGACATTCTGACAAACTTACTATCATGAGGCAGAACAAAAACAATCGCATAAATGAATCCGATCAAGGGAGCTCCGAGCATGACTCCGTGAATGACGGCCTGGATAAAAAGGCTGATGAGCAGCATCTTCTGTAGTCGGACCGTCCGTTTCGACAAATGCTTTGCCAGCTGATCGAGTTTCTTCCAAATGGTCAAAAATGTCTGTGGAATGATAATACATGCTGTGAGCATTGCGGTAATGATCAGGGACATGAGGGGTGAGAAGACTGGATCCAGAAGAGGAGGAGCTGTGACTGCCGTGTTGCAGAGCACTTGGATCGAGACGCCAGGGTTCGACTGCAAACATTTATGAAAGATCAAAGTACAACTTTGAACACGTACATCGTACAACTCCTGCTTATAATGCTCTTGTTTCGGATGGCATCTTGGCAGTGTGGCAAAGCAAAATATTGGGATTATGATGACGATGATCCAGAAGAAAGCGACGATTTTATGAAGAACTTTCTTGTTTAGGGTCTCATCGCTAATCGCGGCATCGAACCGATACTTGAACATTTCCAGGATTGAGAGCCCGGTGTCTGGAAGAACCGATTGTTACTGGAAAATGTTGAGTGCCACTTACGGATCATGCAAATAACCAGAAGATAGAACTGAATGAGCCCGCTCACGTTGAGAAACTTGAGCAGTCCAGAGCCGCGGAACACTGGATAGGGCAGATAAGTGACAGGGAGCATGAAGATGGAAATGAAGATTTCGAAGACGAGATTACTGTAAGGGACAACTGTCGACGTTCACTTCAACTACTCCGTACCCTATTGTATGCCAGAGCAGATAGTTTCTGTACTCTTTCAAAGCTTTCGGGCACTTGTTAATCAACGTGTATATTGCCATAAAGTAGAGGGGAATCGTCAGGAAATGGGTAAATTGCATCGCGGATCTGAAGGAAAACACTTTTTTCAAAGAACGGCAAAAAAGACGTACTTGTACGGGTCAGGGGCGGCAGCGAGACAATCTTGCTCGGAAGGGAGCACTGTCGCCGTCACTTCTGTGCTCAACACATTCATGATGTCTGAAAGTCTTTATGCATATTGTGAAAGAGACAGCTGAGAGCTCATTGACCATAGTACGTTTGAATGGATTATGAGATTCTTGAAATATGGGTAATTTGATTCCGAGCAAATTGGTTTTATTGGTGACGAGTTCATACTTTGAACCCAGCGGAAAAGTTGCAGAAAAACAACTGCGGAAATGAAAAATGTAAGAATCCATGTCACGTGGACCATCCATATGACCCGAAATGTTCGAATACAAAACTTTTTGGGCGTAAAGAATGACAACACAAACTTTTTGTGCATAACTTTTGCTTACTCTGTTTGACATCATAATGTGTTTGTCAAGTTTCAGTTTCAGTTCAGTCCGACCATTTTCACAAATTTAAAGATCAGGGGCCTACGCCTGAAACGTCTGAAACAGTAGCTGAAAAGCGAACTGGACTGATGGAAAGAACTGGTGATTGGAAGGGTACCTCAATACCGTTCATTCAAGACGATATATCTCAGCTGTCGATAAAGATATCAAAACGTTTTCAACTAACAAATCGTTCACTAAAGTATTTTGTACTCTTTTTCAGTTGGACACTTTTTTGCATCTCTACAAATAACTGAGGTACATCGTTTTGAAGGAGAGCGTGCTATTCGGAAATCTCAGAAGGAAACAGCTGATTCCGACGGAGGTGTGAACGAGCGGGCAGATTAAGGTGTGATTGGTGTTGTGGTCGGAGAGTGTAATCGAATACGTCGAATTAGGTAAGTGCTACAAGTTCAGTGGTCTGCTGACGTTTTAATATCGTATGTTTGAGAATCATCACATTTTATTTTGTGAGTACCGAGTCACGTTCACATTTACAGATTTAGGCAGGCTGGGAAAACGGAACATTTGAAACATGGAATGTTTGATCGGCTTCGTGAAATAAATCATTGCAATTGTAGAGAAGAATCCGTGAAGCGTAAGACAGACGAATGCAATGTGAGCGATAACTGAAAACCTGTGGATATTGAATTAGTCAGGGGTCAATCGGCTCAAGTACGTTCGACACGAACACCACGGAATGCCGCGTAGACGAAGAGAATGTTGGGCACGCCGAGCATGACTAAATGAATCACAGTCTGAAGTGTGTCGGTTAATTAGAGACTTTGCAAAAGTATGCAAACCTGCACAAACAAGCTGATCAGCAACATCTTTTGCATTCTCACTGTCGCCGGAGAGTGATGTTCGTTGTTGCGTAAATGTCTGTCCATGTAGAGCGTTGTGGTGCACGTCAACGAGACGGTGACCACAATGACAGTGACCCAGATAATTATATTGCTCATGTTGACCGGATCGGAGAACGGAGCGGCGACGACGACCGAAAAACAGAGAAGTTCGGGCGGCGAATCGGGCGACGAACGGATCAGTTGTTGACGGTACTCTTCTTGTTTCTCGATTGCGTAGGAGTACGTTGAGAATGACATGACAACGAACCAGAGCATTGTGAGACGGAAAAATATGAGTTCGGCTCGAAGGTACTTGTAGAAGAGGCGCGTTTTGTAGGAGATTATGCTGGCCCGGAAGCGGAACATGAACATCTCAATAATTGAGTAGGCGGTTTCTGGAATTGACGGGGATGCAAGTGCGCTCCAATTATAAACTCACGATAAATCAGAGCATTGATGATGTAGAACTGAAAAAGTCCATTGAAACCAAGCTGCGTCATGATTCCGGTCATTCGCAAAAGTGGATGGGGATGATGGACGACTGGCAGAAGGAACCACGAATTGTAGATTTCAGAGAGAAGATTCCTGGAATATTGGAAGTTTCTAAAACAAATTCAGAAACCAGAACTCACATAAAAGTGTGCCAAATCAAGAAGTTTTTGTAGGTCTCAAAGTACGTCGAATTTATGCGAAACAATGCTACAATAGCGACCAAATATAGGGGGAGAGAGGGGACGATGAAGGAGTGCATGAGCCAGAAGAGGCCGTCCGGGGCGGGCTTCTGACAGTCCATGGATCCGTCCGTCCGGGGATCGTGTTTTCAATTTTATTTTGGGGGCGCTCAGTGACAAGTGAGAGTAGGAGTGGAAGAATGAAATTATATAGCAAGGCGCGCTCACATGACGAGAGGTGATTGGCGGGTGCCGAGCCGGTGCTTGGAGCTAATTGCGAGAAGGCGGCTTTTTGCACGAAAACACGATTCCAGTGTCAATCGCTTTTGTGAAGTAGATCAATGTAGGCGATCTCTGAAATCAGAATCAGAAATTGGGAGAGATATATGCTTGGACAGGATTTAACAAACCGGCAAAGTCTACGGGGAACTGGCAATTGTGAAGCTGCAACTTCGTCCAGAAACCTTACATTTACCTTCAACCTGGCTGATTTTGAAGAACAGAATACAATTGAACTTTCTTTTTTTTTAAACAGAGATTTCTGGCAACATCTTCTGCATTTTTCAGACTCGCACTGAATGCACCTCATACCCAATGCAGGATGATACCCAGGGCTGGGCGGCTGGGCAGGCCAATTGCCCAATGATACCGCATCGAAAGCAGCAGAAGAGATTTTTTTTTTGAGAGTCGCCCGGGATGTTTGCTTTGTCGTCCGATCAACGAGGGCGATGCTTCTCCCACACTCAATCGATTCGCATTGTCCGTTTTCAGCCGCGCGACGTGGAGATCAGCGCCCGAGTGCCGCAACGCGCCGTTCCCCGGCCAGTGCGGCCAGTCGCAACACTCGCTCGCCGTCTTCCTGCCCTCCGACACTTTCGTTCTCTTTGATTCCGATTCGCCCGTCCTTCAACATGGTCAGCACGCGCAGTAAAGCCGCCCAGAGTGAGTTTCAACTCTCATTTTTAGGATTTCAATTGAATTGTCTTGCAGAAACTGATTCGACCGATAACAATTCAGTGCAAAGGAGTTTCACCGGCCGTTCGACCGAATATTGTCAGTTCTTTTCTCTTTCATAAAAGTTCAATCAATATCGATTTCAGCGGCTGCATCACGTGACACTGTCGAGCCGAAGACCAAAGGACAGTCGGTGTCCAAGAAGACGGCTCCGAAAGCGATGAAAGTGGAGAAAGTGGCCGTCAAACGGAACGTCGGAAGGGCCAAGAAGGATCAGGATCAGGAGCCCTCCGAAGATCCGGCCGTCAGGGAGGCGAAGATCAACGAAGTGCGCAAAATGCTCCACAATTCGGTTCTGAACAGATGAACACGCCGAAGCATTGATGATTGCTCAGCTAATATTTTGAGTAACTTTAATATTTATCATTGATTCATTGCCATTTATATTATGCATAATACAAAACCTCAATCCATATCAAGAAGAATCTTGAATGGTTGCCATTTTGTCTGCACTTCTCTGGAGTACTCGGAATCTGAGTCAGTTCCTCTCCAATTGGTTTTCTGCTCGTAAAACTCCTTCCTTCCCTCCCCAGTCTATAATTCTCACGTAATGGAGCCCTTGCCAATCGTGTGGCTCGTCTACGGAATCCCTTCCGCACTCCTAGTCATCTTTTTGATATTGATACTCTCTACATTGCAAAACTGTCAACTCTGTCGAAAATCACGGCCGCTCACACTTTGACGTACACGCTTCTCCTCGTTTGGTGTCTCGTTGGACCGTTACTGCAGATTGAGGATCATTCTGTTTTTGATGGTATCATGTTGACAGCTTCGGACGTGGTTAGTTTTCACGAAACTCAGCTAGGCTGAGTTTTCATGAAACACAGCTAGCTAGGCAAACTCAGCTAAACTCAGCTTTGAAGTCCGATGTCTCAAGAATCAGTGATCATTTCGAGAAGTTGTCAACAAAAAAGTTGTTGCACTTTTTGTGTAAAACAACTTTGCAATTGACCGCATTACTTCAAAACAAATCATTCTTGAGTAATGACCCTGTTTCTGAACAGTGTTTCTGAACTCTTCACGTGAAACGAACAGTTCCCCATTTTTCTCAGGTCGGCTTCTCCATGGCCTACATTCTGCTATTTTTTGATATAAATGTACGGGCAGTCTTCCGAGAGATGTTGCCAGTAATACAAGTCGGACAATCGCCGGAGGCCAGCAACAACCCGCAGATTCGGCACTTGAATTCCGCCTCCATGACGTATATGAAGATATTTACAACAGAAAAAAAAACAACAGATTCCAATGCCACTGCCAATTATATTTCCTTCGCCAGCCATCGCAAATGGCAGAGTGCTCTGTCGCCTCCCCTATAATCAAAATGGATTGTCTGTGTGTCAGGTCGATCTGATCACTCCTTCGAAAGTTCTGCTCGGAGAATGGAGGGTCTGGTGGCGTTGTGGCTCAGTTACGGACCGGTCTCCGCAGCGCTCTCCGTCTTCCTCATCGTTCTCCTCTCCAGATCGAAGCTCTTCTCCTCTCCCTTCTACCGTTTAGTCGTTCTCGATCTGAGTATCAACCTGACCTGCTACATAAACACTTGGCCGAACCGACTGAAATTCCGTCCGGAAGGCGTCCCCCTCATTCTGCCAATCTACGAGAGCGTGCCGAAGATTCTGGAGGTCTCTCAAGTGGCCATGAAGTTCTTCCTTCATGCGCAGAGTTTGAGCACCATTTGTCTTTGGGTCTATCGCTTGAGCCTTTTGAAGATCGACTATGACAACAAGTTCTGGAGTCGCTATTATCTGCCTATCTATTCACTTCTCATGATATTTGCCGGAGGTGCTACTGCGATCGCCTGTTGTATCCTTCATCGTGTCGAGCGCTTCGACTACGCGGAAAATGCCTTTCGAAGTGCTCCCTACTCGCCGGTAAGTTTGAATTCTCATCAGTGCCCGGCAAAGCTTCCTTAAGACCTGCCGAGGCCTAGACATTTGGTATTTGCGATAATTTCCGAGCGGACTATTGCAAGTGGGTCAAAAGTTCAGGTCTCGGCGTGCCTTCGAAAAGCCTGGGCTGGGGAGCCAAAAATCACAAAGACACCCCTTGAAATTGATCATTTTGTAAATTCAGGACGAGTTGCTGGCTGCCACCCTGTACCTATCAGTGTTTATACTAATTTATCTCATGACAATTGTTGCCGTCGGATGCCTTACTCTCCGTCAAGCCAAAAAACTTTTAGCACAAAACCCCGAGCACGAGCAACTACGAAAGACATTCCAAAGGATCGTGGCCTTCCACACTTGCGCGTATTGTATGTTCTTGATTTGGTTGACTCTCAACCGGTGCATGAAGTTCAATGAGAGCTACGAAGTGATGATGACTCTTTCGGATGCGGTTAGTACGGAACACTAAAAAGGATATTGAGTCTTTCCAGGTTTCGTTTTCAATGGTTTACATTCTGATTTTGTGCGATAAAAGAGTGAAAAGAGCAGTGGAGACTGTGATGAGGGCGAAGATGAACAGACGGAAAACAGTTAGGCCTTCGCAGGAAGTGTTCTCTTCAAATATAGAAGTAGTTCATTGTATTAATATTGTGCCAAACTGAATTCTTTTTTTGTTATTGTTGAAATAAAGTTTTTATACTCGAAAATTCAATGTGGAGCCACTTGCGTCCGATCCGCCCGCGTCGCCGTCCTCTCCCTGCCTTCTACGCGCTCCTGCTGCTTCCAGCAGACTTCTGATGCATTCTCCGAAAATTTATTCTCGAATTTGTAAAATAGTAACTTTTGCTTCTTCTTCTGTTTTTAAACTTTTATTATTATTTTTTATATATTGTTCTCTTCTGATCTTCAACGAATTCTTTGGCGGACTTGTCGCCGGCGGCCAGTGAGGCAAATATCGAGAAACGCGCCTTCTCACAGCCTTGGCGCATTTCGTGAAGGCACATTTCACGATTTTTGCCGATGTGTCCCTTTTTCACTCATTTTTCACAGAATTTTGACATAAATTTGTGAAAAATTACAATTTTAAGGCGATGACAAACGACGTGGAAATGAAATCGGAGACGGAGGAGCTCCAGCCCTTTCCCACCGTTCACATTCTTCAGGTAAATATCGAATACTTAAAAATATCCCGGAGATTCCAAAAAGTTCACTTTCAGGTTGTCAAAGATGCTCAACAACAGCATGGGTTGCGTCATGGAGACTACCCTCGTTATAGGTACCGAATCCGTTACCATTCCATCAGAAATATATTGATTTCCCCGCAGAAAGTACTGCGCGGCCAAGCTGGAACGCATGCGAAAGGCGTTGAAGTTCACCAACACGCACAATTGCCAGAAGAGACGACAGGCAAAGTTCCAGAAGAAATGGCTGACCGTCGAAGCGCTGCAAACCGCCCAATTTCTCAATTTTGGCATTTTTGAGGCGGAACGCCGTTATGCAGAGGCGATGATTTGCAAAATTGCGATTGAGGATAATGAGGACAAGGCGAGAAAGAAGTACTCAATGACGAATTCTCTCCGGAAAGCTGTGCTGCACGCTGCCAACCTCGAGAAGATTGTGCACGAAAGCGAACGAGTAAGATTCGCACGGTTTTCCCGCAAAATTTTCCTAAAATATCTATTTTCAGTGCGATGCCCCCACAAAGCTTGAGGCTCAGGCCTACGCAGCATGGATGCGTGGAATGCTCGCTTTCGAGTCTCGCAATTGGCAGAAGGCGTCGGATTCGCTGAAACTCGCGAAAACAGTGTACGAGAAGCTGGCCGATGCCACCAACAACACGACACTTTCAACAATTTACAAAGGGCGCTGCCGCGAAATTCAGCCACAGCTGCGCCTGTGCGAATTCAACGCGGCCGATGCTCCGGAAGCCGTAGGAACTGTGACCGAGCTCATGGAGTTGCGTATGCAAATGGGAGAGGGAGGAGACAGCTCTGTTGATGTGGGTTTAAGCTAAATTCTAATATGATATTCAGTCATTTTCAGAAGCTCATCTCTGAAATGCGTTCTGCGGCGACGTCTGCGGAAGTGGTAACGATCGAATGGGGAGGAATGAAGAACACCGTGGACGACGAGAAGGCGAAACAAGTGGTTCAGGAGTGGAAGCAGACAGAAGTCGAGTTGGCGCAATGCCAAACGGCGAAGGAAAAATGGCGCTGTACGAGAAGGCGACCGCCGACACCCGCGACGCCATCGATCGTCTCTCGGATGCGATTCGTCGGAAGAGCTCTGAGAACGCGGACACAACTGTGCTCCAATCAATCAAATCGTACTTGGAGTTCCTGAAAATGAACGGAACCGCATCTCGTTATCTGGCAATCATTGAGAACACGAAGAACGAAAAAAAGAGCAAGCCGCAGGATCTTCTCAGACTTTATGATTCGGTCATCGAGATCTACAAAGAAGTGGCAGAAACACCGGGCGCTGAGTACGACAAGGCTCTCATCCAGGCGTTCGACGTAAAAGTGGAGTATTATCGAGCGTTCCGCTGCTTCTACATGGCCTCCTCTTTCGGCGCTCTCCACAGATACGCAGAAGCCTCCGCTCTTTTCGATCGTACCCTCTCCAGAATCCAGGAAGCGGATGCGAAGCTCAAAAAGCTCAAGGGCAATTCGTATGTGACGAATGAGAATCAAAAGTCGCTGTCGGCGCTTAAGTCCGAAGTGGACAACGCGAAAATCTCGGTGCGCGCCGCTCGTTTGGCGTCGGCCGCCGGTGGAATCAAGGTGGATGCGGAGGTTGCGAAGCAGATTGACGAACGACCGCTTCTGGAGACTGTCGACGAGTGGCGCCAGTGGAATGTGCGCGAATCACTGAGGGACAAAAAGACGATCCCGGTGGCAGCGCTCCCGCCCGCATTCATCCCGATGCCCAACAAACCGATCTTCTTCGATCTGGCCAACTTCCATTTGACGGTGAGACTTATCTTGTTCATTTCTGACTCGCATTTTTCAGATGCCACCATTGGACGAGCGGATCGAAAAACTACAAAAAGAGCGCGAAACTCAGAGTCCGAAGAAAACGGCGAAAGGACAGTCTTCGACGGCGAATCAACCGGAGACCGAGGGAATCTCGGGAATGGTCTCCGGATGGGGAAAGATGTTCTGGGGAGGCAAGAAGTGATGAGCTCATCGACACAATTAAATATTATCGAACGCGTTTTGTTGTTGTTCACTTGTTGCCCATATCCTCTGTTCCCCCTTTTCTTCTGTCATTTTCCCTTCTCCCTGCCTCCTAAGTCCTCATTTTTCTGACATCCTTGAGCTGAAAAACTAGCGTTCTGCTCTGCTCGTATGCCTGTCTTGTGATACCATCCAGATATTTAAGAAAATATATTTATTTTGTATTGCCTTCCCCTTTCAACTCCTCATTTTTATTTGGGGGCTCTCCAACCGACAAATCAGTATGCAAGTCTTTAATTTCTTTTTCTAAATGCGTTTTTAATAAGGATAAAAGGTATTTATTGCACAGCTCTTTTTGGAAAGGGTACGAAACCTTTTAACCGATATTTGTTCGCATTTTGCAATTGAATCGATTCGTCCACGTAAGTAAAAATGGGGGAAAATCAGCGAAATTCGAGACGCAGAAAGCCAGTGCGAAAACCGGATTGTAAACAAAAATCGAGGCGACGAACGGCCAAAACCCAAACGTTTTCGCTTCGTCGTTAAAATTTTGTTGCGTCGGAAAGACACGGCTTTTTTCCGATTTTTCCCATGTTTCGTACATTGGTTCCGTTGTGAACAGTTCGTGTTTGTTGCCATCGGGAACATGCAGAAATGTGTGAAATATTCCAGCGAACTATGCACAATGAGCTCTCTTTATGCTGATGAGAGCTACTGCACCAGCGAACTGGGCAGGATATTGTACCAGTTGAAGGTGAGATTTCCGTCGAAACTTGTGAAAATTACCAGGAAATTTGATAAAATCTGATGTTTTTTAATAATAAAGACAAAAAATTTACAGCGGACCTTCGAAACAGAATTCTGTCTGAAATCGGGGTTAAGATAGGAGTTTCAGAGATTTGCTGCAAAGAAACACATCAAAATTTCTCGGCAAAATCTTTGAAGCATTTAGGGCATTCAACTTTTCTGTAGACTGCCAACGCAATCTAAACCAACTGGAACCCTTGCAGACAGACTGGTCATGCACCTCCTCCGTCACGCAAATCTCCGAAGAGAAGCACCAGCTCGGCGGCTCGCACACCGTCTACACGGTCGAGATTGAGTGTGTTCCGGTGGCCGTCCATCTGGCTGTTGGCTATTCGAACCGATCCTTCGTGCTCTCCACGCGCTTCAAGGAGATGGCAAAGCTGCACGCGACCGTCTCGAAACTCCATAAACAGCTCTACCTGAGAGGCACGTTCCCGGTGTTCCCGCCGGCCAAGCTCATCGGTTCCAGTGAGTTTATTATTGGAAAAATATGTTTTGGGAGTCAGAATTGTTTTCAGGCGACCCGTCGGTAATTCGGGAGCGACACCACGCTATCGTCGCCTGCCTCAACTTCATTTTCGATAGTGAAGTGCTCCGCAAAGCACGAGTGCTCCATGAATTCATCGAGGTTAGAACCAATACCTTGTTTTCCGTTTATTTGAACGGCTGAATGCGTTGAGGTATATAACACGGATTCGTGACGGGGTACACTGGCGCAAGTGCGCTCTAATGAAATTTTCAAAAATTTGCTTTGACCTAATGCTTTAAGATAGGGGCGCTACGCAATCGACCATCAGCGGAAGTTCGAATTTTCGTTTTCAATGTACCCGTCTAACCGCGCGAAAGCCCAGAGGCGCAGAGAGTCAGAAAGCTAAAGGGAGGTCGTCAGATGACGTCGTCTCTTCCCTCTCGGAGCCGCCGCCGCACTCCGTTATTTGTCTTTCGCTGCGAGCACAAGCCTGGCTAAATATTCAGTTTGCCTATACGCTCCCCGGAGACATTGTTATCAACAATTGATTATCTCTTGGCTCCCATCCCTCTAAACCTCTTTCTCTTTTCAGAAAGCGAAGGAAAAGGTCCATACGGCACACGAGCTCACTGGTTCCGAGGTGTTCTACGATAACACGACCAACATCTTGGATCAACCGAGCCAGAGGTAAGAGAAACCGCCAATTATCTCAATCGAAACCGCCCATTTCGTTTCCAGCGGCTCCGACTCGCCAACGCACGCGGAACTGCTCGAGCCTTCGCACGAACAAGTCAGTCCTCGCTAGACGATTTTGTGTTTTTGAGCCTAATTTATTAGTTGCCCTTCAGTCATGCAGTTTCGTGATTTTATCTGTTCCCCGCTACCTCTATTTCCAGTCGATTTCTAATTTCTAATCATTGGCCATTCAAAAAGCATAAATTATCAAAAATAAATAATCCCATCACTATATAGTTTTACTTGTTGTTTTCAGGTCGGAAGCCTTGGAGACGGCGATTTCGAATTCCCGACAGTGCCGTTTGCCGGAGCAGAAACCGAACGGGAGCAGGGGCCGAGGAAAAGCTCGATGCGGAGGTTATTTCCCCGACTGAGGGGCACCGCCCATCAGAATATCGGTAAGGGAATGGGCATGTTCGTTCTATTGAAGTATTTCGAAAGACCGTGTGAAATCTCGGCCCGCTCCGAATACTAAGAGTTGCAATAGAGCGCACTGACCAAATGTGTCGATACGATAATATCAGAACCTTCATCAATGACCCATATTCTCGTCAGTTTCAGAAGCGACGGAACCGCCAGCTGACTATCTTGTGACCGCCGGGCAACTGGTGGCGACGGCTCAGCGAGCAGAAGAGGAACACGCTTACGAGCTCGCGTTTCAGTGCTACAAGAGCGCGGCGAGCAGTTTGATTCAGGTGAGAACTCGGCGCTTGCAATGTATTCTACTATTTTAGAAAAATACAATTTTCAACCCTTTTTTGCCTCTGACATTCGACCCGTTTGAAGTCTGATTACAACTTGGTAAACACTGAAAGTCGTAAAAATACTTTTGGCAGCCAACTTTCGATGCGAGGATGTCCATCTTGACTTGTTCTCCCCCTCGCGCCCATCTCTCCTAAACCCAATTTCATCTCCATCCCATTTCTCTTTTTGACCGATGACGCCTTTCCTTCCTCAAAGAGTATTTCTAGGGTGTCCAAATCGAGAGCGACATGACGAAACGGAATGCGGTCCGCCGGAAAACCGCCAAATACCTCGTGAAAGCGGAGAAGCTCTACCGCACTTACCTCTCGCTCGACGGATCCGTGTTCAACTTCGAGGGACTGCTCACCGCCGCCATGCAAGACCCGAACATTCTCGCGTTCCAGTGCTCGAACAAATCGATGAAGAACTACCGGTTCGTCGGTGTGCTCCCCGAGCTCGACGCCGAACGCAAAGTGATTCTGGTCGAAGAATCCGCGGGGATCAAGAAGAAATTCGTGATGAAACTGCTCGAAAAGGGAGTTCCCAACGCGGAGAGCTCAATTTTTCTGCCCACTAACATCCCTCACATGGTGCAGTTGGTCCAGTTTTTCGAGACGGAAACGCACATTATTCTGCTGTTAGAGTACGTCGAACCTGGCAGACTTTGGACGTTCCTGAGGCGGATGTTCGACGAAGCGGAGAGCCGGTACGTTCTGTGGCTCGCGGAGCTCAAGGCGGACGTGAAGGAGGGCGAAAAGACGAGCGAGGTGGCGGTAAGAAAGGAGAGAAACGAAGTAAACTATCGAGGAAGACGACTGTTGTTCACGGTCGGAGTCGATTATGAAAGAGTTGTCGAGATGAGGGACGAGAGTCTGAGTGTGAGTTGATCTCAGTTTAAGTAATTTCATCTCATCTCCAATTGCAGACCGAAAAACCGTCAGAAGATGCTCAAATAATATGCACAGTCGGCGAGGATCCGACCGGACGTTCGGACGCGCCCGCAGGCGAGTTCAGTCTCGTCGGACACTCGAGAGAAGCGGTCGAGTCGAACTTCTTCCAAGTGGAAGAGGAAGGTCCCGCCGCCGTCAAGTTCGACTTCTCGCCGCCAGTGCCCCGTGGCAACAGAATCGGCACTCAGAATCCGGCGAGCCCCCAACAAGAACGGGCTCCGAAAGAGGACACGAGCAGCAAGGAGGTGTTCACCAAAAAGCTCTGGACGGCGCTGCAAACCGTCCGTAAACAGCTCGGAAATCGTCGCCGCGTCTGGAACTATCTCGATCTTCCCGAGTCGCTCGTCGTCCATTGGAGCGCACAAATCGTGTCATTTCTGTTTGTACTCCACGCAGAACACAACGAATTCGTTGGAGATCTGAATTCTGACGACATTCTCATCGACGCCGACGGAAACCTTCTGATCACTTACGTCGGACGGTGGTACGACACGAATCGCCGCACACGGCTCACCGACGGATACTCGGCTCCGGAGAGCTCGCAGTACGGTTGGCAACCGACGCCCGAGTCGGATGTCTGGACGCTCGGGGCACTGCTGTTCGAGCTGCTCTGCGGAAGGTCACTCGCCAATGCGGCTCCCCATGGAGTGCTCAGAAACATGGAACTGCCGATTCCGGAGAAATCCGTCGTCTCGTTCGTCGCCAAGGATCTGCTGAATATGTAAGTCCTGTGTGAGATGCCTGCTCAACACCCAAATTTTCTTGCAGGCTCCTGGTGCCGACGCCTTCGATCCGCCCCTCGCTCGACGAGATCCGTGCGCATCCGTTCTTCCGTCACATCGATTGGCTGCTATACGACAATCCGACGACTCCGTCCGCAACGACACCTCGATCCGTGGAGGCTCCAGAAGACCCTGTTCCCACAGATTCAGCAGACACTTCCGCAATTCCTGTTGACTCTTCATCCACGACAGACTTTGACCATCGTTTATCTCTCTGATTTTACCCATTTTCATTGTACACTCACGTCAATTTAGTCAATTCAAAAACGGTAAAATGGTTGTGTTACTTTGTGATGATTGCATAATTTATACTCGATTTGCCCCTTTCAATCTCCTATGTATAATTAATTTTGTATTAACTAGTCATACTGGAAAACATTGTTATCGGTGATATTCAGTTCTTGAAGATTCGAAGTAGATCGTGATCTGTATAAGCTAAGCATAGATAAACATCTTGCCCATTTCTTCCGTTCGCTCGCCTCGTTTTGCATACTTCGACTTCGACATTTCGGATGAGAATAACCAATCAACGGCCCATTTCATTCCTCCTTTTCTTGATATTATTGGTTTCCGGCACTTTGGAGGACATTCCCGGTGCTGCTGGTTCCTTTGATTCCATGTATCTCTACTTTAGTTTTTTCAGCAGTCTATGACCCGTACGTGCCGTTTGGGATGTGAGTCTAAAGACATTGGGCTCGAAGAAATATTTAAAACCACGTAGTTGGCTCGGCAATTACAGCGACCTTCCGAAGACGTGCGAGATCGCCGAATGGAACAACCGAACATTCTCGAGCGTCCCCTACGAAAGCTTTCATAGAAAATGGGCGAAACAAGGAAACAGGACTTTGTAGGTCTCAACGCTCGAGAGCCAAAAGAGTGCGAACCTTCAGGGAAACATGAAGAAGAGCGAATTGCGAGTCGTGTCCGCCTTTGTCTACCAGCACGAAATCATTGTGACGACTACGGCGCAGAACAGATATGGGTGAGTTTAATATTAAAACAACTGGGCGTGACCTCGTTTGCAGCAAAAAAGTCTACTGCCGCTACTTCGACTGTAACCGCCGGGAACTGAACGGATCCGCCTGGGACACCATCATGTTCCCTCTTTCTGTCGCTTTTTGTGCTCGCCGAGCCGGCGCCCTTTTTATGGGCGTCACAGAAACGGCCGACGGGGAGCTGCTCTCGGAGCCGGTGCCTTTGACGGTGAGGGTTTCTGAAAAGTACGCCCACGAGATTGCTGTTTGTGTCGGACCGATTTACGGGAATGAGAGCCGATGGCTGGAGATTGCAGAGACCACCGAACATCATTTGTTGATTGTTAGTACAGTACAACGCACAGAAAGTACCGTAATCCTTCACTGAACCTTCAGGGAGCCACTTACTTCTACTACACTATTTTTGACAAGATGAACGAGTACACTAGAAAACTGGTGGATGAGTATGAGAGGTAGGATATTTGTAGAACATATAAGACTCAAGATTGAAGTGTACTTCAGGCTAGGATACTTTGAAGTGACCGTAATTCAGACTGAATATGAAGTAATGGACTGGCTATCGCATTTGTTGCAAATCAATGTGGGAGTTCATGTTGACTTCCTCTCAATTTCTCTTTTCAGGACTGTCACTTCCGCAGTCGGTTCCATTCCAAATGGGTGCTCAATGTGGACATTGACGAGCGTTTGGTGGTGCTCCAAACCCCACTTCCATCTCTTTTACAGTCAGATCTCATCTCATTTTCAAACCATACAGAAGAGTACACAACTTTCAGAACAATAGCTTCGGATGTTGGTGAAGTGATAATATCGGCGAAAAGAGTGATGCGATTGTATCCATTACCTGAAAAGTACAAAACGAAAGAGGAGTTGTGGAAGGAGCTGGAGTACGTGAAGTACAACAAGACGACGAAGGCAATGTGGGATGTGCCCAAAGTGATTTTCAGGCCTGAGAAGTTGACTATTGTAGCAACTGATAGTGAGCTAAAAAGAAAATGTTGCAGAGTCCAAGCCCTCTTCTATCACTGGACCTTTGCTCAATACCCTGGCGTGAAAGTGTTCGCGGTCCCCAAAAGCCAGGCGTACATCCGTCATTACCGTACCACAATGAAGAGCCTTCTGGGCATTTGGTACCAGAACAAACAGTTCAATGTCACTCGAATGGACCGAATTCTGGAGGAGAAAGTGACTTTGGCGGTGACGAAGCGGCTCGAGTCGGTCTATCATCGACGGAAGATTTGGTGCGAAGAGATTCGAAATAACTTGATTGGTCATTTTGCCAAAGAGAATTACGATTGTGTCTGGAAGAATGGGACGAGTTATGTGAACGCGGCGATGGGTTTCAATGTGTGAAATTCGTTTTCTTTTCAGTTTCAATAAAGCTTTACACGTCATGTTCTCACGTTGCACCCCAATCCAGAAAAATGATCATCTTTGACACTTTTCGACAACGGCACCTTACCGCTGTGCTCTGTTCCTTTGAGGTTACTTCATTTTTAGCCGATTAACGTGAACTTCAGATTACCAAACAGAACACGTGGCTAGTTATTGACTTTAAACTATTCTTCCTCCCGAGAACATGACGGCTAGAGGTGTGATGCCTTCGACACGAATCATGGTGACCTACCGTAATCCTGCGGCTACCGTAACCCACCTTGCAGCCAATCAATTCGCGTCTCGAGTCCACGCGCACGTTTCCGAAGAGTCTGAATTCGAAGGAAGTGCCAAGATTGAGCAAAGAGCAGTTGGCGCAGCGCCGAAATGACGTCATTAAGTACTACAAGTGAGCAATTCTGATGTGCCCATGGTGATGTGATGCAATTTCCAGTGAGCTCTCCCGCAAGAAAGTAGCTTCAAGCGTGTGTGCTCCCAAAGCACTAAAGCGATAAGAAGTCTCCGATTGTCAGAAGAGCCGCTCAAAGTGTTCCCAGAGAAAGTTCACGGCAGAGAACTCGTGCGCAGTCTTCCAGGAATCCGAAAGTTCCCGTTGAGCTGCCGGCTATTCAAGAGAATCCGGCGGAGCTCATCTGGGAGCAGATCAAGGATTTGATAGGCAAGATGCGCAAGATGGCGCCAGTTCAGGGAGTTTCGCGTGAAGACGTGGAACAGCATCTGCAGGAGCTGTTGAGTTTTATGGTTGGTTGAGGAGAAATACGGGGACACAGAACTGAGACATTCTTTCCAGGTATAAGGAATAGATCCCTTTTGCTACTTCAAAAAATGAAACAAACGATCATCACTGATCTCACAATAGAACTGTTCTTCTGCTCCAGCTATTATAACAACATGTTTAATTCTGTGTTTCTTTGTGGCACTACTCAGCAAACCTCTGCAACGTTGACTGAAAAACTATAGTCGAAGAATTCACAATAGTCATACTAAGTCATCCTCGGAGACCTTCTAGTTTTTACTCCATCAAATTTTGACTCCATCATGTCCGCCCGGCCGCCAACGCGATTGATAACGTTGTTAGTGTTCAGAAAAAAAAACACAGCATGCGAATTTCCCCCCAAGAGTGTTTCTCAAAATCTTTGAGCTCTAAACCTTTTCCCCCGTAATTATCATCATCCTTTTTCAGACATACTCACCACGAGGCATGCATAATCATCGGCGCTGTGTCCACTTTAGAATCTAGTCTATCTAAGCCCCGACTATACGATTTCGAGAGAAATGCTCGAAGTTTCTGACGTTATCATCAAAATCGGCTTCGTTATCGCGTGCCTTACCAACTCTTTCCTGATCTACCTGACCGCTGTGCATGTGACCTACATCAGAGGCACTTACAAGTACATGATTATCATTTTCGCTACCGCCTGCATCATATTCGATGCTTCAGAAGTGCTCGGCCGTCCGCTGATTCACAACTTCAACGGCGGTCTCTTCTATATCAGTCTGAACAAATCATCGAGAGACGAGCCATTGCTCCAACTCTTTTACGCGATTTTCATTGACGCCTACGCCGGATTGTACTCTTGTCTGATTGCGTTTGCCGCCGTTCAGTTCATATTCCGATATGCCACCCTGCTCGACAACAGGGCTCTTTTGAAATCGTTCAAAGGGCTCAGAAGTCTGGTGTGGATCCCCGTGATTGTGATTCCGGGGACAATGTTCTGCGGGACGGCGATGCTCCTGCTGCAGCCGGACGAGTATTCGAACGAGTACGTGCGAGAAGAAGTGCTCAACAACTACGGGAGAGATGTGGAGGACGTGGCACGACTCATTCTCGTCGCTTACGTGAGTTCGACTCACAACCCTCAACCTTCAATACTAATTAGAGTTTGCAGGACGAAGACAAGGAGATCCGGTGGAAGAACGCGTCGTACTGTCTCATCGGGACCTTCATCATCTCCCTCGAATACCTGCCGATCATCTTCTGCGCCGTCAAAATGCAAATGAACATCAAAAGTCAGCTCAAAAACGTCTCGTGCCGACACCGAAACCTTGAGAATCAGTTCTTCAAAGCGCTTCTAGTGCAGATCTGTCTGCCCACCTTCATTCTGACCTTTCCTATGGCTCCGATGCTGCTGGCCCCACTTCTCGACACGCAGATCAGTTTTGACGCGAGCGCCTTCTATTCGGTGCTCAGTTTGTATCCGTCCATGGACAGTCTGGCTCTGATGCTCATCGTTGCCGAGTACAGAGGATGTGTGAAGAGTGGGTTTTAGCTTCCTTCAGTCGACGTGGTTTCCATCGAAGTCTGTGTTTTCAGAGGTCTTCAAACGACTGCTGCCAGCCAAAATCCAACAAAATGAGCTGCCGCTATCATCCATTTCTTGACGTTTTGTACTCAATCTATATCACATAAAGTGTTCATTGAATTTGATTTGCGTGTCGGGCCAGAATTTACTTCCGTATTACAAAGCTCGTGGAGCTCTTCGTGGAGAGCTTCTAGCAGAAAAAGATCGTGATGAAATTGTCTACAGTTCAAAAACTATTGTGCTCATTTATGTGCAAAACAAGTCTCCAGGGAGGTCACGAGATTCATCTAGAACTTTGTGTTATTCGGCACTTTCTCGATGGTGGGCGGCGAGTTTCGAGAGATTCTACTCTTGCGACGGAGCTTTTCGATGATGATTTTTCGGAAGTTTTTGTCACAGAGGAACAAATTGTACGGAGTGGAGAGTGAGATCTGGAAGGAAGTCGTGACGAGAGGCTTCCAGAACAGGGAACCTACCAGATCGGAAACACAGAAGAGCACGGCTGTTTTCAAATAATTGCCCATGCTAATCTTGAAAAGACAGTGGCTGACCGCCACGCAGACGTGAATGAGCACATCGAACGCAATGATGTTCCGCATAGTCTTCGATGCGATATCCGACTCGGCCAGGTTCTTTTTGATGTTTCTCATTGTCCAGGCTCCGATTCCGACTGTCGCCAGAAGATAAGCAACCACTTGGAAGTCGAGAATCCACGCGTAATCTCCCCATCGGTTCGAATGATACTCCAAGGATTCTGTGGTCGAATTGTAGGTGATCGTGTTGAGTTGACTGACGAATGCGTAGGGAACGGTCATTGCGGCCGAGTACACGAAGACGGCGGCGTAAACAAACAGGTAGTACTTTTTCCAGATCTGCAAAACCAGACCGTTTGGCAAATAGCTTTGAAACTGGCAGAAACCTGCGTGTACGAAGGATAAGTGACCACGGTCAGCCGATAGACGCACTTGACGAGAAGACTCGAACTTTGAATGTGATAGAACATTTGGCTGAGGAAATCGTTTCCTTGCAGGATGTATCCAACGTTTCTGACAGCAGGAAGCAGTAGGAACGAGCATTCCGAGTCGGTGGCTATTCGCTTTATCCACGTGTGCAAGTAGCACGTTATGTTCTGGAATGATTACGGTAGTCTGTTTCTGCCTTCTTAGGAATTGCTTCTAAAGCTCAAGGATACTCCTCCTGTGTGCAACAGGTTCTCGAAATGATCTCGAAATGACCACTGGCTTCTACTGGTTGTTGGTGTTAGTTGCTAAAATCTCAACTCAAGTCAACTAAAGCTTGGATGTTTATCACTCTTTTAATACTATTCTTCTGGGTTTCCCTCAACTGTAAATTCACAAAGAATCAGACAATATCTGAACTTACAATAACAAGATCGCACGTGACGAGTTTGTAGAACGGAGACCGGAACTTCTCGTACTTTTTGATCACCCAAAGGCGAGAAAGGACAAGAGAACGGAGAAGGGACCGTAGGAGAACCAGACGTAGAATATCCAGCTCATCAGGATGGAATGGGATGGAATGAGCTCAATGAGCCGTGCGCACGTGAGTTATTTGAGCGCCGGCTCGCTTGTTTGTCGCTCCGTGCTGATGAGTCGGCCGACGACTGGCACCGAGTGGCTTTCGACGGCCGCGGATCACCGAACCACCCGTTTCAGCCGAAAGACAGTGGAGTAGAGAAGTCCCGCGGGAACGAGATCTCCATCAGTTGAGCTTTCTATGGAAACGCGCGGTTCGAGCCGATGATAATTAATCAGCGTTTTGGAGTGGAGCTTGGTGCGATTTTATTTTTAAACTCGTATGCAGAACCATGAGAATTGGAGATTAACTGGAGTGAGTGCAAACATCAGAAACGAAAATTGGACCACCGGCACAACTAATGAATCCTTTCGAAAAGCCGAGAGAAAAGAAGATGAAGGAAAAAATCATCAAATGGTCCGGGATCCATTGAAATCGTGGCTGGTCCTGAAAGTTCATAGGCGGCGTCAATGTGTAGAGAGTTTCGTTCATGTTGAAGGTCTCTTTGCAAACTGGAGATATGCATCTTCTTTGACTGTCCAGTGGGTCCTCGAAAAGATCTGAAACTTTCAAATCAGACACTCCCGGGCAAAGCCCGATTGGGTTTTCTCAAGAAAGCGAAGCTCTTCGCCCATCCCTGGCTCCTCCTGGCATACTCTTAACGAGACAGGTAAGTAATGGAAGTATTTGAAAGTAATTCCGTCATTCGAAAGACCAAACCCTCGCCAAAATAAAAAACAATGTGCAACCAATTGTTATCCACTTTCCGGTTCCATTCGTCTCTCTCTCTCTCTCTCTCTCTCTCTCTCTCTCTCTCTCTCTTTCTTTCTTTCTTATTCCTCACAAACGCGGTCAAAACCCAGAACCACGCGAGCCATGTCCGGAGTGCCTTTGCCTCTGAAGTGTGGAAACTCGTCGCTCGTCAGACATCGCTTCTCCGAAATCTTCTTGCACTCGACCATCGTTCTGGAGTTGCCTTGCTCGGTTTTCGCCATTTGGTGCATCGCGAATGTGACTCCGAAGCAGATGTTTTCCCTCAAAATCTTGCTGTTGCTCCATCAGTTTTGGTAGGTTCTGATCGTCAAATCGGCCGGAAACGTGATTTTTCTTTCAGGGTAACCTACTACAGCTTCATCATTAACGTGGGCTCGGTTCCGGTGTTCTTCTTCCCCGACATTGTCCTTTACACGCGCGGCATCTTCGACCGTCTGAAGCTGGACATCAATTTGCAGGTGTACTTTCTGGGCATTGCGTTCGCCGGCCTCCTCTTCTCGATCCTCGGCCTCTTTTCCTATCGTCATCAGTGCGTTCTTCACGACTCACATCCCCTGAAAATGCGAAGGACTACTCTGGCGGTGTTCTCGGGATCTTTGCATTGTCTGGCCACTGTTTACATGCTCCCCTTTTTCTTGGGAGGACTGGACCAGAAGCTGATTCTTGGGCAGGTGCAGCAGGTATTCGGGGAATCGTGCCGGGTTCAGATGTCGAGTCGTTCCAGGGCTACCCGAATCCCCCGTGTGATCTCTGGGATCCTGCCATCTTGGTCATCTTTCATGGCGTCGACGGCATCTTCATCTACTACCTTTTGGTCGCCATCGTCTCCAGTGCTCTCATGTTTTTCTTCGTTTGGCACAGCTTCCACTCAATCCGAAGATCCCGCTCAATGACGTCGAAAAGTACCAGAAAGAGACAAATTGGATTTCTCTACGCCCTTATATTCATGGTAAGAACAGCTAGAAAAAAGGAATGTCGGAACCGGGGCAATTTAGGCACTTATCCCAAACTTTCTACTCATATTCCCGATTGTGGGATTGGTATTGGGAACAATGCACTCGACTGCTTATCATTCAGGTCAGCGGGCACAAGTTCTGGTACATCAGACGCCTATTTCAGAGTACGGGGACATATTAGTGTGCTGTCTGTCCTTACACGGCCTCGTCTCCACAGTTACCCTCGTAATGAGCCACAAACCGTATAAAACGACAGCGGTGGCTTTTGCAAGGAAAATTACGTTGCGTAAGTTCATAAGTATTCACACTCCCGCCGAGAATGATTTATTTTCTTCCAGGAAAAGCTGTTCCTTCAAAATCGGTCATCCAAATCGAATTGAGCACAAAGTCTGCAAAGTTTTAGTATTCAAACGTCACTTTACTTTCTGTCTGCAATCGTATTATTGTGACTCAAAAACACTCAAGAACAGGCTGAAAACAAGGCACAGCTGACTTTCACTTCCAGCCAATCACTTCGTTTACTTCCATTTCCTAACCAAATGACCCTTCTGCCCGATTCGTGCAACAATTCCTCCGATGTGGAGCATAAATTTGAGAAGTACTTCATGAACATCTCCATTTTCTTCGAAGTTCCGTGTGATCTTCTGGCCGTCTACTGTATATGCAAACTCACTTCGAAACGCTTTTTGTTGGTGAAAGTGCTGCTGCTGATTCATCAGTTCTGGATCGTATTCTTCAGTGTTATCATTAGTGGCTTCATTCAACCGATTGTTTTTTTCCCCGTACATTGCGTACTATTCACAGGGTGTTTTCAGTTTTTTTGACATGCCCCCTAAACTGGTACTTCTTCTGACGGGAACTGCATTTGGAGGTTTGTATGATCCGTTCGAAAGCAACCTTTAGAAGAGTTCCGGAATGTTTCACAAGTTGCAGGCATGCTCTTCTCGATCCTCTGCCTCTTCGCCTACCGTCATCAGACCGTGCTTCCCGACCGACACCTCCTCAAACTGCGGCACTCTCGTCTCGTCCTCCTCTGTGTTCTCATCCAGAGCATGACCGTAATCTACATGCCACAAGTTTCCCTGAATTGGCCGATACGGCCGGATGCCCTCAACAAACTCCAGAATGCGTACTCCAATCCGCCGTGTGACCTCTGGCACCCACACATTTTCGTTTTCTGGATGGGAGACGTCGAAGAGCTACTCGGCTTTGGCATTTTCATGCTTTTGTGCACCGTCGTGATGATGTTTTTCGTGGTGCACAGTTTTCGGATCATTCGCGTCTACGAGAGAATCACATCGAAGTCGACGAGAAAACGACAGATCGGATTCCTGTACGCGTTGATTCTGATGGCTTTCATTCCGAACTTTTTCCTATTTGCCCCAATCATGGTCTTCGTTCTCAGCAATAATGGCTCGAATGCCTACGTTCCAGGTACCTAAGGATTCCTTTTCAACACTGATATTTTCCAGAACTGGGCGACGCGGTCGTCTGCATTGTAGGTTTGAACAGTCTCGTGTCCACGATCACTATGATTCTGAGCCACAAACCGTACCGGAACGAGGTGTTGGCAATGGGAAAAAAGGCGGTTTGGTGGAGTGAGTTAGCGTGGAGTGAACACTGGAAATGACAAAAGTTTTAGTTTCAGGAAGAGAAAAGCTCAAGAGAGTGATACATTGTGATATGACAACGAAAAGTACACGATTCTAGTTTCATTTTGTAGCTTTGATATCACACAAGAAAGAATGTCTTTCATTTTACCGTTCATTCGAAACGGTGTTTCTCAGGAGCCTGTGAAGATATTGTAAGGGATCAGGAGGTCCAAAACCATAGGTAATCAACCCGTCCCTCAGGGTACCTCTTTTCAATCAAAAGGGCTCATACCTCGCCCTCTCTCGCCCACCAAGTCTCTCTCGCCCTTTCACCCTTCGAGCCCATCCCCTGCAATCCGATCACATTCCAGAGCGCCTCCGATTTCCGGCTCGCCAACGGCCTCGCACGCCGAGCTGTATTCAACTGTGGGCCGAGAAGCAGACTATCAATGCTAATGAGTGCTCCTTCAAATCTGAATAGAACTTTGCAATACGTGCATACGTTTGTGGGAAGGTTCCCGGGATCTAGACTGAGACTTTTAATGAATAAACTATAACCTTTTCAATCTCCAACATTCAAATACCATGTGACTTGCGTGCTCCAATTGGTTTTCCGCATGACTTCAGTTCGAAATGAGAGAAATATTTCGAGCATTTGTTTGGCCGAAAGATACGCCATTAGGTTCTTTCTAACATTCATTTTTGCTCGAAAATGATTGAACACGACCAAGTGGACCACTTTCCGACTTGGTTCCTGCTGGTTGAGTCCGCTTCTCTCGTCTTGCTCTTCGTGCTCACTCTGGTTTCGTTTTTTGTGTACATCATCGAGATACAAATCATATTCTCGTACCGCAAGACCACTTTTAGAGGTGAGCCAGGTTTACGACAGTTTATTTATCAGTTTGGCAGGTCCTTTTTACCGTCTCATGTTCGTCGGAATCATAGTTGATATGCTCTCCGCTGTCAATCTGTTTACGGGTCAAGTAATTCCAGCCAGAAAGTGAACACACTCGGCTGGTCCCTTATTCGTATCTCTGTCAATTTTAGATTCTTCGTCTCCTATCTCATTTCCAATCAAAACTGGCTCGGCGCCATTTTCTTTTTCCTCACTTACGGCGGTCGGTGTGTTCAAGGGGCAACAGCCACGATTCTCTCGTTCTGCCGGGTCATGGCCGTATTGTCGCCCATGGTTTATCGAAAAGTTATTCGAAAAAGAGTACATATTCAATTAGCGCTCAATTACAGTTGGCCCAACAAAACTACATTTACGCCATGCAAGCCTTCCAGTTATCCGGCGCTCTGATCGCCGGACTTCTTCTCTTGCCCGACAATTATGAGTACATTTTCGAGAATGATGGGTCGGTCTTAACCAGTCTAAAATTAGAAAGCATTTCCGTTCAGGTATTATTCCGTAGGATCGGATGTTTCCGACGTCGATTGGTTCTACGTGTTCGCGTCTGTTTTGGAGCTCATTTTCGTGGTGCTCATTGTGGCCAATAACCTGGTCACGTGTTGTACATTTCGGTTTAAGTTCCGTACAACTGTAGGTGTCAGAGAAAAAGAATAGAAGAGAAACAACTTGAAGACAATTTTAGAAGAAGATAGTTCAAAGTACAACCAATTCGGTTCTAGCGAGTCAGGAGAAGCAAAGAAGAGAGAGCAGTCTGGATAAGATGACATGGATCGTGTGTTGCGTGGAACTCATCTACTTCGCCTATATCGTCTATTCCCTCGTCATCAATTCGACGATGAACAAGCGGGTTTTCTACTTTTTCTACAATATCCTCTGCATCATCTACTCCACCTTCTCCGCCTGGATGCTTCTCATCGTTTCAAAGCCAATAACCGTGCAATTTCAACAAAGATTCTCGTACGTTTTCTGATCTTTCAAAAACACCGTAAAACTTTAGAAACCTCGGCTCAACTCGTCAGAGATCCAAGTCGATTTCAGTTCAAGGAAGCCGTGAGAACAATATCAAATGATCGTTGCTTTTTGATTCGACGAATAAACTGCTGTCACCTCTTGCAACTTTTCCCACACTTACTCATGCCAGCATGCTTCTCTGATTTCCTTGCATGACTGAACCAAAAGCATCAGGCTAGCGATCAAATCTCAGAGCTAAAAATGGGGTTGAGCACATATCTTCTTCTTCTTTTTCTTCTTTTTATCCTCAATCATTTCCAGAAGTTTCCGATGAACAACGTGGTGTTCGATGCGTTCCCCGAGTGGTTTCTCATCGCTGAATCCGTCTCCATAGTGGTCCTACTGGCAATTGTGCTTGTTTCATTTGGGCTGTACTTTGTTGAGATTCAAATTTTGTTCACTTTTCGGACAACTACTTTCAAAGGTAAATACCGTGAACACTGCTATATTAAAAACAATACATCTCAGCTGCCATTAGAAATATCAAAAAGTAGTCATCTGACAAACTTTTTAGAGATACATTCTGCACATTTTAGCAGTTGATAACGTCTTGATATCTTCACCGGCAACTGAGATATATCGTTTTGAACGAACGGTATTTGGGTGTCTTTCTATTGAACAAGAAATCTAAAGTCTGCAGGACCTTTCTACCGTCTAATGTTTATCGGGATCCTGGTTGACATGGTGTCCGCTATCAACTTGTTCACCGGCCAAATCATTCCAGCCAGAGGGTCCGTCGTTTCAGTGGTTTTTGTCTTTAAATCAAGACCTTCAGTTGGTTCGCCACATTCTACTTTGCCAATGAAAGTTGGCTCGGTGCCATTTTCTACACAATCTCCTACGGCGGACGGTGTGTCCAGGGCTGCACGGCCACAATTCTCTCTTTCTGCCGCGTCAGCGCCATCTGTTTCCCCGTCCTTTACCGTCAAGTACGTGTTCTCGGTGCCCTTCTCCGTCTCATCACGTGCCCCCTTTCCAGCTGAACCAACCAAAGTACACCTACTTCATGCAAACATTGCAACTACTCGGAGCACTCGCCGCGCCGCTCTTGCTGCTCCCACGCGGGTATCAGTATACGAGCGAGAACGGAGGGTACGTGGCATACGGTGCTCTCTTTTGGTTCTTTTTCAAAGTCCCTCTTGCAGGTACTACTCTGCTTTCTCGGATAACTCGTTCCGAAAGCCGTTCTACAACTTTGTCGCAGTGTTGGAAGTGTTTTTTGTGTTGTGCATAGTGGTGAACAATCTCGTGACTTATCTCATGTTTCGGCTCAAGTTTGGGAAAGTGAGTGCGCTCCATCGGACACGGAGTGGTGTGTGACAATATCATCTCTTATCAACTGCGTAATAAACGGGCAAAGAGTGATTGGGTTTTAGAGTTCTGAAAAGGGCAGTTTCACTGGATGGCAAGGTTGGAGTAATCAAGTGATCCGCTTACTACAAGTTTGTTAGTTTGCATTTGTTATTTGTGGGTTACGGTAAAGTGCGCTCCATTGCACAAGGGCATTTTAGCGTAATGGACACGCATTTTGGAGTCCAGCAAGATTTTATGTGATGCCTAACAGTTTACGTAACAGCATTGCAGGGCAGAATCACGAAACGGAACTCGATCACGGCGACTCAACATCAGGCGCACCGCGAGAAACAAAAGAGAGAGAGCAGCCTGGACAAGATGACGTTCATCGTGTGTTGCGTGGAACTCGTCTACTTTGCGTTCGTGGTCTACGCCCTCCAAATCAATCAGACGATGAACAAGCGGGTCTTCTACTTCCTCTACAATATCCTCTGCGTCATCTACTCCACCTTCTCCGCCTGGATGCTTCTCGTTTTCTCCAAACCGATAACGGTGCAGTTTCAGCAGAAATTCTCGTAAGTTTCCGAGTGATGTGGCAGTGATGATTCATAATTTTTCAGAAAGTTATCAACGAGTCGGTCAACGCGATCAATATCAATTTCGGTGCAAGGAAGCCGTGATAACAACAAATAGAGGCGAAACAGAGAAAAGAAGTATGAATCATTCGACTGATAAATTTTTTTTCTTTCACATTGTCACCGTGGTTGTGTTTCTCTAAAGTGAGTGACTTTATTGACACGAGAAAGTTTTGAATATCAACTAGGTCAGCCAAGTCGAAAATGTTTGAACAACTGTATTTCTGGTTATTAAACTCTTGGATGACTCAGTGACAATTTTGAAGAGATGCTTCATATTGTTTTAGTAAAACACATTCTTATCATCTTTCTTCCCTTTCTCTCACTCTCTCTCGCCACATTTGTCTTCTCTTCCCTTTCCGATTCGTGTGTCATTTCTCATATATTACCTTTGCCACATTCATCGGTCAGTTTTCGGTTGGAAATGGAGGAGCAATCGGATCTCATTCAGTTTGAGCAAGAAGAGAGAAAGAAACTGGAAGAGAGTTTGGTAAGCTCGATTATTTCTGGAGAATGTTTAGTGTAATGATATTATGCTTTTGGACTTTTGTTCGCAATCAAAAGTTGGGAGAGTACGAAGCAAGATGCGGAGAACAGATGGTCACCGATCAGAAGGTCAGAGGAGGAGGAGGAGGAGGAGGAAGAGAAACGGTTTAGTGAAACTGTACATTTCAGCACGGACCAAACATTGGCCGAACAATTAATCTTCTCTCGCAAACTTTGATTTATAAAGTTTCCGAAACAGTGGAAACGGCGAAACAGGAATTTGCTAGAGAGGCATTGAACAGAACCAACGATGAATGTATGCATCTCATTTGTGAGCGCCATGCGCGTTTTGTGAGCCTTTTCAAAATATACTGGTTAGTTAAAGGACCTGGGAACTTTCTGTCGGAATTATGGCCGTGGCCTAGGAAAAGAGATCTTTGAGACGTTGTCAAAGGAAGAGTTTTCACACCTGAGTTTTCTAGGCCACAGCCACAGCTTTCACGTTAGTAGGCATTTGTGAGAATTGGTAGCCGAGCAGCGAATAGGATACGTGTCAGACATGCACATAAACTCGGCCCAAGTTCAAATGACAGTTTTCAGCGACACAAAAATGAATAAATACGAAAGCCTTCTGGAAACTTCGAAGGAAAGCGACGAGGCGTTCGAAGATGTCAGTTTCCTGCTGAAATGCCGAATCAACTTCCTATTCCCGGCACGTAGGATCGTTGAAATTGCGGGGAGCACTCAGGAAAAGCTGCATGAATTCATAGGACTTCCGGCCCATTCAAATAATGAAGAGAGCAGGAACAAAGTGCAGAATGAACTGGGAAAACTGATCAGGGAATGGTTTGAAGAGGACCGGCGCATCAGAAAAGAGCATTTCGATCTTTTGGACTCTCTCGGCGAAAATTCGAAAACCAAGTTGGTGGAAATGCTCACGGAGTACATGTGCATCAATCAGAAATGCTCTCATTGGTGTTCACTGATCTATTCCAACTTGAATGTACGTAATTTCAGTAGATTTGTACGCCAAAAGAACAACAATTACAGCATAACGACTTCAAGGCGAGACTTGATGGTGTTGCAGGAGATGTGCTGGATTACTCAAAAGCCGTTGCTCAGTTGGCTGTGAATATCCATGCGTACACAAAAACCATTTTGTAGATATTGCTCATTCTATCATAAATTGTTTATAGGGAAAGTATTGGTAACTTTCAATATTTGGTCCGAACCACTTTCACTTTATCTCTCTCTCTCTCTCTCTCTCTCTCTCTCTCTCACTCTCTCACTACACCACCACTTCCATTCTTTACTGCATTTTCCGCGTAAAATCGAAATTCCTTCTTTCTTATCACTTTTTGCCTAGAGAATCGTGCTCCAGCAAGAAAATGACAATCGTTGGGGATGGTTTGAGTCAGCTGAGCGATTTCGCGGAGGAAATGAGGAGGAAGACCGAACAGAAACTCGTGAGCACATTTGTACACAACAAATCAAAATTAACGTTTAGGAAATCATCTCCAAAGACTTGTTGAAAGCCATCGTTGCGAAAAGTCCTCAACCCGCTGAGCTGCTGGACATTCCGACTGGCGAACCCGCAAATGCGGTGAGCTAGTGCACAATTCATTTGGAGCTCTTCACACTGGAATTTTAGCTGGAAGTGTACCATCGAAATTACAATGACGTCGAGAAAATCATTGGGTGTATGCTGAGAAATCTTGCAGTCGCGAAGACCGTTCTGGCGAACCAGAGTCTCGACTTTAACGATTTGACAGCTTGCGTATTTACCCAAGAAACGGTGGACCACTACAAGAAGAAAATCGAAGAGGCCTACGACTGTGCTGTTGAAATGTTCAAAAAGACTGTGTAAGACTTTGAGAGACCCACTTGCAATAATAGACTTGGATTGAAATAAATTAGACCCAAGTTTTAGACCGATCGTATAAGTTTAAGTTTCGGCTTTAGTAAATGCTCCGATCTGTCTGAAACTAGGACCCAAAACACTTCAGTCCAAGTCTAAGAAGTCTAAGAAGTTTGGGTCCGATCGGATTATTGAAACTGGGTCAAAATGTGAAAAGAACAACAACAAGTTCCAGAGATTCGATGCGTGAAGAGTTTGAAAGTCTGTTCATACTCGCCCAGAAAAACTTTGACTGTGGCGTCATCAACGGAATGCCTAACATTTTTATCAATTTTCTCTACATCGTCATCGGACCGGTCACTAAAATTTGCAATATTCTATCAAGTTTGGAGGATAAGGTATTATAGTCTCACTTATTATTCGTTGCTCCCAACCTTAGACAAAAACTTTGATTTTCAGCTGAGAATGCTTGCCGCCAAATGTTATTCCACTTCGTCCAACAAAGAAGCTGAGAAGAGCCGGATAGCCGCGGAAATTGGCAAATTGCTACGGGAATGGCAAGAGGAAGAGAGTCTGATTGGCGAAAAACAATTCGATCTTATCAATGCACTCGACCGTTCGGATATTGAAGAAGAACTCAGAGACTCCACAACGGACCACATCGGGCGATTGAATGATTTGAACAGAGCACACAATGTTTCTTCGGTTCGCTTGGATATTTACTCTAATTTGACGGTTAGCTCTCATAATTTACGATAGAATTGAGTTTTATCGCTTTCAGAACGATAACTTTGAATGGGCTGACGTGGCTAAAAACATTGGCAAGTGCAAAACTAGCATCGAACAACTGACTGCCGAGATGAACGATTTTCACAAGGCAATCTCAAGAGAAATCCCAAGAGGAGAGCTTATTATTTTCCTGTAGCGTCGATAAAATAAACTGAATGACAAAGACACGAGAAAACAAAGAAAGTGACCGAGAAATCAGTAGGAAATGTAATGCGCCACCCTTAAGTAGTCTCGTCAATTGCTACGACTAAAATGACGTGTGACGAAATGATTTATTGATTGTTGAAGTCGATGACAAGATAGGCGGTACATTTTCTAAGAGCGGTAAACTTGAGCGATTAGGGCCCCAACTTTGACTTTCCGCTAGACACACTCAAATAATCACAAAGCTCCTCAGTCGATTCTTGTCTCTCCGTTTCTGTTTTTGTTTCATTCTTTTATTGTCCGGACATTTACTGATCTCTAAAACAAAAAACTGAGAGAATAATACGTTTTATCAAGCTCGATTTAGATTGACGGGTTTTTAGTGGTCCGAACAAGGCGGAAAGATATCAGGAATACAAATCAGGAGGGCTTATATAGGAGTCGAATGGGACGGAGCTGGATCGGCCGCATGTGGTGGCGTGATTGAACGGACGAGGCTGATCGGTGGCTGAGGATCCGATCTGAAAGAATTCCAGAAAGATTGTGTGATGGGAAGCGAGGCGCAGCGCAGGAAGACGCGTCTAATGGATTTGCTCGGACCGTAGCTTCCTGGACTCAGGAATGCGCGCGTCGCGGGGCAGGCAAAGTGCGAGGGGATGCGTATCCTAAGACGCCTAATAATGGCTGCGCGATCCCTTACACCATGAACACGTAAACTTTCTAACGGTTATGAGAATCAAACAAACGGCCTAGTCGCATTCGAGCGTTAGATCGCCCCGCGCAGCGAACCCAGGTTCCAAACGCCTTGTTTTATTCTGATAGCGTTTTACCTGTTGCATAGTGTGTGTGTTCTCTTCCCTATCAGCTACCGTTCGAATCCAAAAGATATTTCGGAACGGTATCAGGTGACGTCATCACATGTCTCGGTCTCTCTCTCTCTCTCGTTGTCTGTCTACTATAAAACGACGGCGAGTGGGCGGTGGGTGGCAGACTATTTCTCAATGAATTTGACAATCTTCGTTGGTCTGATCGTGTTCTTTTGCGTGCAAGGTTGGTTGATTTTGTGAAAGTTCAGTAATCTCGTCAGGATATAATTTGAGCTTTACTAGACAATCTATGTGTATCTCTCATCTTTTGAAAAGTTTTCATAGTTAGTGTTCATTACATTACCGAGTGAGTTAGCGAGTCGGTGTGAAATAGTGCTCCATTACTTTTGATTGTGCTTTTAGGCGAACGTGAGAGAATTTGGTGAGATTGTGTTAGTTTGAATATCATCGGAACCTGTTTCACTTTCTTAAAGACACGTAACATAACAACCGTAGATCAAACATTTGTTAAACTGACGACCTTTGTGCTAATGGCAGTAGTGTTTAGTCATGACAATACGGATGATTCTAGTCAACACAGTCATCAAATAATGATTTCATTCATATTTTCATTAAAGTATGTTTTTCGCTCACTACTGTGAGTCCATAATAACTGAACACAACAACATCACTACAATAGATCAAACATTTGTACTTTTGCACTAATTTTCAAGATGACGTTCAGTACACAGCCATCAAAATTACATTACAGTATGCTTTTCGCTCACTATGGAAGGTCTCTTTCGGAAAATAAAAACTCCCGAAGACGTTCACGCAGATCCAGTTGGTCCCGAACCTTCATTCGTTCGTCCGATTAGTACAGTAGCTGGCAGACCTGTCAGTTCATCTTACCATCTTTTTAAAATGTGAAAGTGAGTTGCAGGTGATCCCGAGACGTTGGACCTACGAGAAGAAATCGGATCCGAGTTCGTTCGAGAATCTGGCCCCCAATCCGATTCATTCTCAACACAGACTCATGAATATTAACCGGTTGAGAGGAAGGCTTAATTGATATTGTCTTCCGAATAAAAAATAAATCTCGGGTCTTCATTCATGTAAATTTAAATTATTTTCTGGCTACTGCCACGTGTAAGCTTCGAAGAATCGGTCGAAATAGTGTTTGCTTGATTATTTCAAAAGCGACACTCATTTCCGACTAGATGCCATTACATAAATGTTCAGTTTTTGACTCACTCTGGTCTAATGAGGAATCAGAAACCGAAATGATGGTCAGAGAATATTAATGGTTGTGTGAGCAAGCACAACATGTTTTTGCTTGTTTCAAATATCTGACTAATTCTTATGGGAACTGATAAATCTAAAACAAACTCGTGCTCCGTTCAAAGCTAACGGACTGCAATCTGGCGGCCGCAATCGAAGTGCCAAGAGAGTTCGGAGACTCAATTTTCGAAGAAATCAGTAGTCTCACTATCCGCACGGCGTTTCTTCGATAAGTGGTGACGGCGAGAACGTGAAGGAGACAGTCGAGAATGGGAAGAAGTTGGAGCGGAGTCGAGAGGATCAGCACGATCGGAAACATTTTGAAAAGGGTAGATGAAATGGATTGCAATAATATCGAGTGGATGATAATGACTGCCGGCGGGGCGTAGCACAAAATCATCATGATGAAGTAGAAAACTTGCACCCGGAAGATGAGCTTTTGCTGTTTTTGGACGAGCTCCGAGAATTTGTGCCTCTTTCTGGCCAGACGGATATAATTGCTGCAGAACACAAATAATGATGATCATTGCGATTCTCGAATATGACATACTCACAAACTGATGAGAACAGTGGAGATGACGAGAAAAACTATGCAGACCACGATGAGGAACATAACAAAATAACGAATGCCCCGTGTGACTATTATCGTGTACACATTTTTCGTAGGAAACACTTCCACCAATCGAGGCTCCATGTCCAAGATTTCAGCGATGAAATCGTCAACGTTCCAGTCAAAGCCTAAAATTATCGGGAACTGAACAGAAGAAATGTCGAGCTGACGTTAACTGACTGAAAAAATAGAAAACTGCCGAGAGGGCACTTGATAAGAGCCCATAGGCAGTTATGTAAATCCTTAGCAGATATTCGGTGGGATAGTTTCGGAGAATCGGCAGTGGGATTCGGAGGTTCATAGAAATGACGATGATGGTGAAGAACGAGTAAACGCAAAAGACGACGACTGTCAGGTAGCCGTGGACTAAGATCAGAGAGAATATCATCGGGGTGTTCGAAGAGGACCACACTGCCCATCTGTCTGAAAATCAGCAATGTCCAAGAACTCGGGAGTAATAATCGATTTAAAAATCATTCTTTTACTCGACTGAATTCGGCCGTGGCCCTCCCTAAGAACGATTGGTCAGAAAAAAAGCAAATTCCAAAATACTTATTCAAAGACAAGAACATCACTTTTTACTGAAACTTTTTGATTTTCTGAAAATCGACAAGTTCTGAGCGCAGAAAACTGCATAAATTAAATGATTCTATTCGATTACCAATCAAAATGGCCCGATAATTGGCAATCATATCGAATCCAGTGACTGGAAATACGAACGATAAAATAGTCGATAAAACGATGTGCTCAATAATAATTCGCTGATAGATTTTTTGCATTCCCTTGGCGGTCACCATAACCGGAATCGTAAAAATTGTAATCGCCAGAGATAATAGAGCCAGTGCATAGTAAATTCCGTTTTTGTAAATTGAAAAGTTGCTGAATGGGTTTAAAAAGGTAAAAATCGTTTCAAAAGTTCTCACTTCTCTCTTTGATAAATCAAGGTTTCGTAGAACCCTCGATACTCGTTCGGATCGTTCGGATAAAGCGGTTCGCCGAGGATAGAAAACAATTCGGTCATTATGAGGGAAATGACAGAAGACTGATGGCTTGTTTTTGGTTTTGAGCCGCTGTCAGAAAACGAATAAATTCGAGTCACAGATAATGACGATAATGAAAATGGAAATCGTAAAACAACTCGTTCTTAATAGGAACGTGTAGACAAAGGGGAAGAAGAAACCGGATGAATATTACACGTGATGATGATACGGAGAATAGAAACAAAATCAGTGGAGAAAAAAGGCAGATAAACATTATTAAAACTAGCAGAATTCTGTGGGGTAACAAGAAGAAAAAGATAAAACTGTGAAAAGTTGATTAATACGGCCAGAGTGGATGGTGTTGATTGAATACGCCATCGTTGAGCGTCGGATATGAGTTGGTAGTGGAGTCCAGAATTCTGGCATCTTCCGGCGAGAGACGGAAGTTGAGCGTGTCCAAATAATCGCTTTGCTCTTCTGCAATACGCTTGAACCGATTCGGCATTCTGGTTCAAGTTCTTACCGAGCTTGTATCCACGTGGCAGTACGACGGCGCCTTTTTCCAGAAGCCAGCGGATCGCGATTTGGCGTGGAGTCTGAAAATAATTTTTTTTTAAATTTTGGGCAAACAAGAAAGAGTAACCTTGTGCATCTGTGCGCTCATCTCCTTCAGAATCTGCATCTCGTTCACTCCCGGCGTCGTCGTTTTCTCCGTGCTCTCTTTGCCGAACGGCCACATCGCTTCGAAGACAATGTCCCTCTCGCGGCACCAGTGCAGAATCGGAAGGCTTCTCTTGAAGGAGACGGAGAGCTCGGCCTGCACGACGCACGGATAGATGATGGCGTGCTCGAGAAGGCGTTCCAGCTGTTTCTGATTGAAGTTGCACACTCCGATCGTGCGCACTTTTCCTTCCACCACACACTGTTCGAGCGCCTTCCACGTTTCGAGGTAATCGATTTTCGAGTACTCGGTCGTTCGCATCCCGCCGTCCTCTTTCATTCCGTACGGCCAGTGGATGAGCATCAGGTCGAGGTAGTCCAGTTGCAAATCGGCCAAACTCTCGTCGACCGCTTCGATGCACCTGTCGTACGAATGGTATGTGTTCCACACTTTCGACGTGATGAATAGCTCTTCGCGCTGAAAAAAAGCCCGGAATTCAAGAGGAATTCACAACAATCCGCTACCGAATGACCGCTTCTGAGGAATTTCTGCAAAATGTGTCCGATATCCTTCAAATTGGCGTAGACCTGCGCGCAATCAATGTGTCGGAAGCCCGATTCAAGGGCCAGTGCAAGGCCGCGCCTCTCGTCGATGCACGACGTTTCGGCGACGTGATGCCACGTGGCAAGTCCCAGCTGAGGGATCGACCGGCCGTTTTTCATTCTCAAATTTGGGATTTGGATGACTCCGTTGCGCGCATTCTCTGAAATACTACATTTTAGATGTTAAGACACAGTTGAGACGCACGTAAAACTTGGAAAGAGTTGGAGTAGGTCAGCACGTCCATTCCGTCGAATTCGTGCATGTGACTTGGATATAGGTGGAAGTTTTGAATCTCCAGAATATCGCACAGTTTTTCTGAAAATGAGTTAGCATTGCCGACTAAATGTTTCCTTACTGCGCGATCCATGTCTGCTCACAATGGCCATTGCATTGTCCAAAAACCATCTGAAAACGACCTGCCTCGGGCTACGCTGAACATCAAACGCCGCCGACAAAACGATGGGATTCTCGAGAATCGGGGGCGGAACCTGAATGCCCTGGGGTATCTCCCTCTCGACGTCTGACGTGTATCCGATGACGATAATTCCGAGTCTCTCGCAATATTCGCGAATTTCTTTCTCTTGAAAATAGGGAGAAATGTCCAATTTGACGACGGCTGGATCGAAATAGTCGCGGATTTTGCGGATTTCCTCCTTCGAGAATCCGTTCAGCCCGACGGCGAGCACGGTTTCGTCGACAATTTCACAGTCGAGCTGCACGAACGCCTTCTTGATCGGCCTCGCCATCAATTCGTAATCACTGAGCACCGCCACGTTCACATCAACACGTGGCCCTTTTCCATCGCTGATCGTCTCGTCGAACTCTGCGGGACGATCGATCATGACCACATTCACATATTCGCATTGGAGATCTCGAATCATTCGCTCCATTCTCTCAGCTGCTTCCAGTTTCCGATAGGCCGCGTTGTTATAGGAGGCAATGATGAAAAGCTCTTCTCTCTGAAAATTAAGGGAATTCGGAAATATTAGGCCTTCAGGCACAAACTTGGACAATTTTTCTGTTAAGGATAGAGTGAAACACATTTCCGACTTTTCGATAGTTTAAATTCCTATGCGTGCAATCGATTAATCGGTAGCCAATTTTGATGGCCGCTTCGATTCCGAAATCGAGATCTTCCCCCTCCTGAAACGGGTCCAACATCAGTCCGACCGCCGGCATGTAATGACCGTTGTTTAACATGAAATGAGACATTTCAATCTGAAAAACGGTCGACGTTTGGGGCGAAAACAATTAATTTTCAGTTTCAGCGATATTTTCGAATTTTCAAAGATGGGAGCAACATTTCTTGTTTGCGACGGCAGAATTTAAGTTAAGAAAAGAAACGGGCCAATTAGGAATGCGTAAAAGGCGATTTTTGAGGAAATCCGGAGAAAGCACGAGAAATCGAGCATGAAAAAAAAACCCAAAAAAAATTTTGATTGTCGATAGTGCAAGTGTGCTCTACCGCACTTCCCACTTGACCTACAAAAGTTTGAAAAAGAACTTCGACGGTTTTTTTTGTTTTTAGCCAAAACTTTTCGATTTTTGATAATTCTCTGTTCTAGAAACGTCATCACGGTCTCCAGAGCTGACAATAAGGGCGTGGCCTCGGCCAAATGACGTTTTCATGAATTGAGCAGGTTTTCTCTGATTTTTGTGGTCAAAGGCGATGAAAAATGATCGTTCGACATGAAAACACACCAATTCTCAGAATTATGGGGCTATTCAGACTGTGAAAAAAATGATTGTTTTCCGTTTTTTTAGTTTTTTTACGTCAAAAAATCCAATTCAGCGATGTAAAAAAACGAAAAAAACGGAAAACAAACATACGCTGAATAGCCCCATTAATGACGTTTTGGCGCATTTTTCGCGGACTTCGCTTTTTCGCCTTCGCCGCCGATCGCCGCCGATCGCCGCCTAAAAACCGCACTTCTCATTTTGCGCTTTCTTGACCGTTTTCAGACATAATTGGTTTTGAGAATGATGAATCACGTGAATACAAGAATTTTGAGCGCTCGAACCGCTAAAACCACCGAAAAGCAACTGAAATTTACGCAGTTTTAGCCGAAAACATTCAAACGGATAAATGAAATTTGCGACTTGACCAAATTTAACGCTCTTGCGCTTAAAAAATTTGAAATAGCCTATACAATCGGTCTATCGAGAGAAATGAGAAATTATCGGTTTTTCGTGGCTAATCTGAAAAAAACACAAATTTTGCTGTTAAAATTTGAATTTCGCGCCAATGTCTATTGGGCAGGGCGCACTTGCGCCCATTGTCAGCTTGTAGACCGTGCATCAATTCTTTCCTTTAACTCTTACGTTTTCCAGAAAATCAAGCCAATCTCAAGCGAAATGAGCAAAACGCCGAGTCAAAAGCCCTACAGTACGTTTTTCTTTTGTAAATGACGCTACAACGTAATAGACCTCGCACGGAAGAGAACTGCACGAAATAGAGCTCAATTTTTAACGTTTTTCGCGATTAAAACCGTGTCTATAGAGTTCTATTTCGTAACAGTTCTACTCCGTTGTAGGGTATTGTAAATTACTCGGAAAATCGGAATTTGAAACTCAAAATTTGCAGTTAGCATCTGTCGCTCGATCACCAACTTCGAGGGATATTCGGACGACGAGTCGCTCGACGCCGTTCCGATCTTTGACACGCCCCTGAATCGGTCCAATCAGCCGTCTCCTTGCGCATCTCCGCCCAAAGATCCAGTTCCGATGCAGGTTGCTCCGCGCCCGTATCCGCTTCTTTCGTTCGCTCAGCTCGCGCCGCCGCCGCTGCCGACTCGAGTCGAACCGGCGGCCAAGTTTCCGCTGAAAGTGGCGGAAGAGCCGCGAGTCCAGAAATCGCTGATTCGCCGTTGTCCGACTCCCAAACACTTTCCGATCACCACGTCGTCTGCTGGCCTGGCCCCGGCTCCGCCTCCGCAACGCCGTACTCCGGAGCCGTACATCCACAAGCCGTTGCAGCCCATAGAGCCAGCGAAGCTCACCCCGGAAGAGCAGCTGAAGAACGAATTGCACAAAAAATTGACTGCGGCGTGCAGTGGATGCCTGACTGTCGTGCCGCACAATCAGTTGTTCGTGTGCTCGGATCTCGCGTGTCCGTATTCTCTCCAGCAGAGAGTCCCCATGAAGACGCCCGCCCAGTTCTTCCAGGTGGAAAAGGTGTTCTGTGGAATGTGCTCTTTCCGTGCGTGCCACTCGCCACATGCTCAGTACATGATCGAAGCCGAGCCACTCGCTGTGAGCAAACGAATAATTTCATTCTTCCATTCTTCATCTGTTCCGCTTTCAGCTGAAGATTTCGGCCGGAGAAGCTGGTGCGCAGATCAAGAAAGACTTCCTCAAAATCACCGAATTGGACAGCCAGCATCCGATCGATTTCATGATGCATTTGGAGATGGAGAAGCCATTCAAAGAGCTGCCGGTCGTCGATTATCTGGCGAATTCTTCGAACGCGCTCGAATGGCACAAGCGCTTGGACAAAATGAACGGGTTGATCAAGGAGATCAACGAGTACAGAGAGGAGGGGTACAAGGTGGCTCGCGACTTGGCCGGAAAGGCGGTGGTAAATGAAAGTAATCATGGAAATTGTTCTACTTTTCTTTTCAGAATGTGTTCAGAAACGCTGAGAGCGCGATTATGTACGACATCACCGAGAAGAAGCCGAAGGATGCGTATACCAAGGAGACACGCCTTCACGGGAAGTTTTCTACGCAGTTCTGATAATGGCGCTCTATCGAATTGTCGCGTGATTTTCATCGTATACGTTTGCAGAGCACTTCCGTCGAATGGGCATTGCTCCGGGTCAGATACCGGTCCTCTCGCATTCCATTTCCAACTCGGCCTCTTCGACAAACCCGCCGTCGCGACCGGAGCCTGTGCAGTTCCTCGAGAATCAGGCCGCCCTTCTGGATTTGGTCGATCAGGAGGTATTGCAAGGAGAGGACGAGAGATCGGGCTTCGGGCAGAATATTCAGAATGTGAGCATGGGCAACTTTAACTTGAACTTTTTCGAATGACTAATTTCAGAAAGACCGTGTGCCCGGAAGTATTGATCAGGGCAAACCGACGTACAAGCTGATCAGCGGTCGTTTCATGCGCATCCGAAACCGGACAGTGCTCCACAAAGCACTGAATGACGTGTCCGAAATGCTCAATAATCAACCGATCAGCAACGAGATGAAGCAAGAAGTCGCGGATAAGTTCCAGAAAGAATTCGGACACAAACTCGCTTTTCCGTAAGTTTTATGAGGAAGAGTTCTTCAAATGAATTCAAAATTTTCAGGCCCGTGAAGGAGTAGCATGTGTAGAAGAGAAGCGATGACACTCGATCGTTTGAACGCTTTTAACTTTGTTTCTGCTCGTATTTTTGTTTTTCGCTTTTCTGTTATGAAATATGTTTAAAAAATTGTGTGGGCACAGAAACGAAAAGTGAGAGTGCCGCGTCATTGCAGTGCAAGTAAAAAGGGATAGAATAATTATTAGAAAACGAACGAAAGAGCTAATATGATTAGGAAAAATCATTTGAGTTGCGAGAAGAAACATTTATATCTCAATAGATGAATCCGCCCGGTGAACCCATGAAAAGAGCGAGATGGAAACAATTGATAGACTGAAAGGAATCTTTGTAGATATAAGAAGATTTGAATAATTGAAAGGGGTCTTGAAAACAGGAATAAAGATGGATTAAGTGGTGAATATGAGAAGGACAGCATAGAAAACGGAAAAATTTGACCAACGCGATCAAGTTGAGCAGCGGAGGCGAGGTCCTTACTGATCCTTGGAGAGCGCCGCCTTCTTCTGTTCCAGGTATCTCTTGATCTGCAACTCGATCTCTTTTTGTTTCTTTTACTATTTTTTCTTTCAAACTGACCAGAACCTTGTAGGGATCGGGAAGTCTGAGCGCGTTGCGAACGTGCACGGCGAGGTGGATCATCTTTCCCTGGAGCAGCGCCGTCTTGTTGATATCTTCGCTTTCCGTCGCAAAGAGCTGGTCGATCTGATGCTTTTGCTGGACCGTGAGGACTGGCGCCGGGGTCCCCAAATAGTCCTCTTCCTCGTATCTGCTCATCTTCTCCTGGAGCTCGTGGCGGTTCGGTCCGGGTCCCTCATGGTGTTGTCTTTTGCGGGCGCTTCCGTCGTTCGCGGTCCCCTTCGGTTCGTCCTCCTCATCGCTCAAAACAATGCAGTCGATCTCGTCCAGGTTCTTTCTCTGTTGCATGACTTTGTTCGACAGCAGATCTTTTTCACTTCAAAACCCACCAGCTGCGGTCTCTTCGCAATGCGTCTGAGCACCTTGATAACCGTCCGATAGAACTGTTCGATGTTGTCCACCATCGCTTCCTCCATTTCCAGTCCTTCGAAACGCTTGGAGATGAATAGACGCGAGAGGAAGACGACGATGATCGTGTTGTACTCTTCCTTTTTCTTAATTTCAAATTATTAGGAAGAAAAGCGGATTTTGAAATTACCACTTGGACGCCGTGTCTCTTGGCCATGTAGCGGGCCGTGCCGAGCGGGTAGCTGGTTTTGGCAGAAGTGACCGATTCGATGACGTGGATCAGATACTTCTGGGTCGGTTTGTTCTGAAACAGACTCCTTTCTGCGGGGTTCCTCTTTCGAATTATCACCTTGACAAGAAGGGAGCTGACGTGATAGAGGATCAGGGTGCCGCGGGTGATCTCTTGCTCTTCGGAATGTTCGGCGGTGATGAGACAGATGGTGAATTCGAAGAGACGGGCGAGGAATCCTTGGATGCTCGCTTCCGATCGATCGCTCATTCCGAGCACTTCGAGGTTGACGTCGGCGTCAGCGAAGACGAGGGAAGTGAAGCAGGCGAGCAGGCGATGGACTATTTTCAAGATACGAAGCATCTGGAAGGTTGGCATACAATATCGAACAGAAGGCAACTATATTTCAATTGGGAAATGAGAAGGAAAGAGAAAAAGAATAAAAGAGACGGGAGGGAATACTCCCAAAAAACTGTAGGACAAACAAATAAAAGAGAATGTGTGAAATGGTTTTTGGCTGCTCGTAATGATGAGAAAGTGCAAGAGAGAGAGAGAGAAAGAGAGAGAAAGAGAAAGGAAAAAGGAAGAGAGAGAGAGAGAGAAAGTCCCCGAAACAATTGAGTCATATTCACTCGAGGGAGGGAAAGGAAAAACAAAAAGAAGGGAGCCGTCGGTGGATGTTGTGAAATCTAGAGGGAAAAGAGGACTGATAGAAGCCACGACAACGCACATTTTGATAAAGTTTTGGAAATATGAGAGACTATTCAGATTTTTTACTCGAAAAACCGCCTTTTTCCATTGAAATTATATAGTGCAAGCCTGAAACAGGCACGATTTTGGAAACAATTTGGCGTTTTTATTATTGAAACCCAGGCCGACTGGGCCGGGCCGCGACCAGTCTGAGGCGACTCACTTTCGTGGCGAGACCCGTGAAGGCTATGAACGTATGCGTACATGGGCGGCCGCCGGAACACGCGCCAACACACGGAAAGGGCACCGAACGGGTCGGCGGGCCGCTAAACTCTAGTCGGCTCTTCCTCTCTCTCTCTCTCCCTCTCTCTTTCTCTCCCCGATGAAAGTAAAAGTGACGGGGGCCGTACGGTCTGTCCGTAAATCAAAAGCTTATGATCCGTTCGGCTTGTCAGACATTTGTGAAACTTGATATGAGCTTTACCATCACCGCAGATTGATGGGAATGTGGGCCTAAAAAACCGGGGGTTTGGTTGCAAGGCAGACCAAAAGGTAACCGTTTGGATGTTTGGATTTGGATGTTTATGACATTCCCGCGCTTTCGATCCATGTAGATCCTGCCCCAAAAAGCCTACTTTTCTATCGATAATTCCCTAGAATTCACTAGACAAAACTAGATTCGCACTCCTTACTTTCAGACCGTAAAGATGCGATCAACCTCGGGTGCCCCTCATGAAATTTAACGTGAACGCCTTCTGCATAATCTGCATAATCGATGTTCATTTCATTCTCTGCCAAGTCAAGTCATTTCGCCGGCGAAATCAAACTGCCTTCATTATAGAAAAGAAGCAGAACGCATTTGGAATGAATCAGATGTTCCTCTTCCTGTTCGTGCTCCCCGCCCTCAGCTCGGCGACCAACTACGGAGCCGTGCACGTGAGCGGACTCCTCTTTTGCAACGGAACGCCGTACGTCAACGAGAAAATCGAGTTGTACGAGAAGAATTATGGTACGCGGGAAAGTGTGGAATTCAGAGAACGACAATATAATTGCAGCTCTCCCAGACAACAAACTTTTCACTGCACGGACTGACAGTCAAGGCAATTTCTCGGTGAAAGCCTCCGGAAATGACTGGGTAAAGTTCCAAGTGGTCCTGAGAAGAAAACAAACTGAACGTTTAGTTGTTCAAACCGCAAGTCTACGTCTATATTCCGAACTACTGTGTGGACGTCGTGGAGAGCTCGTACTTGGAGTGCGGGCACACCGTTCGCATCTACATTCCCGATTTGTTGTCTCCGATGGGAACATCCCCAAAACGGTAATTTTATTGAACGTCATCGACGATTCGCCCTTTTCAGACGTTCGACCTGGAAGTGGTCGAGTTGTCCGAAGCTCAAACAGAGCACGTTGGGCTCGAGAAAGTCGTCTTTTCCTATTTCCGCCACTCGGAGTGCAGAGAGAAGAAGAAGAAGAGCTGATTGAATTCTGATATAAAGTTGTTCCGAAAGTTTCTATTATGAAAATGCGCAATTCTAGTTTGTTTTCGTTAACGTGAACCCTAGTACCCTCATGATTGATCCACGTAATCCCCAGATGGAACATTTGAACCAAATAAACAGTTCCAGTTGAAAATCCAAGTGCTAAATTGGACTCCGAAGAGACGAGGCGGAATGAAAGAGGTATTCAACGGGAAGAGTTTTCGAGCACTCTCTCTCTCTCTCTCTTCAGATTCTTCTCCTGCTGCTCCTTGTGCCGATTCTGTGCTCGGCGCGACAGTACGGTGCCGTCCACGTACGCGGACAACTTTTGTGCGACGGAAAGCCGTACGCCAACGAGAAGGTCCAACTTCACGAGAAGAACTACGGTAGTTGCGGCGCCGCAATATCTACCGGAGGGTGCATTATGTAGGGTTTTCAAGGGATTTCACGACGTTTGAATTTGGCCAGATTAACCGCAGTAGCAACCTGCCGAATCGAATCAACGAGCTTCGATTCGCAGCAGCGCGCGTTTTTAATACTCGAAGATGAGACGCTTTAGTAGATCTCATCACGTTTTTTGTGATCTAGAACTTACTTACTAACTAATCTAGCTGAATTTCAGCACTCATGTAAGAAAATGTAAATCATAGATTATATGAAGCTTCTACTTCAGCTCAACAGAACGACAATACACATAAACCTCTCTGCCGGATTCTCATAGTACTCGCGGGCGTCCTTTTTTTTTAAAGATAATACATCTGCTTCCAGGACGCTAAGCTGAACAGTAGGTGCTTTTTTCGCTCGTCTCGAATTGCGTCTACCTTTTCGCTGTCGCTCATTTCTAACGGAAAAATCCAAAATTTTGATAAAAAAGGCTTTCACGTGAGAATAAAAAAATCGTGTCGTGTGCTACGCGTCTCTGGTCAAAAACCCTTTTGCACCGTCCGGTAGATTTATGGGACCCGCGGTAGTCGAGTGGACGATCCGCCCCGAAGTCATTGACACTTTTAGTTATGACTGACGGCACCGTCGCCATCTCCGAAACGGACGATCAGGGATTCTTCTCGGTGAAGGCGTCCGCCAGTGACTTGGTAAAAGATTCCAAACAGTGCTCCTAACAATTAACTTGATAATTTCAGTTCACAAAGCCCAAATTCTACCTCTACTTTGTCAATTTCTGCTCGTCTAAACTGGCTGAGGTGAGCGTTTTCAAAGCAATGCAAAAAAAATGGGAGTCATTCAGAGTACGTACATGGAGTGCGGGTATACGATCCGAGTGTACATTCCGGAGATGTACGTGGCCGAGGGAAACATCCCAAAGGCGGTGTTCAACATGGAACAGATCGAGATCGCGACGGCGAAAACCGAATACGCCGGACTCGAGCGCATCATTCATCCGACATTATCGCATTCCGAGTGCCGCGAGAAGAAGAGAAAGCCGTGAAAAGGCTCGAAAAATGAGGGAAATCGATCGAAACGAGAGTTTTAGTGTATTGTGAATAAAGGTTGAAGTCATTACTGGAGAGCCTGACCGACAGACGGAAGATTCATTCCTCTAGAGGTGTCCACCACTATAAATAGTTAGTTGAGACCAAATCCAGACAGAGGTCCTCAACTGGACCCCGATTTATTCAAAAACAGAGTGCCGCGGGAATATTTGAATTTCGCACCCTTTCTCTATTTCATCATTGTTTACTCTTACTTACCGACGCAAAGTGCAAAAGGGAAAGGGGCGGCGAAAGGGTAATGATAATGTATTTTGAACGATCATGAGAATACTATGATTTATTCGAAAAATAAGCACACAGAACTCAAAAAGCGAATGATATGTTTCCGGGTCCTATGTCTACTTGCTCTCTCGCTCCTTCCTCATTGCGGATAACAAATGAGTGACCTGCAAACTTCTGATTATAAGTGTCATTACCCTTTTGAACTGAATATTACCTGATTCTGTCTGGCGTGTGAGCCAGTCGCCTTGAACTGTCGCATCATAATCTGTCTCGCCACAATCGACATTTGTCGGGTGCCGTCCAAATCTTCCGGGAGTATGAACGATTTCAATTGCGCTTTTTGAACGACCTGCAGTTCAGTTTGAAATTGATTACATATCAGACTGACTAACCGAAAGGTATCTTCGTTTCGTAACTAAATTCGGCATGGGGACTCCCAAAACGGCCACTGACAAGTGTGGAAGGTCTGGTGTTGGCGACAAAGTGAGCACGTCTTCTGATTGCTTAGGAGGGCTCTTCGGAGCTGCTCCAAGCTCGGGGAACGGAGCGAGAGCCGTGGCGAGAGCAGAAGCCAGGTCAAAGTCGGAAACGGTCGAGTCGAGGACGGAGCTGGTGACACATGTTGGCGGTGCGTGGGTGGGCACATTCCTCATATCGAAAAAGGTGTTTTGTCCAGGCAAAGGAGCCGAAACCGGTTGCTTTTGTACAATTGACGGGATGAATCCGATGTGATGAGCCAAATCCTGGGAATCCGATCCGAAAAGTGTGGCCGGCGGGACCAGAAACGGTCCGGACGCCGTTTTAGCGATTCGAAGAGAAAGTTTCGGGTTTGCTCCTGATTTGAGAGAAGGCGGTTTATTCTGCGGGACAATCGGGGGAGGTTGAGCAGGAGTTACGGACATATAGTTCAGGTTTGGCATCGGAAACGACGGCGGAATTCCCAGAGAGCTCATGTACTCTGGGGAGTTGAGCACAGTTCCGAATTCCGGGGGAGGGTTGTAGACCGGTGGAGCTGTGTATTCAGGTTGGAACCAACTCGGATGTATTGTCTGAAATGTAGAGAAAGTAAAGAGTTTTAAGGTATAAGAGTAAAACTCACTGAGATATCGGGAAGATAGTAGACGGGTGTGGGGCGAGCAAGATGGAACGGCTCGAATGCTCCGGGCTGAGGAGCCCAAGGTGCTTGGGCGGGAAGCTGAGCCGTTTCGGGCATCTTCGTACCGTTGGCTCCCATTCTCGCTCCGAAATCGTTCTGCGAGATGACCTTCTTCTTGGAGAGACACTGAATTGTGGGCAGCTTTCCAATCTTCTTCATATCCCGCGTCCGCGTCAAGGAATTGAAGCGTTTCGCGGTTTTGTCGAGCTGAAAATGAAAATGAAAATGAAAATGAAATTGCGGCGGGAAACGGCAAACTGTAAAACAAAACCTCGCTGTTGATCTTCGGCGAAACTTTTGCAAAGGCACTTAGGAAATTGATGACGAACTGATTGATGATCACCTCGAAGATTGAGAAGATGTTGAGACTCGAGATCGGAATTTGGGGTTCTGAAGTTGGCAAAATCGAGACGAGATGTGCTGAGCTCTGACTGACCTTCTCGAGAATCGCAATGACCATGCTGACCAGGAAGATCATCAGATCCGTCCGTTTGTGCCCGTTGATGCTCTTCTTCAACTCTTCCTGATGTCTCACGAGTGGCGCGGGATCCAATCGAAAACAAGACCAGTATTGTGTTTCGTCAACTTCCGGGATCCAGTCAGGCGACAGATAAACTCCTTTCTGAACAAAATCTTTGTAGAGTTTCTCAACAGAGCGCGTTTGCAGAGAACTCACAAATCCGTCGAAATTCCTGAGCATGTTGAAAATGAGGTCTCGGAATCCGTAGCCATCGGGCGAAGATGGAATCCGTGCGAGTGCGAAGTCACTTTTGAGAATGCACTCTTCCAGGACCCACACAATTGACTGATAACATGATTGACAGTAGTACAGTAACCCGCCAAGCCCTACCCGATTACTTCCATGTCCGATCTTTTCCATGTCCGTGAAAGTCGACTTTTTCTCAATTGTCGCCTTCAAACTTTCCCTCAAATGCTCGATGAACGTCTTATCAATACGAAAATCCAGTCTCGCCGGTCTTTGCTCCCTGTTTCTTCAACAAAAAGTACAGTTTGAATCGGGCAACTCACTCGGATTTCATGGTTTCAGCAGGGCTTCCGGAAGAACAAGGTTTGACTGGAAATTGCGAGAGCAAGACGGTTTTCGGGAGGTCACAAAATGAGAGAACGAGGGGGCGGGATGGGCAAGCGAGGGGTGAATCTTCGAGAAAAACGGATGGTTTTAGTGCTGGCACACACAAAAAAGTGCGGACGGAATTGCTCCGATCACACTGTACACTGCATCCGCCCAAGCCAATCAATCATTTGGACAGTTTCAGAGTGTAAAGTGCACTGAAGAATGTGAAGAGCGAAAAAGAGTTTATTCGATTGGAAAAGAGCTGGAAAAGAAAAAGAAAAGAAAAGAGACAATACTGGTCGAAAAGATATCATATATGATATGAAATGTAGAATGTTGTGTATATTCTACATGTACACATGTGGCTTTTTTGTTTTGACAATCACTTTTTCTGCTGTAGGACCTCAGGGTGAGTCACAAAAGGGAGCACATCAAAATACAAACTTTTCTGCTCAGAAAACTGTCCGTCATAAGTATAGCCCACCTAGAGAAACCACGAAATGGAAGATTCTGAAATGGAACTTGACAACAGGTTTGGGAAGTCTCCAGCGGTCCCCCAACTCCTTCACGTGTGGGCTATACTTATGAGTATTGTACATGCCTAACAATTCAATTTCTCTTGCCATCAGTGCCCATACTGATGCTGGCCACCATTCCGAAATCCCAATTGAGCCCCTCGAACAATCGCTCGTTCAACTTTTGAAAGTGCTCGCGTCGCGTCCGTTTGATGCTGTACAACAGTTTCTGAATCTGCCAACGTGGCACCGCCCGCGGCTTCATTCTCTCCAGAATCCCGGTCACCGCCTTTTCCTTCGGAATGTCAATGTCGTAGGGAAGCACGACGAATTGCATGAGAAACTTTTTGAGTTTTCCCTGGAAATGGGAACCGATCATGAATGTTTTCGAGAGGCGAACACTGACAGTGACACGTGGCATCTGCTTGATATCCGTCTGTTCGTGGTCGTGCAGAAAGTCTTCTAAAGTGGGCGAAGTCGATGAAATCGTTCGCGGTCGTTTTGTCTTCCGCCGCGGTATCTGGAGCATTTATGAACTTTTAGACGAAAGAGAACTTTGTACCTCTACAACTAGATTTGCTACTTGTTCTGGCAACTTAACTTCATGTCGTTGCGCTGCCGGTTGGACTTCTTGGTGGGGGTAACACTGATGATATTGATAGATAGGTTGGTAGTCGTGCACTGTAGAACTGGTCCGTTGAGGCTGGATTAAAGTATCCAGTGGATCCATCATCGCCGAGTTCACCGAGCTCAAGACGTCTGCCACAGAAGTTGGGAACGGATCCTTTGGTATCACCGACGAGGTGCCATTTTCTGGCGAGCCGTAGTAGTCCGGTGCCATTGGAATATCGAGTGGAGGAGCCAGAACGATCACCGGTGCCTCCGTGCTCTCCCGAGACATTTCCATCCCGAGAAACGAGGAACAATGATTGTTTGACGGGAAGTTTGGCCATTTGAAGCGAAGCTTGACACTAACCATAAAACTGATTTGATTGAAGTTTATGATGGTACGCACCGGAAAACTTTTATTGTTCCGTGTGGGATACAGGCTTTTTGGTTCTCAAAACCGTTAGAAAGGTCACATGTCCATTGCTTATTCTATCAAACTTTTATTAATAATAAAACAATTATCCTCCACGACGCTTCTTCTTCTCGGAGTGGTACGCGTTCTGAATCTGGTAGTCCTCGGCGCGATGGCCTCCGACGACGCTCGCCTGAGCAGCTTTGACGTGGGCGAGCGCCGCCTTCAACGGCATCCTGAGCACCTCGTCGGTGAGGAAGACGACCAGATGCGCCTTCTCTTCCTTCTGGAATAGGATTACTGTAAGCTGCAGGCCGATCAGAGACACTCACGGAGATCTTCTTTCTGTACGCCTTCGTGTTCTTCCCGCCGCGAGTGCGGACAGCCGCAATCGGCGACGAACGACCGGAGGAGGATGGCGTCGACGAGATCTTCTGGAAATGGAGAATTGAAGAGACTTCTATGAAAAGTGGATGGACTAACGGGAATGATCGGAGGAATCGGCTCGGTCTTGTTGTGCTTCGTCCAGTTCTTGATCTAAATCCATCTACTTGTATTATATTATCCTTCTTTTTGTTGTGCCCTACCTGAGCTTGACTGGGGACGGTGTTCTCGATCTTCCTGACGGCCGGGGCCCACTTGCCGTCCGAGTCATCGTGAAGCACGAGCGGACCCGACGAGAACATCTGAAATTATGCAATTTAGAAACATGCACGTTTTTTCAATATTTTTTTGCCCTACTGTATACAGTTCAAAAATTGGCTCATAAATCGATTAGTAAGAAATTTGAAGTAAGGTTTTCAACTGCTAAGTTATTCACAAGAAGATTTTGAACAACTTTCAGGGACTTACCGCGTTCATCATTGGAAGCGGAGCCACGTCGTCCGTCTTGAGCTGCTTCGCCCAGTTCTTGATCTGAAAATCTCAGCTTCTATAATATTGTCTTTCAATTCGTTGTGCCCTACCTGAGTGTTCGCACGGACGGCGCTCTGACTCTGGGTCGTGACCGGAGTCCAGTGTTTCTGATCCCATTCGCTCTGAAGCACGTACGGATCCAACGGGGCATTCTGGAATTGTGGATATTGGGAACGAGTGATTAGAACAGTTTTGAACATCTTTCAGGATACGATCCGGGCTCTTAAAGTACATTTCTTCGATATCTTGTTGCACTAGTGGATATAATTGATTCTTGAAGAAAACTAACCTCGACCTTCATCGGACGCGGAGCCCCGTCCTCGGTCTTTATCTGCTTCGCCCTCGTCTGAAAATCTCAGCTTATATCAAACGATCCCTCTATTCTCACCTTAGTCTGATACCGGACGCCTTTCTTATTCTGGTTGGCGGCCGGAGGCAAGTAGCCGTAGCCATTCCACCCATCGTGTGGCATGATTGGATCCAGCTTGTGCGGCACTTGGGCGTACGTGTCCACGGGCTCAACCTTCACCAACTTCAAGTTCCTCGGAACTTCGGCCAACGAGGAGTAGGTCTGAAAACATTTTTGTTTGCTTTAAATCTCTAAAGTATCCTCAAACATTCAGCCATTGCGCCGCCTGATCGACATACGCGTGCTGAGCAGGATGAGACGGGTACCCGCCATAAGTGTCGTACGTCTCCGGCTCCACTTTTATCGCGTGTCCGTAGTAGTTACGGTTCGGGCTCTGAATTTGAAACAAATAAGTTTAACCAGCAAAACTCTTGGGATCTTCAGACTCACATATTGACTGAAGTTCGGCAGCTGGTACGAGTAGGATCCTCCTCCATAGTGACCCGGATCAGCTTCGACCTTAAAAAAGGGGTTGGCCGTGGCGGGGCTCCAGTTCGGCGGCTCTATCATCTTCGGAAACACTTTCGCGTTGTAGTCGGACATCATTTTTGTAGACTACAACTTTTAATGTTAATTTTCGGCTAAGAGAGGAGAAGAGAAATGAAGTTGATAAGAGAAGATGTACTGATGTGTATTTTATTTCGTCAGAACCCCATACTGCCTACAAAATATTGTCGGGATAGCGATGAGCCGAGCACGCACAGAACGTATTTGTATCTGACTTCTGACTTCGTCCGTATACGTCTTACGGATGGAAAGCCCCAATGGGCGGGAGATTTGAAAAACGGTGAGTTTGAGAACGTTGCGAAAAATATGATACACCTTGCGCCCATCCCAGAACCTGAATTAAGTTAATGTGCGATGGGGGGGATCGCCAGTTACTGGGGATGGATAATATCAACAGAGGACTGATCTTCTCAGAGGACTATCATGAGACAAGAGACAAACAAAAGAAAGGTGGTTTAGTCATGGAACCCTTCACACTTTTCACAATTCACGGAAACACTACCGGATGAGTCACTCAAATAATAATCACAGTGTAACAATGCGCAATCGGACCGTCATCGGTAAGTACAATAGAATGAAACGATCAGACTTTCTCTTCTGAGAATCGAATTGTGTTGCACAATTGAAACAGAGTCAAAATGTAGCGCATGTGTCACCGATGCGAGGAAAAGAACAAAATGACAATATCTGGTAGGGTCGAGCTGGCGTGTGTGGGCGGGGCCTCAATGCACGGTCATCTCTGTCTGCTGCTTGGGGGTTCGGCAAAAAGAGCGTAGAGGAAATGGGTGCAAGTGGAGGACGGAAGGACGGTCGGACGGGGGCACCGAGAGAGATCGTTTCGGAGTTGGAAGCGAACGGAGAAAGTGATCGGGAGGCTCGTGCCGTCGGCGCACGCGACGCAGCACGCAGCGCGGCGCCGGGAACGTTCAAGACGAAACGGTGTGCTGGCACTGGGCCAGCCAACACAACAACGAAGCGAATTCAAGTAAACAGAGATCGATCGCGCGCGGATGCAATAGATCCATGTAAGGCTTTTGTGGGAAGTACAGCATCATAACGAAGATGTTCCCATGAAGGATCCGCAGCGGTACGAATGTGATCCAAGCGGATCCAATACAGATCACGGCTCACGGAAGTCATAGGAATCTTGTGAACATGGTGTTCGTGGGTTCCCCTGGTCCCTCATCTCCACACTTGGAAACTTTTGTTCTTTGGCGTTCCCACCATTTTCAAAAATTCTAATTACCCTTTTTCGGCCGAATCAAACGCGGAAAAGAGTTTGCGCAACTCGAAAATGACACAACCGCACTCACTTTCACACGTTTGACGGCTCTGGTAAGTTACACGGGTACTAAATGGGAAATCGACTAGTGAGTCAGAGATCACTCACGATGGATAGTCACAGCAAAAGCTGAACTCGAGTTCACAGCTTCTGGCCGAGGGGATGACGCCAGTAAGAGTTTTGGTAGAAATCAACTAGCCAAACATTTCCTCAGGAAGCTTCTGTTTGGATTGAAGACTATATGCGATACGCTGGAAACTTTTGGGAGGAAAATAAGAAAAAGTCGGAAAACAGATCGATAGTCACGTGTCAATGAAAGAGAGAGAGAGAGTCGGAGAGTCAGAAGGCTTAACTGTCGAACACGGCCGAAATAGTTGTGAGTTGAGCGACGAGACGCGGCCGATCGAGCCGACACCTTCCACGTTTCGTGTACTCTCTCGGCGCAGACGGTGCATGCGTCACTTCGGATGAAAGCATCTAGAAAAGGGGGCGGAGCCACGAGCTATAGCCTCTGCGGATGACTTTATTGTTGAAAAGGGACGAATGGAAAGGAAGAACGAAGAAGAGCGAAGAAGAAAAAGAAAAGAAAAAGAGAAGAAGAGATACATAAAAAAGACGGGAACACAATCAAAAAGTATGAACGATATATACAGGGACGAGGGGGAGCGAGAAATATTGTCGTTCTGCATATATAATAAAATGAAAACTACGACGACGGAGAAACGGTTTGCTTCTTTTCTGAAATGAAAAACGATTGTAGAGCAGACCATAAAGAGCTCACTTCTGTAATGGTTGACTATGAAATTGTAGATCTGCATCACGCATCCGGGATCCAACTCCAGCTCAATCTGGGCCCGTTTCGCAAACGCTTTCGACTTGGCCGGACCCTGCTTTTCAGCGAATTCAAGAATCCGCTCCTTCACTTCGTCCTGACACGCATTCATTGATTCGAACTGTTAGGAGGTGCTCTCACCGAAAGGCCCCCACGGCCATTTTTTGTCTCGGAACTTGTCTGTGTCATTGTCTTCTTCACTTTGCGTCTCGGGAGGATGGTCTTCTCGAATATGTCCACGACGCGCCCGATGAGCTCGGCCGTGAACTTGCTGAGATCCGAGCAAATCTCCTTCGAGCTCTGCGTGGCGTCGTACTTCTGAAAGAACTACTTTCAATTGGACGTCTATCAGTAAAAAACTGGCCGTCGGGTAGATCGCCTGCATCAGAGAGGCCAGGAGGGTCATGTGGACCCAAGCGGTTTTCAGATTCGGTGGAGCGCGGTGGTGGGCGGTGAGCGACAGGTGGAACAGGTTGAACATCTCGTAGATCCGGAACTTTTGCTCTTCGGAACTTCTGTTTTCGACGACGATGTCATGGAGATAAGCGATGTTCGAGAGACCCTGTAAAATGAGATTCAGTTTCTACTTGACGTAAGCATCGCAACTCACACTCTTCCATCTGAGAAAGTGAACGGCGGACTCCACGATGTCGGAGATGGTGATGTCCTCCCGAAGGTCCCCAGCGTATCGCTTATACGAGCCAATCGTCAATCCTTCTAGAATGAGGACCAAAGCTTCCTGAAGGAAAAGTTTAATTAGACGATTTCTTCATAGAACCCTTTACCGTCGTGGTCCTCTTGGCGAGAAGCAGCGAACTTCCGATCAGCGAGTTCAGCTTTTGGTTCGAAGCATTCAGAAAATTCTTGGAGTCGTCCATTTCGATGAACTGCACGAGCGGGCAGATCGGAGTCATCGTGTGAACTTTTTCCATTACTGTAATTGAATTAGAGCTAAGTGACGAGAGAGTGGTCGTAAAAAGAGCGGGAAAAACTCGACCGTCTCCGTCGACAATAAACTGCATTTTGCGTTGAAAAGGAAGGCGTGGGAGGAAGAGTCGGGAAAGAATGATGTTTTGCTTCGAATGTCGCGGCCGGGGAGGGACAAGGTCGACAGTTCGTTTGCTTTGTCAAGGTCATTCGTTACATTTGAATTTGGATTTTGAATCAAAAGTACTATTTGAAGCCGAAAAAGTTGCTGGTCGAGTGCACAAAGTCAGAAAACAAAGCCGGCCACTGTACACAGTTGAGGCACACTGACAAAATGACTCATCTGGTGGGGGAGCGACGGGCGAAAAGGAAAAGGACAATATAGAGTTGAGTTGATTGGAGGTAGCTCACGTTTCCCTGGAGAAAAGTCACACATCGAGAGGATTGCTTAATCTTAGTTTCGCTCGAATTCACGCGTAAAGGAGGGCATATCATAGATCACAAATCTTATCGAAAAGCTCACTACTCACAAGACCCAGAGCAATGCTCTTTCTGAGCAACTACGAGACTAATCAAAACTTTAAAAACAGAGTAAGTTGAAAACGAACGAGTATGTAGGAAATATACAGAAAACATCAAATCTCCGAGCGTAACGTCTCCATATATAATCAGTAATTAGAAAATGTCGAAAAAGTACGCGCGTGTGTGCCAATGCAGACACCCACAATGACACACACGCACCCTCCCCGCTGCTCTGATTCTTCCCGCCCTTCTTCTTCTTCCTCTTCTTCCTCTTCTTCTTCTTCTTCTTCTTCTTCTTCTTCTTCTCGCCTCTTTTTCTTCCCTCTCTTCTGCCGCTGCTACTCGTCGCGATGGCGATGATGAGCAATCGGCGCGGAGACCGTTTTGTGCATAACGATTGTGGGCATTTACACATATTTTTATGGGAAAAGTGATCAGGCAGTGGACTAACCGACAGGTTCCCACGATATGCTTGATTAAAACTAAACTTTATCCATAACCTGCATACACTTGAGAGGTCCCTTTCATTTCGTCTTTTGGAATGTGTAGAAAAGGGAGACAAGTCTGTTTAGGAACATATTTATTTATAGTGATTATCTAACAAAATCACATACGTTTTCATTAGAATCCATGAAGTTGAGCCAGCCAATGGGGAAAGTGCGTGTAGATGCCCATCATGACAAAGTCCAAGGGCATCGGCGGGAGGTCCGTCGTCGCCTGGTGCCACAGGAAGTACTGGCACCACTCGTTGTACTTTTCCGAGTACAACGACGGATCGCGGAGGTACTCGTTCTGGCTGAGCCGCGCCGGCGACGGGTAGTCCAACTGGGACTCGAGCGTAACGAATCCGAATGTTGGAGATGGAAATGTCGATGGATTCGGGGTGGGCAGCAAGGAGATCGGCAGAAAATGGACGGGTGGCATCGGATAGTGTGCTAGAGGCATCGGGAACTGCGGAGAATTCTGAGGAGCCGGAGGCATCGGAGACGGCGGCTGACTCTCGGGATCCTTCATGATGTCGTTGAGAATGTCGAGCAACTCCTTCTCCTCCTCCGTCACTGTCTCTTCCACTTCCACGTCTTTTTTGATCTTTGCGTTGACATCGAAGAGTTCCATGTCCATGCTCTCGAGCGATCTTCTTTTCATGATTGTAGACTTCTGGAAGAAATAAGAGTTTACTATGGGATGGGGAGAAAAAAAGACTTTCCCGAAGGATCGTCTTCGGTAAGAATGACGTGACTGGACGAGAAGGCCGCACGAGGGTAGGTCTGGGCGGAGTCAGGACGATGTTCCTATGACGTGGCAAGAGGCGGGCTACCGAAAGACGGCGAAAGGTCCCAAAGACGAGAGAAAGGGGGCGGAAGGGGAACGTTTGATGTTTTTGAGAGGAATTGGATGTGAATGATTGAACTGCAGATAGAATTGAAATTGAGCGAACAGCCATAAACGTTATCAGTTGGTACCATAGCAATTGTGGATCTCATGGATCATAGTACTGGGCAGAGTGACCCCTCTCCCGGAAAAGGACGGGATTCCCGGTTTCCCGAAGTGGAAGGTGTCTTATTCGGAACAATTCTGAAAAACTTTAACCATTTTCTGAAAACTATCCTTGTTTCTACGCTCTTGTTTCAATAGAATTATGTCCGAGGTGCTATCAGCGCTGTATCTTTCAAAATGAGCCGATTGCCAACAAAGTTCTTAAGACTCATCTCGGGTAATCTTTCGATTGGTTTGGTGCCAAACGGTACCTTAAGAAAACCTGAAAAAAAGTTTGCTCAACCTAGCTGTTAGAAAAGAAAATTCTTACCAACTCGAGCTGGTGCTCTTCCGATATGTTCGGAAACTTTTCTAGAACTTTCGTACCATCTCCAATTGGGGGTCTCCTACTGTCGGGCTCTTTGACTAGTTCATCTGTGGACCGTCGACTGACGTGGTTGGGGTACCGTCGGATGCTGAAAGGAAACGGACATCTGCCAGGTAATCCCGTCCAGTCGTCCATATTATACCTAAATGGGCTATACGGACTCTTTCGACTGCCGCCCGTATGCGGGAGACCCATTTGGAGTGGGATGGAGGGACGTTCCGTAAGATACTGAAATGAAATAAAGTTGGGATTGCCTGTGATCTATGATGATGAGAACGTTAAATAGACTTACAGTCAGCTGGGGAACACAAAGTTCTACCAACTTTTCGAATCCTTTTCCATTTATTCTGCTCTTTTCTTCCATATATTGCACATCTTCCAATTTCTGACCGATCCCTTCCGAGCATAAAGGAAAATCTTTTAGCTTACAGTAGTAATCCCCCCGGTTATGTCGCTCGCATCCTCCTTAGGTCAACACTGTCTGCGCCTCCTCGCATCGCGTGCTCTCTCGTTTTTGATGTGTTGTGCAACAACTAAACGTCATCGGAGACCACGGGCGAGTCGGTTACGGCCGTTTAGCACCGATATGCCACTTAATTGCGGGGGGACTTACCGATAATTGCGGGGTTTTCATCTTGACCGGTAAAGCTTTTCATCGGCTTCTCGGAGAGGCGGCTGTTGAGAAGGAAGGATATTAAATAAATTAAAGGATAAGGTGGGATGGCATCAACCGGAAGGGGACTGTTTCTCAGATTATGGACGGACAAGAGGAGAAATCATTTCGAAACAAAGCCTGAAAATGGTTCTGGATTCTGGGATCTGGGGCCGAACTTTTGATTCGTGTGATTTGTCAGATTTGAATTGTGAGCTTTACAGCTACTGCCATTTTGTCCCTTCCAATGATTCTCCTGATATTTCAAGTCTTGTTTTCGCCCTCATTCTGTGTCGACGTTTAACTCAACCTTCTTGAGCTCAGCTCACAATTCTTTTCCATTTTTGTTCGGTAAGTCCCCCGAAATCGGTCAACACCTCGGCATCACAAACACGTGTCTGCCCGCGATGATTTGTTATTGCAAGACACCGTCTCGTGTCTCTCTTACAAGTGACAGACACTATAAACCTTCTTACTCATGCCGTTTGGACACCCGCTGGGTCGGCTCGTCTTGCGAGCAGAGCCGAGGCGAACAGTCAGAGTCAGAGAGAGAGAGAGATGTTTTATCGATCGGAATAGTTGGAGGCACGAAGATATGTCTATACAATAGAATAAGGAGATGTAGAACACGGGTAAAGAGGGCATGAAAGATTGTAACTTATTAAAGCTAAGGGAGAGCAACTGGGAATGCGATTTCACTGGCAAAACGATTCCATTTTAAACCTTTCCATTGCTCCTTCTAAAACAAAAGAACCCATATTTCTCGAGTAAAGTCTGTCCCTCACCTCTTAATGTAGTCTTTCCTGTTCTTGAAATAGTTCTTGACAGCATTCATCGCCACTCCGATGCCTTCCAACTCCGCCGTGCTCACCTTCGACAGATCGCCGTCCACTCTGTCGTAAATTGGGCGAAGGAGCATACTCTGCTCGTGTTGCTTGACAAAATATAGTTGAAGATCAGTAAGGAAAGGAGTGGATACCGAGATTCTGGACGAAACTGACGACGTGGGAGCTGTGAGCGATGTTAGCATGTTGGGCGCTTCTGTATGAATTTTAGTAAGATTCAGGGAACAAAAACCCGAACCTGGAGGTTTGTGGCATTTTGGGTTACAAACAGACATACAGCTCTCGCAAAACTTCCCGTTGCTCGCGGAATGGCAAAGCAAACAATAGGTTGGGGAGATTGAAATTGTGGTTTTGGATGAAGCATCTTCGTTGTCGACGGAATACTTCACAAATTTGACTGGTGGCAGACCCTGAACGACAATGTACTGTGCCCGAAACTTCTACACACTCTACTCACCTGCTTTTTCATCATAGTGTCCACATCCAAGTAGCCCGAAGCGCACTTGATTATCGCAGTCACAACCGGCACATTGGTCTCCCAGGTTTCGTGCATTGCGGCAATGTTGAGCACATGATTCGCGCGATCTTCTCGAAGAGCAAGTGCCATTTTCAACTTCCAGCGATTTTCATCCCTAACATCGATTTCGGCAAGTTTTTTCTTCTGCAGAAAAGTTTTAGAAAGAAGGAAATGCGCTAGAGCTTACAATATCTTCAATCGAACTTTGGCAGCTCAAAGCGGCTATGATATCCGTGTCCCAGGTGCTCATGATCGACGAGATTTGCAAGTTTGAACCGAACACTGGAAAGCAGGTGTTAGTGACAAAGCGAGAGGATGAAAAACGGAGAAAAAAGAACGGGCAGACAGCCTCCGGTGCCCATCTGTTCCGCGCGTTTTTTCACTTTTTCCCAGCCCACAGTTCCTTCTGTTTTGAAAGGGACCAGGACCGAAGTTTTGGAGCATCTCAGTTACTAAAGGTACATACATTCTTTTCTCCTCGCACATCCTCATTACGTCACCTTTTGCCCCTCGCGCAACACCAATAATGTTGCGTAATAGATAGTCTTGACGAGCAGAAGAAGTCACGGCAGGGCGTGGTTTACACGATTACACAACACCTCCCGTTCGATTCAGAAAACGTTTCTATAAAAATTGAAAAAAATTACAATAAAACGTAGTTCACATGAAAAGTCTCGGTGACACAAACAGGAGCAAAATGACCGTAGCGACTTGGGAAAATGGGGAGCATATGAGTAATGGTAATATGAGTTATGGATTCGAAAAGGGTGAATGAGATGATTTCACTAGAGTAAAGGGAGAGAGAAAGTCGGGAGGCGAGGCGAAAAAACAGCAAAAACAGCAAAAACTTGGAGTCGATCTTCACTTGGCCAGCCGCTTTTTAACTGTTAATCTGAAATATATGGGCGTTCAAATCTTTGAGCATTGCAACACTGGCAAAGGACCTCCATTTGGTTGGTGAGGTTCTGAAAATCTTCTGTCAAAATGATCTACATAACTATTCTGAATGTTCTAGGTGGAGCTTTTAAGATTTGAAAGTGATTTTCAGGCCCAGAGACTCTCATTGTGTTTTCTATCATCTAGGACAACGGTCGAAGCATTCTGAAGAAAATTTAGAATTCTTTTGAAGACTACTTTTCAGACTTTTCAGAATTGTCTTAAATTCTCAGAACCTAGCCGAATGAAGGTCCCTAGTAAGCAGAAATGCAACGTACCTTCTGTTCGAGAAGTATCTTCTCAGCTGTACTTCATCAACTCTGAGCTTCTGTGCCAGTTCAAGGCACTCGCCCGGCGTGACGACTCCACCGCGGCTATCGAAGAAATGCCGGAGTTGTCTGTACACACTTCGCTGTAAGAAAAAGGTGGAATTGAGTGAAACTGAGAAAGATGACTTACGTCGAACTTCAGACGGGTGTCAGTCGGTGACGGAGCATGCACTGACGAGGAAGAAACGGGAGAAACGGACGAGGCGGAGAGCGGAGACGTCATCGCAATCAGTCTCGGAATCTCGGTCGTCGAGTCCGTCATCAGAGTCAGAGGGAGGTGCGGGGGAACCGGATCAAGGGCTGAACCCATCGGAATCTTAAGGAAAAGTCGATGGAGATGTTCTGAATGAGAGTAAGAGTATACCCGATGGAGCTCCGGATTCTGAGCAAGGATCACTGGGATCAGTTTCATCTGGAAGGGAGTCAGCGGTTCTTTGAGGCTCCTCCAGAACTGAAATACCTCAGAATGTGTCTACAGTACTCCTCACCTCTTGTTTTTGGGCATTCGCGCGCGCGCAGAACATATGTTTTACCTTCTCGATAGTCCAGCACGGCCCTCTCAGGCTCATGCACGCGGCGTCGAGCAGAACTTGGCCCATCTGAAGATCGGCGCCCGTGAACTCGTGGCGCAGGAGGGCGGAGTAGACGTCCCAGAAACGAGCGTCCTTCAGCGCCACGGCTGCCTCGTAAATGTATGAGAACGGAGCTGGCAGACAACGTGGCTCAAAGTTGAAGTTCTGAAGAGAATATTGTCGGATCTGAGGGAAGTTCGAGGGCAGGGCAAACGGCCGCGGATTTCACAGCCGCGCTAATTTAGATGTGTCAGGCCACGGCTTGAAAATAGTGTTTTGTAAGAAAAGTTCTACAGAAAGTTTTCCGAGTTAACGTTAGCGTGAGCAACTAGTTCAGAAAGGAAGGAACAATGATGACTCACGAGCAGGGTGACTGGATCCTTGAACTCTAGGACACCCGAAATCAGATGTCTCTTTGTGGCCTCGTCGAAATGGTAGAAGGAGAGAGTGGAGTACATTCTGAAATCTCTTTCATAAATGGTTAGAAAAAGGAAGAATAAAAGGAGAGGAACTATGAAAGAAGGGTGTTAAGAAAAGGAGGAGGCGGTTGGTCGGTGCGCGATTGGGCAGGAGCGCAGACTTTCGGAATGAGAGGCTGCGAGAGAGAGAGAGAGAGAAAAAGAGAAAGAGAGAGCGAATAAGATGCGGACTGTGACTCCACCCACCAGCACAGTAACATCGCCGAAAGACTGTCACAGAAAATAGCGGAGAAGGTGGAAAAATGTACAGTTTTGATTGGTTTTATGGCCTTTTCTCCCTCAGACACCGACATCAAATTGATTGGAATATTTATTCAAGATCCCGCTCGAAATAGTCACGTTACAGGGAAAGAAACGCAAAACTACGCCTTATTGGAAAATAGGTGAGATGTTTTGTTCGCACCATCCTTCCTATAACTTTCCAACCTAAAACCGACATTATCCAACATAATGTCGTTTCACGTCGAAAGGAACCTTTTTGTGCCTTGCCGCGTTGTCCACGTGAACAGAGGGATCTGGGTGCGGGCGGATTGGAAGAAAAGGAAGAAGCTACGGGCACCGGGATCTGAGCAGCCATGTTCGGCAGCTGGGCAATCGGGCTCATGAGAACAGCAGCCATGTTCATGGTTTCAGCAGTCGGAGCCAGCCCCAGATCCATCGGATTCGTGATCTGAGCAGGCGTGTTTGAGGAGCTTTGTCACGGCTTTGGGACTTACTGAAGTTTGATTCAATTATCGGATTTGAAGGAAAAGAAGAAGTTAAGGGATCGTATCGGATACAGAGCGGTGGCGTCCGGGAAGAGGTGCACCGGCGACGAGAAGTCGTACAGCGGCTGAAGTTCGCTTTGAAATTTTATCTGTATTTCTAGCTTCACTCACATTCTCCCTCACAGCTTCCTGAAAAAAACTGCCCGATGTCCTTATCAGTATCTTGCCCAGCGTTTTTTTGGTGCGCGGGAACTCTTGGTAGAGGAGCAGGCATTGGGCGACTCCGCAGAAGCGTTGCTCAACGAGCGCCACCGCCGCCGCGTAGACTGCCAATAAGGGCCGTTCAAATAGTGATGGGTACCGCTTCGTTCAAAGGCGTCTCTCTGGACATCAGCTCTACTTTTAAAGAATCATAATTTCTAAGTCACAACATAAATGGAGATTTCTGCCGCACCGGTAGGTCACTCCGCGTCCTGTGACCTACCGATGCGGTGCGGCTTGTCCGGTAGATCACATCATTCTTTCATAGACTGATAACCAATTTATTGAATAGCAATGGAAATATTTGAGCATAACCTACAAGAAAAAGATAGAACAGAACAGTGGAAAAGATGCCAAGCATGCGAAACGATGCACATTTAGGATATTACGAGGAAGAGGGGCTAGACAGAAAGGGAAATTGTAGATACAAGATGTTTCCGACTTCTTCTTCTCAATATTCGCTTGCTAACAGGATGATTAGATCAATTAAACCAAAATATACAAAGATGATGAGAAACTTGAACGAAACATCATTTCTTCTCTTCATTTTTCTTGAGTTGTTTTCTCTTGTAAGTGCTGAAAAACATGAAATGCATTCCCCTCCGGTTCAAATTTGCAAAAGCAAACCTTTTTCTTCGAAAGTACGTTCTCAGCTCTATCCAATTAATATTAAACTGAGCGGCGAGCTCGCGGCAATCTTCGTTTGTGATATTTCCATTGCGCATTTGGAAGAACCGTTTCAAAGGACGATAAACCGGTTTCTGTAAGAAAGGATTGAAGATGGAGTCGGAAGTGTTCGTTTCTGACCGCCCATTTTCGATGCTGTCGACTTGGACGCGACGGTTCCGGGTTGGAATTAGAAGGAAAATTGGTCGAGAGGTTGAGAGGAGCAGGAGTGGTCAGTTCTTGAGCAGTGCTCTTCGGGAACATTTGAAACGGAGGTGCCAACTGTACGAGTCTCCGTAAGTTCTGAAATTTAGTTTCATTATTGCCTTCTCGACCCCTCTTTTCCACTTTTCACTCACCCTGTCCACCGCTATGCAGTCGTTCGCGGTTTGAAGCATAATCTGTGCCAGCGCGAAGTCGAATCCCCTGAACCTTGCGAAGTCACGCAGGATATCGTAGACGTTCCCGTAACGTCGCTCCATGAGCGCCACCGCGGCTCTGTAGATGAACGAAAAGGGAGGTGGATGAATGGCAGCGGAAAGAGTGTCGTGCTGAAGGAGAGTGCGGTGGAGCAGATAAGATAATTGTGACGGTTACCGCTTGGGCCAAAGGCGTCTCTCCAGACAACAGCTTCGATATTATTTCTTTTTTGTACATGTCGTATGCGCTGATCCCCGGTACAATAAGGATAGGAACATCAGGAGGACCAGAAGGAGGAGGAGGACCTGGTGGACCTGGTGGTGGTGGAGGTGGAGGTGGAGGTGGAGGAGGAGCGACGTCGGCCATCAGAGCTCTTCTGAATCGGAACATTAGGAGAATAAAGTGAAAGAGAAAGAGTGATGAGATGAAAAATGAGGGTCTGAGAGAGGATGTGGGAGGAGGTGAGGGGAATGAATGTTTCTGCCGCACCGGTAGGTCACTTCGCGTCCTGTGACCTACCGATGCGGTGCCGCTAGTCCAGTAGATCATTTCATTCTTTCCTAGATAGATAACCAATTTATTAAATAAGAATGGAGTTATTCGAGAATAGCCTACAAGAAAACGAAAGAACAGAACAGCGGAAAAGATGCCAAGCATGCTTATTATGAACATTTAGGATATTACGAGGAAGAGGGAATCCTTCTTCTCAATATTCGCTTCCAAAGCAGATTATAAGAGCAATTGAACCAAAATTAGCAATTGAGCACGAAAAATGAACGGGTGCTGATGAGGAATTTGAAAGAAACATCATTTTTTCTCTTCTTTTTTCTTGATTTGTCTCCTCAGGGAAGAGCTGAAAAACAGGTTTTTTAAGGCTGGCTTAGATTGAGAAATGCAAACCATTTTCTTCGAAAGTACGTTCTCAGCTCCATCCAATCAATACCAAACTGAGCGGCGAGCTCGCGGCATTCTGCGTTTGTGATATTTCCCCAACGCTGTTTGAAGAAGTGTTTCAAAGGAATATAAATCGGGCTCTGAAAAAGAGATTGAAGATGGAGTCGAAAGTGTTGGTGTCTTACCTCCCATTTACGGTGATGTTGACTTTTTCGAGCGACTACTGGTCCGCCCGGTTTCGGATCGGAAGAGGAAGATCCTGCGAGCGAGGGTCTGGGGTAGCGAGGAAAAGGAGCAGGATTCGGTGGCGGGACCCCGAAAGGGGGAACCCATACGACTTCGCGCGGCGGTTCCTGGGCAGTGCTCTCCGGGAACACGGGCAACGGAGGCATGGGCAACGGAGGCACTGGCAACGGAGGCATGGGCAACGGAGGCATGAGCAACGGATTCATCGGCAGAAGGATGCTCCTCACTTGCTGAAATTCGAATAGAACAACTTCTCTTTCCACTTTTCATTCACGTTGTCCACCTCGATGCAGTTGGTCGCAGTCTGCGTCAGAACTTGTGCCAGCACGAAGTCGTCTCCCTTGAACCGTTCGTATCCACGCAGGCTTTCGTAGACGTCCCCGTAACGTCGCTCCATGAGCGCCAACGCCGCCCTGTAGATAGCCGAAAAGGGATGTGGATGAACGCCGAGAGCAACGATGCGATGCTGAAGGAGAGTGCGGTGAAGCTGATGAGACAACTGTGACGGTTACCGCTTGTTCCAAAGGTGTCTCTCCAGTTAGCAGCCTTGATATTATACTTCTTTTGAACTTGTCGCTTGCGCTGAGATTCCGTTGAAAACCGGCAGGAACATCACCGGGACCAGGAGGAGGAGGAGGTCCTGGAGGACCTGGAGGACCTGGTGGAGGTGGAGGTGGAGGAGCAACGTCGGCCATCAGAGCGCTTCTGAATCAGGAATCTTACGAGGAAAGAAGAGAAAGAGAAAAGAGTAATTACAAGTAAAATAGATGTGGTAGGTCACTTTCCGCCCATTCAAGAAAAAAGTGAGAACCCCTTGCTCAAATGGACCAACTTGCGAAAGAAGCACATCGGAGCATGAGTTGCGTCAGATCAATGTGGTTGCGCAATGCGGTCATTGGATAGTCACCCTACGAGGAACATCCTTAAGACGGAATCATTTCGGCCTATTTCTTGACACTTTCTGGCATGTTCCCTCTTTACACTTTTTCGAAATTTACTACTGCGCTTTGAAGCTGGCCCTAAAAAAGATCTATCGCTCCGCTTCTGTGACTTCTGCCGCTTCCTATCCGCGTTGTAAACACTTGCAGCGCATAAATCATGTCCTCCCTCGTCCCGCACGGTCATCCGATCATCCGCGGGCTCTCGGTGCACACGCGTCTGTGTTTGTAGGCGGATGCGTGGCTGGTTAGTGTGAACGAGTTAATTGATCGATTACAAGGCGAGAAGGGCGACTTAGCGGCAATCGGAGCAACAGAACAGAACATGCGCGAGGGAAACAAATGAGTTTAGCAGGAGTTTAACAAGAGAGCGAATGAAAAAAATGGCGGGAACGAGACGGGGCGGACAGTCTGTTGTCCGGAGATATTTAGACGCGCCGCGCCGGTAGGTCATCGCTTCAAAGTTCCGGTGCGGCTAGTTCGGTTTGAATATTTAGTAGATCAGTCCTGCCGATAGTTAAATCGATTAGTTTTTCTCTTGCAATCCAGTTTAGAACAGTCCTTCAGAGCTCTTCTCAGGCATCTCCACGAGCGTTCCTCACTCTCGCTTTGTTTCTTGCCTCAAGTATTCTCATTTAGAACTCCGATTAAGTTTATCGAATACGACAGAGTTCGATTCGAAACTGCTTCTCATTTCAATTCCAAATCTCTAACCGTTCGGTTCTCACTTTATCCGACAACTTCTTTCAAATGTTCTCTTAAACCGTTACCGATCAAGAAACCCTTCAGCCGACTAGGCCAAACAGTGTATTCTTGTGTACCCTCCCCCCGTCTGAACATCTGCCACGTAGTAGACGCCTGCTCGCTGGTTTGATGACAGTCATACATAGCACTTGGGTGCCTTTTTTCGTACCGCCCGTCCCGTTCTCTTTCTTTTTTCACCACTTTATTCAATAGAAATGCGTACAATTCAGGAAGAAACTGCAAGGAAGCGATATATAAAGCATGCGAAACAACAACAATTCAGGGGATTTCGATGAAAAGCGGCTCGTTAAGCGGGATTCTGTGCAACGGGAAACGGTCGTGGCGGGTCATCGGCGGGCTCGGCAGGAACGGGAAGTTGTAGGTTCTGAGGACTCGCTGGTAGATGTGGAAGTTGTGCTCTTCCTCCTTCTTCTGCTTCTTCTCTTTCTCCTTCTGCTTCGCCTTCCAGATTCCGCGGTACAGGTCGAACTTGGCCTGGATCACCTCCTCCGAAAGTCCGGTCATTTCCACCAGCTTCCGCGCCTTCAGACTCTTGTGCGTGGCTCTGCGGACCTTGTAGTGGTTCTCGAGGTATTCGTTGATAGTGCCTGGAATTCCGTCCGCATCCCTCGGATCAATGGATGCCGGGTAGAGAATCGGCGCTTTCGGCTGGAGAGTCTGAAGTTTGCAACGTCAAGTAACCTTCCTAGATCAACTCACATTTCCCCGGATCGCCAGCTCCGCCTCCTTGTACATCTCTCGGATGATTTTGAAGTCGCTCTCCGCAAACGTTCCGAACGTGATCATCTTCTGAAGATGGTCGTAGTGTTTGTCGACGAAGAACAGAACCGCGCGGAGTTTGTCGCGGACGAGCAGGATCTGTAGTTGGGTGGTGTCTCCGAAGCGCTCCACGTCGAACAGAACTTTTTCCAATTTTTGTTTGGTGTTTGCCGAAATCGCGTCGTTTCGAGCGAGAGATTCTTTGATCAGAGTGTCAACGACAGTGTTCAGTTGCTCCAGAGTGTATCTGAAAGTGAGAAACGGTCTTGAAAATAAGGAACAGGGCGGCATGTCTTACCCGAAAATGTCGGTACGTTCCATGATGATGGCACGTCGCACGATGGCCTATTGGGCACTCTGAGACGGTAGCCAAAAGGGGGCGGGTCTGTGAGTAGCCGAGCCGATTGAGGGAGAGGCGGGCAGAAGACGTTAGACGGAAGAGAGCACAGAGAAGAGAGAGAGAAAAAGAGGGAGAAGAAGAACATGGTGTCCCTTCTTTTTGTTGCCAAAAGAGGGAAACAAAAGGGCCGGAGGGCGAGAAGAATGAGGTGCCTCATTGGGTAAACCGATGCGAAAACTATATTTCAAAGTGGACCGGAGGAATAAAAGGAGGGTAATTTCGGATGCAGTTTTCGGATTTCGGTTTTCTCGTCGGCCCGTCTCTACCGTAACCTATCGCGTCAGTCAAGTTTCAAATTTGTTCCCCTGGTTAAGAAACAGATGGATAGTAAATTTCAAACACTCTAACTTTGTAGTTGATGAATCTCTAGACCGAGATATTTTCGTTTTCCAGGCGCGCGCTATGTACTTTGACAGCAAATATCTCAGCACAGAAACGTGATCGTGTAGTTGAACTTTCCATAGAATCCTGTTAGAAATTTCCAAACTGGGAAGACAAATTAGGAAAACGACACATCTCGGTTTCCAAGAAACACGCGAGATGTTATGAGGGGAGCACACAGATCAGTGCCCGGAAGAAGATAATCAAATCACGGGTGCGTTTGCAGAAATAATCGCAATTCTTCGAGGCGAGAACACAACATTCTCAGTATGGGAAAACACTGAAACATCACGCGGACGGTCATGTTTTCTCGAGAAAGAATAGACTGGGAAACAATGGCGAGGAGCGACGAATGCCGTTTTCACCGGAAACAAGAATCAGAATCATCTGTGCTTGTTTTTGAACTTTTCTGGCATGTATCTTGAGAATTGAGAACCAGACGATAGAGACCAACTGAAAAGTCGAGTTAAATTGCCAGTTTAGTTATTTGTACTTGTTCCGGACACTATTCATTAGCACAAACTTTGAGGGCCCGAAAAAGAATGAGAGAGACAACCCGGACCGATTCGACAATTCTGAAATAAATCAGAGATTCTGAGTTAGACCCCACGTAAGAAACTGGAAGAATTTTGAGCGATTTCGAGAAGAAGGAGTAGATATCCACGTCCAAATCTTCTATTTTCACTTCCCCTCCCGCCCACTTACTCTCTACGTTCCCCATAATCAAATCCCCGTGGCAAAGCGGCAATTTCTAGAACAAAAACATGTAATTGATAAGCGTGTGTTTATCGCTGAAAACCCACTCGTGCTCGACTGATTCACACGCAGAGAATACGTGACTACATCTCTTTTTTAGACGAATTATAATAGAAACGTTGAGAAGAAAAAGTGGGGATGATGACGTCAGAGAAGTTCTGTCTAGGTTTGGAGCATGTTTATGGAAGTGGATATTGTAGGTTTAGAATAATGTTTTGCCGTTTCTCAATGTTCATTTGGAGATTTCCACGTGGCAACAAGTTAAAGAAACGGAAAATGAAAGTTCCGACTCGCAAAGCTGTTCGAGTTGCGTTCACAATAATGCAGATGACTTCTCGATTCAACATTTATATACGGCAGCCACACTCATCAGCCAGAGTGTTCTCGCTAATGAGCTGAAAGTGCACCAACGACCAAATCCGCGGTGTGTCTAGACAATCGAGCAACTTTTCGACGTGCTCAATTGAACCACGCTTACCGGGAATGAGTCTAGTTTGAGCAGTTATCCGGTGGAAAATGATGATAAAGAAAAGAAAGAAAACGATAAGAGTCTTAGTTTTGAGTCAAAAATGGGAAACTTTTGATATTTCTCTCTTCTCTGGATTTCATTTTTCATGAAGTTGTGGCACTTGGTAGCCTAAACTAACCAATTTGTTAACTTTTACAGCTCAAAACGAAAATTTCAGATTGTTCGTGACGGCGGGGAGTTCGTGATCCCTGCCAACTTCAAGTGCACCGGAGCCAAGACTGTCTTCACAAAGGTGGGCAGCATAGGAGATGACCTGCAAATACAGTCCATGTGACGAATGGAATTGAGGTGTTGGCAATGGAAACGGATACGATTATGACGGCGTTGGACTTTCACAATCTAAGTTCGAACAAATTTATGGGGACCACAGTGCGCATGATAATTTCCGTCCCTGTTCTCTTCGTGCACCGCCCGAGTGGTCTCCGGGCCTCCCAACAACGTCTCCCAGGTACTGCTCTACCCGAAGAAAGCGGATCATCTGATGCCGTACAACCTCAAATACTTTTCTGTGAGTTCCAACCTCCATTTTTTCCGATTCTCTCCGCCCGCCAGTCGACGAATGCGACGAAGATGTCACCACATGATCACTTTCGCAGAAGCGTTTCTCGCTCGCTGCTCGCTCTTTTGCGAATAAAACAATATTTGTCCATGTTTTCTTATCAGTCAGTTCTTAGTTCCTATGCTCACTATCAAGTACACAAAACTTGGTACAATGCCTTCGTACATCATCTTGTTTCTCCTATTACCCCTTATAATATTGATTCTTCTACGATGTCGTCCTCCGAAAATTACGCCCACGCATTTCAAATGTGTCATGTTCGTTCAAAACGTTCTACTCGCTGCGTTTTCGGTTTCAATTCTACTCGGATTGTATGTAAGTTTAGGAGAAAACAGTTTGTAGAGACAACACTGTTTTCTTTCAGATCTTCCCCTACCTGCTCATCGCCTGTTGCTTGCTCCAAATCCTCAATTCGGACCAGAAACGTTCAACGCTATTGTGTCAAGCTGATCATGAAAACGGACATTCTAGCGAAATTTCCCTCGGTCTCATCTTAACAGTTCTATATTTCTTCATCGGCCTCACACTATTCATTATCTTTTTCTTCTTCACTCCTTCCAAACTTTTCCCCACTCAAAATTATCCGGATCCAACTGTTCTCATCGCTTTTTTAATGGCTCATCTGATGTCTTCCGCTTTCGCTCTTCTTCTCGTCTGTTTATCCGATTCCGATAGGTTTCTGGTGTCGAATAGTGGAAAAATCGTTGGATTTTATGTCCGGAAAGGTGGACAATGGGTCCTGGTCCCTGTGGAAGGCTCCGAGGATCTCTATTATGAAAATTGTGTTCTGGACATTTGATAAATTTGGAAAATTGGAAATTGGAGCACTCAAAGAGCACGCGTAATGAAACCAAAAACAAAAAGCGCAGAAACTGATAAGAAAATGATCATGTGTTTGGTTTTTCTTATCTTCGTATCGATTGAATCGTTGAAAGGAGAATAAAAGTTTATGAATACAATTTCAGATCGCGCCTTCCAACTACTGGTCCCTTCGCCACTGCTCGTGGTCCCTCTGCTCGGTGTTCTTTGGTCGAACCAGACGGATTCGTCGTTGAGATTCCCGATGATGGCGGCGTGGCGAGGTGTTCCGAAGGGCCCGTGTGAACAGAATCTGATGAAATAGAAACTGTAGAAAACATTAGCAACAATCTGAGGCCTTCGGGTACACTTTCCATCTGAAATACTTTTCTGTGATTGCCAATAGTCACTGCTCACTTACACTCTCGGCCACTTCGTCGTGAGCCAGACGCCGATGCACATGAATGCCTTTTTGACCTGTTACTTTTGCTTTCATGCTGACATGAACTAATAAAAAGAAGATGTCAGAGATTAAGAAAGACTATTCTTGTGCCAGTTCATTTTACTTGCTGGCCGATTTCAAAAAGTTTAAACCTTTGAAAACGATTCGTCATTTGGAGCTTCATAATGTTCTCTACACTTGTGAAAAGTTTCTCTAAATCTGAAAACTGAAGTTGAGTTGACGCAGTTCAAGACAGCTGAAAAGTAGAGAGATTCGAACGAAGCTCCTGATTTCAAGAAACGCGCGCACTTTTGGACAAGCAAACATTCCGATCACACCCGATCAAACCATCAACATCTCCCCGAATAGCCCGAACCTCATAAAGCGTGGGAATAACTTTTTTCCCACTGGATGGGAAAAACATTGCAGGTTAGGAAAAGAGAATCAGAAAAATGCGTTGCACGACACGACAACTTTGAGTCTAGTTTCAGGTCACTTTTGATTGATTACCGCTTTCCAAATCGAAAATCTCACCTGCTTCTTTTGATTTTTGAATATTTAGTATCCCATAGAGCTCAGTCCGATCAGTTGCTCATCTTCCAATTACGAGAACATTCTGAGCCATCTCATTTCCTATTGTTCCCTTATCAGTCGAACACCATTCCAATTTCCCCTCTAGTTATGTGTCTTCTTCGTTTTCAACTGGCTCTCAGAGTTATCAAAAGTCTTGTGACTTTTTTCAGCGCTTACTCACTAACACCGCCCTTCTCATCACTTCCCCTTTCTTTTCTTTGTCTCAGCATATTAAAATGGAAGAACTCAGAGAAAAAGTGATGGCAGTTCGGACGTGCAAACTCGTCGATCACAATGTGCTCACCAACATCCTGCTCTACATTTTCCAACTCGCCTACGCGTTTCCCATCTCCATCCTCTATCTCCTGGTCATTTTCACGATTCTGAACAAGCATCGCACCGAAAGATCGTTTTCTGATGTCTATTTTCGAATTTACGTACTCGATGGCTTTGTGGTGAGTGTTCACGGCTGCCCGAGATCTCAAGAAGTGAATCTTTTCAGAGTCTGATAGTAGTTATCCTCGATTTCGGCCTGACACGTCCACTGATCTACGTGAATCCAATCTGCGACACATTTCTGTCCGCATTCCCTGAACCGACCTATTGGCTCACTCCCTACTTGTTCTTTTTCAACTTTTTCCAATTCGCCAAGATCTTTTCGATTTCTCTGATGTCTGCAAATCGGTATACTTGTCTGGCTCATCCGGTTTTTCACAAATTGGTTAGTATCGGTCCAAAATGTACCCAAGTTTTCAACACAACATGCCTCGGAACAGAGTTGGGCGGAATTCTGACTTCTGTTCCTTTCCAGAATGAGTCAAATGACTTGAAGCATACAAAAAACCTCAAAACGTTGCCTTTTTGCAGTTCTGGCGGAAGCACACGCGCCACGCAATCACCGTCACCCTCATAGCGCCCATCTTTTGCACGTGGCAACTGGCCATCTCGCCCACGCGTCTCGACGTTTACAACGGAGAAGCGCTTTTGGGATACGAAAAAGTGGTGCCATTTGTAAGATATTGTGCAGTTCTCCAACTTTGCACTCGTACATTTCAGGTGCGCACAACTGCGTTCAAATTGGTAGTCAGTCTCGTCGCTTTTGTCTTTCTCCTGTTCACAAACATGAAAACGTACAGAGTGATCAGAGGGAAGAGTTCATTGAAAAAGTTGGAAGATCCACTGACTCTCTCGACCATCGTGATGAGCGCCGTTTTTGTGGTTTACATTATCATTCAGGTACCATAGTCCTACAGTATTATAAACCATTTAAACCGTTGAAGTTTTAGGCGATTCTCCTCATTTTCTCGACGACATTCCTCGTGGAGAACATGGTGTTCGGCAGTTTTCTCAAAAAGTTCGAGTTTGTCTGCAACGATTTCTATCTCATGAGGTATGAATCGACTTTCAAAGGACACCTTGCGTCACAAGAAGTCACAAGAATTCAGATGACGTGGGGAGTCTAATGAGAACGTTTTCAGCTCGCCGATCGTCCTTCTCATAATTAACAAGCGCTTGCGAACGTCCATTTTCCGGGTGTCGCCGGCGGTTCCGAGGAACTCTTCGAACACTCACATTTCCTCGACCAAAGCCTTCCAAACTGTTCGGCCCATTACAAAATCCCCTTCGGCAAAGACTTTGGACAGTAATGTTGCTAGATTTTGATGTTAATTTACCTCGCAGCCCTTTGACCAATCGTACTCCTACCTCAAATAAGACTTTGTGTTCTTTGTTATATACATTTTTTGAAGATATTCTTGTACAAGTGCTGTGATGCGTTCAGGTGGAAAAGAAAAAGGACATCCTGTTCATATACACATTCGACAGCAAAGTTCTTTTTATTAGCACGCTTCATCTGGGTTCTGAGTTGGTTTTGGTTGCTCGTTTCATCGACACTTCTGTCGTCGTTTTCTTGAAATCCTTTCTCGGCTTACAGCAGCAAAATATCGAGTTGCGAATGCGTTTGTCTATGATCAGAAGGACTACGGGACCACTGAAAAAGCGGAAAGTTCGGGTTGCATTCGTATTGTCGGAACTATGGAGAATCTAACCTCAACATGTAAAAGTCATTGCACAACTGCGTCAACGCCAATATAATCATTGCAATCCAGGGCGCCGAGATCATCGTTTTCGTATTGAACACCAAATAACTGACTTGCAACGCGAGCATCAACGCGAATCCGACGGACACGAAAATTGTGGCGATCGTCATGGAAGCGTCCACTTTTCGCATGTGCTTCCCCAGTTTGGTCAACTTTGACGACGTTACTACGCTCGAGAAGATTGTGAACAAAAGTGTGGGAACGCCGAGTGCAATCCTGCCGAACGTGGTGCGCGCCCACTCGAACTTGTGCTCATAAAGCACCATTCCTTGTCCGTGATACGGGAAGAAGTTGGTTCTCGCGATGGCCATCGGCCATACGAATATCAGAGGTAACAAGAAGATGATAAAGATGGCCTTCCGGATGTGCTCCATCCACACCTTCAAACAGACGGTTACCATGCCTCTCTCCTACCTAGACGACTTACTGTTTTGTGAAGAAACGGATAATTGACAGAAGTGAAACGGTTGATGTTCATCATTAGAGTCGAGAGAATTTTGCAAAATTGAGTGTAGTAGTAGAGGGTAAAGTACGGAGTTAGGTAGTAGGCAGGGGTGACGAGCAGCGGGAGCCAGAACTCGCAGACTGGACGGACGTAGGAGGTGAGGCGCATGAAAGAAATGTCGAGAACCAAGAAGAGAAGCGTCTGGAAAAAGATATGCACTAATCAGAAAACGTTGGCGGACATTCGAATCGCAATTGACACTACGTGCCATCGCAATACATAGAAATGAAAAGACCAGTACTGTATGTCTAAAGAAAGTTTCAGCCACATTTTTGCAAACCCTCGAGTTTGTAAAACAGGCACAGACGGCCTGAATAAGCCTCTTCTACAACCCTAACGGATAGATTGAGGGACAATAGCCGAGCAAAAGCGATCAAAGATCAAGAGGAGAACACCAGTCGCACAGCAACTCACCACAACGCCATCAACGAGATACAATGTGAAGAAAGAGTCGTCGAAGAGTTCCCTCTTCTTGCGATTCTTCATAATCGTCGCCATAAACGAGGCGTAGAGTGTGGCGAACGGGAGTACGTACGCCAGTTGCACACCGAACTTCACGTACTCCGCAAAGTTCGACTCGCCCGAATCACAACTAATCAGATAGCCGTTCGCCGCGTTGGATCGGCCATAAAGGAGAATGAAAGGAGCGAGGAGATGTTTGTGTGTACGAATTGGGAAGAGCAGAAGAAGAATGCTTGTTCGGTGGACCGTGAATTTTCGGATTGTGAGCAGCACGTATTTTGTGTTGCGATAATCGGGAACTTGTGATTGCAGCGGAAATATCTTTTGAATCTGAATCCCACTGGAGTTTCCGATGATTATTAGTTCAGTTTTCTCAAAACAAAAACGTGCTAATTGTCTGGGAGCGAGCAGCTTTTTGTTCACTCGAGTCGTACGCTCGCGTTTCACACTTTTTCGCTTAAAACAAAACAAAAGCGGCGCGGATTATCCTCCCTTATTCGCCGCTAATTTGTTTGTGCTGACCCCAATGCGCGCGGTTCCATATAGAGGTAAGAAAGGAATTTTAATCCAGCAACCCGAGTTTGAATCTCGGTGGAATGTATCCTCATTTTGGTTTTGCAATACTGAACATGAACATGAACACATCAGTCCCGTCCGTCCGTCCATCGATCTCCTCCATTCCCTCAGGCCGACCAGTTTGCCCTCTCTCTCTCTCTCTCTCTCTCTCTCTCTCTCTCTCGTCCCGATCGCTGCTCCCCTCTTTCTCTTCTTTTCCCGCTCTTCTTGTACAGATATTACATGGACACGACACACACACACAGACAGACTGCAAACCGCTCCGCTCGTTCCCTCCGTCTCCACACACTCTCGCCCCTTTGATTTTCGCTTCCTTCGATTGATAGATACGAGACTTTTGAGCGTCGATTTTTCTTCCAATTTTTTCGCTTTCTCACAGATTTCGCAACTGTTGAGTGAAATCGCTGCCGAATCTTCTAAATTCTGTTTGTTTTTGGGCATAAGGCGATTTCAACACATTTTCGGTTGATAACAGAGCACGTCTCTTTCTCATTGACTAGTTTTGTGAGACCAGGTTCACAGTATTTTTGAGCAACTGGGTTCAGCAGTCTCGCTCTCAGTTCTTAGACTTCAAGAGTTTAGGAACCTTCTCGAGGCCTGAACTTTTGACCTATTTGCTTTTTGCAAAAAACCGGCCTTTTCGGCCTCAAGCCACTTTATCTCTGGACCGGAGAGTCTGATCGGTCTGAAACTTGAACCAGATATGCTTCAATCCAGGTTCAAGAAGTTTTCAAAGTTTGGGTCCGCTCGGATTATTGTGCATTGGTCAAAAGTTCAGGCCTTCGAAAAGCCTGCGCCGGCCCTGAAAATAATCAATGATAATCTGTTCTACTTTCCAAGTGTATTTGCATAAAACAGTAGTGTCGAGGTGGCATGTAAACACAACATCGGCTGTTGTTATTCGCCTCCCATTCCTCCATTCCTTCTCCCGCTCTCGTTTGTCACTGTTCTCCCTCCTCCAAACGATTTTCTCATTTCCAACACTCCAATCAGGGCTCGATATGGATCGTGAGAAGCGGCGAAGCGAAGAAGAAGAAAAGGAGCTCGATCGCAGAATCGCCCTCATTCGGGAAAAGAACCAGCAGATTGAGCAGCGTACCAAGGTAATCTCGGAGCATCTTTGAACTATAACTGACAGCTTTCAGGAGATCGAAGAGGATCGTGCACGCACTGAGGATTCGTTGGCGAAATCTCCAAAGGTTCGTATTGTAGGAAAAGAGAGGGGAGAACTGGTTCCGTACTGTACAACTATGTAAGTACAATACTGTACACAGGAATGTGTTGAATGGGGAAACTTATTGATGAGAGGAGAGAGACGGGCAAGAAGGGAAAAGGAAAGGAAAGATGGATGATAGTGGAACGGAAATTGGGGGAATTAGTCGACGGATCAAACTAATATAACTTTGCAGAGTTATATTGGTTTGAAAGTTGTTTGCGTTTTATCACAATTCACGTGAATACAGTGTCCCTTTTGAAAAGTGTTTCACGTGAACATCTCAAAATAATCGTTTTCCTTTTTTCAGTCGTCGTCTCAAACGCCTCCTAAAGCGACGACTCCGGACCGGAACGGAAACGGACAGTGGAGTCGCGAGTGGGACAAAGGCAAACGCCGTGAGTCGCCTTAGTCCACAAATCCACAATATCCGTCTGTTTTCAGCGCCGAAACTTGGCGCGAGAATGTGCCTTCGATGGACTTGAAGGGTCGATTGGCGGGTCAGAACGGACAAGCGAATAACATTAATAACAACAATAATAACAAAGAGGGCGCCGCGAACGGAGCCGGAGGCGGCAGAAGAAGCGGAAAAGGAGGACAAGGACAAGGAAACCACGGAGGAAATCAGAAGAAGGATGGAGGTGTGAAGGTTCCGTCGAGATTGGAGGGAAGGATCACGTTTCCGAGCAAAGAGGAGAAAAAGAAGGAAGAAGAGCGGGAGGAGCCGGCAAGGATTCACGAGGGAATCACAAGGGAGAGCAGGACAGGAAGAAGTCGGTGAGTGGAAGAATCAAGAATGTTTGTCCTGTAATTTCAAAGTTCCGAGCTATCGACTATTGTCGTATCACAAACCTTGCTACTGTACTCTACAGCAAGCAAAGTAGGTGAAAATGTTAAGTTGTCTGTATTGAGACTGTAATGCGGAATCACACGCGAAAAAAGATGATATCTGAAAAGTTTTGGATAAAGTAACAGCGCGACAGTCACTCATTACATAACTGGACGGTCCCTTCCCGCTCACCCCGGTCCTTGACAGTTCATACCCTCCAGACTCGTCGCCTTTTGAACTGTTCCGCCCGCCCGCCCGCCAGCCGCCCGCTCTTCCGACAGCTTCGTTTCTGCCGGATCATGTTTCAATGACTCGCCGACACCTTTTCGTTACTTCTTTTTTGCAGCTGACCAACGACGGAGGAGAAGCGCACAAAGGACAGAGAAGACGTGGCGGTCAGAAGGATCCGAAGGAGCAGAAAGAGCAGAAAGAGCAGAATCGGAATGGGAAGAAAGAGAAAGGAAAGCTCCAGCCGGCTGGAGAGAAGGAGGCCGAGGAAAAGAAGAAGGGAAAAACTCGTCCGCGCCGTGAAAGCGACAACTACGCGGTGAGAAAGGTGGTGCATCGGCTCGTCGAGAAGGTGTGTTGGATGGAGAGAATGGAGAAGAAGAAGGCGAAGAACGAGCTGCTCGGCGAGGAAGAGTTGGAAGAAGAGGAGCCGAAGAGTGAAGACGAAGTGAGTTCCGTTCCCCCGTTCCATTTCCTTCAACTACTTCTCTTCAGAATCTGGCCCCAGAGACCCCGATCCCAGAAGACGTCGCTTCTGAGAAATCTCCAGAAGAAGAGGCTCCAACGAGTTCCGACGACAAAGAGGACAGCAACCAGAACGTGATCAACTTGGTCCGCGAGAAAGTCGTCACCATGACCACGTCGCAAGTCGCTTGAATCACTGTGATATTCCCCTTATCCGCTTCGATAGTGCCTCCACTCAATTAGATGGAAACCTGATAATATTTATTATTGTCGCTCATGATTTTTTGTAAATAAAGCTTCTGATACGGTAGTTGTCAGCTGTGCTCCGGGAGGCACCCCCTCATCAGCTCAGTTTTCAAACATTTTGTCATTCTCACACTCGGAAAGAAAGATCTTTTCTCCGTTTTTTCTGCGGCGACTATGCAACCAAACTCCTCGTCGTTTCACCATCACTTTACGTATGTTTTTATCAGATTTCACCGAGAATCTGGAATTTCATCCCCCGACACTTTATCTTTTGCTGGGTTTCAGCTGTGACACCACGCGATACTCTGAAGAGCAGATCGCTTGTATCCTTGAGGCACTAACCAGTGGAACCAATGAGATCAGGAAGTTGGTGGGTTTTTCTTGGGAGAGACCGTACTACAGTTTAATGGATTACAGTCGCAGTTTGTGTGGATTACGATGGAAAGAGAAGAGATGCGCAGCAATCAGTACATCCTGAAAGCGCAGGCGTTTCTCGCATTTCACTCGAACAACTACAAGGTAACTCTGAAAAACGGGCACCCAATCGGATCCATTCCTTAGGAACTGTACCGAATCATTGAAACGCATCATTTCGCGTCGGAGCATCATCCGTCGCTTCAAGAGTGGTGGCTCAATGCTCATTATCACGAGGCGGAAAAGATTCGTGGTCGGCAGTTGGGCGCCGTCGGAAAGTACCGAATCAGAAGGAAGTACCCGCTGCCGAGGACAATTTGGGACGGCGAAGAGACGAGTTATTGCTTCAGAGTGCGTGAGCATCTACGGTTTGCAGAAAATCGCTTCGAGCTATTTGCAGGACAAGTCGAGAGTTTTGCTGCGTGAGTGGTATATTCGCAATTCGTATCCGAGTCCGCGAGAGAAAAGGGATCTTGCCGAAAAGACGCATCTGACGGTGACCCAGGTGTCCAATTGGTTCAAGAATCGGAGGCAACGGGACAGAGCAGGAGTGCCCGACGGCAAGTGAGTATCATTCGAAACTATTCATCTTAGCTATTATGGGGTCATTTCTCTGCAATCTGTTCCTTATCTGGCCTAATTTTTCAGTTTTTTTATTCGTTTTTCTTCACTGGAATTTCTTGATTGTAGTTTGGACTGCAAAAAGTGTTTCTCAACAGAGCGCGATTGCAGTGAAAGGTCATACCTGTTATCAAAAAGTGACCAGCTGATAAATTGTTCACAAAAACTTCTGAGCGAAATATTAGCATTTGGTTCTTTTTCTATTTATTTAATCAGGTTCAAAAATAGGTAACAGAGACTAGCTTTCTAATCCTTTGTCTCGTATGTATCATCTTGAATAAACAGTATCCGGTGTTCGTCTCCAAATCCATCGCAACTTTCAAACCCTGAATCTGATTTTGAAGTTTTTGAAGAGCTCTTGTAGAATAACACGTTTAGCATAAACTTAAAGCGCATTTAGACGACTTTTAGAAGTGTTAGCCCTGAAAACGGAATTTGCAGAGATTCGCTCAAAGACCTAGGATGCAGCGAGGAAGAAGACCTGAAACTGATCCGTAAAACCGCTTCCAAACTGTCGACTTTTCATTCGCCGACCGATTTGACCTCGTACTCGGCAGCCGCGCTTCCGGGCTTCTACGTGAACTACAATGAAATGATCGGCACCGGAACCGCAGCCACTTCTTATCAGTCTTTATAACTTTTTCATTCATAAAAGTTTACCCCCTCCCCAACTGTGTCTTCTTCCGTTTGAATACAGAACATGTATGACGTGGCAGGAGAGTGTATGCATGTAGAAATGGAAAACGACGGAGGAAATTGTGTGTGTGTGTGTGTGTGTGACCATCAATGTAATTCGATCCCGACGACGGCGGTGGCGCGTTTTCCCGTCCCTCTATTCGATCAAGAATGAGCGGAGAGCGGGGAAAGGAGAGGAGCGGCCGCGGATTACGGTAGGTGGAATTTACGAGGAACGAGTCTTGTTGGTATATTGGGAATTGCTCTTGTAGTTGACAACATTTCGGAACAGTTTCGAGTCCAATAGTTTTTGAGCTTTTCCTGAAAATGTTATTGACCAGATTCCAAGATCCACCTTCTCTTTTAAGTCAAAATGTAATAGGCAAACCGATTTATTGAACGTCAGAGGCTCACGGATGTTACTGGTTAGAACAAAAACTGGTGTATGTATGTGTGAACTGAACTAATTTTAGTGAAAGAAATAAGCACATTGCATTCTAGGTCTTTTTTCGGGGGAAGGAGCCTTAAATGTCTCTATTAGAGACTCTCTAGTTAGGTACGTTGAGCTGAGATTTTTAAAGTTACAGAACTATAAAATGAACTGAATAGGCATTTGACTATCCGAAATCACCTGACTCCCAATGTTTATCTATGGTCTTCAACTCGCCAATTACTCACCGATTTGCCCCGCCCGATAAATCACGGGTCAGTTGTCTGTTTCCCACACCAATTCATTTGCAAAGTAGGTAGCTGAGGGCAATTTGATCCGAAACATCTTGCTCTCCGCTTCGCGCACTGTAAAATCTTTGAAGTGACCGACGACCACATGTGTTCGCTGGTGTCATAAGCCGTGTTCAATCGTTTTATTGCTTGTTTCATTATGAGAAAGCGGTGAAAAGGTACGCTTTTGTTTATATAAACTGTTACGTCAGAGAAAAGTGTTTATGGAGGCGTCGAGAAAGAGAACGGTAAACATTTGGAAGAATCAAAGTTTGGGCTGATAGGTCCCGTTTGTCTAGAAAGATTACATAAATTGTTGCAAAATTCATCGAAAAGATGCTCCGGCGGCGGTTCGGTGACACATTTCAATGTTGTCATGTCACTTTGAGGTTTGCTACCTGGCAAGAATCTACCTGAATTCCGCGCGCGGACCTGTCAATCACGATGACACACGACACGAGCCGGATGATACGGAGATATTAACAGCAAGCTGTGGAACCGAGTCTCAAGAGTGCTAGTAGCCGTGACAGTCCTCTTAAGCATGTAGTACATAAACATGACCGTGTCAAACACGAGTTATCTTCATCAGCATCATCTGCCAATGTTTGGACAAGCCGGCCACTCTCTGGAACATCTGGCTTCCGAACGAAGATGTACACATAAGGTAAGTGACTAAACGGGAGGGAAAAGCGGCGGTACAGACATGTTTGGGCTATGGTATTGGGGTAGCGAAAAAGTTGCGTAACGTACTTGGGGGTACTTGGAAGGGGAAGGACAATAGACATGGTGGGTTAGTCAAACTTTGTTAGGCTTTTTTTTGAAACTGAATAAAGATTAGTGAGCGCCATATGGAACAGAACAGACCGAAAAGCTAATCTTCAAACCAAACCATATAAAGTTACAACAAGAAGCAGCCCATATGGCTTCAGACAGGCTTCACATCACCGACTGCCGACTCCGGGAATAGTGAGAATGAGGGGACAGAAAGTGAAATAGATATCGGTACAGGTGTAAAATGATATTCGGGCCCCAACTGGCAGCGCCGAAAGGTTCGGTCCTCCTTTCGATGAAGAAGAAGAAGCACAGGAGGCGAAGAAGAAGGGAGAAGAAGCAATGAGAAAATAATAGGCAAGTTTAGAATTTCAAACCTCGGATACTCTTACCCTCCGTGGGCACTCCGCCCCTGGGGCTCCCATTACCACTCGGCTCCTGTTCCACCACTCTGTTTTTTCCCAGCTGGGCTTCACCTGTGTCCCACAGTTCCAGTTATGGTCAACTGTTGGGGCCCAAAAGACGGTGGTCCACGGCGATTCGTCAGTGGCCAAAAGGGGCGGAGCATTCTTCGACGAGACGAGAAGAAGGAGGCAGCTCTTGCGTTGCGGTGCTCTCCGCCGAGGAGGAGACCCAGCGGACACTCACTCACTCACCACCACTACCACCTCCGGCCCCACCGGCCACATATTCACTCGCGAGTCCCCGAGCCGTACGTCATCATCACCATTGGCATCAGAATCGTCTGAAAGGAGAATGCAGGCGTACAGCACGCAAAACTTGACGTAAGTTGAGCCGCTCCCAAAAGTTCCGTAGAATGTGATATTGGAGCACAACTCGGAGCTCTCGGGTTACGATCTGTCTTTGGTAATTGTATACGTGGCAACGCGACACCGGGGGGAAAAGAGGGGCGGCGCCCGACCGACACACAATAGTTTAAGTTTCGGGCGCTCCTTCAGAATCTGTTCGGTTTTGCAGAGCCACCACCTCGTACTCGGAGCAAGAAGTCGTGTGCATTTGCGAGTCGCTCTTCAACGAAGGACTCCAAACCGGGCGGACCGATCAACTGGTGAGTGTGGGGAGGACTTTTCGTCATCTTGTCACCCGCAACCAACCTCTTTCTTTTCTCTGCTCGATTTCGAACACGCAGGTGTCATGTGTCACTTATCACTGATTTTGACGAACTTGCCTGCCCCGGGGACGATGATGTCGATGCTCGATGCTCGAAAGAGCTCTGCTTCGCCTCTTTGCGGTTTTTCATCGAGGGGTACGGTAACTGTGGCTGGCTGCGGGTGGCGCATGCTTTTCCCTTCCTTCAAAGCAAACAAAAGTCCATTATGGCCGGCGTGGGGGAAGTGGGGAGCAGATGTGGGGGACCAGAAGCTAACGGCTCAAATGGGGAAAGAAGGGACCTGTCTCAATATTGTAGTATTTTCAGGCCAACTTCCTGTTCAGTCTTCCGCAATGCTACCTCGGCTCCGAATCCGTGTTGAAAGCGCAGGCGCTCGTCTATTTCACGAGTCAAAACTGGAAGAACCTGTATCGTCTGCTCGAGTGCCACAAATTCTCGCCGCACAACCACAACGTCCTGCAGAACTTGTGGCTCGACGCGCACTATAAAGAGGTACCTAGGAATCAAAATATTTGGGCCGGATTAGGACCACTTGTTCCTCAATATGCCAATAGGTATATAAAGTTGCGCAATGGGTGAGCTGCGCGCGAATCTAGCTAACCAAATCCGAGACCAACATTGGGTAATCTTGGTTACGTTGGTTGCTGGTTGCAGGCAGAGAAGACGAAAGAGCGAGAGCTGGGAGCCGTGTGCAAGTACCGCATCCGCAAGAAGAATCCGTTCCCGAACACAATCTGGGACGGCGAGGAAACCAATTACTGTTTCAAGTCCAAATCACGGAATGTGCTCAGAGACGCCTACAAAAAGTGCCAGTACCCGTCGGTCGAAGATAAGCGGAGACTGGCTCAACAGACAGAGCTCAGCATCATTCAGGTGACCCGGAAACTCCGGAATCCCTATCAGAGAGCATTTTTCGTTTTGCAGGTGTCCAACTGGTTCAAGAACAAGCGACAACGCGAGAGAGCAGCTGGCCAACTGGATAGGTCAGTTACGGTCCCGTGGTCCATGTGTGGTTTGACTTTCGGGAAGGCAGGTCACTTGTGTGCGCATGTTATGCAATCGGACATATTAACTTGGAGAAACGGGTGTTACTGGCTATCGATTTGGGGAGAGGGCGAAGGAAAGGGAGCACACTTTTTGAGAAAAATTATTTATATTCAGTGGCCTGAGCACTAATTTTTTGCCTAATTTTCATGAGTATCTGAAACATTCAATACCGTAGCACAAGCTTTCAAAGTACCGTAACCTCTTTCTGGTCGTTCAAAAAGGTGCGAAGAGAGCTTCCCCGTCCACTTGGACACCCCGCTGTCATTAGTGTTTGCCCAAACTTTGTAGTAGGCCAGGTAGATGACACGATGTACCCGACGAGGGAAACAATACGCATTGTTCTGCCGCCCTGTCGTCAGATATGAAGAGCTTCTCAAATAGAAGCCGGGAAACGAAGGCGAGATGTGTTAGAACGGGAAAGGGGATCTGCGACTCAACTCAACTAATCTTGCTCAATTTCAGAAGCTCGGCCCGATCGAACGACAGCGACGACGGCTCTTCCGGTTGTGAGTCGAAGCCGACGATGGGCATCGAGAGCCCCGCTCCGCCGTCACTTCCCACCTCGTTCGACCTCCAACCCTACCCTTATGCTCCGTATGCGTTCGCTCCGGCTCCTTGTGAATTCTCCTATCCGCTTCAGAATTTGTGATGGTGTCCCCCCTTCCCTATGAGAGATATTTATGACAAAAACCATTTCAACTAAAGACTATTCATCCGTTTTTCTGTATTATTTTGTAGTCCTTTTTCGGTATTCCTCCATTCACATTCTATATCAGTATTAAAACACTTTTGTATTTGCTTGTCCACGTGCTTGTCATTTTAGCTATAAATTATGTTCTCAAAGTGTTGAAACGATTCATTAATGAAACTGAAGACGGATTGCAAGAAAGGGGACAAAATAACTGAAAACAGGGAAAAGGGCTAAAAGCGAAGAAAGATGGGATCCTATTCAGAACGGGAAAAGTCATAGAGTCAAAGAATCACAAGGGAGAACAGAAAAAGAAGGGGAGAACGGGAAATCTCAAACATTTAGGCACCTTTGTCGACCAGAAAAACATTATTTTTGAAGCGTATTCGCCCTTCCGGAAATCAGTTGTTGAACCGATTTGCGGAAGGGAAAACAGGGCGTGGGGGTTGACAACTCGTAAAATTTATTGCAAAATTAACGTAACCTAAAACGTAGCGATATATAGCGACTATAACAAAATAAGTGGAAAGAAAGAGAGAGAGAGAGAGAGAGGGGAGAGAGAGAGAGAGAGAGAGTAAGCGAAACAGTTGGGAAAGTGTTTTGCAGAGGAAGATGATGATGATAACGAGTGAGCAGTGGGTGGGAGGGGAACGGGCGTCTCGGGGGAAAGTGGACGATAAATGCGGTGATATGATGAATTGCGGAGGGATTTATTTCAAAAACGGAGGGCACCTTCTTCTTCGCGATCGAAAAACAACGAAGGAGCCCTGAAAAGTAGGGGCTTAGAAGCCGGGGATGACGCAGTAGGCTTCGAGCGCCGAGAGCAGCAGGTACATGAACCAGAGGAAGGTGAAGAAGAACGAGGTGAGCCACTGAAAATGAATTGATGGTATTGTATGCCTTGAGGATCTCGACTAGCCCATCGGACTCTACTAGGTCGGAGTAGCGTCGAATGGCTCCCTTTTAGTTAGGCCAAGACACTATTTTTCTCACTAAGCATCAGGCATGGGCTAATCACCGGCACAGGTTTTTCGAAGGCGTGCCGAGACCTGGACATGTTGGACTTGGATTGAAGTATCTTGGATTCAAGTTTCAGACCGATCGGATTTTCTGGTCCCGGGATATTCTAGTTTGAAGTGAAAAAGGCCGGGTTTTGCGAAAATTTTGGCCTTTTAGGTCTTTAGAGTAGATAAACCGATTGACCTGAAAACTTGGGCCGAAGATATGTCAATCCAAGTCCTCGGAACCCCAAACTTCTAAACTTACCCTCAAAGCAGTGGGTCCTCCCAATTCTCCTCCGACGCTCTTATTTCTTCTCAGCACAATGACAGTAATGCATAACAACGCCTCGACGACAAAGATGAACACGGAGAATCCGAGGTTTCCTGGGTCCACCAAGAACTTGGTGCCCTTGTTCCAGTGGACGATGGCGGCTAACGACCAAGCGATTCCGATTCCGAGGAACACGTTGACCGCATTGGATCCGGTGACGTTTCCAACGGCGTTATCGGCGTACTTGTCCTGAACGGCCGAGACTTTCGACGCGAAAGTGTCTGGCACGGAAGTTCCGAGTGCGACGAACGAGATGGCGGTGACGGCGTCCTTGAGTCCCACCCAGCATCCGAACTGAGAGGCCAAGTCTCCGACGACGGCGGTCAGTACTCCGATCATGAAGATGGCGACGACGAACGTTGCCCATCCGCCGATGTAGTCGGTCGGCGGGATAGTGGCGAAAGTGAGTTTCCATGGGACGGTCAAGATGTGCATCACGTAGTCCATGCATCCCGGCTCCTCCGGCTCCTTCTCCTCTCCGTCCTCTCCTTCCTCGTCGTCGTCGTCGTCGTCTCCGGCGGACACGACAAGAGCCTCCATGAACTGTTCTCTCCACGAGTGCGTTCCCAGCATGATACGGGTGTTGGCGTTCTTGATCATGCGGTCGATAATTCCCTGAACGTTTAGAAATGAGCTACCGTTTTGCTAGCAATGCGCCGTTACCTGGAATTCCTTGGATTCTCTAATGGTGATCTGGCACTTGGTGAACTCTCCAAGTCTTGGTTTTCCCATCTCGGCAATCTCCAACTGGGACGGTGTGAGAGCAGTGACGACTTCGTCATCCCCTACAAAAACACCTTGATTCCTCAATCAAAAAGACCTTAAGCCGGAGGAAAATGGTCACAGAAAACCAATCGAAAGAAAAGAAAAGAAAGTGAAAGCTTTGCGAAAACAATGATAAATGTCCAAGTGGTTAGCGTGGCGAAACAGAATTACAGAGAACGCATGCAAAACGAAAGTGTGTAAAAACCAAGAAGAACTGTACCGCCTTTCATTCCGGCAATCCATGAGCCGAGTCGGTTGCGGAAGCGGCTCGTGAGGTGGGGTGAGTTGGAGTGCGAACGACGGGGATCCGCCGACGGCTGCAGCAAATCGACGCTCGCGGCTCTGCTCGATTTGTCGCCCGGCGCGAGTGCTGTGAATAAGTATGAAAGGGTGAAAAGGGTTGAGGGGGAGGGAAAGAAAAGAAAAGGAAAACGGGTTGGAAGGTATCTAAGAGTATATCTGAAAGAATTGTTTCCGATTTAAGGGAGACGTGTTATTTACAGAAGCGTACACGGTCCGATAAAGAAGTACAACATCACCTACCGGTCTCTTGCGTCGAATCCTTTGATTCGGAGGCCACCGACGATCCGCGTTTGCGTTCCATTCGACGTTGGAAGCGCTCTTGGATGCGTGACAAGTCTGTTTAAATCACAAACACAACGATGATGATAAGAACGAGGGTGATGTGTGAAGTTTAAGTTTGTTTGACAATAACAACTCGATTAACTGATTGTGAGCGTGTAGAAGAGGGGGGAAGTTATAGCCTTCTGAAATTCTGAAAACCCCGCTCTTACCGTTCATCTTCTTCGCCCAGATTGGTGGCGACAGTTCGATGTAGAAGTAGTCAGAGCGTTCGTATTGTTCGGTGTCGATGATTCCGATGTCGATGGTGGCTCTGAAAACGGGTCGGTGGACTGAGAACCATCGAGCTTTGGGGAATGTACTCGGTTTGATTGTCTTCGAAGACGATCTCTCCTTCCTTTTGTTCGAAGTGCTTGTCGGCCTGGGCAGTTCCTTCGACGGTTCTGTAATTTACGCATTCAGCAGGCTTCTTACATGTCTACAAATCTTATACTTCATTTTACCAGTTGTCACTCTCTAGAGTACTGTAGCCCATGTCAGTTAGCCATGCCCTTGCCTAGTTCTAACTTCCATGAGCTACAGTACTCCTGATAGTTGCTGTACAGAGCAATGGTGAACTGACAAAGTGAGGCTCTTGAAGTGAGCTCTTATTGTTTAGTTGACACTTTTTCTCTACAGTGACTTTCAGGAGTACAGTATCTCGTGGAAGTGAGTATTGAGATTCATATACACCCAACCAGTTCTAATTTCCGTGAGCTATAGTAGTCCTGAAAGTTGTTGTACAGAAAATTAGTTAACTGAAAAGATATGATCCGAAACATGAACGTTCTTTGTTCCGATGACATTTTTTTGTACTATCACTCTAAAGCATACGCATAAAAGTGATGCCCACCAATCCCAAATATGCTTTATCATGTTGTACCCGATCTCTACGCATCTCTACGGTTCCAGGTCATAGTTCAATTAGTCTGGGCTCTTACTTCACTTTCGCCCTTCTTCTCTTTCTCCAATCATTAATCAAATAAACTCTACTGCTGCGCAATTTCTCAAGCATCATGTAAACACCGTCAAATGACGCACTTACTCTTCCCTTCTTCTTCTTCTTCTTCTTCCTTCTTATCAACGGAAATAGACAGTACCTGAACGGAATGACGACCTTTCCACGGGCTCCCGAATGTCTCTTCATCTGCAACGAAAGGTGTCCGCAGTTCTCGACGACCTGGAAGTGATCGTGCTCAAATCCGAACACTCCGGCGTGATCATCGTCGAGGATCATGATGGTGGCGGTGTTGGGCATCTCGAGCTGGGCGACCGGCAGTCCTCCGATTCTGGTCGGGTCGATGATGATTCCGTCCTTGGTGCGCACGCGGAGGTTGGTCAAACGGAGGTAGAAGTGCTCGTCCTCCTCGAAAACGTCATCGTCGACGACCTCGATGGTGACCTTCTGATGTTTGTCTTCCGGATAGAAAGTGAGCGTTCCCTTGACTGGAATATAGTCGCTTCCGGCGTTGGCGCTTCCGTCCTCGGTGAAATAGTCGACCATCACGGTCAATCCTTCCGGTCCTCCATCTCTGAATTGCAACTATTGAAGAGGAGAGTGGATGCGATCCAGTACCTTCCAACTTGCACATCGAACGTTCCGACGCTCTCGAGCACGGTGTAATGCGCCGGGTCGAGGTAGATCTTGCAAGTGTTGTCGCGCAACTGCTTCTCTTGAGCCTGTACCAACTGAAATTAGCCGAGGTGTTCGGTGAGTTGGGGTTAGTCCTTGCGATGCAATTTCACTCTTTAGAACGTTTGAACGTCGCCTGTTCCGTAGTGATGGTATTCGTTTTCAGTAGTACTACCACTCAGCTAGATGTCTAGTAAAGTCATGCTAAGAAGAAGATGATGATTTAGCTGACATGAGATGAGATGCTGATGCACTATCAACTTACAGCATCAAGAGCCTTATTGTGCTCCTTGTCGATCCTCTTCTTGACGATATCACCTCCTCCGATGAGTCTGCGAGTCGCTTGTACACGGTAGAAAGCACGCGATTTCGGTCCTCTGAATATTCAAGTAGAAAATGAAATGTTATTCGAGGTTACCTGCTGATCATCTCGTACTCGGCCTGCTTCTGAAGTTCGGTCGGCGTGATATGTGGGTTCTGTTTTCTGATCTCACGCATCATCTCGATAAACTCTTGACGATGCTCCTCGAAGGCCCTGATCGCCGGGTCCACGGATCCCTAAAAAACATAGAGCAACATGAGAGGAGACGCAGACAAAGAGAAACAAAGAAGAAGAAGAAGTAGGTAGTAGTTTGAGGCAAGGCGATAAAGTTAAACTTATTATTGAAAATGTTGTTGTCCATGCCCTCAACACCACCCCCCACTACCTCTCCGTCGATAAAGTGTCCACATGCCTGCGGCAGTCCGTTCTCCAGCATCTTCATCTCCTCGGCCTCGGTGGCGATCATCTGTCCGTGGGATCCGCGACGGTACTTGTGCGGCAGGAAGCGGTTCTGAATGATCTTGATGTCGGCCATGTAGGCGGTGAAGACGGTGAGCGGGAAGAAGATGAAGGTGAGCACTCCCTCCCAGATCTCGATCTCTCCGGGCGAGAAGAACGCGAGGATCAGGTACAGCCAGACGTAGGCAAAGATGGACCATGTCGCGGTGACGCAGAACACATCAAGATGCTTCTGACGACGGACTTCGCCCTTCGGAATGACGACGACGCAGATGGCGATGATCATGAAGAGATTGAAGGCGGCCGAGCCGACAATCGTGTTCGGTCCGAGGTCTCCAGCTTCGAATCCTCTGGCGACGACCTCAATAATCGAGAGCAAAATTTCGGGAGCCGAAGAGCCGAGGGCCATGAGCGTGAGGTTGGAGACGGTGTCGTTCCAAATGCGCACTTGGACCTCCATCGGATCGAGTCCCGGTCGTTTGACTATAATCGTTCGTTCCATCGATGTGATCACCTCGATGGAGCTCATGAATCTGTCGGCGACGATCGAAATTCCGAGGAACATGTAGGCGATGACGAAAAAGTAGAGCACTCCGCGGACGACGCGATCGCCGGTGGTCAGATCCAGGAAGGGCCTCCTGCAAGCAGATCCGACGATCATTCCCATTCTCACCCCACCTCAAAACTTCTTTTTTTTTTCATTTTCTCACACATGTTCTTGATTTTCTCGTGTTCGGATGGGCCGAAAAGCGATCAGTCTCACTTGATTTATACGCTCATTTCCAGATGTTTCATCTCAGAAAACAGACAGAGATGCCTCTTTCATTTACACATCATTCACTGGACTGGCAAATCTGATTTGAAGCAAATTGGGAGAATTTCGAAAGAAAGCAAAAGAAAACGAAGAGCAGAGAGAGAGAGAGAGCTATAATAACTTTGCCCATCGTGTTTTGCTTTTATAACTTTACACTGCGAATAAAGACTCACCAAATGGGCACAATAAGTCCATCGATGCAGTTTCTAGTGGCGTCGGCGGCCGAACAGTTCGAGCCGGCTTGTGCGAGCCCGACGAGCACCACCAGAGAGGCTACTGCTAGCCAACACCCTAATCGAGTCATTCAACTGCAAGTTTTCAATGTGAAGATGCAGGTGTTATGAAGGAGAAGAAGAAGAAGAAGAGGGAGAGAGAGAGGGAGAGAGAACGGAGCAAAAAGAACGAGACGGAACACGAGAGATTGTGATCATTGGTGCTCATTACTAAGGCTTCTATGATATAGTGCCAAGAATTGGGGTATAGAAAGTGTGAGGCCAAAGATTCGACAGAAAGATTATGCGTCTTCTCGTCAGTAGGGTGGGGGGGATAAAGTTGATAAAAAATTGGAGAACGAGATAGAAAGAGAGAGAAAGAGAGAGAGAGAAAGAGAGAGAAATGAACTAGAACATGATGACTGGTGTAATGACGCGGCGCCGAAAGAAAAGAAGAAGAAGAAGAAAGAAGATCCGACGGGGCTCCGAGATGAGTTTTGCTCCACGCCACGTAGGCCTTGAGGCCCCGCTCTGCACTATGGATGGGGCGTAGCCGACTGTGAGAACGGTCTGAAGGAGGGCGTGGGGGCACACACTGCGGAAGCCCCCTCGGCCACTTGAACTCGGTCCCCCACCATCACTTACTTTTATCCTTATCTCTCAACTTTACCCCCGTGAACTGGGCAAAAGTACAGTTGGATCAAGAAGAGAAGAGAGGGAATCTAGTGACGTTGGGAACTGACCCTTCTCGTAACTTGATCGCGGACCCAACCTAGGCGGACTGAAGTTCAGATTCTTCACGAAAAGAAGCTCCGCCCCTCGCCCTGCTCCGGCTTCAATGGCTAATTGGATGCACATTTCCAGAGCTCATCGAATCGAAAAGCTCACTACACTACGAGAATCATTGAAATTGCAAAAGTGTGCGGATCAGATTTTTGAAGAATCATAATAATAATAATAAGTTAGAATAATAATCCGTAGTGCCGAGAGAGAAAGAATTTGGTGGGAGAGAGAGAGAGAGAGAGAGAGAGAGAGAGAGAGAGATTGGAGAGAAGGGATTTATACGCACTCGCCACGAAAGATTATGAAGAAAACAGTGGGAAAATTCACCTGGATTCTTCGCAAGGACCTGGAAAACGAGCGTCTGATTGAACACGAAACTTGGGATGGGTAGACGGGATCGCGCATGTCGCTTGGTCCGCATTGGTCAATTCTCATTCGAAAAGTTAGCAACTAGCTGGCGCTGTCCGATTCTCTATGGGTCCGCTGACCAACTGATAGTGTCCTTCTCCCGGTTTTCTAAAAATTTATAAAACCGGAGGCCATGGCTACGCTTTCCACCTGGGGGAGGTGAGGGACAAACAAAAAGTGTGCTCGCGTCTCTATTTCTAACTCTCTTCAGCACCACTCAGCCTCTAAATATATCATTATTAATCTGTCGACACGCGATCTGACTCTTTCTCTCTCTCTCTCCCTCTCACTTTATTTCTCTTTTTCACCTTTCGCTCTTCCAGATACTTCTTCCACTAGTAGTCAAAATGCAAAGAAGCCGTTTTCAGTCTGAATCTGAATTGTTTTCAAAGTCACAACGCGGCGCACAAAACAAAAATGAAAAAAGAGAAAGAAGGAGAAGAAGAGAAAGAAGAAGAGGAAGAAGAAGAAGAAGAAGAAGCAGTTATTTTCCCACAACTATTGAATGTCTCAGTTTGGGGGCTGGGCAGATTTCGGTGAATTACCGGCCAATCCAACCCCTGAAATCCGATTTGCAGGGATTACAATGTTATGACGTGGCGTTAGGGGGGGACTAATGATAAAACACGACAAAATGTGATACTCGGGGGGTCGATTTCTGGGTAAACTTTTGTTTGGCAGTCGAGCGAAACGTTTGAGAATCGGATTAACTGATGATGTGCAATGACGCACTTTTGGCTCATGGCCACAGTCTGGGTACAGTTCGGGAGCCGGAAATAGAATAGAATCGGCTGGAAGTCAGCTCCGTTCGGCTCAGAAGAAGTTCACCGGTTGAGTGATAAATGGCACACTTCCGCACCAAGTACATTGATCGCTAGACCCCCTTCCAACTACAGGGGATTAGTTTCTACTTCCGATTTCTCATAGACAATACCACTTTAGCTTCGAGAGATCTTTGTGCTTGCTGACCCAGGGGGGGCCATTCGGACGGTTTGTACTGGGGTGGAATGGAATGAATGTGAATGCGAATACCGGTATGTTTGATCAGAGACAGAAAAGTTGCACAGTGCCCCCGAGCCAAGCCACTTGAGAGATAAGGCTGCGGCTGCGCACAGAAATCAGATCAGATCGGCTCAAGCTCCGAAGGCTCAGGCCGTTTAAGGCTGCCTCAACCCGGTAGGTCAAGCAGGAAATGAAATGCATAAATGGGCGAGCGGGGGGATTGCGTGAGCGCTGGAAAGAAAGCCAAGATAATGGTGGGGGCTCGCGGAGCACCATGACACCCCGGCAATTATTACACGGCGCCACGAAGACGCGCACACGCGATATGAACGATTAGAGGGCGAGAAAGGTGCTCATTTTGAGAATTGAGGACAAAAAACCGCAAAATGATTGATGGACATGAGGTGGTCCGGGTGATTGTCACTCTCCAGCCATAATAATATTTTGTGTTGCTCCGGAGAGGGAGAGCCGAAAGGTCCCGTGGCTGCACAAAACACTCTCACATTCAATCGGGATCGAGTTACACGACATATCTTTTTGTTTTTTGCAGATGATGGGCACTCTCTCTCTCTCTCTCTCTCTCGTTGTTGGCGAGAAAACTGACAGAGCAGAGGTGACAAAGTGAAGGCTCGATTGGGTGGAAGTATAATATCAGTTCAAGAATGGGATTAGTAAGGTTTGCTTTCAAGTAGGAGAATTTTAGGAATTTTGTCAAGCGCGCTCTACTGGAAGAACGGGAATGTCAGAAAGTGGCTAGAAAAGTAAAATGGTTGGCAAGAAGAGCTCGGAACCACCGATGACTGAACCGTTCCTGCCGATTTCACATCTCTGCAACTCATCTCCTCAAAAAACCAGAGGGGCGTGGCCGCCAGCAAACCTTCGTTAAGGTTTTTTGCGGCTCCTACAAGAAACGCGGGCTTCCCGATATTGGGGTTGGAAGGATGCTTTTGACACTCGAAACAAGTACTTGTGATGTGTGTGTGTGTGTGTGTGCGCGATTGTTGCCAGAAAGAGAGGGTCTGCCGAGATTTCGAGATTGCGAGGGCGAGAAGAGCCGATCAAACAATCGCAGCAGCTTCCCCGTTGCGGCGGGCAAAAGGTACAGTACTTGCAGCAGGGGAGAAAAAGTGCGGGGAGCTGCGGAGCTCCGAGCTGGGAGCCTTTTGCGTCATGGCGCGCGGAGATGATCAGCGGGTTCATTGAGATATCATTGATTCCGCGCAAGACGCTCATTTCGAGCCGTTGTCGCCTTTAAGGGTGTATAAGGGAACCTGCTTTGAAATTTAGTAGCCGAACTGTTGAGAGCAATGGCTAGAGCAGGAAACGTTACATACCAAATAGCTTTTATTCGAGACAATATATCTCAGCTGTGGGTTGAGATATCAAAAATGTTGTCAACTGATAAGAGGAGCAAAATGTTTTGGCAAACACTTTTTTGATATCTCTACTGGCAACTAAGATATATTGTCTTGAAATGATGCCCTTCTATTACAGCATTGTCCGTAAGTTTCAATGCTTAATATGCATAATGTATAGAAATAGACGGATAACTCCAGAAGAAAGCGATTCGGAACAAAAAGGATCAATTAGAAAGATATTGAGTACGAGATCCTCAAAAACTTTTTAGTTCAAAACTTCTTCTCAAGATACAGGTTCCAGAAGGCAGGGGAGTTATAAAGCATGGTGATGAACTTATGTAGACAGAAAAATAATGAGTAATACTCTGTTCCATCTTCAATCAAAATCCAATCCTATCGACTTCGGGCTCACTGATTCTTCTCTAGAGCCCCCAAAAAATCATGCATAAAATGTTCGTGTGTGGTATTTGTGTGTGTGTTGGGGGAGATGTAATAGTCGGTACAACCTCATCCGCAAGAGAGAAAAAGAGAAAGAACGGCGGAGAATAAGAAATGCATAGGGGACGGCGGCGGGAAAGATGACGGGCCGGAGGGGACCGGGCAGATTTGCAAGAGGTGCGTACACATGTTTACATGACGTGGCAATATTATGTGTTCTGGTAGCTTAGAGACGGAAATAAAATGGCTTGGAATTTGCTTATTACTGACTTGAGCATTGGTTTCTAAGACCTATAAACAATTTGCCGAAAAATAAACAGGACCATACGAATTCCGCCCACACTTCACATCTTGAAATCGAAATCAACACGGCCGGGCGCAATTTCAATCTCTTCTTCTCGTCATGGCGTCAAATTGTGGGTTGGCCGACAATTTATGAGCTCTTTTTCTCTGTTCTATGGAATGTCTCCGAGGGCTCGCGAGACACAAACAAAAAACATCTTTCACCTTCCTACTACTATGGTTTTCAAAACAAAACGCATCGGAGTGATGAGATGAGCTGAGACGAGACTAGAGGTCAAAATATTTGAAAATCTCCGGAAAAATCTGTCCGGCCTTCCACTTCCAATACACACGTACTCGTGGCAGCTCCTCTCTTTTCCGCCCAGCCTCCCGGAGTTTTCAAAACTTTCTCTCTGGGCGCTCTCCGATTCGTGCGCTCTTTCGCCCCGCCGGACTGGCAACATTCATCGAAAAGCGATTAAGATCATCGGATCTCATCCCGCGTGTGAGAGTGTGTGAGAGAGAGAGAGAGAGGGCTCCGCGAGCCGAGGAACTTTGGAAGCTTGTACTCTTCGGCCGGACCGTACCTTTGGGGGTATCCCTTGCAGAAGTGCACCCTCAAGTACCCCCTATTTCACAGAATGTAACCGATCAGAACATTGTCGTCCCGGGAAATGAGGGGCACTTCTGAACTTTGACATACCTTCGCGGATATTGTCACTTTTCACCACTTGAGAGTCGTCGACGAAGCTCCCCGTGCCGAGAGCTCAAATCTGTGCGCGCCCCGGCTCTGCCAATGTACATACCTTGTACTAGTCGTGTTTGTCGAACTACTACAGTAATTTACGAGCTCCGCAGCGGCCTCACTCAAGTGCTTACGTGAATGAATGTGTGTGAGAGCCTATTGCACACAACTAATCGCTACTATTGCCCCTCGTCCCTTCATTTCTGAACACTGATTGCGCGGTGGCTCTTTTGAGGGGAGAGAGAGGGACTTGAGAAGACGAGAAGCCACGTAGAGGATGAGGTGTGTCTTTTCAACTTTTGACCCACTTGCAGTATGCCGATGGAACCCACACGTTACATTGTTCTTGAATTTGGATTGAAGTAACTGGGATCAAAGTTTCAGGACGATCAGAGAATGTGGAGGGGGAAAGTTTTGCAATTGGGTCAAGCTATGTGACAGTTGAATAGTATTCTGTTCTGCAAAATGAGCCATGTTAGAGGTAAATATAAGGTTTCAGTAGTAAGTTACAGCTGCACAATGTCCATTCGCCCGTTGACTTTGCCGACCTGTGCCACTGTAGTTCATCTTCAGAATTTAACCAGCAGATCAGGGTTGCAGGGAAATGTGAATAAAATTCTTCCGACTTCCGACGTACGAGTGCTGAAATCTGGCCATTTCGGCCCCAAATCCCCCTTGCTCCAGACCATATAGTCCGATCGGTCTGAAGCCTGGACACAAAATGCATCAGTCCAAGTCTAAGAATCCCACAAAGTTTGGGTCCGCTCTTGCACCCAACAGATGAGAATAAGAAAAAACCTCGAAAAAAGAGGAAAAGTTGTCATTTGTGTCACTTGCCAAATGAGCAGACTGGGGGCTCTTCTGACGGGCACATCACTCATCACTCCGTCTTCTCCCGTGTTTAATGACTTTTCGGAGCAAAAAAACACGGCTTTATTTCATTTGGCACACACACACTTCCTCTCCTTTTTCCGGCAAAAATATGTGTGCACAAAACTTTGTCAAAAAACCTTTTCCTTTTTCACAGTCAGGTGCGCTTTAGCTCTTCCGGAATCGTTTCAATTTCCGTGTCGCTTTCTTGCCACGTCATCTTTGAGAGTCCGAAGAAGAAGAAGAAGAAGAAGAAGAAGTGGACGGAAGGAAGGCGGAAAGGAAGGAAGGGCGAGATGAATAATTCAGGAAGTGTGTGTTTCGAGAGAAGGCAATGGAAACGTTTAGAAGTTTGTGGAAGAGGAATTCGAAAAAAAATGCAAAGAATTGGATTTTTTGGTTAAAAAAAATAGCGAGGAAGAGTTATTGGTACTGAGAGAAGAAGAAGAAGAAGGAGAAGGAGCACTTAGTAATTAGAGATGATGTGTGAGAAAAGAGAGACATTCTGGAGGACAATGTTTGAAAAATCATAACAAATTTCAAAGAAAAATGATACAGATTGGCTCAAAATAACCAGAATGACATGGCTGGACATGGAGATGAAAGGAAGGAAGCAATTGAGAAACGAAAAAATGAGTGAACGAAAGGATGCCAAAATAAGTAGAAGAAGATTGATAACGTAAATATTCACTCGAACACAGAAATCCATAATGCTCTGCTACTCTGCTCCAGATCTAATGCTCCGCACACCGGAACCGCCCAAAAGGAAGCGCCCGTGTGGCTCGGCTCACACCCATAAAAGTGCTCTTTTTCGCTGCAATTCAAATGCGGCCACTCAATTTCTCACTCGCTTCTTCTTCCTTTTTTGCGAGGAATTTGAGAATTGAGAATTGAGAACCGTGAGTCAGAGATCCGAGCGATTCGATTGGAAAAGGAGAGCATTCCGGCTAGAGCACGGAGAAATAGGCGAGGAAAGAGTGGGCAAGTCCCGCGGGAATTCGAAATTCTAGGACAGCAGCCAACCGCCCGACCGCTTATGGAAATGAGCCCTCAATACCAGTTTCCCAACGAGAAATGTGTTAGTACACGAGTACAACTGAACATTTCATTTCCAGTTAGACAGCGAAAAAGCGAAATGGTGGCTCTGCTCATTCGCGCGTTTCCAAGAGCTCTCTTCGTGGACACCATCATTTCGCCTTTTGAGCTTTCCAAATGGCTCAATGTTCCGAACATATGTCGTGAATGAGACGGAAGAGAAATGGGCACGAAAAGGGGAGGAAAAGAGCGCGGATTGATGATGATGACGATGATTAATGGGGAAAAAGAAGCATTGCGCACTCGATGCACCAATTGAGATACTTTTGCGGAATCCGGAATCCGGAATTCCGTCCTCTTAGCTAGAACATCGAATGAAACATCTCTCTCTTTTCAGATACGTAACTCGAGAACTATAAAGTATTTCTAAAACTTGTTCAGAGCAAATTTGTTGGAAATTCTGTGTTGATCAACTTTGTAATTTAAAGTTTTACTCCAAAACCTTTGTTTCTCGAGTTACCAGCTCGATTTTAGGGTTTTGTATGAAAAAGTCGCCACATTTTAATCCTAGTAGGCCCAAAAAGCAAAAAACCAAACTTTGACCCATATCGAAACATCAGATATTTGGGCTCTAATGAAGCAGAATTCTCCCCGGTCCGACTAAAAAAAGAGTCAGTGCAACAGAGCGCACTAATCAGATTTGCACGGAAACCAACAATGTGAAGACGCGAAAAAAACGAGCGAGGAGAAGATGTTCCCGCCCAAACAATGGGAAACGTCGATCTGTGAGGGTTTGAAATGAGAATGAATTCAATATGAAAAGGCTTGCTTTGCCGCCTATTCTCTAGTGGGGAATCAAATATCGGTTGGCTTTTAGAGAAGAGCTCACTGATGAGATGTTGTCAAGGAGAAGCGAGCATAAGGAGGCCGGCGAGTTCGCAAAAAAAGAAGGACGGAAAAGGTGAAAAGTGTGTGCCCAGTCTCTAATTGGCTAATTGGTCGGGCAGCGGGCGGACCATGACGGAAGAGAATGTGAGAATCTGGTAGACTTTAGTGAGAAAAAGCCGATCGGAAGCCTTGAAATTGAGCCGTCAGAAAAGGAGCATTTGGGGGTGCATTAGGCCGCATTTCATTATTTCGACCTGCAGTAAGTAGCCTTGAGAACAATTCGAACAACAAACTTTTACAGTTGTTTTTTCCTGAGGCTTCTAACTCTTTCAAAGTGCTGCTGAGAGTCTGCGGGATTGGAACATGTCTCGAAAGAAGATGGAGTCACAAGAAGTAGTAAGAAAATGAAGGTGAAGCCGGTATTAAGGAAGTGCCGATGAGTGAGGAGCAGAAAACAGAAAAAGGGGTCGTTTGGAAATGAGCCCACTCTTCCTCTTCTTCTTCTTCTTTTGGCATCAGCCCCGAAAGTGGATTCCCTCACAAAAACACCGAGACAAGTAGTAGAGAGCGAGATAATCAAATTGGCCCCGTGGACTAATAGTAGCAGCTTTTGGAAGGGGTGCCAGAAATTGAGGAGAAGCGGAAAGAGAGAGAGAGAGAGAAGAGAAAGAAGGGTCTAGTCAGATGATGAGCTCTTTGGTTTCCTGTTTTAACAGGGACCGTCTAGCAGTCTTTTGAGACTAAACTGTGATGCCATCGCCCCAAAAAAAACATCAAAACAAAGCTGACGCGCGGCCAGTTGTCATAGCACCCACGCACCAAGCAAATCTAATCAGCGCAGATGGAAACGGAACTCGAAGCAGCAGAAACGAAAAGTTTTTTTCAGACGAAAAGCAAATAAGAAATGGAATGGCGAAGAGGTGATAAAGGTGGGGAAGATGTGAGACTGGGCAAATAAGAGAAATGCACGGAAAGCTCATAAGGACATTCCAGCAATCTGAACATTTCCGACTCTTGTGCTCGTACCAAGTGTTCTCGTGGATCCAATTGGGACAGAACTAGGAGAGCATAGCCCATATAAGTAATGGAGACACGTGGGGCAACCTGGAAAAGTTACAGTCGCGGTAAAGTCGGAAATCTCCAGATTGCTGCCCTTTAAGGACATTCCGAAATGCGATGTTTGTTTGGATCAGAATAACCTCTAAACGGGAATCTTCTAGTCTTCTTCGTGTTCGGCACCCGAAATCCGTTATCAAGCGGCCTGGCACGTGGCAATAACGATTATTTTCCATGTATCTTTCTCATTTTTCAAATTCTCAGTGGCACGAGTGGCCGAGCGCTCTTCGTTTGAAAAATTGAAGAATTTGACTGAAACTGCCATTTTTCCACGTTTCACTGAATTAGTTGGGTTTCCGAATGGAATCTTGATCGTTCGAACTCCGCAGACTCATCGAACATCACATGGAATGAAAATGAAAACGGAAATGGAAAACCATTCAATCGAACCTCCAATATGTTTTCTTCCATTCTGACAATAGAAACAAAACGTGATGAATGGAACGTCGGAAGTATAAAAACGGCAAAGGTTTCTGGAAATTCACAGCCAACACTGTATTTCTATACGATGGTGAGTCCCTGCAGAGTTAGATATTCCGATCGGAACCAAACTGCCTGACTTGGATTGAAGTATCTTGGATCCGAATCGAATCTCCGGACCAGATAATCCGAAACTTTGACCCAAGATACTTCAATCCACTTTCTAGAACTAAAGTTTTTGGATCAGATCGGAATATTTACACAGTGTCCTCTTCAGAAGTGCTTCCTCTCTTTCCTTCTTCTCGTCGCTTTCGCGTCCGCTCAGTACGGACCGCAATGCCCTCCGAACGAGGTGTTCCTCGAGTGCGGCACCGCCTGCGAGCCGGGCTGTGAACTTCCCCGTCCGGACATTTGCACCCTCCAATGCATCGTCAACGTCTGCCAATGCGCGCCTGGATTCGTGAGGGGACCCGACGGATGTGTGCTCCCGGAACAGTGCTACGGATACTGAATAAAGAATTATGAGCAGCTTTATCGATTTGATAATCAACGATAATAATAATAATAATAATCAACCAAACAGAAGCAACACGGCCAGATTTTCAAATACAACATTCATAGCTGATTGAACGGTTATTAGGTAGAAACACATAAACAATATGGCGAACTTTTTGTATAAGTAGCTCAAACCCAATGAAATTATCCAATTTTTTAAATTTTTCTGTGCTCTGCGACGGGCGATCAGTCCTCTCCACTGGTAGAAGATTCTGGCCAGGATCAGCGGACGCGAATCAGTATTGTAGCTTTTCACGGCAACGTAGACAATTAGTTCAATGTCAGTGAGAACATGAACGAGAATAGAATCAGAGGCAGCAAGAATCCGGACATTCCTCGGAGAACTCGTTTTCCCGTCTCGACAAGTGCAGTCATTTTTGGCGTAAACTGAAAATATCCGATATCCAACGGGTCAGGCTTAACTTGAAATTCTCCGAACCGGCCCGGCAGGTTCTAAAATTTTGAGAAATTTCCGAAAATTTGAAAAATTTGCCCGGAAGTTTGCAACTTTGGAAAACATTTTCGTCTCCCATCTTCATCAAACAACTCACCGAACTTCCCTTCTTGGAAACGAGCACTGTGAATACAAAAGCGTTGGCTTGATCGTCTTTGCGCTCGTAGTAAATGTTCACTTCACTGTTGGAATGCCTACTTTGAACAGTGGCGCACTTTCTGAAAGCAAAGTGTTAAAGTATTCAACTTAAAGATGCAGTCATTCTGGACGCGTACCTTCCGTCGAGATATTTATCGGTTCCGTGAAAATCAGTTTTGAGTTGATCGATAAATTGTTCGGGATCGAACGTCGGCGTGTTGAAAACGGTCGAATATGAGGAGCCGATAGCGGAATCAGATGATCCTTTGAAATGTTCACAATACTTTTGGAATGTATGCTGGTTTGAAAAATACTCGAAAATTTCCAATTTCCGCTTTGGCCTCAAGTCAAACAAATCTTGATCAGTCTGCTCAGTCCGTATTTTAATGTTTTTCACGTTGAGATTCTGGAAAATGGAAGTTTTCTATCGTCAACTTTTAAGATTATCTCTACCTTCAAATTCTCGAACATCTCCGAACCAATTCTTCTAGTCTCGATTTCAAACGTTCCGATCACAGTCTCCTTCAATTTTGCGAGAAAAATGGCTTGCTCCGACTTGATTTTGAGCAAATCAACTCGTTTCGGAGGGAAAGTATTGAAGAACTTTTCATGAAAACAGTTTTCCACGATCATTTCACGAATAAAAGTGTTGGACGGTCAAGATAATGACAGAGAAGACCGTTGTCAGCGTGCCTGCTATATGGCAAAAACTCCAACTTCCCATCCGGACAAATGAACTTCTTTCGATATCTGTTGGTGTTACCTGACCTGATAATATCGCTCTCCCACTTCAACGAATCGAATTGAACGTTTTTTTGTAAATGTTCACTCGACACATGGACTTTGTCGAAATGAAATCCGAAATTCTCGTGCAGATTCCTTGTGTCCGGTGCTGCGATGGCAAGTTCTCTTCTGGAAATGACATTGACGTTGGAAATCATTGAAATTTTCCGGAAACGTTGAGCAGATCAGAAAAAAACAAAATGAATGCTATAGCAGAATCGGTAATTTAGAGCGGCGAATAGGGCAGAGTTAGAAAGGGGGAAAATGAAACGAAAAGGTGTCCTCACAAGAGTCAAAACTTGCCGGACAGAAATATTGAAAGCTCACCGAGTTTTGATGGATAAATACGGAAGAATGGCCCTGAGAACGGGGTAGGAAATCGGTAGATTCTCGGTGAACTCCATTCTGAAAAACGGACAGAGTAGAGAAAGAAATTAAGAAGAACGAATGCGAAGAAGAGGATATAGTATTAATTACAAGTAAAGGAACTGTATCGAATGTTAAAATTTTTTAAAGAATACAGTTGCACATAATTTTATCGATTAAAAAAGTGGCTCGCAGATTGGAAGGATAGGGTTCCGTGGTCGAAAACACCCTTTGAGACCCCTTATTTCATGTCAAGACACAAACGATCCGCAGAAAATAACTCAAATGTGAGAAAACAATCGAAAATGATTATTTACGCGGCGTGTGGTAGGTCAAAAATAGCAAGGGCGCGCCTTAAGGGTCTCGCAGCGGTAAGACAAAAAAATGGATGCACGTTTGAATTGAGCGCGCGGGAGACATCTTCTGGGAAGACAGGCAGTGCAGGGAGAAAAAAAAGAGATTGGTTATGGCAAACGAGTCCTCCGAATGGACGGTCTGTCGAGAGGGGATGGGAAAGCATCATAAGCAAACGAATCGAAAATGGCGCATTTCGGAACATTTAGTTTATGCAAAGATAAGGAAGGAATGTCTAACTGATTGGATCTGTATGGATAATCCGTGCGAAATAGTAATTTGTGTTACTTCACTCTTTATTTTATCATTTATAATCAAATAGAAATACAAATCAGGCTGCCAGTTTTCCGCAAACATATCCTCTGAACCGATCGTTCCATGTTTTCGGGCAAATCATCGAGAAGAACTTTCCGTGCTCGCGCTTTTTGACCTGTTTTCCGCCCGTCACCCAAATCCACATCAAACCGCAGTTGTTCGGGTAGCCACTGTGAAATTTCAGACGGTCTAGGTGGAAAAGTGTCATTGACTTACTGAGTACTTCCGTTTCCAGGCTGTCCGGCGCTCCAGACAACTCCTTGCATTCCGCTGGCGTACCCGTCGGTGATGGTCCATGCCTGAGAATTCACTTTCAATCAGAACGACACGAGTTCCCTCCCAACTCACACTCTTCTTGGTGTTCCTCCTCAGTCCCGTTCTCAGCGTTCCGTACTTCCATCCAGTCGGCACCATCACATCTTTCCCCAGCCCTGCGATCGTTTGTCTTTCCTGATTGGTCTCCACTCCCGAAAGTACTGCTCCGTGCGAATTACACGCATTCTCGGCCTGGGCTTGATTCACGACTCCCTTGAAAACCTTCACGCACCATCCGCCGACTTTCCGCTGAACTCGAGTCCAGCCGGCTGGACATTTAGCTTGCGAGCCTGGCGCTGGTCGAGGCGCTGGCCGTGGCCGAGGAGCTGGTGACCGTGGCCGTGGATCTGAAGCCGGCACAACATCGTCTCCCGGGTCTTCGTCGTCGTTAAAATGACGTCTGTGCGCTTCCTCACTGGAGCTGCTCGAATAGTCCTTACTCTCATCCAAAGAGATACTGGACACTGCAAATTGGAAAAAGTTATCGCCAAGAAGAAGGTTTGAGAGTGTTACCTGCTGCCACCAAAAATATAAAAGCGAAAAGCGAGAGATTCATGTTTGCAAAGTGTGCAGAATCATTGCGTACTCGGCTTGATATAGGCCTTTGGAAGCTATAAACTCTGCTGATTTTCATTGCACGTATCTCAGATGGGTTGCCGTTTTGCGCGTGATCTTTGTACTTGATCTCTGCGGTTTTTTGATCTCAACTTCAAGCCTAAGGGGTTTTTGATCAGATGTTCCTATCTAGATATGAACGAACACTTTCACTGGTACGAACTGTCGTCATTTCCTTCATAACTATGTCGTCTTCGGCGGAAAAGAAACCAATGCGAACGGCTTTGATAACATTGTTTTCTTATTTATATACTTACTAGATGTTCACCACTTCTCTCTTCATACTTCTTGCCATTTTGCTTCAGGTCACATCGGTTTATTCAGGTATCTAACCCTTTTCTAAGTGTTTGAATCAAATGCGATTCCAGGAAAAGAGCACATCGGCGGAGCATGCCTCGATCCGCTCAACTTTGGCAAAGCACCTTGCGACAAGACCTGGTCCATTCGATACCACATGGATGTGCCCACCGAAACTTGTCTAGCCTTCAACTTTACCGGATGCGGACAAAATTGGAACAACTTTCCCAGTGTCCTCGCCTGCTATGAAAAGTGTTTACCGTGTAGGTGATGCCCAAATTGAAACTGAAAGTTCTTGTTTTGTCTCGAATGCCTATTTTCCAGCAGACTATCAAATATGTCCGGCCGCGAGTAAAAGCTACAAAACCACGCTGGGCAAGGATTTCTGTCGAAAAGAGTGTGATTGCGGACCCCGCAAGTACTGTAACATTGGTGGACAAGCGTTTGGACAGTGCTGTCGAGAAGATATCCGAAGTGAGAAAATTGGCAGAGTGTGCCTCTCACATTGGAGTTCTGCGCCTTTAAATTTGAAGCAGATACGGTAGCTCGTTTTTCTGACGAAAAAGGCAAATTCCGACAGTTTTCTGATACAAACATCATTAAAATGGCGTCGTTTATTTCCAAGAATGCATGGAATCGCACTTCTTGTCAAAAATCTACCGTATTCGCTTCAAATTTAAAGGCGCAGATCTGGAGCGCGCTTTGAAAAGTGTTATTTTCAGCCAAAATCAATTCGGACTACAATCCGAAGTGCGCGCGAGGCCAGTCGGTTGTCGAGTACAAAGAGAACGGCGTCGTCACGAAATTGATCGGAAAGAAGTGCGCGCACAACTTTTGCCCGCACGGATCTCGCTGCATTCAGGGATATTTCTTCGCCGCGTGTTGTCTGTAAAACTTGTAATAATAAAACATTTAATGCTTCTTGCGGCCTTTCCGTTTCATTCTCCACCTCCGAAAATGGTGGCCATCCCTCACATTTATCACTTGCTTCCCGCGATTTTGATGAACGGAGGTGAGTAGGAGGTGTTCAAGGACACGCATAGAATCTGACGACATTTCACAGATCTGCCGACTCACTGCGCGTTGGATGTGGACAGAGGGGATCAAAAGTGCGCCGAGAAGCCAGAAATTCGGTTCCATTTCGACATGAGCACCGGCTTTGTATGAATTTTCTGTATTCCGGGTGCGGTGGCAACGGAAATCGGTTCGACAATCTCGGAGAATGCGCTTCGAACTGTGTGAAGTGTAAATAATTCCACATGAAGAATGCAACGCGCTCCACCGAAATCTCTCTTCAGACAACCACAAAGGCTGTCCGTTCCAAAGAAACCCTGTGATTCCGTTGAGATGCTCCAGCCACAAGGACTGCAACCGTCAGACCGCTCAGGCAGCAAATACGCTCTACTGCACTAGAGAGGGATTTGTTGCGAAACCAAAGATTTGAGTACGGTAGACACGCTATTGATCGGTTTCTAGTGGAGTTCAGACGAACTACGCGACGTCTTCAACGTGACCTGCCCGGAGAAAACGGAAAAAGTACAGTACATCTACAAAAGCAGCCGGAGATTGTTGATCGGAAAATCTTGCGCTGATCACGTATGCTCGTCAAACGCCACGTGCCGCCAGACAAAGTATTTCGCGTACTGCTGCCGATAAGTTTTATTTTGCGCTGATCTTCAGTATCAAACAGGAACTAAATATCTCTTTTCTTTCTTGTAAGTACCACCCACCGAAATGAAACCGCAGAAAAATGAATAACAAGAAGGATATAAAAGAGAAAGAGAACGTGTGATGTTCGATAAAGTATCCCTCTGCAAACATGTGGTTTCTGATCTTGGCCGCCGCCGCCGCCGTCTCCGTGAACGCCCAAATCACCGTGCCGGATCATTGCAAGCTCCCACTGGACATGGGCAAAACGCCGTGCAAGTCGAAGCCTGAGATCAGAGTGAGTTCGCGACGAATACGGTAATACAGTACCCCTTTACAGTACCACTTCGACACGAAAGCCTTCCTGCCGCTCGCCTTCGAGTACACCGGATGTGGAGGAAACAAGAACAACTTCAAGAGTTCGCAGGCGTGCAGAATCGAGTGTCTTGGAAGTGAGTTGGCTGTTCACTTTCACAAATAATTGCAATTTCATTTCAGTTGACTACAATGGTTGTGCAGCCGGAAGTAGCCCACTTGCCAAGCCGGATACTTGCCAGGAAGATGTAAGGAACCGTAACTTTGCAGGATTATTAGCCTTGGTTTTTAGTATCTACCTGGAAAGATTCGGAATATCCCATCTGGAGATATACTGAAATTCTCGCGAAAATCTGTTAATCCGATTGGTCTGAAACTTGTCAGGTAGACACTCTGAACCAAATCTGAGTCCCTTTGAGACGTCTCGCATCAATCACATTTCCCCCATTTCCAGAAGGACTGCGGACCAAAAGGGTCCTGCCAATGGGCTTCGTCCAGCTTCAAGATCTGCTGCGACAAGGTGATCACCGAGAAAGTCGACGCCGACTGGAATCCAAAGTGTCCAAAGGGAAAGAAGGTGTACGAGGAAGTGAGCGGAGGAATCCCGACCACGCGCATCGGAAAGAGCTGCAAATCCAAGTTCTGTCCGAAGGGCGCCACGTGTGTCGAGGGCAACTACTTTGCCGCTTGTTGCAAGTAATGAACTTTAATCTAATAAACTTTGCCTTCCATTTTCTGTGTCTAGCTTATCAAGGTCACCTGGGGAAGAAGTCAACAAAAACGTTTTGATAAGAAGATCGGTGAACAGGAAGTAAACTTTTCATGTATGAAAAAAAGCGATCAGTCTTCAGTTTGTGATCTTTCTCATCAGAATGTCCTCGTCGTTTTCTCTTTGCAGTATCACTTTGACACCCACGCGTTCATTCCGTTTGCATTCGAGTACACTGGGTACGGAGGGAACAATCCCGGTCCCTTCCGGATACTGTTAGACTGACGTATGTTCTCTGCCCCCAATGCTTCCCTTTACTCGATTCAGAAGACTGCGGATCAAACGGATTTGTTGTGACAGGGAAATCACAGAGAAAGTCGAAGCTCAGTGATCTGCAGTGACCGAAAGGAAAGAAACTGTTCGAAGTGGAAGCGGGGACTCATCGGGAAGTCGTGCCAATCCGGCCCATTTTTTGCCGTTTTTTGTGTTTGATTGGCCCTAATAAACATGTTATCCTTTCTCTTCTCGGCAAGGCGCTCTTGCAAAACACGAGGAAGGTGTCTGGTGGGAGAGAGAGAGGGAGAGGGAGATGATGATGACTACGGCCAACGATGACGTGTGTGCACTCTTCCGGGCAGATGTGCATCGAAGTGGGTCACTTACAAAGAAGAGCCACTAGTCACTAGGTTGGTGGTCAGTAAGTTGCACTAACAAGCGAGGTCCGAATACAGCCTTGTTCAGAACACGCTGAGAATTTGTTTATCATAAAATTAGTTGCGTAGCGACTCATCAGCGGCGGGTCCTTGAGAACCCTTCAGTTATCATCGAGTTGGCACGACAAAAAAACGCGGGCTCTCCCCTTTCTTCCCAGCAACAAGAGTCTATGGTGTGCTTTACAGTGAACATTTGTTTATAACCATCGAAGCGGCAACATGAATCAGTCGGCGATTTCTCCGATCCGCCAAAGGCCTCCCGGTTATAAACGGTTCGTTTTCAAAAAGGCCGTAAAAGTTCTGTAATCTGATCCTTCCGACTTTCTCTATAGGAAGATTATAATAAGCATCAACAACTAAATTAGGTACTTGATCCCTTGACACCCTCTAAATGGTTATTGTAACATTACCTCACACGGTGGCTCGCTCTCTCCGATTGACCTCTTACGCACGTGTTGGGCAACACGTGGTCTGGCGGATATTGCATGTTGCGCAATTGTGTACACGTGTACGCAGATCATCCAAATCTGTGCTCGGGAGTTGGAGACACATCGATCGGAAAGAATACGGACGGACGGTACCGAGGAAAGGATCCATCGAGTTTCAGATCAGTGGAAACAACCCTGATCTTCTCTTCATCGTGGCCCAGCAATCAGAGTCAGTCACACGACAATCGTACATTCTCCGAAAACATTAACTCGTGAGTTCGTTTCAGATAACACACAAATTGCCGTCTAATGAACCTTCTCATTCTCGCCTTTCTCTCCTCTCAAAACCACCCAAATTTCGAAATCAAAATGGAAATTAACTTTTTTTTCGTTTCTGCCAAAAAACAACTCGTGACATCGGCCTCTCTGGATATAAGTATCAGCCCGAATTATAAGTGCCCAAATGAATAAATTGAAATGCGAAAAGCACAAATCGACGTCAAACCGTGAGAAACTTCGGATGTTGGATGTCGTTGCACAAGTGTTTTTTCTTCTTTGCTGGCTGACAACGCCATTGGTCTTTTTCGTGACCACCTCTGCTTGTAAGTTCTCGAAAATCCGTTCGGTTATCCCCCGGTCCCCCGGTCCCCGAGACTTCTGGAGACATTGTTTTCGGTTTGCTTCTCCTTATCTCCCCGAATTAGTCATCACATTTCTTCGCGTCCGGCACAGTGCCCACCGTTACTGAGCAAACAAACCGTGTTGTAAGAGGCCTATTCTCGCTTCTTTCGACGACTTTTTTGTTTTCGTCTCTCTTCGTCTCCAAATGTTAATGGGGGTTTATGAATGTGTCAGTGCCGGGCACCACCGGCATCGGTTTCACAATCAACAATATCTCGAGGTGCAAAAGAGATCGGATGGGCACACATAATCCTTACTTGGCGGCAGTTTGACACGGTACTTCTGTAGAAAACTCAAAAAATTGGCACGACGCCGGTCCGGGGGTCTGAAGATGAAGCGACTCGGCCGTTTTTTTGTCAATTATTCGAAAATTAAAAATTGGCACGGCGCCATCCGCGCCGTAGCACATCACAGATTTCCGAAGACTACGCGACCGAACTAATTCAAATCTTCCCGCCATTTTTTTGCAATTGGCTGCTTGGTGAACTGCACATGCGACGTCTCCAGAAGCGACTCAAATAGTCCCTGGTTCCCCTCCCCCCAAAAGGCATTTTCCCAGAATTTGAATCAGTGAAAACGATGGCGCTGACAGTGCCGCCAAAAGAACACCGAACGACTTATTTAAATGGCGTTGCGTGGGTGTTGCGTGTCACAATATTCCCCTTTCACGGGAACTCGCCGCCCGTCTGGGGGGAGAAAGTCAAAACAAACTTGATCAGGCAATTAGCAAGTGCGAGAAAGGAAACATAATTGAGGATTGGCCTAGATTTGAATTGGAATTACTAAAAGTAAACGTTTTGAAAGAGAGGTGTAGTTGCAAACTTGTGCTAGTCCCTTCCAGAGTTGAGCGGAATTCCGTCTGCCGTCTTCCGTGGATTTTTTTGTTCCGTATTCCGTCTGCCGTCTTCCGGGAAAAAAGTTTTCTTCCGTCTTCCGTTTTCCGTGTTCCGTAAAAAAAATTTTCTTCCGTCTGCCGTCTTCCGGATTTCAAAATTCCACTTCCGCTCAACTCTGGTCCTTTCGACATTTCCTCTTTCAGCTGACTCACGATCGGTTCCGATCAAATTCCAATGTTGTTTTCCTCCGTTTCCTCACAGAATTGTTCCAAAACATTTTGTAATGTTTTTCCGATCGCTCGTTCAAGGTTTACAGACTTTTCGTTTGGAAAGAGACGCAGGCGGTCGGCAGCTCGAGAAGACTGTCGTTCGAAAGCCCAAATTCCCCCTTTCCGTCCTTCCGTTCTCGATCTTTCGGGCGATCATTTTTCGCTCGAGCAATGGGATCAGGGGCTTCGTTTTCGAAAAAGCTTCGCTGAATTTAGTCGTCTCCGCTGAAAAATGTGTGCATGAGAGCGGCAAAAACCGTTCCCACTTGCATGCGCCCATGATAGCTGATCATTGTTCAGCTGTTCCCGACGCTCTTTTCCACGTGGAATAGTCGATTGACTCGAATCACCTGGCACTGCGCCAACTTCTCCGTCTCTGCACTGTCTGCGTCGATGCGCCGCGCCGCGCGGCAAGACCAAAAAAAAACAAATTTGAATTCTCGATCGACTGGCGTCCTTGAGATAGAGCGCCCAAAGGCCCGCGGGGCCTCAGAAGTACCGATACATGAATTTCGACTGTGCAGAACACCTTGTCTTCTCTGATGTTCTCGTCAAAAATCGGTCTTGTCCGTCCGGGTTTGAAAATTGAAGGTAGAAAGTTACCTAGTTTCGAATTTATCTCTCTAAAATTCGAGAATCTAGCATATTCAGACGGTGAGACCCTCAGCACGGTGGTCGGAAGAGAAACCCGTTCGCAATTCTGAAATCCTTGAAATAGTGCCCCACGAAACGTTGTGAAATTGACCATTATTCGGTTTTCGACTGTTTTGCAATACATTTTCTAGAAGAAAAGTGACTCATCACGCTCATCACCCTACTTTTTCTCTTTTCTCTCACTTCTCCAAGCCGATCCGCCCACAGCAGGAGGCGGTGCTGGATTTGGCCCGCCCCTGAGCCCACGGGCGACTCTCCGACCGAGACGAGTCATTCGTACCGGCTTGTCGACCCGCCGGAAGGTGACCTCTGCTTTTTATCCGGGTTTTCTAGTCGAAATACAGTAGCGGCCACTGAAATATCCTCTTTTGGTTTTTCCGCTATAACTTTTTTTAGAGAAGAGCAACCGGGCCAAAATTTTTTGTGCGTATTACCGGCATATATAATGTACTTTCTGCAAAGTGTCGTTAGTGCTGCGAAAGAAATATTTTTTCCAAAAATATTTTCAATTTTCACGATTTTGATCGTTTTTTCAATTTTTTTGGAAGCTTTTTTGGAAGCTAAACTCCAATATTTTCCAGAGTCTTCAATATTTTTTGATTTAGGACAAAAACGAAAGGAAAAGTAGATTTAACCCCTAACCAGCAATTTGCAATTGCTAGGGGGCGCGAGCAGGGACGAACTCACAGGCAACTCGCTGAGCAGTTCAATGTCGATCGTTCCACAGTTGGAAAATTTTTGAAGCGCTGGAGAGCTCAAAATAAACAGCCAGTGAAGAGAAGACACTCAAGGGCTCGCGTTACGAACCATCTAAAGGATGGAAACATCGTACGCGCATCGAAAACCAACCCTAGACTGAGTGCCGCCAAAGTACTTGATCAGGTTTCCCACCGTGGATCACCCGTGGCAAGCGTCAGAACGATCCGACGTCGCCTAAATGATGCTGGACTCTTTGCCAGAAGACCTGTGAAGAAACCGTTTATCTCTGACCGAAATCGAGCAGTTCGTGTGGCCTGGGCGCGAGCCTATCTCAACTGGACTCAAAGTCAGTGGGAACGAGTTTTGTGGAGTGATGAGAGCAAGTTCATGTTGTTCGGTTCGGATGGAATTTCTTACGTGAGGCGACCAGTAGGGACCAGATTCGACCCAAAATATCAAACTCCCACCGTAAAACATGGTGATGGTATAGTCCTGCTTCAGCAGTCATGGAGTCGGACCTCTTCACCGCATCCGAGGCAACATGGATCGCTTTGTGTACGAACACATCTTGCAAATTGTGATGCTGTCGTTCGCTCGTGCCTCCCCGAGGGTTCGTTACTTGTTTCAGCAAGATAACGACCCAAAGCACACCTCCAACCACATCAAAATGAGTTAAATGTCTCAAACAATCATTATCTTTTTTAAAAGAATTGGTTCGCCACCAACCGTGTGACTGTAATAGAGTGTCCCAGCCAGAGCCCCGACCTCAAACCCATCGAAAAATTGTGGGAAGAGCTTGAGAGACGCGTTTCCGGTATCCGTACGACGAGAAATTCTCTCAGTTGGAGACTGCGTGGGCTCAGATTCCACAGTCTGTTTTGACCAACCTGATCCAGTCGATGCCAAGAAGATGTCAAGCTGTTATCGATTCTCGAGGGTTTGCAACTAAGTATTGATAAATTTTAAACTGTTCCTATTGCTTATTACCTCATTTACAAGTCGTTTGAAAGTGAAATCGCAATAAACCGGTTTTTGTTGAAAATCGAAAAATCGAATTTTTTGAATTTTTCAAAGAAAATTTTTTTATCGATAACAGCTAAACTGGATTATTTTTCTGGCTTATTTTGCAAAATTTTCACAATTGCTCTCAAGTTCCTAGCTCTTCTAAAAAAAGTTATAGCGGAAAAACCAAAAGGGGATATTTCAGTGGCCGCTACTGTATTTAGAAATCAAAAAATCTCGAGAGAAACAATTTAGATTACTGTAGCCGGTGAAAAATGTGCAAACACGGCCACGGCAGTTTACGGATATTCGCTTCAAAAATTGTTTATTTTTCCGGCTTGTTTAGCGTGAATGTTCCCGATCTTTTCCCCCACCGATAACAACTCATTTTCCACTTTTTATTTCAAGACATCGCTCTCCATCACAAATCAAGACGATCCGGAAGAATGCCACGTCTACAGCGGCGAATCGACACGGCGAGAAAAGGGAGGCAGCCGCCGGCGCCGGTCGAGCAAGCGGCGGAATCGACGTCGATCAAGAAGCTCGTCGGATGCCCCGTCTTTGATCCCATCGATTGCCAGTGCCGTGAGTCCTCCAATCAATACCGGGTTTCAGCGTTTCAGGGGAGAGGGGCTCGGTCTACGGATCAGCTGGTTGCCCGCGTAGATTTCTAGTTTAGAGCGTTCCGAGGACAGGAAAATGCGAGAAAAGAGTTAGTCTTAATTTCAACTCGCCCAATTTTCAGCAAAACAAGAGTTGCCGAAGGAGAGGGCGTCAAAATGACGTGCACATCGGAGACGTGTCAGTTCGCACGCATTCCCCTCCATCCACAGTGCTATCAGGAGCTGGAGAGTAATTTGGTCAAACGGCTCGGATCTCTGGGAAGCGCTCGTGGATGGACAGTCCCGCAACGCCTCAACAATCTTTGGGAAAAGAAAGGGCAATCGCTCATCGGAAAGTTCTGTCGATGTCGATGCGGACGCGGACAGATGACCAGGGATAAGCAGGCGCTTTATGAAAAGGAGGTGAGCTTGTAGAGGCTCGACCCGACGGATCCGAGTTGATTTTCATTCAGAAAGCGGTTGAGAAGGAGAAAAAGAAGAAGGCGAAGAAGGCGAAGCAGCTGCCGCAACTGCACTTCAACACGAAGCATGCCGCGGCGATGGAGGAGAAGAAGCGCGATTCGGACTGTCCGTTCACGCCGACGGGTGCCCCGCAGAGCGTGCGCCAGCGCACCTTCTCCACGAGATCACGTCTTCTCACCGATCATTCCACCACTTCATCAGTTCCCACGACCGTAATGTTGGAGACGGTAAGCAGAGAGCGTTTGGACATCCTCTACGTTTAATTTTTAGATGTCCGAGGTGTCATACGTCGGCGAGAGCAACGGACAGTACAACAACAACGAGCAGCATCCGATGGACCTGACCGATGACGAGGGAGTCGATGAGGCCGCGAGTTCAGTGAACACCATTGTACCAGCGCCGCCGCCGCCGCCGCAGACGAAGAGCTACGCGGCGACGATAAAGAGCGAGGTGGAGAAGTCGGAAGAGCTGGCGGCGACGGAGAGCCCCAGCAAGAACAGCACTGCAGCCAACTCGCCGGACAGCGGACTCGCCCACTCGATCAGGTTATCGCCCGGTGTGCCGAACTACTCGCTGCAAGAGTCGGCGGACGAGTCGGAGTCGGAGACGATGAAGCAGCGCACAGAGCCGGAGAACCTGAATCCGCTCGAACTGAGCATCCTTTCGCCGATCGTGCTCTCGCAGGGGCTGCAGCACCAAGAGGAGCCGCTGATGAGCCTCTTCCCGGAGCTCACCGTCACGCCGCACTTGCCGAAGCAGAAGGGCTCGATCTACAGCAAGATTACGGAGATCCGCGCTCAAAAGAGCGCTTCCCTGCCGAAGCTTCCGCTCGCGCTGCCGTCGTTGCCCGAGGGCGATCGATGCGGAATTAACTTCACCACGCCCGTCAGGGAAATCATGGACGTCTGGCAGGCAACCAACGCGTCGCTGGGCGCATCTGGAGACGCGAGAACCGAGGAACGCGTCGAGGAAGGTGAGAGTTATGCGATCGGCACCCAAACTTGGCAATCTTTTCGAAAAACATACTTTTTGGGCTAATAGTAAGATTAATATATAGTCTCAAACTTTCAAGTAGGTTCTCCGAACCAGTACTTAATCAACAAATTCAACAAAATTAACCCGAATTTTGCAGAAAAAGTGGACTTTGCATGGACGCCAATGTTCGGCCGAGGATTCAACCTGGGAGAGCGCATTCTGTACTTCCCCTGAAGAAGCACAGACCGCCCGTCTATCTCCCCGCCTCAATTCCCAATTATTCTCATTCCACACCTGTCAACCCGTAGTAGTACCTAATAACATAGAAAAAATGTTCAAAAAAAAAGAAAAATAAGTGTTCACAATTTTCCACAAGATTCTCGATTTAATATGTTCTCTCTTTTCCTGTCCGCCCCCCCCCGCACACATGCATTCTTATTAATATAGTACGGAATGTAATGAGAAGATGAACAGATGTAGAACAGTATTTTTTATTTCTCGCCCTCTGAAAAAATTTGTCTCGTGTCTCTTTGTCGCCTTATTTTTTGCCACCCCGCTCGTTTTATTCATTCACCTAATTTCATGTTTTTCGCCCACAAATTTGACCCTTTGCTGCCCCTCCTCTACCCACGCTTTTTGTTTTTTATTTGCGTCACCATTTTTCATGTATAGAGAAAATTCCTTACTGATTCGTTTCTTCATTTTTCCCCGGATGGTCATGATTTGACGTCTTCTCGACGTTCCTCATTACTCTCCATTTCCATTTGTCAACGCGCATGCATTCTACCGACTTTTTTGTGTAAAAATATGAATTATTTTGTGTGCAAATCAGATGCCCAGACCTCTATAATTTAATGACTGCAACAATAAGAGGGGAGAAGCACAAAAATCGAACATTTTGGGGCGAAAACAAGAAAAGAAGCGACTAAAGCGGGAGGCAAAGAGCAAAAAGAAATGTGGAAAAGTTACACAAAAAATTGGGGGAAAAATAGATAATTTTTTACAAAACGGGCATGAGAGCCGACACATCACTTGACGAATACTCGTACGTTTCTGAGACACATGAAATCATTGTTTTTGTTTTTTTTAATTTTCAGTACGGGACCCATTTTCTGCGGCGGCGGCTCGGGTTGAATTCGTCAAGTATTGCGAGAAAGAAGAAGAGGGCGCATTTAGTGGAGCTCGTCCTCGGTGTGCTCCGGAGTGTCGTCTTCGTCGACCCGACACCGCGGCTGTTGGTTTTCCTTGTTGAGCGCGGATCGCACGCGGCGCGAAGTGAAGATGAGCTTGAGACGGAAAGCGTCGCCGCCATTAAGGTAGTACCTGGAAGTGAAGCTTATTTGGTTAGAGCAGTACGTTCCGAAACCGCCTATTTTGTCTGTTTTGGAGTTTTTGATGGATAACTGCGCACGTCATAAATTCAGCTAAACGCAAAATTCGGTCCGATTTGAACAGTTTTCGAGCAATTAGAAACAAGAGAACATTGCTCTCACAGCAAAATTATTTTGAGGTCAGATTTGAATTCCCCCCGAAATTTTGGGTAACAAACATGTCATGGAAGCTTATCGAATTCCCAACTTTTGATGACAGCCCAAATAAGAGCCGCTCGCTTACTTGATGAGTCTCTTCTGACGAATGAATCCGAGGTTGCTGTAGAGTCGCTGCGCGTTCTTGTTGCTCACTTCCGTCTCGAGCACGATCTCGTCGCACCCCTTCTCCTTCATCGCGTTGATCGCACGACGCACGAGCCGAGTTCCGATGCCGAGACGACGGCACGACTCGTCGACGGCCAGCATCGCCACGTATCCCTTGCACCGCGAGAACATGTCCAGCTCGAGCTTGCACAAGACCGCTCCGATGTACGAGTTGTTCGTTTGATCGTAGGCCTGAAAGTGGATGGATGGATGAATGGATGGGCGGAAGGGGCGAATCTGACCAAGAAGCAGTACTCGGGCCAGTTGTGCAGGAAGTATCTGTAGGTGTAGATGGAGTAGGGCTCGCTGAGATCCTTCGTGATGAGGCGCATGATGTCTCCAATCTGTGTCTCGTCCTTGTACTGCACAATGCGAATGTTCGGTCCCGCCAGCTCGTCCTCGTGGCGCGGTGCCTCGTCCTGGCTGATCATGTGCTGGCAGTGCGGCCATTTCGACGCCTCCGGCACCGATTCCTCCAGCGTTAGATCGTTCTGGAAATTTCACGTGAATTCAGTGCCCGTTTGTGAAACTTTGTGACCGTGGATTACGGTAGGGCGCAAAGTTGTCAGACGTGTCCGCCGACTGAATTAATCGTATTATCGTGGCGTGAAATTTTACACTCAGAAGTGAATCAAAAGTTCATATACCAGAAATGCCCTATTTTTCTCATTCACAGACTTCCGTTGTTGACCGTAACCCCTTCAGCCCCTTCGAAATGGTTGATTCGGCTAGAAACACGAGTTTTGTGCTAAATTCCCTGATGTATCATTTGTTTGCAAAAAATGGGTCAAAAAAGAGTGGAAAATCAGAGAAATCAACACAAATGTCGTGTTTTGAGCGAAATCTGCATATTTGAGGGGCCTAATTGGCGGCGCTTGAGGCTTACGGTCGACGAGCCGGAAATCGGTTAATTACGGATTCTCTGCTCACCACGTCCTCGCTGATCGAATTCTTGGCGCTGCGGTTGGCCGGTTTGTTGGAGGTGCCGGCGAGATCGAGGCACCGTCTCAGAGTTCCGATCGTCTTTTCGATGTTCGACGCTTCACGCTCCGCCACTCCGCCAGTCGATTCTTGCGGTTTTCCGGCGGTCGGCTTCTTTTGCACAACACCGATTGCCATGGTGGTTTCGGGGTGATCGAGAGACGAAGAAATCTGAAATTGATAAAGATTAGAGTATTCGAAGCGAAGAATAGGGGGAAACGACATCATAAAGTTCAAAAACTGCACAAGAAAATGGCTATCTCGATTCTCGAATGTGCTCTGAAACCGACTCAGTTACCGATAAGAGAAACCTTCTTCTTCTTCTCCGATTTTTTGCGACTTTCTGTCGAGAGAAAGAGAGGGAGAAGAGAAGAGAAGAGAAGAGAATAGAAACCTCGGCCATTAGATAAGCGAATCGAAAGACGGTGAGGTGTGATGTGAAACCTTTGGACTTTGGTCTCGAACGGATTTCTCGTCGAAGACGAGAGAGAAGGAGGAGGCCCTTTTGTTAATCATGACGCCTGGAGTGATTTGATAATACCCAGTTGCAACTATTTGGGAGCGATAAATGGGATCGGACTTTAGATCAATTCAGACAAAGTGTCGACGATGACGACGACGACGACGACAATGATGTTGATAAGGAACGAGAGAGAGAGAGAGATGATGATGGATTGAAATTGTTCTTGATCAAGGCACCGATACTGTACTTCTTCGCTTATCAAAGATAGAGGCGTTGAAGGTCCTTCACAGGTCGGGGAGTGTGTCAAATTCGTAGATTGAACCTAGGAAAGCGGTAAAATTCAGATGAAATCATACTAGAACCTCACACGTGACTGAAAATGATAGACCGTAGACTAGGGTAGATAATAGTCATCACAACACATGTCGAGGTCCCGGTTTCTCGTTGATCGGATGCGAATTGTCATCATTAATCGAGAGATGGAAAATGCATAGAAAACACGCACGTTTCTGTGTCCAATCAGTCGGTTTTGGATATAGAAGCGAAACATTGATAAACTTTTCACGCATTCAAGTGGAAATGAGATAGGAGATCTTGTGAAGTCTTCTGAAGATGCAGATCACAGAACGAAACCAGAGAAGGGGGGATAAATCCGATCCGAAACACGGCCCTATTGAACCCGTTTTCAATATAAACGACCGTGACAAGGCCAGAAACGAAGAATGCATTGCGGAATAGAATATTGCCTTCGTTTCGAGGTCGCAATCACATGTTTTCGGCACGCGCCGCACGTACTTTGTGCTCTCACTGAAAATTTGGTGCAAACGTGCGGTGCACATGGACTTGAGCCCACTGAAATTCATTTGAATTTTGCACAAACTTTACAGCTTCTCCGTTGTTTTGGCCTAGCGTACGGAGCACAGAACAGAGAGGGCGGAGCACGTGAACAACCAGTCGGGATGGATTGAATCAAAAAAGATGCGGGTTGTTTTGAGCAGGACGGCCGGAACAAAACAAAACATCGAAGATTGGATGGACCCGAGAGAGACAGACGTTTCGGTGGTCGAAAAGCCGTGCACTACTCGTTTTTACTCGTTTCAGGAGTACGACTTCAAAAATGCCCCAAACATTTCAGGAGCTGATTGTTTGCCAAACAAATTAGACAACCTGGGGGCTTCCCGGGTAGAGAGAGAGCACTAACTCTTCGATAAACACGTCTTGGAGACGGTAGGCATCAATATCAACTCGCCAACCTCCATCAGAGAAAAAAGTGCCGAGTAATCCATTTTCGTTTCGATAGAAAAGAAGGGCATACGGGGCGCAGCACAAAGTACACGATCGAAAGAACAGAACCAGCGAGGACGGAAGAGAACTGCCGGTGCTCGGCGGTGCCAATCACCACCGTTTTTATCGTCGAGAGCGAAAGAAGAGGGGGAATTCCCACTTTGCATGCGAATCGCATCGAAAGTGTGTGTGTGCCTCAACAAAACTTTCGCTTTCGTTCTATCTCCGTCCGCATAAATACATACATGCATAGACGATAAGAACAGGGAAGAAGAAGAAGGAGAAGGAGAAGACGGCGGAGCTCATAGTACTAATTTTCCGAAATCGTACTGCCGCGAGAAGACGTCTTGTGACTGCTCATCGCACAAACAAGTGTGTATGGGCGAGATAAGGAAAATGAAGGCCGAGAAGGAAGACTTGATTTGTGTGTGTTTGTGTGCGAGTTCACATGGAGCAAATTAGAACTCACCAGATCGTTTCGAGACCCGACAGAAGCAATTTTACAGATTTTGGGAAAAATCCACTTTCATTTCTTGTAAATCTCGTGAAATTGGTTTTAGACGTTCCTGACTGTACGATAATCGGCTTGCATAGCTAAACTTAATTTTCAGGTTAATCGAAACCTTTTCTTCCAACAACGGGGTGGCCTCCATAACGAAGGGGCCGACCGAAAAGACTGGTTCTCGCCTCTTCGGGCGTGTGTCGAATTTGGGAAAAAGACGAAAGAAACACACACACACTCGGCGGTGTTGTGTTGTATCAAAAGTGAACTGATGGCGGAAAGGTTGGACGGAGGAGACTGATAGGAGGACGAAAAGTGGGAGGAGACTCGACGAGGGGGAATACCCACAGAGAGCTTTTGCACGTCGCGTCACGTGAACGGAACATGTGTTGTGTCCACTGTACCTGGCACTTCTCCGGCCGGCTGACAACTGACTATATCAGTTGACTTTAGTTCGGCGCGGAGCAAAAAGAGAGGTGCACAATGAGGGCATGTGATCGCTTTTCTCTTCTTCTCGACGCGGTCCTCATCAGCTGACCGACGAGTGACCACTCCTGCCGCTGCTCTGCTCCGTATTGCCCAATGCAACAACACTTTCAAATTTTCTGACCGACGCTGCCCGCTGCTTTTTACGATTACAACAATGTGTTTGATTGTTGACTGATGACAGCCAGGAAGAGAGATGGAAATGCACTTTTTGGTGGTGATGTACAGTGGACAGCACGGGTAAAAGAGTTCACTTTTCGATCTGTCGTTGATTATTTTGAAATTACTGAAGAAATTCAGGCAATTTGCTCATCTTTGGCATATAAGACGTCAATTTTGAGCAAAAAAGGTGAAAATGAACACAGTTCGCCGAAAATCTCCCTGGTTTTTCGTGTTCGTAGAATCTGTAGCGCTCGAGCGTATCAGTCACATTTCTGACGTGACAATAGGGGAAAAGGGCCAGTTTTGAGCATGCACTGCAAATCCTTGAATTTCAGTCTTTTTCCGGCTGACCACTGGTTTTTAATGCAAATCCAGAAAAGTCAAATTTTAAAGACCCCAGAACCGAAATTGGCAAAAAATGTGCGGCTTTCGTGTTTTCCTACCGAAAAGTTTTCGACATTTTCACATTTTCATGAACAAGTAAGGATTTTTTTCCGTCCAGGACTACTCGAATCACTCGTATTATGATGACAATCGCAACATCCATTCATTTTTTTCGCTTACTTCGTTTTCCCAATCTAATCGAATTAGATCGACACCGGAATGATGATAATGTGGCGACACAAATGGATCGGATTGATCGTAATTGGAACAGAAATTTGTAATAAAAAAAGGAAAACTGCAAATATGAGGCAAAAGCAAAAAACTTGTTAGGCAACCGAACGGAAACAAAAACGGATATTTATTAGAAGTACCTCTAAACTTTGTGCATACGTGGAGGATGAAAGCGAAGAAAGATTGATTAAAATCAAAAAAAAGAGAAGGGGAGAATAGCTCTATCTGGATGGCATTCAAGGTGTTATTACAAAATGAGTATCGACTGATTGGATGGAAATATTGGGAAGATATGAGAAAAATCGATGAGAATTAGCTGTTCAGTGCCAGGCTCTCCAGAAGGTCCAGTTCTGGCTTCGACAATTTGGAGAACTTTTTTCGAAGCTTCCTCTCGCGGTCCTCCTCGGAAAGGTCGCGGAATCTGCAAATTCCTTTTTGATCTTTGTTATCACGTAAATGGCCAGGTGATGGCCATTCTCCCATCAGAATCGTCACTTTAGAGTGAGCGAACAGAGAAAAGGCGAGAAAAGGAGCTATCAATCAATCAGGTGATAATAACCCATTTGGAACCCAACCGATACGAGAGAATCAGCTGATTCCTTCTGTATTTGTCGCAAATAGATATAAAAAATGATGAAAATGCGCGTACTTGTCGGCTTTGGTCCTGCAGAAGAGACCGAACGCGGTCTCCGGCTTTTTCTTTTTCGGCGCGTCGGTCTTCGGCTGGGCTTGTTTCTGAAGCCGCTTGATGCGCAGAGTTATCGCGTGTTTCTGAGCGGCCGTGAGGTCTGGATGACTGTCGAGGAACCCTCGGAGCTGCTGGATGTACGCGACGTTCCCGGCGCGCATCTCCTCTTCGACCTGCTGAATTATGTTGGCCGATTTGTTCTCGCGCATGTGTTTGTACGTGCTCTGCAAAGTGTTTCGATTCTGGAGATTGGGAATGGATGGAAACTGACCGCAAGATCTGATGGCTTTGTCGGCAAATTCATCTTTTTGGCGTAAATGAGTACTCTGCTCGGCGGCTTTGCCGGGAAATACTTGTACTCCTTTAGAGACTTTTCGCTACTGATGTACGTCAGCAAAATTGAGGAGGCGTCGCTGAGCTGCAGATTCGCGACCTTCATCGCGCTCTTCATGTATTTTCGGAAGTCGGCGGAGAAAAGACTGAAATTTTCTATTACTTTCCGCGTTTTTCGACAATTTCGACTTGCCCGACGTCAATGGCATCTTCTGGACGGCTCTCCGCCCACTCGGCCACCAATCTTTCCATGTTGTGCACGGAAGTCGTGCCCATTTGTCGCGTCTTGAGAAATTCGGCAAATGACTGCAAAAAATATGTTTTTAAAAAGAATATTTATGAATTTAACGAGTTACCTCAGTCAAAACCCTCAGTTGATCCGGTTCGTACGTGGCGTTGCCGTTCTCAATCCTGGAGTCCTCCGTATCGATCGGTTCGTGATCTTCAAAGTCCTCGGGATCCGAATCCTAGAAAAACGAATTTGGAAAGAAGTCTGTTGATGTCGCTTCTCATTGAGACGATTTTTAACAGTCTTCAGCGATTTCTTACCGATGACACGTCACGTTTCTCACTATTCAAAAACTTTTTCGTTGGGGTTTGGAGGGTATTGCCGGCCTTTCGCTTCCCCATTTTTTGCTGAAAATTGTAGATTGAAAGTGAAAACATAACAGAAGAAAAAAAACTAGAACGTATATGTTCGAAGCGATTCGAGCATTTGACGAAAAATCAGCTTATCGGACGAATGTTTGATTCTTCACAGTTTTAACAAAAAATTAACTGAATTTAGCGAATATTTTAAGTAAAATATTAACAAGCATACTGCAAACAAGCGTTTTCACTCAACAGAGCACTGTGAACGCAAAAAATCATTGAAACATTCGGAAAAGAAGAAAAAAGTCGAAAGTAAATAATTTGAATGGTGAAGTGCGGTGGGGCGCACTTGCATACCGCATCTGACGAGCGTTGCCATGGCAAGCGAACCCTCAGGAATAATTGAAGGAAAACGAGAGGAATGCACGATTTATTCACAAATCAATCATAAAACCACTCATATTCTTCAAACATACGCTGAAAAAAAAGAATTTAGCAATCACGACGACTGACGCATCCGCCGGGGCCTCTGACGAATCCCTGCGTGCACTGGCACACGTTCAGAATGCACTGCATCGTGCACATTCTCGGCTCGGGGCTCGTGCAGCTCGGCTCGCACGCGGTCCCGCATTCGGTGAACGTTTCGTTGGCTGCGCAGCGATGCGGAGCCGTCGTCGAGCTGGAGCCAGAGCAACGAGTCCGACGGACGCACGTGTTGGTGGCCGGGTCACGGACGAAGCCTTGAAGACATTGGCACACGTTGACGATACATTGTTTCGTGCACATTTGCTGAAAACTTTCACGTTATCGAGGTCTACCTCATGTAGTTTCAGAAGAAATATGGGTTAAAAGCTAACCGGGTTTGGGGTCTCGCAGGATGGTTCGCAAGCGGTGCCGCAACTCATGAAACGCTCATTTCGAGGACATCGGGTCTCCGAGCCTGAAATTGGATGAGCATTTAAGGTCAGAACCATTTTCTGAAATTCAGGCATTGCATTACCTAAGCTCTTCCCTTGGCCTCAACTTTTGGTCTACTTGCAATGTTCCGAATGAACCCAAACTTTGCGGGCTTATGTTAGATCAAAGTTTTGGGCCGGGCCTGTTCCGGTCTTTCGCCCAGCTCCGTCTGAACGGAAATATTAAACGTTCCCCTTGCTCACCGTTTGTCAGAAGCTGAGCAGCCGAGCATCCGATAAGAGCAATAGCAATGATCAGAAAAGAGTTCTTAATTCGAAAATCAGTCAGTAACTCTGGTAAACCTCACCATTTCCGCGCAAACAGGAAGACAAACAGGCCGATTGACCTCTTGTTGATCGTTTCACAAAAATGACTGACTGTCTGCTGCCGTGCAGTTTACCTTTTATACTTTTCAAATGTTTTCACACACGAAAAGATCGGTGGATCAACTAGACATCAGTTGTTCAAACCGACACTGTATTTACATGATGACTCGTTTTTTGTTGAACGGTACAATAATTTATTCCAACGATCACAACAAGATCACTTTTTTTTGCAACACGCTGCAAAATAGTTGCCTTTTATGCAAGTGGCGCCTGTCGGACAGAAGTTGGATTTGCAGTTCTTTCCGATTAACAGACTATCGTCGATTTGCACAGGGACTCGGCCGGCCGCGCATTTCGGATTGTAGTCCGATTCGAGTTTGTCTGAAATTCGAGAAGTTGCATTTACCCGGAACACTCTTAAAACCCACCGTAGACAGCCGTCCGACAACAGTTTCCACCGCCGTCAAAACGCTTTCTACAATATCCGTTAGTCGGGCAGTCCGTCTCAAATCATCTTTGGCCTTGCAGTCTACAATTAGTGACTCACATCCGCAGAACAACTCGTACTTCCGTCCGCACCCACCAACGCCTTCGTGTTCATCGGACAACCGACAATATTTGTGGGCTGACAACTCGCACTTTCCGCCACATCCATTGTACTTGAAAGCCAGACACAAACTTCAGTCTTTTTCAGTCTTTTCCGCAACAGAAAGAGAAATAGTTGCCTTTTTTGCAATTGGCATCCGTCGGACAAAAGTTCGAGGTGCAGTTCTTTCCGATGAGCACGGCGTTGTTGATCGTGTCGATCTTGACGACGGATCTTGCGGCGGCACACGTCGGGTTGTAGTCCGCTTCTACTCTGTCTGCAAACTATTGAAACGGACGAAATGGAATGGACAGTTCTAGTACCTCTAACGGCAGTTCTACAGCAAAGACCCCTCCGCCCAGACGCTTTCGGCAGCATCCGGTGATCTTGCAGCCGGTCTGAAACAGAAAGTGAACTCTCTAAACCACCCGTCACGAACTCACATCGTCCGAGCACGTAACACTTCCATCGTCATTCGGCAAAGTGTTCGACTTCACCGGGCATCCGACAATACTCGTCGGGAGACAAAGATCATCGCAGATTGTATCACTCTCGAAGTTGTTCTTGCTCGGCCTGTGCACAAGTGTTTCCGAACTTCAACGGTTTCTGGCAATCCGCTGGGGCATTGTCAGTCACTGATTATTTGGGGCTTGAAAGTTTAGAACTGAAATTTGCTTACCGACGAGGACAAAGAGGCTTAGGGCGAGTAGCAGGAGATGTTTCATGACGCTGAATGAATGGGAATGACTTCTCAACACAGAGAAAACTTTGTCGGCAACTGTCACGGACATCAGTTATCAGTCAAACAATAGATAAACGTCGAGGTCAATTCACTTCCGTGTTGCCTTAGAATCGGATCGAAAGAGGAAAACTTTATGATAAATGAATTTAAGAAAAGAAATCAAGGTTTCTTCCCATACACAATCTCCTGATACTTGTTCGATTGCCGGTTGATCTGCTCGTAAACGTCCATCCTTCCGTTCTGATAGTTGTCCCTCATTTCACTTTTCGGATAGTCTATCTTGAAGTATCTGTTCGGTTTGTCCAAATTGTACTTTTCCCAAACTTGAGCACCGGATTCCGACTTTCCATTCGGATTTCTGAAAACTTGTACTTTTATCTAAAACGTATGCTCTGACTCACCCATATTTAACAAAGTTGGTCACAAAATCCCCCATCATGTTCATCACTTTGAGCTCTTCCTCCGTTGGCGTGAACTTGGAAATGAGACCTTCTCCGGTGATGTACTTGAAGTCGGATCCGTGAGTTGCCGCTTTGAATGGAAGCTTTTCCGTAAGCGGATCTTCAGTTTCAGTGTTGAAATAGTCAAAGGAAGCGAGGTAGGTGTTATTTCCGTTCTTGACGCAGGATTTCGCCGTCGCCAGAGCACCAATGTTGAATAGAGAGTCTCCGATGAACTGCAAATGACTGAACATTTTGGAACACGTGAGGATTTTATGGTTGCCTCCACAAGCCGCTTGTCCACAGCCGCCGTGTCCGATTCATCAAGATCTTTGAGGTAGAATTCCAGGAGTCTCTTCTGAACCTCCTCAAAACTCTCAGTGATATCCGGGCCGTAGGCATTGGAAATGAAGAAAGGAAAGTTTTTGAAAGACTCGGCAAAGAGAGGATTGTGCATTGCTGAAGGAGACCAAATGTGTTACTAAACCTTATGATTATGCTCACTCATTCCAAGCCCTTCATACTCTCCGATGGTGGTCATTGCATCCAGCTTCGGAGCCTCCTTTCGCAGTTCATCGAATGGTTTTGGAAAGAAATCACCGTCGAAGTTAGGCACAAAGTTCAGAAATCCAGATGCTGTTTTTTTGAACCCGCCATATCCTTGAACTTGGAGACTGGCTGGGATTGATACCAAGCTAGAAGACTATCGGAATCTGGAATTAGATAATAATGGGACACTTTCGAATGTTGACAACTCACCATTCCCGCTGTAGCCGTGATGTTGAGCAAACTCTGTGAATATTTGAGCCTGAAGTAGTTGAGGTCTACACGCGAAATCGCAGAAAGCCGTTCCGGACATGGCGATGAAGCGACGGAATAGTTCTGAAGCGAATAGATCGTTGCCGAGCGGAGCCCCGGGATGTACGTACTGTTGGAATGCGGACTGAGAGCCAACAAGTCGACACTTGCTCCGCCGGCACTCGTTCCGAAGATGCTCACATTGTGTGCGTCTCCTCCGAACGAGCCAATGTGCTGCCGGACCCACTGGAGACCGAGCGTCTGGTCCCACAGTCCGCAGTTGCCACGTGCCACGGAATCGCCCGTCGTCAGAAATCCCAATGGTCCCACACGGTAGTTCACCGTCACCACTATCACGTCTTTCAGCGGAAGTGTGCCAGAAAGCGAGTAGTCGTGGATGGAACTGGAGGTTCCGATCTCGAATCCTCCTCCGTAAAAGTATACCATCACTGGTCGACCATTTGGCTGAAACGTTTCTGTTGTGAAAACCTGGAAGACTTGGAAAACTCACAAACTCTTCGGACTTCCATCTCGGAGCAAACACATTCAAAGTCAAGCAGTTGTCCTCGTCAAACTCTGCCAATCCATCCGGAATCAACTGAAAACCTCCAGCATTTGCTCGGAACGCTCTGGATTCTGGATTACCGCAGAATATTGTCCAGACTGTGGGCATCCGGGTCCGTACGTGTAACAGTCTCTAGGCTCCGCCCACTTTTCAGCAGGCACCGGCTTCTTGAAACGGAGCTCTCCGATCGGAGGCTTTGCAAACGGAATTCCCAAGTAACCATCCACTATTTTCTCGTCCTAAAGCCGAAAAGGATACTGTGAGTTGAAGATTGATCCTAACTTACATGTCTATAGATATTTCCTCGGATCGGGCCACACGTGGCATTCAGAACTTGAGAGTTTTGTTCTGGTTTCAGATGAGACAGGAATCCACCCATGTTAGCAGAAATAAAGTTGGAGAGAAGGGATGAAAACTGTTTGTTCGGGTCGAATTAAATAGGTGCGCAGTCGGCACAGACCACGAACACAAAGCACGTGGGAGAAGGAAAAAGAGAGAGAAATAGGGGAGCGTAGTTTGTTTTCGGCACTCATTTTTTGATTGATTTGGTTCTGTTTGCATCATGTCTGGCAGATCTTCGAACGAACCACCAGACTGTTGAGTAAATAGGTACACTTTTTTTGGTGTCTGGAGAAGAAGGCTAGTGATGAAAAATCAGGGGGAACTTTTGAACTCTGTGGAAAAACGGAGCCATGAACTTGTTTCATCTCAACCTTTGATCGTTTTCATCTTTCCCGTTATGTCACTATCAGTGCAATCTATTGCACAACATTGTGAACTCAACAATCACAATGCGTATCATCATTTTCCCTTTTCTTTCCTTTCATTCTAACTCTCATCGACAACATGGGTGCGTTTCTGTCTCATTTGAAAGCGGAGCGAAACACTGAAGTGTTAGATGCCACGTGTGGACCCATTCGAGGAAATATCTATAGACATGTAAGCTAGGGTTTCTATTCAATTTACATCATCTTGAACTTTAGGACGAGAAAATAGTGGATGGTTACTTGGGAATTCCGTTTGCAAAGCCTCCGATCGGAGAGCTCCGTTTCAAGAAGCCGGTGCTTGCTGAAAAGTGGGCGGAGCCTAAGGATTGCTATGCGTACGGACCCGGATGCCCACAATCTGGAGAATATGGAGAAGTGAGTACATTCCAGACTCTCCAAGTATTATCCTTTTTGCAGATTATGACAAAGACGATGTTCGAGTTTGCAGAGGATAACTGCTTGACTTTGAATGTGTTTGCGCCCAGACGGAAATCCGATGAATTTGTAAGTTCAATTCTCTTTAAATTTACAATATCCAGTACTGATTTCAGTCGAACGGGTTGCCAGTAATGGTCTACTTCTACTTGGGCGGGTTCGAAGTGGGCTTCACCTCCGTCATCGACGATTACACCCTTTCCGGTATCCTTCCGCTGAAAGACGTGATAGTGGTGACGGTGAACTACCGTGTGGGACCATTGGGATTTCTGACGACGGGCGATTCCGTGGCACGTGGCAACTACGGACTGTGGGACCAGACGCTCGGTCTCCAGTGGGTCCGGCAGCACATTGGCTCGTTCGGAGGAGACGCACACAATGTGAGCATCTTCGGAACGAGTGCCGGCGGAGCAAGTGTCGACTTGTTGGCTCTCAGTCCGCATTCCAACAGTACGTACATCCCGGGGCTCCGCTCGGCAACGATCTATTCGCTTCAGAACTATTCCGTCGCTTCATCGCCATGTCCGGAACGGCTTTCTGCGATTTCGCGTGTAGACCTCAACTACTTCAGGCTCAAATATTCACAGAGTTTGCTCAACATCACGGCTACAGTGGGAGTGGTGAGTTTACTAACATCAACACTGAAATGTTGGTCAGAAAAATCCGTTCAGATTCCGAATCACTTCTGAATTGGTATCAGTCTCAACCTGTCTCTAAATTTCTGGAAGTAAACGCTTTCCAAAGACCCGCTTCTGGATTTCTGTCTTTTGTGCCCAATTTGGACGGTGATTTCTTCCCGAAACCATTCGATGAACTGAGAAAAGAGGCGCCGAAGTTTGATGTGATGATAACAATCGGAGAGTACGAAGGACTTGGATTCAGTGGGTCAAAGACCTTACATTAAGTTGGAAAGGTAGTCTGATTCTATTTCAGCTAGCCAGATTCCAGTCTGTGCCGACGTTTTCGAGACTGCAAAGGCGATTATTGGAAAAGTTTATGGACCGGATATCACTGATAATTACGAAGAAGTTCGGATGAAGCTTTTTGATTTTTATACGAAGGGAGTTGGTGAATACGATAAGGCAACTATGGATAGAAGAATAATCGAGGTGAGGGAACTGAAACTGAAGGCCTCAAATCCGAATCGAGTTGCAGTTCGTCGGCGACTCGTGGTTCAACATCGGCGCACTGGACACTGCGAAATCATGCACTAAGCACGGAAGCAACGCCTACTTGGCTTCATTTGACTACTTCAATTCGGCATCTGAAGATCCAGCACTCGCAATGCAACCGTTCCGCGCATCGACGCATGGTTCCGAGTTCAGATACCTCTTCGGGACCGCGTTTTCGTGCAAGTTCATGCCAAATGCTGAAGAGCTCAAAGTGATGAACATGATGGGGGATTTTGTGACCAACTTTGCTAAATATGGGTGAGTGTGTGCAGAAGTTTCAGATAAAAGTTCAAGTTTTCAGAAATCCGAATGGAAAGTCGGAATCCGGTGCTCAAGTTTGGGAAAAGTACAATTTGGACAAACCAAACAGATACTTCAAGATAGACTATCCGAAAAGTGAAATGAGGGACAACTATCAGAACGGAAGGATGGACGTTTACGAGCAGATCAACCGGCAATCGAACAAGTATCAGGAGATTGTGTATGGGAAGAGAGAATACATTCGTGAATAAATAAAACTATAGCCATAAAGCTGGAAGTAATACTCTGATTAATGTCAAAAACATTGAATTCTATCTCAGCTATGCGCGGAAATGTTTCACACTTTTTCAATAAATTAAATAGACAATGAAGTCTTTATTCGAACAGATAAAACTGAATTTCCATTATACTCGTTGTTCCACCGCTTGAACCTTTCAACTTGACTCAATCCTTTGATGATCACTTTTTCTGGCACAATTTTTCAGATTCCACACTTGTCGTCGTCTTCTGGAGCACGTCGGAATGAGCGTAGAAGGCGATGATTTGGCCACGAGGAGTTCTTTCATTCTGGCGGTCGATCGGAGGATTGTGGACTGATTTCTCATGGTTTTCAGCGCCCTTTTATAGTGGAAACTGATAAGATAAACACTGATTAGATTGATTTTATCAGCAAAACGATGATAACGACTGATTGTGATTACACGTGGCTTGGCGGCCGACCATACAGACGTAGTTTGTCGCGCTTTGTCAAGTCTTTCCTTCTGAAGCCTTAGCCCGAGAATCCATAGACACTCTTGACGAATTGGTCTGAAATGGCTACATGGTATGGTACTAGAACATCCGATTAAACTCACTCGTTAACAATCAGAAGCATTAGTGGACTCAAATAGGCGCAGGATTTGGCGTGTTGAGCCAGACATTTGAAAGACTTTCGAGTTTGAAGGCATTCCATGAAGTCTCGCTCACCTCCTTTACTCCATAAAATGGTCATGTAGGTGGTCACAAATGTGTACTAAACGAGGATAGTCATCTCCTGTCTGAAAAGTTTCCGCTTACGGAACTTGATTATCATATCCCCAGCTCGGAGGGTAAAACGTCATATTTCCGGATACACAACCGAATAACAAAACAAATGTTATCCAGGAAAGGATTGGGAAAAGCGCAATCTGAAAATAAAAGGTCGAGTCTCAAAGTTCACCGGTTTACTTTAACTGCCAACTGCACCTTTCCCGTTCGGAAAATATCACTGAACACACGGACCGGCTTTTCATACATAGGACTTCGGTTTTTTCAATATATCTCCAGAAATCGAACATAGGGACCTCTGATTTTTTGATAAGAGTTCAATTTTACTGTGTTCTTCAAAATGAGCCAGGTCAGACGTAAATGTAAGGTTTCTGAGAGAAGTTACAGCTTCACAATTTCCACTCCTCCGTATGCTTTGCCGGCCCGTGCGAACACTAGAATTCTACACACCGCCACGATGGTCATAACTGGAAGTTCGGCTATCCACAATGTGTTTACTGTGACTGCCATTATCGGAATTGTGATCATTCTGACGTGGGACACATCGAACTAACCCTGATAAACTTCTCGAACTTGATCTGAATGTGAGGCAATATGAGAATGGGCGAAGTGATATTTCTGACGATCTTTCCGGTACGAAGCTTGGGCAATAACTCTCAGAAAGTAACTTCGCAGATACTAACTCACCAACATGACCAGCGTATAAAAGGCAAAAGGAGACAATTGAGTAAACGATGCCGAAGAGCACTTCTTCTGAATTCGGATTCAAGGTGAATAGCGTGCGCGGATCGCCAGGGGATTCCATTGAGTCGGAATCCAGACGATTTGCAGGAAACCCGAGTTGTTTGAGCTGTTAACCGAGAAGTGATTATGCGCGCAACAACAAGTTGATCCCATTTTACAGCGTAATGAAATTACAAAACAGCAAAACAATGCTCTGCGCATTTTCCATGAAATGTCTCCATCGAATGGTTCTGTGTATGATGTCTAGTTCCACAAAAGGCTATGTCCATTTTCATTTAATTTCAATCAAAGGTCTGGCTCCGCCTCCGGTCTTAACCGCACGTGTTCTTGTTGTTTTGTTCGCAGAAATACTACCTTTGTTCCCGAGTTTTCACACTTTCTATATTCAGAAGTCAGAACTCAAAATGATTGTTGAGGACTCTGCTTTGTCTTCTAGTCTTTTCAAACTGAATGATGACGTGGCAATGGTGTATTGTGGAACTATATACTTTCTAGTCTCGTTTCCTCTAATTCCATTGTATACGGTTGTTATGATGGTGAGCGTAGGCTTCCAGAATTCTGTTAACACTAAATTTGCAGACAATGTTCCGCAAAGACATGCAAACGCCGAATATGACCTACAAATTGATGAACCTCGTAAACGTTTTCGATTTGGGACAAGGATTCGGTCATTTTGTCACCGCGCCCGTTCTCGTTTTTCCGAGACTGCACGAGAAATTGGATTTTTTCGTCCGGGTAAGGGCTAGAACTTCTCGGAAACCTATGTAACTTTTGGAAAATATGCACTAAAGTTGCAGAGGCTTGCCGAGCTCTTGCACTGCGTAATTTCAGGGAATCGGGTGCATGATGAACACGTTCTGGGTGGCCGATCTTCCCGTGATGGCAGTCCTTGCCGTCTGCCGGATCATGATCTTCTGCAAGATGATCCATCCAGAAAACTTCCATCGAGCCATCAAAGTTATTCTGTTCCTAATTCTCACGTGGTTCTCATTCGTGCTAGCCTACGGATGCGCGGCACAGAACATGAAACTGACTCCTCCGTGGTGGGGTTACGACTTCGACGTTCAGTACAGTGAGATATTCGATATGCTGGAAATTGTTTTGAGTTTTCCGAGCTTAGTCACTTCGTACATTGCTTATTTGACTATTATTTACCTAATTTATGTGGTAATCCACTACTTCGTTGCCTCGTTCAAAACACATTATTGCAGAAGAAAAAAGGAGTCGGCAGTAGTCAGTCTCGAAAAGACGAAATGGCGATTCTGCTCCAGTACACGTTCGTCACCATCTACATCACCGTTTTGATAGTCGTCTGGCATCCGTCTCTTTTTATTTTTTTCTCTTTTATCGACATGACAAACATGAGGAACCAAGCGATTCTGAATAGTCTATGGATTCTACACTGCTACGTGAATCCGGTCATGATGCTGGTTTTTAACAAGTAACACAGCGTCATAAAATGCTGTATCTCAGCTGTTCGTAGAGATATGGAACAGTTGTCAACTAATGAAATGTGTACAATATTTCAATGAACAATTTGTTAGTTGACAACTTTTTGATATCTCAATTGGCAGCTGAGATATGCAGTCTGGAATAAACGTTTTGTGTTTCAGATCCATTCGGAAGGACTGCATGCAACTTTTGAGGCTTCGAAAATCAAGTATTGCTCGAATTCAGTGTCGACCTGCCGTCGTTTCTACCTCTATTGCCAGTCCTTCATAGGTTTTCGTCCGTATTCCGTAGAATTCCATCTAGATCACAGTTCCGATACAAACACGCGCTGCGCCTCATTTAAACCCTTTGAATGGCCACTCCACGCACGAAACTCTTCGTTTTCCTCATTTCTTTTTCCCTCATTTTTCTGTGTCTAGTGCTCTTGACAATTTTGGGTGTACACTTCCTGTTTCGTCTGAAGCCAGAGCACAATTCGAAAGTTCTGAATGCCACGTGTGGACCCATCCGCGGAAACATCTATAGACATGTGAGTAAACAACCCGAATAAGTGGGTCACCGAGGAGAAAATGCAAATTTTCGGCTTTAGACCGAGAATAAAATAGTGGATGGTTACTTGGGAATTCCGTTTGCAAAGCCTCCGATCGGAGAGCTCCGTTTCAAGAAACCGGTGCCTGCTGAAAAGTGGGCGGAGCCTAGGGACTGTTACGCGTACGGGCCCGGATGTCCACAATCCGGAGACCATTCAGATGTGAGTGAAACGTTTTTTGGGAAGATCCTCTGGACCATGTGCAAGATTACAGATGATTCCTGAAGGTTTTTATGAGTTTGCAGAGGATAATTGCTTGACTTTAAATGTTTTCGCTCCGAGATGGAAGTCCGAAGAGTTTGTGAGTGATAATGGGGGACTTGAGAAGTTTTTTTTGTTCCTAAATATTTTCAGCCCGAAGGACTCCCAGTAATAGTCTATTTTTACGGTGGCGGCTTCGAAATCGGTTTCTCCTCATTTCTCGATGACTATTCTCTATCCGGGTACTCATAAATTCAAAGCCCCTTTTCCAAAGAAACATTTCAGAGGTCTTCTGCTGAAAGACGTGATAGTGGTGACGGTGAACTACCGTGTGGGACCATTGGGATTTCTGACGACGGGCGATTCCGTGGCACGTGGCAACTACGGACTGTGGGACCAGACGCTCGGTCTCCAGTGGGTCCGGCAGCACATTGGCTCGTTCGGAGGAGACGCACACAATGTGAGCATCTTCGGAACGAGTGCCGGCGGAGCAAGTGTCGACTTGTTGGCTCTCAGTCCGCATTCCAACAGTACGTCGTACATCCCGGGGCTCCGCTCGGCAACGATCTATTCGCTTCAGAACTATTCCGTCGCTTCATCACCATGTCCGGAACGGCTTTCTGCGATTTCGCGTGTAGACCTCAACTACTTCAGGCTCAAATATTCACAGAGTTTGCTCAACATCACGGCTACAACGGGAATGGTGAGCTACTTTTGACTTCTTTATGACATCTTTGACTTCTGAAGAGCTTACAGATTCTCAAAGCCTTCTAGCCTGGTACCAATCCCAACCGGATTCGAAATTCAGACAATGGAACGGATTTCAAAGACCCGCTTCTGGATTTCTGTCTTTTGTGCCCAATTTGGACGGTGATTTCCTGCCAAAACCATTCGATGATCTGAGAAAAGAGGCGCCGAAGTTTGATGTGATGGCTATGATCGGAGAGTATGAGGGACTGCTATGGGGTGAATTGATGTATTTCAAAAATTGATGTTAACTATGAAATTTTAGGATGTTTCGAGTCCAGTAACATTACTGAAAACTTTGAGAAAGCAATTGAAACCGCCTACGGCCCGGATATCACAGCCAATTACACTGAAGTTAGGAAGCTACTATTTGACTTTTACACCAAAAGAATTGACAAAAATGATGAGAAAGTGATGGAGAAAAGGGTGGTTGAGGTATAGGAAGCTGATGAAAAAGTGCATGAATCCTGTTTGCAGTTCATCGGCGACTCGTGGTTCAACGTTGGCACCCTGGACACCATAAAGTCTTGTGCTAGATACGGAAACAATGCCTATTTGGCTTCTTTTGACTACTACAACATGGATGCTCGAGATCCAATGGGCGAAAAAGCTCCGTTCAGAGCTTCCAGTCATGGCTCCGAGCTCAAATATACACTTGGCGAGGGGGAAATGTTCAAGTTGAGTCCAGACGATGAAGAGTTCAAAGTGATGAACATGATGGGCGATTTTGTGACCAATTTTGCTAAATATGGGTGAGTCAGAGCATAAGTTTCAGATAAAAGTTCAAGTTTTCAGAAATCCGAATGGAAAGTCGGAATCCGGTGCTCAAGTTTGGGAAAAGTACAATTTGGACAAACCGAACAGATACTTCAAGATAGACTATCCGAAAAGTGAAATGAGGGACAACTATCAGAACGGAAGGATGGACGTTTACGAGCAGATCAACCGGCAATCGAACAAGTATCAGGAGATTGTGTATGGGAAGAGAGAATTATAATGTTATCCGTTCACACTTTTCCATCGCTATGCCGTTCGCTTTTGGTCTTTGCCCGATCGCCGCAAAAAGAAAAGAAATGAGCAAATAGAACCCACGCGGAAGAGGGAAAATGAGCATGAGCCGAATCATTATTGACAAATTCCCATTCAGAGTGTGGTTCTGATCTCCCCTTTTTTATGTGCTTTGATCGCGGAATTGAGGAATAGGGAGTTGATGACGATTTATTTAAAAACAAGACAAACAAGAAACGAAACGGTCGGAAAAGTTCGGTATATACAAAAAGACTCATGAGTGACTAGAGCCTAGTCATTGAGCAACCATGAAGCCATGGATACCCATAAATCTTCGATCGATCGGATGGTAAGGTCCTCACTTTCTGCGGCAGCACTGTCCATTTCCGCACGGAGAGTAGTTGGCCTGGCAGGAGCACGAGTTGCTGGAAGTGTTGCTCTGCTGGCAGGCGGTGGTGGCCGGCTGAGAAGCCTGGCAGGAGTTGGAGCACGAGGACTGGCACGCAGTCTGGCACTGAGAAGCGGGCTGTTGCTGTTGGACGCACTGCTGCTGGCAGGACTGCTCGCATTGGGGAGTGCACTGGGCGGACTGGGCGACGGAGGTCTGGAGGACAATCTGGATGACCGCCTGTGATGGAGCACTCTCGGTGGTGGTGTCGTATGGGTTGTACATCGGGGCGACGGTCTGAGTCTGCTGGGAGGTACACGAGTTGTCACAGGCTGGCTGGCAGGCAGAAGCACAGTTCGACGAGGATCCCTGGTTCTGGTTGTTGTATGGATCGTACATCGGAGCAGCAGTGGTCTGGTAGGTGTAAGTCTGCTGCTGAGTCTGCTGGGAAGTGCAAGAGTTGTCGCAGGCTGGCTGGCAAGCTGGGGCGCAGTTGTTGCTGTTGCTGTTGGTATTGTAGTTGGTGTTGGTGTTGTAGGCATCATAGTACTGCTGGGTGCTGGTCTGAGTATTGTAGACGACTTGCTGGGTAGCCTGAGCGGTCTGCTGGCAGATGTTGGAGCACTGGGAGTTGCAGGCGGAATTGCACTGGCTGGATGGCTGCTGTTGCTGGGCACACGAGGACTGGCACTGTTGCTGGCATTGTGGCTGGCACTGGATCTCGAGCTGGATCTGGATGACTTGCGGAGCCTGGGTGGTGGTGGACGAGGAATCGCAGGCCACGTTGCATTGCTGCTGGCATTGTGGCTGGCATTGAGAAGCCGGCTGCTGCTGCTGGACACAGGTGGATTGGCACTGTTGTTGGCACATTGGTTGGCACTGGACGACTGGAGCCTGCGTGGTCGTGGTCGTCGTCGTAGTTGGGTTGTACATCGGAGTGCACTGAGACTGGCATTGCTGCTGGCAGACTGGCTGACATTGGGACACCGAAGGGCTGGACTGACACTGCTGGGAACAGCTCTGCTGGCAAGCCGGGGCGCACTGCGAGGATTGAACCTGGACATTTTATTTTATAAAGCTTTTCTTCTATAATAGATAAGGTTACCTGAACGGTTTGAGTCTGTTGTGCCTGAGCGCAAGAGCACGACGACGATTGCTGTTGGACTGGAGTAGATTGGCACGAGCACGACTGAGTCTGTTGGGCCTGTTGGCACGAGCACTGGCTCTGTTGTGGCTGAGCACATCCACACTGTCTCTTCTCACGGATCACGCTGCCCTATACACAAAAAATCGGTACATTTCTAGAAGGAGGACTAGAAAAACTTACAGTGGCTACAAGAGCACAAGCGAAGAAGATGGCAAGCGTCGTGAAGCGCATTTCAGGGAATCGGAGCCGAACTGTAAGGGGACGGATGGTCTGAGCTGCGTCGCCACTCGCCTTTTATACCGTGATTACCTTGATTGCCACGCCCGTGCGTAATTGCTCGCCCATCTCTTCCGCGCGCCAAACCGGTCGGCCCTCGCTCTGCGCCTCCGTCGGCTCGGCGGCTTCCTTTGGAGAGAGTTCGTCTATTCTAAAAGTAAACTTGCACACTCACCTGCCGACACGTAAACGATATTGATCATCATCATCGTTTCCACATTACCGGATTGTCTTGATGCTCACCGAGCTCTTTTGTGCGGGCTTCACACATTGTGCGTGTGTGTGCTCCGAGAAGATGCAGGAACCAGTAGCTGAACAATAGCGTGCGTAACCCGACGGGAGCAAAGTTGCATTATTACTTGTTTCCTCCGAGCAACCTGTTCTTTGACAGTTGGTAAGTTGCTCGCCGGGGATTCTCTTTCATTTCTTTCATTATTCATTCAGTAAAACAAATAAACATCATACGAGATCGAGATTTTCACGAGAGAGAAAGAGAGAGAGAGAGAGAGAGAGAGAGAGAAGAATAAGAGAAAAGCAGTTAGTTAGGGAAGACAATTGCCTAGATGGGGAGTTTTTTTTCACAACGAATTCAGAGAGGGACAATACTTTGAGGCGCTACAATAGAATTTAGTCTAAGAATGCATATCATCGAGGGCGGCGGCCAACTTCTTGCCTCCGATCGGCGTCTCCTTCTTCTTGCTGGCGGCCCGTTCCAGCGACTTTCCGATGTTTCCCTTCTTGTTGTCCCCTTTGGCCTTGCGTCCTTCCCGTTCCCGATCCTCTCCTCCCCGCTTTCCCGTCTTCTTGTTCCCCTTCTTTCCGTTCGTCGCGCAGTCCTTCGTCGCCTCCTTCAACGCCTTCTTCTTCTCCTCCAACTCGCTCTTGTCCTCGTCACGATGGCATCTGGAATCATCTCTTGAAAAGTGATCAAAGAACGTGAGGAGCAATGTTCCCCTCACACTCAAGTGGATAGTAAAGCAACAAAAAAAGGAAACTAACACTCTCACGGCCGGGCAGCACTTTGCCAATCGAGCGCACTGGCTTTTGAGTCGGCGGGCCTCTTTGTTGCACGTCTGAAAGGGGAATGTTTGTGTAACTATGCGGTGATTGTTGTACGTCCACGTGTCAATGATCACCCGCTTCGCTACAAACTTTTCCCTGGTCTCTCTGATTATTACAGAAGGAAACCTTCATCTTTTTGGTCCCTAATCCCTGTGATGAATCTCCGTTTTTTAGTCCCACTGGACAGTGCTCACCTTCGAGGCCGCCTTCAGACTGTTCTTCTCCTTCTTGGACCTTCTCTTCTGCGGCTCAATCGTAGCCCTCTTCGCGTTTTTCTTCAGAATCGACTGGCATCTCTCGTTCTTTTTCTCGTTGAGTCCCGCCACTCCGTCGGCCCTCTTTCTGACGCAAGTCTCGATTTCGTCGGCCATCTGAATTGTTGACCGTTTTCCATCTGAAAGTGTCCGTTACCGTGTCGTGAATCGATCGGATCTCGAGGTGGATCTTCTTGGCCTCAGTGCACACTCCTTTCTTGCCATTCGTAGTCTGAAATGTTCAGGTAAAAATGAAAAAATCTCGATCCGTTTTGGTATGCATTCTCATTCTGTCATTCCGGAAGCCTCTCTGTTACCGCACCGCAAATCTGTATTGAGAGTGTAAGGAACCCAAAAGATTGAGAACAAGAAGAAGAAGAAGAAGAAGAAGAAGACGGGGGAAAACCTTTTTCATATGCCGCCGACATATCCTACGAACTGCTCTAGACCAGAGAAGTCTCATCGTCTGAAAGCCCCTCTACAGTATCCCCCCGAATGATCGGTAGGACCGTCGTACCTCGGTGTTATTCTCCAAAATGTGACATTCCTCAGCCTTCTGCTGCGCTTTGTGGATACAATCCGCATATTCGATGCACATCGGCGTCTGCAAGCGGAATTCTGATTGATTGATTGATTGATTGATTCGAGTTGATTGGACCCCACCCGACTGATGGAATATTCAAGAAGGAAGGGACCATCTGGTTAAAGCTCACCGCGGAAACGATGGTGCTATTGTCCGAATCGTCGGCGAAGGCCAGCGCGAAAAGCGCCGAAAAGTAGAGGAGCCGGTTCATTCGGACGGTTCGTTCGTACCTGAAATCGAGAAGTGAGAAGTGAGTGAGGGCGGGTGAGAATGACACAAAACGGACGGTCCGAACTGAGAGAGAGGAAGGTTGCGCACACCATTAAAATGGTCGATATGTAGCGGAGAGAGAAGGGCAGCTAGGCGTGATTTACGAGGGTGGGAACCGAGAGATGGCGTTTGAGTGCGGTAGAGCGCATCTTTTGTGAAGTATTCGGATATACCGGCTGAAATTCTTCCGGGGAATGTTGAATTTTAGGTCAAAAGCAGAGATGCTACTGGAAGCCTAGTTTTCCCTCCGAAAATGACCAGAACATAACAAAATCGCATAAAATCAATTCTCGAGGGACTCGAAAAATGGGAAAAAAACGGGCGTGACAGAGATTTGTGGGAGTGTCTGAACCATGGCTCCGCTGTATAGTAGAGCCTACATATTAGTGAAGAAAACGAAACAGAAAACGAAGAAAATGTAGGTCCTCCTCTCATTTCTAATTAACCGAGGGCCTTGGCTGACTGACGTGAAGCAAAAAAAAAAGAGAAAAAGAGCTCCGAGCATCTCATAAAAGAGCCCAAATGTGGAGGACGAATCTGTGCTCTCGGAGCGCATTCATTGCTGAATAGGATGAGAGTCGGCTCTAAACGGTCAAAGGGTAACGAAATGAGATTAGCTCTGGATGAAAAGGACCGAAAATTGGATCGGAAAGGGAAGAAGGAAGAAGGTTTGTGAGAGAAATGTTGCGAAAGTACGATCTGTGTGCATTCTACGTACTTAGAACGTCAATTTTCATGTTTACCATGGCCACGTTTCAGTTCGAACCTCAAGGAAGACCCTTCATTCAAAGCTCTGCATCTCAGCTGTCTGCATAGGTATCAAAAATTGATCAACTGACAAAAGTGTTCAAAAAGCATTTTATTAGTTGATAACTTTTCCCTATATTTACCGGCAGCTGAGATATATTTTTTTTGAATGAACGGTACTCTCATTCCAGGAAGAAAGATAACGATAACTTTAAAAAAGTCGACTCAACTTTCAATACACTAAAAATTGAAAGTGAAGCTACAGTAACCTGCTCTGACTCATCCCACTACTAGCAAGTCAACTAGAAAAACTCGCGTTTTTTCCAGAATAAAAAGTGAAGCGAGAGAATATCGAATGCTCGGCGCGGCTCGGGGGCACGCATCCCGTCATGCTCCATTAGCAATTCGGCTTCTAAATTGACTCGCCCCGTCGCATCAACACTTTCCATTCTTATTATTGATGCTCTTGCGCCGCAGCGACACACACTCGCACAATATTTATGGAGATGAGAAGTTAATCAACTTTGTCCCGCACTCGGCTATAAACGGAAATTGGCCGCGGAGGTAATTCCATTTTGACGCACTATTGGAGCATTCTGATGCTCATAGTCAGAGGCCAACAAGATGCGCTGAAAAAGAAGCGGAAAGTGGGTTTGGGAGGGGAAAAGCTCAAAAATCGTTCCCGTGGGCCTACTCAAGGCGAGAAGGAAGGGAAGAAGGATGATGGATGGATGTGGCAGGTGGAGGAGAGCACTCGACGAACAATGGAAGCGAATGGAACAGGGAGAACGGTTGGATGAATACATATATGCGATGGACAGAGCGAGGGAGATCGGACGGCGAGATAGGGAAATGAGTTATGGATTGTACACGGCAGTTTGTCTTGGTGACAGCTAGGATTCATGTATTTCATATTGAGAAGCTGGAGGTGCATGAGATCAGGAGCGAGACATTGCAAAGAACATGCCAGAATTATCAGCCTGACCACGGTGATTTCTCTTTGGGGTCTCGCGGGGGTTTCTAGTCCCTGATGCCGCGGCCATCGCTGTTCTACTAGGCCAAAACTGGTTTTTTAGATTTTTTCTCAAAAGTTGGTCCCGACCGGTTTACTTTTGGTACTAAAACATGGCCAAACGGCAGCCGGTCGTCCACGAAGGCTCTTGGCTGTTCTGAGACTTCAGATGCGTGCTGTCGGATGAATACTGATTCATTTCGCTTGATTTTTTGGGAATGAGCTCATTATGATGTAAACTAACAGAGAGACACAAAAAGCACGCACGAGCAACCATACTCCGACAGATCACGGGAAGGGGTCTGAATTTTCTCGTGCTGACTATGAGGAAAACACTACTGACGCTTTTTGGATCGCTACGCAGACAAATTGACAACAACCTGCACGTCTAACTGTAATAGAGACTCCGTGATAACTTACTAATTATGGTCTCAAGACGAACAACAATAAACGAGAAAAAGAACATCTCACGACTTTCTGGAGGATATTCGAAAAGACATGGAATTTTGCGAGAAGTCTTTCAAGGACACACTTACTAATAGCAAGAGCAGCAGCAGATTCATGTCAACTCGAGTCAAACTCAAACCGGCGCGCATTTCTCACATTTCACGCGCATTTCATATGCCGCTTTGCCCTCCACAAATCCTCAAAAGGGTGCCGCCCTTCTTCCAAAATGACACCAGTTGGGGGGTGACTTTGCGAGGGATTAGAAGCTCTTCTGAACTGAGTCACGAGTCACGAACCAGATGGATTAAAAGTCGAGTGCGTCTGGCAGTCATTATGGATGGCAAAGGTCCGCAGGGTCTGTTGTGGACCACTACTGGCAGTGAAGTTCGGTTTTTTCGAGAAAAAAAAGAGTCGAAAAGGGATGGGAAACACTCAGCGGGAATTCCATCGGAACGAGTGAATTATTGAGCAGGTTCCCCATCGCGCCTCAATTTGGAGCCCGAAGAGCTCTACAAGCAAAAAGTGGTCCCGGGGGGTGAGGGTGAAACTTTTCAAGGTCGGATTACTCTCTCTCTCTCTCTCTCTCCGGAAGAAGGGGAGTGGATTGACGAAAACGAAAACGCATGTGTTTCTTTCTTTGACTTTTGACTCCCACTCAAAGAGCGGAAAAGAAAAGAGAGCCGATTGATGAATTGGAGAGAAAAAGAGAGAAAGAAAGAAAGCAAGAGAGAGAGAGATACTTTGTGATCCCATTGACGCAATCCCAAGAGAGAGAGAGAGTGTCAATAGTTTTATGAACACTTATCATTGCACATATCACGTGTTGTCTCAAAGTCTTCGTGTCTGCAGATTCGCTCTACCGCAAAAAGCCGTAAAAGCCTTTTACTGGCTCAGTATCAGTTTTTACACTACAGAAAGCAACCAGAACTGGGAAGAGGGGCGTGGCCAGTGCAGAAATGCTTTTCGAGAAATATTCCCTAATTTCAATACTTTCTGTGTTCGAGCGTCGTGATACGTAAGACTCGGCCTGAAAAAAGGCGACTGAAAGGAACATTTGAAAGTGTTCGGCCGCGTAGTCTTTGGAACCCCGTGGTAGCCGCATTTTTAGGAGGAAAAGGTGTTTTCCTAGGAATTCTCGCTGTAACGAAGGAAAAGCCCGAAGAAGAAGGAACTCGGCCCAAGATATAAAACACATTGTTTTGAGGCGTCCGTCGATCGTTTCCGCGTCTGCGTCTTCTTCTCGCACCTTGCACTCGTTTATCACTTGTCGAGAATGTGAATTGCTCCACCTGGAAAAGCTGCCTCCCAAACATTTTTTAGGTTTCTGGTTCCGAGCATTGAACGGAAGGGGTCGAGAAATGAGCGGCGTTTGGCGAGGTGTTTTAGTTTTCGGCGACCAAACATTGGGTTGTTAGATAACAACATTTTTACACTATTCAAGTACGATTTAATTGAGAATTTTACGCAGAACAATCAAGTTTTGCTTAAAATTCAGAAAGCAACTGAAATAGCTATTTTTTGCAAGTTTGACAGTTTTTCTGATCGTTAGTTTTTTCTGTTCAATTCCTCCATCCATTCTTTCATTTCTCTTTCATCTTGGGTGGCAAAATCATTTCTTTCCCGCTTAAAAACAGCAAAAAGGCAGCTCAAACCAGCAGGTGGAAGAGAGAAACGCTCAGCTTCGGCCACGCATTTTCTAGGTCACTATCCAACTTTCATTTGTTCTTCCTTGAAAAAATACGCATCTTGCGACTGACAATCATGATTGTTTTCAGAAATGGGTAATTTGAAAGAGGATTTGAAAGCCGCAGCCGGTCTGCTCAAAACAGGTGACAACGAGAAGGTCATAGAGCTGTTAGAGGTTGAACGGCACAGATTGCTCGGAAAAAATGCGATTTTTGCAGGAATACACGGAAAATGAGAGCCCAGACTATCGGGCGCTCTGCTTTGTCGCTCTGGCCTACTCGAACACGGAAGACTTTGATAATAGCTATCGGTTGTACAGAACGGTACGCAAAGACTAAATTTTACAGAGAATGCTTGCTAGCTCAGTGTTTAGGCAGTGAAAATCGACGAGGTGAATCTGATGGCGTGGAAGGGACTCTTCAAACTGTTTGAGACGGAGTCACTAGCAAAACCGGATAATTTTTCGCTAAAAGTCTGCGAATTTATGTTCAAGAATGGGTAATTTCCTTTAAGAATCTTGTTTTTTTTTTAAATTTAACAATTAATTTATAGAGATGACAGAAAAGACGCGGCCGCACAAGCTCGAAGACGAATTCACGTGGAATTGAAGATGTGGGCGGAGATTCTCGAAAATTTCGACGAATTCCAATTCGGAACGGACTCCGGACTTCTGAAGCAGTTTATTGAGCTCCAGGAGCAAAAAGAGCTCGTTGAAAGAGCTTTCAGAGCATTAGAGCAACTCGGAATCTTTGAAAAAGATGGAAAAGTGATGTTGGCTTGGTGCAAACATGAAGGTACCATAGGTTCAGTGCTCAAACTCGTCAAGCAGCACTCTGAGCTCATTGACGACGATTTCGTGCAAAAGAAGCTTCTGAAGCACGTTTGTGAGGTGTACTTCGAGCAGGGAACGCTCCCGGACGTCGTGAGCCACGTGTCAAGTGCTCCGGAGCCGGTTCTCGCTGTTTTGAAGGCGCTCAGGTAGCTTAAAAAATTAACCCCGACTTCTCACTTTCAGAAATGTCTACTTTTACAGAGAAAACGACGTTCCGTCTGCTCTCGATGCTCTCGAATCGGCCGCCGACCGTCTCGCATTCCCACAGTCCCTTCTGTTCGTCGGATTGCTGGCCGAGACCGAAAACTGGAACTCCGTAGTCGAAATAATTCAGTCAATCCGTCCGTCTTTCGTATCGCCGTTTTGTGATGGCTGGCTGGCCAGATCTCTTTTGGAACTCGACCCAGACAATCAAGATAGACTAAAGTCGTTCAAAAACCTTCCTAATCCGGAATTCGCAGTGGAAAGGCTAAAACTAGCGTTGAAATTCGATTCAGAAGAAGTGGATCGCATTTTAAACGAATTTACCGACACTTCTAAACTCGGAATCGTGCTACGGCTCACTAAAGTGCTTTTCCACAAAAAGTCCATTCTCTCCGCACACGTTGAACTCGCAGACCGGCTCCTCAAGGATGGTAGTGCAAAAGATCTGGTGCTCGCCGCCGAAATTCGCATTTCCGCGGGTCTCGACGCGAATTCCCTCCTCGTAAAAGCGGCCAAATTGAACGTGCGGTGCAGTCGTGCGTTCTTCCTTCTCGGAAAGGCGATTTCAACAAAGAATCCGGCGAAGGCGAGGTCGCTGATCGAACGGGCGGTCAGTATTCGTCCCGAGTGCGAGGAGTACGTGCGTGTGCTCGATGAAGTGCTCCGAAAACAGAATGCGTCCATGGAGGACCGACTTGAAGTGTTGAAGACGTTCATAGCGAAGAGAAAAAGCAGACAGAAGCCGTTCTGGTTAGCGGACGCACTTTCCACGTAAGTTTTGCTTGATTTCTGTATAAATCGTCGCCTTTTCAGTATCCACATGTCGATGAACAACCTGAGCGAGGCGATCGACGAGCTGCAGCAGATGGTTCGTCTGTACAAGGATCACAAATCGGTGTGGGCCCGTCTGGCGGACGTCTACACCCGGAAAGGTCATCTTCGTGCCGCCGTCAGCTCGTACGCTCAATTGGCAGAGATGGACGGAGGGCATGAGTTCAGCATTTCAGTGCGTCTTTTGGTAGAAACTGTCGACTAAATGCTTCATTTCAGATGATCCGGGTGCTCCTGCAGCTTCGTGAATTCGAAGATGCCCTCCAGAAAATCACAGATTTCCGCCAGAAAGTGTCCGATCTCTCGCTGAAACTCTGCGCCGATTCCGTCACCGTTCTCGACTTCACCGAAGCCGAAATTCGTCTGAATCTTCACGAAACGACGTGCGGAGAAGCGAAAAAAGCGCATCTAAAAGAGGCGTTACGTCTTCTGACAAGATGCGTGGGAAAAGACGGAGAGTGCAAGTATGCCAGCGTCTTCAAGCTTCTCGGCGACGTTCTTCTGAATATCGGCCGTTATGCGAAAAGAATTCTGCCGTATTTCGAGGTGGAGAAGGCGTGGGAGGTGTTCGAACCGATTGACAGCATCTCCAAAGCGGCCTCGTTCTACATGACCGTACTCCGATCACGGGAACGCGACGCGCTCGCCTGGTACGATGTCTCCGTGGCTCTTCTCGCCAAATTCAAGCTGCAAAACGATTCCGAGCTCTTGTCGAAAGTGCAGAAAATGCTGGAGCACGCGCTGTCGCTCACCTCCATCGAATCGCTCCTCTCGTCTATCTGGACCCTCTTGTCCGAAACGCTGCGGCTCGCCGAGCATCCCGTCAGTCACCAGCTACACTGTCTCTCACGAGCTCTCCAACTGAACAAGGCCAACGACACGGCGTGGCTAAGACTGGCGGTGCTCTGTTTGGAGGTGGGACAGATGGAGTTGGCGTCGCGGGTCATCGATCAGACGATCAAGTACAATCCGTACAATGCGGACGCGTGGTGTGCGTGGGCGCAGCACGCTCATTTCTCGCAGGCCGCCCATGACGCTCAGGCGATGTTCCGGCAGGCTCTGTCCATCCGACCCACTCCCGCAGCAGTTATCGGTTATTCACAGTACCTTTGCCAGAGCCTCAAGGTACTTTGCACGTCATGAAAAAAGTCATTTTTCATTTTCAGAAGCAGAACAATCGCTTCGACTCGGCCACCGCCGCCCTGGACATTGAGCCAGTTCTCGACGTGAAAGACCTTTACTCGGCTGATGAGAACGTCCTTTACCATCTGGGTCTTCTGGCGGATCTCTTCGGATGTTACCCGCAGTGCCTCGAATGCTATCAATTGTGCCATCAGAAAGAACCGAAAGAGGAAATCGAACGAGCGCTGATCAAAGTGAACGTGCTACATCCGGACGGAGCGCCGCCGCTCTCTCCGACCGTGGCGCCGGCGAACAACCGAATTGCCGGAATGTTCTCTCTTTGCGCTTTCGACTTTTTGTCGTATTTGACAGCAGAAGTGGACATTTACAGAGAGTTGTTCGATTTGATTGAAACCGGCGACGCGGACATGTTCAAAAAGTTGTATACGAAAAAAGTGAAACTCATTTCGGTGCCACTCTTCATCTCTGGAATTATAACCAATCAAATGGTGGGTTCAGCAGAATTCAAATTAAAAAAAAAAACGAAATTTTGCAGAAGCTGCCGCTCGAGTTCGTCCGCACAATGCACGACGCACTCCCACGTCACGAGCTCATCGACTACTACCCGCCGGTTCTTCCCGACGGAATGGACAACGGACTGCGGCATCTGGAGCAGGATGGCGAGGAACCGTTCCGATATCGCCATCGGAGTGCTCACAATATGCTCGAGGAGCTGCGACGGCTCCGCCAGCTAGCGGACGAAGAACGGACTCAAAGTCAGCCGACGACGCCGGAGGACGAACAATTTCAGTTTTTGCAAATCTAGTTTTCAATGTTTTCTATGGGTTTTCTTGTGTTTTTCCGGTGATGTCTCCAATGCATTTGGTTTATTTTTTCTGCAATCGCGCTCTAAATAAAACCTTAAAAAATTTAGGTAAGCAGTCGAAGATTTTGATTAATCTTCCATTTTTCGCTGTAAATTTGAGGAAGAAAGGGTTCTTTTCAAAAATCCGTTTAAAAATTCAAATTTTTTTATTCCCGCGCACAACCCGCGCTCTGGCGTGATTAATCGCTATCTCTTCAGAATTCATTTTTCTCTTGTTATCTATTTTCCCACTTTTTGAATGAACAATTATTCGAAATAGGCAATAAACATTTCATTTTCAGACGCTGCTCAACAATCATCTGTTTCGATGCTCGAGTAAAGCGAATAAGTGAGTTGTTCAGTTGAAAATCTGATACGTCTCTAAATCGACCGAAAACGCATTTCGAGCACTCTAATGAAGCTGTCGTGTGATTCTCACGAAATATGATACTTTTCATTGGCTTTCCGATTCATTGTTACTCCTTTTTTCCGCCTTTTCCCTTGTTTCATCGCCTAGAAAAGCAATGTCTGGCCAGGTGAGAAATTGAAGTTTATTTCAAGGTCTAGGCTAAACCATTTAGCGCTCAAAAATCTTGAAATTCAGCATTTTGTGAGCAGATTTGTCGCATGCAAAAAGTTTTCGTGCTCGGCGAGCTCTCCGAATGTTTTGAAGGTCGGCAGTGTCGGGTTTCCAAAGGCATCATCAGCTGTTCGTTGTCTCTTTCACTTCCTTTCTTCCGAACGGATTCTTCCAATATTTTATGGGATTTCTGTCAGTTTATAGTAGCTTTGCAATTTTAGCTGACTTCTACTCATAAACGGTCCCTCCTCTAACGCTCGAAAGTGGCTTCGCCGCTTGTCAGATTCTCATAACTGCTAGAAAAATGGCACAGTGATCAGGTGTTCGTTGATTTCTGCTTCTTCTTCCTCCTCATCAATCCGATAAGATGATAATGTCACAAGATCTAACGAGCATTGATAAATTTGTGTGGACGCCCGACTCCAATAATTTGTTGGACACGAGAAAACTCGAGAGGACACAACAGCTGACAGATCCGGGGAAGAGCTCTGAACATTCTCTTCGTCAATTATAAATGTTTCTATTCTTGACTTTTCATAACCGACTTCATAAGACGAACAAATATTTAAACACACACAATTCTTCGGAAGCGACGAACTTTTTGAATAGAATGGGCAGCGGCTCCCGGAGCCCAGGTCAACGCCTTTCCCTCAATTTTTGACAAATGTTCTCAACAAATGTCGCCCCAACCTTCTTCCGCCTATACATTCCATTCTCTATCTTTTTTCTCTTTCTTCATCCTCTTCTCACCTGAATGTTGCAAAACGTGCCGGAAGGTGAAACTCGCCTCGTTTTTCTCACTTTTTCGGGCTCAGTCGTTTCCGTCAGTATGTACATGTGTTCTGCTCTCTGTTTGATGAGGCTCACGGCCCACAAAAAGGTGTTCGCAAACCCCGGGAAAACCCGTTTCTTCCGCTCAATGTGTGTGTGTATTCGGGAAGTGACCAATGGGTTTCGACGTTTTTTTTTCGGGAGGGTCGACGGGCTTCCGCACAATTGGAAATTGAGACGTTTTCCAAAGCCTGTTTCAGAGCTTGAAACTATGCAAAACTCTAGTTTCACTGTAATTTGCAGAATAATTCGTCAGTTCTTTAAGTTAACGACTTGATAACGCATTTTATCGCTAGGGAACGTGGCAGAGTTTTTTCTTCAAGCGTTGGTCGAATCAGCCCAAGTTTTCGCATTCGCATAAATCTTTTTAAATCTTTCTCGAATTCAAAAGCATTTGTTCTTTCAGTTTTCTCTTTTTCCGCGCGAAACGTCAAAACTGTGCCGGAAACGTTTTATGCGGTGGGCGCGCGGAAAACAATGCGGAATAAGAAACATCACACTTTTGCGGTGGCGGAAGAGCGGAGAAGCGGTTTTGAATTTCCGCGCGGAAATCGAAAATCCCAAATCGCCCGATGTTAAACAGACGAACATACATGGAAGCAGCTCGGCGAGCACCTTTTTTGTGTTGTGTTCCGTTGTTTGCCCGAATGAGGAAAGACGAGAAAAAACAAAGGAAACGCCTCGATCAGCTGACTTTTGATTTGGACCGTTCTCCCGTCCATTGCATAGTTATACAGGTGCTATTCCATGTACGGTATCCACTTTTCGAATAGAAAACAATACTCTGACCTCTCAATCCCGAGCTCCTTTTGAAGAACACCGCTTAACACGCATCAAAGGAGGTAAAAAATGACATTTAACGCTAAGCGCTTTTCTGATAAGGTTAGTTAACACTTTTCGAGCACGTGATGATGCTCTCTCCTTGTCGTTTTTGTCATTTTCCCGCCGGGCTTTTTGTGTGTAAGTTAGTTCTTTCTGCTGCAATGTTTTTTCAAAGTATCAGGATTACATACGTAGGTCACAAGTAGGTCATCAAATATTTGAGGGCAGTACATCCACTTTGAACTTGCCGGGAGTCCTCGTGTTTTTTTTTCGGAAGCCTGAAACCGTAATCCATCGAGGAGCCTGGACTCTTGGATTCTCAACTATCTGCTGAATCCAAAACTCGACACAGCCTTTAGTTTTGGCAACGAGTTTATTTTCTGAACGTTTCAGCTCTATTGGGATTTAGAGGGGCTGAAAACTGACGGAACACACTCCAAACCAAGATGATTGAGTCCTGCAAAGTTTAATCCTGAAAATGTTACTGGGTCCGTCTCAATCTCGTAAAGTCCAGATTTCCAAATCAACTAACCATGCTATTTACTTTTGCAAAAACTAACGCAAACATTTTTTGATAGTTATCAAAACCACATGTCCATCCGGCCCATCTCTTCCCTTTCAAATTGCCCTTCTCACCAGATTTCGCGCGAACTTTCCGATGAAATATTCAAGAAGACGCGCTTGCGTAGAGAATTGAAAATGGGAATGAAATTTGAATTTCAATAGGTGCTTCATCATCCGTTTTCCCAGAACTTTCGCCACTGCGCGTAGTAAAGTGAGAAGAACAAGAACTAGAACCTAATCTAATCAGTGGGAAAGGGGGAGAAGGGTGTTACCTTTGCGAGATATCACACACACACACGCGACTTCATTGTAGAAAAGGTGAAGATGAAGCAGAAGTCACCCTCCTCCACAATTACAATTTCCTCATTTTCCCCTTCCGCTGCTTCCTCTTACATGTGCCGTTTGCTTCAGTTTCCATTTTGTTTATACCGGTACCCTGCGGTGTCCGTCACCAGAGCGCAAAAATGTTTTCTTGCACTTTATTTAAACTTTTCCCACCACCAAAATGTTCTCGAGTCCAATGAGCCTTTCATTATTGACACTTTCCAAGTTTCAAGTGTTTTCGTTCAAATTTTCGAAACTTGCATGAGCTCTGAAGAGCCGGAATCCTGGCGGATAAGTGCAAACAAGCCGGCGGGCGGACTTGCAAGCACGCTTTTTGGCGAAAATGAGGAAGAGTAGGCGGGATTTTCCGGCGGATTTTCTCACATTTTTCAAGTTTCCTGTCGTCGCTAGAGGTGGGTCACTTTCGGAAACTTCCTCTTTCAAGGAATTTGGGCTCACATGGACATGCTTGCAGTTTATTTCAAATTAAACTTTCCGAAAGTTTCTGACCGCAAATCGAATATCTTGATGTTTTATCACATAATGCATTTGATAAAATGTACGGACCTAGCTACAATTTTACTTTTTATCGTCGGTCAATAACCTCCAAAGACTTCACCGAGTTGTTCAATTTGACAGTAACTCTAGAAAAAAGTACAAACTGTCTCGATATTTCTGAGACAATTAATTCTCGCTAGGGCCAAAGCTGAAGCATTCTCGAGATATCGAGGTCAGGAACATAATTGGAAGTAGAAGTAGAACCATTGAATTACCTTCACGCAAGTTTGTGTTTGTGCGAACAAGAAGATCATTAGATGAACACAGAACACGACCGGTTCTTTTTTCTCTCGTTTTTCTCTCAAAACGTTTGACACCTCAATACTCGCTGGGCGGCCTTGACTCGGCCGAGCGTTTGCCACGGAGAAAAACGGTGTAATAATGAATCGGCACACTTGCCTGATATTTATGGCCTATTTTTATCATTTGAAGCCCTCCGAGGCACAGCGCCGCCGGTCACTCTTGGTTTTTGGATTTCGTACTACGAGTCAGCAGAATAATTCATAATTCATAGGATGTGAATCAGAAGTCGTCGGAAGAAGTACTTTCTGTTCAACTTGATGCTAGTCTCCGAGCTACCGTAATCCTCGCTCCCAGATGTTCGGTTCTCCGTATACCGTCATGTATATTTGTTTTTGTTGTCTTGTCCATCTCCTCCCACTTTGCCTCCAAAAATATGCTATCTCTCTCTCTCTCTCTCTCTCTCTCTCTCTCTCTCTCTCTCTCTTTCTTAACAGAGAAAACAGAACGACGAGCAAGTATAGATGTGTTCGTTTTCGTATTTACCCATTCTGTTCTCACCCTAAGGGTCTTCATCGTCGCCTCTTTTTTATTTATTTGAGACTTTTTCGCAAGGGAAGAGCACGAAAAAAGCGAAAACGAAAAGAAATCTCTTCTTTTTCAGTCGCGAGCAGCTGAATTGCTCTCTCCTAAATCGCTGCTTATTATCTGCTCCGTGGCGCCGTCCCTGTTCTTTTCTCGAGGTTTCTTCACGCAGAATTTCGATTTCGCAAGTGTCCCCAGAATTTAGGGCCAGACTCTTCTTAAAACCTTCTTGAAGGGGTAGACCGCTCAATTTGACGGCATGATGTTTTTACATAAAGAATTGTGGAGAACAGTGAGCATTTTCTGGAATTTATGTCTGAAAATCACTCGCAGCCGGTAGAAGCTCCCAAGAGAGCTCCTACTTGCCTTAAAAGTGCTTTTCAGACATAAGTTCAAAAAATGCTTATTTTTCCGTCGAATTGAGCTTGATGCCCCTTCAACGGCTCTTTCTCACGTCTTCTGATAGTTTTTCAAGCCCCGAAAGAGCAATTTCAAAAGTGGCCCCCATAAGACGCCACATTTATACTCATCTTGCGTATGCGTGCAGAAATCACCACAAACAAGAACCAAAAAGACACATAAACCCGCATTTCAGTAGACACATTTCTCTAATCTCCCTCGCTGCGATGCCCTTTCTTGCTCTGCTCTCTTATGGGCACCAGCCGTTTGTTGTGCTGTTGTGTTGTTTTTTTTTCTTCGCACTCTTCCGCTTCTCTCATGTCTCTAGCAGGGACGCCGTCTGAAATGTGGGCACGGCGCCCAACGAGTCACAACATAATCCCCGGAACGAGAAAGCCAGCAGAGAAAGAGAGCAGATTTCGAGGCCCTTTCCGTTTTTGAAGGATCTCACATTTTTTGTTCCTTGATCGCTTGCCACACTCTCTTTTCAATTAGAAACGCATTCAAGCGCCCTTTTCAACTTTTCTCAGAGTTTGACTCTAGTTGAGCTGAGTTGAGCCACGAATTCTAGTTACCTAGCGAAGTACTTTGCGAGATGCAATATAGTGCATCATCTGATTCTATATGAGTTTTTGAAGCGAAAATTTACACGTGGAAATTTTTACTTTTCAACTTTTAGCATTGCCATCTGCATCGTCCTAAGTTTTTCCGATAGTAAGGTTTTACGTGATTTTCTACTTCTGACACTTTAAAAAATACTTGTAACTCACACGTCACAACCATAAAAAACAACAAAGAAAACGTTGTGACGTGGCAGCACCGCCACAAGTATCCACTTGAGGTTCACTTCAAGGTTCAGAGTATCCGAGTAGGCGAATTGGTTCCTAACAAACCGTTCTAATTCGCCCTATTTTGCCCTAGAAACATCTGACCTTTTCTCTCGTTGCGAGAGAACAGCCCCTTCCGCTTTTTTCTCTGTTCGTCATGTTTCCCCGCCAAAAATGTTGCATTTTTGCCGACAAGCAACAGCACAAGTAAAACCACGAAAGCAAAAAAAACGGCTAGCCTTGATGGATTGGCCAACAGAATGTGTCCCTCTTTCTCTCGCTTCCATCCAAAAGTGTCCATACAACACAACATAACAAAAAACTGCGTTCGGTCGTTTCTTGCTGTTGTTTTTCATCTTCTGAAAAAAGGGTCAAGACTTTTTTGCTTTGCGAAAGGAGACGCCCACGGTTGTGCAAATGTATCACTGTTTGCATTTGTCAACTGATCTGATCATGAAAGAAAGAAGCTACTGGTTTTCTGTGCAAAGTTTTGTTGAGCCCTGAGTACGATCGAGCTGCTTGTTTTCCATACTTTTCCAGTTTAGGATTGACATGCTCTTTAATTGTTTTTAATTCCTTAAATTCCTAGGCGCCCTACAGACTTTGGCATTCGAAAAAGTCATAAACCTGTCAATTCCATTCGAGAATAAATAGCTTGCGTTCCAAACTGATAAAGAAACGGGCACAGGTGATATCATCGTTTCCTCCCGCCACCACCGCACTCGAGAACTCTGATTAATTGCTTGCTCACCCCCCTCCATTCATTCCATTCCATTCTTTTTTCCGTCCGAAGTTTACACAGCTTGTCACTTTGATCTCAACGTTCGTCTTCAGAACATCAACCATCACAACAACAGCTTCTATTCTTCACACGAGAAGTTATAAAAATATATTCAAGACGCAAACACGAATAGCCAGCTTTTAGGAGACCGGTGAGTGAATCACACACACACACACACACACACACACACACAATCACGAACGTCACAAAAGACCAAACCGACAGAGACAATTAGTTGGCGGATGAGACACCCGCACAAGTACAAAAATGACCGTCCGCCAATGTTGCCGCCAAATTTGAACTGACGACTCTGTTCTGTTTTCACCTCACTATTTACTGATTGCGTGAAAACTTGAGAGAATGAGCAACTCTTTTTTTGCAAAACGTATCTGCATCTCTAATTCTATAGGCTCGAAAATTGTGCCACTTTCTTGGGTTCCAAAGTTGTTTCACAAACATTAGGATTCCTCAAATCATCCGAAAATCGAATGTTGTTTAGCACGAAAATATCCGAATAGCCCAGAACGTGAACCTCACTGATCTGTATTTGCATAAACCGCAAAAGGCGTGTCTTCTTCTTCTTCTCCTTCTTCCTCTTCCGATCATTGTCTACTTGAAACCCGCACTTCGCTCTTCTGACGGTGAAGTTGGCGTCGAACTGGTCATACAAATACACACATTTATACTTATATATGTACAATCTCATTCCGCCTCGTTTTTCTTCTTCCTCCTCTTTTTTCACTTCTTCTCGGCCGAAATTGTACAAAACACACTTATCGTGCGATTTTCGGAAAAGTAAGAGGTCAGAAAACGGATATGAAGAAGAAGATGCAATTGATGGATCGTCGCTTCGTGTTCGTAGTCATTTATCAGACATTTTGATGACAGTTGGTGTGAGTGTGTGTGTGTTGGCAGCCGTTTTTTGAATTGAATTCTTGGTCTTATCTTGTGGTTGAGCTGATAGATTTATGGCATTTGGAGCTGAGAATCTAGATTTTGACTCTTTTCGTGCGTTTCTGACATATTTCCTTTGATACTGGTAGTTACGACATTCCCACCAAAGTTTTGCATCAAAAATGGTTTGAACATTTTTAGTTCGAAAACTTCCGCTCTCTCTCTCTCTCTCTCTCTCTCGTTTGACCGTATCATCCGTCTCTAATCCTCTCGTTCCAACTGTTCTCTTATTTGCAAAAAGAGAAGAAGGGGTTTATCAAATTTGTGATTTATTCGGGACAGGTTTCTCCATCTCGATACTGACCCCGACTACTTTTGAACCGAAACCACCGTGCTGTTTGCGTCGTATCTTCTTCGTTTCGTTTTTGGTTTGGCTGTGGTTGGTTCGTACGTCGCCTTGACTTTTCTTTACTTTTTGGACAGTTTATACCACATTTTTGATAGAAGAGTAGTTTTTCGCATTCACGAGAGAAGCGTTTCAGTTACAGTACGCTTTTTGAACAAAAGATCCACCCCCGCAGCTAGATATCGAAACTATTTCTTTCTTCTCAATATTTACCATCATCCCATCATTCCGCACATATCTCTCTTTCTCCCCCACTTTTTCCGAGTTGACCATCATCAGTTACCGAAAATAAACTGATACTCTCCTCTCTCCCTCTCTCCCATTTTGCCTCCCGCCCGCAAAAAGCCCTTGGCGGCGTAGGAGGATCACTTCTCGCAATGGATAGATACTCGATGGCTGGCGGGAAGCTTGAAGTCCCCCTCGGGAGCCACAGCGACTTCATCATGAGGCCACGAAAGATCAGTTTTCGGAAGGGGACGGGCGCGCGCGCGAGCAAGCACACCGGGTGGTGATGGCGATGGACCGACTGTGTTTATTTTCACTTTCTAAACCCCCGTGGCGCTACCCGTTCCTCTCTCGTGGCTCCGCCCACTTTAGCCACATGTTGCTCGAAGTTGCTCTTTTTGAAATCATCGCCCGAGCAGGTGCCAAAGTGTCTGCCTTTTTCGCTTTCCTTCCAGCTTTTCAAGTCTCCTCTTGCAGATATTATTCTGAAAATGACCACACTGCTCACTGCCACTCTGCTCGTTTTGACGACGATGACGACGGCGGCAAGTGCGCTCCAATGCTACGACTGCTTCGGAACGGGGCCCGACCACAAAGAATGCACACAGGAACGGACGTGTCATGGAGTCGCCTGCATGATTTGTAAGTCGAGAACGTTTCTGTCGATGGAGTCAACGTTTACGAAAGTTTCAGTCGACGCCGGAGACAACAAAACGGCCAGCGCCTTCTGCCTTCTCGCCATGAAAGGTAATTCCCCTTAGTACACAATTTTACTGATTTTTATGTTATTTTAGGTCAAAAGATGGAGGAAGCCAAGGATGGATGCTGGCTGGAGCCAGATGGCAAGGGAAAGCACTGCATGTGCTTTTCGGATTTTTGCAACAAACTCGTTGATCGCAGAAATACCGATGAAGGTTCGTTTCGATGTAAATCAGAAAGTTAATGAAAATCCGAGAAAAAGCATTTCACTCTTAAATCAGTTTCATTGGAAACGAAATGGTTAAATCAGGCAGACATTAGATTGTTCATAACTCTTTTTCTCTCGAATGTAAAGTCTTGACGAGTTTTATGAAACGTATCGGACAACTTCTGGATTCGAACAAAAGAAAATTCGGTTTTCGAATCTAGAAATTGTTCGATATGTTTTGTAGGAATCCACTGAGATCTTCAGCTCAAACGTTGCAAAACATTTAACTTGGCCTCACATCGACCCGTTAGCAAATGCACCCGATGATTGCGAAAAACTCCACGCTGTTTCTCTCGATCCTCAAAATAATCCGTCGTCAAATTCCCAAGTTGCAACGTGCAAACGACTATTTATCAGTTCTCTGATTGCGCACTTTCTCTACGTTGCTCCGCGCGAGCCAATCCTTGTAACCACGGGCACAGCCACCCCGAGCAACAAAAAAACGGTTGCTCTTTTCTCTCTCTCTCTTGAAAATGACGCGAGAGCCGCGCACCGTTGCGGGCGGGGAACACATCGACCGATTGCGTCAGAGGCGTCTTCTTCTTCGTCTTCATTTGTAGTCCCTTTCGGCCGATAGACACTGATTAGTGGACATAGACACAAGAGTGAGGCGAGAGACAAATAAAGGCCGACGACGAGCCCCCGTCCGACAGACTGATTGGCGCTGGCTCCACGAGACACTCTGGTTATCGCAACATGGGGAAACTGGGGATGGTCTGAGTTGGAATGGCTTTGAAAGTTTGGAAATTTGGAGTTTAGATGAATCAGGACTTCTTAGGAATAGGTGCGGGATGTTTGAGCGCCGAAGCAAAATTCTGATTTTGAAAATGTTTCTCTCAAAAACTATTAGGAGCCAAATATCACAATGCTTAAAACGTGTAAAAATGTTTTGCAGTCGACCCAATGGCGCCACTCCTCCCAACCGCCGAGTTTCTGAAACAGAACCCACTGGTCGACTACGATGCACCGAACCTCGGGGACTACGTCGACGAGGGATCGCATCCGGCGCCGAAGCACGTGCTGTTCCCGTCGGCCGACAAACAGGACCCAAGAACGGCTGGAATGGAAGAAGATGAAGATGGTAAGCATTCGGGCGAAGCCTCCTCGGAGACTAAACTTCCGCCGCTCTTCAGATCTCGTCGAGAAGGATTTCAATGATTACGAAGCCGAGGAGAAACGCAGAGCGGAGACGATGGCGGAGACGAAGACGACGACGACTGCCGATGGAGTGGAGCTGCCGCACGACGCTGATTCGAATGTGGTGAAGGCTGACGACGTGGCGGAGCAAGACGGCGGCAGACGGACAGTCAGTAGAGTGCCCGAGGACAGAGTGAGTACATTGTCGATTCTATGAATTTCTGTTTCGATAATTTTCAATGTGATGATTTGCAGAAAGAGAACGAAGTGTCAGCGAGCTTCAAACCGCCATCCTGGGTGCTTTTCGTCTTCCCGATGGCCGCCTCGTGGGCCCGCTTCTGGAGTGCCTTCTAATCGGAACGCTCTGCCTCGTGTCCTAGTCAATCAATCACCTTCTGTGCGGGTCTCCTCTTCCCTTTGCTTCAATGCGATCTCTCTTTCCTGGAAAGTTCACCAACGCCCGCACGCTTTGTGTATTCTCAAATACGTTGTCCGGTAGTGCCCCCCTCTCGTCCAAAGTGTGTATAGAAGTGATCTCTGAAAACGTGTTTTTCATAAGAAAATTCTGGAAAACTGACAGAATTCGCCTGAAAACGCTATACACTTCGTCCTCGAATGTGCCCCCCGCCCCGTTAGAATTTCACCTAGTGCTCTCCCTCTCAAAAAAAGTTGCTCCAAAGCACATTCTCTGTACAAAATTTGCAAAAATTCTCGATTTTCCTATTGCCACAGCCATAATCTTCCCAATTTCCCATCCATTTTTTGCTAAAATTTCCACTATTAAATAGTAATAATGATGATGATTTTGGCCCACATTCCCCCCTCCAGTTTTTAACCGAATGTATTATTTCTATTATTCAATGTTCACTCTGTCTTTCCGTTCTTTTATTTTTCATTTTCGCTTCGTCTCATTTGTTAACCTGATTCACTTTTTGGACTGTCTCGGAAACCACCAGAAAGATTACTGTTTACGTTTCAAGCGCAATAAAATCTCGTTTACCGACCACATCTAGCTCAGTTTCGAGAAGAAGTGTTTGTGGACAAGGGACTCGTTATTCATGAAAGTTAGGGCGCGGGTTCTGTACGGTTCCAGATTTAATTGCTTTATCAATGTCTCCAAGGATTGCTTTCTGACTTCTTTGGAAACAATGACCCGTTTTCAAAGTGTCCGGACGTTTTGAAACCTTAACTTTTTGCAATTCAAAATTTGCATCATTTCAACCGTTTATTCAAAGTCAGCAGGAATGAAAATAGAAAACAAAACAGGCCGAAAATATGTTTAGTAAGGGAGAATGGAAGGATAGATAAAAGCGATAAAGTCGCAAAGACAGGCAATACAATTGAATGATCAGACTGATTGATTTCGGTTCGTCGCTCTCCACTTCATTGACTTTGCCGCAAATCTTCACACTCTTGCTCCGTCTTTCCTGCAACCTTTGTTACTTCATTTCTATTATTTGTGTTCTGCCTCTTACCTTCAGTATCGTTGTTTTGTCCGGCGGTAGTCGTCTTCTCGTCGTTCTCAGTAATCTCACTTTCTTCTACCACTTCGGCGATCTTTGTTGCAGACTTCATAGCGTACACTATTGGATCTTCAATGACCGCATAATCTTCCGATTGAGCAGTCTTTGAGAGATCGCGAAGTTTCCACGTAGAGTAGAGATTCGATGCATCAAAAGTTTGGAACAAGGGCTTTACAATATCAAGCAGATTGTCATCGTCCTGAATACTTATATTTGTATCTAACTGCAATTTTAACAAACGCGAGTTTTCTCCAGATTGCGGAGAACGACGAATAGTGCGTTGCAAACTTCTTGCACATTTCTTTGCATAATTCTAACAAAGATTCTGTCCGGAAATTCATTGGAAATCTCTTTCAGAGTGAAAAACGCGTCGTACAGAGTGTCATACGCTAAGAGCGTTTTTTGATAAAGAGCAGAAAGTTCCATCTGAACACACATTTGATTCAATTGTGTTCGTCTCCGGACTCACTTCGATCAACGGTTTGTCAAAGTCATTCAGTCTGGCACAGGTATGAAGGGCGTTCTCGAACTTTCCGAACTGAACCTTGGCCCGTGCAACCGACGTTCTCAGCAGTTTGATCCAATCCGCCCACTCTTCCTCTTTCATTTCAAACTGTTGCTGAAGACGGACACATTGCCAGAAAACACGCGATCTTTCACGAAGTTCTCTTAGACCTTCTTCTCGACGCCGATCCGATTCTTTCTGAAAAAAAATGTGAATAGTTTTCCTTTCTAAATCAACGGCAACTAACCTCCATTTCTTCCCTTTCCCTTCGCAATTTCTCAATCATTTCCTGATGTTCGTTCTCTTGCTCTTTCAGTTTCTCTCTGAACTCCTTCTCCATTCTCTCTCGGTTTGCCTCTCCCGTTTTTCCATTTCCTGCTCAAAAATCTCTCGTTCCTCTGCCTTTTTCTCAAAATACTTTTGAGTTTCGCTCAGATTGCTCGCGAGTTCCTCAATTAGTCTTCTGTGTAGTTCATCTTGCTCTTTCTCATCCTTTTTCATGCATTCACTCAACTTCTTCGAATACTCATCTTGTTCTTTCTCTGAAAACGATTATTTCAATCTCAGCTCTCTATTAATAAACTAACTCTGTTCTGCAGTTTGCTCGAACATATTCTTCACTCTTTTCTCACTTTCAGTAGTTCCAACGTTCAATTCAGCCAAGACGTTCGCCATTTGTTCCTCGTAAGTGGCACTTTTTGTCATTACCGGCTCTTCTTTCTGCTCAGCCCTCTCCAACATGGTAGACTTCACATGTTCCCCTGATGCTTCATCTGTATTGTTTGGCTGACAGAGTGAGTCCAAACTTCTCTCTGATTCTACGACGTCCACCACAACAATTTCGTTACCGGCTGAAGATTTCTCAACTTTCGGAGATTTCTTTGGGTACAACTCTTTCACTTTTAAATGTTCCTGTATCGCTGTTGTCACAGGCAAAATTTTAACTGAAAAAAGCGAATCATTTTCTATACAGAATCCGAATTGACTTACTGTTTTCCAACCAGAACGTTTTCTTCTTATCGAAATCCGAACTTTTTCTCACGACAATTTTTGTGTCCTCATTTTCGATGAAATCCAACATGACTGTGTTGGCTTTAAAGAACTTGAACATTGTCTGAAACGTGTCAATCTGATACTAGAAATTGAGAAACAAAACAGTGGTACCTCATTCTTTTTGATCTCGTCTACAAACGTTTTATAGGCAGATGAGCGCTGTGTCAATTTGAACAGGCATTTCCAGAAAACAACTTCGAGAACTGTCGTTATTTCCTGAGAATGAACAAACTTTTCGCTAGTAAACGCATCAATATCCAAACCGCGTTTGTAGGCTCATCTGATTGTTTTGTAGTGAGAGAGCACAGCTGGTCCACATACTTCGTTTGCTCCGTCAGGCTCTTCTCGTTCACAATAAGTTCCTGAACAATATTTCAACTAATGCTATCGGGTTTCTTTCACTCACAGGGTCTATGAACAAGGAGCACTGATCATCGAATTCCGGCATTTTCTGAGATTGACGGCTGAAGAAGTTTTTCATTTCTTCTTGTCTTCAGATGTTCGAATGTTTCTGGAAAGTGTTCGCATTCGCGAAAATGACTAATATCCGTTTAACGTACTTTAGTTTGGATTCAAACGCCTTCTGGTCGGCTTTGTTGACTTTTGAATCTGCAAAATGTAAAGTATTCAAGATGGACTGAAACCTGAAACTGACTCGTTCCGAACGACGGCACGGATCTCTGCGTGTCCTGAGTGTTCAACGGTGCACACGCCTTCTGCAATTGTTTCTCGAAATCGCGGACGAGTGGGTTTGGAGCAGTTGGTTTGGAGGATTCTTTCTCCGAATTCGACGGATTGCTCAAGGAAGAGCTAAAAATGCCCATGAACTGAAATATTTTGAAAGGAAAATGAACGGGATGCATTGAGAGGTAAACGAGGCAAATTGAAGCCGTTGAAGGAAAAGAAAGAAAGGAACTACACCGAAACATAATATTTTTTTAAACAAGAATTTCAGATTTCCGTAATAATGCACTGGGGTCTCAGTTTCTCCGGTTGCTCCACATGATTGTACTCGTCTGGATTCGCAGTTTTGCAGATTCTTCGTAACTGATTTGCAGTCGGAATGTCCCACGGATAAATGAGCTTTTCACAACTTTTGATGTTACCATATGAATTTTCGTCGCTCTGGAACTTATCAATTACAGTAATCGCACAAAGAGAGACTAACCTTAAATCGACGCAATGCGTCCAACAGATGACACAACTTGGTGGCCATCAAACTTACTTTTTTCTGAATCACTTTCAAGAAGAGTTTATCTTCGTACTCTTTTGAGAGTTCAGTGGCCTTTTCGAAGTGGTCCAACAAGCAATCATAGGCTATTTGAGCCAACCGATCGATTTGGAACATCTCCAACTGTAATTTGTTTGTGAAAGATAATAATAGTCTGATCCCGGGACTCACATTCATTTCCGCTTCTGTATTAGTCAAACAAAGGTTTCGGTAGGATCGATACCCGAATCGACCGAATTTGGTCTTCACTTTCAAAATCGGGTCCCGAACCGACTTCAGCCACTCCTCCCATTGCTGCTCCTGCTCCTCCCAAATCAGTTTTTGCGTAGTGCACATGAAGAAAAAACGGACTCTCTCATCGGAGTCTCTTTTGAACTTGTTCCACTGTTCTTCAGCATCTCGTTCGCTCCGCTCTCGTTCTTCTCGAATCTTCCGGATCTTCTCAGTGTATTCGTTCTCTTGCATTTCCAGTTTTCTCCGGAAACTTTCATCGAGTTTCTGTCGTCGTGCGTCCCAGTCGGATGAGAGTGTCGAAGCATTGCTCACCATTCTGAAGGAAACTTCTCCAGTTTAAGAAAATGAAAACTAATTGCTACAAGATACTACACGGACACGCAAACCAACCTGTGAACTTGAGGCGCTTCGCATTTGTTCGGCTCCGAGGATTTCAAAGTTGAAGCAGAGCGATCTTGACGATTTCCGTTGAATGATCCTCCGCTGACTGGAAGGTGATTCGGTCTCTCTTGCACTTGTTCTTCTTGTACAATCTGAGACGGTCCACTTTGGCAAGGTGCTGAACGGTGGGAAAGTGGGCAGGGAGACACGGTCGCTATCGCAGTTGGTTGCGTTGTCTCAAATCGAAATTTGTCAGACATTGAAGTGTAAACCAAAGTATTACAATGCTTTTTTGATTACTTTTGCTCCGAGTTATCGTCTTCCCTCTTTTCTGGGCACAAGGAAAACACAGCTGAAGTATCAAACTGTCAAAGTTGAAACCTCACCTACGCTCAGATTCCCATTCTCGAAACTCACAAACAACTTCATATCGTCGTCCTTTCTATCTAACCGGATGTCTTTAAACTGTAAATGAAACATAATGGCAATCCTGATAAAACACATCAGACGACTTACACTTTTGTACTCCAAGTTATCCGCCTCAATACACATATACATAACTTTTTGATTCCGTGCCCACAGTATTATTGTATCGAGTATTTGCTCATGGTCTATGTAGAATTTAGGCCAATCCTTAACATGTTTTCTTCAACCTAAAATGTGGATAATGATTGTTTTGGCTTACATTGTTCCGAGAAGCATAGATCAGAGCAGACTGGAACCTTTGTTCGTACTGAATCGAATTGTATGAACTGATAATTGTTTATGAAGCGCTGTACTCACCGACCCTTCCGGAACAATTATACTTTCTGGATTATAAAACAAGCGGAGAAAGTTTTGGCAGATGAAGAAACAGATGATATCATAGGGCAGCTCGATTTTACTTTTGTTATGGGGAAGTGTTACCTGGCTCAGTCTCTGTGCCACTTCTTCAAGCACTTCCCGGTTTTCCTGATAGAATTGGAACGCGCTTTTCTGAACTTTAACTCATAGAAAACACGATATCACCCGAAACACTTACATTCTGTACAGCTCGCACAAGTCCATTCTGAAACTGGTCAGTTATGCGAAGCACACTCATTGAAGGTGCGACGAGGGAAATTGTGAAATGGTGAAACTATCTGATAGCAATTTCTCACTGTTAATGTACGCAAACGGGGAAACGCGAATGAAATGGTAAACAAGATTGCTCATCGCTATTTGAAACAAGAAGAGGAAGGAGAGAAACAGAGATGTTTGGAGGGCGTTGAACAAGTGGAAAACCTTTTTTATTCGAGACAGGGGTCGGAATGTGAGTTTAGGTACTCGAACTACACAACATCAGATTTATGAGGTGATAGAAGACTCGTCGAATTCCGGAAAAAGAACATCTCAACTCATTCTTGTTCGTTCCGAAACCCGTCATTCTTCCGAATTCGGCTCGCAAATCATGACAGGTTTCGTTTTTCGTTGGGATTGACGGATTTGTGTGGGATTGACGGACGCGACCAACTGGATTCAGATGAGGAATCGAATCTGGAAAACGACAGGATTGATGAGTGACATTGTGCTTGGAAACGTCATACTTCTTACTTTCTCCAGGTCTATGGAAACAATGTCACCAACAATTGCTACTTTTGAAACGGGCGGTATCATTGCACCAGTCGTTCGAATTGGTGGCGGCTGTGCTTCGATTGGTACACAAGTTTGACCATTGTCTTCAGGTTGAGAGGCAACGATTCCATTGAGTCTGCTGAGGATTCTACTGTTTTTTATCGTCAAAAACCAAGTGACATACCCTAATCAAATCCCTTGCAACACTTCAGTTTTATCCGAAAACGTTAGGTTCGGTGGGAATGACACTTCTTAAAACTAGCCGAGAGGTGAAAGATTAGAATGAAAATGCATTGATAACAAAATTGCGAAAACGCCGTAGATGAAATGGGTCATAAACAATCAACAAGTTTTGCTCGAGTAGAACTCAGGTTGTACTCATTTCGATGATTCTGTTGTCGTCGATGAGAATACCGTCTTCCGAATCCCTACAAGTCAGTTCAGTAAAACCATCAAAATGGTCACATTGTACCTCTGATAACTTTCCGATATTCTGACACAATCACCATAAACGCGATGCTATCGAACGAGGGATACATATTCAGTAAGGCATAGATCACGCCTGTCTGAAGACTCATCTCGATGTCGAGCAACGGTCCCAAGAGTACTGGAACCGCTGGCAAAACAAACAGAACTGTGGGTACGAGTGCCTGGACAATCAGCGCACGGAACACTTGTCTCTGGAGTCTCAGATGAGGGACCGAGAACTTCCTCAGCTCTTTGTTCATCTCGTTTCTCATTTTGAGAACGCAATATATTATGATAACGTACTGTAGGCCTAGGATTAGAATGCCGTTGATCAGAAAAAAGAGATTGTGCCAGCGGACGGAACCGTCAGCGTTCTGAAAACAAACGACATGTGGGGTTTAGAAGAGAATACTAACGTAGGGAATTACTATGAATCGGGCCACATCTCCCATTGAAAAACCGTAGATCTTGAGTATTTCTTCCCTGAGAAATGAAATGATTTCTTCGTAAATACAAACTTTTACCTCATATAATCATCAGTGAACTCATCAGGATGTGCTAAAATCAGCGGTACCCCGAAAGCTGTCCCGACTAAACATGGATAAGCTATCCACCCTATGCATCCGATTCCATCAAACATGTGTCTCCATTTCGAGCTAGTCAAGCTCAAATATCGGAAAACAAATTGAACGGCAATCAGAGACAGAATGACGCCGTAGAATCCTGCGTAGACGACAATGGCACACTGGACGAACTGTCGAGAGGCCCACGAATTGAGACTGAAGAACATGAACGCCTTGTTGTAGTTGTGCACGAACGGCCGAGAAACCAACTCCATTGCAGAGAACAGAATACCGAATAGTCCGAATGTCACGACCATCTGCTTGTAGGTGCCGGCTATTTGACGGATGTGAAATACTGTGAGATAGAGAAAGAAGATGTTTGTGATGAAAGTGCCACAGAAGCCGAATTTGGTGAAGGCGTCGGAGAGCTCGAAAAAACGGAGCATTTCTTCAGTCACAATCGGAAGAGAATGGTATGGAGCGTTATGAAAGACTCGTTAGTAGCTCTCTCGAGAGTAAGGACTTAATTAGGCAAGTGGGGAGTTGAATATTGTGATGGCATTATAAAGTAACTATACTCGGGGCATACCGAGAAAGAGGGAAATACGTACATGTGTGAAATGCGGAGAGAGCATATGCTTCAAAAATGCCTCAAAATGTCATATTCGTGCATATAGGATCGATTTGTAAGTTTTGATCATAATTAACACATTCACTATGACAATGAATAAGATGAATCACTATTTCCCCGGCGGCACGCATCTGAAGTTTTGGCGCATAGAACAAGGCTTGGATTGTTTTAGTAGCAGTAAATGATCAATTCGCTGCAGCATATCGCTGTCCTCAAATTCTTTTATGTTCCGAACACATTCGACAATCCACCTCCCCGCAATCATGAGAATTATACTGTTCTCGGACTACAGGAAATTGAGCTAGATGAGGTAGTGTCGGCACTTTTTTGTAACATTTATTGCGATTAAAGAAAATGCTCAATACTGAGGAATAAGTCTACACGTATAAGGTTTCACAGTGAGCACTCCACCCCAAACAGGCTCAAGATCAATTTCCGAAGTCGGTACAAACTCGTACTTTTGCAGCAAAGCAGTGAAAATCAAGAACAATTCCATGCGTGCGAGACCCTCGCCGACACAATTCCTCTTGCCAACAGAGAACGGAATCGTTTTCTCAAGTACCGCCTGTAAATCGATGTCATATTTTCGAATATTTCATACAATTCTCACTTTGTTGAAGGTTTTTCCATCGGCGTTCAGGTACCTGTCCGGGTGGAAACTCAAAGATGAATCGAACGCTTTGTCATTGCGCATGATTGACCAAATTTGGGGATAGATGTTAGTGTCAGCGGGGATTTTCTGACCCAGAATCGTAGTTTCTTCTTTGCCTGAAGCATTTACGTGTGGATTTACGTGTGTGTACCTCATAGATCACTTACAAATGTGCGAAGCCAGCATTGGAATCATGTTGGAATGCCGTTGAACTTCATGAATGACCGCCTGCGTGAAGGGCATGTTAGCCTTGTCAGCCATCGAGGGAAGTCTCGCTGTGCCAATATTATCCATGATCTCCTTCCGAACTTTCGCTTGTAGTTCCGGGTACTTCATCATGTAGGCAATGTGCCAGCGGAGCGAGTTTGACGTGGTTTCCATTCCCGCCAGCCAGAAGTCCAACACGCAAGCCACCAGATTTTTCATGCTGAAATGTGCTTTGTGAACTGAATAAAACGAGTTTAGTATCGTACTTCAATCCGGACATTTCCGACTTTTTCGTCTGTTGCAGGTAAGCGTGCACAAAGTTCTCGGGCTCTGCGTCCTCATCGTACACCTTCATCTGAGCATCGACCTCTTCTTCGATAAAGTCGAGATACTGTAAACAATGCATCTTGGAAATAAGAACAACAATCGAGCACTCACTTCTGAAATGTTTCTCTTCAAGCTATGATATCCGATTTCGCCGATAACTGGCAGATACTTCATCCACGGAAATGCGGCTATCAGCAGAGCGCATCGGCCCTGTCCCGCTTTAAGATGTTTGTCGACAACTCTCACAAAGTTCTGAAACTTCTCCATCGCCGTATAATTGTAGTGGAATCCGAAAAGCGATTCGTTGATCACATTGCCAACGCATAACTGAATAGGCCAGAAAAGGTCCACGTCCTTCTGTTGATCCAAAGTTTTGAGTTGAGTCAGCAGTTCCTGAACGGATCGGAGCACTTGCTCTTCCATCAGATTGCGACCAAGACCAAAGTCACGAAGGATCTTCAGTGACGTTCTTCTTTGCATCTTCCACTCGTCTCCGTCGGAGAACAAAACGCCCGTGTTCTCGTGTTTCTGCAAAAGAGTCTCTGGTGGACGATGCGAGCGGTAGATGAAAGTGTCAGCTGGAAGAGGAAAGCATTGAAAAATGATCTGAAGTATCACAGTACCTTGAGTGACCATCGCGTTTTTCACGTGCTCATAATCGGTGAGCACCACATTCGGAAGTGGCGACCAGATTGTGTAGCAAGGTCCGTAGGTCTTCGAAAGTTCATCGAACCACTGATGGATATTACTTGACGGAAATTGAAGAAGATTCCCGAAAACTGGCAACGGAAGTGGTCCTTTCGGATATTTCCTGACTTTCCAATAGAAATGCGCCACGTAAATGGCGAAAAACGACAGAAACCCGATAATCAAGACTGACATGGTTTCCAATTTGTTTCGCTCATCTCTAAAGTATTTATACGTATGAAATCAATCACGAAAGTCACATTAACTACTCGTAGGAGGTAGGAATTGTGACTATCGACCGAGAAGGGCGCTGGCGAAAAAGAGAGTATAGTCTGAGGAGAGAGAATGAGAACAAATAATGAATGATGTGGGGAGAGAGTAACTGTTGACACTTTGCAGATAACTGATTTGTGACCAATTTCTTGTCAAATTTGAGAACCTGTTCCAATCGGCGCACATTCTGTGTTACTAGAGGAAAGGTCAACTAATGTCTAATTAGCTCTAAATGATGACAAAACTGTCTGTCTGAAAATCGGTAGCAGACCACGCATTCCCCAATACAACATCAATGATAACCCCATCAGAAGGGAGAAATAACAAGGAGACGCATAGAAGTGCCGCAGAAGACCATGACCACATACTGGATTATCTGAACACTTGTTTATTTAGACATTCAAACCTTCAAGCCTACCAGGATAGAAATGGTCCCTAATAGAAATATCACACTGCTCCAACGAATATTGCTCTCGCCAGCTGAGTTACTCTCTTCTCCTCTGTAACCAAACCAAATCACAAATTATCATCGATCTGTTACGTTCTCAGTTGCCCGCTTATAAAAAGGGGTAGTGGGTCCAATACAAGAAAACACAAGAAACAACGCGAGAGATTATCAAACAAAGGTTTATTGCTTGAGGAGCAACGAAAGAAACGAATCAACAAAGAAAAGTACAGAAAGAACACCAAAAAGAGTGTCTCTCACAAGCAAACGTAAAAAACAGAACTAACCAAAACCAGATCTAAAAACCCAGTCTTCAAAAATGCCACGCAGCGCAAAGTTCACGCGTGTCCCATAGAGCGTCTTTGCACCCGTTTGTGCGACTTCCTGGAAAGGGTTTGAGGGAACTGCCTTTGGCAACTTCTCACCTAGACAACAATTACGAATTGAGCTGAATCCTATATTTTCTTTTCGGTACACGAGAACAGGAGGCCAAGTGCTGCGAACAGGATGATCATGTGCTCGTCTGAGTATGTTGGCTGGTCAGGTAGATCAGAAGGAGATTCGTGAAGATCGCAGAGAGGAGGCTACCTCGAATCAGAACTGTCCCGTTCATTTGGTTATTCAAACTCCGCCACGTGGATCATTGTCTGTGGCGGGGGACATGTTTTGTTCGACACGCTGAAAGTGATGCGCGTGTAATCAATGAACGGAAATGGGTTGGTTGGGAGCGATAAGCATACACACCCCACTGAGCATCCCCTTGTCTTCCTTCAGTTCGCCATGCCGCTCATTCTCGACGTTTCCCGTAACATTGCCGAGATTGGATTTCTGACCGCCATGCTCGGCAACAGTGTTCTAATCTATTTGACTGGATGGATGACTAAACAAATCCGGGGCACCTACAAGTACATGATTATCATTTTCGCCGGCTTCGGCCTGGCGTTTTCGCTGGTAGAAATGCTTGCCCGACCGTTTGTGCACAGCTATAACGGAGCATTTGTGTACTTCAGTCTGGCCAAAGAAATATCCGGGATGATTAACATTGTCACGTTTCTACTTGCTCTCTACGCAGGCCTCTACGCCACTTTGATTTCATTTGTTGCTGTACAGTTTATGTATCGGTACTGGGTGCTCATCAAGTAAGTTTTTGGCCAGGCAAACGGGGTTAGTACCTACTCGGGTAATTAAATTTCCGATTGGATAATCCAATCAAACTGAACATAATAAAAGAATTTATGAATGCTCCGTTTCAGCCAAGACCTTCTGATGGTTTTATTCGCAGGCTGGAGAGTTCTGATATGGGTCGTTTATGCACTGATCTTTGGTGCTCTGTGGGTCTTTCTCTGCTTCTTTTGTGGAAGATTTGACACGTATTCAATGGTTTATATCAGGTAGATCAAGTAGGAAATATTGCATTTTCAAATGTTCGTTTGAGAGATGAAATGATGAGTGTGTACGACATGAACATCACTGAAATCGCTGGAGTTGTGATTGTTGCTTATGTGAGTGAATATTTTCCTTAAAAAACAGAAAACATATTTTGAAACGTTCAGGAGCCCGATCCTGTCGATAAATCGAATGTTCACCTCCGCAAGAGTAGTGCCTTTTTCTGGTGTGGCACTATTTTCATTCTTGTAATAAGGCCTGTCACATAGCATTTTCATAGGTTCCCGTTTCCAGTTCTTCCAATACATAATCGTAGTGTTCTGCGGCACCTCCATGCATTTCTCTATGGCCGAGAAACTCAAAAACTTTTCGCTCGTCCATCAACGCCTTCAAAAGCAGTTCTTCAAAACGCTCATCTGCCAGATAAGCGTGCCAACAGTCCTCTTCCACATGCCCATCGTTCCGGTGCTCACTGCTCCGTTTCTGAATTTGGAAATCAGTTTCCAATCGGGAATCATCTACAGTCTGTTCAGTTTGTATCCGCCAATCGACAGTTTCATTCTAATGTACATCGTGTCGGATTATCGGAATGCTCTAAGCAGTAGGTTTGTAATTTGAACAAATGGGACACATTCTGATTTTAGAATTGGCCAGTAGAAACAGGCAGGTGTACACTGGAAGTGCAATTATGACAAGTCAAGTCGGCATTCAAATGTCTTGAGTGTCTTTTTTTGCCGCGATGATCTTTCTATTTTCTTATATGCCCAGTGGGTTATTCGAGTTGTTCCGTGAAAATGTCCTTCCGTCTTCCGTTAGCCCTTTTTTCACGGAACAACTCGAATAACAGTATGAACAGTAAAATTTACAATTCGTTTTTTGTGATCAGAGTTCACTTTGCTATACATTTCGTCAGTTGATCGCATTCCATGAAAAAATTTTCTAAAAAAATATAAAAATTCTTCCGTGTTTTTCCGTTGAGTTCTTCCGCTCAACTCGGATGCCCACATTCCCTGCCCCTGTACCAGATGGTCCCGATGAAACGCAGCGAGCACAGTGCGGTCTTCTCATTCTCCGTTCGTCATCGCCTGTCCTCGCGGCACACCATCGATTTCGCTCAATGCCACGTTTTCTGAGAATCTGAATAAGATTACGAGCCTCTCGTGGAGTGCGCCATCTTCTCGGAACCTCTCATATCTGATAGTGAGTCCCTCGAAGTGAAACGGGTCTTTGTGGCTCTTGTGCTGTGTCTACTTTTTATGTACGCATTTCACCGAAAATGGATGAAAAAGTATCTGCAAGTTCCGGCGCCATCATATACAGGGTGGTCCACCGTTACCCGTACAAAAGTTTCACGCGGCGCGCGCAGGTACTGACGCAATTCTGGTGTGGACCTAATTCAAAATTTTGTATATTATCATGTTCTTAACTATTTGGCCGAGTCTCAGACCAAACGGATTTGTTTCAGCCGAATAGCACCGATTAGTCTGCACCCCGTTCCCATTGTACGCTTTTTCACTGAGGGGTGAGCAGACAAACCATCATGAAATGTGATGTGGAAATGAGTCCAATATCCGTGTAAATCACTCTAAAATGCAAGCTGAGTCCGTGCCATGATTTCTTGTCCCATCAGCTGAACATGCCAATCTCAACGCGTTTTCATCGATCATGATGACAAAATCAGAAAAGTACGTTATGTAGATGAGACGTCAACAAAGAAACGTTTTCTTCGGTCTCACAAATACTTTGGAGAACAACATTGGGTGTTAGATTAGGATAATACGCCTGCTCACACGGCCAAGATCATTTAGCAGTGGTTCCAGGCCAATTTGGCAGCGTTCATCAAGAAGGAAGAATGGTCCGATTTCTCGCCGGACCATTTTTTGTTGGACTATTCGTTGTTGGGGTCTTACAGGCCAATATGAAGGCTAAACCCCAGACAAGTAGGGGAGTGAGAAAAAAATTCCTTGCCAGGTAGGGGGTCAATTTGTTCACGGACTTCCCGCGTGCCGCGGCAAACGGTTACTTCGGAAGTCTTCGGGCTGTCATTGTTAGGAAAGGAGGTCGGGTGCAACACTATTAGCTTATAAATATTGTCAAACATCTTAGTAAACGTTTTGTTAAGTCTCATGTCTTTCTGACTTCTAGTTTTGGAATTACACAACTTTCATTTTGTACGGGTAACGGTGGACCACCCTGTATGTTGGCACGTTCATCGAGACATTTGAAAACTTCAGTGTAAGTTGATGTTGACAAAATTACAATTTTTATCTAACTTTACATTTTCAGCTCGTCGTGATCCTCGTCCATGCCTCCGCTGTCACATTCTTGATTTCTTGCCTGTACAAAGCGGTTCAAAACAAAAAATACTGTATAGGAGTCGTCTTCTCCTGCTCCGCCTGTCTTCTCACTCTCATCTTCAACTCCATCCACGACTACTACTGTTGCTGGTTGTTACCCGAATTCAATCACTTATGGTACTTCAGATGGTGCTTCACTGATTGACGTAAGTGAGTTTCGTGTAACATTCCTCACGCCAATCCTTTTCATCGTTTCAGTTACGCGACGGACGGCACCGAATCCTCGATGACCGTAACGTGTTCGGCTATCGACGGCTACAACACTTATATGATATTCAACGGAGGTCCAGCGAGAACCAGGACTTGCCTCAGTCGATTTCCATTCAATTGACGTGTCTCTGGATGTTGGGGTCTGGCAGTACACGGTCGTCATCAATGGAATAACCTGTACTCGAGACGTCACTTCGATCACTTGTCAGCAAGCTCCGAACATGTGAATGGAATAGTGGTAATCACGAGAATCATAAGATTGTTAATGTCAAAATACCGGAGATCTTTGAATTGTTATTGATCGTGTTCGTCAAGGTAATGCAAACGAATTACTGCCTTATCAATTGAAATCTATTCATCAAGAATTCAAGAATACTACTGCCTGCGGAGTATGAAATCCTCCGAAATGTGCAATCAGGTTTGCTGCTCTCACTTTTTGGTATTCTCTTCAACTGGACAATGTAGTTGTGAATTGTGATTTCCGAAGTCGTATTAGATTCCGCTTTGGTAATTCTATTGGATAGCAAAGCAATGTCTAGCTGCTTCTTACGCATATTTTCGCGGGCCCGCCCAGTCAGCTTGTTGCTGCAAACCTCAACAAGTTTCCTCAAAAAGTCAACCCTCCGCTGTGTCAGACTTGCCCATTTTTTCAATCCCAAGTGACACTTGTCGCCCGAACTCTCCGTGCACTTCTTCATTTTCAACAAAATGTGTGTGTGTGACTCAAAAAAGGGTCCCGAGGAGAGTCATTTGGCCGAGTGCCAACAACTGCTTTCTCTCTAAATACACAACATTTATGTCTCTGTTTTTGGGAGCGGAAAGTGAGAGAGAGAGAGAGAGGACCACAAGTCCTTCTTCTTCTTCTTCTTCTTCTTCTTCCTCCTTTTTTCATTTCACTCCTCAAATTTCCTTCTGCTCCGTCTGTCTCCAGTTTATTTTAGGTCCACTTCTGGCTGCTGCACTTTTAATGTTTGTTCCTTCTACACTTTTTCGAAAGATCCGGTGGGGTACTGTAGCTTTGAAGCTCTCTGGAGCCAAGCAGTTATTCTATTCACATTCACTCTCCCATTCATTCAAAACCAGCAAGAAAAGAAGAAGACGTTTTCGCCTCCTTCCAATTCGCATCGGCGGCTCCTTTTCCCCTCTTTTTCTTCTTTTTCATCCTCATCTACTTAGGGCCCAGCACCCCCATTAATTTATTTTTTCATGTGAAAGGGTCTGTGTGTGTGTGGTTCTATGATGGCCAAACCAAGAAAAGCATCGCACGCGCTTTCGCTTCTTTTCCCCTATTTGGAAGCATTTCGGGCTTCTGCTCGGGGGAATGTGCACTTTTTGAGTGAGGTTTTTTGCAAGCGAGGTAATCTGGAATGGAAGTTTTATGGGTTCCAAAGGAAAACGAGATGGAGAGCTCACATTTCGATCATTTGCAGTCTAGGTGTCATTTCCGATGTCTGATGCCCGATAACTGACAGCTTCTCGCAGCGTCTTAAACTCTAGAAGTTCAAAAAAACACTGAGTGAAAGTGAGATTGCGATAGAGCTCCAGCGTTTATTTTTGGTAAAAACATGTTTGTAAGTGACCGGTCCTGAACATTTACAGCCTCGAAGCTCACAGAAAACACAAAACCGCTTGGATGTGCTCTCCGGCAGCATTTATTTCGAAAACCCTCAATTTTCGCAGTGGGGGACTGCCGGAGGAAGGGTAATATGACCGCTTGCACACATGTGACTTCTTCTCCTTCTTCCTCTTCTTCTTCTTCTTCTTCTTCGTGTTGCGCCACACCCAGTACAAATGTTTCACTTCCTTCACTTCCGGAGCCAACAATTGTGCGCTCCATCGAAAATTGCTTTGTGATGTGGAACTTGACTTCTGAAATTGGATACGCTCTCCACGTCATCTGTTCTTTTTTCTGTCCATCTCGGGTTACAGAAAAAGTTGATTAGATGCTCCAGGAATAATCTAAACACGCTCTACAGCACAAGCCGCAGTCGCTCTTCCATTTCAACCGAATTCTAGGCCACGAAACCCCGTGAAATTCAAAATGCGTGGAAGACGGCAATACTTCGAACGTTTGTCCGGTGGATTTCAATTTTTGGTGTTTTTCGAAGCTAGTACACAAAAAGTCTCAAAAAACAGAGTTTGTACAGTTTTTCTCATCCAAATTTTGTCTAGTCTTCACACAATTCTCAACAAAACCAGACTCATCGATGAAATTGAAATGTTCAAACGTGTTCAGTTCGGCGGTGGTTCACGGGATTCTCAATGGAGCGCACTTCCTCGCTGACCCCTCCCATTTCCTGTCACCATCTTCTCGGCGCTTCTTGCTCATCGCTCCCACCATTTCCGTTCGCTCCACTCTGTTTCTCTTCCACTCTTTCTCTCGCTTTCATCCCTCAAAAATGTTCGAAAAAGAGGCGTGTCTTCCGGGTGCCTCCTCCGTCTTTTTCTTCTTCTTCTTCTTCTTCTTCTTGTTGCTCCCGGAGCCCCCAAACACACCACTTGCTGCTTGGCATTTCGAGCCAAACAAACGTCTCAGACCACACGTGTGCTCCGCGAGCCATCAGCTGTTATATTTTGAAAATCATTGATTTCCAGAAAAGAAAAATGACCTCCTCGTACAAACGAACGATTCTGATCACGGGCGCGACGGACGGAATCGGCAAGCAGACGGCGTTGGACCTGGCCGCCCATCCCGATAATTTTGTGATCATTCACGGAAGGACCGAGGAGAAGTGTGTTGTAAGTTGGCCCCCACAAAAGCTGAGTCATGCCCATGTTTGCCGGGTGCCCAGTGTCCAAAACAAGGATGTTCTCTCATGAATATTCATGCGGTCCCTGGACTCACAACCCTCCAATCCAATGGAATTTCAGGCGACCAAAAAGTGGATCGGAAAGGAGAATGGCAACAGTTCGAACATTGACTTCGTCGCCGGAGATTTTGCAGTTCTCAAAGAGGTAGGCACGGGTTTCTGGCCCCTCTAATCGAGTCTTGGCATTGTCGTAGTCTTGGACTTTTATTCACTTGCAATGAATCGATTCTACCCAAACTTCGCAGTCTTTTTGGACTTGGATTGAAGTATTTAGAGTCCAAGTTTCAAACCGATCGGACCATTCGATCTGGAGATATACTGGTTTGAGGCCTTAAAATCCTTGTTCTTGCAAAAGGCTTGACCTCTTTTGGACCTCAAATCAGTTTATCTTCGGACCAGAAAATCCGACGATCGGTCTGAAACTTGGACCCAATGTACTTGAATGGCAAGTGGGTCAACAGTCCAAGCATAGGCAGGTCTTTCAAAAGCCTGGTCCGGTTTTTGCCCAGCTCTGATAGTTCGTGAAAGTTTCAGCTCATTTAGTTTATCTGAAATTAGTCATGGTCCTGCGAGAAATTACGCAAGTCGTGCAAAGTTAGGCCTAATAATTAACAATTCGTTCTCCCGGTACCTGCCCCTTTTCGAGCAAAACCGCTTCTGAGAATGAAGAAATGTTTTCTGGGCTCGTCGATTCATCATAAGATGGCGTGGGTGCCTCGCGAGGAAAAAAACTTGAAAGGCGAAGAAAAACATGTTTTGACGGAGAACGAATCAAATGTGCGTGTGTGTTGAAGGTCGCCGTTATGGCCGAAGAAGTGGAGCGTCGGTTTCCGGATCTCAACGTCCTTTTGTGCAACGCCGGAGTACTGTACGCGCGGCGAATGGAGACGAAGGACGGAATGGAGTCCACTTTCCAGGTACCTCTGAACTGACGGCCATTTGCTTCCGAGTCCAGAGAGTTTCAGGTCAACTACCTCGCCCACTACCTTTTGTGCAATTTGCTGCTGCCGGTGCTCAGCCACAATCGATCAAATGTAATCGTTGTGGGCAGTGTCCTGCACACTTGGTAAGTTTTGAGCTGCGGATCTGGTCAAAGATTTCCGGATGATGAGAGTGCTTTTTGGAGCGAGTTCTTTCTGTTTGAGCTCGGGGAGAGCGAGGGTGTCCCCGGGGAAATATTCGGGATGCAATTTTGAGAATTGACCCGTCTTCTCCTTTCCGCAAGGAGAGAGCTGCTTCAATCTCTAGATGGATGGATCCACGTGGCATTCAATCTTTCGATCTTTAGATCTTCTAATCTAAGAGCTTAATAACGAACATGAAAGAAACAAACATTTCGTCCCCCCCTCCTTAAACACAAATGTGTTATTGTCGACTCGCTTTTCTTTCCTTCCTCATGTTTTTCTTTCTTTTTTGTTTCCAGAATTTCAGAAAGGGGCAATTAGGCGGGTGGCAGTTGCATGTCACGGACTTTTTCGACAAAAACATGAGATAGCGGGTCGAAGAGCAATAGTTTGATCGGCAACAAAAAGGCAATTTCCTCGGGGGGCCTTACCATTTCATTCAATTTCCCGCCGCCGCTAAACAACAATCTGTAAATGCAGCATTTTTAATTAAATTTTCGTTCTATTCCAGGCCGTCGCTCGACTGGGCGGACGTGATGGCCGAGAAGGAGTACGAGAAGTACCTACAGTACTCGCGCAGCAAATTAATGTGTCATCTGATGGCATTCGCGTTGCACAGAAGGTGAAAGAACGGGAAAGGAGTGAAATTGAGACGGATCGAATTGCAGAATGAATATCGCCCGGCAGCATGTCAACGTGAACATTATCGAGTTGGGAAAGGAGAAGGAGCCGAACAACAACGGAAAATTGTAGGGCAACACTTTTAGGCTTTTGCTGTTCTCACGCGGTGTCAAGCTACGTTGCGGAAAAGGTTGGCGAAGTGCCAACCTAACGAAAAACGTTTAGAGTCGCTACATAACCTACTTATCTAACGCGTTGGCGGTAGTTCAACTTTTACTCGCCGTCGTCGCACTTCTAGTGGATTGCGGTTGAGCGTAACTTTTCGAAAAAGTTGACAATATTCACTGAACAGTTCCGTTTGAGAATGTCCCCAAAATGAGCTAATTCCAGACGGACGACATCGGCGCTCTCCTCGTCAATGTCCACACTTTCCATATGTCGTCAGGCCGGAAACCTCGCCCAACTCATCGAGGGACCGTGTTTGGAGAAGATCTCCGGCAAGTATTTGGATCCGAACGGAAAACAGATGAGGTAGGTTCTGCCGTCACTTTTCAAATTAGCCAAACTATTCGCTTTTCGAATGCTTGTGTGAACGTGTTCATTTCTGTCTGTAACAGAACGGTACTCCGTGTATATCTCAGGTGTCGGTGAAGATATCGAAAAGTTGACAACGAATGAATTGCTTATTGAAATATTGTGCATAGTTTATCAGTTGACCACGTTTTGATAGCTTCTCACTCAGCTGAGATATATCGTTTTGAACGGATTCAAATATATATGCACTCCGATTCAGATCTGGCTCCGACGCGACGGACGAACGTCTCCAGGAACGTCTGTGGAGCTACTCGAAGGATCTGTGCCACGACTACATGTAGAATCCCTCTCCCATTTTTGCCTGTTAGCATTTTGTGTGTGCGAAAGTATCTCAGCTAGAACTCCAGCCATTTCATTCCTTCCCCCAGATGTTAGCATTAAATGCGCAAACCGGTTTCGCTTAACTGCAGTTCGCTAGAAAACTGACTGTACATTTTGTCGAGATTCTTTGTATAATACTTACCGAAACAAATAAAAAGTGTATAAATGTAAGATGCTGTGCACTTTATTAATTAGTGTTTATAAAAAGTGTCATGACTAGATGGTTAGTTTGATGGGAAAAGAGATACAAATTTGCGCATATATAAGGTAAGAACGTACTTTTCGGGGAGATTTTTGGCTAGATTAATGTTGAAGACTAATATTAATATTATTGTTTTTCTCGACGGAAACGCTCCGGAGGGTGGTCAGTGAGGAGATCAGGGAGGTCGTCGGACGGCAAGTTTCGGAAGCGCTCCGTTGGAGTTTTGGGGACGAATCGTCGTCGGACAAGTCGAAGTTGGTGAGGACGAGCGAGGAACAGATGGGCGGCGCGATCTTCGGGGGCATTCTCGCACTCTCCCGCAGGCTGTCACTCGTCGAGATGTGCTCTTCTTCGATTCGGGACAATGTACGCACTTCCAGGTTTCCGATATCTGCAGCGAACCCTAATTTGAGCGTGACATTTGGGAATCACCGCCAAAACACTCACCAATCTCATCGCCCATCACAAAAACGCTTTCGCCGTCAGTTCCCGAACTGGCGTAAGTGGTGCATCCAGAAGACGTCATCGTGCTCGTCATCGAGTCGAACATATTCAGTTTCTCGCCGACGATGTGCGAAGAAGAAGCGGAAGACGTGCTCATCGGCTGCTGCTTCTCCTCCAGAATCCCTCCGTCGCTGCTCATTTCGTCGTTCATCCATCCTCGCTCGATTATCGTTTTTTCGTCGCATTCGGAGCCGACGTTCGAGGACGAGTTCCAGAAGCTTTCCTGAATTGTATTTATATAGAAAAGATGGAAACGGAAAGTCCTACATGATTCTGTGACATCTCCAAGTGCTTTATTCTGTTCTCCAGCGATTGTATGTATCCGAGAAGTCGGGAGCGTTCCCTTTTAGACACCTCCCTCCTCTCTTCTTCTTCCGATGGTTCCGAGCACATCGAAGTGGCCATGATCCGGCGGAGAGTGTGCTCCTTGTGCTTGTTGAAGCACTTCTGGAAGATGGCGTCCGCGTGCTTCTCCTCCTCCTGATGTCCTTCCGAACCTCCGCTCTGCTCGCTGCTTCCGCACCCCAGATCCTCGCTCTCATTGTCTCCGTCGTCGATGTGATGTGCTCCGGTCATGAGGCTCTGTCTCTGCTCGTCCAGGTACATGCACAATTGGCGCAACTCGTCCACTTCTCGCTCTTTTGTGCTCAGTTTCTCCTCAATGTTTCCCATTTTTTGGTGGTACGAGTGCACTTCTTGTTTCATCAGGTTGCTTGTGTACCGCCCGAACTTCTGCCATTCTCGAGCCAATTTCCGTGTTTTTTGACGATCGTCGTCGAGGAAACAGCACAAATCGCGGAGCTCTTTGTTGCTCGTCGTCAGCTTTCGGTTCTCGTCCTTCAGCATTCGGATCTCATTCACGTGCATCTGAAACTATGATTTTAGAAGTTCTACAAGAAAACCGTAATTTTTATCTGAAACTTACCCTACGCTCATCCGGACTCAAAAAGTTGCCAAAAAACCAAGAGCACATAGCAAAGAGCAGCTATTTTCTCTTGGAGAATCTATTAATTAGGGTCAGTTTTGGGATGAAGAGCACCGAAAGAGCAAACAAAGAGCCGCCGCAGCGGAAGCTCCAGAGGGCGAGAAAAGATGATTGAAATTGATATCAAAAATAATACAGTCGGAGCGGGCGGGCAGCCGGGGACTAGACAGCAGGGAGTGAAGTGCTGCCGGGGGGGATCGCAAAAGACGTACCTGAACCCTGCGATTCGCGTCGTTCACCACGTCGGATTGCATTCGCATCAACTTCTGATTCTCGTCGTCGAGCATTTTGCACCGATGTTTCATGTGCTCGTATTGCAGTTTTGAGGCCGAGTATTGTAATTGCTGAAATATTTGTATACGTTCCCATCTTTCAAAAAACTTTAAAATCTTACATTTCTGGCGACTGGGACTGCGTAAGAGGGTGTTCCCTGCGGAGTGATGATGGATGAAGGCGTCGAGACGGCCGAATTGTTGCCGACCACCACTGTCGGATACCGAATGACTGGGGACCGAGCTGAAATGCGGTAGTTCCAGTTTTTGAAGGCGTTCGAAAAAAAACTAACGAGGAGTCTGTTTGGAAGAGGACAACGACGAGGATCCACTGCTGGAAGATCCGATTGAGGAGGGAGTGCCTCCTGCGCTGGTCGTCGGATGACGATGGATGACTGGTTTCGCGTAGTGGACTGTGGATGCCACCGAACTGCTTTCCGATGACATGTTGGCTGTAACAACTAAGGATCAACATCCCACATATCATTATCATCTAATTGAAACAAGACTGGCAACGAGCGAAAGCGTCAAGATGCAAAGATGCAAAGATACTGAAGGCTCCGAAGAGTATGACTTTCCGGCTTATCAAGCATACTGCCTTCGGAGCAAGGAATCGTGGCACGGATTATGCGCATCTATATATCAAATAAATAAAATAACATTTGACACTCCCTTCCGCCCTTAACTCTCCCCCTCTCTCTTTCGCTTTCAACTCTTCTTCCTGATGCGCGATGCCGCCTAGCGGATAATCCGTCCGGAAATGCGTTTACTCAACAGCTCACGGCACACACACGCATTCTGAGTGTGAAGGCACTATTCGGTTTGTGAGAAATGTGAGAAGGAGCCCACGATTCCGACCCTCTTCAGTGCCAACCCACATCTGGTTCGGTTCACGACCACTGACCGACCTGTCTTTTTCTGAGAGAGCCAAGGAGCATATGGCACTGAGAAAGCAGATGGTTTAGATATTTTTTTTTGGAAAACAGAGACAATTTGCATTCAGAATGAACGAGGTGGAAATGAGAAGAAGTCGACGGAGAATATGGTGATGGTGGTGAAAGTTGAAGCGGAGAGAGTGAAGTATGGCAATTCGGTCAGTGGTCGCACAAGCTGCTTTCCGTTTTTTTATTGGTTGACTAGTGAGATAGGTGGCGTATGAACGTGAAGGCTTTGAAATATTTCAAACCGTAACGTGAAGCGTTTATTTGTGTACTACAGAAAATTACCAGGTATGAATCATACCGTATGTTTTTACAAAATCTGATACTGTGCCACCATTTACAGAGTCGAACAGAGATAATACACTAATAACTTACACAATCACGTGGCAAACATCACCAGAACCCGATGGCGAAAAGGAGTTGCGCAATGTTATCATTGCGGTGACACAACGACGAAACAGATCAAAGACACTTCCCGCCCCCCGAAAGTTCATTGTCACCTTCTACACCCCCGATAGATTTCCGCCAAAGAGACGTGCCGCTGCTAATCAAAAAAAAAGCAAAGAGTGAAGCCGAAAGGCGCTTTGTGACGACCATCTCAAACGAGAGAGACGGGCGACAAAGGACCTTGAGATGGGCGACAAGAAGTTGGAAAAAAAGGGGAGGGGGTCTATGGCGAAACCAATGAAAAACTCTTGTCCGATTCGATTCACGATGAATTACCATTTTGAGAGAGGGAGATAGACCATTGGTCTTCTTTTCATCGAAGATGAGGTAAAATGGAGGACAATCTGTACAAAAAGTAAAGGGGGTGGTCAAGAAAAAGCTGACGTTGGCTGATTCAGTATGGTGCCTGGTACCGGAGCGTGTGACTCAGGATCGGACGCTGGACTTTCAAACTTGCCAGTATTTGACAAAAGGACGGACACTATACGACGTTTTGTTTCAAAACTTTTGTGAGTATACAAAAGATCACAAGAGACAGTCCGTAAGCCAGTCAGTCAGCTGCTTCTACTGTCATTACAAATAGACGGAACAAAAGGAGAAGGAGGTGACCGACCAAAAAGGTCTCTTCTTCTTCATCATCTTTTTTCTTTGTATTCTTATTCTGCCCCCTCTTCTCATGGAGATTTATAGCCTTAGCTGGTCCGTTAGCAGAATGGGACGACGAAAGAAAACGAGGAGAAGAAGGTCATATGGAGCGGAGAGAAAAAAGGAAAAAGGGAGCCTGTCGGAAATGGACACAAAACAACGTGTACCGGAATGGCAATTAATGACGGGAAGAAGTAGGACAGAGTGACATGCGCTAGGTGCGTATTTACATTTTAGTGTGCCTTTTGTGGAACAAAAAGAAGTAGGTTTTCAGTTTGAATTGCGTTGCCAGCAAGACTTCGACGCCAAAAGTTGGGGAAGACACCACTGACCAACAGGCGGTCACCACAAAATGATATGTGAGGCATGTTGCATATGAATGAATGACGTGGCTCTGCAGCAACAACAACACAGACAGCAACAGCCGGTGGCGGCATTGTAAAACTGATTCTCTGCTCGCCCAGGCCTTAGAGACTTTCGAAGACAAATGAGCCGATGGCGCGGGGACGGAAATGATCGATGAGCAAAACGGAATGGAATATGCAGGACGGGGGGAAAGTGTCCGGAAAAATGATCTATGAAGTACTAAATGACGGAGGGAGAAGCCGCTGACGTTTCGAATGAACTAAGTGAAATGTATGGAAGAATGAAGGATGAAAATGAAATTGACCACTTAATTCTGTGCAGGTAACGTAGAGTAGAGACCGGATGACTTTCACTGTAAAGTGGACGAATAATAGGTTACGAGGAGGGGTAAACTGACTGGATTCATTCAAACTTCAGAATCCGCAAGAATGAATTCTGCTTCAGAATCGAGTGGGCGTGACCTAGTAGTGACACAAATCGGAACTGACTTTAGATTTCGTGGCATGGCACATGGCATACCAGTTCTAGGGCCAAAACTGAACATTTCCCAGTAAACTGTCAAACTGTCAGAAGCGATTTGGCGCACAGAACGAGACAGTCGGTCCAAGGTCTCGTGCGTTTTACCCCAAAAAGGTGTTGACAATGATGATCAAGAAATGACGAGATCTCGTGTGGTCGCGCCGAAAAAGCGAAAAGGATTACTGACGAAGGGAGAAAAGGAAAATCTTCGTTTCTGAGGTCGAAGCAAAGCGATGGTATCGGTGCAAGTTCCCACATGGCTAATCTGATCGTGTACCCCGAGGATTAGGTATGTACGACATACATCGGTGGGATCCAATTGTGTGTGTGCACAATTGGGCGGTAGTGCAACATCTGATGGGAGGTGGCTGTGGTGGTGTACAGATGAATAATTGACGTGCTAGTTAATCGGAAGTGTTGCGGAGGTGCTAACGCAACAATGAAAGACTAATATTCGAGGAGTCTCAAGTGAGCACTAGACAATATGTTTTCCAGAAAACCAATAGACGACAGAATGTTGAAAAACACTCAGTAAAACCAGGTCATGGCGTGTAGCTGATGAGCTCTACTGAAAATTATAAACATGATAGCTTCGGCGTAATTCGTTAAGCTATTGGAAAATTCAAATTGGAATTTTCGACATACCCGATCTCAGTCTACAATTTCTTTTGCAAATGTGTCTCGAATGAAATGTATACAAAAAACTGTGCGGTAAACGACTGAATACACTCTGCTGGCTGAAGAACTTGACTTTTACGCCTTCGTTGTCGCCTGCGAAGGACAGTGTAAATGGTGGCACCCTGCCGTGTTCTTTCCTCTTGTTCCGCAAAAACGACCCGCAATTCGGTGAGGTCGTTACCGCATCGACGTCGAAATTGAGAAGAGAAGAAAGTTGGCTTCTGTCTGTATTACTGAGAAATAGAAGCGAATTATCTAGGAAAAGAGCAAGGACTGATTAGAAACTGGCCGAATCTCTGCTCAAGCTGCCGCGAGCATGTTCAAAAACTAAGAAAACGCAAAGAACAAAAGCGCGAAAAGTGTGTGCGGCTCGGAGCAGTGGATACTTGAGAGAAGCCGCCCTGCGTGAATCCGCGCGGAAACATTTCCTGTGGTGGCCCACCGCCGCGCTAAAACCAAAAACAATGCAAAGTATATAGCGATGGTCTGGCGGAAGAGGGCGGAAGAAGATGAAAAGGAGACAGGAAGTTGTTTCGAACAGTCAAAGGCAAAACGGGGCAGGCAGACAACAAACACCTACTGTACGAAGTGGGCGAAATTAGCGAATTGAGACGCAAGACGAAAATGTTTGTGGTAATAAGCTTACAAAGTGAAACTATCGACAATGATTCGAAAAAATTTGCCAAAGCTCGTCTGAATCATAATTTCAGGAATTAGTTTTCCGATAAGAAGCCGACAATAAGGAAGCGGCTATTTGCAATTTCCGGTGGGAAACAAAGAGAAACCGTTGTTGCTGACTTCCAATTCTCGCTTCAGAGTCAGAAACCTCTTTTGTTTTGTAATCGAACAAATGGCAATGTCTTGTCGTCGGATAGGTGCCAATCATTGGGTCGGCCCGTGACATGTTCGCTTTACACTTCGTTTGCATAGATATCACTTCAGGATTCAACGCTTTCCACATTTCCACACACATTTTACACTGATTTGCGGACGAAACCTTACCTCGTCGTGGCGTTGTGAGCATCTTTTAAACTGAAAACGAGAGAATTGCGGACAGGGCGAATGGGAAATGCACAATAACACAACTAGAAAACCAGCAACTATTTCGAATCAAGATTAAGGAAAGCGTAAAATGTATTATTCTTAATCTTACTCACATTATTATTATATCACAACCAAGAATAGGGTAATGGACAGTGCGAATACGTTATAGAAGCAGAATTGCAGAGACGTAAATTAGAAGTTGAAGAAGAAGTATTTATCCGAGCCCATGATCCTCGAAGAAGCCTTGTGGAGTCTCCTCTTCTTGAATTAAGTCCTGAGCCGCGATAGCCTTGAGCACTGCCTTCTTGCTCGTTTCCTGAATCTCCCCGGCGAGCAGGAACTCGTCAAGTATGAAGTAGGCTTTCTCGAAGTTGAATATAATGTCCAGCTCGCACACACTCCCGAAATACTTGTCCAGAAGCTCCACATACCGATGAATGACCTCTAGAGTGATGAGTTCATTGTCGTTCTGCTCGATGGCACAGCAGAAGTAAAGCGAGGCGTACCTGAAGTTTCTATTGAATTCCGAAGGAAATGCAGAATAATTTTTAATCTTCAAACTTATTTTGCGCTATAAGGAAAGTTCGCGTAGGTTTATTATAATGATTTTTGCCATTTTGTTCGGAATACCAACTTACCGCTTGTACACGATTTTCAGATCTTTGTACTCGAGGAAAGCGCACATTTTCGGTTTTCGTGCCAAGATTTGAGTGATGAGTTCACGGCAAATCTTCTTCTTTTGCTGAAAATCGACTCTTTGTCAGGCAAAGCGATGAAGTTCGCTTACTTTGTCTGGATACGCAGTGTACCATTTCTGAAGCCGTAGCTTTCCTTGCCGACTGAATAGAAGCATGTATTGCATCATTTTGACTGAAAGACAAGAATTTTTAAACGTTTTTTCTCTGAAAATCTGTCAAAAAGAGCGCAGAAAGGACGTGAAAAAGCAGACATGTTGCGTTGGAAAATCGTCAATAATTCATAACGACGCTCCGAAATAACGTTTGTCGCACTGTTTAGCTTTCAATAGAGCGCGCTTGCATTGTCATCATCGGCGCGATTTTTTGGAATTTTGTTCGGGTTAAATGCAATTCTTGTCCCCAATTCTTGAAATTTCTTTATTTTTTTCCTACTTTTCCTTGTGAATCTCAATTTCTTTAAATTTTCTAGCAATGGGACAACAACAGTCCGGATTCGGTGGAAGAGGCAACGACCGCGGGGCCGGTGACGGCGAGAAGAAGGAGAAAAAGAAGTACGAGGCGCCGATTCCGTCGAGAATTGGCAAGAAGAAGAAGGGATCGAAAGGACCCGACGCCGCCAGCAAACTTCCAGCTGGTATCGCTTTTAATTTCTCACAATTCGAATGATAACCGCATATTTTCAGTCACCCCGCACGCTAGATGCCGTCTGAAGCTGTTGAAGAGCGAGAGAATCAAGGACTATTTGCTCATGGAGCAAGAGTTCATTCAGAATCAGGAGCGCCTGAAGCCACAAGAGGAACGACAGGAGGAGGAACGAACCAAGGTCGATGAGCTCCGCGGAACTCCGATGGCGGTCGGATCCCTTGAGGAGATCATTGATGATCAGCACGCTATTGTTTCCACTGTAAGAAGAACAAGAGATATTGGAAAACGCCTCATGTTTTATTTTTAGAACGTTGGAAGCGAGCACTATGTGAACATCATGTCATTCGTCGACAAAGAGCAGCTTGAGCCAGGATGCTCCGTTTTGCTCAACCACAAGAATCACGCAGTCATCGGAGTTCTCTCCGACGACACAGACCCAATGGTTTCGGTTATGAAACTCGAAAAGGCGCCTCAAGAGACGTACGCCGACGTCGGAGGTCTCGATCAGCAGATTCAGGAGATCAAGGAGGCCGTAGAATTGCCGTTGACGCATCCAGAGTACTACGAGGAAATGGGAATTCGGCCGCCGAAAGGAGTCATTCTTTATGGATGCCCAGGCACCGGAAAGACGCTTTTGGCAAAAGCCGTCGCAAATCAGACCTCTGCCACTTTCCTCCGTATTGTCGGTTCGGAACTCATTCAGAAGTACCTGGGAGACGGACCGAAAATGGTAAGAGAGTTGTTCCGTGTTGCCGAGGAAAATGCGCCGTCCATCGTGTTTATCGACGAGATTGACGCCGTCGGAACGAAGCGTTACGATTCGAATTCGGGAGGAGAACGCGAGATTCAGCGCACCATGCTCGAGCTGCTCAACCAGCTCGATGGATTCGACTCTCGTGGAGACGTCAAAGTGCTAATGGCCACCAACCGCATCGAATCGCTCGATCCTGCTCTGATCCGTCCGGGACGTATTGACCGAAAGATCGAGTTCCCGCTGCCGGACGAGAAGACGAAGCGCCGCATCTTCCAGGTAAACGAGATTCAGAGAATTTCTACAAAGCTATCATTCATTTTCAGATACACACATCGCGAATGACACTTGGCAGTGAGGTCAACCTCGAGGAGTTCATCACTGCGAAGGACGAGCTCAGCGGAGCCGACATCAAGGCGATGTGCACCGAAGCGGGTCTCCTGGCTCTCCGCGAGCGCCGTATGCGAGTGACGATGGACGACTTCCAGAAGTCGAAGGAGAACGTGTTGTACCGCAAGAAAGAGGGCGCACCCGAAGAGCTCTACTTGTAAATGTGTCCCCCATCCCCGTTTTTTTATTTATTTCTCGTCCCCATCCCTTCTCACTCCGATAATTTCTTTTCGAACCACCCGGATTGTGTCTTATACTGATTTTAATGTATTTTCTGACTCTCGATTCACTTATGAAGAGTGTCCAACAGGTTGCGCAGATTATGTATTCATGTAGTGATTGGGAACGTTTTGATGGATGCATGCGACAGATAGTGGGGAATAGGGGCATGGAAAAGAATGGAGAGGATTTACCAGTGACAATGGGGGACGGTGATGGATTCTGATTGGTTTCGGTGACTTTCTAACATGATTTTCAAATATCACAAAGTGAGAGAACTGGAACAGAAATGGAAAGTGCTGAAAAGGGCGGGGGGAAATTGAGAACTAGAAGACAGTTGGGGGAACTAATGAAGAACTTTTGCGGCTACACAACTGATCGATTTCATTTTGATACTGACGGGTGAGAGTGGGATCAAATCGGATATGAACTGGGGGCGGGGCTTAAATGCGTGCACGGAGAAATTGTGGGTCTAGAGAGGTCGGAGATCGGCGTCCGGGTGCGGCATGATCGGCGTCGGCGTCGAGACGAAGTTCATCGTCGGCTGTCCGGACGGCGTGAGGCCCGTGTTCGTGGCCAGGAAGTCGCCGGCGACTGAAAAGTGATTGGGTCTCGACACGAAATCAGTGTGGGCGTCTTACCGTTCGAGAAAAGGCCGCCGCTGCCGCTGCTGCTTCCGCTTCCGCTCGTGCCGCTTCCGCTCGTCGGCGGCTGCTGCTGCGGCTGCGGAGTCTGATTCTGATAGTGTTCTCCGTTGTAGCGGAAGATTCTGGACGGAGTCGTGATCGGATGGTTCACCGGATTCCGCGAGAGCATCGGGAGCATCGACGGACGCTCCAAGTCCTCGACACTGGCCAGAGCGGTCAGCGTACGATCCATATCGATCTTCGGGATCTGCAAAGGCTCACAGTGAAATGATTCTAGAAACACAAACTAACCTTGAGCTCCGGCTCGGCGAACACATTCTCAGATCGGTGAGAGTTGTTCGAGTGAGGCACCGGAATCGAGGTGATGATCGAATGCGATATGCCGCTTGTGCTCGGAAGCGCCGGCGGGGGCATCAGGTTGTGCTGGCGGTCCTTGTTGGCGACCATGGTCGAGATGGGCGGCAACAACTGGTCGATCGACGGTTTGTAGTCCTCGATGGGCGAGTGTTGTTCCGAAGAGGAGGACGAGTGGTTCGACATCACCGAATGAGCGACCGAGTCGGCGCGCGGCGGGTGGACACGGAGCTGGTGGTGGAGCAGCGGCATCTGCGCCGGAGCGGGGATCGTCATCATGCTGAGGTGACGGATGCGCTCGTCGTGCGACAGTTTGCAGTCGTGGTGCTCCAGGTAGTTCTTGAGACTCGCCAGCTTGTTGCGGATCTCGATGCACTCTTGCGTCTTTTTGTCGTTCAGGTTCTTGTAGCCGTTCACTTGCTGAAAGTCTCTATTTTTCTCTCAGAATTGGGGGAGCTCGTGGCTTTCTCCTACATCCTGCAACTCCTTCATGAGATCGAGTCGTCTCTGACGGCAACGCGCGGCCGCCTCCTTGTTTCTCTGCCGTCGCTTCTGCCTCTTATCGTCGTCATCCTCCTCCATGTTATCCTGAAATCCGCCGAACGTCTTTTCCGACTCTGTTGATTGCATAACTGATTATCTTTTTCCCATCTTCTTCCTCTCAAGTACCTTGTCCCCCCGCACTTTACAGTCTGGGTCATTTCGAAGACTGTAAAGGTGTGTGTCGAACGAAAGAATGAGGGCGGGCGAGGAGAGAGGTGGTAGGGAGGGAGGGATACAATATATTGCGACGGTGATGGTGACTAACATATTTACTTTGCATAGTGTACCTGTGAGAGGAAAAGGGCGCCGTTAGAGAGGTGTGTGGGAAGAGCAGAAAGAGGACCTTGCTCCGACTAGAACCGTTTGGAACGTTCACTTTCTGTATTCAAGCTAGAGATATCAAGAACGTTGTCAGCTGATAAAATGTGCACAATGTCTTTCTGAGCAATATATCAGTTGACGCCTTTTCGATATCTCTTTCGGCAGCTGAATAACAAGAAGCCATGCGCAGTCCGAATCCTTTTGAAGATGCCGCCCATAAACCACTACAGAATGCCTACAGTAGTCGCTCTTATCAACTTCATTTCGTTCCCGTTGCCCATGTTTGGGGAAGAGAGGAAAGGAACAAAACGATTGGAATTTGTATGCAAAAGTGGGCGATGAGTCATCTCATTGGCCGTCAAATTGGCCGCTTATGTCAAATTCTAATAAAGGCTTCTATGGACTTGTATGAATTTGAAAGAAAACAATTTCGCTTCTAGTTCACAACAAAGAACGTATAGACACACACACACACACAACGTCGCATCACCACAGAAATGAAAAAAGAAGAAGCGGAATGGTTTCGGGGGGAGCTCTCACACGACACTTCTAGAGATGGCTTACCACGAAGAACGCAGTCTCGTTTCGGTATTGCCACGTCATACCCAACTAGACTCTCTGCAATCGAAATTTCGAAATTGAATAGTGGCGTGAGTTGATGATGATGATGATGATGAATAGAAGAAGAAGTCAGCCAAAGAGAGAGAGAGAGAGAGAGAGTGACTCAGTGCCCGAATGAATCACAGAACTTTTGAGGAGGAGACTGGCTGACTGGCTGATGATGAACACACGAAAAGCGAGAGAGAGAGTGTGTGTGTGAGTCAAAAATGAAAAAAGAGTGTGAGTCATTCGCTATCGAGAGGGTGTTGCCATGAACATTCTCTCTCTCTCTCTTTCTTCGAATCTCCACCCACTTTCTGTTTCCACTACTACTGCACACTTGTTTTTCTTCGCAGCCCCCCACTCGCTCACTTCCTACTGTACCTATTCTTACTTCCTATTCAATTATATTTGGGTCTCGACACGAAACGTTAGGAAATGAATAAAGCAAACGAGGACTTACTATTAGTTCCCATACACTTTGGCGTCTGAATCTAAAGCTAAGAATTGCAGTCAGTGCAAGTGCTCATAAAAGTTTTCGTGGCAAGACCCAAACGCATAACAAAAAGAGTATAACTATAACCTACGAAAAGGAAGGATGCTCCTCCGGACACTGCAGTGGAAGGCTTTGATTTAAGCCCAAAGGAGCATGTTCGAAACTAATAGTGAGTGAACAAAAAGATAGACTACTAGCTCTAAACCATTCCGACCGTACCCCTCCCTACCGTACCTCTTCCTTCGGTTTTCTGCCTCCAGTCGACGGCCTTTTCACCGTGCTATACTGTACCATAGGCGTCGACGAGCTCGCCGCGTAAAAGTCCGGGAACGGTCGATTGTAGAGTTGGTTTGCAGGTAATCCGGGGAATCCGCCTGCACAGTAATCCATCAATCGATCGATGCGCAATCAAAACTTACAAAACGAGGACGGCGTGAGCGGTGAGTTGATGTTGGGCGTGAGCGGAGAGGTGACGTCACTCGGCTGGAACTGAAAGTTTTCAAACGTTTCACTTGAGCAGTCCCCCAAGATCCCCCATTCTCTTTGAATTTCCGATCTTCCTTTTCTCTCTTACATATCCAAAATCATCCTGATATCCGTCAAAGTACGGCCACGTCGTTTCTGCTGACTCTGACTCATCGGACGGGATCACAAACACAGGGGAACTTGTTGGGGAGCACGGAGATTAGTAATAGATGAGTAAGATGGTCTTGTTTCCAGCACGGGGATGATTATGAAGTGTGTGTGCGAGCGTCGCGAAGAAAATTGAAGAGAAGCGCGCGAGAAAGTCACGCCCCTTTTGTGGAAACGGACGAGAGTACGGTATTTGTTTGACGATTGACGATTGACTGAAGAGGAATAGGATGGAATGGAGGGGACCGAGGCACGGACGCAGCACGCTTTATGACACTTCAAAAACGATAATCTTTCTTTTCGTTCCTTTTTTGGGACACCCACAGCAATTAGGTGATAACCATGGAAATGGTGACCTCGTTTCTTTTTTTAAACTATCCTAATCATCAAAGAAAGCCCAAACGATCTTGAATCCAATCTTCAAAGGGATTAATGGGTCGGTGCTTGCTCTCTCCCTCACTTTGTGCCTAAGAAGAAGAAGTAACAAGTGGGGCGGATGGATTACGGTAGAAGTGTGTAAACACGCGTCGGCCCAACTCAAAAAGGGACGATCCGGGCATCTCTCGGATAATCCCACCGCAAATATTGTTCCCTTCCCGGAGGGGGCCGAACAATATCTTTCGAAAATGGGAAGCTGGTAATAATGAGAGGAGTTCGAAACGTTTTGAGGACGGATATCGTGAGCAAGAACTTTTAATTGGAGGGGCTCTCTTCTGCAGTCTCTTCTTTTTCGTCCAATTAGTGCGGAACTTAGTTTAACGGTAAAGGGGGATAGGTGAAATATGGAAAGCGTGAAGAAAGAGAAAAGGTTATGGAAAGGGAAAGTGAAAAGTGCAGCACGGAAGAGGAGAAGAAGAAAAAGAAGGAGAAGAAGGAGAAGAAGACGGTGATTGGTGTTGATGGTTGTTTCACGTCGCGCCTAGCTTGATTTGATTTGATAGAGACAGATAAGAAAGGAGAAGATGGACGAGCGGATACGGTAGGCTCGGTCGGTAAGGTACTTCAGCCTAGGTAGGAGCCAAAATATCAAAGCGGTAATGTCTTGAAAAAGGGTACGGTCAGGGGATAACCTCTAACCGAAAAGTACCGGAAATTCGGGACTGTCACTGGGATAATGTGAACTCTCGGGAAGGGTGTAAGCTTGAAGAAGTACCGGGGAAAAGAGAATGAATTTAATTTTCTAAGTGATGGTCCCTGAACAACTCCTCACCACATCAGAAGCTAATCTATTCTGGAACGGTAAAACTGATGATGAGAGACGTTCCTGGACGTCCGAAAGCACGGAGAATGATTCATTTTAGGCCAGATTCGCTAATTGGGCCTCACAACAAAACAGAGTCTTGAGCTGAGTCAGCTGACAGATTCGAAAACATTACAAAAGGCGCCTGCTTGTTTCAAAATACCATATAGACATCCTTTGAGCCACACAAAATTACCTGCAGCAAGTCGGTGGCGCCCAAAAAGAAGTTGAGTCCATATCCGCCGGGGTAGTAGCAGTTCGGCGTCAGCGGATTCTCGTCGCGGTGATGTTGTTGCGGGTGCGGACGCGGGGACACGATGACCGAGGTCGAGTGCTGGGGGAGCGACGAGGAGCCGAGGTCGAAGTAGTTGACGGAGGCGACCGAGTTGGACGGATTGTTGGACGAGGTGGCGGTGGTGGCGGATGATTCGAACATTCTGGCCTCTTTTATACACGAGTGCTGACACACAGCCAACACAGGTGAGTAAGGATTCTGATTCACAGATGACTTTCTTGCCAGGCAAGATGACGAACAACAGTTGGAATATATAAGCACGGAGGGGACCTTCGGAGCTTCGTCTCGCACACAAAAGTGTGTGATTGATTGGGTGACGGTCTCGTGGTGAGAAGAAAAGGAGAGAGAGAGAGAGGGAGAGAGAGAGAGAGCAGTACTGTGCAGAGGCCCCGCCCACACTCGTTGGCGCCTCGAGACACTTTTTGAATATCGGCCGCTACTGCCTAAGGGACAGAAATGGGAGGCGGTCGAGAGGGAGCAAACGGGTGATGATGTCATCGGTGCCAGGTACCGAACGGCCGGAGGGACCGAAGGGGAAAGCGTAAAAGGTCGAGAGAGAGAGAGAGAGAGAGAGAAAGAGAAGAGAAGAAATGATAATAATAACATTTTCTGGCTGGCTGATGGTGGAATAAAAGAAGGAAGAAGACACATTTGGATGGTTTTTGTTTAGGAATGATGAGTCAGCAGTGTCGATCTGTAGAGACATCAAATGGTATTGTTATGTTGGAACACGACGGACACTTTCCATCTCACATGCACCACGCGTCTTGTGCTCGTGAAACTTCAAAAGGCACAGTAGAGTTGATATTCGGACTTTTCACACTTTATTGAGTTTCCTGTTAATGCTCCAGTTTCCATTCCGATTCCTTGTTCGATCACCTTCCAAAGTTTCCAGAAATCTCTCGTCTCTGTGATTGTGCCATGCAGCAACACGACACGGCGATGGTTCAGTGATTCAGATGGCCGACACCGACAGGTATGTTTGTTTTGAGCACGGGAAAGAGGACCAACTCTCTTTGCCCGTCCCGCACTCTCATTTCTACAAGGGACCGGGTCAGGTGTAATTTAGAAAGCGTTTTTCTTCCAAAATGTTCAGTATTCAAATGGCCCCAACTCGTTTTCTCTAATGGAAGATTCCGATAGTAGAACATTGATAGCTTTCGACAAGAATTTCAGAAAAGCTGGAAATTGCAGTTCTTTTCAGTTCTTTTCGGTGTCTAAAGCGTTGGTTGAGTCGGCTAGATGATGCTCCATGCTCGAAACCGAAGCTCGCCTCCTACAGTAACCCTCTTTTCCTCCTACCATATTTTTTGAATATCACCTTCTCCCTGTCCATGTCGGCCGCTCCCGCGAGAGACGAAAGAGCACGCGGATCCCCGGAGACGCAGACAATGCACTTTTGTCTCCGTTCCCTTTCGCTTTCTTTATATGACGTGCGTTAGCTGCTGCTGCTGCCGCCGCCGTCGCCGCCGCACAAAAAGAAACGGAATTTGAATTTTTGAGAGTGAGGAAAAGGGAGAACGGAAATTTGAGAGAGAAGTGGGACGCGGTGAACTGTCGGGAAGGAAGGGGACCAAAGTGCAAATTGGACTTTTCCTCCGTACAGGTGTTGGAAGAAGGAAGGGATTGAAGCTGAATTCCCTCACAAGTAAGACATTACAAATCCATCAGAATAGTCTCGATGCGAATGTGAGCCTGTTTCTTACCGTAATTTAATGTAGAGCTTTGCAAATTTTTTTAAAGTGCAACAGCAAAGTGCAGCAGAAAAAATAGAGAAAAAATCCAGAAAATTTCACTTTTCCTTGAAGATTTCGTCTCAAAGGCCAGCAAAAACAACTCAACTTTCCAGAAAAGGTCTACGGTTTCAAAGGTAGCCACGAAAGTTTTGCGTGGTCTTGACAAAGTTCCCAGGCTCGCAACTACCACTTTTCTGACTTGAGACATCCCTCAAATCCAATCCTAATGGCCTAAGTTAACAAATAAAAAATCCTCTTCCAAGTTCCTCCCACCTAATTTTCCGAATAATAACTCTAGTCAAGGGAGTATATATACATACTCTCACCACGAGGCGTCCACATCTTCGTGATTACACGAAAGCGTCAGATTTAGTAATGTTGTCCGTGAATTGGGTTAGTGATGGCGCATGCTTGACGATGACGTCGAAACGATGTGAAGTAATTTGGCTATGTTTAGAACTCGGAAAGTTCTTGAATATTTGGGTGGTCGAGGAGGGATAAAAGCGTTTGGCAGACAGATACGAACTCTAGGCTTTACATGGATTTCAAGGCGGTAAATTGTCTGCCTATCTATTAGCTCGAAATTTAGGAAAATGACTCACCTGCTCATAATTTCCGCCCACACCAATCTTCTGAATAATCTGCAGAATAGTGGCGTTCATCGCGTTCTCTTCAAGTCAATTTCGATGGAATTGTGTAAAAGAGATGATAAGCGAGGACTGTTAGTATTATTATTACGGGCGGAAAACGAATATGAGAGATATACGGGGGGTATACGGGCGTCCCTCTGAAAATAGGGGTGGGCGACGGCTCCCCGGAGAGTGAGACACGCAGAGCCGTGTGCTCATTGTGCTCGAGTACAGCCTGCCGTGCGGAGCAGCAGAACTCTGTCGTCTAGCTCACGCCCTTTTTGAGCGAAATACGGGAACACGCTTTTCTCCCCTTTTTCAATTCATTCCGAACGTAAAGAAGACAACAAGGAAACGAGAAGGAAGGCGAAGAAAAAGGGAAAGGACAACTGTATTTGAGAGCTCCTCTCATTATTTTGACAATTTTATGAGTGAGAAAGCTGAAAAACAAGAGGAGGAAGTCGGTGAAAAGGGGATGGGAGGGAGTGAGAGAAATGAGATGGACGGTTGGATGACCAAATGAATTTTTGATGTTCATAAAGTCTTAGTTGTTGGATATCCAACCGAGAACCTTGATGAACGGAAGCTGTCTGAGCAACAAAAAGCAGCGGGATTACTGTAGGCGCGGAGAATATGTGCCGTGTTTGCAGATAATCGCCAACCGTACCATAACAAACATTTTGTCGAATTCAAAGTTCTAGAACTTGTTCTGCAGTTTTTGTTTTTTTTTCCAGGAAAAACTAATATAAAAAGTATTTAAACGACTTTTTGCTTCCGAAAATTGCACAAATTGATAAATTCGTGGTTTCACCAATTTCTTTTCTTTCAAAACGGCAATTCCCTCATCCATTTTTACCTGGCTCTTGAAATTTCAATTTCCACCGTCTAGACGCGTCTAAATTTCTGGTGTGAAAAAGAGTTTCTCCGAAGATGTTCCGCATTATTTATACAAAAAATCAGACTTCTGTCTGAAATTACAGGAAATTTTCAAATTTAAATAGGCCTGCTACTTTTTGCCGGACCGCTGGCCTAGAATTGGCTATAAATGGAAAAAAAGACTGCAAGTGTGAGCGCTAGATCATTTCTAAGAGCAATTGAGCTGACATCGAAATCAGCTCGTTTTCCGATAAATTCAGTCGATTCCTTATGCGTCCAACGCCTTCCAAATTCGGAGAATAATCTGTGCACTCGCAAGTGCATCTCTTTCGCCACGTCAAACGTGCACTTCGTGTCCGTTCTAGCCAGAATCATCGGAATTCAAATGTAACTAATGAGCTCCCTTGAGCAGCCACGGTGATTTCGAACAACAGCCGTGACGCTTTTCAGCGGCTGACCGAAAAGGGGGCTGAGTCGGAATGTGTACTTTGAAGATTCAGTTGATATTATTGTGAGAGATAGAGAAAAAAGGAAGTTGAACCGGAAATTGAATATTCATTCCCTTGAACTCACCTTGTTTTGATCGGATCTTGTTGGGGGAAGGTCGGCAGATCGAGGGGTACCTGAAAAATGGGAAATTTTGATGGAATAAACGGATAAAAGGGCAGAAGAGGGGATTATTAAAAAGAAAAGGACATGAGAAGTGATGGAATTAGATCATGGGAGTCTTTGGGGCTGTTTGTGAGCAAAATGCCAAGGAATTCAGACGAAGATTAGCGAATGTCTTTTTCAAAGTTAACGACTGAAGTTGACAAATTCCCCGTTAATTATTGCTTTCTGAAAAGTTGTTAACGGTAAACAATCTTTTCCATGTAAAACTAAAAACAGGAAATTTCCCAAAGTTTTCTCAAAAAATGCCTAATCTGATATTATTTTGAAGTGGTTTTGGTTTTGACGTCTTCCCCAAGATTTCTGATTGAGGAGATGTACGAAGTTGGAGGAAAAGAGGAAAAAGAACGACAATGCAGTATTACACTGTTTGCATTTCACCACGACAAACAAGAAAGAAGCGTTTATGGCATTTTTCATTTTTAAATGTTTTTTCCTCGTCGAACTTTTAAATAATTCGAGAAGGCTGTTCAGCTTATTTCTGACAGTCTAGAAAATTAGAAAAGTCTTCCGTGAAAACATAAGATTGTCTAAAGGAGAGAACAGAAAATGTCTGGTTAACTGAAATGTTCTCAATGACACTCCGTTAATAACACCGCTCTGTGCATAAAAATGGCCTTTGGGAAGCTCACAACTCTTGTTCTCTGTGACAGGTGCGAAATTCTTGAACGGTCCCTGACCCGGTAGTAATATTCACGCGAGTAATATTCCTTCCAGCAGTCTGTCAATAAGGGTCCCCACACGGATTTCCGGCAAGAACCGTCCTCTTTTTCCTCCTCGCCCACTGCGTTCCCAAAGGCCAATGCCTCGTGCGCGCCCACATTAAAGGCGCATCGATATACAAGTTTTGTCGAATCGCTGCGAGACCCGTCACTCAGATTTGACCTACCGTGATGCAGAACATTCCATTTTCGGCCCGTTCTAGAATTGGTTCTCAATGTTAGTTCTATGATATAGGTCACAAAAGTACAATTTTCGCTTTTTCGGAACTAGGTCATTGAAGAAAAAACCCGCTAATCATCTTTTTCTCTTCACACCAGTTAATCGTCGATCTTAACAGTTTGGAAATAGTGCGCTGCTCAATTTCTAAAAACAAAGTCCGCGCGTGTACAATACCCGGCAAACTCGAAAAAGTACACAATATCGCGCGAGAAAAACTGGTCTGTGTCATCATAAAAGTTTGCACCGAATCTTTTACTTTTACAGGGCAAAATTGGACGGAAAAGTGGATTGAACCGAGCGGATAACATCCAGTTTATCTCGCCTCGCTTTCCGAACATTTCGCGATGACGTGGCTGAGAGATTTGAGAAAAAGAAGAAGCTGTGCTCCTCTTCCGCGTAAACACAGAACGGCAGACTAATAAATGACTCACTTGGTGTTCGTTCGCGGCTAAACGTACAATTTACGAGAATAACTCGAAGATTTTGGAGATTTTAGATAATGCTTTTGAGAAAACAAAACGGAAAAAAGGGGTCTGGTGATGAAGCTAATGGGCACGTGGGGAGGGATCACGCGGTGGCGGAAAAGCTCACGGAAAAAGGTAAAGTGAAAGGGAAAGAGGCACTAATGAGCATGAAGAAATCAATGAACAGACCATGAAAACACTATGAAAACTGACAGAAGATGACAAATTCGCTTTCTGACCGTCTAGGCCACTTTAATCGAGACAACAACAAAACATTTCACCCCGGTGGGGAACGAATCAAAACGCGCCCTATCTCGCAAGAGCTCAACTACTGCCGTCCCGCTGAGCAAGATCAGAAATTGAGCGACAAAAAGAGAGACAGACAATTGTAGTGCATTTGAGTAGATCTACGTAGAATTAAAGAAATTGTACGCTCAATCTCGATATCTGTTAGTGATCTTTGGCATAACACAATTACGCGCTCGGAGGCGGTTAAATAAATCGAATTTGTTGCTATTATTTTCCCAAATTTTCAGTAATGCATGTGGCAGGTGGCTTCTGGACTCACTTCAGCTGCAGCACATTTCAGACATTAACGGAACGGATAATAGCGCATTTTTAAGAATAGTCGTGGGAGTTTTCAAAAAAAGTTCAGAAGAGTAATTTTGATTCTTATCCATGTTTTCTTCGAAAGTAAAAGTTTAAAAAGCTTAAGTAAGTTGTTCTACTTGGGAAAGGAACAATTTTTAGAAGTTGTTTCAGATTGTTTCAGTCAGGCAATTCGAAAAGTCAATAAAATATTTGAGAAACGAGAAAAGTTGGAAAAGTTCAAAGATCAGACAAAAAGTTGCCATTTTGAGGTCAATTAGGTCGTGGTTCTAATAACATGAGCGGAAACAAAAAGGTGGCAAAAAAGAAAAAGGAGAACGATGACGAAATTCATTCGGAGACGATCATTTGGCGCTGAGTCATGCGCGCGCGACGACGGCGGTTTGTGTGTCAACCGAAGCAGCCAACGCGACGAGAAACGAGAGAAAGAGAGGAAGAAGGAAGAAAGAGAGAGAGAGAGAGAGAGAGAGAGAAGGGAGCGCCGCCAGGGAGTGCGCCTGCGAAACAGAATCGTCCCGTCGGCAGGAAGAGAGATAGGGAGAGAGAGAGAAAGAGAGTGACGTCATCGTTATGATGACTGTATGTACCTGTGTGCCAGGAAGTCTTCAGTAAACCTTTTTTATAGATAACAAAAGAGAGAACGATAAATGCACGGAAGAGGTGGGCGTGGGCGGTTCTGTGAGATGGTCTTGGCTGTTTCCCGGCCATGAAAAAATGTATTTCTTCAGCTTTAAGTTCTTTCAGCATTTCCAGAATCTTCGTTTGCAGCATCAGGATGAGTTCTAAAAGCCTGAAACCACGATTACAGTGTTTGCCTGCGACTTCCGCACACATTTCAGTAACTCATTTATTTCCTGTAACGTTACTCAAATAAACTTTTCTGTCGCACTTTCCGATAAGAATCACATGGAAATGTCCTTCAAAATTCGCTTCACAAAGTACGCAATATTGCGTAACGGTGTTTGCGGACTCTCCGCGCGAAAATGTGCAGTTCAAACTGGGCGAGTGCGCGAATTTGATTCGTTGTTGGTCCAGTCCAGGAAGTTTTCATAACTCCTTTTCTGTTTGCAGCCTTTTGCTGAAGTCAAAAATATAAAAGCGATTTTCTTGCAGGAAAATGGACGGACACAATGAGATGCTGATCGACAGAGCGGAAGATGCTCGCAAGCAGGAGATCACCGAGCAATACCTCAATTTTCTTGATAATCAGGTAACAAACTAAGAGATCAATGCACAAAACCGCGTATTAATTGTAGGCGGACAGCCATCAATATCGACAGAAAATTGTGAAAATGATGAACGACGGCGAAAGTCGTCTTGTGATGAATCTCGACGAAATCCGTGAGGTGCTTCCAGAAAGAGCCGAAGGACTTTTGAAGGAGAGTGTGCTCGAGATGACGTGTCTCCAGGAGGCTCTTCAGATGGCCATCAATCGCTCCGATGTTCAGGCTATTGTCAAAACGTACGTGACATGCGGAGAAAAGATTCAAAACTTCTCTGTTTTCAGCGGATTTCACGTCGGATTCGAAGGAACATTCGGCGAGCGTCACGTCAATCCACGCACACTGAAGTCTTCGTACCTCGGAAATCTCGTGTGCTGCGAAGGAATCGTCACAAAGTGCTCGTCGGTCCGTCAAAAATTGATCACTTCGGTTCACTATTGTCCGGCGACGAACAAAGTGCTCGAGAAGAAGTTTGCCGATTTCACGATGCTCGAAACCATCGTTACGAACAACGCCTACCCTACGGAGGACGAAAATAAGAATCCCTTGGAGACAGAGTTCGGGCATTCGATCTACAAGGACCATCAGACCTTCACCATCCAGGAGCTGCCCGAGTCGGCCCCCGCCGGTCAACTGCCAAGATCAGTGGACTGTGTGGCCGATCTGGACCTGGCGGATCGAGTGAAACCAGGAGATCGAGTTCGTATCATCGGAGTGTTCAGAGTGTTGCCGAACAAGCAGAACGGTGTCTCTACTGGCTCATTCCGTTCGATCATAATCATCAACCACATCCAAATGCTCTCTAAGGAAATCATTCCAAACTTCGAGCCGCAAGATGTCAAGGACGTTCGTAAAATCTCCAAGTCGAAGGATCCCTTTGAGCTGCTCGCTCGCTCTCTGGCCCCCTCCATCTGCGGCCACGAGGAGACGAAGAAAGCGTTGTTGTGTCTGTTGCTCGGCGGAATGGAGAAAGTGCTCAACAACGGTTCCCGTCTGAGAGGAGACATCAACGTTCTGCTCATCGGAGATCCATCCGTCGCCAAGTCCCAACTGCTCCGCTACGTGCTCCGTATGGCTCCGCGAGCAATCACCACCACTGGAAGAGGATCTTCGGGTGTCGGACTCACGGCCGCCGTCACGACTGATCCAGATTCGGGAGAGCGTCGTCTCGAAGCGGGAGCCATGGTTCTCGCCGACAGAGGCGTCGTTTGCATCGACGAATTCGACAAGATGTCGGACATTGACAGAACTGCAATCCACGAGGTCATGGAGCAGGGAAGAGTCACCATCTCGAAGGCGGGAATCCACGCGAAGCTGAACGCCCGTTGCTCAGTGCTTGCCGCCGCCAATCCAGTGTACGGACGGTACAATCCGTTCAAATCGCCAATGGAGAACATCGGAATGCAGGACTCGCTGCTCTCTCGTTTCGACTTAATCTTTGTGCTGCTCGACGAGCACGATTCGGACAGAGATGCCGACGTGGCTGGACACGTGCTCAAGTTGCACACGTACCGAACTCAGGGAGAAGCCGATGGAACCGTTATGCCGATGGGCGGAGGTGTCGAGACGATCAGTACGATTAATATGGAGACGAAGAAGGCGAGCAGTTCGATTTATGAGGAGAACACTCAGTGGGCAGGCATTCAGAAGTGAGTTGGATTTGCTTTAGAAATTAAAAACAACGTCATCTATTTTCAGCGCTAAAATTCTGACGATGGACTTTATGCGAAAATACATTCATCTGGCGAAGAATGTGCAGCCGAAACTGACGGACGAGGCGACCGAGTTCATTTCGGAGGTCTACGCCGACATTCGCTCGTTCGACATCACCAAAACGGACCAGGAGCGGACGATGCCGGTAACCGCCCGTCAGCTGGAAACTCTGATCCGTCTGTCGACGGCCATCGCAAAGGCTCGATTCTCAAAGCAAGTGGAGCGAGAGGATGCCGAGAAAGCGTACCATCTGCTTCATTTCGCGTGCTTCAAGGAGAAGCCTAAGGCACGACAGGAGTACGAGAAGAAGAAGCGAGGACCAGTCAGAGAGCACGACACATCCGACGAGGAGGAGGGCACGCAAAGCGAGCCGGAGCCGGAGACCGAAGAGCCGAGCACTGTGACGACTGCAGCGACGCCGAAGCGAGGAGTCAGAAGACGTGCTCCAGATGACACGCAGTCGTCGTCCAATGACACGATGGAGGAGAGCCAGCCACAGGCCAAACGGGCTCGTGCAGAACCGGCCGCCATCGGAGTCGATCGGTACAAGGAACTGAGGAAGTTTGTGCGAAAGGCGTTCGATGATCTCGGAAGCACTGATGACATGGTCGAACTCCATATTATCACTGACAGTGAGTGAATCTAGTGCATTTTATGTACTGCAATACTTTCTTCCAGGTGTGCAAGCTCAAGCAGGCTCCCACAAGTTCACGGAGGACGAGCTGAAGGCGGGATACGAGCAACTGGAGAGCGACAACGCCGCCATGATTGCCGACGACAAAATCACTCTCATCTGATTCATAATCATTCGGCCCGATTACTATTATACCGATCTCTTTTTCGTTTATCCATTCTTTTCCACCTAATCCCACTCACTACAACCTTTTATTTTCTCAAGTTGTACTATGCTTTGCGTTTCATCTTTATTCCTTTTATCATTGATTTTTCGTTTTTTGTCGCACTGGATGAACAGATTGAAAACGTTCATTTTTTGGGGGTAGCGATCGTCTGAATTCCAGTGGAGACTCGCAGGCGACGACGTCTCTTGATGGCCTTCTCCTGGCGGAACAGCAGGCTCGTGCACTCGACCGAATGCTCGCCCACCAACGGAATCGTGTTGGCCTGCGTCTGCAAAGATGTTGTGGAAACGGAACGGCGCTTCGGAGACTGACCCCTTTGGTCCGCTCGGTATCCGGAAACTCGAACGGTTTCAACTCGATTCTGACGTGGATTTCCTAGAGAAGACGAATTTTTGAGCGGCGAGTCTTTTCAATCCCACCCCATGTTTTTTGAACAGAACGACGTCGGCTTCGGCAATGTTTCGCACGTTGATCGCCCGCAAGTTCTCGATGATTTTCTGCTCGATCTGATTGGCAATACAAATGCGCTCTGCTGAGAATGGACAAACCTTGGGCAATTCGTTCCAATTAACTCGAACCTCAATCGATGGCAACGTCGATGCCATTTTTTCGACGAAGAAAACAGAAATCACTCGTAAAAAGTGTTTGTCAAACTTTTGAAACGTTTTAGGCTGTCACGATTGAGAACATTTTATTATTAGGGACTAGCGAACATTAAAATGGGATGGGACGACCCGTTTCACTCAAAAATAAATACAGCGCACTTGCCAGATGAGCCCGTCAACAATTCGCGTTGCTCCGATGCATTTGGGTGACTCGGAACGGCGAAGAACTCGCCGGAACGATCCAGTCCACTTCGCAGATGATCTTGTTCCGCGACTCGACCAACTTTTCCATGTCGTACACCGAATTCGGATCGAACACGTTCAGGTCGTTTCCGTTGGGGAAGAGGGCGCCGGCGATTGCGATAGTGCCCATCAGATCCACATTTCGGACAATGACGGATATCGAGTTGGGCGTCGGGCCGGGAGTCGATTGGATCAACGAGTTGGGCGAACAGAGCTCCAGGATCGAGTGCTGGAAAGAAAAGGATTGGACACAATGGGACAGAAGACTCACCTTCTCGAATCTCTTCATGAACACGATGTTGTCCTTGTACATGGTCGCATCCGCCATTATGAACTGCGAGAACGGGAACAAGTTCAGATTCCCAGAGAACTGAGGTTGCGACGATGTGATCACCACGAATTTGATCTTCTTCGCCGGAGCTCCGTAGGCGGCCAGGTCTGAAATTGAACGTTCGGAAATGAAAAATGCACCGCCAAATTACTCTTCGATATATGTTTCTTCTGAGCCGGCAGCCCGGTGTCAACGACAAAAACGCACTGTCCATCGCGGACCAGCACGGAGTTGGTGCTCAATTTCAGAGAGTTCGAGTAGTTTCCACGGCTCAACGAGGGAATTGTGAGCATTTGGAGCACCACGTTCGACTGCTGAAACTCAAGAATTTCTTCAAAATGTCCCCAGCCCGTAAGTAACCTTAACCGGCTGCCTCTTTCTTGTAGTCGTCGTTGTGGTCGTCGTTGTCTTTGGAGTCGTCAGAATGAGTTGGTTTTTGAAAGCAGGATCACTTTCTAGTTGTTCTACAATATCGAATACGTTTAGCGAACTATCGTAACCCACGGTACTGTACCTTTCGAACTCCGTATGTAGACACTGTAGTCGTAGTGAGATTGACGAGGGTAAAAGTGCCACTTGTCGATGACATTGAGCTGTAAACGCAGTTTTCGGTTAGAGTACAGTAATCCGTGCGCGTACCTTGTTCTGCCCTCCAACCAGGTCCACTAACAGCTCGGGCGGTCCACAGCAAACGTAATCCTGACCGTCCGGCTGGCAGAAACTCATTCTGCCGGCAGTTTGAAGAATGCACGGATCCGGATGGCCCTGTGAGGATTACTGTAGCTAGGGAAGGGTTACGGTAGCCTACCGGAAGGGTGGGCACACATCTCATCAGTTGGAGAGTGTCTTTGTGCCGTAGTTGAGTGAGCCCTTTGTCGCAGGATCGGACAAAAGCGATATTGTAGAGTAATCGGAAGAGTAAGAGTAAGTTACTGTGTCGCATGTCTGAAAGGAATCAAAAAGAGAGGATGGAAAGTGGAGAAATTAGCGGAAAAAGTGTGATACGAGACAATGATAATAACTCGAGTGGGCTCTTCCTGAGAGCCCGCTCCGGAAGTGTTGAGGAATGGCCAAACAGACTTTGATTTGAGGATGCGCAAAGGATACATAACAATTGACCGCTGCGCCAGCGAGAATCTGGTATTTGGTCATTCGATAGCAACAATCGGAAAAATTTGAGACATCGGGGTTGCGACCACGGGGAAAATCAGGGTTGAATGGATAGTGGTTAGAAATAGGGCTGTAATTTGAAAATGGAAAGGTTTGAGATGAAATGCTTAATTACAAAGTTGTTGAGCACAAAATCTGCAACATTTTCTTAGTAGACAATATTTTGAAAGAGCAATTGGTTTCCAAGATTCAGGTCTTCACAGATAGAGCAGTTGGAAGTTGATGATGTCACAAATTTCGAAGATTTTGAAAAGTTCAAAAGTGCAAAATACGTCATGAAAACTTTCGAAACGAGAGGAAACCGAACACTGTCCGTCCGCATGATCTCTCTTTCCTTCTCGTGCGCACAATTTTTTGGTAGCTCCTCCTTGCACGGTATTTCATTGATGATCTCACCGCTCGGGACGCCTCTTTTCTCTTAAGCCAGCCTCTCCGTAAACCGATATCCCCCCTTCTTACGGCTCTGGACGAATGAGCAAACATGTGTAGTCTAGAGAGAAAAGAATGAAGAAGAAGAAGAAGAAGATGAAGAAGGAGAGCATGATGACACAAAAACTTTTGGGATTTCGGAATTTGGATTGGGAGTCAGAGATTGAACTGAACGCTCGAGTCACTTGGAACTATCCGATCGGAAGATAACTTAGTAGAATCATAAGGTTCTATCTTAAGGTTCAAGTCTGATGCAGGAATCCCAAAGAATTGGAGAGACCTAGACTTTTGATCCAGTTCCAATTATTTTAACAGACCCTGATTTTGTAGGTATATTGGATTTAAGTATCATGGGTCCAAGATTCAGACCGATCGGATTATCTGGTCCGGAGAGGTACTGTTTTGAGGCCGAACAGGTCGAGTTTTGTCTAGCTCTGGTCCCAACATGAAACATGCAAGCAAACGAATGGCGTCGAGTCTGTCTCGATTCAATAAAAAAACATTTTTTAGGCTTCGGAGGCATTTGGAGCTTGTTCTTGGACCTTTAAAAAGTACACTTTTTTGATAGGTTTTTTGTAATTGAACCTCATTCTTTCGATTTCCCTCTCGTGCAACGAAGTCCATTTCGTACGAAACGCCAGATTATGCACCATAATCTTCTGTCTCGTTTGTGATCGCGGTCCCTTCAAAGCACGTCCAGGTTGCAGCAGGTGCTCATTAATCCGACGCATTCCTTCTTCGTAACGTATCCGTACGGCCTGCTCATTATCCCTGTCTGCTGCTCTCCCAACGGAGCTTTACTCATAATTTGAATCAGGTGCTCAGTCCGTGACATTCTTCCTTTCACTGACTTCAAAACATGATGAAGTTGACATTTCCAATCGTCTAATTGGATGCGTTGAATGTCGGAATTTCATTAGTACTCATATTAATCGTGACCAGACTAGTACCCTTTGAGGTATGTGATTTTCTCCTTTGATCAAAGTTGGACAGAAGACTCTTGACCAAACTTGCAGGTTTCTTGGACTTGGATTGAAGTATCTTGGGTCCAAGTTTCAGACCGTTCCGATAATCTCTAATACTGTTGAAAAAGAGAAGTTTTTGGCTCGCTACCAACTCCGATTCGAATGTCGAACCGTTTCTTTTTCAACAGTAAAGCTATACTGATTTGAAAAAACAGGAGTTTTGCGAAAACCCCTTTAATCCAAGTCCAAGGAGCCTATCAAGTTCGGGTAAAAAGTCCAGGCCTTTGAAAACCCTGGTCCGTCCTTTTGCCCAGCCCCCCTGAGCCATTTAGTTCTCCGTCCCCCGTCCTGAACAACCATGCATGCCCATGCCCAGTCGCGTTCTCTCGCTGCCCACTGACGTCACATTACACTGTACCTACACGACGTTGGACGCCGTTGCGGGTCAGTCCGTCCGCCACAAACGAACGAGCGGTCATGCAACAGACAGCTACTGCAGCTGGGGTCAGCGAGGAAAAATGTGTGGTCGACTGGGAGACGGCCACGTCAGACGAGTATTGCCACGTCAGACGGGGTCCGGGGGCTTGATTTTCGTGCAGTGTTTGTAATTTCGGTGTAGGTCGTTTAGGTTGAGACTACTCTGCTCCGTCGCAACCGGCTATCACAAAGGTGCGATACTTTTGCACCGAAAAGTGACTATCCTTCAATCCTTCAAGTCATTGGTTTCTCGAAATTAGCTCCGTTTTTGAAGCACAATATTAGCTTTCCGATTGTTTACAACTCTCTGCTCACCCTTTCTATTCATAACTGGCCACAGTCAATACAACACAACGTAGGGCCACTGCTAAGGTTACTACAACAAACGGTGAATCACCAAGCTAATAAGTGGCCCAATCACAATCGGCACTGAGTACATGTGCACCCAATGTAGAATGTTCATTCGGTGCGTCGTATTTCAAAATTAGAAACATTTTGGCCTTGGCCGGAAGGCCTTTATCGGCTTTGTCAACTTTTCAGATTTCCTCCAAATGTTTTTCTTTACATTGCTTTGAAAGTACGCCCAATTCTTCAGCGCTTAGGACTCGAATATCTGGGATTTGAAGATTATGGAAACATCTTTTTACATCATCCTGAAATGTTTTAATTAAGCCTTTCATATTTCGTAATCGTCTACTTCTCTCCATCTCTCTCTCTCTCTCTCTCTTGTGCCCATTTGCTCTTCTTCTTCTTCTTCTTCTTCTTTCCTTGTTGCACTTGCACTCACTCTGTCGTCGTCCTCGTCGCAATGCACCCGTCCCTTGCACCTCTTCCCTCTCTCTCTCTCTTCTTCTTGCCGCTTCTCTCGCCCATCGCATCAATCGATATCCATCGCAATCGTCTCGTCTCGCCTCCGTCTCCTTCCCCTACCCGTCTCTGTCTCTTCGTCTCCCGCACTCTCTCGTCCGGGCAGTCTTGACTGTGTAGCCGCACTCTCGTTTCTCTGCCCTCTCCGCCCCTTTTCACACTATTTCCACCCTTCCCCCCATTCGGCGGGCCTTCGAAATGCCCGCGTTAATAAGTTTTGTCGCTCGTTTTTTGTTTCTAATTTCGTTTGTTTATGTTGTTGTTCGTTCGTTCGAGATTCCGAGATTCGAAGCATAAGAGCCTGTTTTCAGAAGGATCGAGAAGGAATAGCTAGAAGGAATCCGATGCGTCCGTTTTGGGGACTCCCCAGATCCATCTAATAACCGTATCCCCTACTCAACTACAGTACTCAATCTGAACATCACAATAACTGAGTAAGCGTTTCATTTTTTATTTGTGGATGGCCTTGAAGTCTTATACTTCTTCAGTCTATAGACATTAGGCCAACATTTAGGCCGAATCCGAACAACCGAGGCACAAACCTATTCACATCTATTTTCAGAAATGCCATCCGTGTCTATCTTGAAACCTATGAAGGTGCGAGGTGTCACGAAGCTTCCGAAACCTTTCAAAGCCAAGAAGAAGGAGCCGCTCGCCCTGCCGCCCCATCTCATTGAGCAGATTCAGGCGTGGCACGAGAGCGAGAAGGCCAGCAGCAGTGAGTTTTTAAAAGAAATGGAAACTTTGTGCGTCAGAAAGAACCTTACAATTCGTGTAGTTTGTTAATGAGATACTGTAAATACTGTAATAGAAGGGCACCCCGCAAAATGAGCTAGAGCAGTTTTTAGTCGATTTTCGGACGTTTCCCACGTTTTGAGCACTCTGAAAAATAGAAGGGCATGTCCTTATAATACAGTATTTACGGTATGCGAAAACTATGGACTTCCAAAGCGCTCTGAATCTGAACTGACATCTTCTCTTCGTTCAACTTCAATCTTTACAGAATCTCAACTGACACCCTGTTACTTTGATCCGTCGACGGGAAAAGTCTATGGATCGCCGACTATTTCGAAGACGGACCCCAAGAACAGAAGCAAAGCCAAAAGTCCGAAATATCAGGCCAAAAGACACTTTTTCCTCAATCACTTCCGGAAAAACTCCAAACATGTTCGGAAGGCGAAACGGATGAGAGCTCTCAAAACGTTTTATCGGAGACGAGCGGCGAGGGAAGAAATCAGTTCATCACAAAAGGGGAACAAGACTCGCGGAGAGGTGACTATCGCGAGAGTTCGTTCGATTCCGGACCTTTCGAAGACTCACAAGAGCAAGAAGATTGAGAGTGAGTTTGCAGAAAATCAGCCAGTGATAAACCATGTACACTTCCAGCTCAACCGAAAATGACGATTGTGAGACGGAAAGAGGAGACGAGACCTTCTTTCAAAGCTAAGCGCCAAGAGAGTGAGTCATCAGTCATTCGCCTTTTTCTTTTTACGGACAAACATCTTTCAGACATGGCTATCCAGCATCGGAATCTGGAACTTCCAGCTAAAGAGTTGGCCGAAAAGCAGATGATCGAGAAGCTCCGTGGACCTCCCCGACTCTCCGATATTCTCAAGTTCAAAGTGGATAGTCATCCCAAACTGATTGTGCCCCGGAAGGAAGTGAACGACGCGTACAAGTACCGCAAATCAGGAGGAAGAGGACTCACGAGCTACATTTACTGGCGTGTCAAGCAGCTCAAGCGAATGAAGCTACCACCTGCCGAAGAGCGGGAAGAAGAGCAGAAGATCATGGCGATGGTGGACAAGAAAATGTTCCAGGGATTCCACGAAGCCGTTAAGAAGCTTGCGAATCCTCCTGTCCAGACCCGAACGATCGTTGGATTCGAAGAGAAGAGTATGGCATTGCAAATAAAAGACGCGAACGATTTGGCTAAGCAAGTGAGGGCGGAGGAAGGAGAAGAGGCCTACGAGCAAGTGATGGAAGTGGTCAACGAAATGAAGGACAAGGGCGCCGCTCCGAGCAACGTCGACATTCATGAACCACTCATTTACACGAAAAGAGAGTGCATGACATTCATGGCCACCAGGAAAGTGAACATGGAAGAAAGAGACCCGACCGAGAAGAACAAGAGGTTCATTGTGATCAGAAGTCAGGCGTGCAGCAAACCAACTGGATACGTTTCCGCGGTTCCGATGAAAGAGTTTGAGATCAAACAGGAGATTATGGAGGAAGAAGATGGAGAAGAAATGGATTGGGAGGAGGATATGAGTTTGAAGAGAGAAATGGAATTCGACTCGGATGCAGAAGTGGCCGCTAGGTTTGGTGACGATGAGTATGATGATGATGATGACGATCCGAAGCTTAATAAGGTTCCGAGTGACGACGATGAACCATGGAATCCTGTAGGAAACAACATCAAGTTCCCGGAGTACATGAGGGAATCTCCAGCGACGCTTTACGGCGAAAATGAAGAGTGGACCGAGGAGTTGAGAAAGATGCTGTGTCTCCAAATCCCCCCGCAAAGCACCCAAATGAGTACGAATCGGACCGCGGAAGATCAAATGCATCAGGACTGCCCCCGCCGCCATTTGCTGGGCGCTTCTCACGCGAATCGATATCTCTCGACCGTGATTCTTCCCGCCGTCGTCAGATCCAGCAGAACCATCAGAGGAAGGAAGTAGATCATCTTCGCCCACTCTCGTTGGCTGCAAGATTCTTCTGAGAAAAGACAGAGTCGTCCTTCCTTTCTCGAAAAAGTACAAGAGTGAGGCTATGCAGTACAAGGCGAAGGTGGAAGCGCAATTGGCCCAGTTCCCGTTGAACGACGTCCCCGACCATCATTCGACCTATTCCGATTACAATGAAAAGAAAGGGCGGAGATCCCTTTCAAAACTCCGGATGAGTCCGACACCGGAGATCGAAGAAATGCAGAAGGCAAGATTCGCGAGAGAAATCGCAGCACTCGCCAAACTCCAGGACGACGATTTCAAAGTTTTGGACGAAGACGCGTTGATTTCGGATCCGGTGGTGATGGAGAAACGCAAGAGCCTGATGGACAGTTTCTACAACGAAATGAAGGAGACCGAAGTGGACAAGATCGAGCCGTGCAGGAACCGAGTCGAGGCATGGGTCGAGGAGCAGTGGAAGATGCAGCAGGAGGCGCATCAAGTTCGTTGCCCCGATACTGGACTCTTCTATGGTCTGCCGAGACCACCACGGAACAACATGGTCGACACGGAAACGTTCAAGTACTACTACGAGCACAATGTGAACACAGACGGACCGCCGGCGCAGTACGACTCTTGCGGCGAGTCCGAGATCTCCGACATCTCCGAAAGTCTTTGGACGGCCGAGGAGAAGATTTCGCACGCCCGCCTCGTTTCTCACTTCAGTGACGGCATGATCAGCCTCGGAATTCAAAATTGCTTCTACTTCGACGACCCCAAGTACACACCGTTGGCGATTCTGGCGGGACAAGATAAGGGCGCGTCGACGATGACGGATGCGAAACTGAGAATGATCAGAGGGAAGGAGAAGAGGAAGAGAAGAGTTCGCGGACCGACCTATGTGATGAAGGGACCGATTCCGAAGGAGTTGCGGAGAAAGAAGCACCGGCAGGTGTGGACAATCGACTGGATGATGCGGAGAGTGCAGATATTCAAGGCCAATATGGGCAGGACACTCGGCAAGTACGGAAGTGTAACCGTGAAGGAGGAGATCGCCATCATCTGGAACGGCTTCAATTCGTCGTTGGACAACGATATTCCGGAGATTAATGAAGGCGAGGACGGCGTGTTCCGAGATCTGACGGCCGAAGAGCTAAAGTGCATGGAGATTTTCAAAGAGTACGAAGAGCACAACAACAACGGACAACTCTCGGTGCCGTGGGAATGCCAGAAACAGCGGCCGCGGAAGAGGGAGAGATTGGGCATCCTCGAAAACCTCTATCCACCTGATTTGGCGGCTGAGCTTATAAAGAAAGGAGCTGCTTTCAAACGAGAAGATGATGAACGAAGACGGCGTGCGACTCTCGGATACATGTCTATGTCGGATTCTTCCGGCGACAGGCGCGCTCTGTTCGCACGGGAGAATGTCGAACCAGATATCTCAGACGAAGTGGCATTGGAGAATGTGGAAGAAGAAGACGTTTTGAAAGGAATGGGAGCGGCCGAGGATGTCCCGATGACTATGGATGACTTTAAGGACATCGAAAAGGATCTCGATGACTTCCAAGCTGTCGGAATGACTGCAGATGAACAATTTGGTGTTCAAGAAGAGGTCACTGAGCCAGAAGGTATTCATGAAGCCGAGAAAATGCAAGAGAGTGAAGAGCCAGCTCAAGAAGATTTCTGTGAAGTTGAGCCTGAAGTTGTCGAAGAAGTAGCTGAATGCACCGAAGATGCTCCAGAAAAAACACAGAGTCTCGAGCCAGTTGCCCCTCCACCATCACTCCACGACGACGGACAAGTTGCTCCAGAAGCCGAAAAAGATGCAACACCTCAAGAAGCCCAAGACGTCAAAGAAGCCGAAGACTCTCCGGAAGTTGCTCCACAAATCGAAGCTTTACCAGCTCTCGAAATCAGCACGGAAGCTCAGCCGTTGCAGTTGGAAGAAAAGTCATCTCCAGATGAACCAGTCCCGAAATCTGGCAAACCTGCTGGAGACTCGTCTCCGAACTCCTCTGAACCGACGGTTTCCGAGCAGGAGCCAGCTCTGGAAGTCGTCGAGCCGACTGGTTCTAAACGTCGGAAGCAAGGAGCGCGGAAGAGGAAAGCAGATGCGAATCTTTGCTTAATTGAGGAACAGCTCAACAGAGCCTGGGTCACTTTGGGTGAGTCAATAGAAGATCCAAGATCATTGTCCAGTTTCAAATTTTCAGGTTACCAACGTTCCTCCGCAACTGAATCATGGACACCAGTTTCGAAGAAAAGCTCCGAGGAGAGAGTGGAACTGAAATCTACCGTCAGCCATCAGAAACTGGTTTCTGCTGTTCCACAGCCAACTGAAGAACTGATGCAGCCGTCTATACCTATCGAGAGTACCGTTGGGCCCCATCTCAAACCAGAAAAAGAAACTGTACCCATCTTGGAGCCAGCACCAGCCGACGTATTGAATGTTCAAGAGAAGGGGCCTCTGGGGATTGTGGAATCCCCGGAAGCGGATATTAAGGAGCCTGAAACGGAACCCGTCCAACACCCGGAGCCCGAAGCCATTGTCGATCAACTGCAGGAACAACCAGTAGAGTTAGAAGAGCAGGAACCGATAGTGGAAACTGCTGAAGTCCTGAAAGTTTTGGAACTAATTGTGGAGCATACTGTCCTTCATGAGCCGGAAGATCCCCAACCAGCTGGTGAGCCCATCCTGGAACAGAGCCTCTCGCACGAATCAGTCTCCTCAACTCATACCGCCATTTCCCATCACCCCGCACCAAGCATCGCATCAAATGCGCTTGAGGAAGAATAAAGGCGGTCGACCGAAGCGGACCACGAATACTCCGCAAGCGAGAACTCAGCCGAAGAGAGGAGTCAAGGTGGCGGATGCGAAGGAGCCGGAGCGGCAAGAAGAGAGAGAGAAAGAGGAAGATCTGCTCGCGCCGGAGCCTGAGCTAGAGCAACTTCCTGCCCGAGAGATTATTCCTGAAGACGAGCTGCTTGGATTGACGGAACCGCCAAAGATCAACTCGAACTCTCCCGAACTGTTCCTCGATCCATCTGCCTTTTTGACTGAGCCGTCTGAAGCTGCAATCAGTCCGCAGGACAGTGAATTGGAACTTTTGTATGGAAATATTGCCAACGAGGAGGACTTGCTGCTGCCCCAAAACTGCGAAGTAGAAGCTGAGCAACAACTCACTGCAGAGCAACTTCTGGATGATGTGGAGATGGAGCCGGTGGCCGAAGAACCTGTTGCACCTGTGAATCCGCAAGAACCGGAGAAGAGGAAACGGGGACGGCCACGCAAGAAGAGCATCAGTCACCTTTTACATGCAGAGAAGAAGGCTCAGCCGGCAGCAGATGGAGAACCAGAGGCGCCGAAAGCAGGAGAAAGCGGCGAGCGGAGCAGAACATTGATATCATTGCCAAAGTGCCAGCGACCAGATCGAAGACGATGTTCCTGTCGAAGAACAATCCGGCGCCACGTGTCCGAGGTATCAACTTGCCGGGTCCAGAGGAGAGACTGACCGGGGTGGCCCCGAAAGGACTGCCGCTCAACGACTCGCCCGACAGTTCGCCAGAAAAGATTTTGCCAATGCTGAAGAAGGCGATCAAGGCTCAAGTAGCACAAGAAGTTGAGCCGAAGGACGGAGAAGTGGTCGATGTGGAAAAGGAAATAGTCGAGGATTCAGAGTGAGTTCGAACGAATGAAATAGAGATCATAACCTTCCGAACATTTCAGAATCGAAGTCAAACAAGAAGATCCGGACGAGGCGTGGGTGGCTCCCGCCCCGATTCTCGAATATTCTCGCAAATCAAAAAAACGCCGACGTGAGGAGATGTTGGCCAAAACCATTGAGAACATTAAAACGGAGGACGGACCGCCCGTTGACGATGAGATCCAAGTTCTCATGACGAACATTGCGATCAAGACTGAGGTAGAGGACGACGAGTGCGTGATCATCCAGGCCAACTTCAACGTTCCGAAGGCTGTCGACGTGGAACCGGAGACCCAGTTGCCGAAGATTCTGGAGAGCACGTCGACGCACCGCTTCTGATCACTCGCCGCATTCTCGAGGGCACCAACGAGGTTTCATGAGCGATCCGGAACGATTCTGCGAGATTGCCATGCTCATTCAGAACGACACCGAGCGGAAGGGACGGGTTTTCAGTAAGTTCGAATCGGAAAATGATGAGGAGATGGACTGAAATTTCAGAGTCGAGCGCCGTCGTCGTGAACCGCAACAGTTCGTTCTCCGAGCAATTCGTCAATTTCTTGGCCGCAAGCTCTCGCGACACAATCTACAATGAAGGAAACCGTGAGTTATTCTTATTCAGATGACCTCCCACTCTCTGATTTTCATTTTCAGTCACCGACTACAACTGTTTCTCAGTGGCTCTTCGTTCACGATCTTCTCTTCTACTCACCGATCATGTACGCCTCCAAACACTCCTTCGACTGATAAGCTCTTTCCTTTTCCAGAGAATCACACCACTGATGCTGCATCAGCTGATCGAGAAGATCACCGAAATCAAGGACGGAATCAAGGACGGAATCAAGGAGGCAGCTCCCCCGAGTGTGTTCACAATTGCCGACAGAGACGCGATCATGTGGACGGAGAGAATCCTGCAGTGGCGGTACATTGAGAGTGTGCTCAAGTTGACCGCCCTTTCACAAGTGACCTGGGCCACAGAGGTTCATGTTAAGAGACGATTGGTTAGTCGCCGAGTAGTGGAATCTCTTCGAAACTTATAATAATTACAGGAATTGATCTACCACGGCTGGAAGATGTTCCTCTGCAACGGCGGTTTCATCCGTGTTCTCCTGGCTTTCGATCGTCCGGATATGAAAAAGATTTCCGAAAAGTTCAGGACTTACTGTACTGATTATCTCAAAGATATTGGTCAGTTTTCATCTTTGGACTGCACTGTTTAACCTTACTCATTTCAGATGCCAATTGGGCAAAGACTTTGGAGGTTTATGAAATGAGCAACGAGCAGCTCGAGGAGAGCATCTTGAAGTCGGTTGGACTCACCAAGAAACAAGTTTCCATTTTGGATGCCGATGTTTCACAAACTTCCGATGCTACGTACGTTTTTAGACCCTTCCAGAATCCGAACAACTTCTTACATTTCCAGACACACTCACAAGTGCACTTCCTGCTTCCTCGTCGATCAACCGATCTATTTCTCATCGGCCGAGCTGCTGGAGATGCACGAAAAGTTACACTCGGGAGAGGAGAACTGTCCGAGTTGCTTTGAAGACATTTCGGAATTCGAGAAGCCAATTCACAGATGTGCGCGTCACTTTTCACTCAAACTCGACGACTCCCTTGATGACTAATCACTATCACCTATTTATCTTTTCACACTATTTCATTGTTTGTTCGCCATCTTTTCAATGCTTTCAATTCGATTATTGATCTTTCTTCTTGTTTTGTCTCTTTTCATACACCGTTTTCTGAAACACATCTCGATTCTGTTGTCCCCATTCCGTACGTTAATCTTTTGACACCCGTTTAAATGACAAATGCATTGTATAATATGATACTCAGTGATTTTCGTTTAAATTCAATCGAGAATTCTTCAACTATACATATTCTCTGCTTTTCTTTTAATGAATTTGAATGATTTGATGTTCCAAACATTACATTTGCGATAGAGCGAGATAGCAATACGAAACGAGAACAATTAATATCATCCTTTGACGCCTCCGCAATACTTTTTGCACATTTGCGTGTAGAACTCGGTGATCTTCGGCAAAAGAGTCGGATATTGACTGTGAAGGTTCATGGAATCGACGACGTCTCTGCACGGCTGAATCACGGATTTGTCGAGGCGGTTGCAACCGAAACGCTGAAAGAATTATATATTTTAAGACTGTCGATGATCCTAAGTCTACCAAATATCTTGTCAATTTCTCCCAAGTGGTGGGCATCAGGAACCAGCTGTCATTGCAGATATTGCATGGATCTATGTTCTCGAATTGCGCATTCATGTGGACGATGAACACGCATATGAGGATAAGGAGAAGTTTCATGTTTGACACCTTAGATGACATGGGAAACATATATATAGTAGAAAATAGTCTGGGAAAAGTTAGAAGTTCTCATCTGCGTATGGGAACTGGAGAAACGTCTATTGTAGGGGAAGAAAAGAAGAGAACAATATAAATTGAAACGTTTTATTGAACTTTGTGCACAGTTTTTCAAAGTTGTCCCTCAAGCTCTTCGGGTTTCCAGTTGCCGAAATCGGTGAGAATCTTGGTGATGAGATGGGCGGGCGTGACGTCGAATGCCGGATTCCAGACGGGCGTTTTCTCGTTGCCAATGAGCACTCCGTTCACTCGGAGCATCTCCCCCGCAGGCCGTTCCTCGATGCGGATCTCCTCTCCACTCGCGATGTTCCTGTTGACTGTCGTGAACGGGACGACCGGGTAGAAGTTTATCGAATGTTGTTTGCAGAGCACCGCCAGCATGTAGGTGCCAATTTTGTTGGCTGTGTCGCCGTTCCGAGCGACGTTGTCAGCTCCCGTGAGCACGCAATCCACCTGATGGTTCTTCATTGTCCACGCCGCCATCGAATCCGTTATCAACTGAAAATGTACTGGAATCTATACTGGGAACAAGACCGAAGGCTTTACTTTGAATGGAACGTCTCCGTGGAGCAACTCGGTCGCCGTCAGTCTGACGCCCTGATTGTACGGCCTCGTCTCGAGCACGTACACCAGTTTCAGACGGTTTTCCGCGTGCAGAGCCCGGATGACTCCGAGAGCCGTTCCCCAGGATACGGTAGCCAGACTGCCCGTGTTGCAGATGGTCATCACCGTCAATTGGCGCTTTTCGGGGAACGCGGCCAGCAATTCCTGGTATCCATTCCAGACGAGAATACGGTTTTGCAGCTTTTCCGATGTGTACACTTCGACGAGATGGGCACGGATTCTGAAGTATTCTGTACAGAAACCTGGTGATTTAATTAATTCACTCACTTATCCAACTTCTCCGCGTCTGAATCTCGTTCCCGTTCCAAAATTGGGAGAACCGCGAGAAGAGCATTCCTCAAATCGACGGCCGTCGGTCGGGAACTGATCAGATACTCGATCTTCCTTCGGACGTCTTCTGATTCCAGTGTGGGCGTCTTCTGAATCTCGAGAAGCAGTCCGAGACTTCCGACGACGGCGATGAGCGGAGCTCCGCGCACTTGCATCGATTTGATGACATTGAAGGCGTCGGAGACACCGTTCACGGGAATGTACTTGAATTCATGAGGAAGGAGGAGTTGGTCTACGATTAAAAAGATTATAGAAGGTGTGATCGACAGGATTCTTACCCAAACTTCCAAGTTTTGACCGTCAAACTTCAGAGTATGTAGCCGTTTCGTTTCATCCGCGAGGAAAGAGTCCGGAATTGGACCATTCACAATATTATTGATTTTTTGAGCCATCAGTCGTATTCAGAAGAATAATAGAGTTAATGAGGCAATCTGACTGTGTCTGACCGTCAGTTTTCGGTGATAAGATAAGATAAGAAAGAGCAGAATAGCTGTTTGAGCAGAGAATGATCAGGTTTACAGGGGAAAAAGTGTAGGAATGTTTAGAGAGATCTTCTTTATGTTTTTCAAACCAAAAATTCACGAAGCTGGTTTTAGAACAGTCGGAACTGGCACAGGATTCCAATTTCCCACTGATAGCCGAGTTTCAAGCTGCAAATGGCCTAAGTTTCTCACGCTGCGGACTCCTCGTGGACAATCGAAAAAAATAACAATTTTTTTGTTAATTTCTATGGATTTATGACCAATTCTTGTCTAAAAAATGAAAATTCTGCAAAAATTAAAAGCAGAAAATGTTCGTTGTGTGTATCAACTCAAATTCTCGACCAGAGTACTGGGAATAGAGACCAGGTAAGACTGAATTCGAATAAAATTGCCTAAAAACTGAATTAGTTGTGATGACACAGCAGTGGCGATTGTTAATGACACGAGACAGATCTTGGCGTCCCAACGATTCACAGAACGGTCGATTCAATGGCAACAGGGAGGCATCAACCCGTCAGTGTGCGCGCAACAGGTTAGCGCTGAAAAAGTGGAAGCGAAGTGATCAATTTGGGATTTCAGCACCGTGAACATCTACCTCGACTGATTGAAAAGTGTCTGGATGAAGCGGGAGTGGCTCCGAAAGATCTGGACGCCGTCGCAGTTACCGTAACCCCTGGATTAGTAATCGCACTCAAAGAGGGCATTTCTGCGGCGATCCGGTTTGCGAAGTGAGTTTTCAGCGGTAAGCGATTCCAAGAAAAAGTTTAATTTCAGATCGTACAGTCTTCCTCTGATTCCCGTGCACCACATGCGGGCGCACGCCGTCTCCATCCAGCTCGTGAACGATTCCGTCCGATTTCCTTTCTCAACCCTTCTCGTTTCCGGCGGTCACGCACTCATCGCAGTTGCCAAAAGCGCCGAAGACTTCGAATTGTACGGCCAAAGCGTGGGCGGTTCGCCGGGCGAATGCATCGACAAAGTCGCTCGTCAGCTGGGTCATTTGGGGTCCGAATTCGACAGAATCCATCCGGGAGCGGCAGTGGAGGTGCTCGCTTCTCGTGCGTCCCCAGACGGGCACAGTCGATATCCGGTGTTCCTTCCGAGTGTTCCGAAGGCCAACATGAACTTCGATCAGATCAAGGGTTCTTATCTGAATCTTCTGGAACGAATACAAAAAAGCGGCGGAGAGACCATTGATATTCCCGACTTTTGTGCTAGCTTACAAGTTCGTTCCGATAGAATTAACCGCAGTTTCCATGTTTTTTCTGCAGAATACAGTCACCCGTCACATTGCCACCAAACTCCACGTGTTCTTCGAAAGCCTCGGGGACCGACTCCCAAAAAACTTGGTAGTCGGAGGAGGTGTCGCTGCCAATAAGTACATTTTCAACGGTAAATGAACCATCTGAACATTTCCTTTCAACTTTTCCCTCTTTAGCAGTCTCAAAGTTATGCGCGGCCCACTCGGTCTCGGCGGTCCAATTGCCCGTTTCGCTGTGCACGGACAACGCCGAAATGATCGCATTCACCGGCCTTCTGATGCTCTCCGATCGGTCTGTCGCCGGCCATTTCCCCTCTATAATTAACTGGTTCGGTTGCAGATCGGAGGCAATTTGGGCGCCGACGGACATCCCTGACACAATTTATGCACACGCGCGCACTGACATTGGTATTGACGGGGAGGGGTGTCATTTGCAGAATTGGATGGCATTCGAATCGGAAATCTTCTCATTCCACATTTTCAGGATCCGACGTCTCCAGCCTGATCCTTCCGGCACCACGTCGCAAGCTGGTGACGTCCTCGTTGCACGGCCAAGAACGGATACGATTTAGGAATTTGGATGATCTTCGAAAATAAAAATACACTGTTCATATTTTAACAGGGAAAAATAGGGTGGAAGAAAAGAGAGAAAGGAAGAGAGAACAACGAAAAAGCACAAGCAAAGAACGAAGGAGTTTCGAGAGATTCCGGGTGATGTGGGGGACTTCATCATAATCAGTTATTGAATGATTGGCAGGCGGTTTGAAGAGGGAAGAGATAAAATTGATTTTCTTTTTTCGAATGGGCACAACTAGGATTTCATTGGGTTCGCGGGGGTGACAAGAAACAGGAGGGGGGAAAGCTTCGAGTAGGACTGAAATTGGGCAGGAAGCCAGAGAAGGACTATACTTTAAAGCTGTATCACACATTAAGAAAAGAAACAGGAAAACGATTAACAGGAAATGTTTTTCGGGCACACATGCGTCAGAATGTAGTCCGTCAGCAGCGTCGGCACCGTCGTGCTGTCGTCGTGGATCGCGCGGAGGACTGCAAAAAAGTATTTGGTCCCCCGGTTAAATATAATCTCATCAGGAGATTCTGATCATGATCAGTCAACAGCTGACCGACCACTCCCGTCCATTTCTCTCTCCGATCCCTTTCGAATGACTCACTTTTAATGAGCGACGCAATCGACGCATTATCGATATGTTGATTGTCGTTGTACGGAATTGTGGCCGTCAAATATTGTGGCAACTGAGCGCTGTCCACTTTTCCGCCCTTCCGTTTCCGGTCGTTCGCGAACACTCGCCGCTTGTTCTGGATCGCCAAAAGAAGTGAAATGAACGAGTTTTTCATCTCTTTCTCGTAGTCCAATTCGTCTCTGAAAGCATGAAAAATTGAGCATTTTTTCTGGAAATCGGGTTTTTCTGGAAACCCTAGTGGAAAAAAAATGAAACGAACCGATGGGCGAGCTCATCAACAAGACTCTCGTTGTACACCCGAATTAGCTGCTCCATTTCGGCGCAGAGTGTCACCAATTTCGAGTAGGAGAGCTCTTGAAGGTCTGAATATTGAAAAATGACAATTGACAACTGGAAATCGCTTTTTTCTTTGCTTTGGTGCAATTTGTGAGAGGCTTTTCGGTGCTTTTAGGTTAAAATCACAACGGTACGGCGGTGTATGTGTGTGTGCGTGGGGTGTGAAAAGTGAACTGATCTGTTAAAGTGCGCTCCACCTCACTACTTGTCAGCGGAGCGCAATTGCACAGACACGCACACACTCTGCAGAAACTAAGGGCAAGCGAATGCGCTCCATTGACAACAGGAAATAAGGAATGGGATAGAGATAGATGGACGACATTGGCACGCAAAATATAATGGAAAATCTATATATTGTATATACCCGAGTGGAACGTCGCTAGTTTGGCTGCTGAACGGACAGAAATTGAAATTAAGGTTAGAAGTTGGAGAGAAGGGTTACGGTAGATACCGTAGTCTAATGATTGAAAAGTTTGTGGGAAAACGTGAGAAATGTGACATTTCTGGAGCAATTTTCTCGAAAGAAAAGAAAAGAGCACGTAAACTTACTGTCGGGTTGCTCACGAGAGCCTGTGCACTTCGGAGTTTAATGTCCGCATCGGATGACTGAATCGAGGAGGGAAACGGGGAACGCATCGACGAGTACATCGAATCGACGGACTCCATCGTCCGATCGGTCATCATTGAGCCGGTGAAGTCGCACGACTGAAAAATGGAAATTCGGATGGTAATCTAAGGGCTTAGGAGCTCAAACCGAGGCTTAGTTTGACATGGAACAAGAGTGGTATAGTCGGAACCTCTTTTTTTTCGGGTTCGGAATCCGTACCTGCAACATCTCGTCGATCTCCTCGATGACCTGATCGGCCGTCTGCGGGGGCGTCTCTCCGCCAGTGTCCGAGGATCCGTGGTGGTGTCCGATCATCTGGTGCACGTCCATCTGCTGGCGGAGCAGGTCCTCGTCGTCCGAGTTCGTCATGCTTCGGCGCGTGGAGGCGTCGTCTTTCTGGAATTGAGAAGAGGTATTGAGGAATTACTGGGTAAGGTTCTAAGGAAGTTTGGACAATGGCGACCCATTCAGATACCTAAGTACTCATCTCAGAGTTCTTGCAACCGCGCTCTACCGCAATCCCACATGACCGACCGTTAACTCTTCCGATTTGGAACTGAGTTCACGTAAAGTACGATAGCGCGTGGTTTCATGCCCCACAATGATAATCTGAATGAAAAAGGCCCGAAACCCGAAGACGTTTCTATGGAAAGAGGGGGTGTTTAATAGAATGGAGGAGCGCGGAGACAGAGTTCCCTTTTCCGTCCTGCCTCCTCCAAAACGGGAGAGCATCGGCTCGTGCTCGAGGGGCTCCCAAATCAATAAGAGCGAGACGGAGACAGAGGAGCAGAAGGAGGCAAAACAACGACGACTTTGCCTTCTTCTCCTTCCTTTGGCACCAGCTCCAGAGAAAAAGAGGGGAAAGGAAGGCACAAAGTGAATAACAAGTGGAGAAGGGACGACGGAAATGTGGAAGAGCGGGACGTTACCAATGAATCATGGTCCAGAGCGGCCGCCATCTTTTTGCATATCGAAGAAGTGGTAAAGTCGAGCGGTTGAATGTTTCCAAAGTTTCCGGTTAGCGTCCACCACGTTCTGCAATATAATTGTTGGGATAATTGGGAATGAGGGTCTGGAAATTTTATCCTGTGACATTATGAAAATCACGAACTGACTGAAAGTGTAACGATAAGTCAGCGTCTAGACGTTCGACCAACTTGCAATTATCGTATTGGATCCTATGGACTATTTTTATATTCAATGGAAGTTTGAACTCGATTGGATTTTTGAATCTCCCAATTCAGGCCTGTTTTTCTTGAGATCAGATACACAGAACCAATGCCTGATCGGATAATTGAAGGGTGAAAAGTCCAGACGAGCCAATTTTGAGTTTCAAAACTTTCAAACTTCACTTCCAAGAAAATGTCAAATTCAGCGCCACAAGACCCTTCTTTCCAATTCTTTTCAACAAAAACGCACTGGCTCTCGTTCATCACTTCCTCCTGAGTGCGTATTTGCACCGGCGCAATGTCTGCCGTCGTCACTTCGTGGTCCTTCAGGCATGCTGCGATTTTCTCGTCAAAGTTGCCGACCAGGTCCTGCAAAGAGAAGTTATGGCTTCCGAACGGAATGACGTTATTAACCTCCAGGGATCCGGAAAACTCGTCATGAAGTCGATCCTCGTCGCTGCTCTGACTGCTCGAGTGATATTGTTTCTCATCGGACGAATGGCTAAAAATACTCATGAGTTGAGTACACTTTGGCTCAAGAAGCAAGTACGTTTCGTGCTCATTCCTCTAGGGGCTCCTTCTAGATCCCATAATTAGATAATGTGCTCTGTGTGCGTGTGAGCTTCTTCTTCTCCCGAGTGCCCTCTCAACGACACTTGCCCCCAATCATCAATTCATTTGGATGGAATGGGGGTGAGAGGGGAAAACGTTTTATGGGCTGTTCTGAGCATTCGGATACAACTAATGAGATTTATGAATGGGTTTGTGTGCTCATTAACACTCTTTTCCATATGGATGGTCGGGATGAGCTCGTTGCATTTCTAAACTGCTTGTGCGAAATTTAAAAGATTGGATTGTCAAAACGTTTTCTGGACAATATGATTTGTTCTACAAGTACAAAGACCCTGGGAGCCCCCGAAAAGACCACAATCCCTTACTTGCTCAAATTCTTGTTGCTATCGATGTCCTCGTCGTCGCACGAGGCGAGCGGAATGTCCGGCACTCGCAGATCGGCGGCTTCCATTGCGATCTCTCCAAAACGCATCGGATCAGTAAAAGTTGTGGGCGAAAGAAAGACTCGAAGGGCGCAACAAATATGGAGAAAGAATAGGACGGGGTCCGGCCGGGTTGGTTGGCGGCGAAAAAAGGGGGCGGGGAAGTGATGGTGGGAGAGAAAAGGAAGGCGAGGAGGAAACGACGAAGGAGACGTTGACTTCGAGAAGAGGGAGAATGAGAGGGAGTGAGAGAGCCGAGAGGGACCGCCAAACTAAATGAATGTCCTCTGTGCTTCTGCTACAGCTCGCAACGACAACTGAGCCGCCGAAGAAGAAGCGAAGAAACTAAAGAAACGGAGCTGCTCCGCGCGCGGACGCGAGAGACGCCAAAGGCCGCGGAGACGCAGGCTGGCGAAGAAGACATCAACGGAAAACCGACCGCATATGTATTGGATCTCCCGCTCCGCTCCGGTCGTATGGGGAGGGTGCGTCTCGTCCGCACAGAGCGGAGAGGGTACAGAGAAACAAGACGAGACGAGAAGAGTGTATCGGAAATCGGAAATACGAAACCCTCGCTCTCTCCCGCGGCGCCTTCCTCTCGGGGCAACGACGCCGACAAGCGACGAGGAATGTGAAACAAGTATCCGAGAAGAAGAAGAGACAGATGAGCCCTCGGCTCTCGGCCGCCGGCTCCTTTCTTTCTGCGGTCGCACACACTGGTGAGAAACAGAGTGATTGATGAGTGGGGGGAGACGACATCTTTCCGAAAGAGACAAGCGCCGAAGAAGTTTGAGATTTATGTGCCAATCATTTTTGAAAAAAGATCAACTACTGATATTTTTATTGCTGTGCCAGTGCGATAGAGCGCAATTGTCAGACTTTTGCAGTACGAATAGCACTGAATTTCTGCAGCACTTCAGACGAAGATGTACTAATTTTATTAGCAAAATTAACTGAACAAACGCAGCGCATCAGATGCATCTGAGGGTTTTGGACAAACAAAATATCTGAATTATTTTAAGGACACGGCGTTTTACAGCTTTTTATAGTCTCGGAGAACTTGCCGAGAAGTTTGGTTGTCGAAAAAGAAAAAAGAAGAAACCACAAATGGGATAGAAAACATGTTGTGTGCCGGGTGTCCGGATCTTCGGATTCTGGCTCATTACGGGCTTCTCTTCAGTGTTTTTGTGGAATTAGAATGGTAACTTGACAAAAAAGTGTTAAAAAAACACAGTAGTACAACAAAAAAACAAGTTCTGCACGGCGTTGTCTAAAAACGGGAAAAGTTGAGTGTTCATGTCATAACAATAAGTGATTTATGTCCTGACAACGCCCCTTTCCCGTCGTTTTCGCACCTGTTGGGCTTTCGGCCGAGCAACCGCCAGTTTGTTGACAATTGTGCGTCAAATGGACTGGTTAAACTCGCAGTCAACAACACAAAAAAGAACAAATGGACGTAAAAATGGAGGAAAGAAAGAGTGAGAGGGAGAGAGAGTGCACTTTGGGGCCATTTTCTGGGAGGCAAATTTAATTTCGACTCGGGCGGTTTCAAATGAAAAGTACTACGTTAGCAGTTGAAACTACTCCGGATTGGCAGGGGCACAAATGAGCGAATGATAGAAGTTTATTTCGAGAATGAATATTATAGCCTAAACATTAAAAATCTTACACGTCGCGACGCGTCGTCAACTAACAGGCCTTGAGTCTTTAAGAAGACGATCCGAGTGGAGTTTTCTGAAGAAACGGTAAGGTTTTTGTTTGAGAAAAAGCTTAAAGATTACCTAATGTACAGAATATTAGCTGCTACCAGAGCGATAACGGTGACGCCGAGCACTCCGAGCATCCGATTTTTCCTCTTCTCTCGTAGGTATTCCTCCTCTGGATTTCTGCAAAAAAACGGAACGTGCCCAATCTGTTTCGGACGGGAAATCTTACCTGAAATGCGAGTATACTGTGCTTTTGGCTTTCTTGCGCGCATCCGGAATCACATCGGCACTCCATTCGGCTCTTTGTGCATTCGCCGACTTGAGGACATTTGCTGAGTCTTCATTGTCGCCTAAGCTTTTTCTTTTTTTTTCGGATGATCTCTAACGTCTGGCAATCGCGCTCTACCTCACCCATCCCAAGTTTGGCGGGAGAGCGCGGTTTTCCGTCCTACCTCCATCAGAAATCCGCCCTCTCTGCTGTTCGCCACATCGTACTCCCTCCGTTTTTCCTCACTTCGCAGCACGTCGTACGCTTCCTTGACGAGCATGAACTGCTCGGTTTCCGAGGCGCCCGTCGCCCATCCCACACGGCTGTCCGTTTTGGTTTTACGCGATTGATCGGGATGAAGCTGAAAGTGCGCTCTGATAAGAAATTTTGGAAATTCTGAAGATTTACCTGCTTCGTCTTGGCTAAAAACGCGTCTCTTATTTGTTGTTTCGTGGCCGTCGGGGGCACTCCGATGATTTCATAATAGTTTTTTCGGGTGATGTACGAGGCGAAAAAGCGATTTTGGAAAGGGACACGGCGCATATGAATCAAAATCACTGGAAAGTCAGCGCAATTTCAGGCTGAACCAGATTCAGAAAGCGAAAATTGGTTCGAAAAACCTTCAAATACAAGAAAATCCCAAGAAAAGGCAATAAAGTCTTCATGGACCGGGTCAGAGTCAGTTCTAGTATCACGGTTGAAAAATCATGCAGGAATGCGGCTAAAAACGTTCAAAACGGCCATAAGCCAGTCGGAGGAGCTCAAATGGCTCTGAAAATGATACACGTTGTGGTGAAGGTACATGGAAACGAGTGTAGAAATGGAGATGGTGGCGAAGAACGGAAAATCAAAGATACCGAGTAGAATTTGGAGGAAAAACGCGTTGGCCGACGAGGAGACAGCCAGAAACGCGAGCGTTTTGGGCAAGGAGCTCAGCGAGCAACAGTTTTGGAGAGTGTATAGTACTAGATGGGTCAAATTGAGGAAGATGGTAAAACAGGAAAAGTAGAAGAGTTCGGTGTCGAAAGTGAGAGAAATCGAAGTGGCGGAGAGGAAAATGGCAAGGAGATGGAGGAGAAATGAAGGAATTAGAAGAAGGGGATGGAATTGAGCGGATGAGATCAGAAGACGTGATACGATGGGAAGAGGAGCGAAGATGTAGACGAGCCGGTACTGCTGGATGAACTCGCGGACTCCGGGCGTGATGAACAGCACCATGTTTCCTGGAAAACAGAAAATTTCAGTTTGAAATAGTTGGGATATGTGATTTTTCAGAACTCGAACTGTGCTAAAAGTCAAACATTGATTGAAACTCAACAATTTCCAGTCCAATAGTTGGAAAACCGACAAACTTTTTCGGCGCTTTATCCACTTTCCCGCAGTCCAAACAGCCATGTTTTCCCACCCGTTCCGATTCTCATACCGATTGCGTAAACGGCAAAAACGATCGTCAGAAGTGCATAAACTTTGCGTGCGTACGCCCTTCTCTTCCGTTTATTCGTTGCCGCCACCGCCATTTTCAACTTTCCGCCCGTTTCTTCTTCTTCCGGGAATATTGACTCGTCCTCTCCGTCGCTTTCCTCTATTGATATCGTTCTCATTTTGTGATGGTACTTCTGAAAAAAGCTTTGGAAAAGCGGAAAAATCTGCAGCAATCGAACTCTCTCAATTTCCTTTCTCATTCGTCAAATCAAAATTTCTCTTTTTGTTTCTGAAAATGAAGAAGTTAGTAGTAGGTTAGAAGGTGTAAACCAATACACACGTGGAAATTAATAGATTAATTGCAGACGAATGGTACAATTTATATATCACTGACAAATCCCAATATAAAAACGTATAAATTAGCTGCGATAGGTGAGAAGAAATACTTGGATACGAAGAAGCGGTTGGGTTTGAACAACTGGGGAGAAAAACGGTGGTGGGCAAAATTATCGAACTCGAAAGGGCATTTACTTGTGAGCCGGCTTTGCGTAGATGAGATCATAATGACCAGGACGGTAGAGCAGAGTGATTTCCGGCACGATCGGAGTATCGGAAGGAATGTCGTAGCGGAAGCCGCCGTTTGGAGCGGCATTCCGATCCATGTACTCGATGCGAACGAGCAGGTCGAGCGCCTTGACGAGCCCGATGATGCTCAGATGATCGGCTTCCCGCCACATCGCCTCGATCTCCCCCTCGCAGTACTGAGCCATCGACTGACCGTTTGCGATGAACGGCTCGTACTCGTCGGTGTGCTCCTTCAAGTAGCCGGAAGTGATGAGACGGAAGAACATCAGTAGATAATTGGCGGAGTTGTCGTCATTCAGCTTCTCAAAAATTGAGCACTCGTCGAGTTTTTCGGTCAGAATATCATTGAGGAACTCGACGAAGTAGTCGCAGAAGTCGGTGCAGGTCCAGTCCGGGAATCCCAGTCTCACGAGTCGCTGTATCCAATCGCGAGAACTCTCCAAGAAACGAGCGAGCCGTTCGCGATCCTTGAGCAGAATCTCGATGACGCCGACGAGAACGGCACGATAGAAACAGTTTCCGTCGCCGCGAATGCGACGAATCTCCGAGTAAACTTCAGCGAGCTCAGAAGCCTTTTGAAGGAACGTTGGCGAGGTTTCCGCGTTGTAAAAGTTAACCAGTTCAGCCATTGGAACTTTCTCGCCGACCAGTGCCACCGATTTTTGCTAAAGATGTTAGTTTGGTACAATTCTGGGTTCAACTCGCAACCAACCTCATCCTCAATGCATTTCGCTTGTTGGTCGAGCAGCGCGAGGTCGTCTGGCATTGCGCTCGACGGCTGATTCTCGTCAGAAGTGTCCCGAACCATTCTTCGCCTGAAAAGTTCACTTTTGAGAAACGTGAAAGGAGCACAAACAAGTTTAAATGAATGACGTGAAAAACATGACAAAAGGTTCTCAAGCTTCAATATTTTGGAAAAAACTGGCGGCTGACATCAGGAAACTACAAACAACATTGCGCAAAATTTTCGCGCGCAGCTGGGAACTGGAGTCCGCAATACGCAAACACTGAATGCTACGACATGAGTACCGTAATCTTTAAATCAAACTAAATATGAATTATTTTTTAAACTTTTTTATGCTGAAATTTTTTCCTGATTAGCGTTTTCAAGTGCATTTCATTTAATCGATACTGTTGGATTAATAGCTAAATCAATAAAAAAAATTTAAAAATTTAATCGCTTGTTTGACTTCAGAAAATGTAGTCGTAAAAACGTTTTGATAAACTTTGAGAACATCAAACAAACGCTTCTTGTGAGTCTTTTCAAAAAGCGGAACTTCTCTTTTAGCTTGTCTGCAAGAGATATGAGGTAATTTTGACGATTCGATCAGTGACATGAAAATCAATTCACCTGGACAAAAAGTGTGCCGGAAGCCGCGTGCCTTCGCACGGCTTCCCCTTTCAACGCCGGCCAATGCTGGCGCGCTTTGCGTGCCCCCAGCGGACACATAAAACACGTCATAGACTGCTAAAAACCGGTCCTTGCGGCAGCGGCGCCGGCTCCCTCTGGTCAGTTTGCGCATACTTGGGACGAGAAGGCACACACCGGAATCCGCTCTTCTCGTGCTCTTTCTTCTGTATGCTCTTTTCTCCGTTTCTCTGCCAATTATTAGTTGAGACTCGAAAGTTTCTCTCGTTTCTTTTTGCTGCGCCGATAATGGTGATTCTTAACAGAAGGGAAAAGACAAAGAGCTCATTGTTTTGTCGTTTTCTTCTTTTTCTCCCTTTCCTTCTTTCCTCTTGGGTGGTGGTGGTGCGCGCAAGACCAGCAGCCGGCCTGCCGGCCACACGCACACAATTTGGGAGGACACAGACTCCCGAATCGATAATTTTCTCAAGGGCATCAACGGACACCCCTCCTCTTCGCCTCCTTCCGTCTTCTTCTACTCGCACCCGGCCTGTTGCGCCCTTTCACTCACACTTCAACTCCTTTGTTATTTTTTCTCACTTTTTTGAGTCTTCTACGGTTTTCTGGTTGTTCGCCAACTTTCAACCGGTCTCTGTTCTGTTGGCATTCCTTGAGCCCAGAGTGTTTCTCGTTTATGCTCCAGCACTTCTTTGTTTTTACTTTGGCCAAATTTTCAAAAAGGATGACTCATTAGACAGATAAACATCTTAGTATGTTCCTTTCTAGATCTTTCTAGCAAATCTCTATCGTTCGGCTGCCATTCCAATCAAACTATGCTGAGAATTCCCTAAGAATTTCGTAACGATACAAAGAAAGGTGCCATTAAAATTGCGTCCCGTGTCGAATGGCAATTAGAAAGTGAACAAAACCGCTTTCACCTGACGTAACCGAACTGCAGGGGCAATTCCGTTCTTTTTCGAGGTGAACGGCTTCTCGCTTCCGGTTCTCTTCCCTTTTCCGTTCGCTTCTTCTCCTTGTTTTCGTATACATCTTCGTGTTTACTGCTCAGATCCAGGACCGATGAGGGAGTTCAAAGTGGTCGTTTTGGGCAGTGGCGGTGTCGGAAAATCGGCGCTTACGGTCCAATTCGTCAGTAGCACATTCATCGAAAAGTACGACCCCACAATTGAGGATTTCTACCGAAAAGAGATTGAAGTGAGTGTGGCCTCGGGCATTTCTCTCTGGAATTCTAGTCCTCTCAGGTCGACGGCCAGCCATCAGTACTCGAGATTCTTGACACGGCCGGAACCGAACAGTTCTCATCGATGCGGGATCTTTACATCAAAAACGGACAGGGATTCGTGGTGGTCTACTCGATCACCAGCCAACAGACATTTCACGATATTCGCAATATGAAAGAGCAGATTGTCAGAGTGAAGGTGCGGTTGGAAATGGAAAAAAATGAGAAATACACGGGAGATTGTTATTGTAGGGCTCGGAAAATGTGCCGATTCTGCTGGTGGGCAACAAGTGCGATCTTTCGCATCAACGACAAGTCAGAAGTGAAGAAGGACTCGCGCTGGGTGAGTTTTTAGGAATAAATACGATAACTGTCCCACCAAGGGCAAATATTCAAATATAAGAAATCTTTTTTCTGCATGTTCTGACACGAATTTCACACAGAAAATGAGGCTTTTGAATACGCTTTTCCAACGTTTTGCTTTTCGCTGATTTTGTGGCCGTTCGCTCGGTTTTTGAAGGCACAGCAACAAACTGCTTCGACAAAATACAAAAAAACGTAAATTTGAATGAAATACTCGATTAAAAGCGAACAGAAATGCGAAAAAGTCCGAATTTTCGATGCATTTCGTGACAAATGCGAATCGAGGTCGAATTGAGCAGAAAATGTTCTTTTCTCAAGTTTACTCATCTGTCGACAGAAACATTCGAAGAAAAAAGGATATAAAGTTCAATCGAATAATTTTCAGCCGAAAGCTGGTCGTGTCCGTTCACCGAATGCTCCGCGAAGAACAATCAAAACGTGAACGTGACGTTTGCGGAAATTGTGCGAGAAATGAACTACGTGCAGAGTCGATCGAGGCAGAGCAAAACGTGCTGCACACTCATGTGATCTTGTGTTCCTTCTCCCTCTCCCTGTTCATGATCTTCCACTAACCCCTCCTCTTGATTTAGGCCGAAATGATACCAAATGCTATCAATAGAGCGCATTTGCATCGTTTCTCGGCAGACCACCATCCTTTGTGAAACGCGATTTGTAGATTTGTTTACGGGCTTCTCCTTTCCTCTTTTATCTAATTTGGCTAAACTTTTTTCTGATTTTTTGCATGACTCACTCCCACCCATTTCGTGTGCTATATACATGATGAATCGGCTCTTTTTCACTCCCTCCTCCCACTTACTTATTATTCTCTGCTGCGCTGAACATTTGTTTTCTCTGGTTTCCTAGGTACTTCTGTGCGTTCTTCTGGTTTTCACATTGTCTTTATTTCACATCAACTAAACAACTTAATAATTGTACATATATATCTGAATATTTGAAATTCAAAGAAAAAGTAAGTGACGGTCGGGATAAGAACGGAGAGAAGAGCCGACAAGGAGGCGGGGCTCGAGTTACAGTAGTCGCCGGTGCACGTGTAGCACTGGCCGGTGCCTCCTTGCGCTTGGCAGTTCGTCTGCAAGTTTCAGAGAATAATCAAAAAAATAGTCTTGCAGCGAGAAGTGTTAGGTGTAAATATGTGCAAATGTGCTCTTTTTGAGTTTGAATTCGCGAACAGTTTTGGAAGCGTGTTTTGAAACATGGGAAAAATTATCAATCGAGCGTATTTGCAGCTTACAAACAGAACACCAATTAATTTTCAATAGAGCGCGTTGGCAGTCGTCACAGCTGAACAAGACCGATGTTTGTAAAATTTGCAAGTCATAACATTTGAAGCGTTTTCAGTCTAGTTTCGTTGCCATCTATTATTTTATTTCTGAACGGATACAATAAACAAAGGGGCGGTTTCATCGGAAACTTGAATTTCCGCCAATCAGTGATTGCGTAGCGCCCCTATCTTGAGCTATATATGTATTATAAGGGCATCGCACAGAAATGGCGCTCTGTTAAGATACTCTTTTTGCAGTGCAAATTGAGCGACCTCGGGGCCGAGTTTGAAAAGTTAGGTCACGTTTTCAGTGGAAAATTACTTCACGGCCTAGAAATTCGCGTAGATTGCGAACAGAGCGCCATTTCTGTGAGATGCCCCTATAATATTAGACCTGAGGGATCACTTTCAAATTTTCAGTAGAGCGCGCTTGCACGACACCGTCAATACAAAATATGCGTACCAGAAGTGTGGTGCACGAGACGGGCGGATTCGCCGGATCATTGCATCCCTTCGTCGTCTGTGTGACTGAAATTAACGCATTTTATCAGTGGAGCGCACTTCCGATCACTCACATTTCTTAGGACTCGTGATTTTACAATCGAACTTCATGCACTGATAGATGTTCGACGGACACGCCTGTGTGAACACGCTGGCGATGCTGTTCTGGACCCAACACGTCGTGCATTCTGAATGAATGGAAACCGCCCTTTTCACTCGGATGCCTATCACTTACGACTCGACGGAATCAGAACGAGAGCGACTAGGACGGAGATCAGAAAGTGGAGTTGCATTTCAAAAAAAAAGGAAAAGAATGGAGACTGAAAAGGGAAAGAGGGCTCTTTTTAAGCGGGACTCCAGAGCGTTGTTTCCAATGGTTTCGGGCCCCGAGTTTCCAGGCGACCGAGCCGAAGCACTACGAAATTTACGACGATCTTCGGCGGTCTTGTGTGCTTTCCCTGTCCGCGTCCTCTTCTTCTTTTCGTATAAACGCATTTATTACGAAGGTGCGCCGCCCGACTGCGAAAAAGATCATGAAAACAGAAAGACGAAACGAAAAAAGGTGGAGGGACCATGGAGATGTGCCCGATTTCGCCTAGACTTTTTGTTGCTATTTTTTCTGAATAGAGAAGCAGTTCGAATAGATCTGTGGTGATGGACTATTCTTTCTGTTATCTGTGACAATGACGGAGAAGATATTATTCAGATCGGAAATAGAGTTAAAGAGAACAAATTCGATTAATATGGAACGACTAATAGTGAGAATTCAAAATTTACGGCCAATTCGACGGTCCAGGCTCTCCGGCCACCGCCCGGGCTTCCGCCTCTTTCCGTGCTGCTCTCGCCGCTTCCGCGTCCTCCTCGTCCGTCCGTATTCCCGAAAACAGTCGCAATTCGGTCGGCGTCTTGTCTTTCGCCATCAGAGCGACTCGTTTGCTCGCGTAACGAAACAGTCTTATCACTCCTAACGTTTTCGCCGCGCACATCAAATCGAAAATTTGCGGATGGTCAAGAGTCGAGAAGAATCGTTTGTCCCAGCACAGGTGAGCTGCGAATTGAAGCATCTGGGGTACTCGATTAATCAATCGCGGGCCAATTTCCGTTAATATTGGCCAATCATACGTCAATCGCGAGCCACATGGCTAACAATTGATCAACCCGAGAGCGGTTGATCAATCCGCGACTAACAGGCTCGCGGGTTGACGTATCATTCGTCTATCATTGGTGAGGACTATATAATTGATCAATCGCAGTTCACCTGTGGGCGAAGAAAGTGGACTTATCGCGGATTTCTCTCCTCGTCACGCGTCAACGGACGGTCGTCTTTGTGCTCTTCGCACCATTTTATGAGTCTTTCAAGAGTGTCGCCGACGACTTGGTTCACAAAGAGTGTGCTCTGAAAAAAAACATTGTCAATTTACTGAAAGTTGGTTTTGTAACAATCTCTTTTTAAATAAAAATTCAAATGATACCAACCAATTCGGGACTTTCCCTGGCTCTTGAATGCAGAACCCACGATTGACGGATGGCATCGGCGGATATCGGGAAGATCTTGTCGTCTGAAGACTTCAGCTTGTATAATTGAGATTTCTGTCTTTCAGAGCTATTCGTCATTGAACTCGTAGAATTCTGTAAGAATATCAGTAATGAAAACGGAAGAAAAATATTTTTTCAGAGAAAAAATTAAAATTTATGAGTCCGTGACAAAAGGTCGGAAAACCAAAAAGGTCGGAAAGCCAAAAGGTCGGAAAAAAGTGACAAAAGGTCGGAAAAAAATGCCAAAAGGTTGGAAAAAAAATGCCAAAAGATCGGAAAAAAATAACAAAAGGTCGGAAAAAAATGCCAAAAGGTCGGAAAAACTGCTAAAATACCTGTTTCCTGACTTTTTATAAATTTTTTCCGACCTTTTGGCATTTTTTCCGACCTTTTGGCATTTTTTCCGACCTTTTGGCATTTTTTCCGACATTTGGCATTTTTTCCGACCTTTTGTCATTTTTTTCCGACCTCTTGTCACTTTTTTCCGACCTTTTGTCATTTTTTTCCGACCTTTTGTCACAGACTCAAATTTATTGTTAATGTGTGCGATTTTGTGTCGCATTTGTCACGTACAGTACAACCGAATTGACGCGCAACCTATTAACGCTCAATTTTTTAAAAACTCACTCAAAATTTGCCGTCTTTCTTGTAGAATCCTCGTGAAGTTCTCTTTTTTCTTCAGAATCCTCTCCTCCCGATCGTCAATCCCCATGTCTGACGAAAACATCTACCAATTCGTGTCTTCCGACGGCAGAAGCCGCCACACGATCAGTCTGAACGCAGTAAGGCAAAGTATACATTTCCGGGAATGCGTCAACAACAAAGGTCCGTCCTTTTGGACAAGAAAAATCGACGAGCCGCATGTGATTGATGTGCGCGGAGAGATCCTAAATAAACTGATCGAATGGTGCCAGTATCACAGCGGAGACGCTCATGTCGAGAACGGAAGGCGTCGTCGTCGGACGTACATTCTTTCCGTTTGGGATCGAAAGTTCCTCGCAGGAATCAAGACCAATGTTCTCATGAACGAAATATTCGAAGCGGCGTGCTCGTTGGGAATACTAGGACTTGTTGAAAGGATGGAGGATTGGATGGAAACCTTAGGAAAGCTGATGCGGGAGGGCTCAAATGCGAGAAAAGGTAATAACGTAACTCGGAACTTAAAATTGTTTATACATTATTCGTCTAGGTACAGAAACGCAATCCGCGCCATTTGTCGTACGGATTTGGCTTCCGGAGACGATAAACTCAAGCTGAATCAGATTTACGGAGCACTCGCCTTCACGGAAGATGAGGAGGTGGAAGAGGATGAAGAGCAAATGGATGAGAACGAGGAGCCGATGATAATAATGGACGACTCGATGGACATTGACGTATTCTATGACGAAGAAGTCGGTGGACGGAAGCGACGATCGGACACGGTGTCTGAGCGTCAGCAAAAGATTTCGAGGTCTAGGTTCGATATGGACATTGATGGGTGATGAATCATGTGCGATTGTATATAATTTTGTGATGCTGAACTTTAAATAATAATTACCCTAATAAACCGCTCTCTCCTCCCCCACTTTCTCAGTTCTCATTTCGCCTCGATCTTGCAGTGGTACTTACTAACTCGCTGAACAGACTGAAATATAATCAAAATTTTCAGAATTTTTTCTGAGCTCAACTGTTCTCAGTTTCAATCCAATCAACTTGCAAGCGCTTAAGCTCAAGCGGAAGTTCTGGAATTTTAAAGATTTTTAAAGGGAAAACATGCCAATTTGAGCCAAGAAAAGTTTTTTTTTAGGCGAAGACAATCATGATGAACTGGAACCAAAAAAGACCAGCGCTGAATAAATTATTTCGAAGTAGCTACTTGTTGTGGAAACATTGTGTACTGTAATCGATTATAATGTTGTATGTTCTTTGCCCTTCATTCTTTCAGTGTTCCCGAGCCTTCTATGGATTGTTATAGGTCGCAAGTGATCAGAAGTACTTCCATAACCATCAGAAGACACTCTCCGCACCTCGGATCCGTATTATGAGTCCGCCCGGTTTCAATCGCCAGATCTGGCAATTGAAATTCTCCAGTTCTTTCCCTGAAGGGGTAACGCAGGTTCTTACCCCCTGATTGAAAGATGGAGGATACCGGGCGGACTCATAATGCGGATCCGAGGTGTGGAGAGTGTCTTCTCATGGTTATGGAAGTACTTCTGATCACTTGCAACCTATAACAATCGGCCATGTCTAGCCAGTATCAAAACACTGTTCGATCGGTTTTCGGATTCAAATTCGATAAAGTGAGGTAAGTTTTATGGGAGTTCAAGTGTACATTTCATTTTCAGATGCCGAAAAACAGTGTTCAGACGATATCTTGATGTCTTCAAATTCGAATCGTTCCTGTAGATTATCGTAGAGCTTTACCATTTCACGATAACTGTTCTGAAAAGAAAAGGAACATGGAAGTTTTTGTGAAAAAGAGAAACTCACAAAAATCGGTGCGAGGAGGAGTGTCAGGTCGGCCATTCGCATGGCGATCTCGAATTGATCCATCTTTTTTTGCACTTTATAATATTCAGTGAGGGCCAGTGTAATCCCCATGTACTGTTCTTGGGCCACAATTTTCAACGTGACACTGAAGTCGACAAGCCCGAGTTTCCAGATGCACAACACTTTGAGCACGGCGTACTCGACAGGGTTCAGCCGTAAACGGGACAAGGAAGCGCCGACTGTTGCCGTAAATGATCGATGAACTTGTTGAGCAAATCGAAGTCTTCGTCAGAAGATTTCATTATCCGATTCGGGTTGGAAGGTTCCAAATCCGCCCACAAGGAATCCATCCAAAAACTGGCGAATGCACAATACTGAAAGAGGATCACCATGTCAGTCTTGTCTAGTAAATCAGTTCCAGGACAGGTTTGACAGATATCCAATGCGATTCGCTCGTTAGTTTTCTTCAGTTTGAAGAAGTTTTCGAAGGAAATGTCGCTCAGAGGGCACTGCGGTCGGTCATTGAGTTCCAGGTAATAGTGCATCAACTGATCTGCCGTCACATTCAGAATTGTGAACATTTCCTCATCGTCTGTCTTCGCAACAGGGCTTTCCATTTCGGACTCTTCTTTCTTTGCGTTAAAGTGAAGAGTCTCAAAGTTTGACGTCGTATAATCTGAATTGATTGAAGTGTGACTTCATCTGAATGCCCCCTTTCACTCACCTCTGACCACCAAAACATTTCCGTTGCAAATGGATTCTCTCACGTATTTGGGCACTTTGCTGAGATCTCTTTTGCCACGAACCACTGAAATTGCATTGTGAGAAGAACTGATCATTTAGTTGATACTTACATGATCGATCCATTCCAGCTCGTTCACAACCTTGGAAGCGACACGCTCGGCAGCCACTTCTTACCGCTGAAAACGAGAAAGATGATAATAATACTAGTGTAGAGCAAAGTGACTGACCATGAGACACTGGACAATTTCTGTCATGTTTGCACACGTACTGAATACCAAGGGAAACGGTTCGGCGGAAGAACGAAGCACATGCAAGACAGGTGATTGAGCCGAAATGCTGGCGAACATTCATGTGGATATCACAAACGAGACACTCTTTCTTGTCCTGGCCCACTTGCGAATTACCGTCCATCTCTCGACACACACACACTAGAGAATCGGAGGCCGATCAGAGACGTTCCCGTCCTTTTATTCTGGTCGGCTAAGATTATGAACGGTGAAAAAAACGCCGAAACGCAGAATTCGGTCGCTTGCCATTTTTTGCATTCGTCCACCCACCGATTTTTGAAGATAAGAGGGCGACGGGGCTGTTTCTTGAATACGGTAGAACTTTCAAAGTTTAGCAAACATTCTTGACATAAAAGGACGTCAGATTCGGAAGGTGACAGTAGAGAAGAAAAAGCACGGAACGATGAGCGGGAGGATAGATCAGAAAGTATTAGAGGATTCTCGAGAAGATCGGATCGAGATATAAGTCGACTTTTCGGGTCTTTCCAGGCCTCCGCCACCTCCAACACTGATCAAAAACGTTTTCAAGCATTAATTGGAAATCTGGAAGCCAACCTATTCTATTGGAAGCCTTTCAAAGTAAACGCGCTCTGCCGAGAAAGCACTCCATGTGTGATCCTTTTCATAATACTCGATCATCTTAATTTTCTTGTAGTAGTGCTCCAAATCCACCATTATCCGTCCTCTCTTTCACTTATCAAAGTGTACTGACACGAAGAAGTAATGTGTGTGTGTGTTTTTTATTTCTGGCCGTGTCCAACATCTGCATCAACTGTACAGGTCTGTTTCTGCCGACAAGCGGATCATTCTCAGTCCATCTCCGTGTAGATCTCTCGAAGATGGACCACGAAAAGGAAATCGAGATCTTTAAAGACATACTCACAGATCAAGAATACCATTTCGCAAGAAGGGTAATTGTTCAAGATCACACGTCAAGTCCATTCTGCCGCCACTCACAGTGATAGTTGTCTTTGGAGGACATTGTCAGCAGACGCGGAGTCACTTCTTGACTTCAGCTCGGCTGCTGCTCGTACACTCTCCTAATTCGTCTCATAGACGCCCGTGAAGAGATGTTTCCTGGCGTCTGAATCGTTTTCTCTTTACACTTTCATTGAGCTTAACCTATAAAGGATCCATTCCCTTCCAAATAACACTTCTCAAGTACTCTGAGAATTTTGAGCAAGGGTGCGGCACGTAGCAAGCAAGCTGCTGCAGAAAACGGCACGCGCGCAGCAATTTGAACGCGAGCCTGTATCGAGCACGTGAGCAAGCAGCACAGTAGCAGCACACAGTCAGCATGGGTTGAGCATGAATGCGGCAAGCAAACGATATAACGGGAAAGTGAGGAAGCTATCTCGATATGCGGCACGCGCGCAGCAAGGTGGGCAGGGGCGCAGCCAGGTGAGCAAGCTGCTGCACAGGGAAGCATGGATGCAGCATGGATGCAGCTACCCAGGAAGGAGCAAGGAGCTCTGTTGGCGCAATAGAAGCGCCTGGCACCCAAATTGTTTATTGCGATTAGTTTCATTTTTATTCCGACGATTTCTTCAATTTTCACTCAATTTCGTCCCGATGATCAGACTCTAAAGGAAAAGTGAGTGAGTAATTCTTATGATTTCTGAGAAATAAAAGTCTTTGCAGTGACAAAAAGTCTCGAGAATGTAAAACAAAACTCATGTTCTTCAACTTGGACCACCGCGAACTCGACGTTGATTATAGAGCGGAATTCCGCAGTCTCGGATTCCTGAACGCGTACAGTGACGATTTCAACAAGAAGCTACTCTTCAAAAGACTATCCTCTGCTAGAAAGAGTTATTTGACGGGAACATTTCGACTACAGCTGAAAGAGGCCTTGTAGGTAAGTACTTCAGTTTAATTCTCATGAAAGGAGTCTTTTCCAGGATCATGCCAACTACGTTCCTCCGACCGACGGTTCGGCACTCGGAACTTTCGAATTGCGCAAGGTAGGTATGAATTGAGTAGCACTGTAATGCGAATTAATTTCAAAAATCTCAATCTTCTCACTAGTTTCGACAATGAGGATCGCGTAGGAAACAAGAAAGTTCCAGAAATCAAGACTGTTCGTCACATTCGGAACGACGAAGCGGTGAAGCATTCGGATCCGAGGCCGGTGATCGCCAAGGATCACAATGACTTGTACAAGCCAACGACTGGCAATCGAGGCGGAAAATCCAGAAAGAAAGAGAATTTGAAGCCGACGATTGCTGAGAATCAGGAAGAGCCCATCAAGCCACCGACAATCAAAAGGACGAGATCTTCGATGAAAAAAATGATAAATTCCCGGCATTTTTGTTACTTTTTTCATTCTCTGAGTAATTAGCGCCCGTGCACCACAGCGATAAGTGCCGAGAATGCTTTGAAAAATCATTGGGAATGTGCTATTTTTAAGGACTAGAACACATTCCAATTTGCAAGTTTGTTAATCACTTTGTGGTCCCTAAGGTTGAAACGACAGTCGAAGAATCGATTAGACTGAAAGTTCGAGGAGAAACTGTTAGAAGCGGTTGTGAGAAGGGCGAAAAGAGTGTACGCGCAACGGCCGATCTGGTGCGAGAATGAATTCAGAAAACCAGTGTTTCTTGTGCACTACAGATCTTCAGAGATAAACCTTTTTGCGGGAAGGTTTCCCGCGGGAAATCTCCGCTGATGATCAATTCCGAAAGTTTGATACTCTGTTCCAACGATGTGTGATCATTGACTGACCGCCGGAGGTATACAACTTTTTGAAGATAGTTCTCCTCAACTAAATCTGACACTCGGTCCGTTATCTCATCGCTCAGAAACAAGTATAAAGAATCGGAACGACAATATTGCACTCATCGAGTCACTGTCACCAGAACAGTTAGGTTGATGATCGGTCTGCTCCGAGAGATCCGAAGAGATCCGAATCCAAGAGCATAGGTTTTGAGCATAGAGAATGCGTTGCAAGCGATGTCTAGTTACTTGTTTATTTCAGTCAATTTCCGGCACATTGGGAGATTTCTGAGAAATAGATCACAAAAAGGAAATTATTCTGCACGACAGGCTATGAGAACATTATCTGAAGCTGTTCCGGCCGCAAGTCGACTGTGCCAGAAGTGCCTTCGCCTCCGCCACTGGACTCCACACTGTTCCCTTTGCAGAGTTTTTTGAGGATCTCGTGCCGAACCTGAACTCTTTTTCATTCAAACTTTCAGTCTTCCCCCTGGAATGTGGACCTCTTGGTTCGAAAAAATGAAGACGGATCCGTCGACACAACTGCCGAATGCGTACAAAACGGGCACAATGATATTGCACTTGGCACAATCGTCTCCGAAAATGAACGGAATCAGTTTGAATGAGGCGTAGACAACATGAAAAATAGGGAAATGTAGGCGAATTGGACGGTGAGCGAGCGCTCGCGATTTCTGATTTTCTGCTGATGCTTCGAGTCGACTGAGGATATAATCGTCTTGTTCGCTTTGTAGATCGCCACGAAAACCTAAAGATGTATGTTACAAAGCGAATTCGTTTTTCCATGCATACTATAGCGTAGCATATGAGAACAATTGAGAACATGACAATTGTGATTTGTGCGTCTATGATCTCGGACAAGTTCTGCTGGCTTTCCGGGTTCAGGTAGACGTATCCGAACTGTGCCTGATCCAGAACCGTCCTGATGTAAGATTATTATAAAACCACTTACAAATAGACAATACTTACATGCAACACGGAATCGCGAACTGATCTAATAGGATTCTGGAGATGGAGAGCACTGTTGTTATCGAGAAATAGAAGAGGACGTGGGCTTTCGTGAGAACAGCTGTCTTTTCGAAAACAACAATAAGCACTCGGTTCAGCGCCATCATCAGCATTATGAAAACAGTCATGTACCAGGTGAAGTGGCCCACACCCGAAATGATAAACACAGGGAAGGAATCGGCACGGTCCGAGACTAGGTAACTCTGCAATGGGAATCTTATGATGATACACTGTGAAATGGCAACTTGCATCGGTGACAATTGCTGGAGAAAAGTAGCAAATGTTGACGAGCAAGTTGAGAATGTCTTTGAGGACCGTGAACGTCGCGATCATATTCATCGCATTCTTGTCGATCCGGAACGTCAACCGAACGAGAGGGACCAGAACGGTCAGGTTGATGACCAGTCCGGTGAGGGAAAGTTGGAGGAAAAAGTAGCCGAGAGCTGTCTTGAACATTCTATGAAGAGAAGCCGAATGGAGAGAGCTCCAATCTTCGTTCTTTCAATTACTTTTGCATCCGGTGTGCATTGTGGGCGTACCATTCAATAACATTCGGGGGAAATAGGGTCTAGTTTGAGAGGGAAAGCATTGATCACATAGAAACAACTTGTTATTGCAGAATACAGAAGAAAGTCCACGAAATGTTATTCTCAATCAATTCGTTCCTAGTTACTTCCGTGAGGTTGAAGAATAAGGTCATGACAATCATCGGGCTCAAACATGTAACAAAGAGAACCCGAAAGACATTGAACAGTATAATACTAGCAGATACTTGATCCGTTCAAACTCTCGAGGCTGATGTTGTCGATCGCAAGGAATTGGTGTTTTTTGACGCCATCGACGAGGAAAAAGATCTGAAAAGAAGAGCCGTTGATGGATTATTGTCGGGGGGAGAACGTCTATGTGAAACCTTTTTGGATCCAGCTTTCAAATTCACTTTTTCGTTAGTGTGCCAAAATTTTCAGTTTCGATTGCGGGAGATTGATACGGACAGTTTTCAAAGTTGTCGATGCACACCTGAACATCGTTTGAGCTTAAAAGTCTATGAAAAAACTAATTGTGTACCTTCAACTTTGGATATATCGAACGAATGTACACATCAAACACTAAGACGCAGTCTTCGATGAGAGCAAATTTCGGAGATTCCACGACAAACACATTTCCAAACTTATTCGTCAAATCATCCCCAACATACGCGAATCCTACTGCAAAGAGAAACGATTTTTTTAGAGGAGAGTTCCGAATTACCGTTTTGCTGATCGTTCAGATTGACTCTCTGTATGCCGGTGTGCCGGTTTCCAACCAGATGATTGCTCAGATTCCATGAAGATCTGAACAAGTACAACGTGGAACCGCTGAGCTTACGTGCTCCTTACGTGCTCCCCGATCCACTCAAACTGAAGAAACAGGAGTCTTCTTCATTGAACGTGCAAGTTAATGCGGAACACGGAGAGAGTTCCTTGACACTGATCTGAGGGTCCACGTTTGAGGTCTTGGCCTTAGAAGTTAAATGCAATATTAATGTTCTTCAGTTGCACCAAATACCTCGTCGGAGAAATGCTCATCGAAAAACTCCGAGACTTTAGCGTCTGTGTAGTTCTGAGTTGTGACAGAAAGTGTTGAAATATCGGAGGCATCTTGTTGAAAAGTAGTGTCTTCCACCTTAAACATTTCATTTCTTCCTTACTCAATCTTTGTTTTTCGTACGATTTCGCAAATCTGTCCATCGTATCGTAAATTGTCGATAATAACGAAAGAATCAGTGTCTAAATTCGATACTTCTATGCGTATGCTCAGTCCTTCGGCGGTGAAAGGGATTGACAGATTCAGTGGGTTCGAAGTAGGATTCATGTTCTAAAAATAAATCTCTTTTTTCAATAAACATCTTATTATATTACCCGACAATCTTTAATATCGCTTCCCGCTTCAGTAATGCAATATTTGAGTGTGGCAGTAAAGGAGTTGGTCCAGAAGCTGAAATTGAAGAATTACAGATTGCATTTCAAATAGAATTCCCACTCAAAACGAAGTTCCGCATCTCCGTATTGACACGGTACTTCCACTTCTATCGCAGCCTTTCCTGAACCGAACTCTCCACCTGCCAGCAGAAAATGTTTGCCTGAAAAATGAAACGTTTGAATTAGGTTGTTTCCCTAGTACCTGAAGTCAGTCCATCGAGATTATTTGCACTGAGCTCATTATCCCGAGCCCCTTTCCAAAATCTGAAACATGTGAACACTTTGAATAATTACGAAGCGGGCCTACTTGAGGTCAGTGTCCTGAGCATTGTGCCAACTACATGCTTCCATGTCTTCTTCGAACGAACAAGTCGCCTTCCCTCCCTCTCCTATCGATAACTGAGGCGTTTCGGGGAAAGGCGTCAAAGAGGACGAGGAACGGATATCTGAACAGTTTAAGTTGCAATACACTTTGAAACAATACAATGTACCAACCATATGCGGAAAGTGACAAGTGAGGTGTGGAGTAGTCAATGTCGAAGGTTCTCCGTTCGAACGGCCGTCCATCGACGTGACTCCGCGAGCTCTTGCACGAGAAAATGGCTGCTGAGAATACTGAGAGCTGAGAGAGTGACATGCCAAAGTGACGCCTGAGAATAAATTTGTCTTCAACCTGAAAAAAGTAAAAACATACCTAAGTCGAGCAAAGTGAGTAAACAGACAACAGAAGAAATGTTCGATTTCAATTTCAATTCCATTCGAAGTAAAATTCAATTAATTACTCTCGACATCCGAAATACCTTTTCCCGGAAACTCAAGGTTGAACATCGGAAGTGAAGTCGAATGGAAGCAACTTTTCGAGGAGCGCAATTATCCGTTTCGGGAGTGAAAGTAGGTTACCGGGGAAAGTTCGGATAATAACTTTGTTCTCGATTCCATATAAGCGACCAAGTTCAATGAAAATGTTTATTTCTCGTGGTCGAAATGAAAAAGAGACAATATCAAATCCTGCGTGCAGATAAAATGTTGACAGACACAATGCACATTCCTTTGTGTTTTTCTTCGATGTTTGTCGAACGTACATATCAAAACGGACCATTACCAGTCTGAAAGTAACAGTTCTGACTTGCATACATTTGAACGATTACTTACCCATCCAAAGCATAAATAATTGCAAACGATAAACTGAGAAAGACGAACTGAAACCATTCGGAATCGGACAATTTGTAAATAAGTGTGCAATTGAGCATATCAAAGACGTGGAGCGCGTCCTGAATCACGTTCTGAATGAACATTGCCAGCCACTTCTGACGTCTCCGTGCTTTCTGCGCAACATTTATCCCTGATACTTTTTCGTAGATCAACTTGGAGGCAGTGATGACGTTGAAGACAAGGGAAACGGCCGACAAGAGAATGATGATGGGCAGCATCCAGCCGTCCATCGAATCCGAGCATCTCGGAAGTTCGGGGCTCCAGGCAAGGGTGTCCGGGTGGTAGATCAGAACACAAGAGCCTGTTAGTTCTTCTTAGAAACGGAACCGATTCAATTGCTATTCTCACCTATCATTCCTGTTATTGTGTAGTAAAGCGATATGATTACGCACACGAGAATTGAGAGATTCGTGCTTGGATACCTTTGCATTTTCATGCGCCAAAACGGGAAAAAGAGGAAGAGCACTCGATTGGCAGCCATGCAAATCTGGCACAACGGACCGAATATGTATCCGCCCGAAGCGGTCACTTGAGCGATTCCAACGTTCAGGGAATGCCAGACATGATCGGTCGGCATGGAAAGTGCGGAAAGAGGGACCGCCCAGAAGAGAAGCGCTCCGCAGATGAGCGCATTCGAAAGGGCTTTGGCGAAACAGAGCTTTTGGAAGGAGTTCAGAGCCTTCCGGATCGAAGAAAGCTTCAGAACTAGGAAGGAGTTGATGAGGAGGCCAAGCAAACTCACCTGGAGCACATTGGGATTCGAAAAAGCAAAGCGGAAGCTTACCAATAACATCAAGACGGTTTTCACGAAGTGGTCGAGCATGACTGAACATAATCCAGAGAATACGGACTAACCGCGTTCCGAACCAATTGAATGAGCGAAAAACAACGAGAGACAGGTGTTGAATAACCTAATTTCGTTTATCTCTTCATGTTTACGACAATAAGTGCTTAGAAGAGGTCTGATTTTCGAAGACTTTTGTTGACCAATTCGTAGAAAACTAATCAAATCGTCAGAAGTGGACGACGGAGGGATCATTGCGGTCCGCTAGTACGCCGAAGGACCTTTTCCGAGGTGTCTGCAAAACACAGGGAACAGAGCTTCCCATCTCAGAGATGATGTCAACCAGAACTATTATATTTATACAGAAATATTGAACGGTACGATCCTCAATGCTGAACTTTCACTCAGTTTTTTCTTTTTAAACTTTGTCCTGCACCAGCTCGGTTGGATATCTTGGTTGAATATTAACATTACAAATCTGAAACCGTCACTGATTCGTTCAAAATCGTTCTGTTATGTACGTGCCCGTCCAGTGTATAAATCAGAATTAAGGAAAGGGTGAGAAACAAGAACTGAAACCATAATTGTTCGCTCAACTTCCAGATGTACGTGGCACTGATAATATCGATCAGATGGAGACAGTCTTGAATTACACTCTGAAATGGAGCACCAATGATGATAGAGTGTTCACAACCGTTCCATCTGAGACCTGCGTGAACATGAGCAGCCGTCGTTTCCTCCTTCTCTTCGTCTCTACTGCGCTTATTCCGTTCGCTTTGTTCATGAGAAGTCGGAAGGCGGATGCCACGTTGAAACAGTTGAAGTGACGGTGACAATGGTTATGACGCAGACGGTTCTGCTCGAGAAGAACTCAGCACACTCGTCGATCTCTGGCGTCCACTGGAACAGCTCCGGGTCGTACACGTAACCGCAGCCTTCTACAAGTGAATAAAATAATAGAATAAGTTATCACTTTTAGTGATTGGTTTGCTTTGTGACACCCTAAAGTACCTCCTCTCGTCGTCTTGTTCTCTCAACTCAATATCTCGCTGTTCACAAGTAGTCATAACACAAAAAGGAGACTTTTCAACGAAATTGATGAATCTCAAGGTACACGTTTCAAAAGATTACCCGGTAAACTGAACGCTGTCAAAACGGAAACAAGCACGATTGCAGTGAAGATGTACGAGTTGGTGAGTGGTATCTTTTCGATTAATTTGATGCCAAATGGAAAGTAAAGCACGTAGAATCGATTGCAAGCCATGCCCACTTGCAGCAAAGGCGCTGAACACACTTCGACTGATATTCCATTTCAACTTTCTAACACTCACTCAGAAAATAGGCCCATGCACCTGCCAAGGTTCCGATAATTTTGTTGATACAGTAGGGCACTTCCGCGGAAGTGTACAATAGCGATGTGGAAGGGATGACCCAGAAGAGGAATGCAGTGCAAATCAGGATGTTCGGCACAGTCTTGACCAGACATATTTTGTGAAATCCATTCGGTTTTCCGTTTCTGGTCACAAACTTGATTAGTAAATAAGTGTTACAGATGGATCCGAAGAGACTGATCTGAAGAATTAGGTGTCAAAAGAAACGGAAAAATATAAAAAAGAACACCTACGATCAGACAAGAAACAATGCCGAAGACGAAAAATGCAGGAGACAACGAGGAATCGACCTCGCCATCTTCTTTTGTGGTATTATTTTCAGCCGTAATTTTGAGAACGCAAGTTCTTGTGAGTGAAAGGTGAGTGAACTCACCTGTTTTCTGTCTGAGATTTATTCAATTGAATGCCATTCCTAGTTGGAAATGATAACCTAACTGAAAGAGAGAGAGAGAGAGAGAGAGACCGACAATGATAATCTAGGACCTTTTATAATTGAACAAGAACGTTTATATATTAGAAGTGGATGCTTTCGAAGCGACCACAATCACATTGCTGCTCCTGGTTGGCTGCATTTGAATGACCCGATGGAACCATTTCGGTTGGATATCCGAATTGAAAACGAACATTACCACACTGAACACTACAATATTTACGATTGTTGGAGACTTGACACTCACCCATCTAGAGTGTAGATTATTATGAACGAAAGTGTGAGGAAAAGAAACTGATACCACAGTTCATCGCTCCACTTCCAGACATACGTCGCATTCATGATGTCGAAAAGGTGGAGACAGTCTTGGATCACACTCTGAAACGATCGGACATGCAGATCCTGCTGTCCTGACTTGCATCACCTGCGTGAACATGATCATCCATCTTTTGCGTCTTCTGCTCGCCTCTTCCCTATTCATTCCGACCATTTTGTTGACGAGAAGACGGATTCCCGTTCCCACATTGAATCCATTCGACGTGAAAGTGATGGCGAATATCAGAAAGAGAATGACTTCTGAGAGCTTGGAGGCACACTCCCCGTCTTCGGGCGCCAAGTGAAGAAATTGGGGTCGTAGACGTAGCCACAAGTGTCTGGAAGTATGTTTTGTTGCTTTGCTAGTGATTGGAACATACTTTGAAGCCCGACTGAACAAATACAAGTGACGATGACAACGAACGAAATGATGGCGATGTTAACGACAGGAACTTTTTGGAGCATTTTGATTCCGAATGGAAAGTAGAGTACGTAAAAGCGATTGCACGACAGACTGATTTGCAGAAATGGAGCTGAAAGTGACCATTGTGCACATGGAAATTGGGAAAACTCAACTGAGCAGATAAGCCCACGATCCTGCCACGTTTCCAATGATACTGTTGAGGCGGTACGGTAGCTGGGAATAAGTGAACGAGAAAGCGGTGAGCGGGACGACCCAGAAGAGAAATGTGAAGCAGATGATGAAGTTGGGCAGGGTTTTCACGAGACACACCTTCTGGAATCCGTTCGTTTTGCCCTCTCTTCTGATGAACTTGTAGAAGAGGTAAAGGTTCATGGCCGAGCCGAAAATGCTTGTCTGCAAGAGAAAGTGTTCTTTGAAATAGCACTGAAAAACAAATACTCACAATCAAGCACGAAGCAATGGCGAAAACGAAGAATCCGGTGGACAAAAGGGCGCTCGCCGGCAGCTCTTCTTCTTCTTCTTTCTGTCCCTCTTCGGACGGCACGATAGTGACATTTTCGGATGCAATTTTGGGTTTCTGCCTCTGAAAGACACAAAAAGCCGAAAGGTTATTCCTCAGAAACGCGATCTAATATTATTTTCTATTCGGCACGCTAATATTTTTCTCATTCTTTCTTGATTCTCGATTCAGGAATACGCACGAGAGAGACAGGTGAAAGTGAAATTCAAAAAATAGATGCTCAAAGATCGGAAGAAGGAATCTGACAGATCAATCGGATCAAAAAGTGAGCAGAAACGTTTCGAATTTCTCAATCGGCCACTGTATTCGTGTTATTGTGTTATTCAGTTCCAATAATTCCGATTTCCATAAGTATGCGGATTGATTTTTGATGCCAGGGTATAAATGAAGCAGTTTTTGAGTGGAGAGTCCACGCCAGAATATGTTCGCGCCTGTTATTATTGTCCTTCTGGTTGGGAAGAGTAAGTTTTTAGGGTATTGAGGGAAACAGATGAATATTACAGTAACCTCCCAAACATCCACCTCAACCCTTCCGTCCACTCATTCATTTCCTGCGTGCTCCAGTTCATTCACCGAGTTTCAGGGGGCTTACTACTCTGTAAATGACTTTTATTTCCTATGAAAGTGGACAATTAAGACTTGCAGCTGATTGAAACAAACTTCGATTGGTTCACTTCGAAGGCAATGTGCGAAAGCTGTGGAGGTTACATGATGGGCTGGCCGACTTCTGCCGAACGAACTTTCATTGATCGTAAGGGATCAGTTTAGTACTCTAGTGGCTCCCTTTTCAGAATCCCTCGGAACAGGACTTGCTGCGTGGAGCTCCGCGTGGGTGAACCTCCGCACGGACTACTGGTGCTCTTTCTACGTGATCAACTCATCGAAGCAGTTCTCCGGAACTAATTGTCTCAGCAATTTGGGTTATGTCCTTTGCAAAAAGGACTCTGAATGATGTTTACAACTCGAAATCATTTCATTTCGATCATAGAACAGTCAGACAAATAAAAGATTGAATCAAGTTCACATTATCACATACTTTGGAAGATTCGGGTTGATTCGGCTCTTCACTTCCAGATACTTTTTGAATTTGGCCAAGAACAGCGGCAGATCGAATGAGAAGTCGGTGTTGAGAAGGACGGCGTGATCCACGAAGTCCAGCTCAGTGTGCTCCAATTCTACGCCGCAGAACACTGGAAGTTTGACTCCGCGGCGGTTCATTGCGAATCGGAGACGCTTTTTGACTTGTGGCCAGAGCACGCGTGGAACGACGAACGAGAAGAGCTTCTCGATCGGAGCGGCCAGGGGACCGCCGAGTCCGAGCTGAAATGGGATTGGAAATGGGATTGGAGTATCATCATGCCGTCGGGGCATTTCATTGTGAATGAGTTGTGTTGAGAAACCCTCTTTTTGTGATCTTCGGGGCCTATCTTTGCAGCCGCAAAACGAGTTTCTGTTGTTTTTCATTTGAATTTTGAAAAATTTTCACAATTGCAACAGAGCGCGTTCACTTTGAAATGCCCCGATAGTAGTAAAACTTACGTCGAAGACATTGACATCGACGTTGGTGAGGGAGACGTCTCCGAAGATTCTTGAATGTCTGACTGCCGGTTTCAACTGAAATGGGGCAATCTGCTGGTTCTTCGGGGAATTTGCATACCGTGACATGCAATTTGGTGTTGGCGTGAAGAACATCGTGAAGTTGCTCTCTTCCGTGGAACATCACCGAAACGTTTCCAGACAATTGGACACGAGCCCCGAGATTGGCATCGATTTCCAGACGAGGTTGTCTGAAATACATCCCTGTTCTTTAGAAATACCCGAAAAGTCTTAGTCCCACTCGGTCAAGTTAGCAGAAATCTCAACGTAGCACTTGGAGCAGACTGCTTTCGACAGCTTCTGGAGCATTTTGGGAAGAGTGTTCGGGGTGTATCTGTTGTGGAAATGTTGCGAATATTGACTGTATTATTGCTCAAACCTATGCTTGAAGTTTCCCAAATCGTACATGTAAATGTGATGGAAAAGTGTGTTGGGAATGTACTCGGACAACAGAATTCCAACCATTTTTTTGTCCAAGCAAGTCTTGTTGAGCACTTGCGGCGGCTGCGCGGAGTCGCTCTTCCAGCCGTTGAACAGGATTCCGCCGTCGAGTCCGATGATCATATCCTCATCAGTGAAAGTGGGCGGGTGGTTGACAGACAGATCGACTCCCCAGTAAGCCTGCTGTCCGTCTCCCGGTCCTTCCGCCAGCGTCGAGTTTTCTGCTGGAGTGGCCGTCGTCGTTTCCACGTGCTCCAACTCTTCTTCTTCCAGTCCGTTCGCAGTGCCCACCTGGCAAAGGGATGCTCCTAGCTCGGCGACACTGAAACCGTTCGGATCTCCGGCCGACGGCTTCTCGTAACTGGGGCTTTCCGGTTGGATCGGCTTCTGAGCCATCACGAACGTGAGTGCTTCCACTGCGGTCGTGCACACGGCGTCACGGAGAGCGCTGACTATCTGAAAGCAAGTTGAGAAGAAACTCTAAAGCCTTTTCTTACTTTATCCTTGATCTCCGATTGAAGTGCCGAAAGACTGGATCCGGGCGGGAAGACGAGCGACAGTTCCGAATGGGTCACATTGCACACGGGCGCCGTGACAGTCGTCGTTCCATTGTACATGAAATGGAGTTGGGAGGCGATGGAGAGCTCACGGAGTTCCGCAGTGAAGTCTCCTTCGTACGACCACACGAACACTTTGATCGATGCGTACGCACTCGCTCGGAACGAAGCCAACGAGATGTTGTAGGCGACGCCCTTTCCGTTTATGAAATTCGCGTGGATCTTCGGCTTCGACACGTTCGAAATGTGCAGTTTCGAGATTGTGGCAATATCGGTGACGATGTCCGGAGGGCTCAGGTTGTTGAGAATCGCCGGGAGGGCTTCGGAGGCGAGATCTGAACCAAACGTGTTACAGGTTGTTATAGTACTTGCCGTGTCTTCGCATGCATAATATCTCACCTGCCACATAATCCACGGCTTTTTGGTTCAATCGAACGTAAATTCCGGCCGGTTGATTGTCCTTTTTAGCCGAGATTCTCGCGAGGAATCCGACGAGAAAAGCGAGCGAAAGCAATCGGAATCTCCGTTTCATTTTGACGGAAAAATGAGAGCGAAAAATGCGGAAATCGGGTAGATTCCAGCAAAAAAGCGGATCGGAGGACCTTCTGGGCTCAAAGTGCTCCGTCGGCCAGGCCTAAGAAGAGAGTAGGGGAAAGTGAGAGAGTACAGACAGCTGACGGCTGTATTTTTATGACTAATCACTCAAGGCGTGACCCCGGAGCAGCCGGGATGAGAGCAGTGTAAAGTGGTGTCGCATCGATTGGATGCTATTGGCGTCCGATTTTATCAACTCGCAACAAAATTAATAAGATAAAATGAGAAACTATCGTTTCGGAGAATTCTGCCTTTTCTTCTCCTTCGACAGGTCCGGAATCTGCGGATCGTTCGCGTGCTCCAAAAGTTTCTCTTTGATCATTTGGAACCTGCTCGCTTTCCACAAATCGAACAGGTAAAAGAGCACATTGCGCACGTGCGGTCCCTTCCGAACGCCCGTCTCCATCAGATCGCGTCCAGTGACCGGAAATTGCGGGGGCGTGAACCTCTCGATCATCTGGATGCGTTGCTCGTCGGCGAGCACACTCCTCGCCAGTTGAACGAGCCGTTGTCTCAGTCTGTCCGGCTGGTTCTCGTGTCCCGGACGCACTTCCAGATCTACGACTCTGTCGATCCACCAGTCATCGTTCTGCAGATTCTCCAGCGCCGAATCTCGTTCGTGAAGAATGAATTCGCCAAGAAGACGTTCGTCGTTCGACAGCTTCGTGATTGCATGGAATGCGGCAATTTGGTCTTCGTGCTCGCACAGACACGCCACCATTGTCATCGGTTCGACGGATTTCGGGAAGCGCGAGTAGACCTGGAACAATTTTGAATTATGGAAAGAAGGAAGAAGCACTGAAATAACCTTTTCGAACCTATCGAGATTGCACTCTTCCGGCCACCCGAGATACTTCTGCAGCCCACAATCCACGACCATCGTTCTGACGACGTCCGCCGCCATCCTCCCGATCACAATCTTCTTCAGTTCCGTCCAAATTCTCTCCGCACTTATTCCCGCCAGTCCGTCCCTGTTCTCCACGATCGCTTGAATCGTGTCCGGTTCGTGATCTGACGAGTTGGCGATCCTACCGAAAAAGCGGAAGTACCTGAAAGCCAAAAGAGCAGATTAATAATAAATTGTTCAGAGTTACCTGAGAATGCGCAGATAGTCTTCTTGAATCCGTTGGCGGGCTTCACCGACGAAGGCGACGTGACGAGTCTCGATGTCGCGGATTCCGCCGAAGTAGTCGATGACGGTGCCGTCGAGTTCGAGGAAAAGCGAGTTGATGGTGAGATCTCTGCGGTTTGCATCCAGTTGCCAGTCGGTCGTGTACTCCACTTTCGCACGTCTTCCATCGCAGACGACGTCCACGCGGAGTGTCGTAATCTGAGCATTTTCGAATTTCGCTTCCGCGTGAACTGCTCATTTCTAAGGCCACAAGCTTTAATTTCAGGCTGATTCTCGTTAGAATCGGAATGCCACGTATTTGGAAAATTGTAAACTTCGGGCAGTTTTTATTTCAAAATCAGTAAGGTTCACGTCGGAATACCTCGAAATTCTCGGCCTCGTCGATGCGACACGTGATCGTTCCGTGCTCCTCGCCCCTTTTATGCAGCATCCGAATCTGCTCCTCCTCGAACATTTCCTTCATTTGCGTGGGCGTCGCGGTGCTCGCAAAGTCCACGTCGGCCGGTCGGATGCCCATCAGGAGGTCCCTGACCGCACCGCCCGCGATTCTCAGCTCAAAGTCGCGTTTCGCGAACAAATCCCGCAGTTTCAGCAGTTGCGGTGTGAAGAGTCGGCTGGAATGGTGTGGAATTGTGAGCTCACAGTATTATCACCAGAATACCGAAATTCATCGCTGTCGATTTTCTGGGTGATCGGCTGAATTTGCTGCATTACGTAGGCGGGCGTTTTGAGATGTTTCGAGAAGCTTCGGAAGAGGATAGGTGACGATGACGTGGCAATAATTCTGTGGAGACTGTGATTCATACACTTCTGCCTTTTCTCTAAAATCTGTTAGTTAGTCTGGAATCTTTGAAAGTGAGATAAATGAATTGGTGAACAGTTGTACAGAAAACAGGACAGGGATTATAATTACTATTATACAAGGCAATTTATTAATCCGAAGACACCAACTCTCGCAATGACATCGAGGAAACTAATATTAAATTTAGGCAATTGGAAACGGGGAGCGATTCGAAAGAATATTTCACAATCTGTATATTCTTTCGTGCTATAAATAAATTATTGCGTGTTTTTTTGTTGTGCGGGTTAGAGGCGAGAAGAATAGAGAAAAGAGCGAATGGGACAGAGTAATAAAACGGATAAAACGAGGCGAGAGAGAAAGTAAAGCATGCATACTGACTGGGGAGGGGAACAGCACAAATCGGCTGGCTATGGACACTCAGAGACTGAAACCTGGACGGATTTCAGAGCAAAATAACCCGGGCGAAATGGTTGGAGAAAGGACATCAAAGGGAAAGGAAGAGACGAGTTGCACGAGAGGGACGGTAAGGGGAAGAAGTCACATTATCAGCGAAAAAGCAATTAATTTGGATAAACTCCATGATATGATAAAAAAGGGTGTGTTTGATGGAAATGTACAGCAGTTTGGTCCTAAACAGGAACGTCTTCTGACTATGTACATAAATGGGATTGGCCTCAGGGATAGACGGCATCAAAGTCCAGCAGTATCACTTTCGTCTCTTCTGTGTTGTTCCGTGAGCCGACCGCGCACGCGAGCATTGTCGACGTCGAGCACAGACGCCATATGCAGCCGCCGTTGCCGCCAGAGTCCAGGGTTACGAGGTCACGGACGAGGGCGCCTGCAAATAAGAGAGATTTGGATGGGACCGGAAGATCTGGGGTACCTCTTTCAACATCCCACAGCTTGACGGTTCCGTCGTCGCTGCTCGTCGCCACGAGGTTTCGGGAGAACCATTGGAGGGAGGTGATTGCGGAGCGATGACCGGTGAGCAAGTGCACGCAAGAGCCGTCCCGAATGTCCCAGACCTGGAAAAAAGATTGATGAGCACTGACAAATACGATCAGGAAAGCAATGTTCGCCCCTCTCCTTTTGTGTGTCCTATTCTGTGTGTTTTGGAACTTTTAAAGAACGCGAATCGCCGCGTCGCACACCTTTGTTTGACATCGAAAATCAAAATTGGTTTGTGGATACAAGCGGTGCTCTTCCTGTCATATTTGGCCTAGCACCAATCACCGCAACATCAGAACCATTTGCGAACAGAGATGGTTAGATCAAGAACAGCAAGATCGGGTACACGTCTCCTACATAGGTGCTTTGAGGTTTTGAGTCGGCAAATTTGGCAGTCGTAAGGCTGCCCATTTTACCCGGGACTGAACTAGTCATACTTACTCTGACGTGGCTGTCGGCGTTGCACGACACGAGAATGTGGCCGTTCAGTTGCATTCCCGATGTGAGAGAGGTGTGGCCTTGCAGGAGAGCCACGCATTCTTGTCCCTCCGGACGACTGAAGTCCCACACGCGGATTGAAGTGTCGAGAGATCCCGAACACACCATCGTACGGTCCGTTTCGTACAATAGAGAGTAGACGCGATTGGTGTGTCCGGTCAGTGTGCGCATGCATCTTCCCGAGTGCGCATTCCAGATTTTGACGGTGAAGTCGTATCCGCCCGAAACGACGATGACTCCGTCGAATTGAACACATCGGACGGCGGCGTGATGGCCCATGAGAGTGGCGAGATGACGTCCCGTTTCGACGTTCCAGACCCGCAATGTAGTGTCCCGGGAGCCGGTTACCAGACTGAAAATGAACAGTAAATTATTGAAGTAGCAAGAAAGAGAAAGCGTACATTTGATGGGCCATGGCCATGCATCTGACGGTGGAAGTGTGTCCCTGGAGAGTGTGCAGAAGGCGTCCGTCGAGAGCGTTCCACACTTTGACCGTCCGATCTGTGGATCCGCTGACGATGAACCGTCCGCACTGCGAGATCTGCGAGGTCCACACTCCGCCGGTGTGCCCGACTAGCGTGTACTTGACCTCGCCCTTGTCGATGCTCCACACCTTCAGAGTGTTGTCATCGGATCCGGTGACGAGAAGATCCTCGTGAATCTGCATGCACGTGATCACGTGATCTTCGTGTCCACGCAGCACCGCTGAGCCCAGGATGTGGTTGACCCGCCAGTTTTTCTCAATTTTATCCGATCGCAAGAACCTGGATTTATCCGGTGCACGTTCGAATACTCTGGAAGAGAAATTGGTTTGAAAAGATTTTATAGAATTATAACTCACTCTCCAAACTTTTGGAGTTTCATGTAGCGATACAAAGTAAAGTCGCATGCCGGCGCGTGCTCCGGAATGTTGACGCCGAGCGCGATGGCAGTGGGAGCCCACGCACCGTTCACTCGATCCGATGGATCCGGATGGACATGGATCATCTTCTCTCCGAGTTTCTTCCAAATCTTATCTGTTTCTGACATAAATCTCCAGTTTTTGGAGACATTTGCCACTTTCAACAGATCTTTCCCGTTCAGATTGTGCAGAATTTTCATTCCAAGCTGAAATTTGAACAGGTCATCCATCCGGTCAGTAAACTCGTTTTTGTACCTCGACAGGAAGACATGAGAGGAAATCTCTCTGAAAGTGTGGTTCGATGAGAGCGCGCAAAGTTCGGATGTTCGTCATGTTTGACTCTTGAAGAAAACGATTCAACGCTTCCATTTGCTCATTTGAGGTGAGATCCTGAATAGTTTTTACTTTCAATTACCAATATTCTATGGCTTCTTCGTGTACCTTGAAGAGCGCGACCAAATGCTCGACACGTGGATTGACCCCATCGCTCCGACTTGGCGACGCCGAAAGATCCAGCTTTTGTTGTAGAGGCCTGAAGCTGCTGGACTCGGATTATTATCTAGTTTTTTCAATAACTCACGATGACAATTTATCGGCGCTGAACGAGCCGTTGCTGTACGAGTTTTCTTCGCAGTTATCCTGAAAGTTCTTACTGATTTTAGACACTAACTGTTTCGAAACTTCTAATTTTTGCGTAATTCAACAAAAACACCTCTTACATCGAATTCCATTTCGTTATCAATGACAGGCTCTTGGTCTTCGGGTGTCATTGATCCGTCATCCATTAGAACATCATTTCGGGGCCACATAAGCCTGAAATACACTTTTTGAATTTCAGAAATGCAGAGCGTCTTTTGAAATACTCATAGTTTATGAAAAGTCGATAAAACTCGTGTCTTGGTGCTAACGAAATGCATAGAAACGTAGTTGCAACGACACGAGAATTGCGCCAATCACAGTAGGTGTGTCAGCAAAGCACGCTTGCGTGCTTCCCGTGTTTCATGGCGGATTTCCAAATAGTTCTAGTTTACAGTTTTTCAGCAAACATCCGCTAAAATTGTGACAACCGCATAAAATTAGGGCACGGCGCTATCGAAATGGGCGCAAAACTGGGTGACGAGGCTGTCAACTGGGCGCATAATCGGAAAAGAGGCGAGCAGGTGCCTGATGACCGGCCGACAGCTGAATTCCCGTCCTTCGGCCATCTGTGGGTGTGTAATTCTATGAGAATTAAGTGAATGGTCGGTTGAGCGCAGATGTTCCATTGAAAAATGCGTCCGACAGTTTAATCGATACAGGGTTGTTGATAAATTTGCAAGTATTGAAATTTTCTAAAAAAATATGCACAGCAAGAAATTTCAACGCTAGAATTTTGTCAACTGGCTAGAAAGACCGCCACCAATCGATGGACCGGCGAAAAAGAGTCGCTCGGACTGAACGTTCATTGCGTTGGGCAGAGAAAAAGGAAAAAGAAAAAGACGATCGTCTTGTCCATATGGTCCGTCTGACTGGAGAGGACCGCAAAGATCGGTTTACGTGAACATGTGTCAATCGAACAGTCGTAGTCATCGTTTGATTTCTGTGACAGGTGTCATGAATGATCTCGAGACTACCGCGACGCTGGATGACTCCAACGGTATCGGAAGAGATTTCTCGGCAGAACGATCCTCTTTCTTTCTCCTTCCCCTGCCTGTCTGCCCAAAGGCCGCATCGCGTCCACTCATTCTGTCGAATCGCTGCGAGACCCGTTCTTGACCTACGCGAGCAGCGCGAAACACTCGGCCCCGACTGTTTTTCTCGTTTCTTGTGCCATTCTTTTCAGGAGGCGGCAAAACTTTAACTCACAGTGATAGTTCTTTGAAAGTATTTAAAAAAACCGAATCGTCAGGCCTAATAAATGTGTCTGTAGGTTACAGTGGTTCAGGCGGAAATGTTTGCACAACGAACTACTACTACAACTTGCCGCTGGCTCCGAATTGGTCGGAAGCTCGCCGATGTATCTGATGTTTCGATGTGTTTGCCAGCGATCATCCCTCCTCCTTTTCTGGAATGTTTACACATTCAAACAACGCGCAGTTATGGTTGTATCCGCTGCTATCAAACATCCGTCCTTTCTGTCTTTCAGTCTGCTCATTTGTGCCCTCGCTTTTATGATTCCCGATGATCACGTACAATGGACTGCTCTATGTGCCCAAAAATGTGAAAATTGTGAGAAAAACCGAAGAACGGTAATAAAATGCGCCTGTTTTGCGAGTGTCCATTCATTTTCAGCTCAAAAAAAAGAATAATTCTCCGAGCGGTCGCCGTTAATTTCATTGTTTTGGTCTACTATTACGGGTTCACCTTGTCTGCTCGGAGTGGTCAAAACTATGTGGACTTCATTCCACCGTACATTAACATCAGATCGGATATGTTTGTAAGCGTTCTGAGCCTTTCTCATTCAAAAGGGAAACCTTGAAGATCGCTCCAAAATATGAAATGCTGTCGTGTGGCATCCGCAAGTCGATGTCCCAATTGTTAATCAATATCATGTGCTTACTCCACAATGAAACTGAATTTCTGAAGCAAAACAGGTCACTGAACGACACGTGGATGTCTGAAAGGTAACTTTCTCTTCTGCTCCCACCGGATCCCTCCCACTTTCAGAGTGTGCTCCCACACGGACGCCCGCTTCCACATCCCACGAGAAAATGCGCAAAACTTCAAAAATCTGACTAAATTCGCGTTCATCCGTGATCCGTTCGACCGTTTCATCTCCTTCTATTTGCACATTTGCCAAAAGTGACAAAGAGGGATTACGGTAGCTCCAAAACGAGCGAGTGTTCTTTCAGCGAACGCGGGTGTTGGGATTGCGGCGACGATATGCGATGTGTGCTGAGGAACGTGTACGGCAGTCTCAGGAGGTACGAGGCGAATCCCGATGAGAAGACGTCGACGCTTGTGGACAGACACGCGGCGCCCATCTCCTGGTCAGTCTCACTTCACAGCCTTCCTTAGTCGGCAGTTTCTATTGAGCGTTGAAGAAACATTGAACTCGTTTAAGCATCAGAAGTTACTTTCAGGAACTGCAACTTTCAAGAGAGTCTCTCCAACTATCACCTCATAAAAATCGGCGCCGATGAGAAGCGTCGGAAGGACGCAATCATGGAATTGAGTCAAATTCTGAGCGAACACGGCGTGCCCGCCAATCTCATCTCTCGAATCTCAAATGAATCTATGAGTATGTTCGATCGGCTTTCTTAAGTTTAATACTAATTTCATTTTTATTTTCAGCGGGAGAAACATTCCACGGAACTCACAAATCGGCAGGAAGAGTGGCAGCGGAGAAGCAGGTCCGCGAGGATACTGTAGTTCGGGAATACCTTCACAAAATCTACTTTTTCGACTATCTCATTTTCCAGTTCGATCGCGCTCATTTGGATTCAAACTATCGAGATCTTCTCTACTTTTGGGAGAGCTTTTGATCGCACAAAAAGCATAAAAATCTTTATTATTTCTATTGAGAGACAGGCATTGAGATCGGAGAATACGTACAAAACGAGGGCTACCAACGCATGTAGTAGGCCGGATTGGCTCCCGGCTGCGCGGCGAACGGAAAATTGAAAGCGGCAGCTGCTGCAACCGCCGCGGCTGCGTTCGTGGGACCGGGGTAGGCCATCTGGAATGTGAGAGGGACACTTTGCAACTGGAAACACTTTGCAACCACTCACCGCAAAGACTCCGTTCGCTTTTGATTTGCTGCTTCGCAACGTCTTCATCGTCATCTTTGTCGTCGCATTCGATTGAGTACTTGCTGAAATTAACAATTGTTGTTATATTCTGTCCGACACACAGCCCGAATCCCCACTCGTCATCGTCGTCGTTGTCCGGCGGAGGCGAACTTCCGTCGTCGCTCTGTCCGAGCCCGCTCATCGCTTTCTCCTTTTCCTGCCGTTTACACTTGTACCGATGGTTTTGGAACCAGATTTTCACCTGAAAGAAATGTTTGCAGAATCTAAGAGGGTGAATCCAAACCTGCGTGGGCGTCAGCCGAATCGAGTTGGCGAGCTGTTCCCTTTCGGGCGCCGTCAGGTACTTTGCCTGCTTAAACCTTCTCTCCAGTTCGTACACTTGCGCCTGACTGAACAGGACTCTTCTTTTCCGTCGCTGTCCCATCGAACTCATCGGGAACTGGTGGGTCATTGCCGATCGGACCGGATCCATTGTACACGGAAGCACTGAAAGTCTTCTGTTCTTTTATGGAAAACAGTATAACATATATGAGTTGACGGTGGGGGAATCAAAAAGTTGGCAACTGATACATTTCTCAGAAAGACATTGTGCACATTTCATTAGTCGACAACTTTTCAATATCTCTATCGGGAGTTGCTTTCTATTACAGTGTTTACGGTACTTATATATGTAACTCACAAGCTGCAGCTGCCGCAAATCGAGCATCATTTCCATTGTACCAGTTCCCTTGATTCCCATTGTAGCTGCAATAACTATTTTAAAGTCTGTTAGCTTCACAAAACGAACCCTGGAAACGATGCGGCGCCAAAGTAATTGGCAGCAAGTCGTGCGGGACCGTACGGGAACGGTCCTCCGTTCACCACTCCGGCGCCCGCAATTCCAGACTGTGCGGCGGCCATTTTGAGCAGCTGCTGTTGGACTCGAGCTGCGAAGGGAAACGAACGATTCGATGGGGAGGGAGGGAGGCGAAGGGTTGAAGAGACTCTTCGGAGACCACTTCATACCCATTATTGCTTTTGATTCATTTTCAACGCGCCTTGTGAAGGAGCGAATGGGGCGGAAAACGGAAAAGAAAACACGGAATTCTTGACTTACCGAGGTTCTCCAACGGCGACAGTATACTATTAACAGTGAACTTTGACGTCGTCTTCAGCTTCTTCGCCGTGTCCTCTTCCGAATCCTTCTCCTCTTTTTCTTGTTCACCTTCATCTTCTGGCTCTCTTTTGCTCTTCGGTGAAGGCGACTGCAAAAAAGATATCGGGTCAGAAAACTCAGAAAAGAGTCAGCGGCGGATGGGATTGGTGGGACCAAGTCGAAATGGGGCGGGGCCTGAGTCTAGGGACTACTGTACCTCTTTCTCGCTCATCATTCAGAGGACCAGCTAAAGTTGACGACTTGTGAGGGAAAGGGGAAAGCTGAAGGGTGCAATCTGAAATTGATATTATCAAAGTTTGATAGGTACCGTACCGTAAAGACTGTAATAGAAGAGCATCCTTAATGACAATATATATTAGCTGTCTACAGATAAATGTTCACAAATTGTTAATGAAGAGTTTATTTGTTGACAACTTGTTGATATCTCCGTAGACAGCTGAGATGCATTGCCTTGAAAAGTAGGAAACGGAAAAAAGAAGCATGAAGGGCCAAAGATTTCAAAAGTTAGTCGTGTTCCGAAAAAGAAAGATGATCAGAGTTGGATGGTACACGTACCTAATTGTTCAAGTTTACAAAGTCCAGTAGATATTGTCGTTCCCAGAAGAATGCCCCGAACTACGAATGTTTGGAAGTATTGGGCGGAAATGTGAAGTTAGCTCCAACTTGGAAAGTCTTTCAAAACAAAAGAGGAGGGATCTTCTTCTTCTTCTTCTTCTTCTTCTTCTTCCACCAATTCTTCTCAGTTTCTCCACACTGATTGCCGCTTCACACAAGCTTCTTTGTCTTTATTGGGTTTCGTTCGGTCCTAAACTACCGTAGTCAGAGAGATGGCGCCCCTTGGTTATAAATCGCATTCCGGCCGAATGAAGGAATTTCCGAATGGGGCCATACGGGCGGTGCGTAATTTCATAGAAACGATTGTCGGCCGACTGACTAAACGGAGCTGGTGCTAAATTGATCAAAGAGGAAGAGACAGAGAGAGAGAGAGAGAGAGGAAGAGAGAGAGGGGGAAGCGGGAGAAGAAGAAAAAAATCATAGTACTGTTACTTGGCATTCAAAACGTCCGGCTGAAGCTTCGAGATACGAATAGATGAGCCAGGTGGCACAGTCTTTCGCCCTAGACTTTTTCATAACTCACAAAGACTACGATAAGCTTAAAAGTGTTTGACCAATAAAATAAAATGCAAGACTGTATCACTCAGTTCTATATCGAAATGAAGGCGTTTGATCCGAATTCTGAAAGAAAGACATTGACATTTTGTGTCCAACTTGTTCGTGTCTCTGCGTCTCTTCATCTCGCACACTCTCTCCGCCCATCCTTCCGGAGACCCCAATCAAGAGTCTTCAGAAGGAGAAGAAGAGCACTCGAAATTCAGAAGAAGCAAAAGACGAAGAAGAAGAAGGAGAAGAAGAAGAAGAAGTTGACGTCTTCGGAGTCGGACTGACAATGGAGTCACTTATCAAGAGATACTTACACTTTGGGTGTGAAGGGACCTACAGTAATCCTCATGAAGGAGGGAGACTGATTGATTCGCGAAAAAACAAAGCGACTGTTTTCGGGGCGAGCTCACTAGAATCTGGTGCGAGCGGGCGGTTCCCACAGTGAAGGGCCTCCTTCACTGATCTTCTCAAAGTGCTCTGATCAAAAAGTGAGAGGCTCTTGCGGTCTGCGAAACGTTTTTTGGAAGGTGGGAAGATTCTGGAGAGAAGCGGAAGAGCTCTTTTTGACACCATATGCATTGCATATGTGACATTTCGGAACCGAAATTATTGAAGAGCACGGAAACCTGGGCGGCGGTTTTGTTTCGCAACTGGCAATTGGTTGCGGAATGTCCTAAGAACAAGTGAACCTGGCGAGAAAGGGCGGCTCATTGTCCTTCGGATCCACTCAAAATCTCTTCCAAACACTTGTTGATTACCGGATAAGTGGCCGCCGAGTTCCCTCCGATTTCTGTGCGTCTCGCCCTCTCGACCACTGTTTCCTCCAATTATCATTGTCAAACCTAATTGCGGCATCGATACATTCAGGATGGTCCCTCGTTAGGATCGCTTTGATACCCGCCACTTGAGACTCTGTGAACTGAGAGAGCGTGTCAAGTGGAGGAGATTTGGACACGTTCCGGAAGTGAAGACCCTTTCCGACGTTTGAATTTCAATCGGGGGGATCTGAAACAGTTTTCTGACTGAAATTGCTTTTTGGAGTTTGGAACAGAATATGCAGTTTCAAGAATTGATATTATGGCCCCTTCATCAAATTAAATAGAGTGCCTGAAGTTACATCAGGATGCATTCCATCATTGTTCACAATTCGGAAGTGCTTTCATAAAGCGTAATTTCGATCTCAGAACGAACTGTCATGCAAACCGCGCATCTTGATTCGAGAAACGACCTTCTGGCCCATTCGAAGATGGCCATCTCGTTTGCATTCATTTATTTCTGCAAACTTTTCTCCTGTTCGCCCGGCAGTGCCACGTCACAGTTGTGAGTGGCCCCCCAGTGCAAACCGTCTCCTTTCTTTACCTACCAACACCCTGAAAACAAACACGAGTTCGGTTCCTTCTCATCTTTTATCTCTCTTTCTATTATCTACAGCTTTTTCATTGAATTGCAGAATCCTTTCATTGCTCAAGACTTCTAAAAGTTAATCATCCAGCAAGAAGTATTTGTGTACTCTGAAATTAAAAGTCCGAGGTGTTCATGTCAACTTTATTCATTTGCCGATTTCATATCATTCTTGAGGTGTCTGTGTCATCTTCTCGGTGTGCATGCCTAGTTTGACTCCTAGTTATCCAATCAGTACCAATCTTCGCGAGCTTATGAAGCTTAATATCAAGATCAGGTGCCGAACTACAAACCCCCCTCCAGTTCGAACTATCAATCGACTCCTCCATTACCCGTTTCTAACTTTCTCTCTTTCTTGCCCTACTACTTCCCTCTACCATATAACTCCTCCATATCTCCCCTAATCCCTAGGTACGTCTCGTGAGGGACTGTCCTTTCGACCATTCGTCTTTCCCTCTTACTGTGTTGTATCTTTTCTCTTACCGTACTAAATAAACGAATGAACATTAAACTGGAAGGGGCCCGATCTAGACGCAACCCGAGCAGAAATATTCTCGCTCAGAACGCGACAGTTCTGTTTCTTTTCACTTCCATTTCGTCGTTCACTTCAACCTAATAGAAAACAAATGGATTAGCCAGTATTTTTTGCAGATTCTCTGCAAGCGGGGGGTCAATAGGCATCCGGGGAATGACGCACTGCCGCTCGTTCTCTGTCCACCGCCTGCGTCTCCTCGCTTCCCGCTTTCCCTCTCCGTCCCCCGTCCGCCTCACCGGGTAATAGAGAGAAAGAGACAGACAGCCAGAAGATTCGTCCGTTTCGCCGTTTCTTTTCCGCTCACTCACTCGCCGTCTCGCGCTCGCTCTCTGCACTCTCTCTCCTCTTTTCACTCACCCTCTCTCTCTCTCTCTCTCTCTCTTCTTCTTCGTCTTTGCCTTGTCGGCCCCTCACGGTGAATGGACGAACACAGCACAGTTTACACTATTTGCATACTATCGATTGGTAACCATCGGCAACATTGAACGGATAAGGCTCTTTGATTTACCTAATTCCCTAACTCTATTGTCCGTTTCTGTTTTCTGTTTCTCGTTTTCTCGCCTGGAAACTACACGTTTTCTAGTGGAATTTTAGTTGAATTGCTCTTTTCTCCTTCTTCTTCGTCTTCTTCATTCCATTCTAGTCTATGATTACTTCCAACTTTAGTATAATTTCCCATTTCGAAAGTATCGATTGCTTCTGAATCTCTTCGTCTTCTTCCTCTTCTTCTTCTTCTTCCTCTTCTTCTTCTTCTTCTTCACCTGTCTCATTTGTGCTCGCCTCGATTGCTCGCCTCCTTCGCCGTCATCCGTCCCTTTAGTGTAACAAAGTGCGTTCTCTCCCCGTGTCCACTCTCTTTCTTTCCGATTTTTCATCCAATCCATCGCCTCTCTTCCCTGGAATCCCATTGAGACGTGTGTGTCTCTAAACTCTCTTTCCACTTTTACTTTTTCACTCTTTCCTTCCAGGTCGATCTCACTCAGCTCAACGACATGTCCGCCAACGGAAACGAGAACTCGATCCCGCACATTCCGCCGCAACAGTTCGGAAGAGGCAACGACGTGCCGGTGATCGGAGGCGGCGGAAGGGACCGACGGTGCGAGATCTACAAGTTCACTTCGGATCAGCCGTTGTACGCCTCCGCGTGGAGCAACAAGGGCAACATTAAATTCCGGCTCGCCGTCGGAACCGTCTCCGATGTGGCCGCCAATCCGAAGGCTGCCAATAAGGTGAGAATCAACAATTTTTGTTAAAACTGCGAGCAACCTACAACCGCCCGGCGGTCAAAAGTGTAGAAAGGGGCGTGGCCTAGCGTGCACGGTTTATCATCATTTTGGCGCGAAATTCAAGTTTTAACCCCATTTTTCATGTTTTTCGTCAAAAATGACTCAAATTCTGCACGGTTTCGACGATGTAAATGCAAAAATTTATGAAGTTCATCAATGCGCACCTTTTGGGCCTAAAACGAGCAGATTTCGTTCAGAAATTAAAATGGTGAATCGATTTTCAGATTTGTGCTGAAAATGCTCGAATTTCTGTAATTTCTCAATAATTTTTCTGCTCGAACGCTCAAAATGCTTTTATTTTCGTGCTTTATCATTTCCGACACTCATTTTGTCTGGAAACTGTCAAGTTCGGCCGGTATAAAAACTCAGAATTTGCGGCATCGAATGACTGCGGAGAGAATATTTCGAAAAATGCGAAAAACGTCTCGCACGCTTAGTTTTTACCGAAATTTGATTGTTTTCTCTTTGAAATGTCTTCTTTCCTCGATATTTAACACAAAAATAGCGAAAAAATGCTGAAATTGCCGTAAACGCATCTCAGCGCAGGCCACGCCCCTTTCTACACTTTTGGTCGCCGCATGCAACCTTCATTTGAAGCATTCTCAATCTCTTGTTAGATTCTATACAATATTTGTAGTGTTATCAGAGTCAGAATCCCGTGAATAAATTAATTTGATTGCAGGTCTCAATCGTCCAACTGCGCGACGAGTCGGAGCTCGTGGAGACTACAAGTTTCCCGATGGAATTCCCGGCCAATGCTGTCGGGTTCATTCCAGACAGCGATAATACGTATCCGGATCTTCTGGCCACCACCTCCGACTGTCTCCGTCTCTGGAGAATCGTCGACGGAAAAGCGCAGCCGGACGCCGTGATGAGCAACGTAAGTGTTTCGGTTTTGGACTTCTCTTAAGTCTTCTCTGCCTGTCCAGAACACTCAGTACGGATCACCGCTGACGAGCTTCGACTGGAATGAGCTAGAGCCGCGATTCATCGGAGTGTCGAGTGTCGACACCACGTGCACCATCTATGACGTGGAAGTCGGCACCGCCATCGGATCCACCCGACCGACCAGTGCGTTCTCGGTCAAGACGCAGCTGATTGCACACGACAAGCCGGTGCATGACATTGAGTTCTCGAAGATCAACGGAGGACGCGATCATTTCGCGACTGTCGGTGAGTACCGTACCCTATTTCGTTGCCTTTCAAGTACGTTTTGTGTTCAGGAGCCGACGGCAGCGCCCGAATGTTCGATCTACGTCATCTGAACCACTCGACGATCGTCTACGAGGATCCGAACAAGGAGAAGCTGCAGCGGCTGTCGTGGAACAAGCAGGAGCACTACTTCCTGGCGCTCTTCGCCGAGAACAGTCAGGAGGTGCAGATTCTGGACATCCGCATGCCGTGCAACATCCTCTGCCGCCTACGCAACCACACGGGTCCGGTCAACGGAATCGCGTGGGCTCCGCACAGTCCGCACCACATTTGCACCGCCGGAGACGACTCGCAGGCGCTGATCTGGGATCTCCAGCACGTGCCACGACCCATCGACGACCCGATTCTTGCCTATTCGGCTGGCGGAGAGGTTAGTTCGTCTGCGGTCCCATTGATTACAGTCAACATTTCAGGTGAACCAAATCCACTGGGGACCAGTGCACAGCAACTGGATCGCCATCTGCTTCAACAAAACCCTTGAGATTCTGAGAGTCTAACTCTCTTTTATAATTATATTGTATTTGTGTTATTTGTTGCACCACATTCCCCGAATTCCAAAATTCAAATCTCGTATTTTTGTTGTGACCCACTTCCATCATTTTTTTATATCTTAGATCTCAGTTCTCATCCCTTTCATTTATATTTTTTTAAACTTAACTTTCCAATTGTGATTTTGTCGGTATCTTGCCGCAAGTCATCTCAGGAGTTCGACCAAAAATAGATATTTTTCATTTTTCTACCCTTTTTCATTGATTCTCTGAACCGGTATTGAATGGCCGGCCACTTGTACCTATCGCTTTTCGACTGATTTCAGACTCGAACCCGTTGATTCAGAGAAAATTCTTCCGACACATCATCACGCGAAGCAGCGGCCGCAGCTGCAAACAGCCGAAGACTTTCGGTTCGTTCCGAGAGCACCGCCCGTGCCCGCCACGTCACACTCGGCTATTGTGAGTCTTTTGCTGAAAAGAAAAGGCGGAAATGTGTTAGAAACGAAGGAGGCACGTTTTTATGACACTTTTATTGGTCACGGGGAACACACCTCTGCGGTTCCATCCTTTTTGAATATTATTCATCAGATGAAAGTGGAACTGTTTGTCCAACCACTCTTGGGACTAAAGTATTCATGAGCTACCGTAGTCCTGCCTATGAGAGTGGTCCTTTATTTTGAAGAGCGCTGAAGACCCGACTGATATGTAAAATCCCGCAGAAAAATGGCATTTCCAAAAGTCACCTGACGATTTCATAACTTTCCAGACTCCTCGAATGATCGATCAGTCGCAGACGGCGCCCTCCTCCTCGTCGGCGTCCTCCTCTCATCTGATGCACCATCCACACAACTTCACCACCTACAACAGCCATCCGAACGCCTCCTCCTCCTCGATCCCCCACAACAGCATGGGCCATCCGAACGTCGGACAGCCGCGGATGGATCCGTTCAATCAAATGCCCACCGATCTGTACGGATCCTCTTCGTCCTCTTCGATACGGCATCCGCAGTACCGTCCGATGATGTCTCAGATGCCTGCCAACGACATGGGCGCCTCCACGTCGGCGATGCATTCAATACAGCAACAACCGGTGGACATTTATGATGTAAGTGTTCAAAACAATTCATTTGACTCCTGATCTAACCTGGTCCGTTCTCAGAACTACGGCAATGCGAGTACTTCCGACATGAGGAGGAGCAGTGTCCGGGGCGATCCGCGACGGAAAGAGATCTACGCCTACAACGCCCCGTTCACATTATTCTCGCACGGATGGAGTGCCGCCACGGATCCGTCGCGCAAGTTCCGATTGGCGGCTTCCAGTTTCATCGAGGAGTACTCGAACAAGATCCACATTGTGCAGCTCGACGAGGAGGCCGGAGAGCTCGTGCATCGGAGCACCTTCGACCATCCGTACCCGGCCACGAAGATCATGTGGATTCCGGATCAAAAGGAAACTTTCCGGACTTGCTGGCCACGAGTGGAGACTACTTACGGTTGTGGAAAGTGAGTTTCAACGTGGAAAAGTCACCGAAAACGCATTTCTATGCACTTTTTTCCAGGTCGGCACTGACAACAATGCCCGAATCGAATCCCTTCTGAACACGAATAGAACTGCAGAATACTGTGCTCCGTTGACAAGTTTCGATTGGAATGAACTGGATATGAACCTTATTGGAACCAGCAGTATTGACACCACGTGTACGGTCTGGCAGCTTGAGGTACCGTGAGCCATCTTGACTCTTTAAACGAGAAAGATTCTCAGACTGGTCAAGCACTGGGCACTACCCGACCCGCGGCGGCGATTGATGGAACCGTCCGAACGCAATTGATCGCCCACGACAAGGAAGTGTTCGACATTTCGTTTTCGCGAGGTTCCGCCCAAATCTTCGCGTCAGTCGGTGCCGACGGATCCCTCCGATTGTTCGATTTGCGAAGGCTCGAGCACTCGACGATCATGTACGAGGATCCGCAGAGACAACCTCTTCTGCGGCTCGCCTGGAATCGCAATGATCACAATTACATTGCCACGTTCGGACAGGACAGTAAGGAGGTGAGCTCAACCAATCAATACCTCTTCCTCAAGTCAAATGTTCCGTTAAGGTTCTGATTCTGGACCTCCGGTTACCGTGCACCCCGGTGGCACGTCTACGCAATCACGAGGCGACAATCAACGGACTCTCGTGGGCTCCGCACTCGGGATCGCACATTTGCACGGCCGGAGACGACTTCCAGGCGCTCATCTGGGACGTTCATGAAATGCCGAAGCCGATTGATGACCCCATCCTGGCGTACAGAGCAGATGCCGAGGTAGGAGCTTTCTGGAAGGAGTGCCTCACCGAATCCGCGTGTTTTCAGGTGAATCAGATCCATTGGTCGGGCTCGTTCCCGGATTGGATCTCCATTTGCTCCGACAACAAATTGGAGATCCTTCGAGTCTGATCGTTGCGAATATTGTCCGTCTCCTCCTCCTCCCTAATCATTTTGTTCGATTTGTAGTGTGACCAAACCCTTCTTTTCTTCTTGTTTTCTTTGTTTCCCCCCTTTTTTTTTTAGTATCACCGAACCGTGCCTTTTCTTACTGAAACAGAAACTGCGTATCCTGTCTGAAATATGAAGCAACTCGAATCCATTGACAACCGAAACCCGAAAATCTTTCTTGGCACCGCCCACTTCTTTTTGCTCAATCTCCGTAGGATATTTCGAAAGAGTATAAATTTATTTATGTATGTCATCTATTCCCCCCGTTCAAAGTGTCAATTCATCTAACCACCTAGTCATCCTCATCATCGATTATCATTTTATTAGAGATTCAGAAAATAAATACTGTGAAAACAACAAGGCAGTACTCGTGGAATGAATAGAAAAGTGGAGAAAGAGGGAAAAGAGAAATGGAATGCCCCGGAAACGAGAAAAGTGGCAGTGAAAACGGAAGGCAGTTGCAGAAAACAGTCACCTCAGAGCGGTCAGCGTGCTGATGGCCGAGGCGATAGAGAGCCGGTGGCTCGTGCCCGGGATCCGGAGACACGTGCTGTCCTCGTCGCCCCACCACTTCTTCGTCCGGAACCTCAACGACTTGGACATGGCGGCGAGTCCGTGGTTGTGCTCGGCGGTCACGCATATTATGTACCTGGCAAGATCGGTTCTCAACCGGTTCACGACAAGACTCCCTACTCACCTGGTGTCAGCATGAAGATCTGTGAGTGTGAACCGCGTCGACTGTCCCACTTTGTACTTGTTCCAGTACACAAACTGCGGCGCGGGCTCTTGAACGAACTGGATGACGTACGACTCGGGACCGTTGTTCATTTTAGGAGCACGCCACGAAACTGTGGCTGTCTCGTCCGAGATCGCATCTATTCGGACCGACTGAGGCACTGTGCACGGCTCTGGAAACAGAAGGACTTTCGGGTCTTGATTTAAATGTAAACTGTACCTGTGTACTCTTGCACTTTAATCGGCACACTCTGACCGTATCTGGTGGTCACATAAACGCTAAACTCGTACAAAGTGAACGACTTGAGGCCGGTCACCATGTATCGGTCCTTGTTGATAAAGTCCACGGCGACGACGTTGTTCCTCCGTTGCGGCGTCCTCGGTTTGTATGTGATCGTGTACCAGTAGCGTTTTCCCTCGTCCACATAGATCGGAGCACTCCATCTGAGCATCACCGAGTCCGCTGTGGCATGCGAAGCCAGAAGATTCCGCGGCGGATCGGGCGCCTTGCTCCGCAGATGGTCGTCATAGTTTTGGGTCAGTTGTTTGAAGGCTGAAAGTGAGCTTAGACGTGGAGGGCTTCTGAAACCCACCTGTTAATCGAATGTGATGGAGAGCCGTAACAGTCTCGAATAACTTCCTCATCGCCTCCTTCTTCATCGCTTCTATCCGCCGCTGCTGCACTTCTTTCAGCCAAGAGAGCGGATCCTGAAAGTATTCAATGAGAACTGAAACATCAGAGGACAGTTACATCATCCAGACGGCGTCCGAAGAAGTGAAGCCGATCAATGTAGTAGGCGCCGACGACGTCCACACAAGTAGTGGTCAGCACCAATCCGGCGAGAATGATGAACAGAATCGGAACTGCGAAGATTTCATTTCGCGGAACCAGGTCTGAAAACGTTACGATTGTCAGTTCTAGTGGCCAACTCCAGCCTGACCGAAAGAAAAAGCATACCTCCGAAGCCGATGGTGAGCACGCTCATCATGACAAAGTAGAATCCGTCGGTCATGTTCCAGTCCTCGACCCACGAAATGAACCACGAGCTGAGTCCGATGTAAAGGAGAAGAATTCCGATGACGAGCAGGAACGGAACTTCAACGAACTGCGCGTGCTCCAGATGCGTCCACAGAAACTCGGCCACTTCGTCCTCACCGCCTGCTATTATCACTTGCCCGACTTTCATCGATTCTCTGCAAAAACATTGAACAATTGTAAGAAGATTATGAAAAGTGCTGCGAACCTTCTGATTCTTCCAGATTTCCAGCGTTTGTACCGTCTTTTCACTCGATACTTGTACTTTATGATCTCCGTGTACGTTCGGTTCATCAGCTCCGTGCAGAATTTGGCCATGTCGGCGATGGTGATCAGGTAGAGGGGAATGCCGAAAAACAGGTAAACGAGGCAGAACACGCGGCCGACGAGGGATTCCGGAGCATCGATTCCGTATCCTGAAGGAACAGTTTCGAGTCGGGATATTGTTGTTTTCTCTACCGATAGAAGTGAGCGTGGTGGCCGCGAAGAACAAGTTCGACGTGAAGTTGGTCAGGGGATTCGAGTTGAACTGTCGGAACAATACTTTTCCTTGCGAAAACCGAAAAACCTACCGGTTCCTGTAGCCGATGCCCATCCTCCATCGTGTAAAACTCGTAGGCCTTGTCGACGAACTCGCTGACGACCGCCTCGAAATCGTCCCTCTCCCCGATCCCCGCCAGCCTTTTCGCAAAGTTCTGTCTCGTTCTGAAAGCCATTGGGATTCGCATAAATTGATTTAATCAGTGACTCACTGATCGAACATGATTGCCTGATGAGTTGTCTGCTGACTGTACTTGATCAGAGTCAGCATCCAACCACCAAACACCGCATACAATATCGAAACGACGAGCAGAGTGATGTGCGGCAGTGCCAGACGGAACACCTGATCAATTTAGAATATTTTGAAAGCGGGCCAGATTTTTAAAAGTTTAGAAACATGATCAGATCCTCGCTTTCCAAAATATTTTTACGTGGTGATCTTTTGAATTCCCTCAAAACGTACCAGCTGTTTCGTGAGCCCGAACTGTCCGGGCGTGAGCTCCGAGAATCGGCAGAGGCCGGAGCTCAAAAGTGCTCCGCCGCACATGATGTTTTCACGGGAGTCACGTGCCGATTCCGTCCTGATTCCGTGGCGATGGTCGATGACGTGGCAGAAGGGGAGAGAGAAAGAGAAAGAGAGAGAGAGAGAAAAGAAGAGAGAAGAAAGACGTGAAGCGGGAGAATCTACTCGACTACTATATCTGAATTCGGGTGGAAGGAGGGAAAGGAGGAAGGTAAGGAGAAGGAGGGCTCCCCGGGGACCCACCAACTCATTAGGCGGCTCATTTTCGGATGAAAAGAGAGGAGTCTTCTCTTCTTCAGCGCTGACCAATAGGACCGCCCGAAAATGTGGAAGGGAGATCCCTGCAAATCCAACACAAACGCGTATCACAACTTTATCAGTCTTTGCTTATTGGTCCATGAAAGTGCCAGTACCAAACCGTTTTGGTGGGTGGGTGGGTGCGTGTGTGTGCAAAAAAAAATGATAAGAATCATAAAACTGAGCAGCGACGTGAAAAATCCAAAGAAATGATTATACAGGGGCCAGGAAAGAGCATAGTTTTTGTCGGGAAACTGGGGTGAAAAAAGATGTTACAGTACTTTATGAATCGAGAATTTTCTTGCGGTAAGAGCTGGTGAGTGACTCGCTCGACGGCGCCACGTTGTTCCGCTCTTGGTGCGTGCTGACACCCGAAAACGTGGATTTGGCCTCGAGGACGTCGTCGTCGAAGTAACGATCGTCGGAAGTCGGCGAGTTGTATCCGTCCAGTGAGTATTGCTCCAAATACCTGAAATTAAATTGTTCTTTAAATGGATTCTCTTTTTATTTACCTTTGAACAGCGTCAAATGCATCCGAGAGACGGTCGAGTTGCTCGTCAAGAGTCTCATTCGGACGGGGCTCTTCTGCGGCGGCGGACAGAAGATCTTCGACCGAAACGGACAAGCATCCCTTATTTTGAATTCGTATCAGCTCAATGCTCTTCTTGCACTTCTGCGAGAGCATATCGACGGTTCGTTTGAGTCGCTGATCCTTCTGCACCGCCCGATATTTCTCATTGTTGACATCTCTCGGCTCTTGGGATCGGTTTCGTGGAGGCGGACGGGACGGAATGATTCCGGAAGCACACCTTCCGAACGGAGACGTCGCTTCGTCCGTGTTATGGAAAGTCATCGAACGGCGGGAAGTGAACTGCTGCTCTCGGGGAGACACTTCATTGTTCGACGGCTTCCTGCCAGCGGCGGCCGCTTTCATCGGATTGTAGTCTTTTCTGCGGAGCCACGCGGTCATCTCCTGTTCTCTTTGCTGCTCACTCTGCCCGATCATTATGCCGCGTGGCGCTCCCGTTCGGAATGGCGGGCGGGCCAAACTCGAGAGTTGCGGAGACGAATTGCCGGTCAGGGAACGACGCGTCTCACTGCGGCGACTGAAAAAAAATTAACGATTCTCAGCTGAAAACTTTGAAAATGGCACCAACCTCGGAGTGGGCGTGGTGTTTATTTCGTTGGTCTTTCCGGTGAACGAAGCCCTCGATCCTCCCCGATCTCCGATTCCCTGCACCATTTTCTGCGACGACGAGACGGTCGGAGCTCGTGCCGATGAGCTCACTTCGCTCCTCCGGAACGTGCTCGTCGGCCTCTGCTGAGCAGCCATCATCGCCTTCTGCTCGGCCTCACTTCCGGTCGGTCCGGCCGCCGGCAATCCGGCCATCATTCGCAATTTGGCCAACTCTTGAAGGAAATCCGATCCACCGCCTCCAGAACGATCGAATCTGGATGTTGTGCGTGGAGTGGAAGACGTCGACGTCGACGGAGTTCTCGGGGAAATCAGAGGAGGCGGAGCTTGCGTGGGAGTGAATGCGGGCGCTCTGAAGACTGTCGGAGCAGGAAGAGCGGACGGACGGGGCGAGGAAAGCGGCTGAGTGACTGGAGCAGGAGCCGTGTATTGTTCCATGATTCTGAAAGAAAACCACGTGTAATAATCGTCTCATTTCACAGCATATCGTACTCGCTGTCACTGTCCGAATCTTCGTCGTCATCAGAATATTGCACGACGCGCTGTTGCTGGAAATGCGCTTGTCCTCCATACATTCCGGCGTTAGTTCGTTTCGACGTGTCTGAAATTGGGTTGCCAATTGAATTTCGCTGCCATTTTGCATACATTTGTCTCTCAGAAATCGAGGCAAACAACGAGGGGAAATTGTTTTTCCATTTCACATTTATGGCTTTTCGATGTGATATTATTTGATAGTTTGCGGCCGTTCTCAGAACGATTTCGCAAGTTTCACGAGACCCAAATACATTTCAGTTTTGGTCGTTTTCTAGGTTTCAGCTAACGCCCAAGTGAGAGCGCTTGCATTTATTTTCTCTGCAAATGCAGACGCTACCGATATATAATCCCCCTTCCAATTAGGCCGTTTCGCTCACCAATCACAAACGTGAGCGCCTCGGAGCGAGCATCGAAATCTCTGTGCTCGTCGGGCGTCCCCGCCGTCTCCTCCACTTCCTCCTCGTTGCTATTTTCCGTGCTTTCTACTGATTTTCCAGTCAAAAGCCTCTCGAGCAGGTAGTTTTTGTTCGTTTTGCTCGCTGCCAACGGTTCTGGTGTCGACGGCGTTCGATCGTGCGAAGTGCTCTTCGCCAGTTTGATCTTCCGACGATTCTGAATTTCCACTTGAACTTTTCATGATCTAAGATCCCGTGTACCTCAGCCAGATTCCGCGCGGCTTCTTGAAGTGACACCTCCTTCTCCTCCCCCAAATTCACCGTGAATGCAGTTGCATTCGACTTCTTGGCAGCTAAAAAGAAGGAATAAAGAGTTAACTTTTCAGATCAGAAGTTCGCATACGTTTGGGCTCAGTTGGCATCGAAGGCACATCCGCAAAGTTGATCTCCATTCGAACGGACTTGGCAGGTGGGTTCACAGTTCTCACGACCTCGTCGTTCGGAGCAGCAGCAGGTGTTCCGAACGAAGTCCTCGAAAACCGTTTACTGGATTCATGGTCGGAAGCCGAAGACGTCGGGGGCTCCTTCTGCCTCATCGTCGGAGCTTTTCCCTCAAAATCTGATTGAGTTCCTCCTCGTGGGTCCATTACTTCCATTCTTTGTTGGTAGAACTTGGGACGCGTCTGAAATGCTCATAATTACTCTTAAGTGAGTTCTGTTTTAATTTCAGTACCAATAGGGATTCCGTGGGTGGTTTGACGTTGGCGAACGGTGCAGGTACATGTACTCGCGGCTGTTCTCCCGGCCGAACTGTCCCTGTTGTTGGGACGGTAGCTTCTGATTCTGCATCAAAGTGAACGAGTTTCTCGAAATGTTCGACGTCGTCGACATCGTGTCTTCAGAAGCGTCTTTGTCTTCGCTGCTCGTCACCATATTATTGTACGCAGGCATTCCCGAATAGTTAACTGAAATTAGCTCATTCCCGAAGCCCGAGTTAAGACAATCTCACCAGAATTATTACTTGAACTGATATTAGACGAGGTTGTCGGTGGAACGGGAGCTTTTGGAGCAGCCGGATGTGCTGGAGCCGGCTGATACGGATAGTACATCTGAGGAACGGCTGCGGCGCCAGCGTGCGGAGGCGGTGCGGAAGGATACGGGTACATGGGCGGTGGGTAGTACTGCGGCACGATGTAGTGCTGACCGGTGAGCGGATCCACTAGCACGTGTGCTTGCATTGGGTATCCTGAAAGTTCCAAGTTAAAGTCAGAGAAGGATCAATTATGCGCGCATTTGGTGTGGCTGCTAGTATCAACTTTCAGTAGACTCAAAATTTAAAGTGATCTTAATAGAATAAAATCAACGTGATGTCTTTTTAACGATACACAAAATGTCTCATGTTCACCCATAAAATCGTCAAATTATGTGTGTCGGTCTCTCTGTAAAACCGGTTCCCTCATTCGTTTCTTCTTTCGACCTTTTTCTTTCTCTTCATCGATCAGTTACTGATGAAGTAGATGGAGGAGGTCGGGAACGTCATGATGCCATCTTACAGATCGCGTTCATTTTTGGACAGAGCGGCACATATTCAATGCATTTCTAATGAGCACCAATTTCTGCACGACGCCTTTTCCTCTCCCATCTGTCTTTTTCGGATTTGTCAATTGAGAGTAACGGAAGAAAAGGGGAGAATGGGTGCAATCGGGCGTGAACTTTCAGTCAATTTTCAGGTTCAGTGGATTTCGTTGGATAGATGTTCGATTCTGACTAGCAGGCCTACTCTTTTTTTCACGAATTCAATGTTGAAATACTTGTGAAATCCAGGCTCATTCGGCTTCTATTTCGCAACATTTTGTGTTTACCCCTGCAGCTATGCTGAATCTTACTGGAAAATGGACCCGATTTGGAAGACGGAACTGACCAGGCTGGGTCATAGCAGGTGCGGGCTGTGCTTGATGAGCAGCTGGGAAATGGAACGCCGTCGGAGGTGTCGTCCGCTCATCTTGCTGATGCATTTGACTTTGGTCCTGGTTATTAGTACATCACAGTACACCGTTTTTGTGATAAAATGATACCTGATGTGGTCCCTGCTGATAGTATCCATGACCCGGTGCCGGTGAGCTTGGTACCAATCTCTGATTGTTGTCCATATAAGACTTTGAAGTGATAAAATGATGGAATACGCAGTTTTGGGGGGATAGCGGGTGCTTGTCAGTCAGGTCTCATTCACTAGCACATAAATAGAAGAAGGAGTTGAAAGTGTGTGGATAGGACGGAGACGCAGAACAAAAGCCCCCCTTTCGAATGAACAATGGCTTGTAGTGGCCGATCAATTCGAGCGGCGGTCGGCCACAGCCAGCTACCTCCCTCCGTTAGTTCGCCGGTCGCAAGCGCGCCCCACGGAGAGTATGGCTGGAGCGAAGGGAAGAGAGACGCCGAGGAAAAGGAAAATGGAGAAGAAGGCAGAGAGTCTGCGGGCCAGCGTCGGTTCGATAAATAATTCGTCTCCGGGGCTCGCACTTCTTTCTCTCGCCTCACTTGTTTCGACCACTCTTTGTATATGTAGTAGAAGAGCACGTGATGGTTTGGATGGATAACGCAGAAGATGAAGAAGAAGCCGGCGGAGAAAGAGATAGTCTCTCTAGAGCTGAGAACCAACGCTAAACGTGAGATTGCGAAAACTCTCGAACACTTTGAGGCCATCGATGCTTCTGTGTGATTGGTTCTAGTTGGCATGCTGTAATAATTGCAACGAATGAGAGTTCGTGTTGTTTTCCTTTCGATTAGCACACAAATGCTCTTTTCGAAACGCTATTCTTGGTAGAAAGGGGTGTTATTCTTCTCAGCTTCAACTAGTAGCTCCGATTTTTAAATTTTTGTTCCATTCTGTGAGGGTTTTCGAGAAATTCTGCACTTTTGCCCGATCTTCGAATTCCCTCTCATTTTGACCGTTTCGATGCTACCTTCTGACTGATAAAAACTCCTTCCCTTTGACTGATAAACCCTGCCCGAACGAATTGATAAAACGCAAATATAAACGGTGGAGAGCGTCGCGACGAGAGCCATTCGTATAGTACAACTCTCCGCCGTTTCTGTGTTGATCGTTGATCGCCAGCCGTGGTAGGAAAACTTTTATTTGCGTGCAAAAAAGGACGGAGAAACGTATAAATGTTGCGATGATCGGATAGCGACGAGATGGAGCGTCAGTCTTTTTTCGCGATAAACACAGATGCAAACTCGCCCAGAAACTCAAACTTTTTCATCCGATTCTTTTGTGTACACGAGGCATGTGACCGCTCTGTCCGACCTCCACCATTCATCGTGCGTTCTGAAGGCCGAATTGGCGCCAAGATGACAGATGCGACTGGCAAGTACGATCACTTTTTTGCTAGCCTCATTTCGATCGCAAACCAGAATCGGATGAGAGTGTGGAGAGGATAACTGACCGAGTTTCCCCGCTCTTTCGGCTAATTTTACCGGTTTCTGACAAGACGGAGTTAAAAACATCCCGTCACCTGCTGAAACTATTCGAAAACCCGAATTTGCAGATGAAATTTTTGAAAAGAAGCACTTCTAAATCAAAGATCTTTCGAGAAACGTCTCGTTTTCTCTGCGCCCTCCCCGGCACTGACCCATTTCTTCGGCGGTCAATGCGGCGGCCAGACCCCAGACGGACGGGCGGCGCGATACCGTATTTAGTGTCAGAAAGAATACAATACCTGGTAATATTATGGGCTCCGTTTGTGTCTCTACCGTCGTTGACTTTCTCCTCAGTTTTTCCATTTTTCTGCAGAAATCAACTTTTTTAAAGGAAAATTGTGAAAAAAAATGAACAAGTACTTTGTTCACGAGAAGTACACGGTTAAATACTGTAATCGTTGCGGGACTCATGGTTTACTTTTTGCTTTGCTCCTTGAACATCAATTTTTGCAAGAATTTTCGAAAAATTTCGAGAGAAAAAAACAGTGGGTCGATCAGATTTTCACTAATAAAATGTCGAATCCGTACTCATTATTCGTTTAATTATTCTGTTGCTCAAAAATAATGCAAAAAATGATTGCAGGACCCATCAAACTTACCCGCCGCCGCCATGTCGTTCAACATAGAAAACGAGTCTTTAGTTTGTCAACTTCATCATAAAACCAAACATAACCGTAGTCTGAACGTCGTGGTCGAGCTGTCGGCGAAGATCGGGTCGCCGCTCTTGGAGAACGGAGAATGGGTGGTGCCGAGCGAAATCACCGGACTGAAGGCCAAAAAGTCCAAGGTGGTGAAGGTAATCGATTGAATTGCTTCCCCAAAATAGAGTCATCACGTCGCATTTAGGTCCGCTTCAGCCCATTAGTCTCCGAATTGTCATCAATCGATGCGGCCGTCCATCGGGCCGCATGCGAAAGTGCTATCAAGCATCTCGACATTCTTCTCGAGGAGAGTGTCTGGACGAGACAGTCTTCGCAGGACGAGCATCCGTTCGGAAAGCAAATCGGCAAGATGCTCGAGATCCTCGAAGACATGGACAAGGTCGTCGAGATAGACAACAACAAAGTGCACTTATCGTTCCTCAAAAACGATTATTTCGACGAGTTGCTCAAGCTGATCAACTGCAAATCGGTCTCTGCCAACTTGCGCACCATCATCGTCGACGATGGCGAACAGCAGACTGCGGATGTTGTGTTCGAGAAGGACGGGCGGTCTGAACGGCTCATCCGTCTCGTTCTAGACTCCGGGTATCTGAAAACATCGGAATCCGGCAGGAGTGCGTGTTCGAATTGTCGAAGACGTGCTTCAATTGGATTCTGACGCGTTGTGACGAAGATCTGGAGAATTCGCCGCCAAATGTTTCACAGAAGCTTGACTGCTACATGTGGATCGATGGGAAGGAGCACGAAATGGTTCGTGAGGGGTCGCTCGTAGTTTCACTTTTTGTGGCCACAATTATCTCATGTTGTCCCCGATAAATGAACAGTTTTCTTTTCAGCCGGTCTACTCGCCGTGCGCCTCCGTTTTCCATCATCTCGACAAATTGTCCACTTCTCTGACCACCGTCAGTCCGCCGGTGTCGAACGAAACCCTTCCGAAAGTCCCGCATGCTCTCGCCGTTGACGCGATCGTTGGTCTCGACAAGGTTCCCCCGCTGCTTCCACTCCCTTTCTCATCCTTCTCATTCCAGAACGAGGCGTTGTGTCTCCATAAGTTCATCCAAAATATAAAACAGGTTCCTCTTACCATTCACACTGACTTCGACGTCGAATCGATGGACGTTTACTCGGATACTGAGACCAAACTGAGCGGTTCCCCGACCGAGTCCATCGATTCCGGCGTCTCCTCGCTTTCCTCTCCCCGCCAATCCACCTTCGATGAGGAGGACGAAGACGAAGAGTCGCCGGCTCCTTTGGCCAACCGCTTCCGCTCCTGGAGCGAGAGCGGCTCTTCCCTCAAAGGGATTCTAAAGTGGCCGTCCACACGTCGTTCGACCAGTCGTCTTCTCTCCAGTCCTCACATGATTCGTTCCTATTCCGAATGTCATCACGACGATTCGCTGCCGATGATGCCGTTAAGATTCTCCGAGGACGACGAGGACGCCTTCCACGGTAATATCGTGATCTTTCCACGTTTTAATAATCGATAACCGTTTTTAGAGGAGGATTCCTCGTCCGACTGCTGTGTTCTTCCAGCGGCGCCGCGCAAAAAGAGCGTCTCGTTCAGCGAGCGCATTGTGCAAACGCGTCTCTTCAACAGCAACACGAGCATCGACGCGCAGAAACGGAAGAATCTGAAGAAGAACGAGAAGAAGAAGAAGAGGGAGGGCTCGCTGGCATCGAGCATCGAGAGCCTCCACGAGGAAAGCAGCAGCGGTCGCGTCAGTCCGGCGATTCGTCACCAAACTGTATAGATCACCATCTTTGTATAAATGTGTAAATTTGTCCCTTTCCTTTCTGTTTAACCTCATTTATTTAAAAGTAGCACATTCTCCCCCACTTCGAACTTCCCTTTAGGACAGTCTGTATTTATTTGCCACCCCGCTTCCCACAGTAAGCGTTTTTGTCGTTGTGTTGTTTTGTTAGATTTCCCTTGCTGCTTATTTATCCGCTTTTGTATCATACTTTCTTGCTTCTCGTTTCACCAAATGTCGAGTTTTCATACGATCACCGAGAGAGATCCCCCGAGTACAAACTATTTCTAGCCGTCTCCATTGCTGCCTTACTTTCTACCCATCCCTCTCTTTTTCGGTGTTTCTATTCGTCTCCTCCACTTCTTCCCACTTCTTCTCTCATCCCCGTATTCATCTCATCCATAGTTCCTCGTGTTTAACTAATATAACGTAGGCGAAGAATGTGCAATAGAAGTTCTCTCAATCCATTTTCTTTGTGTTACAAATATAAATAATCAATAAAGATAGGCAAAACGATCTAGATCTTGCTCTTCTTCTCTTTTCCGGTCCGTCCTCTGATGAGATTTTCGGTCTCGTCCCACTGATTCTGATCCCAATCGTGCAGGAACTCTCCCATGTGCGATCCGTGGTGCATGTGCTGTTGTCCACCATCGAAATCGACAATCTGAAACGGAAAAGTTGGAACCATTTCAAATAGAGCTTCTTAAATTTTCCCGTAGGTCGCGTATTTAGCAGTGGAACGATTAAAAAGTCTCTGTACTCACCGCTCCGTTCAGCCAGGACATGTAGTCGGAAGACATGAACGCGACGAGATTGGCCAGTTCCTCCGGCTGTCCCAGTCTTCCCGTCGGCACCGTCGTCTTCATCGCCTCTCCGGAATCCTTGAGATCGCCGGCGAACAGTCGCCCGAACGCGCCCTCCGTCGGAATCGGTCCCGGAGCGATGGCGTTGAAGCGCAATCCGTGTTTGGCCCATTCGACCGCCAACGACTTGGTCATATTCTCCACGCCGGCCTTCGAAACGGCGGACGGCACCACGAACGGAGCACCGGATCTCGCGTAGAGCGTCGTGATGCTCAGCACGCTGGCGCCCTTCTTCTGTCGGATACAACGGCGGCCGAGTTCGGTGGTGACGTGCAGGGTGCCCTTAAGAACAATGTCCACGATCGTTCCGTAGGCATTCGGGGACAGTCTCTCCGTGGCCATTATGAAGTTGCCGGCCGCGTTGTTGATGAGAATGTCCGGCGTGTGGCCGAGTCTGTAAAACATGACGTTTCTGTGCTCAATTGTCCTCTTCTGCACTCACTTCTGCTCGACCTCGTCGAATGCTTTCGCCACTTTGGCCGGATCCTTCACATCCATTTGGAACGGCTCACACACTCCTCCGGTGCTCTTCCGGATCTCATCTGCGGTCTTCTCGAGCACATCGAGTCTTCTGGCCGCAATGGCCACACTTGCTCCGAGGTGGGCAAAAGTAGTGGCGATTGCCTTCCCGAGACCAGTTCCTCCTCCAGTCACCAATGCGACTTTTCCCTGAAATTGGATGTGCATTCGAAATACGAAAAACCTTTCCTGAAACTTACGTTCAACGTTCCTGGTGGCAACGCTACCGATTTGATAACCGGGAAGAACTTTTCGGGGCGAGCACAGTGTGCCATTGTATTGGTCAGTGAATGATGGAACAACGACAATTGAGATCAATAAATAGGTTGGGAAGAGGGAAGAGACACAGAGACTGTGGAGGAAGGCCAGAGTGTAGTGTGACACATGCTACACTCTGCCGAAGAACTTGGCGATAAGTGTGCCGGCTAGAAGATTCACTACAAGTATAGTCTGGACGGGGAAAAGTTGGATGGACTCCGGAATATTATATTATCGGAGCTGTCGTTCTTCGCTTTCAATGCTTGAACACATCTGTGAAAGAGAAGCTGAAGTATTCAAAGAAAACAGACTCGAGGGGCCGGAGAGAAAAGTTCGGACAAATGTTTGATCTCTTCAATTTGTTCAGACACAAACCAGAAATCGCGAAACCTCCCGGCCACTGTGTCCGAAATTGTGACGATGATGAGAATTCATTCATGCGTATACATATAGCGCTTCGCTTCTCTAATCCCACTTGTTCAGTTCATTTAGTGCCAGTGCTCTTCGGTTTTCTTTGTCGTCTCGCTCTCTTTTTCTCTCACTCTCTTGCTCTTTTTCTCAGTTTCACGTTGAAATTTCCCTCATTTTTCAGTTTTGAAATGTGGTTGGAATGGCTGTTGATCGGAGTCGGATTCGTGGCTCTTTTGTACGTTCTCTATCGACTTTTGGTGTCTTTGTTCAACATTCTGGGTCCGTATGTCCTGTTCCGACCAATTGATTTGAAGAAAAGAGCAGGCGCCTCGTGGGCAGGTATGTGTCCTTCTCGCCGATTCCATGACTTAAATGTGCTTCATTCAGTGGTGACCGGAGCCACTGACGGCATCGGAAAGTCTTATACGTTCGAGTTGGCCAGCCGTGGATTCAACGTGTTCCTGGTGTCGCGTACTCAATCGAGACTGGACACGACGAAGCGGGAAATCCTCGAGAGACATCCGCAAGTGGAGGTCCGCACCGCTTCGTTCGACTTTCCAATGGATCGCCGCAAGACTATCAGGCCCTCCTCGCCACGCTGAACGAAGTGAACATCGGGGTTCTGATCAACAATGTGGGGGCGTTCTACGAGTATCCGGAGGTGTTGCACAAGGTCGAAGGGGGAGTGGCGGCCATCGCCAACATCGTCACCATCAACACCCTTCCGCCTACTCTCTTGTCCGCCGGAATCATTCCCCAAATGCTCACGCGAAAAGCTGGAATCATCGTGTACATTGGCTCGTTTGCCGGCGCCAGTAAGATGTCCGAATGGGCGGTCTATTCAGCGGCCAAGGTACATTTACTCATCAGATCTGTCTAGATCGTACAATGTTCACTTTCTTTCAGAAGTACGTCTCCTGGTTCACAGCAATTCTCCGCAAAGAGTACGGCAATCAGGGCATAACCTTCCAGAACATCGCCCCAATGATGGTGTCCACAAAGATGGCGGGCAATCCACAGACCGAATTCTTGTCCCAGACAGTGATTCGTTCGCCAAATCCGCTCTGAACACAATCGGACACGTCGGAGAGACGACCGGCTACTTCAGTCATCAGATTCAGGCGGAGGGCATGAGCCTGCTCCCCGAGTTCGTCGTCGACAGAGCGATTGTTGGAGTGAGTGCGAAGATTCGGAATGCGGCGCTGGAGAAGAAGGAACAGAGGAAGCTGTTGTCATGAATGTTTGTAAAAAGAATAAACTAAAAAACTGTTTATTTCAATAAAACCCGTGATAGTTAAACCATTTGCCATCCTCGCAATCTTCGTGGCCTCTTGGACACCACGTGATCTTCCAACTTGTAATACTTTGGCGGGACAATATCTGCCTTGGTTTCCTCAAAACCCTCGAACTCCTCTTTATCGTCTTCTTGCTCGTCAAACTCCCCATTCTCTCGCAATTCGTACTCCAACGGCGTCAGATTGTCCGAGGTGTCGTACCCGAGAAAGTCCGGATATCGCAGTCCAATGTATCGGACACACTTTTTATCGAACACCTTCTTGAAGTGCTTCGGCACTCTGATCACATGGTATCCGAGCACTTTCTCCTCCTTCTTCGCCTTTTCCATCAAGTTTCCGTCAAGCGCTCTGGAGTTGTAGTACGAGTTTTCAAAGTGATTGTACTCCAGACTACCTGCAATACGCATCAATGTTTGGTGATCAGAAGAATAGGTACTTACACCAAGTATAAAAGAGTTCTTTGAGTTCTCTCTCGAACAAAATCACTTTGAGTTTGTCGTCTTCCAAGGCTGTGAACTCAATCGAATCGGCTCCGATCTCCCATCTCTTCTTCTTGTTCATCGAGTACACAACCAGTGGCACCAGGTCATCAGAAGTTGAAGGGCAGTCCGAAGAAGAGAAATGCTTGAGTTTGACGATGATTGCGTAGGTGGAAGCGCCTCGGATATAACAGTCCATCAAACGGTTTCTCGTCTTGTCCTTGACCATTTCCGTTCTCATTTTGACTGAATAAGGAGAAAGAGCAAACAAACTAGACACGAGATTAGGAAATCAAACGAAAACCGTTTGATAAGGAAGAACGAAGTAATATTTATAGGACCAGATGACTCAAGCAGACACATCACTTTTCGGTGAGAATCAGAGCGTCAACAAGAGGGTTTCGCAATAGTTCGCAACACTGCAGGATGAATTACACCACGAGACTCGCGAATTTAAAAGGAAAGAAAAGATGTGAGCTTATAATTGAAAATGGACTTCGAAGATGATTATTATTACTGGTATCGTGATTATTGACTCCTCAACCTATACTGCAGCCATCATGTTTCAGGTCGAAGAACCAGGGCCCAAGCGAGGAGAAGAATCACGAGAGGAACTCGAGCGCCGAGCACTATCTTGCTAATTTGAAGGACAAGTGCGGAATTGTGAAGACATATCACATGCACTCGGAGAATAACCAATGGACGAACGAATACAGAAGGAAGATGGACACCCTCATGGGCCACGACTTGAGACCGTTCGTTTTGTTCTCAATGAACAAACGCAGAAATTGGGAGATTGAGGAATCGATCGGAGTGAGATTGATGGCTGAAATTCAGAACTTGCATAAGGGCGAGGATGTGATGTTCTTGGAAAGAGTGGCCGTTGGATCGACCTTTTGGTCAAGTGAGCACAATGTGATTTGATTACCGTAGAAATGAACATTCATTCCAGACTGTTTCCGCTTTAATTTTCACTGGAAACACTTCCGAATCAGTGCTGTGCACGAGTTGAACACTTATGTATCCGGAAGACCAGCTTACAAGAAAACTTCTGTCAACTCCATATACGGACAGTACCTTCAGAATTTAGAGGAACACAATAGATGTTCTTGCAAAGAGGATGCTGAAATTATAAAGGCTGAGAGGGTTCGAAATGCGGAGAAGGAAGAGAGAATATTGGTGGCTTATCATTTGATGAAGCCACCAGAAAACTACTTTTCCTTGATGCACAAGAAGTTTGTGAGGATGCACATTTACTCCGGAAGATGTAAGACTCACTTTCATTTCTGAACCAAAAAATACTTTCACAGGGAAGGCCGCTGCTTACTGGGAGCGCGTGAGGAGAAAGTCGCTGTGTTATTTGGATATCCGATATGATGATTACGAGGAAGAAGAGTTTGAGGGTGAGGACGAGGATGATCATGGCGTGGATTTCGAGCAGAAGCAGAGAGACCGATGGTAAAAGGGAAAACGTTCCAATTGTTATGTGATGAACGGGATTTCAGCTACAACTTTCTCGACGATCATTTCGTGGATGACTTTGTACACGTGAAAAGGAAGAAGAAGAAGAAGAAGAAGGATAAGTGAGCATGAAGATGTATGTAAAATAAATTATTCGGAATTTCTTTATTCGTGTCCATGTTGAGACATACGTGCAAAAAAGTAATTCACACCCGACTATTGCTCTTTTTTCATACAGTGAAATGATGATTTCAAAAAGATCCGATCCAAAAAGTCACAGAAATGAACGGAAGCTGTGTCCAGCACAAATCCAGACACACTTTCGCATCCTGCGTCTCTTTGTTTGCCCTGAAATCTAGGGATTGTGACCTATTCGCTCATCTGTGTCTCTCGAATCTCGTCGAACCACACATCGAATTGTGCCCTGGGATCCGTATAAAATAGGAAGATGACTCGGAGAACTCAACATTCAATCTGAAAATGTCCCGATTCGCTGGAAAAGTTGCCATCATCACTGGTAAGATTGCCTTCTGAAAAGCCGTTTCCTATCCGTTTACCCTTCAGGTTCTTCTAATGGAATCGGCAGAGCCACCGCTGTGCTCTTCGCCAAAGAAGGAGCCCAAGTGACGATCACCGGAAGAAACGCGGAGAGATTGGAAGAAACGAGAGACGAGATTCTGAAGGCCGGAGTCGCCCCGAACAATGTGAACGTGGTGGTGGCGGATATCACTTTTGAAGCCGGACAGGATGAAGTCATCGGATCGACCGTCTCAAAGTTCGGTAAGATCAACATCCTCGTGAACAATGCCGGAGCCGCCTTTCCCGACAAGAACCAACCGATGGGATTCGGGCAGGGAATCGACAACTTCGACGCGACGCTCGCGGTGAACATCCGAAGCGTCGTCGAGCTCACGAACAAGATCGTGCCGTTCCTGGCCAAGACCCAGGGAGAGATTGTGAACGTTTCGAGCATCGCTTCCGGACCAAGAGCTGTATGTATCACATATTTCCCAACTTGCGCCCACCAACTAGGTTTGCAGAGTTCCGACTTGAGTTATTACTCGGTTTCCAAAGCGGCCTTGGACCAGTACACCCGAAACACTGCGATCGCCCTGATTGAGCAAGGAATCCGTGTCAACTCGGTCAATCCTGGGTACGTTGTCACTGGATTCGCCACTGCATTCGGTTTTCCACAAGAAGCATCTGACAAGGTAGGCAATGAAGGAAAACCGATCTAGTGAATCTTTTCAGTTGATGAATCACATGGAGTCTCAAAAGAGCTGCATCCCAACCAGAAAGGCCGGCCGACCGATTGACATTGCCGAGGCCATCGCCTTTCTCGCCGATCGAAACGCTTCTTCGTACATCATCGGACACCAACTCGTGGCGGACGGAGGAAGTTCTCTGGTGATAGGAATGCACGCACAGGATCTCGCTGAGTTGCTTAAGTAAATTGTACAATGTCATACTGTAAAAATGAAGTGGTTTTCCAACGAGTGGAACACGGAACAACTCCTTTCGATCGTGCCTAATATAATTAAAGGGAAACGCTTTTGATGGAAGAGATTCGGAGATATTGGGACAACGAGAACTAGCGAAGACATGGTCAGAACTTTGGGAAAACTATTGGCATTCACAGTTTTCACACCAAAACTTTTTTTCAAAACAACATTTTCAAAATGATTTCCTCTCTAGTTCCCTCACTCCGAAAGGGTATCGTTTGCTTCCTCATTCCTGTTTTCCCGTGGAGACTGGTCTGACGTGGCCTCAACGTGCAATTACTCGTCCAAAAATCGCGTCTGGGGTGCTCCGATGGTCATGCTAGACTCCAATTACGAGTGACAAATCTTTCGCCGCAGAATTTCTCATTCCGCTTCCTCTACTTGACATCATGCTACTCTCGATGATTGAACGCGTTTGCGTGCTCGTCGCCCTGTTCAACAACTCGATTCTGATCTATTTTATTCTGAGAAAGTCGGCGGCAAAGTTGGGAAACTACAAATATCTCATGATTTACATTGCCGTCTTCGAAATGATTTACGCCCTCATGGATGGGCTGACTGCTCCGGTGAGTGCGCGACGAACGGAATGCTCGAATGGACAAAGTTACAGGCGGTATTCAGCAAAGACTGCACAAATCTGTTGATAATGAGAGCCGATCTGGCCTACATTCCCATCGAGTATCTCCCTCTTGCCAATGGTTTTCACTGTCACATCCCCAATCCATCCTCTCTCTTTTCCTTTCCAGTCATCTTCTGCAACATGTTCGGAATGTCAATGGCCCTGCTTGCCATCCATTTATCTACCGCTACCTCGTTGTCAGTCGCAATCCAATTCTGCGAAAATACGATGGCCACCTCATCCTCTTCATTTTCATCTTCTCAATTGCTTTCGGAATTCTGTGGAGTATTGTTACCTGGCACACTATGGGCCCTTTTCCCGAAGCAGATGAATATCTAACGTAAGTTGGTTGAGTAGAGCCGAGTAGAGAGAGTGAAGAATTTCAGAAAAAACAATATTCAACTGGATCAAATCTCGTATATCGGGTTCTTCTACTATCCAAAAGACGCAAACGGAATTGAGTACATCCACTGGAGGTCTGTCATCGGAATCATAATTCATAGCATTTTCATCGTGAGTCATAGTCATCATCGTCATCCACCCGCATCCTTCTCTCATTTCCAGACCATCTCCTTCTCCCTCATCTTCTACTTTGGCTTCAAATGCTACCATCAAACCCGTGTCCTCGTGCAGCAGTCGTCGCAGTCCTCCTCGTTCGAGAACCTCCAGTCCCAGCTGTTCTACGCGCTCGTCTTCCAAACGCTCATTCCGATTCTGCTCATGCACCTGCCCGCTTCCGTCGTTTACGCGGGTGCTCTCTTCAACCGATCCAATGAATACTTGGGGAAAGCGATGTCGGTCTCCATCTGTTTCTATCCTGTTCTCGACCCACTTCCCAACTTTTTCATCATCAAAAGCTATCGGAAAGCTTTATTCAGTAAGTGTCCGTTTACAATCAAGTATGGAGAAGATAGCGCTTTTTTTTAGGCTTCTCGAGTCAAATTTTCAAAATTCTATCGGGTCAAAGGGAGACGGTGTCGCGTCAAAGGGCGGCGGTGGTCACTTCAGTATCAATTCGAAAATGATCTTTAGTTGAGCAAGAAACAAGAAGCCGTAAGATGTAAGAAACAAACAATAGCTACAAGATATTCTACCCGTCGACTCACACAGAAAGCAGAAAATGAAAACGTTTTGGATGGAGATCACTGGCGGATCGAGATGATAATAGAAGGATCTACTGAAAGATAAAATGAGAGCTTTTGAAAGTATTCAGAATTATTCACTTTGCATCCTTCTCCATTCGAACATACTCTTTTTTTTTAATGTTTCCGGTCGTTTATAAAATTTGTGAAAGTAACATTTAAACATGATGTGAAAAATAGAAGGAATGGCTCGGCAGTCTCGTATTTCGGGCAATTCAAGCAAGCATAACCGATGCAGCGCCGAATGGAACAAGTCAGTTGAAATCAGTTAAAAAGTCCAGATCTTTGGCATTTCCGCACACTCGCAATGTTGACAAAAATGTGTGATTGCGGCCAGATGAATTCCCGTTTACTCAAGTCTTTTAATATAGTTTTTTGCGGGTTGCAAGTCTTGCTGAACGCTGACGCTTTTCGTGCGAACAAACGGAGTGTTTGCTCGCGGAAAGAGTGCGGAAGAGATTGAGGAATGCGAGAAACTGGAACTGAAACTGTTAGCAGTTGAGCGGGTATAAAAGGCCGGCGGAAAAGTGGTAAGAGCATCCAACTCGCTTGGTTCTCAATTCGATTCCCTGAAATGCGCTTCACGACGCTCGCCATCTTCTTTGCCTGTGCTCTTGTAGCCACTGTAAGTATATCTACTCACTTCTTTTGGGCCCTTTTCAAATTGATACTTTCAGGGCAGCGTTCTCCGTGAGAAGAGACAGTGTGGATGTGCTCAGCCACAACAGAGCCAGTGCTCGTGTCAACAGGCCCAACAGACTCAGTCGTGCTCGTGCCAATCTACTCCAGTCCAACAGCAATCGTCGTCGTGCTCTTGCGCTCAGCCACAACAGACTCAAACCGTTCAGGTAATATTGTAGAAAAGAAACGTGATATAAAAAAAAGCTTACAGGTGCAATCCTCGCAGTGCGCCCCGGCTTGCCAGCAGAGCTGTTCCCAGCAGTGTCAGTCCAGCCCATCGGTGTCCCAATGTCAGCCAGTCTGCCAGCAGCAATGCCAGTCCCAGTGCACTCCGATGTACAACCCAACTACGACGACGACCACGACCACCCAGGCTCCAGTCGTCCAGTGCCAACCAATGTGCCAACAACAGTGCCAATCCACCTGTGTCCAGCAGCAGCAGCCGGCTTCTCAATGCCAGCCACAATGCCAGCAGCAATGCAACGTGGCCTGCGATTCCTCGTCCACCACCACCCAGGCTCCGCAAGTCATCCAGATCCAGCTTGAGATCCAGCAGTCTCAAGCCCAATGCCAGCCACAATGCCAGCAACAGTGCCAGTCCTCGTGCGTCCAGCAACAGCAGCCATCCAGCCAGTGCGATTCCGCCTGCAACTCCCAGTGCTCCAACATCTGCCAGCAGACCGCTCAGGCTACCCAGCAGGTCGTAAACACTCAACAACAGTACTACGATCCATACAACAACCAGAACCAGGGATCCTCGTCGAACTGTGCTCCAGCGTGCCAGCCAGCCTGTGACAACTCGTGCACCTCCCAGCAGACTCAGACCGTCGCCCCGATGTACAACCCATACGACACCACCACCGAGAGTGCTCCATCACAGGCGGTCATCCAGATTGTCCTCCAGACCTCCGTCGCCCAGTCCGCCCAGTGCACTCCCCAATGCGAGCAGTCCTGCCAGCAGCAGTGCGTCCAACAGCAACAGCCCGCTTCTCAGTGCCAGACTGCGTGCCAGTCCTCGTGCTCCAACTCCTGCCAGGCTTCTCAGCCGGCCACCACCGCCTGCCAGCAGAGCAACACTTCCAGCAACTCGTGCTCCTGCCAGGCCAACTACTCTCCGTGCGGAAATGGACAGTGCTGCCGCAGAAAGTAGACCAACTGCCGGATCCCATTGTTTTTGTATATACCGGAAACCATCAAGTTTCAATAAATGCGTTTTGACTCTGAACTTCCCTTAAGATCACTGAGATAGAACCGGGTAGAGAAAGGGATCCAACATTCGATCACCGTAGTTTGACACTTTTCTGCTTTCTGCGTGAGAGCATGTCACACAATTACTACGCTGGCTAGAAAGATAACAAAGTCTCCTTGTTCAAAATGAGTTTGATAATCAGTGAGCACCTAGTACCATTTAGTCCAAAATGGCTGTCAATCTCCAGATGTCCGTTCTGTTCTCTGGATTTGCACTTTGTTCACCTATTCCGTGAGTTCTTTTTCAAGTTTACAAACTGTACAATACACTTGATTTCAGGCTAAACGACACTAAAATATTGACAATCCAAGGCACTGGAGACTTTGGAAACCTTCCACATTACTCGTTCATTGTCGGCCTAATTATGCTGATTCTAATTGTTTTCTCCCTTTTCACTTTACTTATTACTGTGGTCATTCTTGTTAGAAAACGGTTACAAAGGAACCCATTTTCGGATAAATGAAAGTTTTGTATGTGAGACTTTACTTCAACTTGAGATACAAAAAAGTTTCCCAAATTCGTAAATGTCAATAAACAAAAAGGCGCGTGTTATGTAACAAGAAGAAAAGGAAATTCACTTTGCGACTGACCCGACTCTTCTACCGTCGATGACCCATTCCTTTTTCCGAATTCCCGTATTTTGTTATTGTACGTCTGGCTCACAACCCATTTCAACATGCACATTCAAAACTCGTTCGCATTTGAAAATGACCTCAAATCAGTGGAAAGAGCGTGTCTCACGGTGAGACGCCAGACACCTCGCTAGCTGAATTCATCTCATTCGCTTTTCCATTTCCCCATTTTGTCCGTTTTGTCATCACTGCTCAACCCGTACAGTGGTTTTTGCGTGTAAAACTTCGATTTCTGCTTTATACCTGAAAATGGATTCAAATGATGGGTTCTAATGATTGCGACAAACGTCCTTATGTTAGCTCGATTGATGCGTATGTTTCTAACGTATATCATTTAACGAGGTGTCCACGATAAATTCAAATTTTAAAAGCGCGCGTTTCTTTTAAACACACGTCCATGCGCACGTAACCCTCGGAGGCGGCTACTCCTTTAGTACTAGAGGTCACGTGTTCCATTCCGTCAAAATTATGGTTTTGTTGAAAACACCATTCACAGATGAAGCGCTTACAATCATAACCGTTCGACTATGTGATCTGACCGCCTTTGCGTATTGCATTTCCTAGAAAACATCTGTCCGTTGTAAACATATAGATATCGACTGTATCGCTCCTCGCGTGAGTGACACTTTCTTGGGGCCTTCGAGGAAAACCGTCGCAATCTGCCGCCTCTCCACAAGCACGGTTATGAGATGAACAACTTATTCGGAGTGTTCGAGCGGACACTCCGAATACGCTTTTTTTCTTCACTTACACGCACATTTATCCCGAATTAACACACGCTTTGTCCACGAGTTACCATAATTGACCCAATTCACTTCAATTTCAGAGATGTCGCGCATGCCCGACAACCCGCAGATTGTGTTCCAGTCGGAGAAGCCGTTGCCCGCCGGCCATTTCCTTTGTGAGATACGCAGAATGTTCGAGAAAAACGGTAATCGGCAATTGTTTGCTTGTTTCGCAAATTGACGTCAATATTTTACAGCTCCGAATATGCCAAAGGGAGAATGGGAGACGTTCAACAAGCTGGTTAAGAGTGTCATCGCTGCGGACGCACGTGAGTCATGGGTCTCGCCACGAAAGCAAAGAATGAAACAGTTTCAGATGCGGTCCGTGTGGTGCAAAAGACAGAGGATTCTCGTTTGAAGGCCATCGTGGGAGCATACGACAAAAGATTGGACGAGCAGGGCGAGAAATGGCACAATATCTGCAACGCCATTCAACTCACTGCTGCCGGAAGTGTGTCGAACTTTCGGGATGAAGTCGAGTCAAAGTTCACGGTGATCAAGCAAAAAGAGGAGATCGAGAGAATGGTCAAGGAGGTGCACAAGTGCAAACTGCAGGTTGTGCTCTTGGAGCTGAGAACGACCTGCGCGATGAGAGAGCAGTGCTTGGGGCACCAGCAGGAAGTGATGGACCTGAAGAGACAGATCCACGAGCAGCAACTGGCGATCCAGAAGCTCAGCTTCTACAAGTTCGACTACTCGAGAGTGAAGTTTCATTGAAATCGCTTTCTTTATCTTTTTGTTTTTGTTTATCTTTCTGTTATTGTTAAATGAATGAATTGTTTATCGGATAGTCAATGACTTCCACCCAAATGATGAATTGTGGACACAAGTATGGACGTTTGCTTCTTTCTCTCCTTGATGAGCCAGTCCTTGAACTCCAAGTTGCACGTGAACACCACCATTCTGAAAAGAGTCAAAATGCAGGGAACGGGTTATGTCTCTGATGACGTACGCGTCGAACAAATGAAGGAGGTTGGACGAAAATGAAGTCGTCAGGAAGATTCTCCATTCTTCGGAGAAGCCCGGAATTAGATTCCTTCCCTTGCTGTACCAGCCACTGTGCGCCAGAAATACGACGCCTTGGGCGAGCACTTGCCGTGCAAAGTTCATCTCTCTCCGCTTCGTTTCGGCGCTCTTCGATTTGAACACACGGGCTCTCCAGAAGACGAGAAACGAAAGGGTGATGACGTCACAGACGATGGTTGCAATCGTGAATGGCATTTGACTGAGAACCAGATAGAGACTGAGCGAAGAGCCGCACTTCTGAATAATCGGAACGGAGTGAGTAAGAAGAGCATGGGGATCAAAACCTCGCGTTTGGGCGCTGTGGAGAAAGTCCAGCCGTAGCGGTAGAACTGAAATCCGCAATCTTCTGAATAAAAGATGAACGCGAGCCGGATAAAAGTGTTCAACCCACTTGCAAAGAGAAGGTAAAGACTGACAGCCAATGGAACAGTCCAACTGGCGGCGATCATGCAGGCTAATGGTTTGCTACTAAAGTTAGGAAAGTTCATCAGACTGACTACTAGGACCAACTCTGACCTGAACATGTACCGATATTGAAATGGAAAAAGAATGGCGCTGAGACGGTTAAAGGACATCAGGAAGTAGGAAATGACAATGATTCCGAGGAGACACAAAGAGATGCCGCCGTTGATGAACGAGTACTCAAGGATTGGACGGTAGTCACTGAACGGCCAATTCGCTTTATTTCATCTAACTGAAGCGCCTAAACTTACAGAACTAGCCCGACGAAGAAAAAGATCATAACGGAGAGACAAGCAATGATCTGGCATGTGCACTGATTCAAAGTGAGATATCCGAAAGGTGTACGCATTGAGGGAATCTTGAAGCATCCCAAGATGATAAGCATGATCAGGATGGCCCCGACAAAGCATTCCTGGATGAGAAATAAGTCAGAGAATCAAAAGAAAGGGACAGTACCGTAGACACTACAAATCCAACGAACTCGTCATCGCCGTCACGGGTGAAGTTATAGAGCGGAAGCTCAGCGAAATTTCACTCGACATTTGGAGGAAATGAGTTGAACTGCAGAGCACAGACAGTTTTATATTCCCAACCTACTCAATTATTCCGTTCTTTCTCTTCTCTTGTCACCGTCCAGACTGTGAGGTAAGCAGCGCCTGACTTTTGCAATCGAACACATGTTCCCGCTGCTAATGAGGTCTCTGGAGTTTCAATCAGACAAGTGTTCGTGATAAATTCTAATGGAAATGTGCATGAGCAAACCGTCTGAAACAGCTGAGAAGGTTGGGGAACTGGCAACGGTCACAAAGTGTATTTCGAGACTCCAAACCCCCATGTTCTCTTTGGGTGCATTTCAGATCATCGAATGATCGGGTCGGAGCATTGTTTCCAATCGGATACCGTATAAATCGCGAATCGTCTCCTCGTGTATCTCTGATTAACAGAACTTTTCCCTCACTCCCCGCCTTGTCTTTGCTCAACTCGCAAATGACGAATGTTTGCGAATGGTGTCATCGGTGACCGGCCAAAACATGTCCACTCTGGTCCGGATCTCAGACCCTTTTTCTCCATTGGCTCTTTTTGTTTGACTTCCCTATCACGACCACCGAAAACTGTTTTGGAGAGAGGTGAAAAGTAAACCGACGGAAGAAGGGTGTTTTGAAGTGTGAACCTGGTACATGACACTACATACTATCAAAAACATAGAACAGATAAAAGAAGAAGAAGAAGTAGATGGAGGAGATGGAGGAAGAAGAAGAAGAAGAAGAAGAAGAAGAACAAGAACAAGTTTGATAATGTCCAGTTGGGTGTACGTATGTACTATCAGTATAATGTGTCAAGTTTGACAGGGTTCATATGATAAAAAGACTCATTTTCCAGTTTAATTCATTTTAAAAAAGTAAACTTTGGTCCTAGACTGTTTGTACAGCTTTTCCCCTGTTGTGCTCCACGACTTTTCAGTGCCACGTGCCGAGTACTTATACATTTTCATATCAATGTTGAATCTTTGCTGTGCACAACACTCCTTCTTTTTTATGTTTGCGCAGTCTGTACGCCCCTCCCCACAAACATTTTTTCCGCGCGGAAGCTTCTGTGAACTTTTTGTCCGCGCCGATAGTTCAACGCCAACCCGCTGTCCAAACCGTTGAGAGAGTAGCTCCTTCTTAAGACATCCACAACAGCTCATTCCGCTCCGAGCTCGCCGCACACCGATCGAGCGATGAAGCAGAAGGTGAAGGTGGTCGACGCCGAGAAATCAGTGGATCCAATCTTTCGGATCACTGGAGGACCTGGAATGGAAAAGGAGGACTCGGAGAAGTCATTGGAGCCAAAAGACGGTGAGTTGGTTTTTGATGAGACTTTTGATGAAACTGAATCCTTTATTTCAGACGGATTCACGCTTTCCGACGAGGACGTTGAGGAGACCAACTGGCGGCTCATCTACATCACCGCCGTCGTCTCTTTCCTCGGAGCAATCGAAGGGGCCGCCGTGCACATGAGCGAATGGCCGTACATGCGGGAGATTGACCCCGATGCGACCGTCCAGTTCTTCGGAATTGCGAGCTCCGCTTCCAAAGCTGCCCACGCAGTTTTCGTATTGGTTTTCGCTGTTTGGAGTTTCAAATACAAAACTATCAAGTAAGAGATACATATTCGTTTACCTTTTTCTTATTGCAAATGAACCCAGGTACCCACTGATTGCCGGTCGTGTCATCGCCATCCTCGCTTGTGTTCTCTATCTGTGCGTTGAGTTCGTTGACACTGGAAGACGCTATCTCATGATGATCTGCTACATTCTGTTCGATGTTTCCGGAAGTTCCCCATCCATCCTTCGTGCCTACATTGCCGCAGTTTCGATGCCCAAGGATCGGTCAAAAGCATTCGCCGCCATGTCTCTTTCCATGACTCTTTCCATCATTATGGGTCCATGTAAGCCAGAAATTCTGCTGAAAATGATCTGAAACTCTTTTGCAGTGATCCAAATGGCGTTCACCACCATCCCGTATCCCGGGTATACCATCTTTCCGAATGTCAAGTTCCACGTCTACTCCGCGCCCATTTGGATCGCCAACTCCACCAACTTCATCTCGATTGCAATCATCATTTTCGGAATGAAGGAGCTTCCCAGAAAACCAAAAATGAAGAAGCGTAAGAGAATTTTGACACAATCACTCTAGACGATGAATTTCAGCCAAGAAGCCATCAATTCTTGAATGGGAAGGATTGATGATGAGAATCGAGAAGGTGAAGAAGGCCAACATCAACTGGATCTTGGTATTTGTTTGCTGGATCGCCAAGTGCGGAAAGTCAATGACCGCGAGATCCATCGGAACGTAAGCATTCATTTGCAGAGATTAAACTACTTCTAAACTTCAGACTCATGCCAATTCTGATGATGGTTCAGTACGGATGGACGGGCATCGAAACTGTCAGAGTCACTTCCATCCTCATGGGCGGCTCCGGCATTCTCTCGATGTTCGTGATCGGAAGTTTCATGTTCTGCAAACTCGGCACTCGGTAAGAAAGATCTTCCGATCTCATCGTCCTTCTGTAATTCAGTGTGCAACCTCGGTACATCTACCTCTTCTCGATTACTCTTTTCGTGATGCTCTACGTGGTGACGTACCCGTACAAGTCGATCGGAGTGGCAGTTGCCACGTACAACGCGACCGACGGAGTTGGATGTGACCCGGAGAAGTATGCGTGGTGCGAGGGAGGGATTGCTCCGCAGCCGGCAGTGTTCCTCTGCTGCATGGTCTTCGTGTTCGGAATGACAATGCCCTCATCGGGCATCTCTTTAGACACCATCTACTCGAAGATTCTGGGCAACATCGACCAGGTTCTTGATATCATTTCTCCCATCTCTCCAATCAATCAACCAGTTCAGAGTGTAATGCAAGGCGCCGCCGTGATCCTCGACGACATCGTAATGGTTATCACACCGACCTACGCCTCGTGAGTGTTCTCTCCCAACACGTACATGATTCTTGACTTGCAGCTACATTTACACCCTCCTCGGTCTCAAACCGCTTTGGATCATGAACGGAGTCATCATGTCGTTGGTCGTGTTCCTTTGGATCGCAATGCTTCGAAAGTTTAAACCCTATGCATAACGAGTTGTCATTTCCCGATCGAAACGGGTCCGTTTTTGTTTCATTCACATATGATTTGGTTCTGCGAAACCAGTGCATGTATTTATTATTACTATTGTTATTGTGGAATAAAGATATTTGTTCAAAGATCGCTATTCGCTGATCGAACTTTGACTGCGGAATGTGCAAAGTTGGTCACTTTATTTCCCTTCCAGTATAATCCAATAAACCGGCGCCGGTACTCGGGAGACCGCCACATAATTGTGTAAAAAGTGTGCGAGTAGGAGAACATTGCAGAGATTGACTGCAATTCAGACATCAATGACAAAGAAAACGAGGCGAATGACTCACAATATTAGCAATCAAATTGTAGAGATCTTCGCCCGAATAGCCTAGAAGTACGAATAGATTTGTGGCAAACACGCTGAAGTACATGGAGAGAATGAAGAGAACCGCCGAAACTTCCAAGTGAGCCATGATCTTCGCGCAGTTGCTGTAGTCTTTTCCTGAAGTTATCAATAGAATAATGAGCTCACCCTCTCCTTTTTTGTACTTTTAGTGCCACTAACCTTTCTTCCGAAATAAAATGATGAGAATGAGGAAAACGAGCAGACTGAAAGTGTTCGCGACCACGGTAACAGGATAGAACTTTTGGCGCAGAGAACGGCTCAGTGCTGAAATGACGGGTACCTCCTTCCGGATAAACGAACACTCTGTACCTATCGGCGGATTGCACAAGAAAACCATTTGTTCGTCAACTTCCAGAAATCCCCAGACGACTATTGTCATTCCCCAAATGAACGGGACCGCGGACATGCCCAGCACGTACTTCCACGTGTCCAGATTCCGTAATGCAATTGGGAATAGGACAGTGAGCAGAATGTCCAAAAGGATGAAAAACATGATAGTCGACTGGAAACAGAAACTGAATACTGTCGGGAATATCAGCTGGAAACAGGTCTTTCGTGCGATTTGGGAGTTTGAAAGGAGCAGGTAAATGTCGATGAAGCTGTTGAGAGTGCAGAAGACGTGCGCTATGCTTTGGAGACATTGAAGATACGCTGAAACTGGAAAATGAGTGCAAGAAGAGGGAAACCAGACTAACATGACTTTGATCTGAGTTTGGGAGTTGATAAAATGATGTAAATTAGATGAACGTTTCCGAAAAGTCCAAAGATAACGAAGAATATTGTGGGAGGCTATGAATATTCGGTTCCACACGTACATTCTTACGTGACTGACTTCAAACTTCAATCGGATGACTTACATTTTCAATGACTTTTTCATGTACTTCTTCCGTAATTTGATTGACACACTCATGTCTCATGAGCTTTTCGCGGCATTTTCAGTGAGCTCTTTCTTTTCATTGAGCACATTTCAAACGCGCCGGTCCATCGCATCAAACGCCCATTAACTGCCCTCCGCGCGCGTGTGTTTATGTATATTTATATATTCAGGCGGTGCCGCCCGGCACTACCATCCGGACGACGCGTTCCGCGCGGAAAACAAAACAAGAGAGCAACAGGGCGGCACCTCCGATTACCGCCTCATTCAGGCTCATTTCAAATTGGCACCGCACACCTTTCCAATATTGTCCATTCGCTTTTCTTTTTCTGTGCATCCTTGTAGATCATAGGATTCCTGCACTCACTAGGACTCACTAGGACTATGAACTCACATTCAAAGTTTCATTTTGAATTGAAATCAAAATTCTCTGAAATGTTTCTACGCATATTATGAAGAAAACATGTTCAAAGTTGTTTATTCTGGTGCATGGTTTCTCAAGAGTTGCCCGATAAGATTCGATTTATCACAACTATCAGGCGGGCACGTCATTCCGACCCCGGGTGGAAGACGTTGCGCAACCACATTCAAACTCCTCTTTCCCCCACTTTTTATGTTTATTTCTGTTGCGTCACATGCTCCGTCCCTCACTCTTGTGAATATCGGAACAGTTGTCTTTGACTGAGTTGAGCATCAGGTGGACATTATTTTTTCTTTGGTTTCTAGCCAGAAACAAAAGTGCAATGCAAGTGAAATCTCAAAGTGTATTAGTACCTACGGTTTCTATGTTTTCAAATCCGTTCATTTCAAACAGTTTCGAAACCCTCTCATTAGTATCAGACAGATGGTAGCGATCTCTCTCTCTCTCTCTCTCTCTCTCCGTCTTGCGCACTATTTCCCCCCTCACACCCTTAATGAGCACCTTTTGGTTGTCGACAAACAAACTGCTCTCCTCTCGGATCGGAGCCTTTAACGGGTCGTTTCCATAGAAATGAGAAATGCTGGAGGAAAACAAAGTAATTAAAAGGGATATTTGACACTGTTATGGGGTCAGACTCTGTGCATTCAAAAGTTTGTTCTCATTCAAAATGCTTTGACGAATGGAATGTTCTGGAAGCGTGCAAGTACACCTCTCTTCTGTCAATGGCCTAACCACGTGGCAGAGGAGAGTCCTGCTCATTCTGCCATCACTGTCGCCACCGTCTCACCCAAACACCCAAACACCTTTGTGCTTAATATTTCCGTTGTTTCAGACCGTTATCACTGAAACTATTCAAATTCTGTGTCCCGCTTTCTCTCCGCTCTCCGCTACCTGAAAAAGCGGCGCTTTTGTTCTAGAAGCGAAAGTTTGCGGAATAAATTTGAAAAATCTTTCGAAGGACGTCCTATGTTTTGGTTCCCTAGGCGTGTCTGGGCAACCCGCCTTTTCGAATACCTCCCACTTTTCACCTTGATTTCAAATTCGTGGCCCAGATTCTGCAAATTCTTCTTGTTCTCTATGAATTTTGGGCTCTTCCCATTCCAAGCCTAACATAAGCCCGACCTTCATCAAAAGACTCCCGATTTCGGCCTTTCCGAACTCTGAAATTGCTCATCATCTGGATATGCTCAGATATTCCACGTGGCAGAATACTCAATTTTCCGTGAAAGTTTGAAACAACCGCACTCGGAACGCGTCAATAACCGTGCCTATCAATGTTGCACTTATCACCAGCGCTCAAAGAGGAACGTGTTCAAAGTTGGTGCCAGCCACGGGCTGTTTGCGCACCAGCTTTTGTATTGCCATCTTCCTCTTCGTCTTCGCCCTTTCCCATTATTATTTTGTTGTCGTTCCCTTTCTCTCTCTCTCTCTCTTCCTTATCTTTTCAGTTCCCTCCACGCGTTTTGTTGTAACATTAACCTTTTTCTGTAAACCAAATTTTGAGGGTACCCAGAGCACACAAACATTTCAAATTGAGAAATTCAAACGACGGAATGAGGCGACTGATAAGATTCAAACAATACCCGGTTTAGAAACTCAAAATCAAATCGCTTTATCGGTCGCTTACTACCACTTCTACTACTATACTACTCTGTGAATCTGTTTGAATAGTTTCCCCTCCGTTTCTTTCCGCTTATCACAATTGTGTCTCTTCTCGTTATCGCCAACTTCGAATGACCATCTGAAACAGATACAGGCGGTCTCTTTCTCTGCCGAAGGGACTAGAAACTCGGCAAGTGTCGTACAGTTCTACTCCTCCCAGTATTCAGAGAAAGAGCCGATTGCTCACCAACATTTACCCTCATTCTCTTCTTGCTTGTTTTTCTCTCGCCCCATTCTTCTTCTTCTTCTTTTCCCTCTCGGCGCCTTTTCGTGATTCAGTCGTAGCTGCAGTCGACCTCGAAGGTTCCCCTTCACTTTCACTCGCAGTATTACGGTTTTCTTGGCGGTCAGTGCGTTTATGAGGTCGTAAGTTTGATCGAAACCGATTCAGAGGTTGGTATGCCATTCATAAGTAACCTAGAGATCAAAACACTTTCCACTGGACTCACGGTGGGCCACGACCGTGGCGCATTTTGCTATAATCGTAGTGAATGGGCTCTGTTGAGAAACCCCTCTTTTTGTGATCTCCGGGACCTGATTTTGCAACCGCGAAACTTGTTTCAGCTGTTTTTCAGTTGTGTTTTTGATTGGCGCCGGGCTGGAGATCACAAATGAAACAAACCGCATTCACTTCGAAATGCCCCGATTGTATATCGTCGCATCTAGGATTCCTATAACTTCTAGCGATCAGTAGTTGGGTAGTCAGTATTGGGTCACATTCTCACCGCAGTGAAAATGAACTCCTATGAGATTTCCAATGCATCCTAGCTCTATTTATCTGTGGTACACCCGTGTTTCATTTCGAAACGTTGACAGAATGACTCTTATACCATCGTTTTATACCAGTTTACGGACCATCTCATTCTCTCATTCTCTCATTCTCTCATCCCTCATTCCGCAGTCCCACACGAACAATCCATTTGGATCCATGAAAAATTTGAATATTTTGCCTGCTGCCGACGGCACACACACACATGCAATCGTCATGTTCTCATAGCGGGTTACTGGGTCGTCGCTAGCAGGCCATCAAGTGATTCATGACTGGTTCACACGTGGACCGCCCCGTCTGTTCCCCCGCCGCCGCAGCCGTGCATTTGAATTTCGAAGAGTTGAAGCTCACAGACGACCAAAAGTTGTTAAGACTTCAAATTTCATTCAGGAGCATGATCGGGGTCCCAAAGCTTCAGATGGATTCATTCGAGTACCGTCTAGACATTTCCTGTTAATTATCCTTTTCCTTGACTCCAGAACCAGTTCGAATCGCCCATTCCTGCTCCTGATACCCTTTCATTAGCGACCCCTCTCTTGCACATTTATCTTCCACTCGAACCGGTTTTACGTCGGTTCTTGTTGGCACGCCAAAGGTTTCAAATTGGCCGGCGCGGCGGCAATCTTCGTGCAAAACGAACAGAGACGACGAGAGAGTGTGCGAGACGAAGAGACGTAGAGACACGGCATCAGCAGCTGTGGGGAAAAGCGAAATGAGAGACACTGACTGAATTGGTTGAGAAGCCGTTGGAGTGAAACTGAGAAAAATAAGAGGAAGGCGTCTGACAGGTCCGGTGGGATTTGATGGGACTGTAACACGGTCCTCTGGAACCAGTACATCCTAGTTTTCCATTTTGAATCAAGGCCCCAACATGTTTTACTATCG